TCAATCCATCGTCCAACAACTCTTGCTCTCTGTGTTCAAACATGCCGTGGCCACCCCCCCCTCCTCTATTTCCGCCAGCCCTACGGTCGAAAGCAGAGACCGACGGCGCGCTGACCGGAGATGTCGGGTCATCGCCTGGGCTGTCACTTTCAATCCTTTGCTATGATGTGATTGCCATGCGGAGATCAGCGGTGAGGAGCCCCCGGTTCCACGACATCCTTCCGAGGACCCGTTGTCCAAAGCCAGGTCCGTTGGGCGGTCAACGGCAGGACCGAATGCGTCTCTCAAGAGGGAAACATCTTATCGAACCCCCCGGAAGGTGAAGAGAGGCAAGAAGGTAAGACGGGGCCCGGGGGGGCGAGGTGATCACAACCGGCCGCAACAACATTAGCCCTGCCTCGAAAAACGAGATGCTACGCTTGATCCAACAGTTTTATCGGGTTGAACCCGCCGAGACCTCACCGCTGCAAAGCAGAGATGCGTATCTACATTCTCTTGTGTGCCGCGGGAAGATGCGGCGAAATAAGGATGATGTCTAGATAGAGTACAGCGGTCCACAAACACTATATCGTACAATACAAACAAGATCTGTTTTGCCAGCGTAATACATATGGTACATTCTCCCGTCTCATCTGGAGAAGGGGGAGGGAGGGGGGGGTGGCCACGGCATGTTTGAACACAGAGAGCAAGAGTTGTTGGACGATGGATTGATCCCGCCCCTTGGCCTTCTCCACTCGCGTGCAAAGGACCGGCTGTCACTCCCGTTCAGCCTATTTGGGGGCCAAAAAACCGCAAGGTGAGGCGGAGAGGAGGAGGGCGTCACCAAACTGCAGATCGGTGGTGACACTGTTTGCAGTCCGCGATATAGCGATTCCTGTCCCTCGAAGTGTCGATCGGTTGGGACGCTGCCGTGTGTGATAGGTGGAAAAGTCGGACGTCAGATGCTCCCAACATCTTGCTCGAGGTCGAGGGAGCATGAAGCATGGCATGCGCAGGTTTTCTTTTCGCTGGCTATCTGCATGGTCCTGCACGAAGGATGGCCGCGGACAATAACCAACATAAGGCCGTAAAATTTCCAGAGTGACACGGGAAGACCCAAGGGGAGGGGGGCTTGTCAGATGCAAGCCTCTCCCACATGCGCCTGACGTAGCCAGCCGCCGGCTCGCGCTGGGCGGGTTTCCGCGCTGCTGCATCCAGGCAGAGTCCAACGGTGGACAGCAGGCCACGGCAAGAGACATATCGGGAGGACAAATGGTTGCTTGCAGCGGTCGCAGATCGAATGGCTGTTGTGCGACGGCCCACACGAGTACCGACCCTCTTGTCAAATGTACGCGAGGCGTGAGGAGTACGGCAGCAGGGGATGACTGTCGACGACCCACGGCCAAGTCTCGAAGCGTGGTATCCCTGGCAGTTTATTCTGGTATTTGGACTAGCAGTCACATCGTCCATAATACCGGGGGAAGGCAACAATGTCACGGATCGTTTGGACGCCAGACAGGTAGCAAAGCAGCCGATCGAACCCAAGCCCGAAACCTCCATGCGGAGGGCATCCCCAGCGACGGAGGTCGACATACCAGTCGAGGCTGCCGGCTTGGGAGATAGAGGCCTCACTCTCGGATCCCGCCTCGGCCTGGTGAGGAGAATCCAGGGTCGGCGGCGCCATTCCGTGCATAGCCATTGCATCGAGCAGTTGTGGCAGGCGGTGCTCGCGCATCGAGCCGCCAGCAATCTCGCAGTATTCGGGCACGAGCAAGTCGAAGCATTCTACCGTCAAGCGGGACCCGTCATCTCGGACGGGACCGTCGAGTCTGCCTGCCGAGACACTCGAAATGCTGCCAGTAGACAAGCTCGTCGAGCGACTCGGAAGCATGTAGAAGGCCTTGATGGCACGGGGATAATCGGTGACGAAGATGGGCTTCCCTTCGCCGACCGTACTTGCGAGGTACTTCTCGTGTTCTGATTGCAAGCCAGAGCCCCATTCTGGCTTGTGTGCGAACTTCTGTCTGCTCGCCTTCAGAATCTCGATCGCCTCTGTGTATGTGATGCGCGGCCACGCCTGTTTCATCAAGCCTTCCCAGCGTTGAACCACTTCTGAGGCAGGCGCAAGGTCATTGGCACTTTGCTTGGTTCGCTGCAGGAGATCTTGTGCTGCTGCAGTCCTGAAAACGTCGGTACTTAGGCTGCGAAGCATGTCCTCCACGAGGTCCATGACACTTGCCATATCGTCCACGAACGACATCTCAGCTTCGAGCATGTAGAACTCGCTCAAGTGTCTCGAAGTGTCACTCTTTTCGGCACGGAAGGTCGGCGAGAGGGTCCAGACGTTCCCAACGGCCTGGGCTAGAGCCTCAAGGTGTAGTTGAGTGGACACTGTCAGGTATTTGGTCGATCGAAAGAAGTCTTCGTTTGTCTCGGATCCATCACTTGTGGGAGGTGTCTTGTTTGCCGGAGCCACAGTGAAAACTTCACCCGCGCCCTCACAGTCCGACGATGTTATCAGAGGAGGGTGCGTCTGTGTAAAGAGTCGATCCGCGAAGAACTGGTTCAGATGTGTGATCGCTTCGGAACGGAAGCGCAGGAGAGCAGAGTTGAAGGGTGTTCTCGGTCGTAAATGCGGTATGGTGCGAAGGAAGTCTGGGGTCTGATACTTCTTCTGGATCGGGAACGTCTTGAGACACACGAATTAGCAGCCTTTCAAGACCTTGAGCGACGTGCAGGTCTGAGATGCCGTACCTTTGCGTCGGACGGACCGACGACCTCTGCCTGACTGACATGCAGTTCATGGCTCTGGCCAGCCCCCGGGGAAGCAACCCAAGAGCCTGTCAGCCGCACGGCCGCACCGACTGCCAACCTGTAGAATGAAGAGTCATGTCAGTCCCATGTTCAAGATCGCAAACAAGCTGCTCTTGAACCTACCCTTCAGCCTTCTGTGCGGGCAGCACAGCTTGAAGTGGCTGTATCGAAGAGCCGTCCCCCAGAGCCACAAAGTGGTGACTCTTCATAGCACGCACGGAGCGCACATACCCGTCAACCACTATCGTTGAGGGCTCCTTCGGTGTCCATTCCAGGAGCTTCGCAATAGATCGGCGCTTGGCATCGTAGGAGGCGTGTCTTCGTGTGCAAGTCTGGGGTTTGAAAGCGGCTTGACGGAGAGCTCGCGCGGCGAAGCTCGCACCGGAGCGAGAGACGGCCCTAGGACCCATGGACTCGCGCGCTTTCTACCACCGCCAGCTCCTCGTAGGACAATTGATGGGATTGCAGGGCCAGCTCGATATGGGGTATCGGTGTCAATCAATCGCATCAAGTATATGTGTCATGCAATTCAAGAGATTGATCATTGACGCGGGCTGGAGCTATCAAAGCTTTGCGATAAGACATGGAGCTCAATATCAAAATGTCAAGTCAATTCGACATTGATAAGATAACGTGGTGCTGACCCGATTTCATGTTTTCCAGGCCCCAGGGCCCCCAGTAGCGGTGCTGCCGCTCCTGGAGACTGCACCCATGGATTTGGAATCTGGTGACCTTTTAGCGTGCCGTCCCCTAACATGTCTCGCTAAATTCGATTCTGTCCCGACTTCAGAGCTCCATTTGGAGACCAGAAAAAGCAAATCGGGTGTCCAACCATGGGTAAGCTTGCAGATATATCAGCCAGTAGATCACTACCTCCTCGAACTGGGATCGCCGCATTGCTTCTTTTCCATGAGCCCATTCCACTCGGATTCAGCTGGGCTCCCTTGCTTTTTCTGGAGATCTTACGAGCGGCATGGGGAGCCCACGTTCACTTCCCCAGAGCCATCCGGGGCCTGTCGTTTTTGAGCTGCGACGCAGGCAACCTGGTTTATTGCTGGTTTGTCACTGGCCTGCAGCTTGTCTTCGGCTTGGTCACGCACCCAGGCGTCACCTCGGGATGATCACCCAGGACCGGCATGGCTCGCCGGCGGTGTGAACTCATGACAGTCGTCCTTGGCGTGTGGTTTGGTTCGTGATCGTTAGCAACTCATGCAGAGGCACAGATCGAAGCACATCCTTCCATGTCAGAGTCCTCACCGGTCGGTGAAGCTCACCACACACCATCACGACAGGAACTGAATGAGAAGCCATCCTGTCAAATGATATCTCATGTTCGGCCGGGACAGCTACCAACCAGAAGCTGGGAACGATGCTTGCCATGCAGCGGGTATCCGGCATGCCCCCACGATGGTCACTGAATCCCTGAGAGTGGTGGCAAGTGCTGAACCCTCGTCCAGTCGGCGTGTTATCATCGTCAACCTCACATGCTTATGACGCATTAGGCCCCCTTCAACCGGTGTCATGAGCAGCAACAGCATCATATATGTCTGTCCTGCTATAGCTCCTTCCCGTCTGCCCATGTCTCCTCTCCCAAAGATCAGACCTTCGCTCAACACGGTGACCAGTAGACACGTCAGCGCCGCGCCCATCGCGGAATAGGACGGACGAGGTCCAGCTCACAGCTCAACCCGTCCAGTCAACTAGTTCCAAGTGAGATGTCGACTCACTGCTGTCTCCGGGACTCTATATCGTACAGACCGAGACGGAGGTTTAAGATCTAGCAGGAAGCTGGCTACACAAAGAGATCTTGCATTAAGACACGGCAAATTGCAGCGCCCCCGACGCCCCCCGCGGCCGGCAACGGCCATCTTGCCCTCCCCAAATGATTCCCACAACCGTGCATCTGGAACGTTTGGTGATACCATATGCCGGCGGCTCCTTTAGATCTGTTTGAACCTCATCTCCAACGAATGCACATCACCGAGGCGCCTGGTCGGTGGGAGCTGCCCGCTGGTTCCGCGCCTCGACGTTGAGCCCTTTTCTCCAATGTTTGTCCCTGTCTGGCTACTCGACATCAAATGTCCTAGACAGTGGAGGGTTGCCGACACATCGTCGGTTACACAGAGATCTCCCATCCCAAGAGGATTCTCGGCAAAGTGAACCCTCTTGCATTCCTCTCCAATTTCAGCCTTACTCTGTCGCCTTGGTCCTTGCAAGCCTTTCCCCCATGAGGCCCCCTTACACATACAAGGGCTCTGAATACGTATAAGTATCAAGGATGCAGCCTTTCAGATGCTCTTCTGGGCACCATGCTTCTCAAAATCACAACCCTCGAGGTGCTAGAGACCCGCTGGCCATCATCTGCACTGCCTTCTCTCCTCCAGGACCACTCGCCTCTCTCTACTACACCCCTATCGACTTGGTCTCATACTCTTTGTCGAGCATCTGCATAACGTCATGCCTTCCAGTAGCTCCAAACACTCGAAGCCCAAGGCCTCGGACATAGCCTCGGAGACCAAGAGGGTCTACATACCGCACATCAAGCAGAAGTGCACGGCTAACTGGGGCACATTCTCCTACCTCTACCGGCAGCCGCTGCTCAGTCTCACCTTTGACACCATCCCCCGTGCATTTACTGGGCCGCCCAACTTCTGTGAGCAGATGAAGCCCCCAATCACCAAAGCATGCACCTACCTGCCTGCAGCAGAACCCTCCTCTAACCTCGAGTGTAGGCGTTACGGTGGGAGACCCGGCCGATTTCACGGTCAACTGGGCAGGACACAACGATGTGAGGGTCGCCTTCATCTGCGCTGCCAATGACAAGCGGCCAGGCGGCGACTGGGAGACCGGAGTCGTGGGCTACGAGGAGAAGCTCTGCCGGCGCAGCACCCTCTCTGCGACACTGGCGACTCCCGGGCCGGGCTCGTACGAGCAGCAACACTACCCCATACCCATTGCAGGCGGCATCCTGTCAGAACAAGTCGGTAAGACACAACCCAACACACGCCCATCCCTGAGAATATTCACCACACAAGAACGCACACACTAACCGCGGGCCACCGCCCTCTGCCCCCTCCCTACAGTGATCTTCCGAGGCCCGCATGACCGGTACGAGAAGTTCAGCCCGGAGGACTGGGTCGAGCTGCCCATCTGCTCCGTGGCGCCGACAAAGTGGCCCAAGCTGAACCAGAACGGCACCAAGTACTCGTTCGCCGAGGAGCGCGAGATCGTCATGGACAAGCTGCGGGCGGCCCTGCGCATCTGCGCCTACCGGTACTACTCGAGCATCGTCATCGGCGACTTTGGCCTCGGCAACGGCTGCCGGAACCCGCCGCGCGAGCTGGCCGAGATGTGGCGCGAGGTGCTGCTCTGGGACCCGGAGCTCAGGGGCCGCATCCAGAACGTCGCCTTCGTCTTCCCCGACGCCGCGACCAGCACGACCAGGCTCATCCTCGAGGACCTGGCCAAGAAGGGCAAGCACGGCGGCAGCTCGGGCTCCAAGGGCAAGTCCAAGAGTTCCTCCTCCTCCTCCTCGAGCAGCAGCAGCAGCAGCCACTCGTCCCACTCGAGTGTCTCGGGGCCGACCGACCAGCAGGTTTTCGAGGCGGTCTTCAACCCCGCCGAGGTGCAGAGGGTGCTCACGATCCCGGACCCGCGCTATGGCTTGAGCAATATCATGGGTTGATGCCTAAAGGTGTCTCGGGATGGATGGGGAGGGCAAGGGAACAATCGTTTGGACGAATAGAAAGTGGATCGCGGAGGCGGTAAACTTGCGACAGGCTCAGGCCGACCCTCTGAATTACTGGTTTATTTTTTTCTTTTCGGTCTGTTGTGTTTTCTTCCAGGCTTTCTTGCAAGGATGGTAAGATGATGTGGCAGGCTGTGAACCCCTTGCTTTTTTTTCTTTTTTTCTCTCCCATTTCCTTACGACTTTGTACTTGTTCACCGGTTGAAACAAATTAGGTACATTCAGCACACGAGTGAAGGACAGCGGATTCGTAATGACACTCCTACGCATCCATGATGTTATCTGAAAACCCAATAAGTAGAACCATGCCGCCCCTTTCCATCAACATCATGCCTTTTTTCCGTGTCTTCGTCCGCCCTACCCCAGAAGCCACGAGACCACAAAGCTTGAGCACACAAAGAGAGCAACCGCGAGCGCCTCGCAAGTAGTACCTGCAGCTGCGTATCGGAGACATATGGGATTTGACAGGTTAGTTTAAGGCACAAAGACTGGGGGGAGGGTGGTCGCGGTGGGTGGGCAGGTCTCAGCGCCATGCTGTGAAACAATCGGCAGGAATTTGTTCCCATAGGCGGCACCAGGAGCTGGCTGTGTGAATCATCAGCGAAAGCCCAGCGCCACAAGACCTGTATCTCTCTCCTTCTCTGTTGAAGGATTGAGAAACCGGGGGGCGCACACAAGCCATTTCGTCGCAAAAGAACCAACCCCTGGGAGGCGGCAAGCAGACCCTATGACGCTCCCGAGTCCGGTACATTGGGCTTGAGACATCCGTCCGGCTCTCTGGACGCCGCTCTCTCTCGACACACCAAAGGCCCATTTGTTATCTACTCGTCTGTCAAAACCTACATTGATCTCAGCTTCTCTTTCGGCCGACTTCAATCGTAAGCAAACAGACCGAGTAGCCAAGTCGGTCGTTGTCTCTTTTCCTCGACAACGGGGGTCGGGCCATCCGACCAAGGAGACAGAGCGCTCGGTTATCAACTGCTATAATTTCCTATGGACCCGAGACACTGGGTCTCAATGCAGCCCGCCCTGCACAAGAATGTGAGGCTGACGCCTGGTGATCTACTTCTCAAGGTGTTCAGTTCCGAGCCTAAGCATTGGGCAGGAACGAAAAATCATTCCTACCCCGAAGCTGTTCGGGGGGTTTGGCGACTCTTCGTTCACGAACTGATCCACAGATAGAGGTCCCTCTTTCGTAAGCGCCCGTGTACATGCTGAGGGTCTTTTTATTTTTGTTATATCCTCTTCGTGGTTCATGGTCATGCGGGCGGCTCCTAAAAAGTCAGCCCTGACACTGGCGGCATCCATGTTGATTCACCACCAATGTGGCCCTCTGTCTCTGTGTGGAGGCTGATCAAAGCTGAAAGAAGCATCCTTTCTTGAGCCTCGCCCTCCACACTCCCGTCAGAGCAAGTGTCCGAACTACCTAAGAAAGATTGGTTAAAGACCTAGTAGACTTTCATACATGGGTCTAGATCCTGGGGCTTGGACGTGCCGTCTTACGGACGGAAGCGTGCGCGCGAACCCACATCGACAGCGAGAATCCCATAGATCATACTCCATCATCAATCTCATTGACATCATATTACCCTCCCCCCACACGAGAAAACGTACATTCTCCCTCTGTACCTCCAAGCCAAGAGAAGAGTGCTCTCCCTCCCCCCTCCGTCAGGGCTGAGAATGACAGGTCATACTGGTGGCACCCTTCGCCCCCAACCCGCCGCCCAACCTTCGAAAACTTGCGAGACGAAAAAAAGTTGACTCTGGGCGCAGGGAACGATATGCAGGTTCATACGAAACAGACAGAGGGCGGCGGCGGCTACTAGCCGTAGCGCACGTAAGCAGAATACCGTGTATGTGTGTATCCCCCTCCCTCTGGGCGGGCGGCACTACCAAAGGCCCCCCCCTCACGACTGTCGTGCAACTTGGCCCTCCGGAGCACGTTAATGGAGATACGAGATCGCGTCGCACCGCAGCTGCAGGTGCTCCGATCTAGAAAGGTAACCATGGTTTGGGAAAAAGGAGAGGGAAAAGACCAAAGTATTCAGCCGACCGTTTAGCAAGCAGCACAGCAGCATCTTTGCCCACGTCGTTCTCCCAAAGGGGGCTGAGTGAAGAGTCGGACCCGAAGAGAAGGAACAAAAAAAAGAAGAAAGGGGTGGAGGGGTTTTGCTGAGATGTGGCATCCCAAGACGGAGGTGGTGATGGAAACATGACAAAATCTTCTGCTGTTCTGGATGCTTGTCTACCCGCGATCCTGTCTTAGATCCGATCTGGAACAGTCCTGCCGTCTTATGCAGGTTGAGGAAAACGAGGTTCCCGTGGTCACATTCCCCAAGGGAACGGTCGAACCCTCCTTCTCTTCTTTGGCGGAAGCTTTCCACGCCGGGTCTGGTGGTGTGTAACGAAAAAAAGCCCAGTGTCTAGATGCAGCGGTGAGATCACCAGCAGGATCAGTGTTTCCCGGCGGTCAAGGGGCGATCCCACATACACACACACACACAAAGCCAAAGCCCGTGATGACTTCCCGCGGACGGAATCCATTCCATACGTGTGCAAAAAGTTGAATCGCTTCGTTTCCATGACAGCTAGTCGAACCCATAACCTCATTCGCTCTAATGAACAGACATGGCCATCTATGATCCAAGTGATAGATGTAACCCAAAACTCATCACCACATGCAAAGACGTAAATGCATCTCTCTCTACGGGGGGTAGCATAACCATGACGTGTGTTCTCTCTCGACCAGCACGGCCCGTCCTCGCTCACAGTGCGCCCCTGAGCGCATCGACCTCCCTCCTGAGCTTGTCCAGATCAGCCAGGATATCGTTCGCGTGTGAATCCCGCCTGTCCTCGAGGCCTGTGCCTGACGCGCCGGCGACCGATGCTTGCTCCTCTGTCACGGCACCCTTGTGATGGAGCTGGCCGCCGCCATCTCCGTTCCCTTCTTCAGCATCAGCTATCCGCACCCGGTTGGCACTGCTGACGCTGTCAATGCTCTTCCTTCCGATGACATCGGGCACTTCCGTGCTCCCGCGACTGGTCCCCCGTTGCCTTGGACGGGGTGGTGGCGGCGGTGGAATACCTCCGGCCCGGGAAGCGGGAGGTGTTGGGGCTTCGACGCTGACCACGCTGGGCGGGCGACCCGGGGTGGCGGAAAAGTGGTCAGCCTGCCGATGATGCTCCTTGTGACGCACAGATACGTGGCGAGCAGGCGGTGGAGGCGGACGAGATGGCTTCTCCTGAGGAGGCGGCGAGATTGGGTCTGGCGCCGACCCATCCGTCTGCGCCGCAGGTGGGCTGCTTGCTTCAAATGTCGGGCCCTGGGCTCGAGAATATCCTAGTTGTCCGCGTTCCGAGTCTGACAAGATGGCGGGGCTCGAGATCGATGAGGCGAAGGATGTGACCGATGGCGAGACCAAGGATGTCGATGGCTTTGAGGCATGGCCTGAACGTCTGGACGGTGGCGGGGGAGGAGCACTGAAGTTAGCTTTGAAGCTAGAAGACCTGGAATGCGTGGAGTCCATCGAGGATCGTGGCGGAGCAGCTTCGTCGTCGACGGGGAATGTAGAAGGATGCTCGTGGGCCGTAGATGTGGTAGAAGATGCTTTGGGATCGGGTTTGTAGTGAGCTTGCCTACGCGGTGGTGGCGCCGGTTTTGCCATCGCGGGCGTTGCTGTGACGGGGGCAGAAGTAGAGTGGCTGGCGTTGGGCGGCGTCGGGGGTCGTGGTGAAGGAATGTCTTCCTCTGGGGCATCGGGATCGACGTCAACCTCGGGCACCTTGCCAGCAGCTTCCTTGTCAAAGACACTCTCCCGTTCTCCATCGACTGAGGGCCGCTGCGGTGGGAGTGGCAGCGGCTTGTTCAAGTCGGAAGACGATGACGTCCGCCTGGCCTGGACAATTGATGAGGCTGGGTCATCTAGCTGTTTTGTTGTCGGCCGTGGTGTGCTCTCCCGACTTGGCTCTGCGACATCAGGCTTGGGTTGGGACTTGATCAACTTGCCGTGACGTGAGCTTGGCGGCGGAGGCTTTTTGCGAAGTGTAGTTCGTTCGGAGGATGCGGAGGGTGTATGGAGGAGGAGCCCTCGTCGGTCGTCCTCCGCCTCAGAGATCTCGTGCGAAGTTCTGGGAGTCTCCTGGGGATTTTGGTTAGCCTCGAAAATGGACTGCTTAGAGATGGAAGAAGCGTCCGTAAAGCTTCCGGCATCTCCGGCAGGGCCCGGAGGCTGTAGCGTTTGATGTGTCCCTGAGCCGAGGACGGCCGGAGCAGCAGTTATACCGCCCGACTGTCCTGTCATGAGCAGCCTCCGGAAAGAGTCCACGTCTAGCGACGCCTTCCCGGCCGTAGCACCTGGGCTCCTAATCGCATCCGAAGCCGCCTCCCCGGATCCTTGCTCTATATCTTGCAGCGTCCTGCCGAACGGATTTAGTGGCGGCCGCTGCCTTGTTGCGGAGGGTGGAAATGACGTCCCCGAGATCTCGGTCTCTACACCGGGCCTCGTACTTCGGAATGGGTCTTCCCCTGCCTCGCTTTCCGACTCGCTGCTGCTGGTGCTCGAGCTGTCGTTCTCGTCATGCCGCGGCGGTTGAACATGGCCGGAGGCTGGGAACCGGGCCTCAAACTCGGCTTCTGTCGAGTCAGGGCTTGAAGGCGGCGGCGACTGCACGCGCACCCTCTTGACGGGCTTGGGTTTCTGGAAGGTCGTGGATGGGGGAGCTTCGGAAGACTTGGGGAGTGCTGTCAGAGCTCTGCGGAAGTCGTCGCCGGAGGGTTGGGGCGAAGGAGAGGCGGCGGGCACGGGAGAGGGCGTAGAGCCGGCATCAGCCTCGACGGGAGGCTGAGGTATGGTAGGTCTGCGGCGAAACGGGTTGTTGGAGGCGAGATTTGGTTCCGCCATGGTTGGTATCTGGGCGGGGAGCGGCCGATAGAGGGGCAGTAGCTTGCGATGCAATTGGGATGAGGGTCTGTCAGGGTGGTAGGTGGCCGTTGGGAGAATGGATAGCTGGGCTCGCAGAAGCTGCGTCTCAGCTCGTAGCATCCATTGTCATATGCGGCTTCGGGGTTGAAGAAGTGCTGGTGAGCAGACCCGGCCGGCTCGCGGACGATAGGATGGACGTACTGTACGAGGGCGGCAGGATCGGGGTTGGTGAGGCAAGGTGGGACGGGGATGATTGGTCGATCAGGTACCAGCGCCGCCGGAAGAATCGGTCAAACCATCTACAGAAGATCCAATGTGCGGCAGTGCTGAGTTTCGTCTACCACCTGTATCCGGTTGCAGATTGTGTGCCGCAAGATGAGAAAATCCACGTTCTTGTTTTCCCAGAAGGGCCAACCCGTAGAAGCCGAGCCACGAATCGATGGGATGTGATACATGTATTGACGCAAGCAGCGGACTGCTGTTACGACGAACTAGGTATGGATCTAGAGACCACCATCTTTAGCACGCCGAGCACTGTCTAGCCTGAACTAGCACCTAGCTACAACTGCTGGAGAGCCAAGATGTGGCAGCGCGAGGTACCTAACGTAAGCCGCGCGCCAGGCACCACCGGTCAACGGCCAGCCAAGCACTGTGGAGTGTGGACCGACGGATCAGCCCAAGTCTACGAGCCATTCATAAATCAATCAACTCAGCGCTTATTAGGTGAGGTACCAAGTCTGCATCGCGCCAGACCCCCAAATCGTCGGCACATGAAAGTCACCACGGAGCAGTGCTGTTTGCCAGCCCATTGCTGATGAATCCGCCATGATGGATATTACTCGCGTCTTGACTACTTAGGTAGGTAAGGCAAGCATTTCAGGTACTGCCGAGATCGTGCCAAAAGACACTATAGTTAGTTGACCGATTGCCTGACGAGCGTTGCTCATCTCTCAACTCGCGAAGCGTCATCAGGAATTCCAAAAGAGCCACCCGGTTTCAGTCGAGGCAGCAGCCGAGGACAATGGCCAAGCCCCGTAGAACTCGTCCGGAGCAGCGAGCGTGGCTGATGATGGCGGCTTGATTGAGCAAGCCCAAGCTCAGGCCCCCGGCCCCGCTGGTGTCCCCACACGGCGAGCTAGCGACAGCAACCTTGAGCTTTGGTGATGTCCACCAATTTGACCTCGTCTCATTCCAGTTGACGAAATCGCGGTCCTTGGCCTTCTCCTGCCGATCCACGTGACACCCCTTTTCAACACCTCTTCTTATCAACTCGGGCACGCCGGACAGGGGGTTGTCCGAATGATGTAAACAAACCGCTGTCGCGCTCGCCAACGACGCGTTTAGTCCTCCTATCCAGTCCCCCCCCCAAGTCTCGTCAAAACATGGGGTCATCACTGTCAAGGGCAGCATGGAGTTTGTAGTCATCTTGAAAATCGCAGTTCCTTCGCATTGGTATAATTACAGCCATCATGGCTCTCGTGGTTTCGTTCGCGAAACCGGCCAGCCCGCCCGTTCAGATAACCGCTCTCCCCGAGGTTCAGCCACCACGAGTCGGACCGCTTCGCTTTGGAACGATGATCGGCTCGGCCAGGCGCTGAGACCACCATCTGTTTGCGCTTCGCCCTCGAGGACGGTACAGACAGACTATAATGTATGATGCAAAGAGGAGCACATCTGAAACCACAATTCCCTAGGCCGACTTTGCGCGCGCGTCTGCGTCGCCGAGATACCAGTAAACCAAAACCATCCCAAAGAACCCCCCCAGCCGGGAAAACAATATCAACCATACACGCGTAGCTCAAAGGTTGCCATATTTAGAACCCACCCCAAATGCCGTTGAACGCCAAAGACCCGTCATACATGGACAAGAAGACATCACAAGAAAACGCTAGGCAAGAACTCATGCCTTGGTGGCGGCCTTCTTGGGAGCGGCCTTCTTCGGCGCCGCCTTCTTAGGGGCAGCAGTGGTCTTGGCGACACGGCCAGACTTGGTCTTAGTCAGAGTCTTGGGCTTGTCAACGACAGCAGGCGCCTACGTGGCCAGTAAGTACTCTGCATGGCACAAGTCATCACAGGCGAGGGGCGCGTACCTTCTTAGGAGCAGCAGTCTTCTTAGTGGCAGCCTTGGCGGCGGCAGGCTTCTTGTCCTTGGCCTCCTTCTTGGGGGCGGCCTTCTTAGTCTTGGTGGCGGTGGCCTTCTTCTCCTTGGTCTCCTTCTTGACGGCAGGCTTCTTGGCCGTCTTGGGAGCAGCGGGCTTAGCCGACTTCTTGGCCAGCTTGGTGCCGCCGGAAGCGCCTGGTAAAGCTTGTGAGCACGACTGGACGCAGTAGACAAGTGGGAAAGACCCCGCGTACTTGCCATGACCCGTCGCGAGTCATGGCAGGTAGGCCGGGTTGAGGGCCCGGAACATACCCTTGGGCTGCTCGAAGACACCCTTCTCAACACCGCTCCTCAGAGCCTTGTTGAACAGAGAGTCGAACATGGCGTCGGTGACGCTCAGGTTGTTGTTGGCCTTGACATACTTCTTGAGCGAAGGGCGGCTGCATGACGCGTCAGTATATGAAGGTTGGGTTGGGTGGTGGGAATAGCCTCATGTGACCGCGAGCCCTGGTGTTGGGCGCGTCGCCACACACAAAACGTGAAAAAATAGGCTTACCTGGATCCATTGCGGTCCTTGAGCTGTTTGAAGGCAAAATACAGTCAGCATAATTGAAAGACGAAGTAAAACGGCAAGCATTCTCATGGTGGTGGCCGCAGGTCGCGATGGCACTCATGACCTCATGTGATTGCCATGAATGCCGACCGCGGACCACACCGAATGCGCCGGAAGCAATGGCACGGGGTGAATTACCGCGACGATGGCGTCAGTGATCATGTCCTGATGTCCGTTAGCAGGAGATACGGATGAGAAAAAGCCCGGGGTTGTGGCGGCTGACCTGGTACGAGGCGTGAGTGCTCTTGCTCTTGGGAGCAGCAGCGCCGTCGGTCTTCTTGGGAGGCATTGTGATTGTTTTGGGTCGTGAGACGCGTGTAAGACGAGTTGAGATGGTGTACCGACTTCGGATAGAAGCTGGAGGCAATTGAATAAATGAGCTGGTGAGGCTACTGGAGACTGAGAATGATGCTTTGGTTCGTGAATCGAGAGGAGATCAAGAAGAGGGAAAGCTGGGATCGGGGGGCGGGCGCGTTCGGGGGAGGACAATGTTTATATATGGGAGCGGGGGTCTTGCTGCAATCAGTACAATCAGTCGCAAGTCGCGGGGCGCGGCACCCTATTTTTTTCGATCCAGAAGCCGGTCCATGCGAAACAGGTGCTCGTTAGTGTCTGGGCGCTAAAAATGCCAGCTGGGTGGCCCAAGCTTCTGCCCTTGTTCGTCCTGGAGCAGCGCCGCGCTAGTCATGGCTTACAGGCTACAGCCCACTCGAGCTTTCTCTCTTTTCCCTCTTCCCCAGCTCTTGAGACAGCAGAGAGGGCAGTTGAGGACGCTGGTCTAACTAGGGGAAACTCATTACGTAGCACCATCCCCGAGTGACCGATCACATGGCACCCGTCGACTTTTGGTTCTCTCGTGCCGTCGGGATGGGTTGGGCATTTAGTTACCTACCTGGTGTTGGGGAGCATGCGTGTCAGTTGAGTTGCCCGTTTCCGTTCCTGTTCCCGTTCCCATCTCCCATCTTCTCAGTCCGTCGTCATTCTCCTCCTCCTTCTCGCTCTTGTCATTTCCAACCAACTTGATCCTCGAAACGAGCCACGCGGTGAGTCAGCCTCCTCCCAGCCCACCTGACCTCACCTCACCTCGCCAGGCTGACGATCAACCTAGAATGGCATAATACCTAGCATTCTGTGTCTTCCGGTTCCCGTCTCTCTTGTGCTCGCATCCTCTCCTCAAGTCACACCATCACTCTGTCTTGCAAAGCCCCACCCTAGCCTCCTTCCTCCTCCACCGCCGCCCGCCCAATGCAATACCACCACCGCGCATCTGCTCCCCTCAACGTCCCTCCGAGTCCTTCCCACCTCCCACCTTCTCCCACCCTCTCACCTCTCTCTCCCCGTTCCTCGTTCGTTTCATCTCCCTCATCTCCCTTCTGCATGCCACCCAATCCCAAGCTCTTCCGCCACGCCTGCAGCACGATGTGTCTGCCGGCTGCCGCCCCCGCCAATAGACTTGCAGATCTTGTTTCTCTTGAAGGATGATGATGATGTGTTACTTTTGCTGTGTTGTGCATGAGTGCTGTGATGAATGTTCTTTTTTCAATTGAACACTAAGCTTATCTGATGCACATACCTCCACGTCAACTCCTTGTACATCCACTTGGGCCCGCCATCAACCTACTCGCATCTGATTCTGCAAGGTGAACGACGGGGAGAACATGGCGTTGATTCAGTCCAACACGGGATCCAGGCTAACCGGGGCATCTGCTACGTGACCTGTGCCTAAGAGCCGGGCCTGGGTCTCGACTTGTTTCCCCACCCGCCCGCCGTTGTTGCAACAGACAGCCCAGAATGCCAATGCCATCAAATGCGCCAACCGGCCAGCAAGCCAGCCCATCCTCGTCCCGGCAGCCCTGCCTCTCTCTCCCAGACCATCCACCATGCTTATCTCCCTCTCCTTCGTCTAACCTCCCGCTTTTCCTCTTTGGGCGTTGAAAAGGCAATTCTCCATTTCCATTTGGCCCAGAAATGCAATTTAATCCCAAATAACACAGGCTCCAGTTTTTGCAATTTGTGATTGGCTTCCACCCCTTCTGGGACAACAAAACTCCAGATCATTAGCACACGCCTCGAGCCTGTGGCTTCCCTCACTTCCACGCTGGTGATGCTCGCCCTTCTTTTTCCCTCTTACAACCTCGTTTTGACTTTTGCGCCTCTTCGAGTCATTGCCCTTGGTCGTGGCTCGCCTGTTTGTCCGCATCATATCGTAGATTTAATTTTGCATTCAATAATAATACTAATCTCCCTTTTATTATCCATTGGTTTCCCCGGTGTTTTTTGTTCCAATGTCCACCTGGTGTTCGCGACAGTGTAATTCCGGGTCTTGCGCCCAGTCTGGCCCAACACGCGTCGCAGCCCAACTCGACAACATGGCCCTGCATGGGTCCTCAGTCGATGCTGTCCTCGATCCCGACCCAAGAGCCTCTTGCCTGCTGATGGTGTAATCCGTTCAACGGCGAAATTCTCGCTAGAGATCAATATCAACCTGGAGTCTTTGTGCGGATGTTAGGATTTGCTCGTCATCCCCGTGTTTGCTCGTCGCGATGCACCCGCCCCCCGATGCAACCTACGTGTTCTCTCCTGCCATCTGCTTTCCTTACAGAACGGCTCCTTGGCTCTTCGCAAATTCATTAGGGAACTAATAGAATAACAGAAGTCTACTCGCCTTGGGCTGCAGTCGTCGATGGCCATTCGCGACCCTCGGGTGGTGTCGTAGCGATCGCCTCGGTCGCGCGATCGCGCCTGGGACTGCTGGATGCTGACAAGGCGGCGGAGGGAATTACCAGTCTCAAATCACGTCCATCCTGATATGAACATTTTGGGATTTGTTTTCTTCCTCTCTTTCTCGCATTATTCTAGGACTCATGATACACATGAGCTCGACAGCATTGTTTCAGGATGTTTTTTCCCGATACAGGAGCTAGACACACACACGCGCGCGCGCGTCTGTTCGATCATTTGACTCCACCCTTGTCCTCGCCAGACAGATTGCTCCGACAGGTGACAAAGCTATCAGAGTCGCTCGCACTCGCCTCCGCCAGACTCTCCAGTACCTGGATGGTGCCGCTGCTGCTCCTTTGCCCCGGGCGCCGACCGACGTCATCGGCACCGCTCGCAGTGGACGACTTCTCGCCGCACGAGCGGCTGTCAACAGTGGTCGAGCTCGCGCCCGACGACATGGCTTCCGGGCTCTCTGTCAGCTCATCCAGCAGCACAGGCTGCCTGGACTCGGCGATGCTCTGGCTTCGGCTCGGGTCTTGGGTCGCGTCGGCCGGGGGTTTCCCGTCCGGAACTGGCTGCGGCAGTGGCGAGCTCGAGGTAGACTTGACAGTCGGCCGCGCGCCAAGAGTGGGCGGCGGGAAGATGCTGGCCATCCCCCCGGGCGGCGGAGGGCTCCGCAGGGGGCATCGCAGCTCCCGAGGATTGATGAAGCCAAAGTCCTTGCACGAGCCCGCGGAGCTCACCGGACTGTCGGTGCCTTCCACCACCTGCAAGGCTTTGTCGACGAGCCTCGTCAGGCGGTTGAGCTCCGCCGCCGTCACCTGCTTCTCGTCGAAGGACACTTGTCGGTGAGTCTTGTTGCGCGTTGATTGTCTGGGCCGCTCGGCTGTCCGACCTTGCGGTGGCGTCCCATCATTATTGTTTGTCTCAGCCCTGTCCGAGTGATCGATTTGGCCCGCCGAGTCCGTTGACGGCCTCGGTCCGTTCGGCAAGCCCTCTGCCATTGCAGCTGTCCGGAGATCAAGATGGTGTTCAACTCGATGAAGCGGGGCGTGTGTGCCAACAATATCTCGGCCCGCCGGTGTATTTGGCGGTACAGCAGGCGCCAGTCTCACCGGTGAGTCAGGTGTCTTGCCTAAGGGCACCGCGGCCGAGCTTCCCGTCATCCTCGACGGCGTTTTTGGTGTGTTCGGGGGGACCACAGGGCGAGTGAGGCGTTTCTGCGGCTCGTCTGGCTCGCGTAGCAACCGCTCTGGGTGTTTGTATGGAGCCATTTCGGGCACATGGCTCGTTGCGTTCGAGTCCTCGGAGCTCGGCAGCTTTGCTCTCCTCATTCTCGACACCCTGGGCGCCGAGGACGTCTCAGGGGTCACAGCCCTCACAGGTGTCAAAGAGGCACTCTCACTGGCCTCGTCTGTATCGTCCTGAGGGTTCATAGCAGCAATTAGTGTGATAGCACATGTAGGAGTCATGATAGGGGCTTACCGTTGCACCCTGAAGGTCCTCGCGGCTCTTGTCTCCCAGATCCATGTCTGGAACATAGCCCTCTCCTGACCCTTCAGCAGCCTGGTCCTGTGATTCCTTGTCGTCTTCTTGACTTCCATGCGAATCAGATGTCTCGGTGACATGAAGCAATCGCGGTGTTCGATGCTTCCGCACGTGACGAAACCAGTGGTGTTTTCCAATCCTTCGCCGGAGGGAAGCGGGCGACCCGGCCCGTGAGCGGGAGACAGAATCCGACAGCGGAATAGGGGTACCCGAGGCACTAGCTTCCAACTGGCCAGCATTGCCGATGGAGCTTCTCGGCCCGTCGAACCCAACCGGTAGCGTTGGGTCTTCATGTAGTTGGGAAGCCAAGGGATTCTTGGAAATATGGATATCAGATGTCTCTCCGGGAGCGGGAATGCAGCAATGGTGACAGTGCATGACCAGGGATGAAATCATCTGCGGTCGTGGCCCCGATCTGGCGATGAAGTAGGACGGAGGGAGGGTGTAGCATGCTCTGAGTATTTGGATCGCCGCGAAGTCTGCGAGGGTTTGATAAATCGTTTCAACGTCGATCGAGACCGCCGTGCTGGCCATCGACGGCGTAAGGCTTTTCGGGGAAGGGGAAAGCAACGGTGAGCTTCGTTGACGCGACGCTGACTCTACCAGGTGGAGAATCTGGTTGACCTCGTCGCTGCCGTCTGGATAGCACGGTGGGATTCTGGTATTGCATGGTAAAGAGTCGTGGTCACACGATATGCCCAAATTGTCCAGCCATCGTGATATCTTTTCCACGCAAGAGGTCGAGGCATCGCAGGGAGATGTTCCTAGTATCGGAGACGCGGAGCAATCTGAACTCATCGTGTCGAGTGCCGGGTCATTGAAGAATTGGTCAATCTGAGAAGTCGGTAGCAGATGCAAAGGATATAAGGCTTAGGAATGTCGGTTTTCAAAGTTGACAAAATGCTATCAGAGATATATTGGACTCGGAAGAAATCCTCGACCGGGTTTATTCATGAACAAATATCTTCAAGGAATACTGATACTACCAGACAAGACTGCAAAGTTTTCAGAGCCGATCTCGGAGCCTAGATGATGTATCTGAACTCTACTTCTCGGAAGGTATGTTGATATCGCATGCAAACGTTCCTTCTTGTTCATCTGCATATATGCGGCTTCCAGCCAGCATCGCCGAGCGTTGGGAGACCATGTCACGACTCAAACTCGCAAAAGAAGCACATTCAGTATATCTGGTCAATCTGTATGTATTCTGCAATGTCCTATCACAATGGATGCTTTTCTCGGTCTCAGCTCTGTTAGCAGTTGGGAGAGGTAGACCAATTCTGCTGCTTGAATACTAAGTCGGTTGCTCTTTCTAACCATTGTCTTGATGAGAAGATGCTTCTTTACAATGTTGAACTTTAATCAACTATACAATTGACTTGGTGCTCTGTCTATTTGTTAGTCAAAGCCGAATTACACTGTAAATTAAATACAAGTTGAAGACACACAATGAACACATTGCCCTGCAGAGGGTGGGCCACTTTTGAGACCCTGATGTTGGAATTGATCCAGTAGAACCGAGACAATTGGTGCTGAAGTATTACCTAGGTACCTAGTATAGCGATATGTTAAGCAGAGTCTTCCCAAGCTACTTTATGGAATATAGTGACTGACATCAAATAAAAGCAATAGGCGATGACAGAATAGCTATTTGATTAAGTTCTTCGCCTAAGATACGCAGATCAAGAGACAACATGCGAAGACTTGATTTATCAGTTACAACATTGCTAGAATGAAATCAATACATGAACTCTAACAACTCAACAAAATGATGTACAAGTAGGCAGTGTCCTTACTTCTGAAAAGGAAGCATATGATTACCCATGTCTCAGAAATTCTATTGGACTTCGACATCATTGAATTCGCATTGCGCTTCTTGAGGGTTTGAAGAGTCCAGAACCAAACTTCAGCTCCGTTGTCAAGCCATATTTCACTTACCGCTCCTGCATAATCACTTCTGAGCTCCTTGAAGTATTAGGCAAACAAGGGTCAACCAACTGTTTGTTTTTGACATGCCCGTCTCGGCATCTCACTCGCTCTTCCAGAGCTACAAGGATTTTCATGAACCGGAGTAGAAGAAGGTAGATGCTGAAGAACGCAAAGTGGCATGAGCCGTTTCGGCTTCTGAAGAGCAGCAATGGGGTTCTACTAGTTTGCGAATTAAAGAAAGAAAGAAACAAACAAACAAAGAAAGGCATTCTTGTCTCGGGCGATGATAGCAGGGTGGAGATAACAAGTACAGTTGGATCCATTTGGACTCACCATCCGGTTCAATCTGTCGCCCTTGTGACACCACTCTTCACGCGGGCAGCGCTCGCCCGATGATCTCCGTTTCCTAAGCTCCTTTTCTTGGTTTCTTTCTCTCTTATTATTTTTTCATCTCTCTCCAATCCGGTTATTGACTAGAATAAGCGGCAATATAGGTTCGACTGACAGTGGTGATGATGGCCTCGTTGAAGAGTGCAGGCAGGAGTGTTTATGCTGCTCGGTGGCCAATGACATCATTGATGCTAGATAAGGAGCCTTGAGAAAGGCGCTACGAATTACAGATCAATTGCCCTGTACGAAGTAGGCACTTTTCCAAGTTCAGATCCCCCTTGCCAGGACGCCGGAGCGAGTGGAAGCTCGCAAATGAGGTGTGGAGTTGAGCGGGAGGACGGCAATGCGCTGGGACCCTGAGATTGATTCCATGATTTTGGCACCGTCCTGACAAATCATACCCCAGAAACGGCTCCGAACTCACAGCCCCAGAGACCCTGGCGCGTACTATTCTGAGAACTTGTCGGTTTATGCGAAGGGGGGTACAAGTAGATGATTGATGCCGGTGACTGATGCGTTCGACAACGATACGAAGTACATCAAATATACTGATGCTCGAGAAATCATTGATGCGCGTCCAGGAAGCTGTCCCAATGGGCCAATCGGCTTTCACGTGAAGTGCGTGGACGAGCAAGACTCTGTCGGGGTCGTTGGAGACTGCGCTCGGGGGCTAACAATTTGCTCCGCGTGCGTAACCTCTCAGCGCAGCAGCACACAGCATACATACGAAGAAGCGAATGAACAATGCCCCGTATCCACTGGCAATCTTGACTGGCAGGGGCAGTGGATGATTGGCGTAGGTAGGTACCCCGATTCAGGGCTGGAATGCCAGGCCTCCCGACTCAACGCACAAATAGAGGACAACCACCACGTGGCCGGTGGGCAAACGGCCAGATATTCAATTCGCCAGCCCCAATCTTCCAATTTCCCAGGCGCTGCCGCTGGCCTCATGGTTTGACGCCCAAGGCCGTCAATTGTGGTGGGTGTATCATTACTTGAACTCAGGCGAAGGACTTTGCGGTCAAGGACGCCCCGTATATCTGAGAGGGGCGGCGATGGTGCCTGGCGGCCTGGGGGGGGGGGCGCAACTTGCCGCGTAGGTGTGGCCCGTCAGAGGTGCCTGCTAGTTACAAGAGAGGTAGATCCAGTGCGACCCAGCCAGGCGGGCTCGGGTTGTTCTCAGTTGGGAAGGTGCCCATCCATACCGTTTAGCGGTAAATGGTACCTTGCTTTTAGCGGTGCGAAACGCCGTAACTCGTAAAAGTCGTGGGCTGGCAGCGCTGATGTAAACACCCGTGGACCCCCGCCGCCCCCTGTCTGTCCCCTGGATGGAGAGATGTGCGAGCTCTGCCAAGATCGACTTCAAAGTCGGGTTAGACTGAGATGGCCAGCCTTTCCAGTAGCTCCATTTCCGACGGGCTCCGCTCCGCTCCCTATGTTCACTGTGACAACAGCCAGGTCCAGGTCCTCTCCTTGCACCATCGCTCTACCTGCTGCCATTAGCTATCGCCATCACCACCGCCGACATCGATACCGTCCCTCTGCGTCTCCCCTAGTGCCGCAAAAGAACACCGATAGGCTGAGGATCATCTGCAGTGAGCAGGGCCGTGGTCTGCATGTATCGGCCCAGCTAGTTCCTGGCCAAGCATCGTGTTTTTCTTTCCGCACCGCCGCCTGCCAAGTCGAACACATCTGAGCGAAATTGGCCGTGCCAACTTGACGACCCCCTTCCTCCAAGCACTCCGACGACGACAAAGCGACTTCACAGACATCACGACCCCCACTATGCTTTTAGCCATCAAGTTCTGAGCCCGACACGCTGGTCACTGCCCAACACCATCTCGACACCGAGATGCCATCGTTCCTGAACGATCAGAGTACGCCAAACCACAGCCAGCACCCCGGGGTTGTTCACGTCGGCCCCGAGGATCAGTACATGGGTGGTAGTGCCAAGGTCAATGGACATTTCCCACTGACATCTAGGAGCTACAAGCCCAATGAAAGTCTTGACGGAAGCTCTTCCAATTCCACCCACACGTCCGACACCTACGAGTCACGGCTCGAGATGGATGGTGACCGCACCGCGGACACAACGATGAGCGCTACCCTGCCGGATGCGGTCCTGGCCAACCCGGAGAGGGCTGCGAAGAAGACAGACAGCACGGCAAGGAAAGCGTTGCCGAATGGAAACGCGCACACTTTGATCGACCAGACGGCACCATCCGCACCCCAAGTCAATGGAGTCAAAGACTCGGATTTGGGCGAGGACAGCCCCAGAGACGATCAGCCGAGGACGTCATCAGGCTCCGTCAACGGATACCACCGGCAGCCGCCGACAGAGCAGCGCCGATACCAGGCAGAAACAGTCGAGCTGACAGCGGTCGAGTATGGCGTGGCCCAGCTCACTCTGATACCATCAAATGGCCCAACAGGCTCCGGTGCCGTTGCATCCGTGCCCACAACCACGGCATCTAGCCCGGACCCCAGCAGTCGGACTCCCACATCCCCTCATCGATTCTCCTCGCCTCCGCTGTATCAGGGAGGAACCACCCCTAGCACTTCAGCCCCCTCGACACTACAACCACCAGCTCCTGGAGGCTTAAAGCATCGCCACACACTCGAAGTTCCCAAGGTCACTGCTCCGCCAAGGACCTCTAAGGATTCTCGGGAGGGCGTCGATGCTGCCTATGCCAGCGGCCGGTTCTCTCCTACAACAGCGAATACGCCAGTCGGCGGGCGAAGGGCGTCCCTGAGCCTGATGCGCCGCAACACACGCTCATTGCAATCTGAAGGGCCGCGTGATGAAATTGTACCGGACGAGGATGCGCTGCGCTGGGCGGAGGCGTACCGGCAGAAACGCGCGAGCAAGAGGAAGCGCCTGGAGCAGGAGGACGACGACCGAGTGTTGGTTGGAACCAAAGTCGACGAGAACCATGCCAACTGGGTGACGGCATATAACATGCTTACTGGCATCCGCGTTTCCGTCTCCCGAACAAATGCCAAACTAGACCGGCCCTTGACGGATGCAGACTTTGATGCAAAACAAAAGTCTACCTTCGATATGTGAGTGTTCCTTGTGCCCTGCATTTCCCAGACGCTACACCATTTGGCATGATCACTTACTTTTTCTTCCAGCGCCGGCAATGAATTGGTCCCGTCTGCCAAATACGACTTCAAGTTTAAGGACTATGCCCCCTGGGTTTTCCGACATCTGCGCGCTCGGTTCCGACTTGATCCTGCTGACTATCTCATGTCCTTGACGGGGAAATATATACTATCTGAATTGGGCTCGCCAGGCAAGAGCGGCAGTTTTTTCTACTTCTCCAGGGACTACAAGTACATCATCAAGACGATACATCATGCTGAGCACAAGTTTTTGAGGAAGATACTCAAAGACTATTACCAGCATGTCGCGGACAACCCGAACACGCTTCTTTCTCAATTTTACGGACTTCATCGAGTCAAGATGCCATACGGGAAGAAGATCCACTTCGTCGTCATGAACAACCTCTTTCCTCCTCATAGGGATATCCACCAGACCTTCGATTTGAAAGGCTCGACCATCGGAAGAGACTACAAGGAAGAGAACTTGGGCAAGAACCCCCGAGCGACGCTGAAGGATCTAAACTGGCTGCGCCGGCACCAACACCTGGAACTGGGCCTCCAGAAGAAGAGGCTCTTCCTTGAACAGCTACACAAGGATGTACGCCTGCTTCAGCGGCTGCACATCATGGACTATTCCCTCCTCATCGGGATCCATGATCTGCAACGCGGCAACGAGGAAAATCTGCGCGGCAAAACCCTGAAAGTTTTCAATCCTGGAGGCGAAACATCGCCTGAAGACTTTGACCCTCACTCGGTTCTGATGCGCACGCCTAGCAAGCTGGAGAACCAGAGAAAGGCCCGAGAGTTGAGGCAGATGATCAAGTCGGAAAGACCGATCCCCATGGGTGAGACTCGCAGCAAGATGCCGGATGAACTGGAAGGCAACGCCAAGAACTCCGTGTTCTACAAGGATGATGGCGGCTTTCAGGCAACCCATGAAAACAACGCCCCCGGCGAGGAGATCTACTACCTTGGAGTCATCGATTGCCTCACTCATGTAAGTCAACCTGTGATTAAACACTTGTGTGGTATGATAACGGCGAGCTGACATTTTATTCCCCACAGTATGGTATCATCAAGAAGATCGAACACTTCTGGAAGGGACTCTCGAGCGACCGGCACCAGATTTCAGCTCTTCCTCCAGAAGAATACGGCGAGAGATTCTTGAACTTCATGTCTGGTATCACAATGTCACCAGAAGAGGCTGAGCGAGAGCAGGCGGAAAGGCAGAGGGCCGAGGCCGAGGCTGCAGCAGCCAGAGTCGAGCAAGACAAGGGGAAGGAGCGTGTTGGTAGCTGGTCGGGTAGTGCACGGCGCCGATCTTCGGGACCCAGCGTCCCTCCCGCACCTACCTATCTTCCCCCGCCGCCGCCAACACAGCTCACATCCGGCATGAAGAGCCCGGAGGCAGAAGCTGTGATTCGGAGGGCCGAACGAGAGGCTCAGAAGTCACCGGTTCGCGAGGAGGATGTTCCAGAACGAGTACTGCGGACGACGACCGCCCCAGCTGGTGTAATAGTCCCAGCTGCAGCTGTACCTGCGGCAGCCTCATCTGCGTCCAATGCCACGAAGCCCGCAGCCCCGACTGCTCCGCACCCTGATCGCCGAGAATCTGCCGTTCAGGTAACGCTCCCAGTGGTGGATGAGGCGGGAGAGGCATCCTCGACAGGGGAACGAAGCCGGATTAGTTATCTGAGCAACCGCACCATGGAAAGCGACGGACGTCCTCTCACTCCGGCCAAAGACGGCCAGGAGTACGAGGCTGGGTTCGGAAACCCGGTCCTCTCCCATGTTGGCCGCAAGGGGGGCAGCCCGCCAACACCGCCCAAGTCGAGTTACCTCAAACCCGAGAGTGCCGACAGCGGATACGGGGTCTCGACCAGTGCTCCAGGGAGGGCACGGTCCGGAACAGGAGGATCTGGGCCGAGAGTGCGGTTGAGTAAGGAGTCTCTGGACAAAGCCCTACCCCCTTTGCCCAAGCTCGATGGCACCGCTTGAGGGGCAGGTCTTCGTACCAGGCCTTGCTGCAAACATGATCTTGGCTCGACTCGACTCGGCTCGGCTCGATATGTTCAGAGCAAGCACCAGACTGTGTTTGGAGAGGAGGTTTTTGGAGGGAGGAATGGGGGATTGTGGCGAGGGCTGATCGAGCGCGGCGAGATTTCTAGCATGACGTTTTTCTCCTTTTACCGAAAGATCATGATACCACCATCGCATCGACAGCATACACTGGACGCCTTTATTATTTCTTTTCCCGTTCATACATTCTCTCAACGCCACTTTTTTCTGCTTTCAGACACTTCTTTCCTACGTTTTCTTTTGTGACACCTGGGAAGGCGCTTGGACTGGGCGAGCCCATCTTTCCTGTTGCGATTTTCCGATTAGAAGCAAGCCAGACAGAGCTTTTGTACAGAGCCCGAGTGGGGAAAAAAGTGTTGGATGAAGCTGCGGATGAGCGAGCGTTCTGCATGAGAGATTGAAGCACTTTGTATGCGCATATACCTATGAAGATACCTTATAGACCTCACTGGATGATGCCGCTGTATGTTTCTCGTCGACACCCCTTGCCGGCCTAGTGAAGTGATATTCTAGCTAGTTGGAGCTCGGAAGTGCGGTGGCCAGAGGTTAGACACAAGAGATGGATTGTTTCCATGCTACCCTAAACGCCTGGACGACTGGCCCATGTGCATATATATATATATACAATGATGCTACAAATTTGTGTACAAGATCCTCGTGTCGATGCAGCTAGCCCCCCATAATGCTGCGGCTGCTTCTTTTCGAGATATAGATTCACTGGCGACTCTCAGCCCTATTACTTTTGCGGCCCAGTTTCTATCGACATCGCCCTTGCGCCCTCTGCCTGGAGCTGCTTTAACCTCTGTTCCTTCTGATGGTTGGCGACTCGGTACTTTTTGAAATGCGTCACCTGTTTCGCCGATGAGGATTCTCTCCGTCAGCCTCCAAAAAGGAAATCATGCGAAAAGGGGGGGCCACCATTGTCTGGAACCCGAAAAAAAAGAGACAAAACTCACCCACTGCGTGGCGCAATCCCGCTCGAAGTCGGCCGTCTCGGCCTTGCACGCCCTGGCGGCCTCCTTGTCGTCCTTGAGGGCGTCGATGATGTTGGCCCTGTCGAGGCAGGCAAAGTACTTGTCGCGGCTCTCCCAGCACTTTGCGCGCTCGGAGCGGGAGGGGGCGACGGCGCCGGTGCGGACCTCCTCGGCGCGCTTCTGGTCGGCGGACTGGGTGAAGGAGAAGAGGCCCATTTTTCTCTTGTCGCTGGGGACGGGGGGGTTAATAAAGGAGAGCGAGTGTAGTTTTGACTGCTGTGCGGCTTCTGGGGTTGTCGCAGAGGTCCGGGGTCTAGTCTTCGTCGAGGACTCCTTCTGGTTGATGGTTGACGTCGTCTCCGAGACGGTAAAACCGAAGAAGAACGGCATCACCTTTTGGAGCTTTCTCCACACTGGCCAATGCATGCATGCGACGAATTTAGCGGCAGAATCAAGGGCGGTGTGGCGGGAAAGATGCTACCTAGCCCCTCTGGTGGGACGGACGGTTTTGGTGTCGTCTTGGCGGCTTCTTTCCACTGGAAATGGCTGGAGCTTCATCGACAGGAGGTCATTTGGACCCTGGTCACAGGCACCACCCATTTTTGGTCGATCCAACACTTTGCATGCTCGGACACCCCGAACAACCACAGCAGTCTTGAAAGTCGTTCTTAATCTTTGCAAACAGGTTGCAAGTATTTTCGAGAGAATCTTGTGCTTGACGAACCACCCGAACAGCTGGTTATCCCTTCCCGAAGCACGCGACATCCCTGGCTTTGCACACGGTCCTCAGATATGACTTCGAGGTAGCACCTGGCCGGCCACCTTCAAAAATTACGGATCTTCGCCCAGCATACGTTTTGCGCTCGAGGCATAAAGGGGGAGGCTCGCAAGCCAAGACCATCACGCATGCGACGAAGAGTCGTCTTGCAGAACGACATTTCATAAACCAGAGGCCCGCCCAGAACAAAGCGGCCACCCAAGCTTCCCAGCATGGCCCGCCGACGGAGACCCCCGCGCTCCGGCGCGCTCACCGAGCTCCCTCCCTTGAAGATCCTCGGGCAGATCGCCGCGCTGCAGACGCTGTACTACTCGCTGTCCATCATCCTGATGCTGTTCACTGCGCTCGTGTCGGGGCGAGATTTCTCGATGGACCTGGTCTTTGGCTGGTCGGCGGTGCGCGGGGACACGACGCAGGGATGGCTGACGGCCTTCATCTGGGCGCTGGACGGGGGCTTCTTTATGTGAGTTTGTCACGCCAGCTCTCGCTGTCTTTATTGTTGGATTATACCGTGGGTCATCGCCGAAATGTTGTACTAACATGAACTGTCTCCTAGACCACTCGCTATCGTCATGATCGTCGCCCGCTCCAAGCTGGTCCCCGACTTCGCCCTCTCCCTGCATGTCATACACCTCATCGTCGTCTTCCTATACACAGGGAGCGTCCCGCAAAATTTGATGTGGTGGGCTGTGATGATCGGCTCGAGCGCGCTCGCGACCAGCCTGGGCATCTGGGGCTGTCGGTACCGAGAGCTCAAGCCCATCTCCTTTGGCGGTAACGGGGGAGCGAGCACGAACAACGCCGGCCCGGGCGGCAACGGAGAAGGAAGCAGTGCTGCCGCTGCCGGAGAGGATGGGCACATCGGCGACGAAGAGCAGGGATTCTCCCGAGGGCGAGGCAGGGGCCGAGGCAGAGACGGCGGAGGGGAGTACGAGATGGTCAAGATGAACGGCGAGAGCAGCCGTTTGGATTAGCCCCCTCATGTATTCCAACGTTCCTTTGCTCAAAACTGTAACGATTGTAATTATAGATCACCTATTAGCTGAGATGATGAGGTACGGGAGGGGCATCATTGGGCGTTTCAAGGATGAAGGAAAGACGGGTCAAGGAGCCTTTTTCATGTCCACTAGACGTAATGACCGGCAGTAGCACGCTCTGGAATTTCTTGTGTTTTTTTACGATAGCTTACCCACGAGGCAAACGAGGAGACATGAGTGTGAAGGGCACAATGATATCAATTCTATATAAATTATGGCCCTGACTTCTGCCCAGTCTGACGAGGGATGAAATCTTCACATTTCCCACACTGAAAGAAACTACCTCGACTTCTCAACGTGCACACCATCATCAGCAATGCCTTTTTGTTCCACGGCGATATTGGCTCCCTCCCGAAGGCCTTTCTCCTCCAGCCCGGAGAGCTTGACATCCTCGCCGAACACGGCCTGGAGCCTCTCCAGAGTATAACCCTTGGTCTCCGGGTAGAGCAGCCAAAAGACAAAGATCTCGACCACCAGCCACCCGACGTAGACTAGGTAGTACTTCCAGCCGAGAGCGTCCATGCCGATGGGGTTGACGAACTGGTTGAAGAAGGACGCGGCCTTGGTCGAGAAGACGAGGATGCTCAGGCCCATGGCGCGCAGCCTGAAGGGGAGGGTCTCGGTCGGGTAGAGGAAGAGGAGCGGGTTCAGGCAGACGTTGAAGGCCGTGTAGTAGATGAAGATGAAGGCGAGCGCGGACCTGCTGGCGGCGGTCGACCCGGTCTGCACGTACGAGGCGATGCTGGCGGTCAGGGCCGCCAGCGTCAGGAGCATCGCCACGCCGCCGCCGATGAACATGGGCCTGCGGCCGATCTTGGTGGAGAGGACGGCGGCGCACAGCGAGGTGGCGTAGTTGACGGTCTGGATCGTGCCCAGCAGCTGCGTCTGGTCGTGCTGGCCGCTGATGCCGATGCTCGTGAGGATCTTGGTCAGGTAGTAGGACACCAGGCCGTTGCCGGACCACTGCCCAAAGACGGCCAGCGTGACGAGGATGGCGAGCCGCTTGCGGTTCGCCGGCGAGACGAAGAACAGCCCGAGGCCCTGGCCCTCCATCTCCCGCTCCGCCGCGAGCGCCTCCGTCATCTCCCAGTACTCGGCCCGGACCAGCGGGTGCTCCCGGTCCCCGCCGCCGTGGTTCCTCGCCAGGATCGCGTACGCCTCCTCGCCCCGGCCCTTGTACGCGAGCCAGCGCGGCGACTCGTCGAGGAACCACACGAACGCGGCCTGGAGGCAGGCGGGGCTGGCCTGCAGGAGCGTCGGCAGGCGCCAGGCCCAGGCGCCGGGCATGCGGTAGCTGCCAAAGGTGACCCAGCCGGCGAGCAGCGCGCCGAGGTAGAAGCTCGTGTTGTAGAGGGAGCCGAAGAGGACGCGGTGCCGCGGGTGCGCGAGCTCCGAGATGAGCACCGGGGCCGCGGCGAGCGCGAGCGTGATGCCGAAGCCGACGACCACGCGGCCGCCGATGAAGAGGCCGATCGACGTGCTGACGCACTGCATGACGACGCCGACGATCATGATGAGGCTGCCGACCAGGATGGACAGCCGGCGCCCGAAGCGGTCCGAGATCAAGGCCGAGAAGGGCGTCGAGCAGATGGCGCCGAGCGGGTAGGCCGCGCTCGTGATGCCCAGCAGGGCGCCCGTCGGCGAGTGGAACTGCCGCTTCCACTCGGCGACGCCCTGCAGGCCCGTCAGCACCGAGGCGTCGTAGCCGTTGGTCGCCGACACGACGAGGCAGGCGGGCACCAGGAGGGCGTAGAGCCGGACGAGGTTGCGCGAGAGGGTCAGGCGGGAGCTCTCGCCCTCGGCCAGGATGTCGGCCACGGACTGCAGGGGCTGTTCGATCGGTGCGGTGCGCTCCATCTTCGCGATACAAAGAAGAGAGAAAAGGCAATATGACACAGTACAAGATGTAGGAAGGGTAGATCGCTACTTCATGTGGGCAAGATCCCAAGAAGTACGGGAAAGGGGAAGAACGACTTTATAGTCGGAGCAAAAGTCAGTGGTCGAAAGAAGCATCCATTGGTCTCCTGGTGGCTGACCAACTGCCAACAGCAAGCCGCATGAGTGCAATGCAATGCTGTTGAATGCCGGTGGGTGTGCCAGCCGGATGGGTCGATTCCCAGGACCCAGGCACAGAGCACTTTTGCCTCTGAAAGGAGCTATCCCCGGAATCGATGATAGAACCCCTTGGCTCTCCCCAGGTTTGACCACGAGATTGAGATGGGGCCCCCGAGTCAGTGGGCACTCGCGAGTGAGAAAAAAACTAGTCCATGGCACCGTTTGAGGGTCCATCGCGGACAGACGGACCTCCTCCGATAGAGTCATCCAGGGCGTAAACGGGGCCAAGCCGAGTCTCCCCGCTCCGACACTGGCGGCATGAGGCTGTTGATGATGCTAAAAAGCCAAAATCAGTCGTTAGAAGACTTGCAAGAACCCCTGTGGTGCCTAGTTGTGACAAATAGCTTGGGGATTGCATGATCTCATATCAAGGTGGATCGATCACCACCACTCAGATTGCAACCTTTTGCCGAGATCTTGCACATGTCGAGATTTAGTTCTTTTTCGTGCCAAGCACGTAGGCTTATTGTTGAGAAGCTAAGTTTTTGAACTATAGATGACTATACAGAGAGGTTTTATCAAGTGTTCGTGTAGCTGAGGAGGGGTGGCGAAACATGATGGCTGGAATGACCAAGTGGACACTCGGAGAGGCACGGAGACAGTGTCGAACAGATTGTTTCTTGGCGAACATGGCATAGATCAGGCATTGGTGATATTACTGGTCGTGTTATAGAACCAGTGCAGTATGGTTGAGCAATTATCCTAGGAATCTTGCAGCTCTCTGGCAAAGGGGCTCCGGGCTCGGATCTTTCGACCAAAGAAAAAAAGCAGCCATGGGATGATTGTCAGTAACACCCCGAGCCCTCCTAACAAACTTCCCGCACCACCCAATGTCAGGTTGGTAAGCATCTTGCTCGTGATCAGCGGGAAGATTCCAGCTAATATGTTACGACACATGCTAGAGGCGGCGATCGCGGATGAGGCGTATCGGTGATATGTGTCGGCGAGGTAGTCGAAGACAGCGAGATAGATGCTAAAGATGCCCAAGGTGCAGGATCCAATGGCTATTGCTGGTGAAATCCAACTAATCTCCTGCCTCGAAGTCCATCCAAACCAAAATAGGCCGATAGGCAGGAAGATGGATTGGACACAGGGAGAAAGCAGACGTTGCTCCGGCGTGTTTGTCATTGTGCTACGCGGTAGCAGTAGGCGAGTAATGGGTGCCTGAGCCACAGCGAGGATAGAGCCGAGAATAGCTCCCACAATGACTGAAGTATAGACCGCTCCCACCTCTGTACTCGAGAAGTCGTACGTCCGCCTAAACACAAAGCCGATGCTACTGAACTGCATGTACAGTATACACCATGCAAATGACAACCATAATGAGAACCAGAAGACGACGGACTCGGTAGCGAGTAGCCGTAGAGGAAACGCAAAGCTGGTCCAAAGGATGCTGATGTCGACTTTCAAGGCCTGCCCTGAGCCGACGGCAAACAAGACCCGCTGCCTAGATTCCGCCCTTCTGAGTTTCTTGCCGTTCAACCACTGGCATTTCCTAGTCAGGATGACGTTGCTGCGAGTTTCCTCAAAGAAAAAGAATATGATTGTAGTAGTCACACCGATGGCGATAAGCTGGAGGTAGAATATCCAGTGCCATCCCAAGCTGTCAACAACAGCTCCACTGACCAGAGGGCCCATCCCAGTTCCGAACATAATGGACAACGAGTACAGCGTCATAGGCGTGTTGCGGTGCTCCTTGTGGTACAAGTCGCTCACGACTCCGCCAGTGAGAGCCGCGTAGACGGCCGCTCCGCAGCCAGTCACTAGACGAGAGACCAGCATCCCGGGATAGCTGCTCGTGACAGCGCAGCCTAGAGTGCCAAAGAAGAAGACCAAACCCGAGCCGACAAAGACCCAGTAACGCCCGTGTGCCTCGCTGACCGGCGCTAGAATCATGGGCGAAAAGCCGAAGCCAGCGACAAAGAGAGTGATCCCAATATTGTATTCTGTATCGGTGACGTGCCATCGCTGTCGAAGAGGTTCAGCGGCCAGCGCATATGCTCCAGCAGAGTAGGCGGAGAGCAGAGACGCGAGAAATGTACCGGACAGGACGACCATCTTCTTGCGCATCGGCCATGTGAATGGTGACTGGAACCTCTTGTTTTCGATCGCGTCTTTCTGCAAGACATCGGTTCCTTCAATTGCGTATCTTTGGAGCAAGCCAGAGAGGGAGAACTTCGGATCAAGAGCTTCGGGGCCGAGAGAGACTTGAAGGGCGACTCCTGTGTCGGTGTCTCCAATCTGGACGAAGGTGTGCGCGGGAAAGCCGTGGGCGGGTTCAGGTAGCGCTTCCTTCTCCTTGTCGATCCAGTCGAGTTCCGACACCGAGCTGCGTTCTGAAGGCGGCACTGTAGCCTCAATGACGCCCGCAGAGCTGACCGGTTCTACGGCTGAAGAGGCAGGCATTGTACAGAATAGAAACAGGCCCGAGGAATCGGTGGAGCACGAATACTCCTCTCATCTGCGAAACCACTATTCGGGCTTCTTTACGACATCAATGATGACTCTCCTGGCCTAGTTGAAGAAAACCAAACGCCGTCTGCCCGTGTCAGTTGCCCTAAGCATGGGAAACCCCGAACCAATGAAAGAACCGAGCCACCACGAGCAGAGTCTTCACCGGTTGGCGAATGATGAAGTTGTAAACTCCTTTGGTGTTTGGACAGACAGATTCTCAAGCATTACCCCACGTCAAGAAACTGAGAGGATCCAAGTGCAATGCCCGACCGGCCGTCAGAGCCGACACTTGCCCGCCCGCAAAATGGGGCAAAAGAACATCCGGACCTCGCTTGTTGGATCCACCGTAAAACGTCGTCATTACCAAGACTGCCGACGGGGACAGACGGACCAACACCGAATCCACATTTCGATCAGGTAATAGAATGGGAATGTCAGCTAAACCCGAGTCCGTCCTCCCGCGGCGGATGGAGGTTTGGGATATGGGGAATGGTCGGAGACTTCGTACCGCAGATAGCACGGATCGAGGAGGATTCCGCCAAAGGTCCCCTCAATGTGGCATTTGTTTTGTTCATAAGTTGGTGTGTTCTACTTTGAAGAAACAGGAAACCATTTATTCATCAAGTTCAGATGACACAGCTTTGAACCACATCTGGATAACAGCAAACTTTCTCCCTCCTCCATTCATTTCCCCTCACACTGGACCGGAAGAGTTGAGATGACAACCAAAGACCTGGTACCGGCACCTAGTGGCCCGGCTGTTGCTGATGTCACTGTCGACCAAAAGGCCAAAGAATGGGCTCGGGAGAAGCTGTCACAGATGACCTTGGAGGAGAAGGTATCACTTCTCACGGGCCAGGACATGTGGCGCACAAACGCCGTCCAACGTCTTGGTATCTCCCGGATCAAGACCTCAGACGGTCCCGTGGGTGTCCGCGGCGGTATCTTCACAGACGGCGTCAAGGCTGCCTCCGCGCCAACAGGGTAAGGCACAAGTGCTATCACTGGCTTTATGTGGCCAAGTTCAAGCTGATGTTGGTGGATGATAGTGTATCACTTGCTGCAACGTGGGACAGAAATGTCATGAAGGAAGTCTGTGAAGTTCTCATATCTGAAGCCAGGAGCAAGGAGGTAGATGTCCTCCTTGGACCAACTGGTACGTCTGACTAGAGGCACCTGTCTCTTCCCTCATTGTTCTGCTTCCGAGACCCAGTAATGCTGAGTGAGGAACAGTCTGCCTCCCTAGGACACCGTTGGGAGGAAGGAACTTCGAGGCTTATAGCGAAGACCCATTCTTGACAGGCAAGCTCGCTGCCACGTTCATCAATGAGTTGCAGAAGGCTGGCATTGGTGCATGCATCAAGCACTACGCTGCAAACGACCAGGAGAACCGCCGATTCTTCATCGACGAGAAGATCCCGGACAGGGCTCTCCGCGAGATCGCTCTGCAGCCGTTCCAGATCGCTATCCGAGAGAGCAATCCTTGGACTTTGATGACGGCCTACAACAGAATCAACGGCATCTACTGCTCGGCCCACGAGTTCCTCATTCAGAAAGTGCTTCGTGGAGAGTGGCAATGGGATGGTCTGACTATGAGCGACTGGTTCGGTACCAACGCTATTGTCCCCTCGCTGACAGCTGGGTATGGCCGCCGTTATTGAAACAGAGTGTCTTATTTTCAAGTCCATTATCATACTAACAGTGACCAGACTGGATCTTGAAATGCCGGGACCTGTGAGAAGGAGAGGCGAGCATCTAATCGATGCTCATAACAAGAGCCTCGTGGACACATCGTTCATCGATGCGTCGGCATCCCGAGTTCTCGAGCTCCTCCACAAGGTCGGCAAGAGTGACAAACCAGACTGGCAAGAAGGCCCCGAGGCTGCGGAAGATCTCCCCGAGCATCGCCAGATCCTGCGGCGGGCGGGTGCCGAGGGCATCGTCCTGCTCAAGAACTCTGGCAACCTCCTCCCCCTGGGCACACTCGATGGCAAGACGATCGCCGTCGTCGGCCCCAACGCCGCTCGGTCCGTGGCCACCGGCGGCGGCAGCTCCAACCTGGAGCCACACTACCGCACCACGCCCTACGACTCGATCAAGGCCGAGGTGGCCAAGAAGTTCCCGGCTGCCAAGGTACAGACGCACCGGGGCATCCTCACTCACAGGTACTTGCCTCTCGTCAGCCCCAACGTCATGAAGAACCCGGAGACGGGGAAGAGCGGTTTCGTCCTGTCGTTCTGGAGGAACCTGGAGCACAAGGGCGAGCCCTTCCAAGTCGAGAACCGGCCTAGCTCCAACTTGGTCTGCTACGACACCCTGCCTCCCGAGCTGACCACCGGGGAGCGGTACTCCTACCGCGGCAGAACCACGATTACTCCAAAGACGACTGGCGTCCATCAGTTCTCCCTGTCGTCGTGCGGCCCCGGCAAGCTCATCCTGGACGGCAATGTCATCGTCGACATCGACAGGCACTGGTGGTCCCCCAAGTCCGCCCTGTTCATGAGCTACGGCTCCCCGGAGGAGCGGGTGGACGTGCGCATGGAGGCCGGCAGGCAGTACGAGCTCGTCCTCGAGTCCGTCAGCCGCGAGCCCAAGCCGTACGACCTCGACTACATGGCCATGCTGGAGCGCGAGGAGGTGCAGGACGGAGGCCGCATCGGCTTCCTCGAGAACCCCGGCGACCTCGACGGGTACATGCAGGAGGCCGTCGACATGGCCCGCGCCAGCGACGTCGCCATCGTGGTCGTCGGCAAGGACCACGAGTGGGAGACCGAGACGAGCGACATGGTGTCGATGGACCTGCCCGGGCGCTCCAACGAGCTCGTCGCGGCCGTGGCCGAGGCGAACCCCAACACCGTCGTCGTGAACCAGACCGGCAGCCCCATCACCATGCCCTGGCTGGACCGAGTCCCCGCGGTGGTCCAGGCCTGGTACCAGGGGCAGGAGCAAGGCAACTGCCTGGCCGACGTGCTCCTGGGCGCCGTCAACCCCTCCGGGAAGCTGCCCATCACCTTCCCCAGGCGGATCGAGGACACGCCGGCGTACGTCAACTACCCGGGCGAGCACGACGTCACCTACTACGGCGAGGGCATCTATGCCGGTTACCGCTACTACGACTTCAAGAAGGTCGACCCTCTGTTCCCCTTCGGCGCGGGTCTGTCGTACACTACGTTCGAGTACAGCAATATCAGGCTGAACAAGGACATCCTGGCGCCGGACGGAGAGATCGAGGTCGCGGTCGACGTCACAAACACTGGCTCGCGAGACGGCAAGGAGATTGTGCAGTTCTACGTCACGCACATCAATCCCAGGCTTGGTCGGCCGCCGCAGGAGTTAAAGGGGTGGGACAAGGTATCTGTCCCTGCGGGCCAGACTGTCACGGCACGTGCTGTGCTCGACAAGGTCAGTGTTTCGTATTGGGACGACAGTGTCGACAAGTGGGTGATGGAAGGCAACGCCGAGTTGTACGTCACCGCAGCCAAGGACTCTCGGGACCAGGGGTTGTCAGCAAGTTTCCGCACCTCTGCCAAAGACTTCCAATGGGTCAACTAGAATGCATCTGTAAACGGGCCTGAGTAAATACGGTAGACTAGTAAATCCCTAAATAGATAGAAAGGCCTGCAATTTGAGACTCTTTTTTTTTGAGACTAGACCAATGCATCAAGAACCTCGGCATCTCGAGTGGCCGTGGGAGACATGCGCTGGGCAATATGCGTGATTCGCTTGCGGATTTCGGGAATGATCCTCCATTCGCTCGGGAGGGTGAAATGTAAAGCACCACGACGAAGTACGAATGCGAGTTGCAACTCTATGGCGAATAGGCTAACGTTCTATGTTAGCACGGACTGTTGAGAACAATTCTGGTGAGGGAGAGTGTTGGCTTACGTGCGACATGAATTGATAGGGTGCAGTAAGAGCACCAGGGGCTCATGCAGCAGTCCGCTGTTCACGGTAGACAAGAATGCGCAGCCAATGGCGGTCCGAGCCCCCAACTTGTCCTCATCCGATAGTAGCGATGGATCCTCGCAGTGGAATGCCCGATATACAAAAGGACGGTGAATGATGGACTTGGCGGAGTAGTAGCGGGCAATCAGATGCCCACGCAGCCTATCGTGGGGTGATCGAGGCTGGAAAGGCTGAGGCAGAGGTTGTTCCTGGTCGGGGATATAGTTCGAAAACTGCAGCCCATGAGGGAGACATTCTCGCCATTCTTCGATCTGCCTATCGAGTTCTTTGATCATGGAACGTGAGGCGGAAAGGAATGCCAGCGGCTTGTCGTTAGGCGAGGCAGCGTTATGGCCATTCTGGCTATTGTCCTCGGTGCTTTCTGCTCCAAGTCAGTGGGACATGCATGGAGTGTAACAAGACCATAACATACCGGAGCTATAGAGGTGGTAAAGAATGCGGTTCAGCAGCTTGCGCATGGATATGAGAGCCAGAAAAAAGAACTGATACTGAGCGTGATCGAGGCTGAACTGGTATTGAGCGTGATCGAGGTTAGCCTTGGTCTCGGGGACCAAGGGCAATGCCATGGTCCCAGCTAGCTTTCCGAGTCCGCTGGCTGGGAAATCAAACTCGGCAAGAATTTGACTGGGTTGGAAGAGTTAGACCTGGAAGTATTTTTGTTAAGTCTCTGGGGTCTTGGCAAAGTACCTTTCCTGGAGGTACGCAATCCAGAATAGTTGACAATGCTGTGCTTCTAATTTGGGCTGTCTGACAACAAATGTCAATCAATAATGCGGAATCAAAATGGCAAATTGAAAACTCAAGACTTACAGCGGTACTAAGATCAACACATCACAACACGCTCGGTGAATCACGTTCCATGCGTCATGCACTCTTAGCTTCGCGGAATAGAAGGTCCTGCTCTTCATGTCAGGCTACAGTCCGAGGGCTTTGGATGTGGATAGAGCTTACCCCATCAGCAGTAGGCACTGAACACTGACCCAGTTTGTATCCTCTATCTCTCTGAAGATGTCGTTTGCCAGGTTGAAGAAGCCGATCCCGACTTCCTCTTCTCCAGCTTGTGACCATTCGTCATGGCCGGAATAAAAGGCAGCGACAGACCCAAGTGCGCAGACGAGTAGTACGATACACGAACTAAAGTTCTTCGCAAAATCTGTCGTCAGGGCAGTAGTGTAGTCCGCTTCGAAAGTCGCCTTGTCGAGAACGACACAAGATGGATGAAAGTGGTCAAAGTAAAACCTGGTCAACAGGTTGATCTGAGACACAGATAGGCGAGAAAGCCAGCTCTGGTCTGTCGCTGGTGAAGCTAGGCACCGAGGAGGCGATGAAGAGCGTGACATCCTGGGCCTCCTCACCTCGAGTTCCATGGGGTACTGGAGCTCTTGCTCGCTAAGGTACAGGGGCGAGCAAGGCCATGTTAGAAGATGCTGCGGGGCGACAGAATGTCGGTGTGACAGGGACAGCTCGTCCCGGATCCGGCCTGTGTCGAGGAAAGGCGTCGGTGTGATGAACGTGGAGACATTGCCAGGCGAGATGGCTTGTGGGGAAAGGGCTCCTATAAGGCTGGGACGGGGGCTGGAGGCTGAGGGCGGGCCCGAGACGCTCTTGACAACTGGGTGCTGAAGCCGTCGAGAGTGCGCGTCAGACTGTTGCATAAGACCGGTTATGAAGCTCAATTTCTCGTCCATGCGCTGCAACGTCTCTGCCAGCTCGGCCACGGACAGATTCTTCCTGATAGTCGCGCAAGTGGGTTGCTCTCAGCATCTATCTATGCTCACGACCTTAAGCCCGGTCAACGGCAGAGGATACATACTTGGAGGCTACAGTCTCGATATAGAGGCACTCGAGGCCCAGCCTCGTACACCTCGAGCAGCGTGGCCTCTGCTCATCGCACTTGGTTTTGCGCCTCCGACAAGAGTCACAGGCCTTGGCAGCAAGCATTAGCATGAGGCAAAGCACGCGGCGCGCACAGAATTGGGAAAAGGCGGAACGACGTCACTACTCACATTGAGAGCCTGGCGGCGGGAGGGGTTGCCGGAGGCGCTCGCCTGTCCAGTCTGGTCGGCCATGGGCGGGATCACGCCCTGTCCCAGCGGTTCCAAGTCAGTCAGATGGTTGCTCCTCTTCGGAGTTTAGGATGGGGGCATGATGTCTAGCTTGGCTTGGTCTGGAAATATGGAGTCAATTGACAAGAACGTGAGTCCTTCTAGAATAGCCTAACGGAGAATAGAGATTCTAATTAGCGCGTGCGTGGCACCAGTGACGCCAGCAGTGCAGAATTGTATGCGGAGCAAGTAATTGCCGGATGCCGAGATCTGCATCAGCCAACCTCGAGCCCTGAATCCTGCATTTTTGATGGAGACAACGGTGAGGGGGTTTCATGGTCTTGACTTGAATCTCATGATCCATTGGGGACTGCCTTGTACAAGGTATCATACACTTGGTGCGCCAATTGAAGGCTTCCTTCCCTCTGGCTATAATTAGACAACTGTTTGTTTCGTATGGGAACTTGCCGGGACTGATTGTTCACCCTCTGTTCTCCTCACACACGCCGCTTTCGTACTTCAATCATGGCGCGGGGATTGGGGATGTTCATAGTGTTCATCCTCAAATTTACCGGCCCCGAGTCTTTCTTGAGCCGAAAATCGTAGTTGCGGAGGAATTCGACAACGAGAGCCTTGACCTCGTAGATGGCGAAGAATCGTCCGGGACAGGAATGCGGTCCATGACCAAAAGTCAGGCTATCCTAGAGGCTTGTCAGCATCCAGACGAACAGTAACGCAAGAGCACGAGATCATACCAATCCAGTTGTTACAGTCTGGTGCTTGGACTCGCGACCAGGAATTTCGCGCAGTCTAGCAAAGCGATTGCCGTCAAAGACTTCAGGACCAGGGTTGTTTGTCCCAGCATTATACTCGGGACTCAGGGTCTGGATATTCTCTGATAATCTAACGATGGCTCTCAGTCTCTGTTCCGTAACAGCTTTGCGCATACTAGACGGCACTTTATGCCAAACTTACGCTAGAGCACGAGTAGGAAAGACAACCCGTGTGCCCTTGGGAAGTTTCAATCCAGTCGAGAATTCGGCATCCTCGAGCACCTTGCGAGCTGGCGTGGCTATGAATTGGCAATGCTGAGGTGAGTATGCGGCAAGAGATAGCAGAGCAATGGAACCATACTGAGTGAAAGTCCATTCCATCTCTGGCTCTCCTTGATAAAGCTGTCAAGCTTTTTGAGCTTTGCAAACGTTGCCTTGTTGATGTAGGGGTTGCCGTTCTCGTCCAGGTCTTCGCCATTCTCAGCGAGGACTTGGTCGATCTCTCTGCGAAGCTCGTCGATATACTCGGGACGGGAGGCAAGATCAAATAGCACCTAGACGAGTCAATATGCAGGCCGGATTCATCCTGACCCCAGGAGAAGGAAGCTGACACGTACCATTGTTCCGGTGGAGCTGGTAGTGTGAATTGCCGCAAAAGACAACGCCATCTGATCCTTGCCAATACGAGAGGCGGTTTTTCTATGCGCTGGCAGATAGTTCAGCAACCAAGATATGAAGGTGCCCCGTTGACCAACTTTGGCCGGCCTTCCAGGGGCCTCCTTCTCCGCGTTGACTATCTCTGAAACCAGAGGCTTCATCCACTCCTTGGCTTTGTATAGATACCGTCTGGTCTTTTTCACCGAAGGCAGGAAGGGCGCTACAAAGGGAACCAGAAGCGGATTCCAGGTTCGGGATTCGCGCGCGACACTGGCGAGTGCCACAGTGTAGTTGATGCTGGCGTCTACCCATTCTTCATTGCGATGGAGAGGACTGCCAACGAAGACGCGACCACTGAGGAGAGCCACCATCCGCAACAAGACCGACAACAGGGGAATGGCATGCCACTCTGTAGAATTCCCCAACTCCTTTTCGAAGGCAAATTTCAGTTCATCCTGGAGAAGTGGTAGGATAGCTCCGATACTCTTTGTCAGATCTTGCCGGACCGTACGCGTCAGGGCACCGTCGTTTTCGCTGCCAAAGTCTGTCCAGTGGCCCATAAACAATTCGTAAGATTCGGCGTCTAGGGAAAATGACGACTTTTGTTTTGACTCCATGTAGAGAGATATGGGAAGGACCACTTGCGGTGGATTGGTCGGAAGGATGAACGGAGAGTCTGGATACTATAGGGACTGGCTGTGAGTGGGACAAGGAAACCGGCAATGATCCCTACATAGGATGCATACCTTCCTGAAACCCTCAAGAATAGCGGCTGTGAATTCCTTGTCGTATGGCGAGCCGATGACGGGGAATCCTAGCTTCGGGGTTCTTGCTCGGCGGAGGCCGCGCAGAAGTTGCTGGGCAATCCATGACGCCGCCAAGACCAGACAGACGCTCAATACCGCATAGAAGACTGGCATCATGGTCATGGAGGAAGATATTCGTCAAAGGGAGACGAGGTGTCTAGGCAGATTGAACTGGATTGGGATGTAATTTTGAGAGTGGCACTTGGTTCTCCCGCAATGAAGATGCAACGCGATGAGCATCTGCCTGAGGGGGTGTCTAGGACAAATACCCAATCTAGATTTTGGCAGTCACGCGCCCTTGGGATCAGAGGCAGGCAGGTCTGACCAATCGCAAGGAATTTTATGCAATGACTCAAGCCGGCATATAGAAGACACAATTCAGGCATGCTTGACGATTGAATCGATGGACCTCCGATAGGCCGGGTCAGTAGGGAGGTATTTGCTCGAGCACCTGTGCGTGGTGTTTCGGTTTCAGGGTTCCCGCTGCACGTCTGAGCCAATATGGGAACGATCTCGCTCAGCTGCACGTCGATCGTCGGATTGATCAAACGAAGCACAAACGCGTGTTCTTATTCGGATCGCTTTTTGATTTGCTTGGTGATAAACCCTGGACGTACCCAACACGTCACCCGATGCGCTGTGCTTGATCCTGGCCACTACAAGCACTCATTGTTCACCACTCTGCAAGATGTGCAAGCAACCATGCCAGCAATCTGGGCACTGCTCATTCAGCGACAGATGGGACACAACATTGAACCTACCAAGAGCGTGTTCAGGCAGTGCGGCTAAAGTAGCGGAGCGCCGTTGAGCTCACATCTCATCGGCTCTTTGCGTTCCGCTGCCTCGACACTGTGCATTGGCTTCATTCCACCATGTCTGGTCACTCTGATCCGCATCGCATCACTGCGTGTTCTGTGAGTACCTGGGAACTTTTTCTCAAGACTGAGGTTCAGATAAGAAGCTGACCGCATCCAGATCAAGCAGTGGCCGTTCTGAGCGATTTAATTGGTGCCAAGTGCGGTTCGGGTCACCCCACCTCAACGCTTACCTAAGTCGGAATTTGCAGGGTCTGCATAGCTCGACTTCTGATTGATCAATTCATCCATGATCAGAATTTCAACGTGACTCACTTTGCAGCATCACGCATCTCGCCGTTTCATCACCGCCTCTTGTTATTGAACGTGCCAGAGACACCCAGACACCGCCCACTTGTCAAATTTCCCATAGAGCTTCCACCTCTGTTCCGCCGCGACCATGGCCCCCACCGTGCTCCATCTCCGTGCCGAGACCAAGCCTCTCGAGCACCGCTCCGCCCTGACCCCCTCTGTCACCAAGAAGCTCATCGAGGCTGGCTACGTTGTCAATGTTGAGCGGGACCAGGAGCGCATCTTCGAGGACTCTGAGTTTGAGGCTGTCGGAGCCAACTTGGTCGAATGGGGTAGCTGGAGGAATGTTCCCAAGGAGCACATCATCGTTGGCCTGAAGGAGCTCCCCGAGGAGGACTGTGAGTGTCGATGTGTTACCAATTCGGCATGTCGATCCAACTAACCTGGTTTAGTCCCCCTCATACACACCCACGTCCAATTGTATGCGGTGATACCCTCATGCACCCCCGTAGAAACCCATTGACTAACTATTCACAGCGCGCACTGTTTCAAGGGCCAGGATAACTGGGCCACGGTCCTCGGCCGCTACAGCAGCGGCGGTGGCACGCTGTTGGACCTCGAGTTCCTCGAGAAGGACGGCAGGCGTGTGGCAGCCTTTGGCTACTGGGCGGGATTCGCGTAAGCTTGTTGTCCTGGTCTGATCCTGAAGGGAACTTGACGATCGGGTTGGGTCGGCTGACAATTTCGACCAGTGGTGCTGCTCTGGCTATCCAGAACTGGGCGTGGCAGGCTACCGAGAAGGGCGACTTCCCCTCTGTCAACACCTATCCCAACGAGACTGCCCTCGTTGCTGATGTCAAGAAGGCCTATGCCAAAGGCCAGGAGAAGACCGGCAGGACACCCCAGGTGATCGTGATCGGTGCTCTGGGTCGATGTGGCCGTGGTGCCGTCGACATGTGCATCAAGGCCGGTATTCCCGCAGACAAGGTTCTGAAGTGGGATATGGCCGAGACGGCTCCTGGTGGTCCCTTCAAGGAGATTCCTGAGAGCGACATCTTCATTAACTGCATCTACCTGTAGGTTCATGCTTGTGTATACGTCGTACTTTTGCTCGGAACGGCGGAAGTCGTGAGTTTTGGGCTGCGAGACTAACAGATGTTCGAATAGGAGCACCAAGATCCCGCCGTTTGTCACGGTTGACAGCATCAAGAACACTACCGACCGCAAGCTATCAGTCATCTGCGACGTCAGCGCTGACTCTACCAACCCCCTGACTCCTGGTAGGTTCCGCTTTGATCACTACCAAGTATGCCATTTCTGATGAATATTCCTAGTACCCGTCTACAAAATCACTACGACTTTTGAGAAGCCCACGACCATGGTTGAGGGAGTTGACCCTCCAGTCAGCGTCATCAGCATTGACCATCTGCCCAGTCTTCTGCCTCGCGAAGCATCAGACACCTTCAGCCAGGATCTGCTGCCCTATCTTCTCACTCTGAACGACTGGAAGAATGACCCGGTCTGGGCTGGTGCTGACAAGCTGTACAAGGAGAAGGCCGCAACCCTGCCCCAGTAAATGTGGACTTGTCTGCATGGTTTCACTGAGCACCAATCTGGATTTTATGGTGAGGTGAATCGCTGCCGGTAGAGGCAACGGGGAAAATATTAGACTCGAGTTTAGAGTATTCTGCCCAGGCTTTGGGAGATGAAAAAAAAAACGAATAGACAAAACCCGTGGTTTCCTTGCCTGGGCGTGTGCCTCACAATCCTCCGTGTACCCACTGAACGGGCCACTGCTCATCACTGATATGGTGGGTGCCATTGTCGCAGAAGAAATGCTTAGATGTCTCAGTCAATCGGGTAAACCATGTCGTACAAAGCTGTATTTGCCGTGTGGGTGTTCGGAATCCGAACCCACCTGACCTCGGGGTCACCAGATCTCGTTGTAGCGAGAAACCTGGATTCCCAAGCCACTGTGACACGAAAGTAAGAGATGAATCTTGACTGCAGCTCTAGTTGGTCTATTGTGTGAAAGAACAAGAATTTCCGTTGAGGCTTGATGCAGGTCGGGGATAACGTTGGCAACGGTAATGTGTCAAGCCAATCGTGCGTAGAGGAGGCCCGCGAGAGCAAATGGTGTGTGTACGCGGAATTGGTCTTCATCAGTTTGTGAAGAGTAGATGTGTGGCCCAGAGCTGGCCGTCAGATTCACTTATATTGAGTGCAGGGAAAACACTGTTCTCGATGCTCACACATGCCCCTTTTTGTCCCGCTAGATAACTCTCTTGTTGAGCAAGCCGACATCTATCATTTTACTATGCACATCAAACACGCTCTTGTCAGCCTCGTGGCCGCGACTTTGACCATGGCCGATGCCAACGCCATCCAGGCTCGGGCCTCGGCCAGCAGCGCCCAACTGCCCACTTCGCTCCAGCAGCCTAGCCCGACCCCATCCCAGTCGGCGACCGCCACCGCAGGCTGCAAATGCGATTCTGGCTGGCCCCAGGGCCAGTACTGCGGCTGGTGCGGCCCCGTCCAGAACGGCGTGAGCGGCGATGTCTACGAGTGCGGCCCGAACGGCGAGTGCCACCACTATGGACATCGCGACAGCTGCTCGGGCGGCAAATTCTGCCCCTGCGGCCCATATATCCCTTGCTAAGGGTTGTTTGGGGACTACATTTCACTCTCTGGGGGATGGTATTTGGTTTTACTTGGTTGGTCTTGACTCTTTGGGGCCACGTCACTCTTTGACACGCGATGTCGAGGTCAAAACCTCGTTGCTATATTTCATTCAGGCGGACTGGAAATTCTCATGTCTATTTGCTCTTGAAGTAGAGAAACTCAATCAACTCCGCTTCACGGCCTTCCTGTCAAGCTGCCGCCTCTCCTCAACATAGTGCAAGAAGTTGAGCGCATAGTTCAGGTGTGACTCGTCCACGCTGTTGAGCCTCCGCCAGCTCTGCACCGCCAGCTCGCCGTACCTCTGGGCGTTCCCGAGGTCGCCGTCGTCAAAGTAGATGTTCTTGAGGATGTCGTAGAACTCGGCCATGAGCGGCCGGAGCCCTTCCCTCTCCGTGACGTCCAGCAGCTCGTGCGCGAGCTCGACGGCCGCGAGCGTCTGGCCCGTCTCGCTCGCGTCCAGGAGCCGCCGCTGCAGCCGCCGGATCGAGTTCCGGTTGTCCTCGTGCGCCGTGATCTCGTGCGTGTTGCCCCGGCACAGGGAGCACGTGCACCGGAAGCCCCAGTTGTCGAGGAGCTGCTTGCGTCGTCCGTCGTGGGACGTGGTCAGGTGGGCGTCTTGCGCCGGATGGAAATCAGCAATCAAGTCCTTTTGACAACAGAAACAATGAATTGCTCCTTACAGCTGATGGTGATTTCTTCGCCCGGCTGGATGTCGCGGTAGGTTACGAGTTCCAGCGTCAGTGTCCGTTGCGAGAATCGGTAGAACGCACTAGCATACTCCGGGTTAGGTAGTGAATCTTAGACTGAGAAGAATGGCTCAACTCACTTGGGGGCACAAGCATGGTTCACTCTCTGTAAATCGAAGAAGTCAGTAAATGACATGGTCAACAGAGCAATCAAAGGTAACTTGCCGAGAATTCGGGATACAGTCCCAAGTGAGGCTCATTGTCTCCAGTATTGAACGAGCAAGTGTTGGTCCCCAAGATGTCGTCAATCATCTCCCCGCCAGTGCTTCTAGACAAGTCGTAGACAAGTTTCTGGGTGGCCTCTGGCAGGCGAGCAATGGCCTTCTTCAGCAAACGCCGGCGAAAGTGGGCTTTGGTGTCCATCAAGAACGAGGTGCTGACAATCAGTGCCGGGAAGTCGAGCATCACGATCTCCTCCTGCTTTATCTTCCGTTTAGCTACTAAACCTTTGCCTTTTCCCGGAACATCCTGGATCTCGTAGGCCGGCCCGTCGGCAGTGGATACCGGCCCTGGTGTGTACGACCTGTTGCCGAGTGCTCCATGGCGAGGCAGTTCCTCCATCGCATCTGCACCGATAAGATCGGCGGCAGTTACCGGTTTGGTGATGATGCTGGTGCCATGCCCATCCCCGAACGATGAGGAAGTATATAAGCAATGAACCGTAGGGGCGTCCTCGGCCGTCTTGCCGTCTATGCACTGAACCGGATGTGTCCATGGAGCATCTTTCAGCTGGGCTGGGCTATCTAATAGCGGTGGAGGGCAGCGGAGGCGATTACCACGATTCAGTGGCGAGCTCTGCAGATTGAGGCATTGCCCTTGGGTATTGATATCAGCTCCTACCTCCTGGCCATTGGCAAGGATACTCCCAGAGCTCGCGATGATGAGTGCCAGGTGGAACGCCCGTAGTGGAGTTGATAGAGGAGACATCTGGATCATAAATGCCGAATCACGATATATTATGCTTTGAAGGGTGTCCAGAAACACTTGGGGAGCAAATTTGGCAGAACCATGAACGGCAGGTTGTGCGAGGCTATGTTGAATAGTCCAGGCACATAGGAACCACGCTGTTCACTTCTTTTCTGCAACAACCTGGCATTCGGCTCTCCGTTTCAGACTATGCCCGCAGATTAATTACAAATGGAGAACCAGTGCCCAGTAAACTGCATAGACGGGGCCAATGAATGCGGACCGTCCTCACCGGTTAAAATGAAGGCTGTCATCCGGGTCGGATGCGGCGAGATGGCTCCGCATTTTTTTAAACCTGCCAATGGAACCGCGCTTTCTTTGGAATAGTGGCCGCATCGCGGAAGGAGATGAGCATTGACGCCAATATTGATGTAAGCAAGGAGATAACTATCACGCTGAGTTGCGCTCGCCTGATTGAAGACTTGCTCTCAACAGCAATTGACAAAGCAAACGAAAGTGACATGTGTGCAAAACGGCTTGAGAACCAAGAGATCTTGACATGCGGTGCTCAGGGTGAGGGCTGTGCTGCAACACCTTGCAGGTAAATCTCCAATGCTCTCTCGTCGGCCTCGGAGATGCTTCTCTGAACGTTCAACGCACGTCGGATCACGACATTGGCCAAGGCAGGGTCAAAGGATGGTTTGAGGAGCGTGCCACCCAAGGCGTCCGAAATGGAGAAGTAAGCGACTAGGTGGTGAGTGTGCGCTCGATAGTCAATCTTGGTGGTACTCTTGTACATAGAGGCCGGTGAGATGCCTTTGACAGTACAATTAGTCAGTCGATTGGGTCAGGGAGAGCGGTTTGCACGGAGTTCTGGGGCAGTCCTGACCGTTGATCTGAGTAGGAGGCCGGAGTGGTGCCACTTCCAAACCACCGACGTGGCTTGGTGGCCCCCATTCCCTCCCATCTTTCCATTCGCGTATGCCAGAAGAGAACTCTTCGTAGACGAAGACATTTCCGGAGCTGACCACTTCATCTTGAACCGAAGACAGCGGCGGTGTGCTTGCGTGACTGAGCTGGCCGCTCAGACAAGCCTCTATCAGGATCAAGGCCTCCTTAGCCGACGAGACGTGGCCATGATAGGTCGGCATAAGCAAGGGTCTGGGTGGCCTGAGGGCAGACATCTGGTCGGATTGACTCGAGTATAACGGGTGTATTCTGGCTGCTATTGTGGGTTTGAGTCTCACGACTTTTCTGCACAAAAGGTATTCGTTGGAATAGAGAAGGTGGCATAGGTAGCAGGTCATTGAGAGAGAACAGTATTTCTTTAAACAATTTACATCTTAGATGTTGAGGAAGCAAGAGCACTCCGTTTTGACACACAGACGATGAAGAGGCAAGAGCACTCAGCAGAGTCCCTCGCAATCGGATTACTGTCACTGCACGAGTTCCGTAGCATTTATTTGTCATCCATGTTCGCCTCGATCTGGGAGCTCTGAATTCTCGTCAAGGTTGTTGGGCGTCAAAGGGTCCTTATCCGCTTCTGGCGACTCTGCTTGACCGAGGCGCAGATCCCGATATTTCACATTCAGACTTACAGGTAGTCGTACTCCAGCCTGAAGGTTGTTGTTCCCCGGAGCTACCAATACTTGCTGTGGCGATTTGTTCTCCCTTGTGCCACATCACTTCACTTCATGCATGGCAGTTGGCCTAGCCCGGGCCGGGCCGTAAGTTCACCTGTAGAATATCTGATTGGGCTGCTAAAAAAGCACGTCAATGCACCGGCTGGGCTGACACCTAATAAAGGTCGAATGAGAGGCGGTAATGCAGCCGACGGTCATCCAGAATGACACCCTATCAAAGCTCAAGCCTCAAGTCAGCTGTGTTAGGTGATCAGTGCATTGATCGTCGTTTGAGGAATGTAGTCCGTAGATCGAGATTCAGGCGCGCCAATGAATCGAGCCCTTCTCCTCCAAACAAGCTCGATCTACGGAACAAGGGTGACATGGGTTGTATGCGGGCAAGGGTCAGCAGGTTCCTGTCCGACCTCTCGTGGTGCACGGAGCCGCCTCCGTGGTGGCGCGAGCCCCCCCCCCCCCCATTGATCAGATCCGTGCATCTAATCAGATCCGGGTGGGAGACAGAGGGTTCAATCAGTTGGACATGCTTTCTTTATTGGGGCTCGGAATAAACTGCCATGTTGAACGAAGTGCTGCCCGTCACGCAGTTCCTGGGATGTGAGACACTTGCCTGTCGTCCCGAATTCCTCTTCCCATACCTTGGGTCCACAGTGCAACGCTGAACACCGAACTTCTACCTGAGAGCACGATTCGAATTGCTGTAGTGCATATGTTTGAACCCCCCCCCAGAAGCACGTTGAAGATAGATTCGGACGAATTCATCACTATCATAGCTCGGCGGATTACTAAGAAGTCGTGATCAATTGGCGCGATGCTGATGCTTAGAAATCTAACTCTCATGATGTGGTGCTTAGAAATCTCTCTCACAATTGCACACTGGCACGGATGAGACGACCTCTTTGACATATGACGGGCGTACCACCCCAAAATTTTGGTCTTCAATTGTAAAACGAGGCGGTGGGCTGTAATGCTGAAACACAGTCGCCTGTAAACTCGATATACACTTTGAACTGTAGGCCCTTCTAGTGAGTGTGCCCGGCCTCAACAACATGGCTCCGATCAACATTGGCATCATCGGCCTGTCGTCATCGGCCGTCACGTCGTGGGCCAGCCACGCGCATCTCCCGTATCTACTCTCTTCCCGTGGCCGCGCCAACTATCGAATCGTCGCTCTCTGCAACTCGAGCGTGGCGGCTGCACGAGCGGCCATCGACCACTACGGGCTGGACCAGGGCACAGCTGCATACGGCGATCCCGAAGATCTCGCTGCAGATTCCAATGTGGAGCTCGTGGTTTGCTGCACCCGCGTCGACACGCACTACTCTCTTACGCGACCCAGCCTTGCTGCGGGCAAGTCGGTCTTCGTGGAGTGGCCATTAACCCACGACATTGGATCCTCTCGGGACCTGGCCAATCTAGCACGCGAGAAAGGGGTGCGCACCGCAATTGGTCTCCAGAGCAGGTTGGCGCCTTCAGTGGCCAAAGTGCGAGAAATTGTGCATGGAGGAAAGCTGGGCAAGGTTTTGAGCAGTGAAGTGCTGGCAGCAGGCGGCACCATTGATCGTGAGACCGTTGCCGAAGGGCTCAGATACTTTACCGACAGAAAGGTAGGAGGGAACGTCTTCATGATTGGCTTCGCGCACCGTGAGTATGCCATCTTCGGCTCTGGCTCTACTGGATGTCCAAGAGGTAGCTGACAGATGGCTACAGTCTTCGACTTTGTGCAGTCAGCGCTAGGGGAACTCACGGATGTGCAGAGCCAGCTGCAGCTTCAGAGGCCAACGGTCAAGCTCCGAAACCCGAGCACCAACACAATCGTTGAGACAGTGACTTCCGACGTTCCTGATCTGATCATAGCCACAGGACGACTGCAATCGTCAGATGTGGTCGCTCACGAAGCTACGGTGCTCGTTCGCTTCCGCCGGGGTCAGCAGTTCAAGGGCGAACCGGCCCTAACCTGGCATGTCAACTGCGAGAGGGGCGAAATTCGCGTGACATCCTACGCAGGTAGCTCCCTGGGAGCTAGTGCACATGCGGAGGCTGTGAAGATAGAGATCCACGACTTTGCGACAGATGAGGCGGAAGAGATGGACTGGGACTGGCCAGCATGGTTGGAGGAAGAGAGGATTCCCCTCACCGGGGCCAGTATTGCGGCACTGTACGAAGAGTTCGCTAAAGGAGACAAAGGCTCGTACCCTACCCTGGCAGATGCATTGAACCGGCATGAACAGCTAGACCGCATTCTGTCCGGGTGGAAAGCTTAGTAGCTGGTGAACTGTAGCTTTCTCTGAACTCGGTGCGAGCAGCCGAGACCACTTGGTTCTTAACACGATCGAGTCTTCATATTTCCTCCACAGCTTGCATGTTTGATGTCTCAAGCTCGATCTCAGACCCGCACCCAAGAGTTTCGGGATCCTTGATAGAGGTTTGCCACCTTGACTGTAAGCTGAACCCTTGCGTTGGGCGTCAATGCTCCGCCGATCCCTTTCAGACCCTGGGAATGGCACATTTCTCCTTGACCCGGAGGCCTTTCTCAAACTGTTGACTCAACCTGTTGAGACACAAGAGGAATCCTTCGTGTCGTGTGGCGAGTCGCGGTCTACATTGCATTGTAGTAATGTTCTTATTGGGCGTACGAGAGCCGGTGGCTTGGGCAAGCTGCTAGGGTGCGGCAAGTAGGCAAGGTAGGGCAAATTCGCACACACGAATGCTGAGACCAGTGCATGATCTCCCGCCAGTGCAACGGACCATGGCCGGCCCTCCCCGTGAGTGGCGTGGCGCGCCCAGCCGGCTGGAGGAGCCGATATCTGGAGACCCTGGTCTAGAGCTCGGAGCAGGGCCAACGACTTCCTCTCGTCGTCAAGTCGACCAGTGTGTGCAAAGATACCATCGACTTTACATTTACATAGGTAGCCCTGGTTGGGATTTCTAGGAGTGCTTGTGGGTTCAGGGAAATTTCGTTGAGAAAAAAAACCGGAATTAAGGCTTGTTGGTGGCGAGTTTTCTGCAAGCCGAAAGTCCGGAATGCCTGTCCAATTCGATTCTGCGCACCCAATCATCTGGAAGAAGTAATACCGGCTGCCTCCTGCATACCAGCCTCCAATTTATAACTACTTTCTGGACACGGATATGGCTGCTTAGGCACATATATCACGCTGCCAGAGTATCGTGTGTAGAAACCAGGGCTTGGTCGCTGAACGAGACTCCCGGATCCAACTGATGTGGTGCGCTCACCAAATTTGAAAAGAGATGTCCAGTGTACGATGTTTACTCGTGCATGCAGCAGCAGCCAATAGATCGTCTCTATCGACCACCAGGTTTCAGTGTTATCTGGTCCCGTTTGGAAGATAAAACGAGTGTCTGTTTTGAGGCTCTCTGATAGAAGCAACTACCAGTGAGGCTATTGCCTTGTCCAGGCCTGTCTGCTATATGTACGATATCGAAACGCCCAAGAATTGGCACCCCAGTGTTCACATCAGCTCCGTCTCCGCCTCACCCTGAGAGTATGCCACATCGGAGGCGCCATGCTCCCCACAAACCACTTGTTGTCCGGCCTCTCCGCGATAGGCTCAATCTCATAATATCTGGCGATGTGTGCAAGCGTCAGCTTGAGCTGGTTTGCCGCAAAGAACCTCCCGGGACTGTCAAGGGACTGTCAGTTCCACAAGCACTGTCAGAAGTCGGATTACGCATGCATGAGATTCTTACCAGGCATTAGGACCGTGGCTGAACGCCAAAAAGGTCAGACTCGTCGACACCAGCGCCTGCGGCTGACCCTTATTGCTCTTGCCCTGTCCACCTCTCCGGCGACGACTAGCCCCTTCGTCGCTCTCGTCGCTCCCGCTCAGGCTCAGCGAGGCCTCACCAGAAGAAGAAGACGACGACGGAGAAGAGGAGGACGAAGGACTGACGAAGCGGAACACGTCGTACCGCTCCGCCTCGCCGTAGATCTCCTCGTCGCGGTGCACGCTGTACGCCTGCACGCCGACCTTGGTGCCCCGCGGCAGGCTCGTGCCGTCGGGCAGGACGCAACCCCCCGGCGCCGTGACCATCTTCATGATGCCGCGGGCCACGAAGCCGTTGAGCCGCATGCTCTCGCGCAGCGCCGAGTCGACGCGCGTCGCGCGCGCCAGCGAGGCCTTGCTGCCCCACGCGCTCCTCGCCCTCTCCTCTCCCCCCTCCTCAGCCTCGGCCTCGGCGGCGACGAGGGCGACGACCTGGTCGCGCATGGCGTCGAGCCACTCGGCGCAGTGCGGGGAGGAGGCCAGGTCGAAGATGGTGTTTGTCAGGCTGATGACGGAGGACTGGATGGCGGCGAAGCAGAGGCAGGCCAGGCGCCGGGCGATGACGGTGTCTGTGAGCTCCGTGGGGTCCCAGTGCGCTTGGGCGTGGTCGATGGCCCATTGGATGTAGTCGTTCTGTCATGGAGATCATTGTGGTTAGGAGCGCAAAACATGATGAAGAATGTGGGACGTGATTTTCTTACCGGCTTCTTGTCATCGTATAGGGGCAATTTCTCCTTTTCGTTCACCGAAGCGAGGCGTTCCCTGATGGACGGCAAAACGAACTTGGCAAGAGTTTTGTACTGGAGATAATCGTATATTGTGAGGATAGGGCCAAATAGACTATAGCGAGTTAGTATAGATCACTGATGGAGACTCTGCTTGAGCCTGAGACCGGTGAGGGGAAAGCACTCACGGCTTGAGAAAACCCGGAAGTAAGTTGAGGCCGGCAGCGGACACAACGACATTTCGATCAAAGTTGCGTGCACTCTTCAAGAACCCCTTGTTCTGGCACAGAGACTTGCCAACGAACACCCTCGTGGAGAGCCTCGAGATGGTGTCGAGCATAGTCTCGTATATGTGGACCTCCTTCCAGTTCTCGGTATCGGTGCCCCAGTTGGCGATGAAACAGTCGTTCAACTCCTCCAGAATGTCATCAGCGAAGCTGTCCAGCCTATGGGTCAGCTCTCGCTGTATGACCTGAGGATGAACGGGCTCCCGGACGATGTTTGGGTGCAAAAAGGTATGGTCTGCCTCCAGAAATTGCCTATTGACCTCAGTCTGGCTCATGACAGAGTCGGGCTGCTCAACAAGCCAGCGAGCTTGTGAGAGTGGAAGGACGACCTCGGGGCCAGTCAGGATGTGCGGCAGCACATATGCTTGACCCTTTTTGGAGTACTGTCAAACCATCAGCAACCGGCTTATACTGTGACGACGCTTGACTTGTTGCAGAGTATCTAATCTGACCTCTGTATAGCCTTGGTCCAGCAGCCTTTTCAGACCGAAGATGCTGGTCAAGTTGGCACGAGCCCGTGAGAGACGGCCGCTGTTCGGGCCCACGCCCGCCCACGGCAGGTGAGCCGGAATGCCAGCATCGGAGACGAGCCGGCGAACAAGGTTTGCGGCCACAATGAGCGGGATGAGCACGGCGGCGGTCACCAACGAGCCGCATAGTAGTGTTGGGGCAAAGTATACTAGGAAAGGCATGGCCGCTCTGTCTGCTCTGATCGTACCGCATCAACTAGGTAAAGCAACTCCACAGAGACGCGAAACATGATCTAGCGAGAGCCCCTAAGACCTTGAACCCATAATGAAGATTTCGAGTGTTCTTTAAGAGGATGGCTTTGCTTCAATGTTTGCTTGACGTGCCCGACCCCAATCCACCATCAAGTAACAGACTGGTGTCACACCTCTAGGTGCCGAGTCAGTCCCCGAGCACGTAAAGTTCTATTGTCTCAACTCGGAACGGGGAGTAGCCGAAGATGGTCACCCACAAGCCTGAATATTGAGATTTTGAGCTTGAACCCTCGGAAGACGACAGCCAAGAAGTGAGAGATGACAGCGAATATTACCAAATAGCACTGCGTACAACACCCTCTTGCACAATGTGAGTGGAACCCGAGGTCGTGCGAGCATTCTAGGAGATATTTGGCAAGGTATGACGAGTATCAAGACACTAAGAAACTAGGCTCGCACTTGAAGTTACGGGGTCAATGTCGGTTGCCATTTTGAGCAGACACCTCCAAGTCCAAAAACAAGGTGGATCATGATCAGAACTAGGGAAGCAGGGGGAAAAGAGGCTAGACGGGATGGGGTGGGCAGCATCCGCGACGCCTCACTTTACCGGCTACCTAAAGTAAGGTAGGTATATGACAATATCAAGTAAAGACTCTTTCCTCACCTTCCCAAGCAAGGCAGAGCTGAAAATGACAAGACTATTGAGCGTCTCGTGATCGGATATTTGGTACCAAAGAGGGGATGGCTTGCGATCCATGGAGGAAGCCATAGACAGCACACAGTCCCACTTGGGCATGGCCGTGCTTCTCGGGGACCATATCCAAGGAAGCCGTTGAGTGGGAAAAGACGTTCAGCGGCCGGACCGCAAGCGGCTAAGCTGCTTGGGACGCTTTAGCTCTGCGGTCCGTCTATCTTGGACATACTGCCACACTGGAGCCTCATTGGTTAGTGGGCAGGAGCGACAATTCCGGAAGAGATTAGGCCTTGTTTGGTCAGGAATGGAGGCTGGACAAGAGATAGGAGAGAGTGTCATCCGTGGGGTGGCTCTGTGGCTGCGATATGGAATATGAATCGTGCAATGTGACGTGTCGGATGCGGACGTAGGGAGTCGAGATGCTGACACGGCGGAGAGGGAATGTTGGCGTGGAGGCTCCTCCGGACATGTCCAGCAGCATCCACCACATCATATGCACAGGCGAATGCGTCTTATTCCCAGGGTCCCAGCCGGCTGCACCTGCTCTTCCGCCTCCTCTCGGGGACCAGCGGGCACCGATCGACAGTGCTAAGAGCGAACGGCTTCTTGTCTGGCTGAGTCTGGGTACCTAGCGTATGCCCTTGACGAGGAACACTCACCGACCAGGCGCTGCCCTTCCAGTTGAAGATACCTAGTTGGATCGAGTCTCCGATGCTGTAGGGTGTGTGCGTCCTGCTGCTGCTGCTGCTGCTGACGTGCGTCTGTCTGTAGCTGGCTGGCCAATCGGCGGTTTGCAGAAGCAGCATTGTGATGGAAATCAGAGCCAAGCCATCGATCGGTGATTCGGCACAGCCAAGTTGTGTGCGCGATCGCCAGCTGAAGGTTTCGGGGGAAGGAGGGGCGCAGGCCGCGCGAACAGGGTGTGCCGCCCTGCTGGGACAGCTGGAGCCTTTGGGACCTCGAGGATTCAATCACCTGCAGGACCGAGCAAAGACAGCCCAAGGGGCACCCGCACACCACCACAGATCGCAATTTCGTGCTGGATCGCACATCACACCCTCTGCCACTGCTGCAAGGGGAGAACTTGGAAGCTGATGACGGGTGATTGATCTCGGAATTATGCAGCATCAACCGCGCGAGACGCGCCTCTGCACATCGGCAGATGGACCGTTAAGATGAGGATCAGAGGGGTTGTTCATCTCGAGGGTCATCTCGAGGGTCATCTCGAGCTCTCGAGATGAGATTTCATGTTTGAGATGCATGCTACCCGATGTGACGTATTCTTGGGTAAAGTACGCACCCAACTTTACTTCTCATTCAGCCAACGCCCCAAAATCTCGCCAAGGGAGCCAGCGCCGGGGGCGCCACTAGCACATCGTTTGCGGCCTGGGCCTGGGACCCGTCATCTAGTCATCCCGCCTTCAGCTCTCGACTCCTGGTCCCTGTCTTGCCTGTCTTGCCTGTCTCTTGTCAATCACGAAAGTTTGTCTGGGTGGGTTGCAATGTGGCGGCCATCTCGCTTGATGTTTGCTTTTTCCATCACTTGTCCCCTCTATGGTCTTGTCTCCTCGATGCTACTAAAGTATTGTCACCCATTGGAGTAGCTTGCTCCGAGACAAAAAGCCTCACCCCGAGTCGACTGCCTCGTACTTGTGCGGAGTATTTGGGACTAGAGGGGCAAAAAGCAAAGTCGTCACATCTCTTCCAAATCAAACCTCACTAAACTTTCTCACCCGGATCCTGCTTGAATTCCGCCCTGGGCGTACAGCCAGTGTCTTGCATGTGAAGACGGACCAAAGATCGGGCGCCACCAGCATGGTACTGACAGCTGCTGTCGTGTAACCGCCCTGCAAGAGATCGCCCGTCTCTGCTGGATCTTGACACCTCTCCGCCGGTCAGACATGAACTGGGCTTGCGAGCTATTCAATCTTGGCTGTAAAGCTGCTCCTATGCCACCTGAAAGGCAGACCGAGCCTCCTCATCTCGCTCCCCCGTGATAGGCAGAATTGACCAGCGCCACGCCTGAGCGCCAAGGGGCACAGAGAATATCTCAAATTGTTCCGTGCGGCGAGCGCCTACAGACGATCCAGACCGTTGCCCATCTCAGCCTCCTGATGACGAGACCGCACACCACCTCCGGTGACAAACCAGTAGCCCGTCGCCGTTTCCCTCCCCTCCAAGTAAAACTAATCACCGATGTGCTCACATCTCAAGCCCAACCCTCCATTCCTCATACCCCTGTCGACCTGAAAAAAGATCAAACCTTGATATGAGCAAGACTTGCAATGCTTATGGCTGAACTTTGCCGGATAGAAGAACGACCTACCTGCAGGAAGGGGGCAGTCCACTAGGTCCTAGTCCTCCCGCGGGTCACAACCCGGCCAAGATGCCCGGTTTGTTGTTGAACTTGTTTAGCCTCGCATCTCCATCTCCATCTCGGCTCGCCTTGCTAGTGTCTTCCCGCACCGGGGCTACTCTCTTCTCTTGCATGTCTCCACAGAGCGAAGTGGACTACGGGCACACTTGTATTGTCGTGAGAACCTTTGGGATGGCTACAGCGGCAACTACTACATTGTCGTCGGGCAGTGCCTTGCTAGTCTCCGTTCCATAAGAGCGGGCCATCCTGTCTGCTGTCCCTGGTGCCTCTACTCTGTCGAACATCCATCCATCCATCCATATCTTTGACATCCTCGACGTAGACTCTCTCAGCAGCGGGCCTCACAAATCTTACGCACAATGACCAAGCTCCTCGCCCTCCTCCTCACCCTGCTCGCGACGGCCGCCTCCCTGGCCGGCGCCGTGCCGGCAGACACCCCCCGCGGCCTGGGCATCCCCCTCCTCGACGGCATCCTCGACCCGGTCCTCGACCTCGGCGCCCTGCCCCCGCCCAAGCTGATCCAGACCGGCAGCCCCTCGCCGCAGTGCAAGGCCGTCAACGGCGGCCAGCTGCAGTGCTGCCGCGCCACCGTCGCCGGCGACATCCAGCTCGTCGTCTGGCTCGCCGCGCTGTACGGCTACAAGCTCAACCCCAACGACATCAACGGCATCAACTGTGAGTTTTTCCTTCTTTCTTTTCTCAAATTTCGAAATCGACCTCTCTTATGGGATGTCATGTGTGCTGACATGGGGAACCCACCCTCTTGTCCAGGCGACAACAACCTGGATGCTTGCCCCGGCGTCAAGGTCTGCTGCCAGGTCACTGCTCTTGTAAGTCGCATCTGGGCTCCCAAAGTTCCCCGCATGGTGCTCCCCGTGCTGACCTCCTTCTCCCATCAGTCGCCTCTCCTCTCCCTCTGGTGCCAGGACCCTTAGGTCATGGTTTGGAATTTGTCCTCTGTCTCCGGCTTGGATCCGGACAGGTCGAGTGACGTTCAAGCATGGATATCCTAGGATATCAGGCGTAATGCGGAGGACTCGTCAGACGGTCGAAGACTCGAAGTTTTCGTGTAGCGTTTCTTCTTGGGTAATCCTAATGTGACATTGAGCTGCACAGTAATGAAATGAAAGACAACGCCTGTACCGCCACCGCGGGTTCTCTACCATGCTTTGGTTTTTATATATAATACATCTTTGCCGTTGCCAAGCTCCACGCCGTGGGAATGATGAATCCCCTTCCGAGCCAGCGATTGTACACTGGCGCAATGACCGTCTGTAAGAGTACAAGGATTAAACCCTGCTGGGAGCTTTGTCTATTGTATAATACATTGATTCTGTCTTCTTTACTTCCGCCTCTGGATGGTCTTGACTGCCATCTCAATCAAGCCGTCCTTCGCATCGCTGTCGGGGAAGGCACTTATGGCCGCAATGGCTTGGTCCGAGTAGTCCTGGGCCAGTGCCCGTGTTTGTTCGATACCATCGCTCTGGAGCACGAGGTCCCGGGCCTGATCATATATAGTCAGTATTCTGGTTCTCCATAGCCTTGAATGAAGGTGCTATACGTACCCTCTGCACGTCACCCTCCCTTTCGAACTTCCTTCCTACAAGCGCACCGAGCTCGGGGTTGTTCTTCCAAGCAAACAGCAATGGCGCAGTCGCAAGACCAAGCTCGAGGTCTGCTCCAACAGGCTTGCCCATCTCCTTCTCCGTCCTCGTGTAGTCGAGCATATCGTCAACAAGCTGGAAGGCGAGACCCAGGTTCTTCCCATAAGCGTAGGCAGCCTCGACGGTGGCGGGATCCGTGTTGCCTAGCAGCGCCGCTGCTCTGCAGCTCTTGCTGATGAGCGAGGCGGTCTTGAGATACGTCTTTTGCAGATAGTACGTCAGGGTCTCTTCTGACCACACTGGATTTGACTCGTCGCGCTCTGTGTTCTTCAGCTGCATGAACTCTCCTTCGACCAGGTTGGCAATGACCGTGGCGAGCAGCTCGACCACCTCGGCATTCCTGAGCCTGGCCAGCGCAACGGAAGCGCGACCAAGGAGGAAGTCGCCAGCTAGCACGGCCATCTTGTTGCCGAATTCGAGGTTGGCGGAGGGTGAGCCGCGGCGCGAGACAGAATGGTCGATGACATCGTCGTGGAGGAGCGAAGCGGTGTGGATGAGCTCGGTGATCTCAGCTAGCCGCCTCTGGGATGGGAGGATGTCGAGATCGGCCGTCGTGTCCGATTCGGGTTGAGGGACAAAGCCGGCGATGTTTGATGAAGGATTGGCGTCGGAGAGAATATTGAGAGGGGATATCGAGGTGTCGATGCCTGTCGAGGTCTGGGCAGGCAGCTGGCTCGGGGCCTTGGGGCACAGGTGGGTGGCCCTGGACATGAGGAGCACGATCAGCGGCCTGACGTGCTTGCCCTCCGCCTGGGTATAGTATTTGGCGGCCCTGTCGAGCGAGGGATGGCCTGAGCCAAGCAGCTTCCGGATGTTGCCCGTCAGAAACTTCATCTCCTTGGCCACGATGCGCAATGGGTCGATGCCGAGGTCCGTCTTCTTCGCCCGCGAAATGGCGTTGTTGACCACATTCCCAGCCACTGACACGGCGGCTGCCCATGCGGAGGACCTCTTGTTGGACGAGTGATAGAGCGCCTTGGACTGTCGTATCCTCAGCTGGGGCGACACGGCCCGTAGGCACTCTGAACAGGCAGGCCGTGACATCGGCCGGGCGAACCGCGCCCCCCGTAGGGCCGGAGCAGCTGATCGTAGCTGCATGGCCGCCGAACGCTGCAGCAGGGGAAGGGGTCCCGAGTGGACAAAGAATTCAAGCAGTCCCGGAGGTCGTCGGCATCGGCAGACCAAATGTTGGCAGGACTTGGGGCCGATTTGAAGTGTCAATTGACTGAATGGTAGGACGGACGGTTACGGCGCGCTTCTATCGTCCAAGCCGACCCGTGAAACTTTCGTATGATGAGAAATTTCGCAGAGACACATCAGCCAATAATGGCCCGCGCCTGAGCTGGAAAGAGCCAAGACTGTCAGCAGCCCCACACCTGTGGCCTGTGCGCTATCATATGCCCCTACCCGATAAGGACATGGAGGTTATCCATCGAGTACCTGCCTTGTGTAGTTATCGAAAGCCTTAACAACAGTCCAGGCAGTTATGTTGCGAACAGGGCTTCCTTCACCCAACCTCTCAACTACGCCGTGAACACTTCCACTAAAGCATGCGCAACTAGATTACCGATCAAACAGTCATAGCGGTGGTCAAGATGGTTCTCTTGACCATGACAGCGGCCATCGTCGAGGCTTTAGGACAAGTCGAGCTGCCTGTCGAAGCAGAGGATGGGCTTCCTTCACTCCAGGACCCCGCGGTCGGGAAACCGATTTCACACGGGCAGATCATAGATTTGGCAAGGGCGCTCTGGAGTGAAGGAATGAAGGACCGTAGGCTGGAGACGCTGCTCTTGGGATGTTGGGTGTACATCCCCCCGTCGCCGCCCAAACCGGAGCCGGTACGTTTGACGTCTCTCCCATTGCCGTAACTTTGTCCTTGGCTAATCGTCATGCAGTCGGCCGAATACAAGGCTTTGATGGCCCGACTCCGCCACGAAGAAGAAGAACGAGCCTACGAGCGGATGATCAACCCCCCTCCTCCGGCCGAGACTGCGGCCCAGCGCAGAGCCCAGGCTTTCGCCGCGGTGAATAAAGCACACAAGTCAGACCTGGGCGACGATGAAGTCACATACAACGATGTACATCGCCAGCTCATGCTGATTCTCAACTTCATGCTGAGCATCCTCGGCACAGCAGCAACACTATGGGTGGTGGCCAGATGGTGGAGCACGCCTTCCAGGCTATTCCTGACACTGGGTGGAAGCCTGCTAGTCGGTATCGCAGAAGTGGCAGTGTACTCGGGATACGTATGGCACCTATCAGAAGCCAAGAAGAAAGACACAAAGTTCAAGGAGGTCAAGGAAGTGGTTCAGACCTGGGTCGTCGACAACGACAACGTCAAAGAGAAGAACGTGACTTCCATCGAGGTCCTGCTCAAGGACGGAAACGAAGATACAAATGCTACGTTGAGGAGGAGGAAAAAGGAAAGCCTCTAAACCAGCCTCAGATCAACCTAAAATTCAAGCATTATCATACAAACGTTGGTCAAGCAAGCTCAGACAGCGAGCCGATCATGCCAGATCCTGTGAGAACACGCATCACCTACGGTCGCAAGCAAAGTGCCAGAGCCCTAAATGGTGACAGCCCGATACGGATGGTTGCTCGTATGCAGCATGCATCAATCGACCAGACTTTTATCTGCCCAGTGGTGATGCTTCTGCGTTAGGGCGGCGGCGGGTCGCTTGCGCTGACAGGGGTTTTAAGACGAACACGCCGCGACGCGTGCTGAGGCGCGTCTGGCGGGGCCACCCACATCACAAGCGACCCCTTCCAGGACCGGTTCTCGCCTTGTGAATCAGTCAACACAACATGTCTCAATTTGTAATTCTTGCAATTTGAACGACCCCGATCCAAGCAATGTTGGCGAGTGATCTTGGAACTCCGGTTGTGTCCAGCTTTGGGAGGCTCATGAAGCACCCGGCAGTGCAGCACCCAATGGCGAAATCCGTCGACGCGCCGAGGTACCACAGCGCCCGTTCTAGCGACGATTCTCGATGCAATGCCGTACTAACGCGGATATCTGACAGTATGCCGGTTTCTGCCGCGAACCGCAAAGTGCACTCTATCATCCAGACCTCAGAGATTCGGAGCAAGCGGCCCTTGGTCACCTACGGAAAGAGGAAAACGGCAAACAGAGGTACCGAGACGGAGGCAGACACGGTCACCAAACGCCGCAAGACAGAAGATTGTACGAGAGGAGATGGCATCGAGACCACGCTCCCGGTCGATAAAGTCGTGCTCCCCCAGCCCGCCAGCCCGAAGCGGAGCGGCATCATGAGATACTTCAAACCAGCCGCGTCGAGTCCGTCAAGCTACGTGTCGAATACCACACGATCAGTCGAGGCGGTGCCCACGAGGGCTTCGTCACCTCCAGCTACCCAGCAGCCGCGGCAGCGGAGGAGACTGACCACGCGCCCCGTGCAGAACGAAAACATCAGACCCCAGAGCGACATCCAGGTGCACTCTGACGACGACGACGTCGTCGACCTCGGCGCGGAGAAATGCGATGCGGACAGCGATGACGAGCCGCTTACTCTACCCGTCATCTATGTCCGAACAGACGAGGACGGCGAGGACATGGCCTTGACGGAGCGCGACGAGAAGTCGCTCAACTCTCGCAGCCCAGAGAGGAGGGCAGGGACCGACTCGCCGCCCGGCACCAAGGTGCTCAGGCCGAAGGTAGCCAAGAGGCCATCTATACAGACCACGCTGAGCCTCTCGAGGAGTGCGGGCTTCACCGAATGCAGGGGATGCGGGCTCTTGTACAACCCGGTGCACGCGGAGGATGTCAGGTATCATGCGAAACAGCATGCTGTGTTTCGCCAGAAGAACCGGAAGAGATCAGATTTGTTTTAATGGGCACGCATGTACGGCGTTTTTTCTGGGACAGCGACTATGGACACACAAAGATACCCTTTGCTTTTGTAGAAGTCAAGTTACGTGGGAATCATACTGCTAGCTCAATTTTATGGAGGGTTCTTCGAGGGAGACATCAATTGAATACATTTATCTGTCATTAAACAAGAAACGAGCGCTATCCTGTCCAATTAATTTTATCCTTTGAATCCTTTACATCTATACCGGACATGAAAAGACTAGTCCCTGCTATCCCCCAACCGAGGTACGAACTGTGTATGTTCAACGGCGGATTAACCAACGGTTGTCCCTTTTTATAGCTTCGAGGCCTCGTCGGGGTTCTTGACCTCGACCAGCAGTTTGCCTATAATCGAGACATGAGCCATCAGCAATGCATTCACTGGAGAAGGGGGATAGACTCACCGGTGTTGATTCCGTTGTACAGCCCGACCAGCGTCTCCTCGGCCACGCGCACGCCGCCCTTGACGATGGTCTCCTGCCTCTTGAGCTTGCCCTCGGTGAGCCACTGGGCCAGCTGCTTCTGGGCAGCGGCGTTCTCCTTCATGTAGTCGAGGACGATGAACCCTTGCATCCTGCGCAAGAACACACACAGAGTTATCAGACCAAACCGCCTCCCTGAAATCCGACCCCCCATTAACGTGTGGAGACAAAAACTTACTTGATCCTCATGGTGACGATTTTCAGGTAGTTCTGGCAAAGCCAAAATATCGAAATCAGCATTTCACCCCGCACGCAGCACGGGAATCCGGCATTGCATTGGGGCCGGAAAACCAAAAACGCACCTTGGGGCCCTGGGGGACCTTGGCGTTGTACTGGCTGATGCCGCCGCACATGACGAAGCGGGCGTGCTCCTTGGCCTGGGCGAGCGCGAGGTCGAGAATCTCACCGCCGACTATTAACAACATAACCAAAGAGCAAAAATGTCAGCCGAAATCTCCTGCTCTTGCAGCAGCAAAAGTCGATGAAAAGGGAATAAAACCGACCATTGTCCCAGTACACATCGATGTACCCCTTGGTCGCCTCGTAGAACTGGTTCTTGAAGTCCGGGTCCTTGTAGTTGAGCGCGACATCGTAGCCCAGCTCCTCGCGGAGCCAGCGGCACTTGTCGTCCGTGCCCGCGATGCCGACGAGCCGGCCGGCGCCCATGATGCGCGCGATCTGGCCGACGATGGAGCCCGTGGCGCCCGCGGCGCCGCTGACGACCACCGTGTCCCCCTGCTTGAGGTCGGCGATCTTGGTCATGCCGTAGTAGGCCGTCAGGCCCGTGACACCGAGGACGCCGCAGATGTCGGTGACGCGGGCCGAGGGCGGCAGCTCGACGCGCTCGAACCAGCGCTCGCCGACGATGCCGACCTCGGTCCAGCCCGGGTAGGCGTGCACGAGGTCGCCGGCCCGGGCCTTGGGCGAGCGGGAGGCGAGCACGCGGCAGGCCGAGGGCCCGCGCATGACCTCGCCGATCTGGACGGGGGGCAGGTAGGAGCGGCCCTCTGGTGTGTGTGATTTTTGGTTAGAAATGCATGTGCCAACGGGTGGCCTGCTTTACAAGATTGAAAGGGGGAAGGGGGTGGGTGCGAGTGGTACGTGGAAGCGGCTCGGTGCGATGGTACAAAATGGCATACCTTTGAGGTAACTCCGCATGGTAGGGTCGAGACTGAGGTACAGCACCTCGACGAGGATCTGGCCGTCCTTGAGGTCGGCCTCTGTGGGCGCGGGGCCCGTCTTGACGGCAAAGGTCTTGCCGGGGACGATGTCGCCCTCTGGCCTCTCGGCCAGGACTATCGAGGTGTTCTGGCGAGACATCTCTCTGTGGTATGTGCCTATGTAGGTGTGTGTGTGTGTGTGGGTGGGTGTGAGAACACGAGGAAGCCGGGAAAGATACGCTTCCGTGGAGTACAAGGCGAGACAACGAAAAAAGAGGTGTTACAGGTTCACGATGGGCAAAGAATGGGCTTTTCTTTTGATATGTGGGAAGAATATCTCGAGTAATGTAGATTTCCCACAACATTCGACAACTCCTACCTATGTATATCAGAATCGTAGGTCCCACACTCTAGACACACCCACTTTCCGAGCCCGCAAGTCGAGGAAACGGCGTGGCGAGTGGGTGAAAACGGGGGGGGGGGGTGTTGTTCGAGAAGAACCTTGAAGAGTAGCCCAGAGGAGGCTGGTTCATGGTACCCGGAGACGGAGCTCCAAAGAGGCGAGAGACAGACCAGATACTTTGCCTGGGGCTACACAAAAGTGGAGGGACCAAACCCAACCGCAGCAGGTGTGCCTGTGGCCCTCGGAGGGCGCAAAAGCTTAGAGAGGCTAAGGATGGTCGAATGGGCGGGAGCCCCATGGCGTTTGAGGCACAGTCCGAGACCCTTCTGACAAAGGAGGTTGACCGTGTTGAGCAATGAAGCCGGCGCCAGGCGGCCGGCGCGGGCGACGGATTCTGCAAGGAGCTCCGTGGCTGCAGCAGGGATCATGACGACACGGCCTGTATCGCCTAATTCGACCACTGCTGCCGGCCGCTATTGGTCGCGCTCTCAGTGGGGTCAGGCCAGCAACCTTCAGTGCCATGCGGGTACTTTGTTAGCTGTTGCGGCGGCGACCCTTGGCGGGGCACAGACGATCTACAAGTAGACATCACATCACTGACGTCAAAATACCCATTCCAGAAAGTTGATAGCTAAGTTGCCTTGGATAGTAGTTAGGCATGTCAATTTAAATGGCTGTATTAATTGAATTGCACCGAGCATCTTTTGTGACGGTTTGCATCTCTAGAATGACCAGGTCGGTCCGGAACAGGTCGCAATGGCAGAAGCCTTCTCTCTAGGTAGCAGCTGAAGCATGCTGGAGAAGCTTTTTCAGTGGTGGGGCTCGTAAAAGACAGGCCTCGGCCCAGCAGGATTTAAGCTGCTTACGGCTGCGAGAGCAGCCATGGATCACCTAATCCGCTGTCTCGGTATGGCAGCCGGAGGGGGGATGGAATCACTTTCAGTATCCCCAGGTACATGTATTTTTGCTAGTCATATTCCAGTTGCACGCAGCCTGCAGAAGCAGTGCGGGTGCCCAATGCGTACGAGATATCGGGCTTCGAGTTCGCTGCCTAGCAAGCGTAGGTAGCTCCCCGCCATGCCACGCCTGCTTGATAGATTAGCCTTGCATATTCAGCGCCGCCCGGTCGATCCCGCCATGCCAATCTGGCAACATCGCCGAAGGAAAGCGAACGCGGCTCATTTAGGGGGCGGGGGAGAGATGCACGACCGCCCTGCAACATGGCATTTCTGGTACGACGGAGACTACTGGTGCATCTCTCGTGTGCCACTGGCCACAAAGGCATAGGGATCTGCTCGGAACTTTCAAACTCTCCGACCGGTGCCTCGATACACACCTTGTTCGATGGCTAACTGACTGAGTGACTTTGAACTGACGGGACGGGCGGATCAGATTAGCGCAAGGCGGGGATGACATCTCCTTTGGGAAGTACCGATGCGGCATGTCGAATCTGAAACACAGCCCTCATCAACAAAGAGAATGTCGACGCTTGGCTTGCGCAACGGTCAGCTGAGAGTCCCGGAGAGACCATTGCTGCACAAGGTGTGCGCGCGTCTTGAGCAGCAGCTGGCCAATGCACCGGACAGCCTCCCAGATGCAGTCTAATGCCTCCGCATACCGAGTCTCGCACATCGACATATGTCGAGTCTGCGTAGTTGTCCTGCAGCCACGAGATGAACATATCCCTTCGCCAGCCGGCATCTCCTTCGCGTTGCTACCATCTGTATGCCCGTCTGCAAGCCATGCATTGCAACATTGAAGATGGGGCAGCAAAGAAATGCATGGCGGACCGTTGATCGTGATCCGCTGCTAGCCGCCACAAGTGTTGGAGCGAATCAGACATTTGCGTCAAAGGAGAAGGCTCCTTGAAAAGGATGGCAATTCAAGTCCGAGGAAGCAGCCAGGTCTATTTACAGGCACCAATATTGCCTTTTTTTGAGCTGCATATTGTTGAAAAGGCAGTACTATCCTCCCAAACAGCTCCCCCTGAGAAAGAGCTCTCGTTTGTCGCGTGACAGGGGATCGCCGAAACGCCCAGCGTCGCTTGCAGCCGTCCGAACTCCTGCCAAGCTGCCTCACATCGTATCCTAGGTAGCCTCAAATCGCAACATCCGCAAGCACCAGGTCAGCAGCACAGAACATAACAACCTGGGCCGCCAGAATCAAGGTGATATTCCACTGCGTGGTTGTTGGCTCAAGGAATCCTCCGTCGGAGCTCCAGGTCGCTTCCATGTTCGTGCGAAATAGCTTCCTGGTATTTACTCGAATCGATAGCACTTCAAGGACCAGAATGATCCCACACGACGGTAGGGTCGCCCCAGAGCCGCAAACCTCCCCCTGGCGCTGTTCATCCGTCTCATCATCAAGAGCCAACGTCCCACGATCCCGGAATGCCCGTCCCACTTGACAGGCCCGTAGTTCGGGCTGAAGAAGGACCAGGGCCTGGGAATTAGGCAATTCGATATGATGAGAGCCTCACGATGTTTCTCCAAGTTGGGTACTCTTCTCTTCTCTTTCTCTCCTCATTCCCTTCTACATCCCCGTTAAGCAACAGCTGAGCTGTCAAATACTTTTCTTGAAACCTCATCAGTTTACTCCTCGTCAGCCGGCCTGTACTCTCTTTCAACATCCAGTCCTCCTTCCGCATCAATTCATTCAAAATGTACTTCTCCAAGATCGCTGTCGTCCTGTCCCTAGCCCTGTCGGCCATCGCCGCGCCCGCCGGCACATCGACCACCGCCGCCGCCGCCCACAACAAGCGCGCCCTGACCTTCCGGCCGTACAACTCGTTCCAGATCTCCGACGGCGTTGGCGGCGGCGCCCTCCAGGCCGTCAACGCCGCCTTTCCCGTAAGTCAGGTCCCATCCCTTCCCAGTCAGACGGGTTTCCCGTCCAACATTACCCCCCTACCCTAGATACTCTGTTCAACAGTAGCGGAAAAAGGGATGCTAAACAACGACAACAACCACAGGTCGGCAACGACCCGGCCTCCATCTCCGCCGCGGACCTCGCCGTCCTCAAGGCCGCCCGCCAGACGGCCGAGAACGCCGAGTCGGCCTTCAACGACGCCATCTCCGCCGCGGGCGGCACCAAGTCCGCCGCCGGTGCCCCCCTGCAGGTCGGCAAGATCCGCAACAAGGTCCTCAAGCTGCGCCTCTTCGAGATGGTCGTCTCGGCCGAGCAGGCCGCGGGGAGGGGCGGCGCGGCGGCGGCAGGGGCCAAGCTCGCCGACATCCGCAAGAAGCTCGCCAGCAACGTCGCCACCGACACCAAGAGCGCCGGCCAGGCCAGCAAGGGCGTCGCGTTCGCTGCCGATGTCCGGCCTAAGGCTTGATGACGGTGGTTCAGAGAGAATGAGCTACATGTACCCTTTCTCTATCGGGCTCTTGTCCTCCCTTCTTATCGAGGGACACTCTGATGTGAGTGTTTTGCCGATGAGAAAGAGGATGAAGAGAATGTGTCGTTTGTCGTTGAGCGTCTGTATCTGTGTCTGTTGTAAGAGCCATAGCTAGGGTATTTGCAGTCCTGTACTGCTGCTGTCATGCATAGTCTTGATGATGTTTCATGAAAAACAGTGTGCTCGCTCCCAATGGTAGTTCAATGCATAGGCCTGATATGGCAACACAATTTGATTAGCTCATAAGTATTTCTTGACTTAGGACCGACATGACTCCTGGTCAGTCACAGGGCGAGTTTCTAGAAATACAGTACACAGTACAGCAAATAGGCAAATATTGGTATCACAAAAGCAGCGCCTCAGCTCCAGAAAGCCCCCCTCCTCCCCTTGTATCGTAACAAGACCTAGTCCTTGACATGTACAAAACACCCTCAGTCTCACTACTAATCCTCCTCACTCAACTTCCTCGCTGCTCCGGACCGGCAGCCGCGCGGGGATATCCTCCATGTCGTCGTCCGCATCGCTCTCCGCCGCCTCCTTCTTCCTCCTCTCCGCCTCGCTGTCGTCCTCAATATCGTCCTGAGAGATCGTGAGCGACTTTCTCTTCTTTCTCTTCTTCTTGCCCCTCTTCTTGGTGCGTTCGCCATCAGCAGCAGTAGCAGCAGCAGCAGCGGTGGTAGCAGTCGGCGATTTGTACAGCAGACCAGGCCTCTTCCTCTTGAGCCGAAACGAGTCGGCGTTAACTGACGATCCCTCCGACTCGGTACGCTTCTCGCGGCGCACCCCTGCCGCAGCCGACTTCTTGGGGGGTCGCGACTGTGGCGTAGGTGACGAGGCTCCCACCTTGTAGTGGCCAATGTCTTCCTCGTCGTTTGTGGTGCCTAGATCAACACTCCCGGAGCGGTCTGCGGTCCTGGCTCCATCCTCATGATCGTCCTCGTCATCATCAATGTCCATCTCATCTGTCTGCTGCTGCCGCCGCCGCTTGGGCACAACTTCATTCGAAGTCGGCGACGCCGGAATTTCCTCTTCGTCGTCGGAGCTCTCGGCCGGCTTTTGAGCGCTGGTCGGTGCCTCATCCTCCTGCTCGTCCTCCACGTCGTCTCCGGGCTCGGCATCCTTAGTGCCGCTCTCGTCCACGAACTCGGCCGAGCGAACAGACTTGCTGGAGAACTTGCGAGGCGTCCGGTACACCTTTCGCCGCGGGGTCGTGCTGCCGATGAGCCGGCTCTCTTCCTCTTCATCAAAGTCCATGTCCAGGATGTTGTCGAATTGCTTGTGCTCCTCGTACTCGCGCAGGAGCTTCTCGGCCACCCGTCGCGTCGACTTCTTCTGGTGCTCAGGCAAGGTCTGCCGCAGTCGCGCCCAGAGGAGCTTGAGCGTCGCCTCGGACCACTGGCGACGATACTTGGAGTTCACCAATGTCGACCAGGGAATCTCGGCGTCCTTCCTCACATCTGTCTTGCGAATCGCCCGAATGAGTTGCAGCTTATCCTTGAAGTCCATCTTCCGTAGGTCGCTACGCGCCTTGTCCAGTCGACTGGGCACGTCGTCTTCGGGCTGGGTCAAGGAGAAGTCCAACTCATCGTTCTGCTTGGTAATTTTGTTGGCCTCGCGCAGCTGTTTCCACTTCATCCGACATTGCCGCGGATTGCGCGTTCGCCCCATCTTCTCACTGACGTAGGTCCACGGTATGTCCACCTCGGAAGTCGGGCTGATGATGTCGGGGTTCTCGCCGCGGGATTTCTGGATCTCCTTGAGCATCTCGATAGCGAGCTCAACGAGCACAGCCTCCTCATCAGCGGACCAGAAATCGACTTTTCGGTTTTCCCCGCCCTTCAGATAGTTGTTCCATCGATCACGTACGTCCTCCTGATGACGATTGATGAGACCGCCAATAAGCGACCATTTGGTGCCATGCTGAGCAACCATGCTCCTCAGCTCCTCGTCTTGCTCCGGTGTCCAAGTGCCACGGCCCACAAAGTTGTGATAGATCTTGCGCGTCCGGTTGATCACCTTTTGCCGGGGCCGACTTGGACAAGACGCGGTCACGCGTTGCCATAGGTCTTTGTGCAGACCCGTGGAGCTCCGTGCATGTGGAGGCTCCTGCACCATCTCATTCACCTCGAACTGTGACATGCCGCAGGAATCTCTAAACGATGAAATGGCCTCGGCAATCTGATCCAACTCGGCTTGGGTGAATGGTCCGCTAGCCATCCCAGGCTTCTGAGAGGCCGGCTGCTTGGAGGAAGTTGCAGGACCGGCGGAGCTCCGTGGGCCCTCGCCATTCTGGTCGCCCTTCATCTGGGACGACATCTTTGCCCTCGCAGGCGATGAAGCCAGGAGGTATGCTTCCGTGCCAGGGATACTTTTCCTGGGCCGCCCTCTCTTTTTGACCGTCGCGACAGCTTCGTCAGGAGGCAGTTGCGCGAATGCAGTGCGGTTCAGGCGGCTGGGCGTCGCCGGCGTGTCCCTCACCGGTCTCGGACGGGGTTTCTTGGCCGTCGCGACGGCTTCGCTGGCCGGAAGCTGCGCAAATGCGGCGAGGTTTTGGCGACTTGGCGTTACAAAAGGCTCGTTCTTCTTGGTTGTTGATTTCTTTGTTGCAGACGTAGCGCGCTTGGATGTCTTTGGCGTCGCGTTTCCATTCCCATTCAAAATGTCAAAAAATGACGGCTTCGGCCGCTGTTTTGCAGATGATTTCAGTGCGACAGTCTGTTCAGCCGACTTGGAGAGAGGAGTGGTTATGTGCTCCAGAGCGGTCGCAAGGTCTGTGTCGGACACCCCTTCATCAAAATTTGACTGCAGATTTACATCTTGCCCAGCTTCTGAGTTTGCTGTTTCTTGAGGTGGCTCGTCCCCACTCTCCAATGTTGGCTGACCCACTTCAACACCAACACTCCGCTGAAGTTTTGACGATTCATGTCGATTACTCGCCAGGTTTGAGGCAGCATCTTCAACTGCCTGGCTCTCCTGCTCTGAATGCTCAGAATCAGAACGCGCCCCGTAGGTGCCAAGATCATCTGAGGCTTGGCCCTTGGCTCTGGAAACCTCTCCTGCTGGAAAGGCCGGACTTTGACGGGAGGGCAGGCCAGAGTAGTCCTGATCGGTGTCATAGGTCGGCTCCGGGCCAAAAGGCTCAAAGCCAAAATCCATTCGAGGTGTGCCATCAATGGCAGCTTCGTTGTCGCTCGCATGACTCTGGCTTGTTGTTGCGGGAACTCCATTTTGGTCATTTTCAGTGGCCTCGATGTGATCGTCCCTTTGCTCGCCGTTCACTGCATCCTCTTTCACATGTGAAATGGACCCGTCATCAATGTCCTGCGTAGCAATTGGCCTGGAGGATGAAGCATCTTCAAGCAAAGGGTCATCGATTTCCATCTGGGCCGGATCTTGCTGGCCATTCAAGCCACTCTCATACGAGGCCTCTTGTGAAGCCGGCTCAGCAGACGCTGTAGGCGGCGCCGGCTTGGTCGCATGCCATTCATGGCCTTCCTCCACCACCTCGTCCTGCACACCCACATTGCGCTTGCTGGCCACGGAGTTCCTTCTCTTCTTTCGGCGCTTCGTCGGGTTGTGCTCCTCCGTCGTAGGATTGGGAAGCGTAGTGGACTCGTCAACGTCGAACTTGATACCCTCGCTCTCCAGCTCGATCTGTGCAGTCGGAGACTGGACCTCAAGGGAGCCGATAGAGCCTTGCTGGGATTCGGGCCCTGCATCCTTCCTCCTCCTCTTCCTTCGCGATGTCTTGGTGGTGGTCTCCTCGGCCTTGATGTCCTCCTTTTGAAGCTCCGGAAGCTCAGGAGAGAGCTGCTGCGCCTCAGCTATCTTTTGTCCCTCGTCTGACTGGGTAAACAGGCTGTTCGAATTTCTCTCGCGCTTGCGCTTCGCTTTCTTCCCTTTCCTCGACTTCGTGCCATTGACTCCGTTGAGAGTTGGCGACAATTGGTCTGAAGCCCTCACTTGCTCAGGCGAGCTTGGCGGCGCGGGCTTGACGTGGTCGTCGCCGCTTATCCTCCTCCCAGAGTGTGGCTCCGCTTCGGCAGGAAGGCGCGGAAGGCCGTCGTGGAAGTCGTCGATCGCCGGAGGCAGAGCTGACGGCGCCGTAGAAGGCCAATCAGTAGAGTCGGGAGCCTCGGGTTTCGCAATACTTTCAAACTCGTCGTACTCTCCCGTGCCAGCAACAGTGTCCGCCAGGAAGTCTGCCTGGGGACCCCTCACGGCCTGAGGGCGCGTATCGGGCATGCTCGACTGTTGGTTGCCCATCTTGTCGTGTGGTCGTGTCGAGCTCTTAAAACAGTGTGGAACAAGTTATCACCAGCATTTCATCGCAAATCACCAAGCCGCATTGGCGGGGGAGGGAAATTGTAGCCTTTTCTCCAATGCGCGGAGGTTTTTCGCAATGAAGCTGAAGCTCGAGATCGGCAGGTGGGTTCGACGCGGTCCTGAGGGAAGGAGACGCGACCTTTTGAAAATCAATTTAGCGCGGTTAGTGCCTGCCTAGACCGCCCTGTCAGGTTCCCCTTCACCACTGGATCAAAGATCAGTCAAATTGCTTTTTCTCTCATTTAATAGTAGTAGCTAATGTTGGTTGGTCAAGTAAAACAAAGAACACAATGCAGTAAAAAGCAAATCCTTGGAGTCCCCTGTTGCGTGGTCGCAAACTTTGTCTCCTTTTTTGCACACAGATATATGTGCAGGGCAGTTGGCTCGAGAGATCTGCTCTCAAACTCATGATAGTCAAATGTCAAAACTCATCGCGATTTGGTCTGATCTCATCAAAGGCAATGAAAAGCCTTCATGTCCATGTAGGAAAAAAGGAAGAAAAACAAGTAAAAGAGGAAAGAACTCCCAACTCCTGGTAATTGCCCCTTGTCATAGCTCTCTGCCCTGTTCATGTCATCCCCCTGAAAGTCTCCCCCTGTCTCAAGCCTGGTCCTTCGAGGCATTCTCCTTGGGGCGGGTCGAGGACGATCCCTTTCGTAGGTTCGCCAGTGACTTGCGGCTCAGCAGGTCCTTCGCCTTGCCCTTGATGGAGTTCCAGGCGCTCGAGACCTTGCGCTCTCCGGTCTGCGACGACGACGGCTTGCTGTCGCCGGCGCCGCTGCTGGTGGCGGCGGACTCGCGGTTGGCGGCAGCCTGCGCGGCGGCCTGCATCCTCTGGTGATGCTCCCACTCCCTCCTCTCGATCGCTCGCGAGACGTACAGTGCCTCGTACGGAGTCTGGCGCTCCTCGGGCTTTCCGGTCGGGTTGCCAGCGGCGGCCCGCTGGCTGGCCTCTGCAGCCAGCTTCGCAGCTCCCGCGGCCTCTGCAGCCACCAGGGCCTTCTCGGCCTCTACGGCCTTGGCAGCCTTCTCGGCCTTCTCCTCCATCATTGCTTCCCACTGGGCTCGTGCGACTCGACAGTACTGGTGAATCCGCTTGCCAGACCTGGGATAGCCAATCGAGAAGTCAAAGCGACCGATGCTCGAGTCAGAGCTGCAGTCAGTGCTGACCTCGTCGGGATCTCGGGGCGCGAGGCCGTGTCGCTGTCGACGAAGTTGGCCCCTGGTCGGCTCGCGGGGAGCAGGCTCACTCACGGGCGAGGGGATGTTACGCTTCTGGGTCTGTTCGAGGGAGTTGATAGTGTTCATGCTATCCTCCCTCTGCGCGAGAGAGGAAGAAGGAGGGTATCTCATGGCTACCTCGGTCTGTGCCGGCGAATCATGATCGGGTTTGGCTGCAAAGGGGTCTTCGACCTCCACGGATTGTTTGATTGGGGGGGTGGGGGAGGGAGTGCCCGCAAGACGCTGAGCGGCCTCCTGAACTCCAGCACCCTCGCTGGAGTGCTCGCTGTTGTTGCCAACCATGATACCCATTGATCTCAGGTGGTCACCGACCACTCTCGTCTGCTCCGAAGTAATTGGTGTCGGCCGTGCCGGAGAATGAGGAATCTCTGGTAAGGTTGGGCGTGCTGCTTCCCGTGTTGGGAACGATGATTTACGAGTGGGTTCTGGATGTACGGGAAAATCGAGGTAGTCAGTGTCTGGAGAGGATTTGAAGATCTCCTGAGAGAGGAAGGGGAGAAGATGGGAGATGGAGGGGTGGAGGGGAAGAAGGGAAGGAAATAAATACCTTCAGAGGACTGCGAATTTAAATATTGTGCCCTTGAACTCGCGGGTCCCGCGGGTCTCGCCGTGGGAATCGGCCAATGACGGGGTACCACCACGTCCTCGGGCTCGTGAAAGGGGTTCCATGCTTGTCCGTCGAAATCCATGACCGGCAGTTCAGGGGGCGTCGCGGCAACGGCTTCCGGAGCCTTCTAGGCTTCCTCGGCAGCGTGCTGTGCATTCCTCCACTGCTGCAGCTTGTCCTTGTCAAGCTTTGGCTTGATGACCTGTTCATCATCATCTTTCTCATTCCATTTCCAAGACGTTCCTGGCTCGGGCGTGGCTGTCTCTCTGCCGTCCTTGGTATCCCGGGCTTTGTCGATGAGGCCTCGCCTGATGTAAGCCCATTTCTCCTCCTCCTCCTTGTCCTTCTCCTTGAGACCTTTAAAGTGCTTCTTCGCATGCAGCTTGTCCATCTCGCTGAACCGCACTGACTTGAGGCCGAATGTGGGAGTGGCTGGTGGACGAGGGATAGGCATCTTGAAAGGGCCCGGTCTTGGCACGAGCTGCTCCGGGTCAAAGCTCTGTGATGCCGTTGCTTGTTCTTTTAGCTTGGAGAAAAGATCCTCGGCTGATTTATAGGGCTGCAGTGGTCTGGGGCCCGGTCTCCGTTTAGAAGCAGTGAACGTAGCAGAATCCAGACTCTTTTTGGCTTTCAGCCTTCGCGACTTGTGGTCTGCAGACATGCTTCTGTTATGAGGCGAATGGGCCGGAATAAGTGGGATGTCAGGAGCTGGAGGCTCAGGCGCCACTCCAACTTCACTTCCAGAATGCGTGCTTCCCGTTACGTCAACCAATGTTTGCGTATCAAAACTGGGCTTTGTTTTTGTAGTTGCTGTGTCTTCACTCGCACCCCCCTGAAAGGATGGGTGAATTGTAGGAACTGGTTCATCTGTGTCGGGTCTCTTGGTCTCGGTGAATAGCCGGCGACAAACCGAATCAGAACTCTTGCTCTTGAGGATCGATTTAGGTGTCGCAGCCTGTGAAAAGCTCCTCACTGATGTCGGCGAAGTAGGATTCAGGACCGAAGCGGTCACTCGTCTGGTGCTCTCAAGCAGGTCGAAGTACTGTGAGATAGACGGCCGAATATGTTCGGACCATCCACCTGCTAGCTCAGCTTCGGCGAACAGCTTGATCTGCAATTTACCCTTGAGAGACTCATTGACGGTAGTCGTGCTCATGAGGAACAAGTAGATCTTCCTGCGCAAGGCCAACACAGTGTCATGGGAGATGAGTGTGCTAGTGGATTGAAGGTCGAAGGGATTGAAGGTTGCGTTCAATAACTCTAGCACTCTCCGGTTCGGGTTGAAATCACCAGGTGGCGCTGGCGGAGTCGCGAGGAACTCCTGTGTCACAAGCTATACAATGTCAATAGGATTTCAAGGGTCACAGCCCATGCTTTGAACAGAACTCACACAAATCCTGATTCCGTAGAAGACTGTGGCGTAGAGATTGCAGCCTTGTTGGTTCAGCTTCTGGAGCTTCTCAACTGTCTGCACTGTGGCTGGTTTGATAGTCTTCATCGCCTCGAGGTCCTGCAGCGTGGTCACTCCCAGGGCCGTTGTGGCAAGCTCCATATCCTGCATTCTGGTGTACTCCAAGTGTTCTAGACTGTCAATGGCACTGATGACCTTTTCCTAAAGGACATCTTCCTCTTGGGTGTCAAAGACCTCTTCCAACAGAGTCTGTCTCAGAGAACGCAGTGAAGGCCTGGGAGGGGGAGACTTGACCTCATCGACCCCACTTATCACTCTGGAGATCTCATTTGCGACTTCGGGTTTTGAGTCAAAGCTCTTGATTCTCTGTTCGAGAATGGCCTTCCCTTGGACACTTGTCAGGGCTTCTGGACTGTCTTGGGCGGATAGCAGCTGGTCAATAAGGCGTCTCAGGTATTCATCTCGAGACCAGGCTTTGAAGAGAGCATCTACAGTGACAGGAACAGCCACTAGCTTCTGGTCAATATACATTGGTTGAATCATCATAGATCCCGACTAACCTGGCTGAAGCCCGTAGATGGACTCCATGTGCAAGCAATATAGTGAATGAGCGTGAAAAGCGCAGTGTTCAAAAGTGAAGATTGGCGGCCGGTCTCTCTCTTCCCAAGGCCGCCAGGCCCAAGAGTCGGTTGTCGGCAACAAAGAAGCTTGAGTGAAGATTTGCGATCGTCAATATGCAACTGCAAGAGGAGAAGCAAAGCGACTCTCTGATGCTGGCGATGTTGTGGAGAACGGTGTGATGAAAGGGAGGAGGAAGAAAGCGAAAAGAAAAGGGAAAAGATCCTAGCACTCCGGTGACTTGGGTAGTTGAAAAATCTATAAAGCCGACAAATTTAGTTGACTTGCCGTTCACTTTACGTTCAGGAGACCTTGATGCCCCGAGCAGATAAAACACGAACTTATACCGATAGCCAACCAAGTCCTGGTTAGTGGACACGCCCGCCAAGACCGGGCGGCCAGCTCAGCTCCCCACATCACGTGACGCTAGGCTTGGTGTTGTTCAGAGATCGAGTCTTGGCAGCGACCCTTTCCCCCCTGAAACACCAAAACAAAGCCCTCACGAGCGAGGAAAAGAAAGACAAGGCCGCCGCGATGTTGCAGCGCACGGCGTGGCGGCGAGCTGTCAATTCCAGGCCCTGCCAAAGGCTGACGGCCACGGAGACGCGATGCTTCTCAATCGCTCTGAGACCGGCCAACCAGAGTCGCGAACAGAGTGGGCCCTCGGCGACCGCTGCTGACGCTCAGCGCCGACCATGCGCGTTGCAATATGCCGTTGCTGGCAGGAGATGGAGCAGTTATAGACAAGATGGATGTGCTCGGAGGGCCTATGCGACTCGTTCAACACCAGGACCGAGTCCATCGTCGCAGGAGAGCAGCACGGGGCCGGGTGCCAAAGACTCATCGAGGTCGGAGGCCTCCGGCGAGAGCGAACCCTCCCTGGGGAGGAAGATGTTCGAGTCGGCGGCCACGACGCTAGCTTCCATCGTCGTGCTCGGCGCCGGCTTCGCCATTGCCGCCTACGCCTACCACAAGTTCTACAAGATGATCGTCTTGAAGAAGATGAACAACGCCTTTGAGCCCGGCGACCCGGTGCTGGAACTCGCCGCTATGGGCAAGGGGGTGCCGGGCTCCGGGGCGTCTGACCCTGTATCGGCCGCTCACTGGGTGCAGAGGGCGGAGCAGTCTCTCGTGGATGACATTGTGGCCGGCCGTGAATGGGGCCACTACCATCTCATCATCGGCGAGAAGGGTACCGGCAAGAGCAGCATGCTCATCGACGCCATGCGCAAGATTGATGGCGATGGCGTTGCCATGTTCGAGGCTCACGCCGACCTCGAGATCTTCCGCATCCGTCTCGGGAAGGCTTTGGATTATGAGTTCCACGAGGATTACATCGGGAGCTATTTCAGCGAGCGCGGTCCGAGAGACACCACAGCGCTTCTCGACATTGAACGAGCGCTGAACAAGCTCGAGAAAGTGGCACTTAAGCGACGCGCGAGGGTGGGCAAGCCGCTCGTTGTGATCATCAACCAGATGCATCTGCTCCGCGACGACGAGGATGGCAAAGACCTCATTGAGCTCCTGCAGCAGAGGGCGGAGGCCTGGGCCGCGGCAAACCTCGTCACAATGGTCTTCAACAGTGACGACTACTGGGTCTATGAGCGACTGAAGCAGCTCGCCACGCGCATGGAGGTGCTGAGCATAGAAGACCTGCCAAAGACCCAGGCCATGGCGGCCCTGCAAAAGTACCGGCAGCGCTATTTCGGGGAGACTCTCAACCAATCCATGGCTGACCAGGTTTACGACCGTGTTGGCGGACGTTTGACATTCCTCAACCGCGTCGCAAAGAGCAGCGACATGCTTGCCACTTGCGATCGCATCGTCGAAGTCGAGAAGACCTGGTTCCTGAACCAGTGCTGGATCCTTGGTATGGAGATGGACGATGACGTGATGGACCAGCAGAAATGGGCTGTAAGTCAACCTTCTCTTGCTCGATGTCTACCGTAACCATGCTGACCTGAAATCTTGCCTGCTTAGTCTGCTGCCATGGTCTTGGCCCTCGCCCTCGTGGACAAGGAGGATGATATGGACAAGACTTACGACCCCTTGATTGGTCACGTTCTCCCAACCATCAAGATGCACAAGGCCCAAGAGGTCATGACCCGCGCCGACTTCATACGCGAGCTGGACCGCCTCAACCTCTTTACCATCACCAGTCGAGCTGACGTTCGCGCTTCCTCAGTGCCCATGCACCGTGCCTTCAAGGATATATGCTCTGAGCCGGGATTCAGAAAGCACCTGGAGGGTACCATCCAGCGGATCGCCGATATCGAGAGCTTGGGCAGAACGCGCGAGCTAGTCGCCAAAGATCTCGTGCTGGGCGGGAAATACGACATTCGAAAATTGGCGGCCAGTAGCTGGAGTAGTGGCGATGGGGGCATCGAGGTTGTGTTGAACCAGCCGAAAGAGGAAGACGACTCCAAGGACTCCTCATGAGCTCTTCGGGCCCGAGCGAGTGTAGAACCTGTACCAACGGATGTACTGCTTTTATTTTGTGCGTATGACATAGACCAGACCTCAAGTCCTCATTCGGACGAAGCACCTTTTCTTTCTGATCCGACGCCGACATGCCACGCAGACTTGTCTCTTCTTGACTGCATCTGGCTTGCCATGACTGTGCCCCCTCGGAGCCATTCTCCGGGGACATTCTCCGGGAACGACTCCTCGTAAGACTGTAGTCTAGGACGCGGGGGATGCTCACCGCATCTCTCTCATGGCGGTCTCTCTGGTCCAGGCTATGCCCGATTCTTGCAACAATGATCCAATAGCCTCGTCAGGCATAGAAGCCATCTCACGATGGTACCCGTTGAGGCAGCGATGCTTACCAACTGCGGTCCGCATGGAGCCACTAGTATTTAGTTGGTCGAAGCAGCCAAGGCAGCGAACGACAGGTGTAGCAGTGTTTGGTTAAGCCTCTTGCTTAGCTCCCCAGAACAGCCCCGCAGCTTACGGAGTAGTGACTACCAGGTAGGGAGTGCTAGGGGAGCAAAGACGCAGAAGAGCCAGTCTGTGCGTCTCGCAGTTCGGTCGGTCCAGTCGCTCGGATGCGAGTGCGCACCTATCGTTCCCGTCTACGACTGGGTAGGATGTAAGATTGCCGAAGTCGAGTCAGATGCTGGTGCCACATGCAAGGGAGAGGGTGAATGAGGATGCGCTTGAAGGTTGGTTCGCCAGTGAGAGCGGTGAAGAACAACGGCGGTGTTCATCGTTGCGGGGAAGGCGGAGTCTCGGTGGACTTGAGGTGAGGCGGCAGCCAAATGCTTTGGCTGACAATGCCCACTTCTGCAGCTCTACTAGCACTGGCGGTCGATCTTTGCAGACGAACGACTGGCATCAAGGGTCTTGAGGATTGCGCTTTGGAACGGCGCACCATGATGTAATGAGTTCTCCAGAGAGACGAAAACAACGGCGAGAAGCGGCACAGAGTCTCGTGTTCGGTTAAGAGTGCCATTCATGGTCGTCGGGGAGGTGTTGGTAGGCATTTCGAAGACAGCGGTGAATAGGCATAACAGGCCAACGCCGGCCATGCCGAGTTACCGATTCAACATTTGACACTCGCCGGTTTACCGAGCCAAGACATAGCAGGGTGCCATGACGGCATCTTGGGGAGATTCTGGCAGCTTGTGACCACCGAGGATGTTGCTATCAAAGATGCCGACTCCATCGTTGAGCCAGGATGAGGCCAGGATGGGTTGTTAGTGGTCTGCAGGGACTTGTCCACTGGATTGCCGAGCAGGATGACCCTAACTACTTCGTACAGTAGGGTAGGCGGAGTTATTATTCTCTCTAGCATGTCTGTCCATGACTTGGTTCCGCACATGCCTCCCGACGACAAGGTGAGATAGCCAATGGAGGTGTGTTGTTGCAAGAGTACCTAGGACCTGCGTGTTCGACCCTGGTTGTGCTAATATTCCGTAGCATCCAGGAAACTAGACCATGTGTGGAATGGCGTTTCGGACAGGTTATTGGCGGTACAGGTACAATGGATGGTGCTATCAGATTAGCAAGGGTAAGGGAAAGGGTGTGCTTCCAGGCATTGCCCAGAATGGCAATCCGGGAAATTGGGGGGCGGATGCTACCTGGTAGGTATCCTTCCCTGCGAATCAGCCCAGAGGATTGATTGATGCCATCCGGCTCACTCGCGGGACGGTTCAGCCACGCACAGTACTGCCATGCTGCATGACATGACAGCCGTGGAGGACGCATCTTAAGTGAGTCTGTGAGACACACTCGAGACTTGACCAACCCAGCCATTCGGATTTCAGCGAATCCAACACAAGGTTGCAAGCCAGAGCATGTGAAAGATGCCGACCCAGCAAGCCTCCAACAAGATGGCAGTCTCCGAGCAAGACTGTACAGTTGTAATTGAGCCTGTGCAGGCCTGATGCCAGTGTGGGGTAACGGGCATTAGGCCTCGAATTTCGTGCCGCTGGCTTCATCGACAAGGGGGGGCTGGCCTGTTATGCATCATCGATGATTGAAGCGCATAGACAGCCGACCCCCACGCTATCTGGCTGGTTAGAGTAGCATTGCGCTTCCCAATGGGTGTCAGTGCACACTTCTGACAAACTCAAACTCCTCGCCGTTGCGGTCGAGACAAGGGGCCCAAGAGCATAGACTCTGCATGTCGGTTGTAGATATTAGCACGGATGTGACGATCAGTCTTTAGACGTCAATCCGAATAATGAACAACTTGCCGGCGATAGCCCAGGGTAGCCCAGGGTCTGGTAAACTTGGGATACTGGACAATCTGAGTATGTACCCTCATGGAAGGATCGGAGACATCGACCGATCCGCCCAACTCAGCGCCCATCCTACTTGTAACCTCTAAAAGAGTCGACGCAGTAAACTAAAGCTCTAGAGTCTCACAGAGCGACAAATCAGATAAGTAGGCAAAAGGATCTGCTCACCCAGCCTTGATGGTCTGAAACGATGGCGCGTTGATATGCGTTATGATGTCGACAAGAAAGCCAAAGCTGCATTGCAGTAGGGAAATGCAGGCCCAGGGGTCGAGGAGTGGATCTTGGATATGTAAAGAAAGCTCGATTCGTCCTTCTGGAAAATGTTTCTCAGATTGGTCTTCTTGCATGGTGATAGCGGGGTAGTCCATGAAATCTGACCATCTGACAACGGCGCACATGGAAGGATCTCCTGGATGAAAGGGCTGTTGCTGGTTGAGCCCCAGTCCTTTTACAGCCTGGCCAGTTTGTATTGGCTGTGATTCCCCGACTATCATGAATCGCAAGCTCGCCCAGTGTTCTTTTACTGGCAAATCTTCGGAGTCATCGTGATCCGTATGTTGATCCATTTGAATTTGTCGCCAGGACCCGCCCAAGTGTTCAAAGGGTGTGACTTGCTGCGGAGGCTGCGGATGATCGCTCATGATGAAGCGGTCATGTTCTTGGGCCTTCATTTCGTTTCAGGCACCAAGAGCACCTGCGATACTTCTTGTCTACTCCCCAAGGAGGGCAGGAACGTACTGGCTGTGTGCTACCTGCTTCTCGGCAGACCCGATCGACCGGGGAAGGAACAAGAACTTGACGCATTAAGCCAAGTACGTACCTATTGAAGTATTTACTTGTCCCTCGCGAGGTAGTCGGGTTACACTCTGACTTGGCAACGAGAGGTACCTACCTACATGTACGCTTAGATGGAGCATAGTGGTGTAAAGTACATCATTGTTCGACTCAAATGAGAGGGTGCACCTCTTGGTTTTTTTTTTCAACATCGTGAGATTTTTCCCGGATTTTGCACGGGCTGGGAGGATTCGGCCCACGTTTACCTATCGGGCCTGTCTCTAGTTAGAGGTTGTTACGGAAATGCAGTGCAGATTACAGGCGGGAAGACCCACGCGAGCCCCATCGATGGGCCCTGTCACCGCTAAAGCAGAGGCGATCCTTCCTGGATGGATCGCGACCGACCTAGGGGGAAGGAGCTTGTTACTGAACATATTGCTGCACATTGGGGGCATACCGAGGAGGGGCATCAGGGAGGAGAAACTGGGCAGACGCATCTTCAAAGTCTCTGCTCTCGAAAGCAAACATCTCGACGCGGCATCAAAGGCTTTCAGTCAGTCGAGGTATTCGGGGAGTTTTGTCGTGCAGACCATGTGAACCATAGAATGTAGTCATCGGGTTGAGCCGTTTCATCCCCACTACAACGGCAGGCAGTTAAGTTCTGTGGGTACTTGAGACCCGACTACATTAACTTCGTAGAACACATGAAGGCTCCGATTGGCATCCGCGTAGACCAGACGGCTCCTTGAGCCAATTAATGGCTGCTGATATGTGCCAGTGGCCCTGGGTCCTCAGTCGTCTCCTATCGCTTCCATGCAACGGTGCCACGGCATCGATAGGCCTGGTTCTTCATTTTGCTGCATGTCCACTTTGCTGCGACAGGACCAAGAAATAACTAGTCGCATGTCACTGTTGAAACATCAGACAGCCAGACAGCGTACCACTCGGAAATGCGCCAAAGGGAAGGGAAACAAGAATTGCCGTCCAGGCCAGATTGATCTTCGAGCGGCCGGATGGAAGGCGTCCAAGAGACAAATTGAGGCTGCAAAGGTTGGGGAACACAACGGCCAAGGAGGGTGTGTGGCACACCCAATCCGACAGGTTCCCCGGAAGACTGTTCAACGAGCCCCGGGGAGCCTGCACCTGCGACAGGAGTGTGCACATGCGAGGCCTGCGACCGGTGAGGCTTTCTTTTTCAATGCGGACAAGGCCTCTGGCTATTCGCCCATATCATCTTCCGTGGTCGGAGGAGGAGGCTGCCTGCAAGCCTCACAGGTCTGGGCGAACCGTCACCGAGTGTTCATGTACCGTTGCCATGCCGCGCACACTGCACAGAGCAAGAAGTGTCCAGCACCGGACCAGGGTGGCATTCCATTGCATTGTCAGCCCGCTTCAGTGGCTGCAGCATGGCTGGGGCTCAAGTAACCGATTGACGGTTAGCTATCAGATCCCTGAAGGCAGCTGAAGCCACATCGCATCCACATGTCCCGGCGCACAGCTACCTAAGCATGGTGCTAGCCATGGTATCGGGCTGCTGGAGGTTGGACGGCTATCACTGCGCGCAAGCACGTAGTCGCGTCTTTGATTTCGATTCAGGATTCGATTATGTTCTTTGGGACATGCTCCCGCAGTAGACAGTATCGAGCCAAGACCGCCAGAGAATGTCCTACAGCTGCTTCACAATGTGCCCTGGCAACACCGCGTTGGATGCCCTCCAGATCCTGAGCCCGGAAGGTCTCGCTTGGACTAGCCGGCAAGATGGGAGCTAGTTCGCAGGTTTGTATCTGTGCTAAACATTAGCTCCGTGCGTAGCCTTGATGCGAAATGTCAAAGCCAACCTGGCTCCCCTCACCTCAGGGATTTCCCGCACACTTCGCCTGACGGGACGGCCCTCCACCCGAGCGCACGCGGTGCACAGTGCATCCCAGAGTTACCCACCAGGCCAGCCAGAGCTTTATTTTCCTTGCTTTTTTCTTTGTCTTTTCGCTCTCTGAGCTGCCAGGGCCATGTGGTCTGGCCTGAACGGCTTGCTGATACACAACCCCACGAAGAACCAGATTCGAATGAGCCGTGACAACCCCGTGGTCTTTCTTCCACTGTCCACCCAATTCAAAGACACCCTCGGCGACGTCTCTCGTCGGTGACCCGATCGTGACGAAGACAAATACAGGTAAGGAATCAATCAGGTCGGGGGGCCGGAGCAAGAGGGCGGGCAGAGAGGTATCGTGTACATGTACAAGTACGTACCATCGACTTGCATGGATGGTGCAGAAGTGGGCAGGGGTTGCGGTGAGAAACACGCCAAACAAGTGGGGATGCATGCGCCAAGGCTGGACCCCATGCCTCTTCTTTCCCCTTCTGATGGAGCACAAACCACCACCATCCTCGGGCCTGTTGAGTCGAGTCGACGAGATGCTGCCAACCCTCCTCCCCCCCCCCCCCCTCCCCCTCATCCATCAACAGAGCAGGCCTCAGTGCTGCACCCACACCCACACGCCCGTCTCGGACCGCATCCACAATCACATCCATCCGCCATTCTTGGTGGCCTGGAGTCGTCGTCTCCCCCTTCGATCCTCACGATCCTCTTGCTCTCCTCTGCCTATCATCCGTCTGTCTACGCGTGGTGTCCTCTTCTCTGTCCAGTCAGAGATGTTCAGAGACAGACTAGCCAGTCTAGCTTCAGACAAGGTAAACGATCACCTCGTAATGGGTGGGCAGCCTTTGAGGCGTGCATCTCCGCTCTCCATCCTGTCGCTCCGATACAGGCTGTCTCTGCTCGCCTCGACCCCTTCGAACCATCCCACATCGTGTTCATACTTCACACACACACAGAGACACACACTCTCTCACACACAACACACCCAGAACACCATCGTGCCCCTCGTCAAAGACACCACACCACCTTCCTCTCGATGTACATCTACCAAGGCGCAAATCAAAGTCCCCCCACCCTCTCGTCTGGCTGTCAAGGGGACTTCCAGTGTTGGCCCTCACCCACCTCTGGTCGGTCTGGGCCGGCCGCCGTCGTCAAAGCTGCCCTCTCTTCATGTTTCCTTGGTCGACGGGCTTTCAATGCTCTCGCTTGGGCCCGACCGAACTGCCTCCGCAGCCGAGAAGTGGTCGGTACCTAGCTGACTACGGCACACCCTCCCGCCTCGGAACACCCAAGTCCTTTTGGGATCTGCTCTAGCAGGGCAAGTTATTGTGTCAAGCAGGAGGATCTTTTGCTCCTGGCTTCTCTCTGCTCCGGGATGAGAACGCCATGTTGAGTTGAGGCATGTACACAGATCCACGCCACTCAGACGCACATGCACACACGCACCAGTGACCACACTCCCTGTGCGCGCCCACGAAATCAGAAAGGGACAAAAAAGTACTCTCAGCCTGATTGGTGGTATCCTGGTAGGTAATACCTGCTCTTATGTACAGGTTTTCATATCGCATCACCTCACCACACATTCGTCAGGAAGTCCTCCTACTCCCTTCTCAGTTAGCTCGTCGACATGGTCTCCTCTCAGCTGTTGGATAGTGCGTCTTCATCGTCGTCCAATGTCCTCTTTTAGGACCCCATGGCCCTTGATGAATACCCGCTGGTGGGCTGGGGCTCCACCTCGAGATCCTTGCTTGTGAGATTCCCGTCGGTGGCCCCTGTTCGCTTCCAACAGACCCTGTCCCTACCCTCTGCTACGATGGGCTGGACGGTTGTCGTTAGTGTACGATTTACATATGGACGATGCACATCCCGAGCTGGGGCCGTCCGTCACTCACCCTTTTCCATGCTTTCCCAAACTTTCCTTCTCCTCCATTGAAACCCTATCGCAGCGCCGAGGAAACACGCAACCTCGTCCTCGACGGTCAAACGCCAGCGCAGATCATCAAACTACTCATAAGCCATCCTCCCTCGTCACCTCTTCTGTCATCTATCATTCTCTCTCGCGCGCAACCACAAGCTGCCTTGCAGCGTGTCGGACCCGACCCCAGCCTTCCCCTGCCTCCATTGCCTGACCGACCCATCTCTTAGTAGGCACATAGACTGCTTTCTTGATCTTCCTGGCTGGCCTCGCTGCCCCCTCCCATTTCTTACACCTTCTCCCCAGCTTCTCCACATTTCTCTGCATTGCTGGTTGCTTGTACCCGGCAAGATAGATACCTGATCGACGGTCCCTCCTCGCCTCTGGTACATCCATAGGTTGATTTATATTTCCTACCTCCTTGCCGTCCTACCGGCTACCCCAGGTCTTGCCAGATCCTGCCAGGTCCAACCCATATCAGCTCGCTCCGTCGCTAGCTCAGACCACTGCTTGGACGTTCCCGTTGGCATGGTTTCGTTATTGACGAGCCATGGATCATCCTCTTACTGTTGTGGCCGACGAAGGAGAGCTTTCCTGGTCGGACAACCACAGCATGGATTCCGATGACGGCCATCCTCTTGGCATACCGCACTCGTCCCCGTGGTTAGATGCCATCTCAACTACATCCGCGACGGCGTCCATATCCTCTATCGCCTCACAGATGACGCATGGGGCTCAGATCTCGCCCATCAGCACCGCCATTGACATCCCGGGTGCCGCCGTAGACGGCCATGTCTGTCACTCGGCCGCCTCTCACTCGTCGACGGCGCCTACCATGATCCACTCTGCCTCATCCTCCTGCACTGACTCCTGGAGCATTGGCTACGGTGACGCAGATGAGATGCCCGGCAGATTTGAGGACAACGAAATGCATTGGGACCAAGACTCTGACGACGTCCTCACGGTCCCCAAACTGGAGCCTCTGGAGGACGACTTCAGCCTCGACGACGTCAAAGAGGCGCCCATGACACCCGTGGCGAGCAGCAATGCCCCGACCCCGGCTGTGTCCAAGATCAAACGCCCTCGGGGTAGACCCCGGAAGAATCCGCCCAGCAGCAGTGCAAACAACAGCAAGGTCACCAAAGGCCGTTCCAAGACAGGATGCATCACTTGTCGAAAGCGAAAGAAGAAGTGCGACGAAGCCAAGCCTCGATGTGAGTCGCTCCTCTTGGAACATCCAACAAGCACATTCTGACTAGCTTTCAGGTATGAACTGTGAGAAGAACGCAGTGGTATGTGAGGGTTACCCTGAGAAGCAGATTTGGAAGAGCGGTAAAGAGAAGGCCGAGGAAGGTTCGTACCCTGCACATCACTGACACCACACTCCCCATGTCTGACCCCATCGTAGAGCGACTGAAAGTCGAGACGTTACCAATGATTACGCTCCAGCCGATATTCAGTGGATTGGAAACACCCGAAGACATGATCTTCTGGAAGCATTACAATGAGCATCTTAGCGCCGTGCTTACCGTGGAAGGGCAGCACAAGAATGCATTCAACGACATGCTCGTCCCTGTCGCCACCAAGCACCAAGGCCTAATGCATTCCATCCTGGCACTCTCCAGTAAGCATCTCGACTACGATGCCCCTTACGCCGTGAATTTTCTCAAGAAGTATCCGAACATCACTCTCGACACTCTGCATCAGCGAGCCGAGTTCCATCATGAGAAAGCAATCGAGAAATTGTACGCGGACATGAATCGACAGGAGAACAAGGACGACCCCCAACACAACACGGTTCTCTCGGCCCGCTACGGTCAGATACTCTGTCTGCTCCTGGAGTCGGTCGCCGAAGGCAACCCTCGAGGGGAGCATCGCATTCATCTGGAGGCATACCAAAACCTCATACGACACTCTCCACCCGAGGACCCGGCGTTTGCGTCTTTCATCAGCGAGTTTTTCCAGTACCACATCTTTGCCGACGAGCTCATTCGGTACCCTGACCTGCATTCGAAGCGTCTCGCGAGTGAAGACTGGCGTGCGGACTCTACAATGCGTCCGCCTCGGCTGATTGGTGTTGCCGATGGCCTCTTCCGATACCTTTGCCAAATCACTTCGATCCGGAACCAGATCCGGCTCAACATGGCGGCACATATCGATCCCATCGTTGACTACACCAGCCTATACCGAGCAGCTGAGATAGATGCAGCGATCCGCGACTGGAACCCACATTGGCCTCCAGGAGACAGTCGTGATCGTGTCGGGCTCCTGTACAAGCAGATGATGTGGGTGTACCTGCTACGGACAATCTACCCGCCACTTCACTCTCCCTCCAGCTCGGCAGCATCCTCAGCTGCGACGTTGATGACGATGCCAGTCTCGGCTCCTACCACAGTTGGCACCCTGGCCCCTCTGGCCAATACACCACCACGGTCGGCGTCTCCTAGCTGTGCCTCTTCACCCTCACCGAAGATGGAGGCCTTCAATAAGGAAGATCTTCGGCTGCGGAGACACTCCATCGCCAACCCAAAGCCATTTGTGACGCAAGGCTTCTACTCGAACAGGGCAGAATCCCCACCTCCCGTTCGTCAGCCTCCGAACCACGATCCACGGATCACGCTTGCAGTGGAAGAGTCTCTCACGATACTCGACTCATTCAAGCCCAGCGATCCTGTCCAGACCCTCTTATTGGTTCCGTGTCTTGTTATCGGCACTGCATGTTTCGCCCCCTCACAGCAGGAGCGCGTCCGTGCGGCCGTTCGTACTGTCCGGGGCTACACAGGACTTCGGAACACGGACCGAGTAGCCCAACTGCTCGAGGAGGTCTGGCGTCTTATGGAGCGCGGGGACTGGGCTCGAGTCTGGGACTGGCAGGGAGTAGCCAAGAGCATGGGTGTTGACTTCCTCTGCACCTGAACCACAACGCTCAGCAGCCACCTTGGTGCGAACCTCGCATGCCCATTACATGACGAGACATCTTGGACTGTCCCGCCTGCTACGGGTTTTCACATCTGCGAATCTTCTGTCCTCAGCTTTTTCTCGTGCTGATAGGTAACGGTGATTTCATCCCGGCTATGGTTTCGCACTTTTTTTCCCCCCTGCATTGATGAATCCTTTCAGAAGGGCACAGGGCATACACAGATAGCATGAGTCTTCTTCTTCTTCTTCTTCTTCTTCTTCTTCTTCTTCTTCTTCTTCTTCTTCTTCTTCTTCTTCTTCTTCTTCTTCTTCTTGTATTTTCCTTTTCCGATATACTTTCCTTTGAACATTCGTTACCTCTTGGAGGCTGATACGAATGATGGTGCATTCATACGGGGTTCACGGACGGGGTCCTGGTCTGGTCAAGGACGGCTCGGGCGGGCAAGGCTTGGAGCAAGAGGCATTCATTCATGGGCCAGGTTTCGGCAAGGGGGCGGGGGCGGCATCTGGTCATTGGTTTTTTTGGTTTCCTAAGCATCATCATCATCATCATCATCTCGGAGTTTTTTTGTGCTGTAAGGATTGCTGAGGCAATCGCGGCGGTGGACCAAGGGCTGGGACCACCGCCGCCGTCGGGGGAGCCTCGTGGGGGGCGTTTCTATGGATGCGACAGTGATGAAGCTTGTTGGCAGGGGCATGTATGGTCTCCGAGAATATGTACTGGCGTGCCGGCAATCGTCTTGAAACGAATCGAGCAGTTCCATGGGAATCTAGTCGTCAGTCATAACATTGGCCAACGTGTTTGCTCCTGGGAGAGGAGGGGCACCTCGCTGCAAGGATAGCATGAAACTGGTTTTCCTAGGCCTTTTTGGCTTGCTGTTTGGTATTTCCTTTGCATGATCTGGCAAGTTCGTTTTCAATTGGCCTCAGACTACATGGAAAGAGACTTCGGCCATGCAATTGTGTGGCTGCCAATGCAACTCTGCATGCAGGTGCAATGATGTTCTTGATGTGATGAGATATAAATGAGTGCTGATTTGCTGTATTATGCTCTGCTGTTCACTCTTTTGTTGTCCGCCGGCATTGGAGAGAGCATCCCCCCACGCTGCACGCCCCCAAAGCGACATCACATATTGATAACCCGCCAAGATTTTGACACAACAGATGCAGTCAAGGGATGAGTAGGTCACTGGGAAAAGTTTCTGGTCGTTTTGAATTATTTTGTTTGCAATACCGAAAAAAAGGTCTAGATATTCTATAGATGGCCCACGTGCGACCGGTATTCAAGAAATGCCGCTGCAGGAGACAAGTTGGGGGTATGTGTGATGTAAGTTAGTAAATCTGTCGTCATCAAATCGTTTGCATGCATGCATGGAGGAGGGAGGAGGAGGAGGAGGAGGAGTGTATGGCACCGTCGCCATTTTCCTCCTCTCCTCCTCCCCCTTTCCTTTCCTAAAATCTCTCTCTCTCTCTCTCTCTCTTTCTTCTTCTTCTTCTTCTTCTTCTTCTTCTTGCTCCTCCTCAAATCATTAGGTTACTCAAGCACCACATCCCTTCTCCATTTATAACTCTCTTCTCTCCGACGCTCACACGCTCTACACCGTCCTCCGCTCGACAATCGCCTCGCCGACGGGCCGCCCGCCCACGAACCCGCCGCCCGCGCCGCCGAGCTCGTACACTTTCCGGCCGCGCACCCACGTCTCGGCCACGCGCCCGCGGAACTTCTTGCCCTCCCAGGGCGAGCACCGGTTGCGCCAGCGCATGTCGCCGGCGCGCAGGGTCCACTCGAGCGCGTCGTCGAAGACGGCGACGTCGGCGTCGAGGCCCGCGCGCAGGCCGCCCTTGCGGTGCGCGAGCCCGACCTGCCGGGCCGTGGCCTGGGCGCAGAGGCGGACCATGTCGACGACGGTCGGGACCGCGGCCGGGGTCGCGGACGGGGACGAGCGGGAGAGCAGCAGCCGGCGCCGCCGCTCGTGGGCCTCGGTGTGCAGGATGGGCAGGCCCAGGCCGACGGAGGAGATGCCGCCCCAGGCGGCGAAGAAGTCGCCCGCCGCGCGCTGGTGCTTGGCGGCGACGGAGGCGGCGTCGGCGTCGGCGATGGCGGCCTCGTCGGCGGGCAGGGACAGGTCGACGGCCGAGTCGGGCTGGTGCAGCAAGGACGGCCGGCGCGGGTGGCGGCGGCGGGCGTCGTCGTCCTCGGGCCGGGCGGCGAGGTGGCCGGGCAGGAGCTTGAGCTCGGGCGTGCAGGGGCTGTGGTCCGAGACGACGGTCTTGATGACCGAGTCCGGGGCCGCGAGCTCGGCCCAGAGCCGGTCCTGGTTGGCCTGCGAGCGGATGGGCGGGCAGCACTTGTGGCGCGTGTCGCCGTCGTCGATGCGGTCCGCCGCCAGGCCGAGGTAGTGGAAGCACGTCTCGGCCGTGACGTTGACGCCCGCGGCGCGCGCCCTCTTGAGGATGGGGATGCACTCGGTCGCCGACAGGTGGACGATGTGCAGGTGCAGGCGCGGCGCGAGGTGCGACAGGGAGAGGATCTCCTCGACGGCGCAGGTCTCGAAGACGGGCGGGCGGGACTCGAGGAAGGTGCTGTACGAGGTGAGGTCTCCGGCGGGGGCGAGGGGCGGCTCCGAGTGCAGGACGGCGTCGCCGACCGACTCGGCGATGGGCGGGATCATCTCGGCGTGGAACATGAGGGTGGTGGGGGTGTCCTTGAGGGTGGTCATGGCCAGGGCGATGTCCTTGGACGAGACGGCGGGGAACTCTTCGACCTAAGAGGAGGAGGAGGAGTGTGTGTGTCAGCATATGCGGAATTGCGGAAAGCCGGGTGTCTGTTCACACAAAGACTTACACCCGACTCGATGAGGAAGCCCTTGAAGCCGCGGACGCCGGCGTCGACCAGCGGCAGCAGCTCGTGGGCGTTGCCGGGGATGACGCCGCCGTAGAAGCCGACGTCTACCCAGCACTGGTCCCGGCTGGCGGCGAGCTTCTCCTTGAGGCCGGCGAGGGTGGTGGTGGGCGGGATGGCGTTCAGGGGCATGTCGATGACGGTGGTGACGCCGCCCGACGCGGCGGCCCTGGTGCCGGTGTAGAAGCCCTCCCACTCCGTCCTGCCGGGCTCGTTGAGGTGGACGTGGGCGTCGACGAGGCCCGGCAGGAGCAGCTTGGGGGAGTGGTCTATGTACAGGGCCGAGGGCGGGAAGGAGGACTGGGGCAGCACCGAAGGGGCGACGGACACGATCTTGCCCGTGGCGGGGGATATGCAGATGGTGGCCGGGGTGAGGACCAGGGTGTCGTCGGGGAGGGTGATGACGGCCCTGGTCGAGACCAAGACGACCATGGGCGAGTCTTGGACGACGGGCGTTGAGACGGCCATTGTCGTTTTGATGATGAGGAGGCTCTTGATAAGGGTTATCTCCCAGAATCCGGGGTAGAAAGGGGAAGTCTGGGGAAGGGAGAGGGGTCGACAACGGTGTGAAAGGAGCGGTTGACAAGGGTAAGGGAAACGGTTCGGCTCGCTCGATTGGGGGGAAGTTTCGCTTGAACGAAGAAACGAGCTTTAACAAGAGAGATGGGCAGATCTTATCAGACAGCGGACTGATAAGATGGAGAGAAGGATGGCTGCCGGAAGCTGTGCTTCGATGTTGTATGGGACAAAGATAACGGACGGTGTGTGGTGTGTGTGTGCTTCAGTGAGGCAAGAGATAAGCGAGCGAGAGAGTATGAGAGAGATACCGTGAGACTGCAGACGGGGAGAGAGAGAGGTGGGAAAGGAGGCCGTAGATAAGGAAATCGGGACAAAGGGCGAAGCGGTGCATGGACTTGGAAACGGCGGGAGTTACCCCCAAGCACTAGGACAGGAAGACCACCCCCCTTGACACAGACACAGATCACAGAGAGAGGGAAGAAAAAAACGGCAGGTCCACCAAAAAGCGCCGGATGGACCGTATCTCGAAAAGCGCCTAGATTCGGGAGAGACCCATTTCTTTTAGGCGTCTCGTCTCGGGGGGGTGGAGCCAGTGAGGCCCGAGGGAAGTGAGAGGCAGAGAGAGAGAGAGAGAGGCCTCGCCTTGAAGTCGATGCAGATGCACTTGCATTTGCAGACGGGGAGAGAGACTGCCGGAGAGGCAGGTTGTTGGTGGTGATGATGATATTCACACAGTGATGTGATGATGCTGGTGATGATGGGGTCCGGTGTCGGACCGCCGGCGATGGTGGTATCGCCCGTCGTCAAATCGTCAGGATCAAGGGACGGGCGAGTCTGTCTGGCTTGTCCATTCCTCTCATCTTCAGGCCTCCCCTACCGTCGGGTGGATAGGACAAAACAGCAAACAAGCGGGCAGACTAGACCAGAGCAGACTGGGGAGATCCATCGTTGGCTGCATCTCTGCACCCGGGAAAGGACTGCAGGCAAAACCCGGAATGGGGGCAAAGGAGTAATGTACAAGTATGTATGTATGTACATGCATAAGCAGGACCCTGACTGACACGACACGACACGATGGGACAGGACACGACTGACAAGTCAAGTCACTCTGGCCATCCATCCAAGCTTTTGGTTCGGCCGAGGAGAAGGGATGTCCTCTTTTGCTTTATCAGTCGGCGCTGATTGGCCGGAGGGCGGGAGGGATCGCCAGGACAAGCGATACCTGACCGAGATTGGCTCGCGATTAAAGTTGACAAGGGTTGGGTCAGGGAAGGGTGGTGGTGAGAGGGGGAGACTGGACTGGAGGGGGGGAGAAGACCAGACTGGAGGGGATTCGGTGGTTCCAGCCAAGATGCCTATCATTTGATCAGTCTGGGTTACCTCTCGCCGTCTTCACCTCTCCTCTCCCTCCCTGCGCTGCAAGTCTGTGGCCAGGCTACTGCACACCAAGTTATGTCCGTCCGTTTACCAGTTTACCCTTTTCGGCGCCAACCCGACTCTACTCGCAGTGGATGGCGGACGGGACACGATGCCAGTGCCAGCTCATGTGGCCAAACTCCGGGCTGGATCCACCGACTATGAAGAAAATACAAGTACAAGTAGTTAGTGCCCCGCGCCCCGGAACCCTGGAGGGGTCCAGATTAGTCTTCACCAGTTTTGATCGAGTAAATATCGAGTAATATCTTCACCGTATCGGCCTAGCGTCTTTTCGTCTTTTCATCTTTTCGCATTCTCGCACTCTTCGACAGACGACTTGCAGACATGCACTCCTGGCCTGATCATTTCCGGATTTCGCAGAGCCAGGCCTGCAAGAGTGGCGGCTTGGCGAGTTGCCCTTCCCGCGTGGCCGGTATTACTCGACTCTTACTCGACTCTTACTCGACTCTTACTCGACTCTTACTCGATCCGAGCCTGTGTGCCCGACATCGCGACGGCTTCAATTACATAACACCCACCCCCTGCCCAAGCGGCAGAAGAAAGAACTTGCTCGCCACACACCTCCTAGTCCTTTCGCTCATCCCATCTCATCACGGCTCTCCGGTCTGCTGATCGGGACTCGGAAAAGACGACGAGTGTCGTGATGGCTGACGCCGAGAAGCCTGGTCCATGTTGGCCCTCACAGGCAAATGGTATCATGTCTCGATCGAGATTCCCCGTCATCTTACTTGGTTTGGCATTCATTCTTCTCCTCCCTCGTGAACTCCTTGAATATGCGCTCGAACATGCGAGACAACGTTGCTCTCTGGCGGTTTCCGCAGGGTCTACTTTCTGTCCTCTGCAGTCCCGCCAACCCCTCCTTTATCGATATGTCGATATGTCATGAAATGCACCTGGCACACGCGAGACGAGGTGATAATGTCGGCAATTGTTCCCTCGCAAGTCGCCTCGGTGGTTGTTCCGTGACTATGAATTACCACACACCGGAAGCTTACTCAGTGGCTTGCATTCACCCACCACGACTGGATGATGCCTGTGGCTTTTTTTTCTTTTTTGAATTTCAACGGTACTGGCTGGACTTGTCGCGGGCTTGCGACTGGGATCTCATTCTGTCTCCATTCTTCATCCGCGAGCGTACTTGCGCCACACGCTCTAGGCACGCTATATTACAAGCATTGACATGAAAGTTGTGACGGCTGTGCCCCGGGCTTGGCAGCGGCGTCCGCCGTACACCCTCCGGGTCTTGGCTCGTCCGAGCTTTGCGAAATTGCAGATCACCCCTCCCGTTCTCAGGGCCGACTCGGCGCCGGTCCAACGCTTTTGTCTGCTGCCAATTCGGGCACGATTGTAATCCAATTTGACACCTCAATACCAGTCCCCACTGAGTCGACAAGAAAGTTGCGAAATCCGGGTTTTGGCAGCGCGGTTCTAGCCCGTCGTGTTAGCGGCATGACGTGGCCTGACATCATGAACTTTCTACGATCGCGCACGTCTTCTCCAAGCATCTCCCATTCCCCGCACCGAAGCTCTGTTACTCAGCCCACGTCTCTGGTCCTGGTTCCTGGATGATTTTCAGTGTACGTCACCGTCTGGTCTAGCTCGCAAACATAGATAAATAAAAGAAAAAAAGGTCTTGGCATCTTTTCTTCGGTTCGGTTCACCAACTTGCATTCATCTGAAACGCAGCAGAAAAGAATAGTATCCCGATTTACCACAAAGATCACAGATCTTGGCTGGCACAATGGTTTGGCAACACGGTGACCACCATCACATCCCGAACAAGCACAAGGTCCCCAGGTCAGTGACGTCCCGCATCCAACAGCACTCCATCCCGAGGCCCAGGCTGTCCAAGCTCCTTGAAGCCACCACTTCAACTCGTCAACGAACGAGACCATTCACTAACTCTCCGCAGCCTCGGCGACTGGCTCCCGGCAGACCACCGCGTGCACCACGAGTGGCTGCGCCGCCAGGTCAAGCACGTCGACGAGAACCCGGGCAGGGCCCTGTCCCCGGCCCTGCAGGAGTTCAAGGACTTCATCGAGGGCGAGCCGCGCATCTTCATGTACTTCTCCCAGATGTGGGACGAGGTGCCCAACCGCCCCCCTTACTGCGACGACCCCGTCGGCAACAAGCAGATCCGCGACTACGGCCACATGCTCGACGTGCTCAACCACACCTTTGCCTTTGCGCCGCTGTGGACCGACGCCGCCGAGAGCGTGGGCATGGTCGGCGTGCCCATGTGCGCCGTGTTTGACTATGTCATGGGGACGCCTAGGTGAGCTACTCCGGCGAATGTTTAAGGCTTGAAATTACGAGGGGAGCTGGTTCAGACGCACTGACGGGTCACGCAGTGGACATGCGGCTTTCTTGGACCCGGATGTGAACAGGATGCTCAAGAAGGTGCTGAATGCGTGGGGCAAGTACTTGACTGTAAGTTAAAGTCGAGTCACCCGAGAGAGGGGACAGGCGATGGTGCTGTCCGGCCGAATTCCGATACTAACCCATCTGTCCATCCAGACACCCGAGTCTGCAGAGGTCCTGGGCGACCACGACGCCGGCTGGTTCGGCAAGACGGGCTACAGCGACCTGATGGCCGTCGCCAACGCCCCCTACAAGACCGACCACAAGTTCGAGGACGTGTTTGTGTGCGATCCGTCCAAGAAGCACTACGGATTCAAGTCGTGGGACGGTACGTAGAACCCTCTCTCTCTCATCCCATAACCCCTTTTCCCGACCCAAAAAGAAGAAGAAAAAGGTGGACTGGCCCAACAAACGATTGAACAATACTGACTTATCCGCCAAACAAAAAAAGACTTCTTCACCCGCCAGATCCGCGACTCGGCCCGGCCCGTCGCCTCCCCGGACGACGACAGCGTCATCGCCAACGCCTGCGAGAGCAAGGTCTTCAACCTCGTGCGCGGCGCCAGGCTGCGCGACCGCTTCTTCATCAAGGGCCAGCCCTACTCGGTGCTCGACATGCTCGCCCACGACCCCCTGGCCGCGCGCCACTTCGCCGCCGCCACCGTCTACCAGGCCTTCCTGTCCGCGCTGTCCTACCACCGCTGGCACGCCCCCGTGTCCGGCAGGATCGTGCGCGCCTTCGTCAGGGACGGGACCTACTTCTCCGAGCCGCTGTTCGAGGGCGTGGGCGACCCGGAGAACGCGGCCAAGCGGGAGGACGCCATCGACGTCCGGGGCATCACGGCGGCGCAGGGCTACCTCACGGCGCTGGCCACGCGGGCCGTCATCTTCATCGAGGCGGACAACCCGGCCGTCGGCCTCATGGCCTTTATCGGCGTCGGCATGGACGAGGTCAGCACGTGCGAGATCACGGTGAAAGAAGGGCAGAGGGTCAAGAAGGGCCAGGAGCTGGGCATGTTCCACTTCGGCGGGTCGACGCACTGCCTGCTGTTCCGCGAGGGCGTCCAGGTCGACGGGTTCCCGCGGCCGGGCAGGGCGGAGAACGTGCCCGTCCGGGGGAAGCTTGCCGTCGTTCACAGGTGAGGGGGAAAAGAGGGGGAGGCCGTTGGGAAACGGAGGTAAAATGATTGTACGGGTTGATCGATTGACTGGTACATGAGCAGTGGAAGATGTGATGGTAGTATTTGATTTGGGTTTGAAAAGTTCAAAAGAGTGTCGAACCTCATTGATATCAGCTTTATGTGCCCACAAGTGTCTTCCTGGAAAGACTGCCCACAACTTGAATGCAGTGTCCTCGATTGCAGCCTACATCAGTCACGGACGCGACCCCCAAGCATAACCAAAAACTGTGAGTCATGCAGGAAAAAGTAACCTGGCGGAAATCCCACCTCAAAATACGACGGCGATTCGGCCAATTTGAAGCATCTTTGCTTCCATATCAATATCCAGCTCCTCGTTATCCTCGGGCATCTGGAAGTCAAGCCCATAGCTATCACGTTCCTGATCACCCCTCAGAGCAAACTGACAATCCAACGCCTCGAAGGAGTCTTCGTCGTGGGCCTCAGACTGTCCTTCGTCATAGTAGAAATCATTGATATCATCTACTGAATTCCCAGTTAAAGTCTCTGTTGCGTCTGAATCTCCGAGCCCATGTAGATCTCGTCTCAAACATGCCCAGCAGGGATCCTTCCTTGATAGAATGAGAACATACTCTACCACTCTAGCTGCAATCAAGGCCGTCGCGAGGCGTCCTATGGGATTGTCGAACGCGCGGATCATGAAACTCTCGGCTGGGGTATCAAGAAGCTCTTGCCAAGTGTCTACAGCGATAAAGGACGGAAGGCAGGATATGTCTGCCTTCTGTGAAGCACTGTGATGGCACCCCGTTCCAGATATCTTGATGACATCGTCCCAAGATCTAGAGTTGTTGATATCACCAATCCACCTACCCCTATCATAAATGGATATGGCAGTCTCGAGGAAATATGCCGGTGCATCTCTATTGCTCCGCCGGTCAACATCTACCGGGAGTTCGTAACCGGTGAAGGACAAGTGAAATGTGGTCTTGTCGAATCCATCCAGAAAGGAGCCGTCAAAGGGAGCATGAGTGACCAGATTCCACTCTGCAAAGTTCACCTCTGCAATTCTGGGATCCGGCGGACTGATCAGGAATGCCAGGCCTGGACGTCCTACATTACCAAAGAGTACCTCAACCAGGGGCTCGGGGTCATCTTCGCCAGGATCTCGCAAAAGATTGCTTGCCACGAAGATAGAGGCATTATACGACAGTGCAAATGTGTCATCTCCTATTGAGTCCGGGTCAATGTCCAACCCTCCAGTCTCGAAGTAGGCGATGCAGCTCAATGTTGTCGCCAATCCTAGTTCGTGATTGCACACAGTCGATTGCCACCACTTTGCTCCACTTGGGCTTGCTAGGGTCACACGTAGATCAACTTTGGCGCCGGGAAGCTTGTCGAATACAAGTTTAGCTGTATCAATGGCCTGCAAGGACTGGAAATAATTGCTCGATTCGAGCCTTTTGTACTCGGTAAAGAAGGAATCGACCAGTTGAGACAGATCTAGTTCGGCCCTCTCCAAGCAATCAATGAGCTGCCCTACTGCAATCCGCGTCTGGCGTTCTTCGCGAATCCGAGACGGTAGATAAACAGCCGCGATAGATGGTTCGCCACACACTATGGTGTAGTCTTCCCGTTCACCGCCTAGCCGACCGGGCATGTAGATTGTTGTCATGTCGAATGTGGGACAGTCTTCCGAGTCTGCCCAGGTGAGAGGAGCGTTCAAAGGGTTGACTTGCTGCGTGCTGCTTCGAGTTCTCCTGCGCTTCTTCGAGGACTCGTTGTCAAGCACCGTGGTGTATTGGGCTGTCGAAAAAGACGTTGTGTGGTATCTAATGACAGCATGCTTTGCTTTCGAGGCTTTCAGATTGTTCAGGGCCCACATCTTGAGAAAATAAACACATCCAGAAGAATCATTGTTGAAGGAAGTGACAAGACCAGTGAATTCGGTCAGGCCAAAGAAGGGAGCGATTTTCTCTTTGTTTGCATCAAGGAACTCGCGCGATCTTCGCTGGCCAAATAAGAGAAGGTGTGTGATCTCTTGTCGTCGTACGTCCCTCGACTTTGTGTACAGACTGATTGCCTCCCCGAAGGTTCGGAGCCATTCTAGCCTTTTTGGCCTGTCTGTGAGAGCAGCCCCTTGCCATCGGACAGTTGCAGCAAATTTATGTATCAGCTCCAGTGCAGCGTCGAGGCGAGAGCTTGCTATTTTCCATCCTCCGAGAACAGCTCCGAGGCAGACAAACAGAAAATCCTCAAACGCAACCCGAGAGTCTCCCACTCCGGCATGTCGCTTGATCATAACAGGGTCTCCATAGTAACGGGCGTGTGCCAGAGGGAGAGACCAAAACAACCCCTGACTATCGTCATGCTTGCCCTGTAAGCCAATGGTGACAATCCCGCCAGGTTCGACGAGAGAGTCGCGTTGGAACACTTGCTGATTGCTCTCAGCCACACTAAGATCTGGATATATGTGCCAGGACGACAAGCCTAAGAGCACGGCGCCGTTTTGGATGCTCTGAGGGATTCCGTTGATCAGTCTCTCCAAAGCAATGAGGGCGTTGGACCAGGCTTCGATGACCGCTTCATACACTGTAGTATGTGTAGAGACTGGCAGTGGGATATTGTCAATGACAAGCCGTAGCTGTGTCTGTTATAGCTTTTTGGCATCATCAGCAACCTGAAGCCATGATCTTTGGGCATTGTTAGCTTTCGAATCTATCTCTGAGTTTTCAGTTATTCGCATACCGAGCACTGGCATCCCAGCTATCTAGCTGAACCCTGCTGATCTCAAGGCGGGAAGCCGTGAGGTCCGATGCCTTAAACTCGTGTTCGCAATTTGCAATCTGGGTCCGAAGGTGTGCCTTTCTCTGCTCCACAAGTTCGCTCCAGACAGAGATCGCCTCTTCCCGCGTCCATATCCGTGCTAGCATGCATGCGAGGAGGTGTATCGTGACTGCCTCACGGCCAGATGTGGCTGCTGCCCAGATGGTAGTTCCGTCAGCGCCAAGATGGTCGGCAAAGATCGCTGGGTTGATCGAAGACTTGGTCTTCGTCTGGGGTAGCTTGGCGATCTCGCTCACACGCTTTCCATACGCCTGTATCAAGTTGGGCACTTCGGGCATGACGCTGTGGAAAAGCGCACTCAGCTTGCGGGCCGTGACGTGGAGCTGCCCGTCCTCTGCCTCGTCTCTCCGTCGCTTTGTGAGCGCTTCACCCAGCCTTCTGTACTCTTGGGGTGCATCGTACTTGATGATGGAAAAGTCGAAATTCAAGTTGGCGAATGCCAGGGTTGTCTCCTGTGAAGCCTTCAGGAAAGCACCAGTCAGCTGCCCAAAGGAAGCCATGGTCGTGTTCTTTAACGGCAGGATTCCGGTCCAGTGTAATTGCCGGTGGCATATGTGACCTGAAAGAAGCGACAGCATATACTTTTATGCAAGCAGAAATCAACGGACGAACGTCGAGGTTGGGCAAGCGCAGTATGCCAGTCGCGTACCCAACGACTGGCTGCACTACGAAGATCTCGTTATCCAATGGAATAATCTGCACTGCCGCCGGGGCGTACTGCAATCCCAGCCCGTCGCGAACGCAATGTGCAGAATCACTGGGCAGTGCTGAGGCTGCGTATGCTAGGAGGTGCAGCTGGCTGTCGAGGGGTAGCGGTCAAAGAACAACGCATCGGCTCCATTCGAGATCAGGCAGGCAATCAAGGCTCGTTGTTCAAGTGCCAAATGGTCACTCATGCGGTGATTCAGCCAGGCTCAATTTGCTCCATGGTTGGGAGCTGCGGCGAAGTTCACCAAGACGTAGACCACGCATTAGAAAGCAGGAATACTGCATCAAGGGCCCCTTTTCACGAAGGAATCAGGCGGACCAAGGTACTGTCACTTTCAGCCTGTGGTGGCCACACCTGTCTCCATGTCAGTCTTCCAAAGAGTACACCTTTTTGCTGTGTGTATGCTTCTGTTGGCATCGGTTCAAGATTGATCATGGCTTGATAGTAACTCGCCTTATGCTGACCACCACTTATCAAAACAACCCAAGTCCTAAATATTGTTCGCATAGATCTAAGCAGATTGGTTAGGGCCTTGAACTATCAACTTGAAACTGTGAAGCCATTCTCATGGGTCCAGCCTCATTGAGTTCGAGACTTGCGGGTGCCTTCATTAAAGAGCATCACAGTGCCGGAGGGAGGGCTACCAGCAGTCGGTCAAGGTCTCCCACGCTCCGCTACCGTGAACCTTTGGGCCATCATTAGTTCCTCAGCGCCCAGATGACTTTTGAGAAGTGGCTTACCACAAATGCCAAGTCAAACACGCCCGTCTACTCAATCCAGTCCCGACCGATGCCAGAACTGTGTAGCCTGCCGACTCTTAGGCGTAAGTGAGCCACGTAAAGAAAAGGAAAAAGTCGTCCGGCAGGACTGGACCAGCGTTGCCTAAGGTAGTCGTAAACACCATAGCCGCTTCAGGTCATATACGAGGTCTTTGTCCTGCTTGCCGGACCTCTATGCTCACAGGGCGGCTATTTCAGCTAGGTGCAAGGTGAAACAGACGCCTCAAACAGCCAGGCCTAGATAAATTTATTGCGGACAAAGGACAATGCTTTGAATGGACAATTCATCTGGCGAGCATTGCACAGCCTGCGTCACTGCCGGCCACTGAGAGCCAGTCGTTGGGCGGCCAAGGATGATGTGGCCAGGGATCGCAACCCGCCCCTGTGGAGGATCGTCCCTTGTTTCATGCCAACAAAGAGGGCCAACCAACCCCAGCGAGCGCTTACACAGACGTCATAAAACGGTCCCTGCATGCCTGTCGCTCAGGTTGCACTCAACAAGCAAGCAAACGAGAGGCAAATTGATTGCCAGTTTCTCTTCAAGGCTTACCTAGACTTTCTCTACTCCTTTGCATACTGCCCATCTTTTTTTCTCCGCTTGACATGATCATCACGAGCCAACAGCGCCATGTTTGAAACGGCAAACTGCAAAGATATCCCCAAGGATACACCTACCGATGCGGGCATCGCTGGGACCGGTGTAAGTGCCGCCTGGAACAACTCGCTGTAGCCCCGCATAAGCGTCGCTGCTGGGAGACCCAAAAGCCTGGAATCCACTAAATGGATCAGCACTGACAGTGATATATGCTCAGGTCCTTCTCTCCTTCATCTTCACAGCCGGCCTGGTGCTGGTCATGAGCGCCTCGCTCATCATCCAGGACAGCCTGGTCACATGTCCGGAACAAGACGACGACGACCGCCTGCCAAAATCCCAGGGCGACGGTGGTTGCCGCCGCCGCCGGCCGCAGCACACGATCCGGCGCAAGCTGCTCAGCAGCTACTCGGACCAGCAGATCATGACGGGCATCGGCATCCAGAGCGTGGGGCTGGCCAAGGCGGCGACCCTCGTGCCCTACCACTTCTTCCTCGTCTGGATGCTGTCGCTGCTGTCCATGGCGGTGCACAACGCGACGCTGCTGGTCCTCGTGCGCGACTTCCGCCGCGACTGGGTCCTGCGCTGGCTGCGCCAGGCCCTCATGCTCGTCAACCTCGCGCTCAGCACCGTCTACGGCGCCTACGTCCTGCAGAGCGTCCGGCGCGACCTGGCGCCGACGCTGCCCATCGCCTGCGTCTGGGACTACGGCGCGGCCGGGGACGACGGCCGCGCGGCGCCCAACGCGGGGCTCATGTACGTCGGCACGGGGGCCGTGATCGCGGGCAACTGCGTCGTCTTCGCGCTGGCGACGTGGTACCTGCACGGCGCGGCCGCGGGCCAGCGGCGGCCGAGGTTCTACCGCGCCGCGCAGCTGGTGGGCACGGCGCTGATGGCGGCCATCGCGATCGGCGCGACGGCGCGCATCATCGTCCTGAGCCAGGCGTTCGGGGCGCCGTCGGTGCCGCTGCGGGACCGGGGCGAGCAGGACTGGAGCTTCGGGCAGCTGCTGTCGCTGCTCATGCTGCTGCTGCCGCTGGTGTCGGTGCTGGAGATCTACAGGGGCGCCGTGTACGAGGCGCCGCCGGATAGCTATGCTTTATGAGGGGTGGTGGGTGTGGCATCTTGTATCATCTCTCAGTGACGGTGTTCCTGGCCAGACCCGAGCGAGTCGGGTCTGCGGAGCTGCGTGGAAAACTAGAGTGGTCTGTCATCAGCGAGTAATAATATCAAAAAGATTACATTTAGGCCAAGCTGTCAGTTTCTATCTATGAGTATCGTCGTCTGACTGTTTAAAATACGGCTCGTCTCCACTTGGACGAAGGTAAGTTCAGCTTGTCGAGACTAGCCCGATCTGTATAAGCCGTAATTCCGGTCGAAATCTCACATCGGGCAACATGGCCGAGTGGTTAAGGCGAGAGACTAGAAATCTCTTCCGTTCGCGGGCGCAGGTTCGAATCCTGCTGTTGTCGATTTTCTTTTGCTTCTTTTTTTACCCCTTACCTCTGTGTGAATGATTTTACGTTTTGGCATTCCGACCGATTGGATTGGCTTGTTGATAGAGTGCGGGATTGCAGGTAAGCTGTCTGAAGGCGCTTTGGAGTGTGATGCAGTGGGCAAATGTTCCGTATAACCGTGGGAATTGAACATGAGCCCAACAGAAGAAAGAGAATGGATAGCCAGTGATAAAATGACGAGGAGGACCGAAAGGAGGTATGGCATGGAAGGAAAATTAGGCCGAATAGCATCGATCACTTCCGCAGAAGAGGAATCTCTCGTGTCGCGGGTGTCCAACCTTGAATCGTTGGATGGGCGTCTTATGGTGTGCAGAGGCAGAGTCACCTGCCAGTTTGGCCGATCTCCCAAACACAAACTGAGAGTCCGCGCCATGAGACCTTCCTTCAACCTTCTTTCTTGAAGAGCCAAATCTCCAGACCGACTGAGGTTACAACAAAAACAATCCAGACGAAAATGGCTATAATACATGTCGTCATGTTTTCCTTTGCGCCTCTGGCCACGCAAGAAGAGGTCCAGGGTGTAAGTACACTGGTTCCATTGGACAAAACTCGATCCGACCTGACCGTCTCTTCTGTTTAGGTCTGCGACAGGATGCTTGCCTTGAAGGACAGGTGCCTGCACCCACAAACGAACAAGCCTTATGTCAAGAGTGGCATTGGCGGCAAGGACAACAGTCCCGAGGGTTTACAGGTGAGTTTGCACTGCTGCCGAGCCTGCATGCCGCTTCATCGACGACTGATATCCTAACTATCTGCATCGGCTTTGCTGTTAGGATGGCATCTCGCACATCTTCGTCAGCGAGTTTGAGAGCGAGGAGGACAGGAAATACTACTTGGAAAAAGACCCTGAGCATCTAGCATTCGTGGAGAGCATCAAGGGTATTGTCTCCAAGGGTCAGGTTGTCGATTTCTGCCCCGGTGTTTTCTGAAGGCCTTGCATTCAGTCAGAGAGTTTGTCGACTTTATGTGAGGGGCAATGAATACCTAGGGCTGTGGTGACGTTGATTGCCATTCGCAAACCAATGAACACCAATATTGGTGCCGCCCGGAGATTCATGTATTTCGTGATGAGATCATCAAACACCAATTGATATTCTGACAACATATTATGCTTCCTATGGATACATGTTCTATATATCCCATCGCTTGGTACGGATGTCGCTTCAACTGCAATCATTCTGCCACGTACCTGAAAGTCGATATAGCCCTATTGCGATCCCCTAACCCACTACGCCAGTTCCCCGCACCGGCCCTGCTGTGCTGGCTGTCCGGGGCATTCTTCCAGCGTGCCCCAGTGGCCAGCCAGTAGGAGACCCTCTTTCGCTCAGCCTGGAGTTTTTTTGGTGCAGCTACGTCATGTTCTCCACCACGTCGCTGCTCATCTCATCTTCACCTGCCTCAGTTTCGCGGGGATGAGATAGACGACGCGAACAAGAGAACAACAAGCTTTCAGCAAACCCGGATCGCGTCCCGACTATTCGCAACTGGAGAAACATCAAGAGCAAATTACCCACCAGTGAGTGAGTGGGCTGGTAGTGAGGGGACAGTTGATTGGCGAGCGCATTGTGCGACAGCAAAAACAAGCTCGTTTGACGGGTCGCCTCGAAATCACCCCACACCTCACTCACGCCCGCCTCCATCCAGCGCCTGAGTCGAGCTCTCCACTAATACAACCACCATCACCTCCTGCGCTGCTACACTGCCTTCAGGCCGCCTTGCCTTGCCTTACCTTCCCTCACTCCTCTTGACTGGCCTCAGCTTCCCGACCTGCATCCACGGGCCAACAGAGCGCCTCAAATACCGGCTGCGCAGGCATCATCGCAGCCCTTGACAAAATACCGAGCCATCCCAGATCAAACCCACCAGGACCCGTTACGATGTCGCAGCAGTCGCATCCCATGATCATTAACCTCCCCCAGCCCCCTTCAAATCCGGACACCCCGTCTGAGATGCCGTGAGTATCCCCAATCCCCCACAATCCGCTCCTTGCGACTACCTATGATTGCGCCTGCAAATCCCTGCCAGCCGGGCAACAATGCCGGATTCAAGACTGACCAGCTTTTGACCACAGCGGCACCCCCACCAGCACGACTACCTCCCTCTCTGCCCTCTCGACTACCGCGATCAAAGATGGCCATCGTGGGCATGCCCTCGCGTCCGCTGGTGGCCGCGGCCACGGCCATCATGCTTCGACCAACAGCCTCGAAGCCGAGCGCGCAGATCGCATCTCTCGCCTAGCTGGTCTGTCTACCGTCTCGACCCTGCGCCCTCCGCACGGCAGCCACGGACAGTATCAAAATCTACCTACCCAGACCACGCCCACCTCGAGCGGCTTCCCTGCCGGTGTTGCTTCCGGCATCACCCCTGCATACTTCGACGCCCAGGGCCAGCCGATCGCCCCTACTAAGATGAGTACGGTCGGAACCGCGTCCGCAACTGAGAGTGTCGGCGGCAGGACTCTTGCCGACGGTCGCGAAGATGACCAGGACATGCCTGACAACGAGGAGGATCTGCTGAGCATGGACACGAACTACCGCGAGACCGAGATGGACTCGGCCAGTGGCTATCTCGGCGCTGGCGCCGGTGAGATGGACCCCATGGACGAAGATTTGGCGACTCGATCTGTGGGCGGCTTTGACGATCGGATGAGCGACGACGGCTCCGCTAGCCTGGTTGGCTTTGGCGAGGGCGCAGGCAGCACGGTTAGCGGACCTATCTATCACCGCCGGCCGATCCCGGCCGGAAGCTCTGCGGGTGCCATGGCCAACATCTGGGGACTGGAGCGCAGCAGCTCCGGTCTGAGCGAGGGCGGTACCGTGGGTGGCCAGCGCCGAGATACGGTTAGGCCTGGCGATAGAGAAGGCGGCGAGACCCCTGTCAGCATTAACGCTGCTGCTGAGCGGCGCGAGGCGCGCATGATGGACGGCATTGCGACCGATGGCGGCGGCACGAGCTCCTTCGTCGATACCACGGCCCGTGGACCGATCCCTGTCGGACAGGTCCAGCCGAACACGAGCGCCGTGCGGGAGACACAACAGCCTTCGTCACATCAGCAGCTCCAGCAGCAGGAGCTTCAGCAGCAGGAACTTCAGCAGCAGGGTAACCTCCCGCCGCGAGATGCCGCTGAGCGCATCCTCCGGGACCGACTAGATGAGGGCGAGGCACATGTCGGCGATGCAGCGATGGGCAGCCCTGGACAGGGTGGCGAGCGGCTTGGCAAGTTCTACTTTGAGGGGCGCAAGTGAGCTTGGGACGTGAGCTTTTCTATCCTTGAACTGCGCTTCTTGAATGTTGGGTCTACTTGTTTGATCTTCCTTGTCCTGTCACCGGGGAGTTGCCTGGTTGGACAGGACGAGTGGTATTCCAAACACTCGTTACTCGTCAGGTACTCGAGTTAGTTCTCTTTGATTTTTCTGAGTTTTCCGGTGCGTACGATTAGTGATCAAGACACACGAGAAAGGGGTCTCAAATGCTCAGAGCTAGAGCTTTCGGGGAAAATGGGAGCTGGCATGATGGTGGTGACGTTCTCACCACTGTTCAGGGAGCGGTGCTTACACGGAGTTTATGGTCTCGGGAATGAGTTTTGTACGATTAGCACTGCACGTACCTTTTTGATTTTGATGAATCGAAATCATATCTGTTTGCCTTGCATTTGGAGAGTGTGGTTGAGTTCTTTTCAAGGACATTCAAAAGCTCACGTACTCATCACTATCACCGTTGGTCCTTCAAATGATCACTGGAGATAGTGGCATGAATGAGCTTGCCTTTATGCAACAACATGGCAAACCGGCTCTAATCACACCTACCCAAATGAGGGTGTCAATACAATGCTACCTATCCCCTTAATCGCCAAAAGTCGGCTTTTTGGTTCTTTAGTGGCACCTACCAGGGTTGTATCAAATGAGAGGCCCTGAAATGCTCGGATCGACAAAATAATCACTTCAAAATACAGAGGCTTGTCAGCCCTGTTGGTGATCGATTTAGTGATCTAGGTCTTGTTGCCAATGAGGCCTATTGTCACCAGGATTGATCAGGGTTTGGCCAGGGCTTGACCAGGGAGTGACCAGGGATTTCAGGTGAGCTCTGTTGATTTGTATATGATTGTACTGTGGGGAGGTACCAAAAAGCCGACTTTTGGCGATTAAGGGGATACAGTATGAGCACGGGATGCTGGTGAAGAAACATTGGATACACGTGGAGAGCCAATAGCGCCATTAGCGGCGACGACCGGGAAAATGGCATGCATGACGAGCGGGGAGCGGAGCGGACCCAATCGTACGGTTACAGCAGAGGAAGACAGATTGGCATCTTTGCAAGTGATCCTTTACTGATGAAGCAATTCTCTTGTGCCAGACAGTCGACATCTCTAGTGGTTTGCCGTGATGGCAGCAGTGGCGACGCACAGCGCAGTCGCGCCAGACTCTATGGGTTTCGAGGCAGGTAGCACAGATGGCCAGGATGGCATCCGGACGGTGGACGCGGTGATGCACTACTATGACGATCCGGGAGACGGGTCGCCGCCCATGCCCGTGAGGATTGGAGCGTAAGTCTGCTTCAAAATGAGGTCCCTTCGCATCCTCCGGTCCCCCTCTCTATTTCATTGAGTGATATGCTGATGGGAGACGTACGTTGGGGGCACTCTAGCAACACGGTCACAAATGAGCGGCCCATGGTCGCGGTCCCCAAGACCATCACGGACATCAGGGGCCGCGAGGGGGACTACAACCTCGACAACTGCGGCTTCCAGTTTATCAAGCACGAGACGGCCACGGCCTGCCGGGAGGACGGGTACCACGACGAGGAGATCATCAAGACGGAGTACTTTCGCGAGTGCGAGCAGATCCTGAAGGACGTGTACGTAAACTATTGCGCTTGCACGAGTGTATTTTCGTGATCACAGGGAGCCAGAATTAACGTCTGTCTTATGTGTGACAGCACCGGCGCAACGAGGGCGTTTGTCTTTGACCACAGGGTGCGCCGCGGCCCGTCCGACTGGCACAAGCTCGGCGAGAACAACGCGTCGAAGCGCGGGCCGCTGCACAGGGCACACGTCGACCAGTCGTACTTTGGCGCCGAGCTCGCCGTGAGGAGGGACTTCCCCGACGAGGCGGACGAGCTGATGAAGAAGCGGTGGCAGATCATCAACGTGAGTTCCCTCTGGCGGCTTTTGGCGGGCAGCAGCCCCCATTTCTCTCATATATATATATATACTACTGGCTGCCTCTCGATTTCTTACTTACTCATGTACGTTGCACAGGTCTGGCGCCCGATCAAGACGATCCGCAAGGACCCCCTGGCCGTGGCCGACAGCCGGTCCGTGCCGGACGCGGACCTCGTCGCCGCGCGCATCATCTACCCGCGGGAGGAGAAGGAGTCGTGGACGATCCTGCCGGGCGGGTCGCACCGGTGGTACTACCTGCGCGAGCAGCGGCCGGACGAGGTGCTGCTCATCAAGTGCTTCGACTCGGACGAGGCGGTGGCCCGGCGGGCGCCGCACTCGGCGTTTGTGGACCCGGCGCACGAGGGGGACGAGCCGCGGGAGAGCATCGAGGCGCGGGCGCTGGTGTTTCACGGGTGATGTGTGTGTGTGTGTATGTGGATACATATCTTGCTTGCTTGCTTGCCTTTTGCTACTGCTGGATCATAGCGAGAAAGAACAGAGTTTTGAGACCCTGTGATGAGCACTGATGCGTTGTGACTCGAGTGGTATTGTGTGAGAGAATTCAGGTCCCGGACTCTTCACTTCTTAGTGATGCCAATTGAACAACGTCCACAAGAGTGAACCCATTGTTCAAACGGCTACGTAATGCCAAAGAACATGCTGAGAGTTGCCAAGCGAATAACTGCTTGGTCATTGTTTTGACAGCCGTTTCCTGCCGCCAAGTACCGGTCTGAAGCGCCATTCCGGAATCACCTCATATCCGGGATTCTTGTCTTTGAGACATTACATTTGCCCCCACTCCCAGCAGCCCCCAACGACGGGAATGTCAGGAAATTCAGCCAGAGTTCTTGGGCAGATGGCACGGCATGCAGTAGCGCCGCCTTCAACGAGCTCTAGGCTCTCGACTAGACGGCCCAAGACCCCCACAGACTGCCGCAAGAAGTGAAAGCGATAAAGCTACTGGAAGCTTTCGGTCCCTGGGAGCAGCTGTTCTGCCTCCCATGGGTGGAGACCTCCAAGAAAGAGGCGGGTTAGGTCTGGTAAAAATTTCGGAATGACGAGCTAAGAGATCCGGAAAAAAAAAGGTCGAGCGTTTAAAAGCCGGATGCCACCCGGGTATGTCAACATGCCTCGTGCTGCTGTCTCAGGGTTGCGAGGAAGGGATGGCAGAGATCTAACTGCTTTTTGACATACGGGCCGGGAGATTCGATATCAGCAGTAATGTCACAACCGGGGGAGAAGAGCACGGCCGCCGAGCCGCTGGCCGCCGGCACACCACCCGAGGATCCCGTTGTCGCGGGGCACGATGCCCACAACGCTGCTCCGGCCACGGCCACGGCCACGGCCGACCAGGATGTCGCGATCCAGATGGTTGGCGAGGAGCGCCACGCGATCGACCCCGTCGTGGCCGCCCGCGCCCGGCGCAAGATCGATCTGTTCCTGATGCCCATGATGGTTGTTGGATGTAAGTTACCTAGGACACCGCATCGGCCCCATGCGTGTGAGGAGGAGGAGGAGTAGTAGTAGTAGCGGGGGTACGGAGCTGACATCGACCTCCCCCTCCTTCAGACGGACTCGTCTACTACGACAAGGCCATCCTCGGCTCGGCCGTCCTCTTCGGCATGACGGGCGACCTCGGCCTCGCCGTCGTCGACCGGTCGACCACCCCGCCGACGACCGACACCTCGCGCCTCAGCTGGGCCACCTCGCTCTTCTACTTTGGCATGCTCGCGGGGCTCTACCCGCTGACCTACCTGCTGCAGCGCTTCCCCGTCGGGCGCACCCTCTGCGCCCTCATCGCCGCCTGGGCCGCGACGTGCATGTGCACGGCCGCCGTCACGAGCCACGCGGGGCTCTACGCGCAGCGCTTCTGCCTCGGCTTCGTCGAGAGCGTCATCCCGACGGCCTTTATGTGCATCGTGTCGGGCTACTACACGCAGGCGGAGCAGTCCCTGCGCCAGTCCTGGTGGTTCTCGAGCACGGGGCTCTGGACGGTCATCGGCGGCGGGCTCAACTACGGCTTCGCGCAGATCGGCGGCGGCGCGCGCCTGCGGCCCTGGCAGTGCATCTACCTGTTCGCGGGCGCGCTGACGCTGCTCTTCGGCCTCTGCTGCGCCTGGATGCCCGACAGCCCCGTCGACGCGTGGTTCCTGACGCGCGAGGAGCGCTTCGCGGCCACGGAGCGGCTGCGCGCGGGCCAGACGGGCGTGCGCTGCACGCGCATCAAGCGCGCGCAGCTCGTCGAGGCGGCGACCGACGCCAAGGTCTGGCTCGTCGCGCTCATGATGGCGTCGGCCTACACCGTCAACGGCGCCGTCAGCGGCTTCGGCCCGCTCATCGTCTCGACGTTCGGCTGGAGCACGCTCGACGCCATCCTGCTGCAGTTCCCGCTCGGCGGCATCTGCCTGTTCGCCATCCTGGCGACGGGGTACCTCGGCTCGCGCTTCCGCGACGTCCGGCTCTTCATGCTCGTCGCGTGCTGCCTGCCCGTCATCGCCGGGTGCGCCATCATCTGGCGCAGCGAGTGGACGTACCGCGCCGCGGCGCCCGTCGTCGGCTACTCGATCACGGGCTTCTTCGGGGCCGTGGTCAGCCTCATCATCACGGTCGGCATGTCCAACGTCGCGGGCCACACCAAGAAGAGCTTCATGGCGGCGACCATCTTTGTCGCGTACTGCGTGGGCAACATTGTCGGCCCGCAGCTCATCAAGTCGCAGACCAAGGCGCGGCACTACCCGGAGCTGTGGCTGGGCCTGATCATCTGGTGAGTTTTTCTCTTGTTGTTTGTTCGCACTGTGGTCTTTTTCTTTTTCTTTTTCTTTTTTTTTACAGTTGGGCGGTGATGGCTAACCATGAGGATTACTTCACAGCTACTGCATCACTATCCTCGCCTCGATCGCGCTGTACTTTGTCCTGCGCCGCGAGAACGCCAAGAAGGAGGCCCTGGAGGTGGACGAGGCGGAGAAGGACAAGCTCGCCTTCCAGGACCTCACGGACAAGGAGAACCCTTACTTCAGATACGTCATGTAGAGGAGCGGGGTCGAACAAAGTTGAGAACATCTCATCTGAGGGTTCTTTTCTTCCTTTCTCTTCTTTTTTATTGGATTACTAGTTTTTGAGACTCGGGCTGGCACCCGACGTTGGGGCGAAAAGGAGATGAAGTAGATAGAATCGCGACTTGCAACCCGGGCTTGTTTGTAGAAAAGCCTCCATTCTTCCGACCTGCTGCCACCTCAAATTCAACATGAAGGGTATCAGGAAAATATAAGAAAATAATTGTTGCATAGTAAGAAAGAAGGCGAAAAAAAAAAGTGACCAACGTCTTTGGGAGAGAGTGGGCTCAAACCCAGCCACCTCCCACCACAGCTCTCAGGGAAGGACACAAAAGTTGTCAAGAGCTTTCCCGGGATCGAAACTCGGCCGCAAAAGAGCATTAGATCCAATCTGTGCGTCACAGGCATTGCCACCTGTCTTGCCATACCCCCCCACACATGGAAAACTTCCACTTTACTGGGGATAAGGAGTCGTCTGCTGCTGCTGGTGCGTCGCAACCGGAGCCTGGGGCTGCTGCTGCTGCTGCTGGTAGCCGCCGTTCTCGGCGTACGGGCCCTGCTGGTAGGTCTGCTGCTGCTGGGGCTCCTGGGGGTACGCGGCGGGCTGCTGCTGCTGGTAGGTCTGCTGGGGGTAGGCCTCCTGCTGGGCGTAGCCGGCGGGCTGGGTCTGCTGCACGGGCGCCATCTCGTAGGGCGCGCCGGCACCGGCGGTGGCTCCGACGGCGGGAGCGGGGCCGCCGACGGGCTTGGTCTCGGTGTGGACGCCGGCGCCGTTGGTGGCGCCGACGGTGTTTCGGCGGTGGGCGAGCAGGTTCACGACTTGAGCAATTGCGGTGTTTAGTACAAAAGAAATACGTGTCTATCGCAAAAGGTCGATTGAGATTGAAAAAGGACTTACTGAAGAAGCCGAGGGTGATGCAGAAGAGGACCCAGAGGAGGGCGCCGAGGGCGGCGGCGGCCTTGATGCAGTCGATGGCCGACTTCCAGCCGCTGCCGGCCGAGTAGTAGTAGCCGTAGTAGTAGCCGTCGTAGATGGTCCAGGCGGCGGCGTACGAGGCGAGGACGGCCCAGCTGCAGAGCCAGAAGATGACGCAGAGGGACTCGAGGGCGCTGTTGTTGTGTTGTTGTCAAACAAGGTCAGTAGTCTGTCAAAGGTTGTGTTGCATATTGTCAAAGTGCAGTGTGGTAGGTAGCATGCAACACTTACAGATGGGCCCAGGCGTTGTAGACGTGCGGGGCGATGATGATGCTGACGCCGAGGTAGACGATGAGGCCGACGGTCAGGATGAAGGTGAACCAGGTCAGACCTATCCCCGTGTTTTCTCGTTAGTCCGAATTCCGGTCCGCGCAGCAGCCAGATCAGATGTATACGAGTTTGCGATCAAATTTCACGCAGAACAAGGGCAGGCATCAGAAAGTCGTTTTCGACGAAACTTACCGAAACCGGCAGCCTATGTGTCAGAGAAGATGAAATTAGCATGAGGTTGTTTTCCCCGGTTCGGTTCAGCTGGGCGGATCCCTGCCGGAACGGGGGGGTGGTGGACTTACATCAGAGCCGAATTTGGACGCGGAATATGCGGTCAAGATGAGCATGAGTAGCGCGAGGACCTTTTGTGTCGCGGAATCCAGGTTAGTAAAAAAACTACCTCGACATAAGATCGGGAGAAATCGTTTCCATCGGAGGACGCGCCGGTCTCGCACAGCTGCGCGGTCTCTCGCACACTCCCCTCCCTTCCTCCCTTCCTCCCTTCCTCTTTCTCTGCTTCCCCGGGATGGAATATCACAAAGAGACACACGTACAAGTTGGGCGATGCGGATAAAGGCAATCCACATGGGCTGGCCGGGGACATGCGAACGGTCGCGGCCATCGCCGGCGCGCGAGTCCCAAAAGTTGCCCTGGGTGTTGAAAGCCATAGCTAACAAGGTAGGTGGCTAACTATTGATGAGTTGCTGGTAGCCTTTGTCTGTCGAGGCGTCTGATATGCGGTCACTACACGGAGCTCCTGTTCGTTCGAAGGAAGAGGGACCGATCTGGTGTAAGTCGCGTTCGCGGGGGTTGGGTATCAAATATTAAGCTTCTACGGTAAACATGTGGAAGGGAGGGGGGGGAGGATCTCCAGTTCTTTTAAATACAAAGGGAGGGCAAGCATCTCTTGACCTGAGAGAGGGGATCGCCCTCCTGTCATGAAACTTGGCGACCCAGAAAAAGAAAACCGTGAGTCGGTCAGTCGGTAGGTACGCACGCTACGGTGGAGGGGACGACGGGCTCGACTCGACTGACTGGGAGGCCCCGGGAGGCCGTCCCCGGCGCAGCAGCACCAGCACCAGCACCAGCACCAGCACCAGCAAGCCAGCAAACCAGCACCACACCTCCCAAGTGGTGAAGCTTTGGGCGTTGGCAAGTGGGAATGCCATCATCGGAATGGGGGCCGCTAAGGCTGCGATGGGGTGGGCTCGGGTCCCAGACTAGCAAACGCCTCGTTAATGGCCCGTCTTCATTGGGTGGCTTTGCTTGCTCCCAACGGGTCATCTTCCTCGCAAGACGCCAAGTCGAACGGCGGCCGGACGTCGCAAATTGTGTCTGCTCCGTACCTGCTGGGCTATTACCTGAAACTTTTTCTTCTCCTCTTCTTCTTCTGGTCATGTCAAGAGATAGGTATCACTAGTTCTTACTTTGGGGACTTCTGTGCCGCCCTGGCTTTTTGGCTCCAGGGGGGCGGAGGCTGGCTTGCTGGGCTTGAACCTTGGAAGCTTGTGCCCCTTGCAAGAGAAGAGAGCACATGCTGGATCGATTAAACTGAGACAGGCTACTAACCAGCCACATGTGTTCGATGGGTGGTGTGTGCTGGTTTGATGGCCGGGGGGTCTTGTCACTGCCCAAGGTTTGCATTCCAGCATCGCAGCCAGCAGCATTGTGGGAGCTTGGCCCAATGACGTCTGGGGGGTCCTGACAGGGGACAAGGTTGACTCGAACATCTGCCCTTTGTGTTTCGCGGTGCGCATCGACTCATGCAACCATTGGCCGACCGCCACAGCCATGCGCATGATGAAAGCAAGCATTGTCACCCTCTGCAGTATCAAGGTACTTGTACTGAGTCACCGAGTTGGATGACGGGATGCGGGTAGGGTGAATCACAACCACCTTCGTGCATACCGAGTACGTATGCAGACTGGGATGTCGCGTCTTGTCATTGTCCAGCTCCAGAGGTCCTTATTTGCCCAGACATCGCCGAGCCCTGCTAGCCTCTTGACCGTGGCCGCACCAAGTGCCGTAAGTTGCCGGGCGCCAGACATCATCTGACCCGATCGCAGAACGCTGCTAAACTCTCGATAGCTGCAGATCGTGCCTCGTTGTTCGAATGAGCAAGGGAGGGCGGCTCCAAGGGTTTTGGTTAGCAGCTCCCTTCAGCAGGCGTGCTCGATGGACTGGTTGGCCCGTCTCCCGCCATACTCCCTCCATCTAGAACACCACCCAAACATGCCGTGGCTTGAGCATAGCTTCGTTCCGTGTTCAGAGCTGAATGCCGTTTTGCCTTTCCATTAGCGTTTAGCTCGCGCGCTACGGCGGGCCAGCAACGGGTCACTGGACCCCTCTACTGGATCTCCAACCAAGAGCTCCATGGTAAGGAGCTGTACAAAAAGAGCAACTCTCCTGCACCGCCGTTCAGCTCATGGGCTTAGCGCCTAGCGCCAACCCTATTCGAGAAGAAGCGTGCCTCGGAAGAAAAAGAGGATGGGCTGTGTACTTGTAAACTGCCATACCTAGTCTGTCACGACTCGATCCACTTCCAAACAGTGTAATTTCACTCAAAAAGCCCCAACGGGCGGAAACCCGTGCGGAAACGGCAGCCCAGCTCTGGCGTTTGGGTGGCCTGCTTGCCCTAAAACCACAGACGTGCAAACGGCGTAGGGCTGGCTTGACTCTTTCTGGCAAGGACATGATCTCCTCAAACAGGTCAGGCTGCCTCCCAAGCCACCATCTCCAGCCATGCCAAGCCGCGTAGCTCGAACGGCATCTCCGTCAACTACGTGTTCGGCAGCTTTCAAATCGGAAGTCGGAAGGGCTCGTGCCTGGGCAATCAAGATCGTGCGATTTGTGACATGCATGTGTGTCTGGCTCCTGGACCTGTAGTTACCTACCCCAGACCAAGAATGACGAAAGCACATGCAGTGAAACACATGGCGCTTCCCCAATGTCTAAGCCTCGCTTTCACACCAAGATGGCGTTTATCGTTTATGATAACGACGGGCATATGCGGCATGCAGGCGCGTTTATTCAGTTCACCGAGGTCGTAGGCGTCTTCGAGTTTGGAAATGTTTAGCGAGACCTGAGTTTCTGGCATTCCCTCCCTGCATGGACTCGACAACACACCACACCACTTGACATTGTCGTCTTATCCAGAAACACACTCATTAATGAGGCCTCCGCACCTCAACCACATGCTCGATTGACACGAACAACAACTATCGTGAAACTGGCGCCTTGCCGGACCGTCGAGCTGAGACTATCCCTCGGTAGACAGCACTCTAGTGTGATCAATATTTCCTCCTTTGGGATTGCTATCAGCCGCGCGATGACCACCGTGTCGCGCAATAACCCTCGTCTCTAATTTCCTCGTCCCTCCCCAGCAGTTATCTGAGACTCACGGGCGGCCTCTGCCAAAGGTCTCGAACTCGTCCTCGACGCCTCTCGACGTGACCGCACAAGCGAACCAGGTAGCCATGATTGTCGGGACCCTGGCATTCCTGAGAACGCCTAGGTGGCTTGCCAGGGGGCGGCACGCAATACACGCAAGCAGTCTCAAACTGCTCACCGACCGGCCTCATGCAAGCTTCTCCTCCTCCTCGAAGAACGCGTCGCACTCGCCGATCCCAAAGACGTGGCACTTGCATGCCTCATAGCTCGGGCAGCTGGAAAATTTCAAACCAGGGTCAGCTTTCTTGCATCCTCTCTCTCTCACACACACATACAGGCCTCCCTTCTTTTTCCCCCGCCCAGCGCAATCCGGACTACAAGGGGGGGGGGGGGGTGGGAGGGAGGATAGGAAGGGGACTCACTACTGCGCTTCCTGCCCGAGCCAGACGTGCCAGGTGTGCTCCATCAGCCGCCCGCTCGTCATGCTGTCGAGCGGCGTCTCGGCGAGCCACCGCCGCAGCCGCGCCCACCACTCGACGCCCCGCCGCCGGATGGCCGCCCGGCTGGCCGCGAACTGCGCGCAGCACGGCGCCGCCAGCCGCCGCGGCACGCGCTCCCCCGCCGCGGCGTCGAGGAACTCGTCGAGCAGCGTCGCCAGCTGCACGTTGCGCCCGTGCTGCGGCAGCGCCGCCGGGTCGACCGAGTAGCCGGCCAGCGGGATCACGTTCTCGCACCCGGGCAGGCACCTGGCGCTCGCGAAGCCCGCGCGCGCGACGTAGCCGGCGCGCAGCCGGCGCACCTCGTCCGGCGAGTCGAGCTCCTGGTGCCAGCCGCGGCGGTGCGCGTGGTGGAAGAAGACGACGTCCGGCAGCGCGTCGTAGTGGTCGACGATGTAGGTCAGGTAGGCCATGGCCTCGTTGCCCTTGTTGGCCGGCACGGCGAGGCCCGGCGACGCGGGCCTGTCGGTGACGTAGTTGTAGACCTGCCAGTCCTCCGGGACCTCCTCGTCGATCCAGGACGTCTCGCTGCGGGGCTGGTCGCTCGTCGACGCGATCACGAGGGCCTTTGTGAGGGGCGGCGGCGGCGGCTGTCGTTTGGAGGAGGAGGAGGAGGAGGACGGGGAGAGGAAGAGGCGGACGAATATGGTTAGGGCCAGGGCGAGGAGGAAGGGTCGGAGGAGGATGGAGAGGGCGGCGCGGAGCTGCCGTCTGCCGTGGACGCCCATTCTCTTGATCTGGATACGAAATGAGGTAAGGCTTTGCTGCTCGAGCGAATGTTTGTATGATGTGATGATTTCTGAACTGACCGCACGCGGTTGTGCAAACAACTTGATAATACACTTTTAACACTCAAACAAGAGAATAAGAAAAATATTTTACAAAGCACCTATCCTTCCTCTTCTTAACCCCAACTTTGGTGTTCGTCATGATCCGACCTCCCAGGCGACGAGGTTGAGACAAGCCGTGTATCAAGAGCTCGGATCGTTTTGCGCGGCAGATCATAGCGTTCGAGCTGGTTGTTATGAAGACTAAACTGCGTGCATGTCCATCTGCTAGGCATCACTTTCAACTGGATAGGGTCAAATGGAAGCTATCCAAGTGCTTCATTCGAAGCGTCAACATTGTCAACATCGTCAACATGAGGGAATCAAATCCCTTCAGGTCTGGCGCAAGCAGCTCGATACATCGATAGGCCGATGTCCCGATCGGGGATTAGATTTGACTGAAAGTGGTGCTGGCGGCAATGGACGCCGCTAGATCTACAGCCGAGTTAGCGCCTTTCGTCCATGGATGTCGCACCCTGCTTCCCCCAGGACAGCCTGGAGATACCCGAATGAGACCCCGCTAAAAAGGAAGGAAACAGAGGGTACGGGGAGCTGGTGCCGCCACCATCACGCGACAAGACCCGAACACTTGCCGTGGTAACCCTACCTAGGGCTCTGGAGCTCTCTCCTTCGCGGTACGAAGCTTCCGAAGAAAAGATCTCTCGACTTTCCATTCGCAAAACCTGCACGCACCACCAACCGACTTGGATTGCGAGAGAAGAGGCTCAATTGCGCTGTTCGGAAGGCCGCATTCCCCGAGTTCCAATTTCGATACATCACCTTAGGTAGTTACCACCAGACCGAGCTAGCCATGGGCATCATCCGGAAAACCTTCCTGACCGGCCTCACTGGCGTTGCCGGCGCGGGCGCCTTCGTCACCTACCTGCACTCCCAGACGAGCCTCATCTGCCCGCTGCCGTACAGCGACCCCATCTGGTCGTCCGCGCCGTACCAGCGGTACAACATCCACCGGAACCCGTCCACGCAGGACGTCGTGCTCAAGCGCATCCCGATCGACAAGATCAGGCCCGAGCTGCTCAAGGAGGACGGCGCGCTGGTGACCGAGTTCTGCCGCGGCGTCTGGGCCGGCTGGGGTGCGTTTTTTTTCCCCCCTTGTCTCTCTATCTCTCCATCCTGTTGAACGTGAAGACAACTCATGACCGTCTGATCATCATACACAATTCGACAAAAAGGATGTCCTGACTGACGTGGAGAGAACGAAAAAAAAAACAGGCCACGAGATCCAGCGCCGCTACCTCGCGCGCAAGTACAAGGGCCCGCGCACGGCCTCGCAGCTCTGGAGCAAGAAGGAGCTGCGCGAGTCGGACTACGCCCCCGGCACGCAGCTCGTGGACCACTTCGAGGTGGTCGAGAAGACGCCGACGTCGATCACGGTGCGGTGCGGCGACAGCCCCCTGAAGGCGGGGCCGCGGCCCTCGGACGGCATCTTCGTCATCAGCGCCGAGGTGGACCGGGAGCGCGGCGAGGTCGAGCTCGGGCTCAAGAGCTGCTTCTTCCAGAGCCACCAGCGCATCGAGGGCATCGCGGGGCCCATGCCCCTGTGGATGGAGTACCTGCACACCGAGTACGCGCGGTCGTGGATGGTGGCGGCGAGCAGCTGGCTGACCCGGTGAGGAAAACGGGTGCGGGATGTGCGCGGGTGAAGAGGGAGAGGGAGGGTCAATCGCTTGGAGGCATTTGCCCGCCTGGGCTTTCCAAATGAGGAGCTGCGGTGATCTTCTTCTGCAAGGATCGATAGAAGGTGTGCGTGCGTGCGCTAGAACTTGTACATATTGCCAGGATGGGGAGTCAATATCATCATCTACTTGGGGTTGCTGAGCTGTAGTGCGCGTTGAGATGGCTTTCGAGAGAGCTACGGTGCCTGGAGGGTCGCAATCAGCCACTCACCCGCCTGCTGTCCATCTGCGTTGTATTGACCAAGCAGACCCGGTGGTGAGCGTTTCTCCTGCAACTACAAGCCCCGATATGCAGTGAGACTCGGTCAGGCTTGAGAGCATAGCACAATGCCGCGGGCAGTGGCGTCATTCCCGCGATCGACGGACCGCAGTGGTCGCGCCAGTCTCTGATCTTGGCGCAAACAATTGATGCCATTAGCTACATACCCAGGCTTGATGCTCGGTCGTCGGGGGTACGGACAGCCTTTTGTGTAATCCGCCGCCTGTGTACGCCCATACTGCGTGCGACTCTTGTCCGACGAACGCTGCTATCTCCGTCTCTCGACACAAGCGATGCGGGCTAGGAAAAGGCCGCTACTCGCATACCTGCCTAGGTAGTAAGGTAGGTACCTAGGTAGGTAGCTCACTGCTATCGGCGCCAAGATTTGGTCACCAGACTACTTGTACGCAATCTGTGAATCTGGCAGCTACACGAACTACAAGTACCTCCTGCTGGAAAAGGGATCAGCGTACCGGTTTGCTTCTTGCAGTGATCGTGGGCCCAAACAGGCAGGACAACCCGAACTCGAAATGTGTGGAGAGGCCAAGCAGTGGCCCCCGTCCCCATTTCTTCACGGTCAGGACAAGTAAATACGTAACTACCTAACTGTACAATACCCATACCTACATGTACTTGTAGGTCTGGTTTGAGGGCAAACTTAGTGTAGACCTCTTCTCGACCTATCCTCTTACAACGTTGTTTCCCTCAGAAAAGTCCCATTTCACGGCCCTTCCCGGCCTCTGAATCAGACTCCAATTTGCATTTCCAGCTCTCGATATTCCCCCGCAGCACCCCCTCCGGTATTCGTCGGCAGATCACCACCTGGGAGCATGGACACAACCCCACCACCGGCCCTGTCGTTACGGCCATCGGCCGCGGGCAAGGTCAACGGCCGCGCGGGCACGCCAGGGCCGCCCGCCTACCAGGCTCACCCGCTCGGGCCGCTCTCTCGGGACGAGATATCTCATGCATCAGACCTCATCCGCCAGTCGTGGCCAGAGGGGACCAAGTTCCAGTTCAAGGTCATCACGCTGCTGGAGCCGGCCAAGTCGGAGCTCGCCCCGTATCTCCAGGCCGAGAGGAAAGGACAGACCCCGACCGACATTGACCGGCGGGCCTTTGTCGTCTACTACCTGAAGAACACTGTATGCACACATGCTTTTACTTGGCTTACAAAATGTGGGACGAGACTGCCCGCACGCACTGACACCTCTCGTCAAGGATAAATTGCACGAAGCCGTGGTGAACCTGAGCCATAGCAAGGTCGAGAGCAATGTCCGGCTAGGACCTAACATCCACGCCAACGGCGACGGCGAGGAGATCGTCGCTATCGAGAAAGCGCTGCTGCAAGACCCGGCTGTTCAGGCCGAGCTTGCCAAGCTGAAGCTTCCCGAAGGCAGTGTCGTGGTCTACGACCCTTGGATCTACGGTAAGTAATCGACGGGTCCTCGTGTATCATCCTTATCCAAATTCTAAATGTCACTTTAGGATCCGATGGCGTCAACGAGGGCGACTTCAACGATGACAAGCGTCTCATGCAGTGTTTCCTGTATATGAGGGATCCCAAGAACCCCTCCGAAGAAGACAGCTGCCATTATGCTTTTCCGCTGCCCATCTCTCCGGTCGTGGACCCGACGAACATGAAGGTCACCCGCATTGACATCCTCCCAACCGGCCTTGATGAGAAGATCAAGCCGCTGGAGCCTTGGAAGCCAGTGCCCGCCAACGAATACATACCCGAGGCACACCACCTCCGCAACGACCTCAAGCCTCTCCGAGTCGTCCAGCCCGAGGGCGCCTCGTTCACCGTAGACAAGTTCTCGGAGATGGGCCACGAGATCCGGTGGCAGAAGTGGGACATGAAGGTCGGCTTCAACCAGCGCGAGGGCATGGTACTCTACGACGTGCACTATGACAACAAGCCGCTGTTCTACCGTCTCAGTCTGTCCGACATGTCTATCCCATACGCTGACCCGCGGCATCCCTTCCACAAGAAGGCGGCCTTTGATCTGGGCGATGTCGGCGCCGGCATCATGGCAAACAATCTCAAGCTCGGCTGCGACTGCCTCGGCTCCATCTACTACATCTCGGGCGTCCTGTCCGACTCGGAAGGAAACCCGGTCGACTACCCCAACGTCATCTGCGTCCACGAGCAGGACGCCGGCATCTCGTGGAAGCACACCAACTACAGGACGAACCGGGCATGCGTGGTCCGCAACCGCGAGCTGGTCCTGCAGACGATACTCACCGTGTCCAACTACGAGTACATCCTGGCCTTCATCTTCAACGTCTCGGGCGACATCACGTACGAGGCGCGCGCGACGGGCATCCTGTCGACGCAGCCCGTCGACCTCGACCTCGCCGAGACGCCGCACCCCTACGGCACGGTCGTGCACCCGGGCTGCCTGGCCGGCTTCCACCAGCACTTCTTCTCGCTGCGCATCGACCCCATGGTCGCGGGCCACGGCAACGCCGTCGTCTACCAGGACGCCGTGGCCCTGCCGCGCGACCCCGCCGCCAACCGCCACGGCGTCGGCTACACGGTCGAGACGCACCCGGTGCAGACCTCGGGCGGCTACGACCTCGACGTCGCCCGCGCGCGCACCTACAAGATCACCAACCCGGCCGTCCGCAACGCCGTCAACGGCCAGCCCGTGGCCTACAAGCTGCACGTGCCGCCCATGCAGCCCATCCTCGCCGACGCCGAGAGCTACCACCGCCGCCGCGCCGAGTTCGCCGACCGCAGCGTCTACGTCACGCGCTACGCCGAGGGCGAGCTGTACGCCGGCGGGCTCTACACGAACCAGAGCCGCGGCGGGGCGGGAGTGCGCACGTGGGCGGCCCGCGGCGACTCGCTGGCCGCGGGCGACCCCGTCGTGTGGGTGCAGTTCGGCATCAACCACGTCCCCCGCGTCGAGGACTTCCCCGTCATGCCGTGCGAGACGATGCGCGTGGCGCTGCGGCCGGCCAACTTCTTCGACCGGAACCCGGCCATCGACGTGCCGCCCAGCACGCAGGAGGCCAACTGCAGCGTCAGGCTCGACGGCGGGGACGTGCGAGGTGGGGGAGGTGGTGGCGGTGCGGCGGTGCTTGGAGGGCAGAGCGGTGCGCTGAGCGGGTGTTGCGGCTCTCACGGCGTGGCGTGAGCTTGCTTTGCAGTTATGAGGTTATGTTTTTTTTTTTCAATCGTGGAGAGGAGGAAAGGGAGGAAGCATGAGGCTGTGTTGATGAGCAGCATGGGTTCTTTTTCAACCCACAGAGCATACAGAGCATGGTTTATCTTTTTGGAGACAGGCTTCCGGAGGTGAGATTTTAGAAGTCCTTTAATGAGTTTGTAAGTGGAGATTGTTGGGCTGAGCGACCATGCATGAACAAGATGGCACAGCATATTCCTATCCCAACATCCGAACTACTTTACCAGGAAACATCTAGCCGAGTGGAGAGGAATGGATTGTTTCGTGATTCGAGTGCAGAGCCCTCTCTGCGCCTGGAAGGCACCTCTTCCTTCACGTCGTTCATCGTTGAACTTGAGGTGATGTCCCAAGCAAAAAGGGCGCCGGCAATCTGGCCGAGTTTCCACTGCCTGTCACTCAAGTCCTCAAGATGGGCCAGAAACTACTTGTACAAGTATTGACCGTTGCTCTCATTAAGCGTCCAAGATGGATCTCCTCGCCTAGCGATGGAGTTGTCAGCAAGACAACCCATGCCAACACGCGATCATCTTTGCTCGTTATCTGTCGTCCTTTTTGCTCCGCCAGTGGGCCGCCAAGACCGCCGACTTGGCACAAGTCTCCGTTGGGGGCCAACGGGTCTTGCCCCCAATTGGCAAAAGAGACGCAGCTGGACCACCAAGACCAGCATATTATCGATGGGTGGGACAGCCCTGTAAGCCCTGTAGGGTTCTTATTGTCGTCCGCTTGACAAGCTCAGCGGCCGCTCCTGTGGAGTAACACAGAGCTGATCGAAATGCTCACAGCTGCTGTGGCTAGACTTCAGGGGAGAGGCCGGTGGTTAGCCGCCCTGGGTGCTAGACGCGTTCCGGATCCCGATATCTTAAGATGGCAGCCTCGCCATTCCTCTTGATCACTCTCTCCTGCTCTCTTCACAAAGAAAGCGGCGAACGGGTTTTGGGGTGGCGTGCCTAGCTAGACTCTCGAACGGCGAGAACAAGAGAGACAGCGTCCTCTCTCTCTCTCTCTCTCTCTCTGCTTTTGCGGCATCACATACTCACCGAATATTCAGCTGTTCGTCATGAACGACGTCTCCTACTACAACGTCTCGCGGGAGGTCTTCCCGCCGGTCAGGGAGCTCGACTTCTCCAAGGACTGCGAGGTCTTTGGCGAGTGGGTGGCCACCGTCGTGGCGCCGGACCCGTGGGACGCCCGGTTTCAGCAGGGCGGCGCCGTCTCGGTCGTGTGGCGGTTCATGATGTCCGCGCTCGACGACGAGTGGCGGCACCCGCACGGGCCGGACCTCGCGCCGCTGCAGTTCTACAACCAGCTCAGCCAGTGGTACTTTGAGCAGTGGTACTGGCGCATCGTGCGGCGCATCGACAACGACACGCTCGAGTACGAGACCAACCCGGACTTTGTCCTCGCGGCGTGGGACGTCCCGCAGTCCAGATGCCCGGAGCAGTACTGCAAGGCCATCGCGCAGACGGGCAACACGGACATCTCGGGCATCGGGGTGAGTTTTGCTTTACTCCGACAGCTTCCTCTTTCAATCTATGCAGAGGTGACATCTTTGAGGAGGCAGTAATGGCTGATACCCCCCGCCAGATTCATACGGCATACTACGTCGAAGCCGTCCTGGCGACGATGTACCTCGTCGCCTTCACCGTCTGGCGGCTGCGCGAACACCTCCGCAAGCGCGCCTCCCGACGCGGCGGCGGCGGCGGCGGCGACGGCCATCAGAAGCACCGCCGGCCCCTGACGGGCCCCAACTCGGGCTGGGCGGGCCGCATCCTCGACGCCTTCCGCGCGACCGTGTCCTCCTTCCTCTCCATGGCCATGCTCCTCTCGCTCGTCATGCTCATCGCGGCCATCAAGACGGCCGCGCAAAAGTCGCAGATCCGGCGCATCCCGGAGCTCTCGCGCGACGTGCCCAACGGCAGCGCCCTGTACGACATCTCGCTGTCGCTGCTGGCGAGCACCTTCTCCGTGTTCCCCGTCATGTTGATTTATGCGCTCATGCGGCACACGGGCGGCGGGAAGGAGGAGGGCCACAGGCAGTGGATGAGCCGGGCCGTGCTGGCGCTGCTGTGGGCGCTCGGCGTGGCGGAGATGTACCTCGCGCCGCGCGGGGAGCTCGACTACGACTACCGCCACAGCGGCGTCGGGCAGTTCGACTGCGACGTGCGCGGCGGGCAGCGGCACTGGCGCGGCATCAAGGCCGGGCAGTGGATGGTCGTCGGCGCGCCGCTGCTGTGGGTCGCGCTGGCCGCCTTCGTGGTCACGGGGTTCGGCATCCCGGGCGTCGCCGACTACGCTTGGGTGCGGCGGTGGCGCGCCGCGTGGCGGCTCGCCGTGGCCTGGCTCAACCTGCTGCTCATGTGGGGGGTCCTGGCCTACTTCACGTACCTGCGGCACAGCATCACCGCGACGGCCGGCGGGGACCGGGGCGCGGACCAGAGCGGCAGGTGGCTGTTTGGGCAGATCCTCGCGCTGTCGACGTGGGCGCCCACGGTGGCCGAGTGGTTCTACGTGCTGTTTTGTGAGTTTTGTTTGTGCTGAATGGGGGCATTGTCTCGGTCCGATGATAAAGTGTGTGACTAACACGGGATTTATCTTCCGACAGTCGGCATGAAGGAAGCCTGGTCGACCAAGATGCCCGAGGGCTACGAAGCCGTCCGCAGGAGAGACAACAACGACGGACCTGGTAGCAGTGGCGGTGGAACTCCTGGCGCTGCTGACATGGAGTCCGAATCAAAGTACGACGCGGCCATGGGCGCGTACTACTACGGAAGCAGCAGCAGCAGCAACAGCAGGCGCGAGTCGGACCAGCAGCAGCTGCTGCACGGAGCTGCGGGCCCGGCGGTCATCGCCGTGGGGTCGTCGTCCCCGATGGTCCCGGAGCCGCAGGCGGCCGTCGGCTCCGTGCCGCCGCCGTACCAGACGCCGATGGTGACCTGGGACGCCGCGACCAACAGCTGGAAGGCGGTGAGCGACGACAGCAGGGCGGCGTCGGCTACGTGGCAGCACCCGGACGGCGTGCCGAGCAACTGGCAGCACCAGTCCCCGCAGCAGCAGCAGCAGCAGCAGCAGGGGCAGAATAGACGGGAGGGCACGCCTTGGGATCAGTGGGAGAGCACGGGTTGGTGAGACGGAGTCGAGGTTGGCCGAGGGTTCGCCCGGTCAAGTGGGAATTTGCGCGCCTGTGTTTACAAGAGATATAGAGAGCTCTGTGGTTCGCCTCGAGAGCATGACCTGATAGATCGGATACCCTGTCGTGAAAGTCAAGAGACAACATTTTGCATGCAAAGGACCAAGTGAAGAGTTGACACCTCTAATCCTTCCTTGCTGGGGACTTGTTTAGCGGAATTGTCCATCAATTTGTAGGCACAGCAGCTCATCAAATCACACAAGTCTTGAGATTTTCGAAAGATGAACAAAAGCTACAAGTAGGTAGGTATATCTGTGATCCTGGTTACGCCGTACTCCTGCTCTCACCCTCGCCCGTAACTGCTCATAATCTTTTCCATAATACACTGATAAAATCCATCGATATCAACCGAGCCCCATCCATCCAGCATCCCATATGGTATATCATTCCTAATTTCCAGACCACCTCGACGGTGAAAGTTATCGTTAAAAGAACCCAAAGGAAGCTTTTCAGTCCTTCTTTCCCCACCCCTTTCCGCCAATCAATGTCCATACTGCTGCTGCTGCTGCTGGTGGTGGCCATGGCCATGGCCATACCCATACCCCATCTGCTGCGGGTGTGAGCCCCGGGGCTGGTTCTGCCCGTACGGCACCTTGGCGTAGTCCGCCGGGTTATAGCTGTAGTTTTGCTGTTGGTGCTGCTGCTGCTGCTGCTGGCGCCCGTCGAGCTTGCGCAGCGTGTCGCCGCGGTGCTCCTCGGAGGTCTCGTTGTGCGTCGCCAGCTCCGACGCGAAGCCCTTGTCGAGGCCGGGCGACTTGAACCCCCCGCCGGCGCCGGCGCCGCTGTGGTCCGAGGACACGGACGTCGGCCGCGACCCGCCCTGGCTCTGGTAGTCCGTCGCCGACCAGCGCCCTGACGAGCCCAGCGTGGCCGAGTCCCGGTCCGACGAGGGCAGGCCCGGCGAGTGCTGAGAAGGTGGCGGCGGCTGGAGGCCCGGCGAGCCCTGCTGGGGGTGGTAGTAGTCGCCCGGCAGCTCCATGATGACCTGCTGCTGGCCGCCGCCGCCGCCGCCGGCACCTTGATGCGCCACCGACGACGACGACGTGGCGGACAGTTCCTGGGCGGCCGAGGCTTGTGTCTGCTGCTGCTGGTGGTGATACTGTTGTTGTCCCGGGCTCGGGAACCCGCCGTAGCTGCTCTGGCTGACGCCGATGTACCCGCCGTGCTGGGACATGTGCGACTGGGGCCGCTGGAAGCCGCCCGGGCGGGGGATCTGGTAGGGCACCTGCGGCGACAGCGGAGGGTTGGGGCCGCCGCCGCCGCCGCCGCCGCCGCCGCCCTGCTGGAAGTGGGCCGGGATGGTGGTGGGCGAGGGCTGCGGGGAGCGGACGGCGCTGGCGCCGGCGCTGGTGTTGGAGCGGTCGGCCGGGTTGATGGTCTTGAGCTTGCCGTCCTCGATCATGGCCTGCAGGACGCCGGCGTCGAGCAGCTCGGCCTTCTTGATGATGCGCTGGACCATCTCCTGGCCGGCGGCCTTGAGCTGGGCCTTGACGAAGGACAGCACGGCGACGTTGCACTTGATCTCGATGTCCTCGCGCAGGTAGAGCCCGTCGGCGGGGACGCCGAGCTTGCCGAGGCCGATCTCGGGGGTCTCGGGGGGCTCGACGCCGGGCTGGTTGCCGGCGATGCGGTAGGTGTTGCGCAGGTCGACGTTCATGGGCGCGTAGATGTGCGTCTGCAGGCCCCAGGGCATGTCGTGGAAGCAGCCGTTGAAGCTGATCTTGCCGGAGCCCATCCTGCCGAGGCCGGGGACGTACTGGATGCGCTCGACGATCTCGTACCAGGTCGAGTAGAACTCGTCGGCCTGGGCGTCGCGCGGGGCCTTGACGGGCTTGTGCTCGAGGACCAGGGGGTTCAGGGTGATGACCTCGGAGTGGGAGTGGAGGATGTCGATGGCGAGCTGGCGCGGGATGAAGCCCGGGATGGGCGTGACGATGGTGAAGGTCTCCTTCTTGCGGAGCATCCTGACGGTCGGGTCTACCTTGGCCAAGTTGCCGAGGGCGCTCTTCATGATCCGGGGCCCGGGCCCGGAGGACGGGAGGGGAGGAGAGGAGGAGGAGGAGGGCGGGAAGACCAGTCGGTAGGTATGTGATCTTGCGCCTCCTGCTATGCTTGCTTGCTTTTGTCGCAGTGGTTTTATGTGGATTCGAGCTCTTATCGGTGACGAATGCCTGTCTGTCTCTCCGGATCGTAGGGCTGTTGCCGCAGAATCTAGAAGTCTTGTCCTTGCCCAATGTCTGAATATGAAACAGGGATTGCGATCTCGTCTTGCGCATACGGAAGAAACAAAAGAGAAGGATCTCACTGCGACACGCATACAGAAAAAGGAAAACCGCAGACGTGGAGGGGGGGGAGCAGAGCGAAAGTCAAAAGGCCGGTTCGGTCAGCAGTCAGCAGCACCACAGGAGCCACGAGCGGCAGCAAGAGAGCAGAGCAGCAGAGCAGCAGAGCAGAAGCATGGAAGCCCGCACTTGGCGGGGTCCAACGTCGTCGTCGCAGGGGTAGTCAACTAACTGGTCACCTAACTAGCCGTTGTGCCAAACCATCGGGAGGTCCGCCTGCTTCTCTAACACGCGTATTGCGTCGGGTACAAGCCAAGCCACGGGCCCGGAAGAGGTGAAAGAGGTCGACAGCTCGCGGACCAAAGTACCAGACTGTTAGTGTCCCAGGCGCCGACAAGCTTAATTTGGGGCTGGGGGGGCCAGTTCGGGATCCGGGATCCCATCCAAGTGACGGAACCAGCTCGAGCCGGCTCCTTTGGGCCATCTTGGCTCCAGCAGAAACGCGGCTTAGGCTATCTAGCGTGTGCTATTACCTCGCTCTTTGTCCTGCCCTTGGAGAGAAAGGATCTTCGAGGTTCTCGTGCGTGGTCCTCTCTCCCCAAATTGCCTAATTGATGACGTGAGAAAGCAGGCCAGGACAGCCCTCCTCGGCAGACAAAGGCCGGATTGCTGTCGACTTGAGCCTCGACTTTTTTCCTTTGTGTCCGTCCCATGGGCAGCGGAAGAGAAAGGAGATCCAAATGCCAACAGTCCAAGAATGACCGCCGTTGTTGGCCTGGCGGCGTGTGCTGAAAATAACTTGCCTCCTGGGATAGTGCAAACCCAAAAAAGAAGTGCAGGCAGGGTTTAATTTTGGACGGACGAGGCCATCCAGCACTTGGCGTCGAGGGATGGAGGGATGGAGGCTGCTGGTGGGGAGGATGCCGTACGTTAGTGCATGGTGTAGGGCTATGAGGGCTATGAATGGGCGCCAAAGGGGGCTGTACGGCTGTTTCTAGCCCTGGAGGCAACCTGCGAGACAGTGCCATGACGGCGACAATCTTGGCAGGGGCCCGTTTCCGTTTCCCGTCCGGACTGAGGGTTTTCCGTTTTAGGAGTCTCCGATCAAAGACCAACACTCTAGGTACCACGACGATATTATGCGCAGCTCTGATCATTCATCACACGTGCCGGTGCCGGTGATGACTTCAAAGAGGCTGACACGATCTCATTCGTCAGAGTAGACATCGGTTGTCTCCCCGAAGGTGACATAGCCAGTACCGGCCTTTCGCCCAGGTTCATGAATCAAGTCCTTTTCCATGAATTGTAGCTATCAAATGACGATGACTACAATACCGATGCGAATAATCATACACAAACACAAGCGTCCCCATCCCTAACCAAGCCTGCCGCACACACAAAAAACACCATCCAACGCCATGCCATGCAAATGGACGTCGTCACCAGCCAGCCTCGGCGACTCCCCATCCCTCCGTCCCCAATACAAAGATGCACCATGCCAAATGCTCCCGCCCCTCTCTCCAATAGCGCCAAAAGCAAGCGACCGAGGACAAAAGAAACGGCCATGCATAGCCCATCAACTTACTCCTTTTCAGTTCACATACATGTGAACCTCCTCCCCAAACTACGCCACGGCCGCCGCCGCCGCCGTTGCCGTGAGCCCCTCGTACGCCCTCTCGACAGTCCGCCCACCCATGCCCGGCACGCTCCGCAGCTGCGTCACCGACTCGATCCGGCCCCCCGCCGCCCCCGCCCCCGCCGCCGCCTCGTCGCCGCCGCCCAGGAGCTCCAGGTAGTCGACCAGGTCGCGCGCCTTCTTGGCCCCGAACCCCGCGAGGCCCCTGATCCGCGACACGTCGCGCGAGTTGACGATGGCGAGCAGCTGCCGCTTCCGCGGCGTCATCGTCTCGATCCCGTCGCCGTCGCCGTCGCCGTCCTCGAACACGGGCATCTTGCTGGCCTTGACCCGCGGCTTGCGGCCCGCCTTGCTGGGACGCGCCGGCCTCTCCACGAAGCTCTCGTCGTCCACGTCGGCCTCCCCGTCGTTGTCGTACTCGTAGTCGTCGTCATCATCGGCGGCGTGGGCCCTCCTCCCGCGAGCGTTGGCGCGCCTCTTCTTCTTCTCCCCGAGCAGTTCGCCGGACAAGTTGCTGCTGCTGTTGTTGCTGTTGCTCATGCTCATCCCGCTGCCCTGTCTGCCCGCGAGCTTGGCCCTGAGCTTCTCGATCTTGCCCAGCAGCTTCACCTGGCCCGGGAAGAACGGGAGCGCCATCTCGTAGTGCCGGAGGGCGGCCTCGTCGTCGCCCCGCTCCTTGTGCTGCCGCGCCGCGAGCAGGAAGCGCAGCCCCTCCGACCGCCCGTCGTCGTGGCGGCCGTCGTCTATCCGACGCTCGAGCGCCTCCAGGCGCCGCTGCACCGCCTCGCTGATCTCGCTCTGGAGGGGCTGGGCGGGAGCCGCGGGAGCCGCCTCTGCCTGGGCCTGGGCCCGCGCAGCCAGGGCCTCCTGGACCTTGCGCTCGATGATCGCCTCGATCTGGTCCGCGGAAATCGAGGACGGCGGCTGCTGCTGTTGTTGAGGAGGCGCGGGCTTGGAAAGCATGGCGTGCGACGGGCGCACCATCTTGGTCGGTCGGAGGTCGGCCGAGTCGGACGGACGCTTAATCGAGGTGGACCGCCTCGGCTGCGACGTGTTCGCCACCGACCCCAGGCGCGGGATGCTGGGCTTGGACCGGTCCGTGTACACCGAGAACGCCTTGGCCGGCTTGTCGGCCGCCGCGGCCTTGCTGGACGCGGCCGCCACGTTGGTCATGTTGTGCGCGTTGGCCAGCGGGCGGAGCGGCTGCCGGGCCATGTTGCCCCCCGACGACGCGCTCGACGCCGTCTTGGGCGGCTGCTGCTTGAAGACGATCTCGTTCTCGATCTCGCGCACCTCGATGCGCTTGGCCCGCGAGCTGACGTTGAGGCTGCTCAGGGTGTCGAGGTGGTAGCTGCGCAGGGGCGCCAGGTTCAGGATCATGACGGTGATGCCGTTGTTCTGCCCCAGCGACAGGATCCGCGTCATCTTGGACTCGCGGTAGGGGACGCGCTTCTCGCCGCGCGAGATGGCGTCCACGCACTGGCTCAGCACGAACAGGCTCTTGTTGATGGCCGCCGACTCGACCAGCCGCTCCCTGCCGTTGTCCGTGCGCCGGTTGTCCTCCGACCCGGCCAGGTCGATGGCCGACGCCGTGCTCTCCAGCACCATGTCGCCCCCCGTGACCTGCGTGACCTTGACGCGGAGGATGGCGTGGCTGCGGCTGCTGTGCGCGTTGAGCTTGGTCGCCGCCGTGACGCGGTTGTTGTTGGCCTCGATGTACAGCCGCTCAAAGTCCTTGAGGTCGCCGCACGACCGCTCCGACAGGCCCACGACGACCGTCTTGCCGTCCTTCTCCCGCAGGGGCAAGCCCGAGGGGGTCCGCTTCTCGGGCGGCTCGAGCAGGTCGAACACCTTGTCGTTGTAGATCTCGTAGTACGACAGGGCGACGTCGACCGCCGTCTCGCCGGCCGAGTCCTTGGCGATCTTCTTGCCTCTCCTGAAGACGTGGCTGAGCAGCCGGGGGATCACCCCGCGCTCTGCCAGCCTGAGACCGCCGCGCATCGTGTGCGTCTTGCCCGTGCCCGTGACGCCATAGGCGAAGATGGTGATGTCGAGTCCCTGGAAGAGCGCCTTCACGTGCGGGGCCACTATTTTGCAACTGCATGTTAGCAAACCGGGGGCCCGAGGCCTTGTGTGTTTTGGTATTCAAGAAGTGTGTGAATTGGGAGGCATGCCTTCAGCATTGAAGAGCTCTTCCTGCGTGGTCGGTTGGTCGTAGACGCTGTTGAAGGCGAACGAGAACTCCTCGGCCTCGTTCTTGGGGTTCGGGATCTTGACAATGCTGGGTTGTCGGCCGTCGTCGTTGCTGTCTGCACGAACAATGACGTCCCGGTCCAGCTCCTTCTCGAGGAGCGGTCGTATCCTGGCCACGACTCGGACTGGCATGATGGGAGAGGATGGGAGGATGTTGGGAGGAGGGTGTCAACTGTGCGTCCTGTGACTCATTCACGAGCAGGGCTGAGAAGGGGATCCGGAGAACAGAAGACCAAAGAAAACACGCTGCAAGCCGGTGTCGAGAGCTATTGCTTCCCTGCAATTGAGTATATCATCCCGCAATTAAGAGCTTGGTCGAGGATTGTATGGCTGTGGTGTGTGCTTTGCTGCAGCGCGCTTGTTTAGCTTGCAATGGCCCTGCGGGTCTCCGGCGTTGCTACGGCAGCAACCCTGATGAACCCTGAGAATTTAACTACAGTGGGTTCAGTTGAGCAGAGCTAATTACTGCTCCAGCTGTTGCTGCTCCACCTACGAGTGCACGTGCCACCCCGAGTCGCAGTGCCCCCAGCCAGGAAATTCTCGGGTACGAAGCTGGCCCGGCTGGTGGTGGTGCTATCGCATCAGCTCAAACTCACTGACGTTCGAGGTCGAGAGCTCGACAGCCATCCGGCCAGTTTCGTGTGTACCTGCACCCTCAACCATGCGCGGTCCTTCGCCGCTCGTAGGGGCGCTCCGCACCGCACGGCGGCCACAGCTCGCGCCGCTGTCCGTTTGCTGGCAGTGCCGGGCCATTCAGATCAGCGCCTCGCCCGCGACCGAGTCGCCCAAGGCGGGCGGGGATGCCTTCGGAGCGCCCATCAACGGAGCCCGGGACTCGGCTGGTACGTCCGCTATGCGGCCAATTCCTCGGAGGGACGGCGTGTGCTTACAGTGAGAATGTGTAGATGCCCGGTTCGAGGTCCTCGGGACGCCGTACTCACTGCTGTCCGTCACGTTGTCGGCTTCCCAGAAGCTGTACACCCGGAGGGGGACGCTGGTCTCTGTGGCCGGCAAGGTCGAAAATGTACTACATGGACCTTGATGGCCAGTCTTCGCGGCTGTCTGATAATAATGCTAATTGACGTATTGCCAGGCGCAATCAATACTGTCCCTGCGAAACCCCATCCGCAACGCCTTCCTGGGCATGCCCTTCCTCTACCAGCGCATCACCTCGACGACGCCCATCACCGCCCTCATCGCCACCAAGTCGCCCTCCACCACCTTCTCCATCCTCCACCTCGACGGCACGACCGACTGGGTCGTCGCCCAGCGCAACGCCCTCCTGGCCTGGACGGGCCACACCCTGTCCATCACACCCCGCGTCCAGCGCGGGCTCTCCGTCGCCCACTGGGGCAACTCACACCTCACCGGCCGCGGCTTGGCCGCGCTCTCGGCGCCGGGCCACGTCTACCAGGTCGCGCTGGCGCAGGACGAGGAGCTGGTCGTGCACCCGAGCCACGTCGTGGCCTACGCGGTCAACAAGAACCCGCCGCTGCCCTTCCGGCTCAAGAGCTCGGCGCTCCGGCTGCAGGTGCCCTCCGTGCCGGCCTACGTCGCCAGGGCCTCGTCCGACATGGTCCCCGAGGGCCTGGCGCGCTTCTGGAGGAACATGCGCGACACGGACACGTACAAGTTCCTGGCGCGGCTGCTGTTCGGCCTCCGCACGGCGGCCCGGCGCTCCCTCTGGGGCGACAGGCTGTTCCTGCAGTTCCGGGGCCCCACCACGCTGCTCGTGTCGAGCCGTGGCGTGCGCGTCGCCGAGGTCCTGACCAGGGACGACGTCAACGAGATCGCGGACGCCGAGGCGGGCGTCGTGCCGGCCGCCGTCGAGCTCGCGCTCAAGCCCAAGGAGGACCCGCAGCAGGCCGGCCGCGCGCCGACGGCGAAGCCCGTCGCGATACACATTGCGAGCGTGGGCGAGGGCGGCAAGGTCCGTTTCGAGGACTCGAAGGACCTGAAGGAGTTTGTGCGGTGATAAAGAGAGTTTGCACACGAAGAAACAAAAGATCGGGCAGACAAGCGCCACTTGTATTTTCTTGTGTTATTAGATATCAAAAAAAGAGAAAAGTGAAATAGACACCCGACTCAGTTTTGTCGACTGCAGATGGCTTTGGCTTTGCAGCTGGGGACGGAGTTGCAGACGAGGCTGGCCCAGGCTCAACTAATGCCAAGCACGAATAAATCTGTTCAGTGGGAGAATGAGCCAAACATAAATTGCGTTGTTCTGTGCAGTCACGATGTTCATTCTATGAGGGTATTCCTACCGACGGACTCCTAGCAGAGATGCAGCTACTCGATCTTGACAATGCACCATTTGGCCTACAAGAGAAGAATTAAGTACTGACTAGGTAGTCTAGAGATAGGGAGAGAGTGTTCCTCGTGAGATAGCACTTCAAGACCACCGCCGGGCTTTGACTCCACCAGACCACTTGGTAAGGCCGGCCTGATATGAGACCACATTGAGTTCTGTTTTCGTCAAGAGGGGGCTGAATGTGGTGTCGTGGGCAGAGACAGCTGGACAAACCAATCAGTCGACATTATCGAGGCAAGATCTGACTGTGGCTTAATCCCCCAGCCTAATCCCTAGCTCTCCAGTTAACACCATGCGTGTCACAATCAGGGCAAACAACCAGAGGAAGGCGCTTGGACACAAGTCAGTAGGGTATTTTGAGGATGAGGATCCTGACAAGACGGACGTCCTTGGAGAGGAATGGAGGCCAGGATGAAGTCAATGTCTGTCAAGCAACAAAATGCTGTAGCTAATCGGGCCCACATGAGCTACCTGCACTTCAAAGTCAACCAAACCTACGGAGTAAGATACTGGAGCTGTTCGGACAAACTCTCCGGATAACAACACCGCGCTCCTTTCGTTGTGACTCAGGAGGCCCACAGGGATCCCTCGCCTTGTCGGCCTGTCGACCCTGCGGCTGAGATCCTCCTTTGAGAACAAAGAATGAAAGCCACTTGAGTATTTCTGGTCGGAGTTAGGATGCGCAGCAGTGGATGATCCTCCTCTCGGCCAGCTACTTGTACTTAGTTACGCGCAGGTTCATGGTTCATTATCAAGCAAAGCGGCTTCTCCACTGCATCTGGGAGGCACGGGGAGGAAAGCTTGTGTGGCAGAGTGCCAATCACAGCGCGCTCTGGAGCTCTCGTCCTCGCCTCGCGTCTTCGCGCTTTGCTAATCCCGAAAGCCCCCAAGAGGACCTTGCTCTGGCCCCCTCCATTTTGCTAGGGCTGATAGCGTGCATTTACGCAGACGACGAGGGGGGTCTCTGACTGACCGTCGAAATATCTGATTCCATTGGCAAGAAGGGGCCAGCACACGGGCAGGGTCATGGTTTCAAAATAGCGAAATGCAGGGAAAAGGACCGTCTAGACGTCCATCATGGCAGGCTACTTGGTGCGCACCAGCAGGCTGGGTCGAGGGAGGTGGACGACGGCGTATTACAAAGCCTCACGGTAGGACGGGATGATATCATGTCCAATCATGCTGAGCTACAGCTGCGAATCTGCAGGAATGCCATTGCGGCAAGACGGGTTTCTCTATGTACCTTGAGCCAGGTCGTGCAACACTCAGAGTGGCATTGCGCTGTGCCATGCTTTCGGTCCCAAGAATTCGAGCTGCTTGCCATGTGGGAAGGGCGTGCCTGGAACCACGTCGTATTGCGTTGACGAACACGACGATCCCAGGGCCGTCAAACCTCAGTCGCCGGTAGGAGTCATCATCTTCACCTCTCTCCCTCCCCCTCGCGGTCTTCCTCGCTGGCATCGCGACCATAGTGAAAGCCTCTTTGGTGGTGGTCTGTACTAGTAAACTCCGTATCCCACAAATGGCCGAATAGAGCGAGATGCCGTCCGGTCGTAAGCGCAACACATTAGTCAAGAGTGTGTGCGGAATGACATGAAATGGTGTGGCCCATCGCGGAGAGTGCAGAGTACCCCATCACTCCATGTTCAAGTACTCATCTTTGTCTCCTTGCTTCTAGCCGCCTAGTCAGCTCGTCAGAGTCATGTTAATCACCGACGCCCTGTTCCCACCAGAAGCGATAACATTAAACCCTAAAACCGAGCTCTTGTTGCAGGGATGCCAGGTCGGTGCTTCAGGTCGAGGTACCTCCGAGCGCGACGACCCGGGCCTGACAATTCTTGTCGTTGATCTTTGACCCCGTCGTCATATATTTATCCTTGCCCTGCCCTCTCCGGCATGGATTGAGCCTTGTGTGTAATGTCATTTCATCCTTCAAGCATCAATAACGGACACTTCCGTGAATGATAACCCCAGCTGAGCGTGATCCTTTCGAACCTGGACTACATCCATTGGCCATTGACTCCTCCGGCTCCGATTCACACTAATAAAATCTGGACCGCCGTCAACATCACTCGGCCGAGTCTTGCAATAGATCGGCCCCCTCCGAAATTTTCCTTCCCGAGATCACGTCCGCAGACTCGACCTGAGGGACACCCAGGGGAGATCGACACACAAATCCTCAGAGGACCGACGCAATGGTCGACCCATCACCGCAAGTGAGCAACAAGAGCTCATCACTGACCCTCAACGAAAAGGCCGGCGAGGCCGCCCCCAAGGCCAGCGACATGTCCGAGAAGCACGGCGCCAGCTCCCCGCCCACGCGGCGGCCCTCGATCGAGCGCATCCCCTCGCAGCAGTCCGAGACCGACGCCAACGTCTTCCCGGACCCGGAGAACGTCATCGAGGCCGACCTCGAGCGCGGCGGCGTCAAGCCCCAGGAGCAAGGCGCCCCTCCGGGCTTCAACCCGGCCGACTTCCCCGACGGCGGGCGCGAGGCCTGGCTCGTCGTCTTTGGCTGCTTCTGCGGCCTCTTCTGCTCCTTCGGCCTCGTCAACTGCATCGGCGTCTTCCAGGAGTACTACCTGCGCGGGCCCCTGGCCGGCTACAGCCAGAGCACCGTCTCGTGGATCACCTCGCTGCAGACCTGGGCCATGGTCTTCTTCGGCCTCGTCTTCGGCCGCGTGTTCGACATGTACGGCCCGCGCTGGCTGCTCATCGCCGGCACCGCCACCTACGTCTTCGGCCTCATGATGACCAGCCTGTGCCGCGAGTACTACCAGTTCGTGCTGGCGCAGGGCATCGTCGCCGCCATCGGCTGCTCCGCCGTCTTCAACGCCTGCATGAACTCGATCGTCTCGTGGTTCTTCCGGAAGCGCGCCGCCGCCTTCGGCATCATGGCCTCGGGCTCCTCGCTCGGCGGCGTCATCCTGCCCATCCTCATGACCCACACCATCCCGCGTGTCGGCTTCCCCTGGACCATGCGCATCGTCGCCTTCATCTTCCTGGCCCTGCTGTCCGTCACCTGCCTGACCGTCAAGAGCCGCCTGCCGCCCCGCCGCCGGCCCCTCGTCGTCTCCGAGTACCTCCAGGCCTTCACCGAGCCGGCCTACGTCATGACCATCGCCGGCTGCTTCTTCTTCTTCTGGGGCATGTTCCTGCCCTTCACCTACATCATCCTGCAGGCCCAGAAGCAGGGCATGGACGCCAACCTGACCACCTACCTCTTGCCCATCATCAACGCCGTGAGGTAAGTTTTGTGACTGACCTGGAATTCTCTTCCCCGATCCCTTGTTCTGTTCCCCTGAGCTGACCTTGTGTGTGTGTGTCCTCTCCAGCATCTTCGGCCGTATCCTCCCCGGCATCGCCGCCGACAAGCTCGGCCGCTACAACACCATGATCGCCATCACCCTCCTCTCCTCCATCGTCACCCTCGCCCTCTGGATCCCGGGCAAGTCCAACGTCGCCATCATCATCTACGCCATCATCTTCGGCTTCTCCTCCGGCGGCTTCATCAGCCTCGGCCCGGCCCTCATCGCCCAGATCTCCGACATCCGCATGATCGGCATCCGGACCGGCACCGCCTTCGCCGTCCAGAGCTTCGGCGCCCTCACCGGCAGCCCGCTCGGGGGCGCCATCGTCGCCGCCCAGGGCACCGGCAGCTACCTCGGCCTGCAGCTCTTCTGCGGCTTCACCATGCTGACCAGCGTCGTCATCTTCTCGTCGGCGAGGATGTACCTGGCCGGCCCGAACCCGCTGAAGAAGGTGTGAGGCCTTTTTGAGGAATCTGCCGAGCAGACCTTGTCGTTTGCGCGACCCAAGCCATCGATCGGCCTTTGTGGAAAGCGACTTTTCTTGTTACGATATATCATCTTTGCATTGTCAGCATTAGATATGGTCTGGGAATAGATATGGTCTGGGAAATAGATACGGGACTGGGATATATTTTTGTCTTGCATTTGCAACCTGGGTTGCTAACACAGCAACGAACCTTGAATTAATTATATGGAGTTTTGGGGTAACTTTCCACTCTTGGATTGACAGCGCGTCTCGCGTGTTTACAAGGCGGCTCTCCAAATATTTAGAAAGGAGGTGGAATTAATATTTACAAGAGAATCTAAAAAAGAAGAAATGGATGCCCTCAAAGGCGATTTCAGTCCTATTTGTCCCCCATTTTCAGATCCCGCTACACCCGCTGTGACAACGGGTTTCCCCAGTGTGCCCGGTCCGCCCAACCCAAATCTCTCGTCCCATCCGATCCGCCAAGCAATCATTTCATGCCTCAGTACTGCAGCTCAGCAATGATCTCGGGCGAATTGATAAAGGCACACCGCTCCCGGAGCTTCTGCGCCCTGATCGCGGGCGTCGACTTGGGCCCGTCCAGCGCGGCCAGCCCCTCGTGCGGCCCGCCCACGACGAAGACGAACGCGTCCTTGCGGCACGTCGTCGTCGTCGTCGTCGTCTTCGCCGCCGGGGGGAAGGCGGGCCCGAACCCGCGGAACGTGTCGTGGCCCTCGAGCGACGGCCTGCCCGTCGCCGCGAAGGTCGCCCACGACCGCGCGCCGCGCCTCTCGAGCGCGTAGTCGGCCGGCGTCGGCGCGAAGGGGTACCCGTTGGTGTCGTAGTGCGACAGGTTGCCGAACACGTAGGCGAACTCGGACGTGTGCACGGGGCCGAGGCCCGTGCGGTTCGAGACGGCGGCGATGGGCAGGTCCAGGATCGTCTGGTTCCAGTCGTACAGGAAGACGTCGCTGCCGGCGGCCGCCATGTTCTCGCCGAGCCACATGGGCTGGCACGTCATGATGATGTCGCGGAAGACGCGCGCGGCGCGGTAGAACTCGGCCGACAGGCCCGCCGCCTCGTCGGCCGCGAAGTCGCCCACGGGGTAGAGCGCCAGCAGCTCGTCGACGTGCCGCGGGGTGAGCCCCGGCACGTAGCTGGCGACAAAGGCCCGCGTGTCCTGCGCCGTCTTGATGGCGAAGTCGGTGTAGTAGACGACGTCGTTGTCGCACCAGCCGATCATGGCCGTCACGTTGGCGAAGCGGCGCTCGCGGACGAGCGCCGACGGCGCGGCGGGCAGGAAGTCGCCGTCGACGGCGGGCAGCCAGACGTCGCCGATGTTGTGGGCGATGTCGCCGACGTAGGTCGCCAGCGAGGCGTTCAGCAGCGAGGCCATGTCGAAGCCCCGGAGGCAGGCGACCGTCTCGGCCGAGTGCAGGCTGCTCGAGTTGCACCCGACGTAGTCCACCAGCGCCTGCATGGCGTCGATCGTAAAGTTGCCCGTGATGCCCGGCTCCAGCGCCTGGCTCTCGCAGATCCCCTGCTGGAATGGCACCGGCTTGCTGCCGCCATAGGCAAGGATCTGGGCGCCAACCGCAAGGCCTGTTCCAGATGTTAAGACAGGTCTTCTAATGTTGAAATGACCGATAGGAATACATACCACCCGAAGACTGCCCAAAGATGGTAATCCTTTCAGGGTCGCCGCCAAAATTGGCAATGTTGTCACGCACCCATTCGATCGCCAAGCGCTGATCCCGCAGGCCAGCGTTCTCCGAGCCCTCGGACTCGAGTGCGTCAGACTGCGCAAAGCCAAAGACTGGGACAGCAACCATTGTCAGCATTCCGTGTGGTCCGGCCTTCCCGTGATCATTTCATCGCACGCGTATTGATTAAAAACTCACATCCCAGGCGATAGTTCATCGCAACGTGAATGATCGGCGTTCCATTTTCAACCGACTGCAGGATCATCCCGTCGGGCCTGGTCGTGATCTCGGCGTTCATCCCCGTCCAGAAGCTCCCGCCGTGAATCCAGACAATGACAGGCAGGTGACTGTCAGGCAGCGTGCCCTTGGGCCGTGCAATGTTCAAGTTGAGACAGTCCTCCGAGATGTCGTTCACGGGCGACAAGGACAGCGGCCCAGACCAGACGCCCGTCTGCTGCGGGCATGCGGGGCCGTAGGACCGCGCCTTGATAACGGTCCCATGCTCGGGCACATGCAGTCTCGGCGGCTTGAAGCGGTTCGCGCCACCAGTGTCCTGCCCATACGGGATGTTCAGGAAAACCTCAACGCCCGCGCGGTCAAGCCCCTCGTAGGTAACATCCTGCTTCTTGTCGAGGACACGTGGAGAAGACTCTGACTGCGCGCCAGAGAAGAAGCAAGCTGCCTCCAGAAGCAGGGCAAGGGCGGGTGCGTGCCTCATCTTGACCGATTGAACCTAGATAAATCCGTGAGAGAGCAAGTGCAGGCCATGATGGTGATGCAATGCAGGTCCCCAAGCTATATGTAACCACGACCAAGTGCTGCGTACCGCGAATAAGCAACCACCCGTGCCTGGCCATGCGCAGATAAGCCTGTCTGCGGCCGGGCGGGGAGATGCGCGAGACGCAATCTTGTGCCTGTCTGTCTTACCAGACGGCATGGGTGAAGAGCTTACTGCGGGGAAACGTGGTATTGAGAGCGGTCAGATACGCCCGGTTTATTTCGACTCCTGCGTCATCATTCCTTGCGGTCAATCGACGATTCTGCCTAGCAAAATGTTAAAATCACGTAGGGGTTTTGGGCCGTGCCTTCAAGACAGAGTGTAGTAGAGCTTCGATGCAGGCCAATGTGATCAACTTTCATGTGAAGGGTTCTCAACCCCAAGCAACAATGTCGGGTATCGAAACTGAGGCTGGTGAACATAATTCCTTCTTCCTTTCTTCTTTTAGACTTCTCTTTGATACATCAGCTATTTTTTTCGTTCTTGAGCAATTCGTTTGTATTTCCACCTGTATCTATGGTGCCTCACACATAGTGCCTTATTGGAAGTAAACGAGCCAATGACACATGCATACGATGATAGACTTGTATACATATCTATGCCAATGCATCAGTTGAGGCTGTAGGATTTCTGCAAGGTAAAGGGAAAACAAACGCGGTAGAGGTTTCTCTCCTTGTGTTACTGAATTGATGGGCTCCAACTCTCAAGTGCTCTCTGCAAGCTATGTCGCAGGTGCAACTAGTCCTCTTGCAGTATGATGATGTCCAGACCAGCAAATCAGGATGCCAGAATAACACTTCGCAATCAACCAATCAGATACTCTGGTACTCAGCTCAATTGAGACGAGTTCAATCAATACATTATTTCTTCGAGGGCGAGGCCGAATCCCACAATGTTCCATTGTCGAGAATCCGGGCTTCCTCAGACACTGCGTATTGGGTTGACTTGTGACACGACTGGACGAGATTGCGGCAATGCTATGACAGGGGCTGGCCCCATGTATGCATTTCCTCCTTGAACGAGGTTCGGATTCTGATAGGAGACTAATGTGTTTTTGGTAGAGCATCAAAGCATCCGGCGCCATTGGACCGAGACAAGAGTCCCAAACGCAGGAAGAGTCGCAACTCAGACTCTGTTTCCCAGAGCAGTGCTTGTTCAACTAGTAGCGCTCGTCTGGCCCCGAGGAAGCCCTCGCCCATGCTAGATAGCTATCTTCGGTCGACCTTTCAGACTGCAATTTCAGAACAGTTGGGAACTAGGGAGGATCAAGTGTCAACCAAGCAACGGAAACGGCGTGCAAAAGACCTCGCTGTGCAGGCTGAGAAATACCACACAGAGCGTATCGCCAGCAGTATCCAAGCGTTTGCCGACATTTTCGAGGGAAGGATCGTGGTTCAGAGTCTCAGGTATCAGCAAGGCCTCGGAACAGCATGGAACGCCCCAGCGTAGCACCAAATCCCGGACGGAGCGGTGTGCTCCTCGGGAACAACAGCAGCACCACTCAGTCGGATGTGGCCCCAGAGAAAATCCTCTTCGAACACTACAAAAAGTTCATATCGGAGACCTATCCGGACAAACGCAAGACCGAACTGGTTTGTCCCTTTCTTCGGCTACATCCCGAAGAGTACGAACATATCACAACCTCAGGATGTCAAAAGAACGGCTTTGATGACGTCTCTAGACTCAAGTACGTGCCCTCAAAGTATTTCCTGGAGATCCAAGAGCTTACACATGTTCAGGACCCATATTGACCGGACCCACGTTCAAGGCCAAGTGGCCGACGAGAATAAAAGAGGGCCACGGGTTCCCATGATCGACACAGTCCAAGGTCTTCATAATTGGAGAGCGTACAAGAAGGATAGGACGGGCGTCAATTCGAAGAAGAACCCAAAAGACACTGCCACAAAGTGGTGGGACCTTGCCCGGAATTCCGCAGACCCTCACGCGCAGCCTTGTGGACATCGCGACGACTGTAAGTTTCCCCATGCTATGTGCTCCAGGGTACTAAAAGATTCTGACGCCTGGGCATGATAACAGTTCATCTTGACTTTCCTGGCTCGGACTTTCAGAAATTTGTGAAGTTCATGCAGTGGTTGAAAGAAAGCGGGAATGGATATTTGCACCTTAATGAGCCTCAACCCCAGAGACCGACCACTGGCAATCTACCGATGGCAACTCAGGATCACAGGACGTTTCTTAACGACAGACCCGAGTCAAACGTCCTCTACGAGCCGAGGCCACAGGGTGACTCGGGCTACGGTTCTATTGGCGGGCAAATAGAGGAGGAGGAGTCCAGGCACGGCTTTCCGGACTGCGATATACCAAAGGAGTATGTCAACCCAGCTGACTTGATGGGCGCTGGAAGTTTTGCCTCACTAGACACTGGGCATGACGGTGATGCAATGATGAGCTACATTGATTTCTCGAGCGATCCACCATCAGCATCGTCATGATGGGTATCGTTTGGTGTCGAACTACAGGGGTTCTCCTTTATCTGGGATGCGAATGGTTCTGCCAAGAGTTCTGAAGAGATTGTATGCCGGGGCTGATGACTATGACGACTCATCCTGCTATTAGGTGCCGACAGTGCCTGGACATCTATGACGGCAATACAACCTTTCCTCAACATTGTTCTAGCCTATGATCCTGTCGAGATGCGCGTTCGAGCTTGTGTAGTCATCGATGACTTGTGCCTTTCTCGAACTCTCCCGTAGCCCAAAATCGACGTCAAATGGCTCTGGACCCAGCACAAGTCCTGTGTGAAATCCAGTCTCGACGCTGGTGTCGAGCGGCTTTGAGGCTTTGATGTCGAAAGCCCACATGAGCTTTCCCATGGCGAGAATGATAGACTTTTGCGCGAACTGCTCGCCAGGGCAGATCCTCCGGCCAGAGCCAAAGGTGTAGGTTGCTCGGCGGCCCTCTGCCACCGCAACGCCGGGTTTTAGGCCGAGAGGGTGCTGTATGAATCGCTCTGGAACAAACTCCTCCGGGCGATCGTATTCGTCTGGGTTGCGTTGAATACCCCAGACATTGGCCAGAATCGTGGTCCCCTTGGGAATTTTGTATCCCTGGAATGTGTCATCACGATCGAGGACATGAGGGAGTCCGTTGGGTGCTGGCGGCCGGAAGCGGAATATCTGGAGGATCGATTTAGCTGAATGCAACAGGCTGTCAAGAGGGGTGCTTGTTTTCTTACCTCCATCAAACACGCGCGAGTGTAGACAAGGTTGTCAACCATGTCGCCCGTCGGAGGCTTCTCGGGGCTCAGCCTGTCTACTTCCTCTTGGACTTTGGCCTGGATCCTCGGATAAGCGGCCATGAACATCACAAAGGCCATGATGCTCGCCCAGGTCGTGTCGACGGCAGCATCCAGAAGACCTCCGCCGAGATACGCAACGTCATCGTCGGTGAACTGCCGTTCGCCTTCCTTTCCGTCTTTCGCCTGCTCGCGGTCTTCCAGAATCTTGGTCATCAGCGACCGAAACTCTGAGGATGAGCCTTTTGACGGCCGTCCCTTGCCGAGAAGTCCCTTCGCCGTATTCAGGTAGCGGAAGTACTCCTCAAACATGTACTCTCGCACGTATCGCGCCTTGCCCTTCCAGTCCGCAAAGCTCTCGGGGACCAGGCGGAGCAACGGGAACAAATCGACAGGCGGTGCATTGCCCGGCTCCAGGAGCTGGAGCCAGTGCTTCTGCGCCAAGAAGAATCTGTCCGCAAATGCTGAACCGCGGTCTTCCAAGCGCTGTCCGCTGATTGCCAAGAGCGGCGTGGCTAGGGCCCAGTGTTTGAGGTGCTCGAGGGTCTTGGAGGGGTTGGTATCGAGCAGCTTGTACGCCAGGTTCGCCGCGGTCGCTTCTTGCATGGGCACCGTCTGTTTGAGCCCCACCGGGCCGACCAGGTAGGCGACGGCAGCACGCCACTGGCGGAGGTAAGGCCCATTCTGGAGGTTCAGGATGTGCTTGTCGCCATGCTGGCAGAAAACGTGCTCCGCGGGGATGTAGCTGTAGGGACGGCCAGAGTAGATCGCAGCCCGCTTGTCGAGCAATTCCCGGACATATTTAGTGTTGTGAAGAACGACGATATTGCTTGGACCGGCCTTCAGTCCGATGATGTCGCCGTACGTCTTGGACCACTCGTGGAACTTGATGAAGGGTTGTTTGAGGGGTATCTGGTGAAGATTGCCGACGCCGAGCAGCGTTGGCGGCCCTGGAGGGTAGTCTTTGCTACGTTGCGTCGAAACCAGGTACCTGACAACTGCAATGCCAAATACAATGGCGGCAGCAAAGATGCTTGCGGTTATCCAAGGAGTGACGGAAAACATTGTTGCTATTGCATTGGCTGCTAAACCTGTCCTTGCTCCTCCATGCGCCAGAGAGAAATCACTGTTTTATATTCGTCAAGTTCTTGACGACAGGTGGGTGTGCCAGGATTCAATGTGCAGCTCATATGTTGCAAGCCTTCCAACACGAACGCAACATGCCTCGTAATACATGCATTTTCATTGGGGAAAAATGCGGGCAAGACGCGCGATTCTGACAGGATTGAATCAGCAGAGTGACATCGTGGCAGCTTCATGCATGTTGGCGGCGTTTTTGGAAGTATGAATCCATGTCGATGCAGCCAACAACAGATGCCGGCAGGGATGAGGATGGAGATTTCAAACACACCGCCCGCCTTGTGTGTATGCCGATCACTTGGCTGCGGCAATAAGTATAAACCCCGTTGTTGGCAGCCTTAACCATGTCAAGCTAATAATTGTGGCCATGATGATCATGATTCTTGGAGGACTCGAGATCAACCACACTTGGCATCATTCGGACTAGGGATTTCATTATGCCTAGCTTGACAACACCATCTGGATCTTTTGGTTTTATGCTACCATCTGGTTCTGTTCCTTCGCGAACGAATCTGTGGCTATTCTATCCATCCTGTTCAGCCTTGTCGACCTTACAGGAGCTCTCACTCATTCTTAGGGAGATGCACGACAAGTTTGACTTGATTACGGGAAGAATAATGCAGCCACTATGCTTAGTGATGCTTCAACATCAGAGCGATACGAGATATTAGCAATGATGGCCGAGGTGAATCGAAACAGCATCGTTGTGAAAGAGTATACTAGGAGGAATGCTGAAAATCTTAGCGGCCTTATAGCTAATTAGAAGGTCGTGGCTAATCCTACTCAAGCCTCACGATAGGCAAGAGGAATCAGTTAGCCATGTACGCGTTCAGGAACACCTTGTGCAGCCCTACCTCTTCAGTCTACATTGGTAGCCATTCAGCATTATTTCCCTTTTACGAAAAGAGTGTCAGTTACTGAAATTAGCAGCTTTGAACTGGTCAAGGTAGGGCACAGACGGATGAATAGTATTGAGGATCGAATATGTAGATGGTTAGGACTCGATGCATAGAGTACCTGGACCCGAGGCAGCTTCATATTGACGATGATGGTTGTAAATAGAGGGCTCTCTGGAAGGTACTACGACTGGGTGAATCCTACTCTGACAAGGGAAGATATTTCGGAGAGGTTGAGAGCCTCTTCACAAATTCGAGATCACAATTCAAAGTATTAGACTAGAAGTGCGAAGTGTTCTTATTAGTCCCTAGATCTATCGTCCGAATAAAGCATAATGATTTAAAAACGTCGTCAGATGTCTTGTAATGGTCACATCACGCACATCTGGGCCTTGCGGACAAGACAGTAACGACCAGTCCTTGAGAACAGGCATGTATCTACAGCCTGTCAATAGAAATTATTCACTGTCCAGCAACGCTACGGACATATCAGGGTATCAGGCACAACTACCCTTCTCTATAAGTACACATCAGTCATCGAACCGCCCGTCCAGGCCAAAACCTTCACAGCAATGATTCGTTCTATGCTATCTGTTTTTCCCATTTTTCTCTTTTGAGATATACAAAAGAGGAAGCCTCAAGTCACCGTTCTAATCTATAGGACAGCGAGAGCGCCAAGGCCGAGCATGGCAACATAGCCGGCCGAGCCCTTGGCCGCGCCGTTGGTCTTCTGCGGGGCGGTGCTGGAGGAAGTCTGGGAGCCGGAGCCGCCGGCGCCGGTAGCGGCCTGGCTGCTGGAGACAGGCTTGCTGGAGGACTGGGCGGTGCCGGTCGGCGTGGCGCTGGCGGAAGCGCCGCTCGAGCCATTGGCAGCACTCGGGGCGGAAGTCGCGGAGGCACCGCCCTCCTGGGCGCTCTTGGTGACGGCCTTGCAGAAGGTGTCGGCGGCGGGAAGGACCTTGTCTACAGTGGAGAGAAGGGTAGTCAGTATGGTGTTCTGGCGATCCGGGAGATAGGAATCAAGATTCTTTTGTGCCTCGTGTTCGGAGAAGATCTGCGCTGTTGGGGGTGGAGGCCCAGACGGAGAGACCGATCAAGGCCGGAAGATGCGGGACTATTGGCACTGTGGAGGGGGAGGAGAGGTAAGGTCGGTACTTACTGACGGCGACATCAGATCCGCAGGCCTGCATAACGCAAGCGGTGGCGGCGTCGACGATCTTCACGTAGTTGTCGAAGACACAGACGCAAACGCCGTCGGAGGGATCACACGTGGTCGAAGAACGGGCACCATTTTCCAAGCAGGTGATCGAGCACTGAGGGAAGTAGTCCTTGAGGAGAACTTGACCAGCGACAAGACTGGCCGCGGAAAGCACGAGGGCGTTGAGGAACTTCATGGCGGATGATCAAAGGCTTCTCAAATTGCCTGTTGCGGCTCAGGTCTGGTCAGCTCAAGTACGCTGGGTCAAGTTCAGGAATAGGCGACGGGAATTGAGGTCTTAGAGGCATCGTACTTACAGAGCTTTTCAGCAGACGATCTGGAGAATGATACGAAGGGCACAGCAGTGAAAAGCACGCCAGTAGCTGGGGCAGGATCTCCGGTGGGTTTATATTTCTCGTCCAATGAACTTGGGAGCGCAGAGCAGCAGCTTTGACCTTGCCTTAGTGACCCTACATGGGACTTTATGGACCCAAGCCTCGGAAGCAGGAGCTGAGCTCTCGGTTGGCGAGCCGGGAGCGACTGATCGGCTCGAGCGTGGCCGTGGCGGGCGGGTCTTGGATTGGCATGTTTATCCTAGCTCGGCCGGTTGTTCTGCTCGTCATGACGCGGCAGCTTCTAGCTGTATGCAATACTTATCAGATGGGAGATGTAACTCCATGCATGGGCTTGACTGCAAGCAGCCAAGCGGGAGCGTGGGCAAGGACGAACAGGGAACAAGCCCCCACACGAGTGAGTACAAGTACAAGTACAAGTAAAGGGGGGAGAGGGGGCTGGTCCGCCATCTCCAACTCTGATCAAGGCCGATTTCGCAGCCAAGGGCTAGCACACGAGAACACGAACACCATCCAGGAACCAGGATTGTTTCATTGCATACATCATTAAACATAGGGCATTGGCTCGTGGTGCATGCCCAGCCAGTGACTCTATTGCCAAGAGGCGGTCGTGTTCAGCTCACGGGGGGAAGCTTCTTCTTGTGAACGGTCTTCCTCAGAAGATCTCACGAGCAGGCCGCCACATCCACAAAACCGAGGCAATTTACACAAGCTAGAGGAGCATGGGCATGCACGCTAATGGTCCCGTAGAGTCCCGTCGAGTGGGGTGGGGGACAGCAGTTGGTTGATCGTTCACCGATGACACGAGGTAACTACTCCCAGTACTCAGAACAAGAGGGCAAGAGACAGAAGGAACACAAAGGTGTGGGTGACAGATGGGACCTTGGAAAGAGAACAGACCACTCGAAGCTGGCTCGGTCTGGTACGGCTCGCGCGGAATAAAGGACATTCAAAGATCACAGCAGGTAGTTAAGTGGGTGGTGGTGGGATCTGTTTTTTAAATTGGGGGTGGATGAGGGGCCGAGAGATCAAATTTTATCAGATTATCAGATAATCCGGCAAAATTTCCATCTGATAAGATCAAACTATTAGCTGACGCCTGACTCTCTTGAGGGGCCGCTCATCTCCACCGCCACCAATCAAAGCATCGTGGCGGCGAACCGAGCCCCGTCCCGGAGGCAGCTGGCGTGCCATTGGGGCCATCTCAAGATGGCAACATCCCCCGAAATCCCTGTCTAGCTCGAGCTTAGCATGCTGTTGGGACCGCTCGGCGAGGACGACGGCTTCTGGGCGGGCCGGGTGAAAACGCTCAGCACCTTACTGAGTACTGTACCAGTACCATCCGGGCTCTTCTGTCGAATGGATGCCGGCCAAGCCATTCTCGATGATCTAGGGATGGTCCAGCGAGGCTAGCTCCTCATCAGGGTTAGCCTACGAAGTTGACGTTCGATCAATGTCCACCTTCGGCTGGAGGACCGGATCTTGAGCTTTGGCTTTGCTGTTGGTTGCAAGGGCTTGCAAAAGGCCGCACCTGGGCGGGTGGGTACCAGTGCGCAGGAGGGATCTTTTTGCTCTCCTAGAAGGGAATCCAGGCTTGATAGTTGAAAGAGAGGGTCCAGCTGTCCATGAGGCAAATCTTCAACGCCTGCCCTTCAACATTACGTGTACACAAGTACATTGTTCTACCCATAGCTCCGTACGCGGACAGTTCAAGACCCGGTTTGGCACCACAGACTACCGCGGGCCGTTCTGCATAAGTAAAGAGGCTTGCACCGGCCTCGATCCATACACTTATCGCCTTTTCCCGGTTCTTGCAGGGTAAATCTACGGCACTTGAGCGCCCCGCGCACCCGGAAAGAAGACTGCGCCGCATCAAATCCTACTTACGATCACTCTCTAAGTGGCGATCTCGCCATTCTTCTCAGACCAGCGACCATGGTCTTCTTCAAGAGGAAGGATTCGGACTCCGAGCCCGAGGGAGTCATCTATCCCACCCACGAGATTGCTATCCGGAGCCCAGAGATCACCGAGAAGGGCACCAACGCGAATGACAGTATTCAGGCCCAACAGCAGAGCAGCGGCGCCGCCGAAGATGCCGCAAAGATCCCTCAAAACTTCCAGGCCGGTGTCCAGCGTATCGAGGCCGCCGCCAGTGTCTGGAGCAAGAAGGAGATGGTTGCCGCCTATGCCTGGTAAGGAGGCTGTATGTTGTTCGACGATAACAGATGAAGAATGCTAATGGAAACAGCATCTGGCTGATCTACTTCATCACCTCGACCGAGGAGGTCGTCGTCCGCACCCTTACGCCCTTCGTCACCAGCGCTTTCCAGTTCCACTCCCTGACTCCCACCGTCGGTGTCATGGCCAGCATCTTTGGCGGTCTCTCCAAGCTTCCGCTCGCCAAGATCCTCGATACGTGGGGTCGTCCTCAGGGCCTGGCACTATCCTGCTTCATCTGGACCATTGGCTTCATCATGATGGCTGCTTGCAAGAACGTCGAGACTTACGCCGCTGCCCAGGTCTTCTCCACAGTTGGGTAAGTTTTGGTTCGGCCCGGATGGATCGGATTGTCTTGTTAATTCGACGTGACAACAGTGCCCAAGCTGTCAGTTGGTGCATGACCGTCTTCATTGCCGACACTTCTTCCCTGCGCAACCGAGGTCTGATGCTTTCCTTTGCAACATCTCCCTACATCGTCACCACTTGGATCGGTGGGCCGATGGCTGACGCCATCTTGGCTGGTCCTGGCTGGCGCTGGGGCTTCGGAATCTTCGCCATCATCATTCCCGTAGTTGTGGCTCCCCTGGTGGCCGTGCTCTGGTACAACCAGTACAAGGCCGTCAAGCGGGGTATCGTCAAAGAGCACCAGCGTGAGATCACCCTGGAGAAGGTCAAGAAGTACTGCATCGAGATCGACCTCTTCGGAATAATCCTGCTGGCTGGAGGTATGGCTCTGTTCCTGCTGCCATTCAACATCTGGTCGTTCCAGGCCCAGCAGTGGAGGGCGCCCATCATCATCGCCTTCATCATCGTCGGCTTCTTCCTGCTGGTCGCCTTCGTCCTCTACGAGAAGTACTTCGCGCCGGTCAACTTCATCCCTGTCAGCCTGCTTGCCGACCGCAGCGTCTTCTTCGCCGGCATCATGCTCTTCTTCCTATTCTTCAACTCGATGGTCTGGGGCAGCTACTTCACCTCCATGTTGATGGTCGTCTGGAACCAGAGCGTCACCACGACCACGTACATCTCCAACATCTACCGCGTCGGCTCCTGCTTCGCCGCGCTCCTCATCGGCTACTTCATCCGCCTGACCGGCCGCTTCAAGTGGGTCGCCTGCTTCTACGGCATGCCGCTCATGATCCTCGGCGTCGGCCTCCTGCTCAAGTTCATCCACGCCGATGACAACGTCGGCTACGTCATCATGACCCAGATCTTCGTCGCCTTCGCCGGCGGCCCGCTCGTCATCGCCGCCGAGATGTCCATGATGTCGCCCTCGAGCCACCAGCACATCGCCGTCATCCTCGCCATCCTCGACCTCTTTGGCAGCGTCGGCACCGCCGTCGGCTCGACCGTGGCCGCCGCCATCTGGACGGGCACCTTCAAGGACGCCCTGCGCAAGTACCTGCCCGCCACGGCTCCGATCGACCAGATCTTCAAGAGCCTCTACATCCAGCTCGCGTACCCGGCGGGCAGCCCCAATCGTATCGGCATCGCCAAGGCCTACTCCGACTCGCAGCGGTACATGCTCATCACCAGTGTGTGTGCTCTGGTCGCCGGCTGGGCGTGCACCTTCATCTGGCGCGACATCAAGCTCAAGAACCTCAAGCAGAACAGAGGTCTCGTGGTCTAAGCTCCAGATCTCCCGCAAGAGCTGCGTTGCAACGTCGCTGGGTATGAGCGTCTTGACAAATGGGAGATCTTCACCTGTGAGGATTTAGAAACGTTCAGCTTATTGATACAAGTGCGTCTCTGTTGGGTTACCAGAAGGAATCTGAAAAAGTCTAATGTCTAAAGTTTGGCATCACTATGTGTATTTACTTGGGAACGGTGCTTTGTAATGCTATGCATAGATTTCAAGAGTGTTATACAACACGAATCCAGTCAGTGAATCCCTATCACTGGCCGCTGGTTACACACCCTGGCTTGGGCGCTAAGCACCCTTCAAACCAGTGCAGATACCGTTCGTGGCACCACTGTGAATAACGTCAAGTGTGGCCATTTCGAGCCACCTCCAGGAGGCGCATTTTATGACTTGCAACACAGCCCATGTCCTTGCAATGCCCGTCTAAATTAATTGGCGGTACAGCCGTGAAATTCTATTAATACGCTGTCCCCCCTTTTAACAAATTTAATTCCCTGATTCTCTTGAACAAACCTTGTTGTCTCTTTCTTTACTGGTATTAAGTACTCCTTTTATTTGAATGCTATGATTGCTAATACGGGAGCCTGTGAAATGAAATGCATCAAAACTGATGATTAAAGCAGCCTTGAGAAATGGGCTGTCTGCCTATCTGTAGGCAGCTGAAGCCAAGAACTATAATTGTCATAGGCTAGAGATTTGTGCTTATGGACTGCGTAAGTTTAGACTTGGAGAGATGAAAGCAAAGTCTGCTGCTGACCTACCAAGCTATCTTAAAGAAAGTCTAGACTTAAACCTGAAAGATATTGAGAACGAGGAGGAAAAGCACCTAACAACAAACCCTAAACCTCATCAGCTATCATCAGCCTACTTGGTCGAACAACAGGTTCGACTGCTTGATCAATCTAAGACCTTGATCGAGCACTCAATCACTTGAACAACTCTGTCTCATTTTGATCAAAAGAAGCTTGATTGAATCTCCCTCTACTCCTGCAAGAACTCCCTCCCCTCTCCCTATTTCAATACAACTCTCTAAGTGCTTGGAAACCCCCTATCCTGTGCGGGTTGTTCTGACAGCCATTATCGAGATCAAACGTTCGAGGAGTTCCTGAGCCCGGGCACAATATGCAAACTATGAAGCATTTTGCAGAGACAGTCTCCCTTGGAACCAAAGGTCGCCTTCATAAGACGACTGGTCTGGCATCAGTGCGTTATATGCGTAACGAAAGGCGGCGGTTCTATAATGCCTGTGAGGAGGAGACTTGTGAAGTTATTTCTAGTGAAGTGAAGGAAGCCTTGAGTTGATATGGTTAGCACCCTGGCGTTGCTCGAGCTAGTTTCGGGGCCGTCAACAAGAAGAGAAACTGCTGCTCGGGTGCGAACCCTTGTCAAAGGTTATCTATGTGACATTGGCAAAGGCTCTAGTCTGAGCCAGGCTGTATGAAATGGAGAAGGTATTAAAGAAACTATACTTTTGATGTCTTTTCCACTTTCGCTACTGCAACATATTTACGCCAGCTCTGGCGATCATGCGGTTCTCTTTAAGATGCTCATCAAGTCATGATAAGAAGTTCTTTTTCATGAATGACTAGATGATCAGCTTGTCAAGCGTGGATTGGGACAAGTCCCCACTGCCAACAAGAGAGTCACACTGCTTCATGTTCCCTTCAATAATGATAGGCAGAACTGCTGGACCCTACGACAAGCCTACGCCAACGACACACAGACGTTACATAACATTCACAAATATGCAGTTGGTTGGCAGGACGGCCCGCCCCTAGAACAGTCATGTCCGTGGGCACGGACGGCACCACAATTTGCAGACGGCACCGTGGCAGGGGTCGAAGCTGGAGTGGCTTTTGAGGCAGTGCCCACAAGACCTGTTCGAGCGCTGTTAGACCACTTCACACGAGACACGAGGGAGCCCCGAGTTTTGAACCGAGCAGCCACAATTGCCTCACTTCTCTCGATCTGAGGCAGCTGACGGCGGCGATTACTGTTCATCGCTGCTGAAATGGAGGGCGAAACCCTGTTGACCATCGTGCCCAGGTGGGCAACGGATGCACGCCCCTTGAACTATTAGTGCCAAGCATAGGCAGCTTTCGTTAGTGTCCGCGGGGGACTAGCCGGCCTGCATCCCTCAGCGCCACGTCCCTTCTGACAGGCCCTGTTTGCCGAGACTGGACACCATCAACAGCACAGATCCACTGATGGCTGGCTCGCGAGAGTCAAGAACCACCATGTATTCTTTGACCTCAAGGCAGAGACTGCAGTTCCCTGAGCTTCGAAACAATCAAGAAGACAGTTCATGCGGGTGTAGGGTGTGGACAGCTTGGCACCAATCGAGGTGATTTGCGATCCGATCGGCATGGTTCCCTCTCCCAGCGTCGACAGCATCGGTTTGGCTTTGTTTCAAAACGCGCCTCCAAGCGCCCCTGAACCCCTGGGCCCGAAGCACCTTGGAGGCAGTGGCTTGAGTGAGCCAAGTTCGCATGTGCTGCAGGATGCTGTGTTCGAGGACAAGGCCGCGAAAAAGAAAATACACCGAGATTGCTGCTGCTAGGATCGAGTGGTAGCGGGAAACGGCTGAGAAATTAACGGCTCCAGGCTTGGCTTCTGAATGGCTCACAGGGCGCATCCGCGCTCCTAAATTAGGCCTCCTGCGCTCTGGTGGCGTCGTGTCGACCGTGCTCATCATGTCTCTCTTGTACGAGGTGTGATTGTCGAGCATCACGGTGCGTCATTTCGTGGCAATGGCTTCCTCTGGATTCCACCAACAGGGCCATGCTGTGTGTGGCCCGACTCATGGCAATGAAGCAGTTGCCAACGGAAAGAAAAATACATCACTTTCCGATTCCGTATGCAGACTCCCAGCGAGAAGGCGGGCGGGAGATCCTTGGATCTCCACAGTCGTGTCCAACCCCTGCTCCCGCTTGCTGACCTGCGCTCCCTTTTGATCCAATACTTTGACGGAATTGGATGTTTGGCTGTTGACTGAGCCGCGAAACTGTCTGAGCACCCTGCTCAATTTGACACCCTAGCGATCGCCATAGGGCTCGAGTCCGCCTCTGATGGATCCGTTCCGCCATGGGAGCGAGTGCTCGGACGGTGCAATGCCACCCTCTTAAGTTCGCGAGCCCGCGTCTCTTGCTCACCGGTCAGGACGGGCGTCATCTTCTCTCTACGATTGGATCGGGGCTAGAACCTGGACCTGGAAAACCCTCACGAACCCTGCTCCCGGGGAAGGGCTCGAGAGAAAGCAGGCCCCCGGGCCGTCCCCTGTCCAGCCAGCTCAGACAACTGGCTTTCTACGACGCCAAGGCGCGGATAACCTCAAGACGCTGGCGTCTCCTGCTGTCAGAACAACTGCCCTTCTTGTTCTGCTTTCTCGCTTTTCAACCAGACAGACTGTTGGCCAGTTGCCATGACAGCATTCGGCAGAGTATCATGAATAGCTCTGACCCAGCTCAGACTGCAGGGACTGGCGACAATCGGGGCGGATCCCTCATTGGCGCTGCGGTTGCAACCGTGGCCATCTCGGCCACCTTCGTCGGTCTACGATTCTACACGCGCGGCGTTCTCATCAAGACGCTCGGCTGGCCCGACTGGGTCATTCTGATCTCATTGGTAAGCTGCGAACACGACAACTACACACGACCTGCGATTCTTGCAGAGTTCAATGACTGATCGATCCAAGTTATTCGCAATTGGCCATACAGTGGGTCAAATTGAACGTAAGTTTGGGCCTTGACATGGCAACACTGCGCTCCAAGAGCCATCCATTGACCGGCTCTCCCTTCCTTCCAGAGGTGACACTAGGCGGCGTAGGCCGGCCAGCGGCCAGCCTAGACGGCGACGACATCAAGAGGTGGCTTGAGGTGAGTCCCCTGGCCAAGCCCATCCAGCGCCGCGCTGGATGCAACAACGCAACGATCGCATCCACTGACCGGGGGAACCACTGCAACCTGGACAGGCCGGGTACTACACCACCCTTGCCTACATCGCCAGCTTGCTCGCGACGAAGCTTTCCGTACTGCTACTCTACCTCCGCATCCTGAGCTCGGCCTACCTCCACCGGACGTGTTACATCGCCATCGGCGTCACCGGCCTTCTCGGAGCATGGAGCTTCGCGTCCAACGTTGCCGTCTGCGTGCCCCCTGCGGCGTGGTGGGACAGGGAGTCGCACCCCAACGCCTGGTGCTGGCCCCTCTCCAAGGCCTGGAGTGACGTCGGCATCCACGTCCTGACCGAGCTTATCGCCCTGGCCTTACCGCTGCCCTATGTCTCCTTGCTCAGCATGCCGCTCCGGCAGAAGATCGGCGTCGGGTGTCTTTTCGCACTGGGGATCTTGTAAGTCCTCGTGTACCTAGCTGATCTCATGGGAAATTGGCTGAAAGTCTGTAGCGTCTGCGGCGTCACCGTCGGGCGCATCCCGGCCCTCGAGCAAGCCGTCAACCCGAGATCCACGGTCGACCGGAGCTACAACGCCGTCGCGCTCGGCATCTGGTCGTGCATCGAGATCAACACGGCCATCGTCTGCGCCTGCCTCATGACCCTGCGGCCCCTGGCGTCGCGCATCGCCCCGCGGCTGGTCCGGTCCGGGTACCGGCGGTACAACGACGACGAGGCGCGCGGGGACCGTCTGCGAGAGAATATCCCCCTGACGGTCGGCTCGCGGCGCATCCGGCGGAAACCGCGCGACGCGCTCGACGAGGCGCTCGACTCGACGGCCTCGACGACACTGACGGCCGACGGCGGCCACCCGCTCGACGTATCCAAGGTTGCGACTTCGTCTACGAGCCTGGCTGCTGCGAGCATCGGCGAGTCGACGATGACGAGAGATACCAGCGAGGGAGCGGCAATCCAGCCGCCTAGGGAGTGGCCGCCATGAGACATCGACCTGAGTGGAAAGAGACCGGATATCATCGTTCGCAGGATTCAGACTGCCTGCTACCGCAGTGCGCCCCTTCACATCAGCAACCCCATCTTCGGAGTCGATGAAGGCTTTCATCTTCTCCGCTCCTGCAGGGCATATAATACATCCATCCACTCGCAGCATCGAACTATTCTGCGCTGCGTCCTGCGTGGCCATCGAGTCTGTTGGTTCTGGTGGAGGGAACGACTCCCCTAGCCGCGGAAGCATCGTCGACAATAAAGGCATGTCCTCCGCCGCCCCCGACTCAGGCCAAGCAGTGGGGTCCCGACTCTGTCATGAGCGGAAGGATATGCGGCCCGTGTGGCATGATGGCCCGGTCGCGTCCACGGCGGGACGCCGTTACCTGGCCGGGCTTGACGGTGCCTGGCAGGTGCAGCCTGCAGGACTGCACCAATGGCAGCAGAGGGGGAGGCCTCAGCGGCCGTCTGTGACCTCAGCTCCTTGGTAGCGCTCATAGGCTCCCAGATTTCACTCGTCCAAGTGCGTGAGACTTGTTGGTTCCGAAAATAGTCAACCTATGTATTTAAATTATAGACATATCGCCATAGTTGATGCTCGGCTTGGTCATCACATATTTAAAGAGAGCACGTCAGCAAATGATCAAGCCTTGGTTCTGCCGACTGGTGTTGGCAAGGCGATGTGGTGATTGTAAGGATATGGAAACTCTTCTCGACTGCAAATCAGACAGGTTCAAACCTCAGTCTGCTATCCGTGATAGTGAGTCCAGCTTCCGTAGCCGACCAATCCGAATACCGCTAGGATCATCAGCCAAAGGGTTCCAGCGCGAAGGATCATCCCCATGGCAAGCTTATCTGTGCTGCTGGCATCATTTACATGAGGAAGCGGCTCGTCTGGAACAGGTCTGTCGAGGATCTTGCAGAATGGCTTCCAATCACCTTTCAACGACACAAAATGAAGCCTGCCCTTTGGGACAACGGCCTTGAGATACTCAGTGTTTGCGTCATATGCATCTGTCGTCTCTGTTTAGCAAGTTTTCTGCTGATCTCCCATCAGCGTGCAACAGTCGATGGCTTACCCGGACTCAAGTCAAACCCGTACACGTCCTTGAACCGCGATATTATGTCGCGTCCAACGTAGGGAATCCACCGCCAGCCGGGAACCGGCCATAGCAGGACAAACAACCAGCGAGCCGTTCCAGTGTCCACAACGGGCTTCATGCTGTTCCACCATTTCTCCTTGTCGCGTTCAACGCAGATGACCTTGGCGTCGGGATACAGCTCGCAGAGCTCCGGTATGAAGCCGTTCAAGGGCGCATCGCAGACGGCCACGAAGCCGGCAGTGAGGTCGCGAAGGTTCTTGAGCGTGCGCTGCCGATCATGCTTGTGGACAAAGAGATCGTGACACTTGCGAAGATATGCTGGAAAAGGCAGACCCGAGGTTTAGTACTGGGTGTGGACTGTAGGATGTGGACTGGGACTTGGTTCATACCATCTTCCCTGCCTATCAACTGTGATCCCCCATGATGTACTGGGCCATTCAATAGTCTTTCCATTACTATAGCGAAAGTGGAAGTGCCGGTCCGAGAGAGGCCCGCGCCGATGACCTCGACCTTGCGGGTTGGGTCCCTTGGTACGGATGGAGCAACACCCATTGCACTCGTATGCTTCAAATTCTAGGGAAGAGATGCCTCTAGATACAAGCAGAAGTGGCTTCATATTTCCAAAGGAGAGACGTTTCCGGGTTATATATCATACCTTTCGGGTATTGTCATGGATGATCTGTATTATACCAGACCATTATCCAGAAGGGGTTGATTTCTCAGGCCTGGACGAATGAAGCTGTCAGTCCTGATTGTACTCTCTGACGAGAAGGCATAAGTTGCTCCAATTCTTATCTGCACCATCCGGGTCCTGGCGGATCGTGTTAACAGTAGTGAAACATGAGGATATAAGCTATGGTGGCGAACGGCTGGCAAACATGGTGCAATAGTCAGCAACTTGATCCACACCCGGAGGCTTCAATAGTTCATTCGAAACGAAGTGCCTGATAGACATCGAGGATTCGCTCATCTACAGTCGGGGTTTGCATTTCTTGCTAACCTAGCACTACCGGATGATCCTCGTCGCCGACGAATTGCGTGTGGTTGCCTCCTTCTCGACATCAATGGTGTCTCGTCTACATACTTGACTATTTGTGATGCTTTTGCTCAACATGGCCATCATCTGCATCGTCCACAAGCACCTCCCTCTCGGATACACCGTTGTGGAACAACGTCTCCTGGGCTAAATTACTAGGGTCAGCTTGCGATGCTCTCGATAATGATGATAAGAGTCATGAAACTTACCGCTCCAAAGCTCAGAGTACAGCCCTCCATGGTCAATCAGCTCCTGGTGCGTGCCCTGCTCCGCCACACGGCCCTCCTTGAGCACAATGATCAGGTCTGCGTCGTAGATGGTCCTGAGCCTGTGCGCCACGAACACGCTCGTCCGGGCCTTCTCCCGCAGGATGGAGTTGATGTTCTGCATGAGCGCCTGCTCGGTGTGCGTGTCGAGCGCGCTCGTGGCCTCGTCGAAGAAGAGCAAGGGCGGGTCCTTGACCAGCAGGCGCGAGACAGCCAGGCGCTGCTTCTCGCCGCCCGAGATCATCAGGCCCCGCTCGCCGACCTTGGTCTGGTAGCCCTCCTTCCACGAGGAGATGATGTCGTGGATCCGCGCGCGCCGGGCGGCGGCGATCACGCGCTCGTGCGGCGCCGACATGTCGCCGTAGCGGATGTTGTGCTCCACCGTGTCGTTGAAGAGGGGCGTGTCCTGGGGCACGACGCCAATGCTCTTGCGCAGCGACTCGATCTGCACCTGGCGCACGTCCTGGTCGTCAATCAAGATGCGACCGGAGGCGACGTCGTAATACCTGAACAGGAGGCGTAGCAAAGTCGACTTTCCACAGCCACTGGGGCCGACGATAGCGACCTTCTTCCCCGCAGGGATGGTCACGGTCAAATTACGGAGGATGGGACGGTCTGCGGTGTAACCGAAGGTGACATTCTCGAATTTGATCTCACCGCCCTTGGTCAAGGCGAGAGGCTTGGCATTGGGCGCCTCCTTGATGGAGACATTGACCTTCTGGAGGTTGAAAAGCGTCTCCATGTCGAGGAGGGACTGCCTCAGCTCGCGATAGACAGAGCCCAAGAAGTTCAGAGGGACTGACAGTTGGAAGACCAGCTGGTTGATCATGACCAGGTCTCCAACAGTCAACTCACCAGCAGCAATGCCCTTGGAGCCGAGATACATCATCGCGGTCAGTGCCGAGGAGAAGATGATGTTCTGACCGCTGTTGAGGAATGCCAGAGAGGTGGCAATCTTGATGGAGCTCTTCTCGTACTGCTTGAGCGCAGAGTCGTACCGAGCAATCTCGAACTTTTCGTTGTTGAAGTACTTGACAGCCTCGTAATTGATCAAGGAGTCGACCGCGACTGTAGAAGCTTTGTTGTCGGCCGCATTGGCCTGCCGCCTGAACTTTGTCCTCCATGCCGTCGTCCAAATGGTAAAGGCGGCGTATGTTGACATGGTCAGCGCCGTTATCGCTGCAAATTGGCCGCCATACTGGTACGTAAGGATACCGCAGACCATGGTGATCTCCAGTGCTGTAGGCAGGATGTGGAAGACCATGCTGGTCAGCAAGAAGCTGATGCCCTTGGTACCGCGGTCCAGTGCCCTGGTCAGACCGCCAGTCTGCTTGGAGAGGTGGAAAGCCAGGTCCAATCGCAAGAGGTGGTCAAACACGTTTCGCGCAACACTGCGGATGGCCTTCTGCGCGACCGAAGCGAAAACGGCATTGCGCAGCTCCTGGAAGACTGTGGCACCTACCCGAGTTGCACCGTAGGCAAAGATCATGGTCCCAGCAATGGTCGCCGCCGTGCCACCCGTAGCCCCGATATCGATGTTCATCGCGTCCACGATGCTCTTGAAGTAGAAGGGCACCTGGACGTTCATGATCTTGCCGCCGACCAGCAATGACAACGCCAAACCCACGCGCATCTTCGTGCTTATATCATTCTTCGGCCAAAGGTAGCGCGACATCTCCTTCATTATTGCCCAATCAGCCTTTCGCTGCTCTTGCGTTGACTTGTCGATGGCTGCAAGAGGGTCCTTCGAGGCTTTCGGCGTAGATTTAGAGATGGCGGCAGCTGCATCTTTGGCAGTTATTGGCGTCGTTGGTCCGCTCGCAGCAGGCTTCGGATTTTGGGTAGGCTGGTCGCGTAGACTGGATGAGGAGGTGAAGGTTCGTAAAGACTTGAGGGTATTTCGGGATTGCCATTGCTGCTGCCTCTGGCCTCTCGGCAGATAGCCTCGGTGGCAGAGCTGAGGCGCTCGCGGGAGGATTCGAAACATCATGGTAACGCTTTGTAGCCGCGCACCAGCATCGTCTTTTCGAAGGGAATGATGCACAGAAGGGAAGCCAAGAATGGAAACGGGGAGAGGTGTAGGCGTGCGACCGCAGGGCTCGTCCTGACCGTGACGTTGCCGGCCAACCGGGTGTTGTCGCGCGCGCGAGTTTGTCAAGCACCGCGCCCGCTGCCTTTCATGCGTCGTTAAGCCCCAATTGAAGGATCACTGGGAAGGGTGGGGTTTCAAGAAGCTGCGCTGTCTTCCTCGTGTGCCCGTTCGAGCTTCACAATGCTCCAAAAGCAATACCCGTTGGCTAGAGGAAATTCAAGCACCGAAGCCGATAAGCGGAGGTGAATGGCGGGACCAACGCGCGTGCGCACGAGAAGTTAATGCAATGATGCAATCCTTAGGCTTGATTTAGCACCGTAAAATTCACGCGGGGCAGGACAGACTCTAGGGTTAGGGTTTCTACTGATGTGACAATTCTCGGCTCTTTTCATACTCAACGAGCAGAGACAGCAGAAGTAGAAGGGAAAGAAATTCACTATTATTGAAAGGGGCAAAAAGCACAGAAAAATTGAGCTTGGATTCGAATCCACAGGAGTGCTGCCCACAAGTGAGTAATTGGAATGGCTGGAACCAGCCAGCCCTGAGTGGTGACAGCCTTGAGAGTTGGGGACTTGGCCAATGGGGTGTGGGAGAACCTAGGTACAATACTTGAGCAACAGTCATTGCTCGCTCCGCTGTGAAAAGCTGAACATCGACTTCTTGAGGTATTTTTTTCATTAATCTCCAAAGTTCCCACCTCCAGGAGTTCATCGGGCGCATGGGTGCACAGCCTGCTATTGGATCGGGAGCGCCCCCAAACTTGTCTCCCTCAGCTCATCTAAATTCGGTATCGGGTTCTGGTCGTACTCGACCTGCCACCCAACCATGCTCAAGCTGTGCCAATGATCGAGATCCATATTTGCAGCCGAGTGCTGTATGTTACATTGGCTTGCATATGCTGAGGATCGTTGATTGGCCTGGCGCATCCGAACAATGCACTTGCTTACAATGCTTTATGAGTTCAATGGCAGGATGTCACACCCTCACAAAGAGCAGAGCCTCGTCTGCCCTCATCTGCCCTCGTCTGCCCTCGTCTCTGCTGTGATCCCAGGTGCTCCTTGCAGTTCTCAATTGGGTATAAATAAGCACTCTCCTGGATCACTGTCAGGGTTCTTCAGTCGGATGTTCCACACATATACCAATTGGTGTCTCCTTTCATCCCAAAAGGCAGCCTGATAAGCGCGCTGTGCCCTATTGTTAGACACAAATTTTCTTCCTCCGCCCGCAATGGCGTCTCAAGGGTCTCCACCTGTGACCTGTGTTAGCTCGGAGCCTCATGACGATGACATTCGAGACTACGTTCAGCATTATATGGGATGCATTGAGATATCTGAGCGCCGTGGATTCTTCGACCCGAACAAGCCGTTATGGAAAAAGTCTGAGCACTCTGCGAATAACGGAGATAATATCACTGCACAGATGAAGTCGAAGCAAATAACTCCAGATCAGGCACAGGCGGCATGCCGCTTGGAGATTCGGCGAGCCAGGTACCTGCGCAAGGTTCTTGCCAACGACCCGAGCGAAACGAAACTCGTCGACAAGATCATGAAAACTCGCGCGAAATGGGTAGCCTCCGAGCAATACAAATCTGGCATGAAAGCAATCCGTACCTGGAAGCCAAACCGCAACAGGGCTCATGAGGACGACAGTGACGACAGTGATGGCCAGCCTCTAAAGAAATACGACCCTGAGCTGGATATAAACGTGCATATCCTCAAGTATAAACGAGACTCCTCAAAGAACCTGAGCATGCTCCCCCACGAGAAGATGAAGGTGAAGAAGGTATTAGAAATGGAAGACTCGAACCCCCTGCGCTATCAGGAAGGTACACCTGAGAAGGATACGATTAAATATGTGCACCTACCAGCCAATAATATGGAGGTGAGTATCTTCCCTGAGGAATGGGTTTCAGGGCTCAACTGATCAACTTCTTGATATATCGTGTAGTGGGCTCAAGTAAGTCAGCTGTCGTAATTGACTATTCCAATTTTAGCATTGTCCACTTATGCTATATTAGAAGGCAATTGCGCGGTTCTTCGGTGACAAGGATCCAGTTCCAACTGCCGCGAGACATCGCATCCGACAACAAACACGCACTGACATGATGCTTCGACCCCACTTCTGGCTTGATCAACAGCATGGTGAGAATGCGGCACCACATGCTCGACACATGCGACCCTTTTGCGAAACCGTGTCTGCAAGTCCGTAATATGGCTAGCACAAGACAAGATTCAACCGCTGATGAATATCAATACAGGTATATCTACTATTGAGCGTAACCCCAAGAATATGGTTCTCTTCGTAAGTGCTATGAAAGGACCTTGATAGAGTCTAGTATTGTTCTGGATATTTGACTGACATGTATTAAAGATGCCATATCTGCATTGGGAAACAGATCAGCAGCGACATCGCTTTGCGCATCACATCGAGGACCTTACAGCGAACCACCGGAATAGGCTGAAGGCTTGGGAGAAGGAGCAGAAGACACGCAGAAGAAGGGACAGAAGAGGACTCGAACGACCGGGGTGGATCATCAAAGATCTGGAGATGGAAGAGGAGGAGTTGAAGTCAAGGGGATATCCGACTCGCACGAATAATGGGGAGGAGTCTGAGCCAAGCGGAAATCCCGCTATCACGAATGGTGAGGAAGTGACGGCGGGACTGTCACCCATCGATGACATTCCTGCGGCAGTGGATAGAGTGTGGCCCGACCAGCACCGGAGAGCGGAAGACAGAGAAGAAACCCCTGCTGAGAAAAGGCCTCTGGGAGCATATTTGAAGAGTGCCGCCGCCTTGTACGAGGCTATGGCAAACTACCGTGATAAGCGCCTACTCGCGAGATATCTCCACCACAACCCGCCCATGCATCCCCGTCGAACGTTGGACCAAGCCTACTACTGGAGTCTGAACACAACAAAGTCCAGGGACAGAGACCAAGTGGTGTACCGAAGCACCACGGCGAAAAAGGAGTTCAACCATTACTTTAGTCCAAGTCCCGAGAAAAGGATCTAGGAGGATCACGTCCAATATGGGATCAGAGGAGAGGAGGGATGCGATAATTGCAAGACCAACATTCGACAGGTCTCGAGGGTTCTGATGGTCGATCAGTTGTGGATGTGGATTCTCGAGGGCCAAACTATCCTCACCTGTTTTCCTAAGCGGTATGGAACTAACCGACACGATGAATCCGGCGTTCACAAAGCTATACGTGTCCGCTTGGACAATGCAAGGCCAAATCAGATTCGGTCCATATATGACCTGGCTCTCATCATTCTTGAGGAATCCATGCAGACCCTGTTTGATAAGAGCAAGACTGCTGACCGCCGCCCTCAAGTTCTGGACACCTTTTCAGATGCAATCGGTATCGTGGTGCGTATGGAGTCACTATTCGTGTTTCAGTCGTCAAAGCAGACTATTAACCTATAACTCATAGACCACCAAGCAGACCGTTGCTTTCGAAAAGCTTTGGCACTGGACTGAAAAAGCGAACATGGCGTATCGCGGCAAGACAGAGATTGATGTCAACGATATCTACATTCCGCTTCTCAACATCAACCCAGAGGGCATGCTTCAGCGGGAGATCAAGGACATCATTGAAGAGCTGGACATCATGCTTCAAATAACAAAGTCTCACAAGATTGTGCTGAGAGACTTCATCACCAATGTGGAGCACATCCTCGACCCAGACGGCGTCTTCGGCGGGGTGCGAAAACGGCTTCACAAGGATCTATCCTCATCGCCCCCACCGGGACCTCAAGACTTGACAGGGATCAATCCCCGCAAGGCGCAGTCCGATGATTGGAATATCAATGACAAAGAAAAGTTCAACTGGTTCAGACTCAACGCAGATGAACTGTGGAACAGAGTCAGCCGGCGAATCGAAGAGTTGGAGGACCTTCGCCAGAGTGCTGAAAGCACATCGAATAGTGTAAGTCCATTTCTTCAAGTCGCTAATGGGACCGGCACTAATTCCACGGATTTGTAGTTGAAGGATCTCCTCGCTCTGAAGCAGCAGCAAGCAAGCGTCTTGCAAGCTTACCAGTCTATCCAGCAGGCGGAGCAAACAGTCATTCAGGGCAAATCGATTCTCATGTTCACTCTGGTGACCATTATCTTCGTAAGCTTCCCCAGTCTGGCGTCGATTTGATCACAAATTTCATCACAGGAACTGATGGACCCGAAAGTTGCCACTGTCGTTCATGGCTAGCATCTTTGGAATGAATGCTGTCGAGTTTGGCTCCGCTGGTAGTCTGGCTCTGAGGGACGAGTTGAAATTCATGTGCAAGTACAAGACTCGGACACGTCGGCCCTGAACCACTGACTTACACCAGCCATTCTAGTCCCGATATCCATTTCGATAATCTTCCTCACCCTGAATCTTGCATTCAGTAGGTGGATCCGGTCTGGATTGTGGTACATGTACCATGTTGGCATGACATTGTGTCTTACCAAAACCGGCTTGTATGGACACTGGATTCAGCACGGAAAATCCAGTGCGGATATTGACAGCTTGGCGATCAAGAGGGCGTCGAAATTTAAGAAACCGGTCCAGGATGCACTGCATGAGAAGAAAAAGGCCAAGAAACTGGAGGAGGGTAAGAAGAAAGGAGAAGAAGAGTTGGCTAAGAAGCAATTAGAGCAGTCTCCGGAACTGGCGCCGACTCAAGAGCAGGTAAATGGTGAACAAAGCACGTCGACGGATCAGAACGGAACGGAAAGCACCTTGCGGCATCGGATCTCCGCGTGGAAGTTACGGGTATCCTCCCTGGCTTCCCTCCCCGGGCTAATAAGGGGAAACCGTGGTCACCGAGGTGTCCAAGACGAAGAGGGGCGCGCAATTGAGATGGGTCAGGTGCCGACACGGAGTGATATGGACGGACCGCGCAGAATGAACGGAACAACTGGAACAAGGGCTATCTGAAGGTGCAACCTGCCTCGATTCGAGTCTGGCCATCCATGGTTCTGTAAGCAGCAGTTAGGGGCTGCGGTCTGTCAAGGGCGGGACTGGGTGCTCGGTCCCATGACCGAGCTCCGGGTGGGTACCGGCCGGCAGACTGGGGCCAAGGAGACCGACAAGCGACAGCCGAGCAACGGCGGTGTGCCGAGCCTGTCCGCCAAGCAGAAGAGTCAGAGTGGTGGCGGTCTGCCTGTGTGTGTACGTTAGTAGGGGATACTTCTCGCTGGTTCTGGGACCTGTCGGCGCCACTGGGATTTATTGATTTTGTGTCATTTTACTCTAGTCAGTTTGGGCAGCGATCAAGGGGATAACGTGCTTTCTCCGGCGCATGAGGGATCAATGTATCCTCGCAAGACAAACACAGCCCGTTCGCGACTTGTTCTGAATGCCGATGAACATGATCGGTGGGGACTCCGGCGCAGTGTAAATGGAACGGTCTAGACAGGCTTCAGGTGGCCCCACTGGCAGAATCCGGGCAGTGTGGACTCGAATCCGGGCAGCCTGTGGACTCGAATCCGGGCAGCCTGTGGACTCGAATCCGGGCAGCCTGTGGGCTGGCGCTACGGTGGCTGGGTGGATTCCCACGCGCTGGAGATGCCTGCGGATGCGCTCTGTCGCGATCCACTCTGGACGACAGCGCATGAACTCACCGTGGTCGGCGAGGAAAAAGAGAGGCTGCGAGTTGGCAAGCAGAGCGTCGCGAGGGGAGTGCTGTGCTTTGCTCTCCCCCCCCCCCTGGCAGTGCGTTGTCCAGAAAAGAAACGCTCACCGTGTTCGTCCTGTCGCCGCGTTGCTGAGAAAGGGTTGCCCGAGAAAATTGCTTACCCCGTAATATGTGGGAACCGAGAGCAAGAATCACGCCACTTTTGGGTGAAGGTCCCAGGGAGGCAGCCCCCTCCATCGCGACCTGACACACGCACTACAGCACACGTCGACAGCAAGTCGCAGCTGTGCCAGAACAGGCCCAGGCTACTCCGTACCTAGCTTGCGATTCTCGAATCGAGCGGCACATTAGTGCGCCTCTGGAGCCGTCCCTCTGGGCGTGGAATGCGTCGCGACGGATCCTGCGGGCCCTCCGCAAAATGATCGTTTTTCTGGAGTCCTCCCAATTATTGATGGCGGCCCAAGTGGGAACCATGGGTTTGAACTCCTCCTGCTCCCGGCGCTGTATCGGAGGGGCAGACTGCACACACACGGCCAACTCGTTGATCCTTTCGTGATGCAGTGATTGGCTCCGTCCGTGCTCTTCCGGCTTCTTCCTTCAGCTGCGATCTGACCCCTGGAGTTTGCCAAAAGCAGCAGCAGCAGCAGCAGCAGTTACTTGATTGAGTAGCGGGAGCAAGAGGAGCCAACGCGGATGCAGGGGATTGTCGGCGCTGCAAGGAACAGCCATGATGGCCCTCTTGCTCTCTCCATCGCCGATGACACTTCATCGTCGCGACTCGGCCATTCGCTTGCGCAGATTGGAAAATAAGAAAACAACTCACAAGATTTTACCTTAGATTTCTTCAATGACGTTGCACCTCTTACAGCCCGGATCGTTTCGTCGGCCTGCTCGGCCCGCACCCAGATCGCCGGGGCATGCAACGCTCGCGTGTCGGAAATGACCCTGACTTACACGCTGCTTTTCTTTACCCGGCGACCAGGGGGTTGCTGTTGAAATACCGCCGCGGTGCTATAGATTCAAGAAAAAGAAACGGGAATGGCAGATAGCGAGGGAAAATTCTGAAATTGCGCGCAACACGACGACCAGGCTGGTAGTACTTGTAAGTCTGCGAGGGTATTGTTTGCCTGCCCGGCTGCCAGAGCCATCGAGACTGAAGACAGACAGACAGCAGTGGGACAACAAACACCACTCTCGTCGCCGTCGTGGGATAACTCAGCGGTTGGCCAACGTCGTAGGACCCCTTCCACGCCTCCCTGAAGTTTCCGGCTCTACCGCTACTTCTCTCGTCGTCCTCAACTGCCACCTCGCAGCATGCACCTGCACGCTCCCTGCAAGATAAGCTGCAACTGCATTCACAATGCATGGTGATCGACCACAGAGGGCAACGAGCAACACTCATGCCGCCGTCAAGCCTTAGCCTCCGACTACCGGTGGGCAGGCTCACCCTGGGAGGCGTTGGGCTTCCCAAGACCATTCCTAATCGGACATTCCCGGCCATCAGTCCGAAGGGGTCCCCGTTTCACATGCTTCCTACGGCGCCCGCAGGCCCATCCAGTCGCCTTCCAAAACAGCTCAGAATGACAGAATGGCAGGGCTAGCCCCCCCACAGTGGAACCGTGTTCTTGGTGGCGCTGTCATTCATCCACCTCGGCGGCCTTCCTATCGAAAACCCGATCATATAAGTTGCTGGCCCCCGTCCTGCCGGAACCCTTCACCCACCCCCCAGCTGACGTCTTGTTTTGTATTGCGCCGGAAGGAGTTTTCTTTTCTTGTTCTTCTCTCTTATCAAGGATAAATCTAGACTGAAAGAAAAAGAGTTTCGTTCTTGTTCTGTGGATATCACCAGGACCCACGCGAGTCAATCAATACACAGAAACTTTCCCATATAAGAAGCAGGCCATTCGCCCCGAGGCGAGTCATTCATTTCATTACCCTTCAGTTCGCGCACTAGGTGAGCACTTAATAGCAGCCAGTCTGCCCTCTTCACGTCTATTCTTTGGTGATCTGCTCAGTCACTGCATCCTTTTCCTCCATTCTAACATTTCTCTCTCTCGTTAAGATACCCCTCCATCGCGGCGCACGCACGCACACGCGACACACCATCATTGCGCCTGATCACCCACGCTGTGATCGAACACGCTCTCTGCTCCGGTTATAGATCTCTATAGAACGCGAGAAGAACGAGTTCCCTCCACTTCAAGACCTTTCTCGAGGCACCCCATTCTCCCTCCCCACGTAGAACCCTCATCTCGACCGCCACCATGATTTGGACGCGCGCCATCTCCATCACCAACTTCGTCGTCGCCAGCTCGGCGCTCGCCTTCCAGACCATGGTCCTCTACCCCTGGCATGTCGAGCTGGACAACAACTTTGAGGCACTGAAGAAGGAGCACCTCAAGGTGCTCGAGGCGGTGCGCGGCAAGATGGCCTCCGAGGAGCAGCAGGGGCTGAAGGACAGGATAGAGGAGCTGGGACACAAGAAGTCGAGGTGGTTTGGACTATAAAAGCCCATCGGAAAGTGTCTCCTAGGCTCACAATTGTGGAACAGCTTCATGTCACATACATCATCATCATCATCGTCGGCGTCGGCCGCGACCTCGCCCGTAACGGGAGCGGAGGCCTCGGTACACGCGGCGAAACCAGTACAAGGCGTTACCCTCTATGCTAGATACGCTCTCGCAGGTGCTTTTGTTTGCTCCTTTACGCATGCCGTCCTGACGCCCGTCGATGTGTAAGCCAACTTGCCTTTTTGGAACTCTCTGTCAAGCGCAGTATTTTGTCGAAACAAACTCTACGCCACCCACGCCACGCCACAGCCAGCCACGCCAGTATTATGATCACGACACGCATTAGAAGTACCAACCCGACCCGAGGGAGGACGCACCCACAGAAAACAACCGCCCGAAAAACGACTGTTCATTCTGTCTCTACGTCTCTCTCTCCTCTCGTGGCTGTCTTTTGCCATTCGTGCGGCGTTCGTAAACCGGGGGGGTTTTGCCTCGGTTGCGAAGTGCCAGTCACGTTAAAACTTTTGCCTTTCCTCCGTGGCGCGTGGCCCCCTCCCTCTCTCCCTCCCCCTTCTCCCCAAAACTTCCTGACTCTTTGGCCCCAATTTTTGATCACGCCCAGGTGCGCTAACTATGCATGCCTCTGTTCGTATAGGGTCAAGACGAGGATCCAGCTAGACCCGGCGCGGTACAGCAAGAACATCAGCTCCAGCGCCCGCCTGATCGCCTCTTCCGAGGGTGCCGGCGCCCTGCTCACGGGCCTCGGCCCCACGTGCGCCGGCTACGCGCTGCAGGGCGCCTTCAAGTTCGGCGGCTACGAGTTCTTCAAGAAGCTCGCCATCGAGAGGCTGGGCCGCGAGACGGCCTCGGACAACCGCAACGCCGTCTACCTCGCCTCGTCGGCCGCGGCCGAGTTCCTCGGCGACCTGGCGCTGTGCCCCTTTGAGGCCGTGCGCATCCGGCTCGTCTCGCAGCCGGCCTACGCCAGCGGGCTGGCCGACGGCATGGTCAAGATGGCGCGGCAGGAGGGCGTGAGCGGGCTGTATTCCGGGCTGAGCCCTATCCTTCTGAAGCAGTGAGTGTGGCGCATCTCCCTCCCCCGTCCCCAGCGGCCTCCACCCCCTTCGCACAGATGTGATGTGTGTGTGCAGCGCATGGGGGTTGCAAAAAAACGTTCGTCTGACCACGGGCCCGAAATTCCAGGGTCCCGTACACCATGGCGACGTTTGTGGTCTACGAGAAGGCGATATCCGTCGCCTACGGCATCTTTGACAAGTCCTCCATCTCCTCGCTGGCGCAGACCGGCATCAACACGACGTCCGGCCTGGTCGCCGGCCTCGCCGCCGCCTTCGTCTCGCAGCCCGCCGACACCATCCTCAGCAAGATCAACAAGGACAAGGCCAAGCCCGGCGAGGGCACCATGGGCCGCCTGGTGCGGATCGCGCGGGACCTGGGCATCCGCGGCAGCTACACCGGCATCCGGGCCCGTCTGGTCATGGTCGGCGGGATGACTGCCGTCCAGTTCGCCATCTACGGCGATATCAAGAGGGTATGTGACTTTTCGTCGAGATGCGTGTTACCGTGAATGACGGCTGACTGGTCCTCAGGCTTTTGGTGCCACCAACGGAGTCGAGTTGTAGTAGTCTGTCCTTCCAAGGAACGGTTGCGAGTCTCGCTAGGTTCTGTTTCGTCCCTGTGAATAATTACGCCTGATTCGCGCGTTCTCCTTCAAAAGCTTTCCTCTGTCATTCTGCATGCATGCGCGCGATCGATTAGATTTCAAGGGTTTATTCCTGCATTAGAAGGGGAAGTGCATAGTTCCGACAATGATCTCAAGCATTAGAACTAGAGATAATGGAAGACGACTCGTCATCACAAGTGCAGAACGCCCACAAAGCCGTTCCATGATGCAACCCGCGTCTCAGGTCTCAGCTGGCCGGTTCTAACCACCTAAACCCCGGCTGACAAACCTGGACCAACACTTTGAGCCGTACCTCTCTCTTGGTGATGACAAATGAAGTGGATATCTCGCGGAAACTTGCACCTGGTGGGGCCAAATGCCCGTCATATACAACTTTCTGCGAGCTCCCATGGGCTTCATCTTCATTCGTCTTGCACTACCACTTGTGAATGGATAGATGCTTAACGATCAATACTGCGGAGTGAGTTCCTAGTGACAGAACCAATGTCAAGTGAAACGTTGAAGGCGAAGAAGGGCTGTTGGACATGCAAGGGTACGTGCGCCCATTCCACTTACACCCCGAAGCGAGCGCAACAAGACCAGTTGACCCAAACCCTCATGATAGACCGCAAGATACGATGTGATCGCGGAACGCCCACCTGCCAGAACTGCGTCCGCGCCCGGAAGCAATGCCAGGGTTACGGCCTCCGCCTGTCGTGGCCAGGGATACACGACCGCAAACGGGCTGTCAGAGGACACCTGCCTGCAGTCAGGTCACAAGCAAACCGCGAGTTGAACCACCGTCTATTCATCAACACTTCATGGTGGGACATTGAGTTCTTCCGTCACATAACGTCAAACGGAACGACGCCATTTCCACTCCTGGCTCAACCAGCTCAGCCTTTGTGGATCCACCCACAGCCTGGACTGAAGCAGACAGACTTAGTTCACTATTGTAAGTGTTTTCATGTCGCTTTCATCGGCAAAGATAGGAAACAAGAGGTCCGCGGTTTGACCATGTATTCGATTAGTCCACAATGCCGCCCATCTGTCACTAGTCACCTTCAGCTCCAAGACCCTGTCGATTCGAGATGTGCTTATTCGTATGGCACTCACCAATGACAAATCACCCGGAAGAGCACTTCTGTATGCGTTACTAGCAGTTGCCTCGCTACATAGGAGTGGACTCCAAAGCGAGGCTGTTCAGTTTAAAGTCTCTGCGCTGGATGCCCTGGCTACTTCTGCGAAAGCAGGACTACAAGACTGGGCTGAGGCTGCGCAGCATGTAGCCGCCTGCATGCTACTTTGTGCCTTTGAGGCATGCCAAATCCAGAAGTCGCGAAATGCTGTAATCACTTCGCTGACTGTGATATAGATCCAACTTCCCTCAGAGAGCTCAGGCGAGTGGCTCTGGTACGTACAAGGCGCGATGAGGATCATCGAAGAGACCAACCTCGAAGCGAAATCAGACGATAGCGGTGTCGGGGAACTTCTCGACTGGGTCTATTATCACGACTCACTCGCCCAGTTTGCCAAGAGACACTGGGGCCACAGTACGGTGACACGGGATACCAGGCCATCAGGCCAGTGCCCATCGCTGGCGAACGGAAGGCCAGTCAGTGTAAAGTCTAACTTGATCCCTAACCCAAATGCTAACTAGCCTTGTCAGGGCCACTATCAACGCCACGCTCCCGCAGTGCTCAACCTGCTATGCGAAGCCTGCACCACAGTCCTCGACCCGATCGATCCCCGAAGCCGCGAGGAGGCATACAAAGCCCGCCTGCAGGGCCTGCAGTCCCGGATCAAAGAGACGTCCATCGCACCGCCCGCTGCGAAAATAGACATCATAGAGACGGGCTTCAGCACGGAGCTCTACCGGATGACCACGCTCATCTACCTTGTCCGCGCCTCGCAGAGCCCCTGGGAGGCGTCGTCGTCGCCGGAGCTCGACGCCCTCGTCGACCAGGCCTTCTCCGTGCCGCTCCAGATGCCCGCCTGCGACCACTTCTTCCCGCTGTTCATCCTGGGCTGCGAGGCGCGGACGGACGGGCAGCGGGCCACAATACTGGGCATGATCGAGCGGACCGAGAAGGGTCCACATGTCCGGAGCATGAAGCGCCTGCAGGCCGGTATCCAGTCGGTGTGGGCGCACCACGATCTGCATGCTGACAGCGACGTGGTTGTCAACTATGTCCGGATGATGAATGCTGTCATTAGCTCTCATAGCACTCTGCCGTCGTATGTGTAGTTTCAAGTCAGATACCAAGTCAAATGAGACTCTCAGATCCACATGATGTCAAGTTGTGCTCCCTCGCCGACGGATTGATCCATATCTGACCTTGGGTCGTTATCCGCACTGGGCATGGAGTGTGAATTTTGAGTGTAGCCAGAATGTCAAGTCTGCTTTATGACGAAAGATGTCAGTAAAGCGACCAGAGTTGGTAGCCGGTGGGATATGTTGGTACAAGTTTCAGTTAGAAGTCTTAGAGAGCGAGCCTGGATGACAAATTAGCTAGGGCCGGCTCGGAAAGAGTTGCTTCGGGTGGGTCTCTGGGTTCAAGTGATTTATCAGACTGACAAGCTTCAAACAGCAATAACATGTGGTTAGGCTCTCTTATACGAAAAGTAATTGCGCCGTCTAAGTCCGAGGATTCGAGGCAATTCCGTAAATGCACTTTATGTCCGATAAGTCAGACATGCTATCGTAGCCTGTGTAGGTCGCAGCACGAGTCACAGTTCTGGCCGTAGCTTGGTATCCCAACATCTATAAAAAGGGTTGGTCCATCCCTCGGTGATCTGACCTGGTCTGCACGAATCTTCGAGATCCATAAAGAATTGAAATCGTCTTTTTTTTTAGTCAAACAAATCAACCCTTTTTCTTTGTCTCACAGACGACACACCATCAATATGGCCACCTACCTCATCACCCAAGCTACCGGAACCCAGAGTGGCGAGACCATCAAGCATCTTCTGAAGGCAGGCGCGAAAATCCACGCGCTTGTACGAGATCCCTCGAAGAAGTTGCCCAGTGTCCTCGATCATCCAAGTGTCAAGGTCTTCAAGGGCAATAGCGACAACTTTGACGACGTGTTCCACGCCACCCGAGGCTGTGAGGGCGTCTTCCTGAACACCTTCCCCATCCCCGGTCTGGAGGAGGCACAGGCAAGGACCATCGTCGAGGCTTCGCGGAAGGCCGGAGTGGAGAGGATCGTTGCTTCTACAACTTTCTTCGCCGGGGACAGGGCGATGTGGGACGACGATGCTACCAAGGCTATACCCCTGCTGGAAGGCTATTTCGAACGCAAGGCCCTAACGGAAGAGGTTGTTCGCAATGGCGGCTTCAAGAGCTACACTATCCTGCGGCCGGCATTCATCCATGTCGACTACTTTGTCCCCAAGTTTGAACACAACTATCCCGAATTGGCACAGGGCGTGTTAGCTCATGCTTTCAACGACGGCATCGGCATGCTACACACGGACGCCGACGACATCGGCAAGTATGCAGCAGCGGCCTTCCAGGATCCAGCCAAGTTTGGAGGTCAGGAGATCGAGCTGGGCAATGAAAACTTGACCGTCCCGGAAGTTCAGAAGATCCTCTCCCAGGCGAGCGGAAAGACGGTCCAGACAAAGAAGCGTACCCCCGATGAAGCCGAGGCGGCGGCGGCGACGGTCTTCGCCCAGAAGTTTCATTATTGGGCGAATGCCAAGGCTGATGGATTCAAAGCTCTCGCGGCAGCTGCGAAGGATGTACAGGCCAAGTTCGGCATCCCTTTCACACCGATGGAGAAGGCTATGCAGAGGGACAAGGACCAGCTGATCAACACTTTGCCGTAGACATATTCCTCTCATTAACTAAACTCTAATGATGCAGAACTTTAATCCGCTGAAGCCTTTCTTTGTTGAATGAAGGTTCGAAATGCACTCCTTTCATGGCTGGCGGCATAATTATGTCCGTCGCCGCTCAGACTCGCGCTGTAGCATCCATGTCACTCTTCTTGGTCCAGGTCCGGGTACTCCAATACAATCTGTACCGTTTCCCAAACATGTAAACGATCACAGTCGTTGCCAGAAGACCGAATGAAATGCCACCAAACGTATAAAAAGGAATTGCAGGCCCGGAATCTCCAACCCAATTATTAACAAAGTAGCTGTAGGCGTAGAACAGGAAGTTCTTAAACATGATACTGATGATGAAAATCTCATTGCTCAACTCATGATATGCATCGATAGCATAGGCTGAGCACGGAGCTCCAATGAAGGCAATCCCGAAGAGTGTCAGCCCCCAGGTAAAGTCGATAACAATAATGTCACCTTGGGACTTTGCGAGTGCTCCGAATGCAAAGAGCCCAACCGGGCAGCAAATGCCCACAATGTTCAAGAGCAGGCGGAACTCGGGCTCGAAGACTCCCTTGTTCTTTTTGACAAGCCACAGGCAGAGGGGATCCATCACTATGGCGGCCAGGACGGAGCCGATCGCCCCTCCAAGGAACGGACCAATAGACAGGTTGCCTATGCCTGCAGCAGAAAGCCCATAGGGAGGCGGTCCGAAGAGCTGAGCGGTCACGTAGGCCATGGCGACGTAGAAGGATGATACTGCCCCAGTGATGATAACAGTCCATAAAGCGCCGAGGTTGGTGCAGACCACAAGGAGCGAAAAGAGATTGTGGAGAAGACTCCTGTCGTCATAGGTCCCAGTATAAAGAGCCAGGCTCTGAACATATGTTTTCTTTGCAATGGGCTGACCAGATGGCCGGTTCTCGACTTGCGAGACATTCGCCGATTGGGCTTTGTCATCGCTCTCTGGCTCCAATGCGATTTGCGTCAGATCCACGGGGATCCTGCGGTAGGCCGTTTCAGGCATGAAGAAGAATTGCAAGATTATAAGGAGTCCTAGGCAACCGTTCAAAATGTGAAAGAGAGCGTGCCAACTGGTTGCGACCACGATTTGACCTGCGATGACCGATGTGAGGTTGCTCACAGCTGTCATCATGAAAGAGACGACAGTAGTCCATAGCCCTCGCTCATGGACGAAAAAGAGATCTCCGACAATAGTGAAGGGCAAGGATTCCCAGGCCGCCAAGCACAGACCTTGGACGATTCGGCCGGCAAGCAATGTGTTGTAGGTCTGAGCACAGGAGCAGATGATGGTGCCAACGAGACATGCCACTGATGAGAATAGAAGAACCGCTCTTTTGCCGTATTTTGCTGCGAAGATGCTAACAAAAGGCCCCGAGGCCGCGGCGACAAGAATTTGATATCCGGATAGCAAGGCTAGGTCGGCAAAGGAGCGATTGAGCTCGAGGGAAAGCACGTAGAGACTGGCGTTCAGGAGCGGTCCTGTACAACAGACACAGAAGCAGGCTCCCAGTACAATTATACCGAGGATGACGAGCTTTTGGTAATAGGGCCAGTTCAATGGGTCGTTCGGGTCATCGGAAGGCTGCGGGCTCAGAACGACATCCGCGTGCCGCCCCGTCCCTTTTTTCAGGTGAATTCCATCAATAGATTGCGATAATGCCTGTTCGCCGAGGGCGACAGTTCCGGGGACTAGTCGATGGACAGCCGGATCGAGTACACCGAGGCCCATAGCTATCGTTTTGCAAGGATGTTTAGTATAGTTGTTGTATAAGTCGAAAGCTCTGCTGAGGACACCGGTAATTGCTTAATATGATATGCGGAGAAAGTAGAAACCAGACTGAAAACAAGAGAGTTGTCTGCGGAGTTCTTCAGAACTTCAACAGTGGTGTCTTCAGGGTGTATTTGACACAATTTTGAACAGTGACCGGGAACCCCGGTAGCCATGTGGGGTGTGTTGAACAAATCCGGGGAAGTCTGGGGAATGCACCCCAACCCTGTCCAGTCTTCCCCTTCCAAACACTTGACCGCGTCTTATTGATTTTCTTCCCCTCACACTTGGTATCTTTTGGGACGACTCTAGGCTTAGCAACACTAGCGCTGCAACCGAGTGCTTTATTGGTTATGTGGTTGTATTATCGCTCAAAGTATCATGGAAGAGTCTACCTGTATCTGGGTTCCCACACACTCACAGGACACCAATATTTCACAAGGGAGAATAGACACCAGGCTGCAAGTGCCTTAATAAGCCTGACCTACTGAGTCCCTTGTTCAGTGTTCAGAAATGAGTGTCTTTATACAGGAGACTGTGCCAATAGGGGTAGGGCTGGGCGAATGTGCAACATGTGGGGGAACGGCTTGCCTCGTCACGGCGCTCTTAACATCAGCATGGACGGTAGGATTAGGGGATGAGGGGAAAACCATCGCCACAAGTAGATACAAGGATGTCCTTGGTGATCGTGACACAGTTTCCTGCCGTGGTGGAGGGTATCATTTGTCCCCCACATTCCTCCCACATTGTGAACCGATGAATGATGGCTGCCCGGTGGTCTACTCAGACCTCTTTCGAGACGTTGCATCCCCCACATCACGCCCATACCTACTAAAAGCTCATCCCCTCACCAAGTGAGTCTGGGTTGGAGAACGGTTATCACAAGCTTCTGACACTTATCTGTTCTTGCCCACCATGACGACTTCACTGCCCCAAAACACCTACCCTGATCCGGAGTACGAGAAGGCCCACCTAGATACCTTCTCGTCGCCAGGATCTCGACCAATCAAGCCTGTCCTGCCGCCTGGTATTTCCCAGGAGAAGTTCAACAAGGCATTGCAAGAGCTCGTCAAAGTCGTTGGACAAGACGCGGTGTTTGTCGGGGATGCATTGGCCCACTATGTCGATCCGTACGATATTCACGAGAATGACGATACAAAGCGCAAAGTACCGAGTGCTGCTGTCTGGTAAGATCAACTCGAGGATTTAGATATAAATGGACCTTATACTCACTGCGATTCGTGACATAAAGCCCTAGCAACTTTAATGACCTGCGCGAAGTAATCCGTGTTGCCAACGCATTCGGCATCCCGTTGTGGACCTTTTCAAGAGGCAAGAATCTTGGGTGAGTCAAAGCCTTCAAAGACTTTACTTTGTCCCTCCTGGCTAACTTGGAGATGTTTCTTGCAGGTATGGCGGTCCCGCTCCTCGAGTCAATGGCACCGTGGCCCTAGATCTGCACCGTATGAACAAAATCCTAGAGGTTAACGACGAATTTGCGTATGCCGTTGTCGAACCCGGTGTTACGTTCCACGATCTGTACAAGTACTGCGTCGAACACAAAAAGAAGGTCTGGCCAAGTACGCCCTCCCTTGGCTGGGGCAGCGTCGTGGGCAACGTGAGTAAAGCATACGAACGCGAGTATTGGCCCGTTTTACTGACTGGCCGCAGACACTCGATAGAGGATGCGGCTTCGGGGGTCATTCAAGTCATCACCAATCCATTGCAGGCCTCGAGGTCATGCTTGGTGATGGAGATGTGGTGCGGACGGGACAGTTCGGAATCTCCAACTCGCCTTCGGCATTCCTTTCCAAATACACATTCGGACCATCCGTGGAGGGCTTGTTTGTCCAGAGCAATCTCGGCATCGTCACAAAGATGAGCATCTGGCTGAACCACCAGCCGCAGGCGTTCGGGTTCTGCTCCGTTTCGGCACCCGACGAGGATGATATTGGAGCCATGGTCGATGTGCTCGGCAAGATGCGAAGAAACGGCATGATCCCCAATGTTGTCTGGACGACCAACTTTGTCGAGTGGCTCTGTATACAGGGCAAACGTCGGAACTTCTGGAAGGGCGAAGGCCCAATCCCGGACTGGCGCTTGAAAGAGCTGCAGAAGGAGTTCGGCGTCGGTTGGTGGCTCTCAAGATTTGGTCTTTATGGTCCAAAGAGAGTTATCGAAGCCCAGATTGCCGAGATCAAGGAACAAATTGCCAAGGAGGCTCCAGTCTGCACAGTCACCAGCCATATCTATGCTGGGGAGAACGGACAGCTTCTCGACGCCCAATCGGTCCCCCCTGAGCACGGCCTCTTTCTCGTGGGAGTCCCCTCCATGTTCAGTCTACCACTGATGGAGTGGCCGATTGTTCGAGCCCAGGGAAAACCAGCGCATGGTGACTATGCGCCAGTGATCCCATCTTCCGGCAAGAGGATCGTGGAGTGGATGAAATTCTGCAAGAAGGCCTACGCGGATGCGGGCGTTGATCTCATGGCAGACTTTTTCATGCATGAACGCCATGTGATCTTCACTAACATGTACGCGTACGATCAGCAAGATCCAGTTGACTGTAAGAATGTTGGGGACTTGTACATGAGCATGTACGGAGAGGCCAAGAAACAGGGCTACGGAATGTATCGTGGCCATGTCAATCACATGGGTAAGAGGAACCAATCGCCCTTTGAGTCATTGCACGAGCTAATCTTGTCTTTCTTTCTCAGATTTGATCGCTGAGCTTAACGACTTCAATGACCACGCATATAACCGGTTTACAGAAAAGATCAAGGTATGGCGAAGCTATCCATAATTCGATGTTACCATCACGAGACTAATTACTTGTGTGTTTTGAAGGATGCTCTTGATCCAAATGGCATTCTATCACCTGGGAAGCAAGGAATATGGCCTCAGAAACTCAGACATTTGCGGGAGACAGTCGAGAAGTCTCCGAGGAAGAGCAAGATCTGAGCGTGCTACAGCGCTATGCATTCAGTAAAAGACCACGCACTACCATGCGCCGGTACTGCTCGTAACAGGAGGGAGTTGAGAAGCAAGCGGCAGGGGGGCTGGGTCTTTTCATGTAACAGGTATCGAGGCGAAATCAGCGTGATGGATCGGGGGTCGGGACCAGAATGGGTCTGTTAGTGTCTGAATCCCGTCCCCGCTTCATCGGCATCAAGCCCCCGAAGAGTGGATCTCCGTTTGATCCGAGGCGTCAATAGGCATCATCGTAAATTTAAGGTCTTGGCTAGTACTGTTCTTTCCTACCACTTTTGGAGGCAATTAATGTCATTGATTTTAGGAGAACATCTAGAGGCGAACGGGACAGATATGATTCGTTAGTAGGGTTCCCCGCACACCCCGTGTCCAGGTCCCAAGCCAGCAGATAGAACCCGGGGTAGTTGGGGGAGCGACCAAACCTCCTCTCCTCCTCCTTCTCCTGCTTCTCCTCCTCGGGCGCTGTTTTGCATCTTGCTTGTCCTTCATGTGCTGGGTCAGATCTTGTGTGGTAAATCTTGAGTTATGACCTTGTCCTGCCCTAATACTGCAGTCATGGCATCCAATACATGTAAGACTTGTAAGCGACGCTTCTCAAAACCGGAGCATCTGAAGCGTCATGAACGCTCGCGTATGAACCCCCCACATCTTCTTCTCCCTCCTCTCCACACACTAAAGCCTCTGCTAGACACCTTGGAACGACCATATCGATGCTCCGTGTGCCAGAGGACATACGCTCGAAGGTATGTCCGAATTGTTTGATACAGCCGTGTCCATTCTGGGTTTATTCCTCGCAGACTGCTAAGTGTGCTTTTATCCAGCGATGTACTCTTCCGCCATTTCAAAAATCACCAACAGAAGGCAAAGAACCGGGTGAATGAACGAAGCCCTCGCTCTACGTCCACGAGAGCCGCGATCCCAACGACTCCGACGTCACTCGCCAACATTGATGCCGTTCCAGAACTGTCGACAATAGTGGTGGCAGATGACGCTCGAAAGTCGCGAGGCATACGAGATGGAACGTATCCCTCACCCGAAGCTATGTCGTTGACAGCAATGCTCTCCGAAGACTTTGCTCCAGACATGGCTATCGCCCTAGGCTTGTGCGAGAACGAAACGACCTCGACAAACGGCGTACCAGACATGCAGACACCGCAACAATCCCTCATTGAAGTGCAGAACACGGATGAAGGTCAAGGTGTGCTCTCGGGGAGCTCCCTCCCGTTCACTCTTGACCCCGCCTTACGGCAGTCATCTCCCTTCCAAGAGAGACTGGACACACTTGACGTGGCTCTCGTTGACGGGACCTTCGAGGCTCGTCCTACACTAGCAGCTCAGGACAGCACACCCCAGGGACACCATTTTGGCCTCGAAAGCAATTGGTGGTTATCACCAATCCAGTGGCAGGATCAAGTAGCCCCAGAATTGGCTGACATATGGGGTGGAAACTTGGACCATACCCCTCCACAATATTCAAAGGAAGCGCAAGACCGAACAACACCCAATGGCACTGTTGTGCGGTCTCCACTGGAGGCTCACTCCTCTCGCATACAAGACTGTTGGGCTCAAGGCTTTCATCGCAAGAAGCAACCCAGGTCGAATATCTGGCAAGACCTTGCAACGGGTGAAGGACTGTTCAACAATCTGGCAGAGCCGCAGTCGATCGATACTGCAACAAGAACTCAGAACAGCAGCCGAACACTGAATCACAGCACGAAACAACGAGTTTGGTCGGCTTTCCAAGACATCTCAGATCGCGTGGGCAATGACGCCTTCACCCACCCCATCACAGCGGAGATTTTGGAAATAGCCTACGAACAGTACATCATCCACCATCACAGCTCAGTGCCTATGATTCACCTTGCTACCTTTCGTCCCGAAATGGCCCCGACGCTTCTTCTCCTGGTCATGTGCTCCATTGGCTTGAGCATCATGGGTACAGGGGATCTGAACTGCCAAGTCTCGAGCATCTTTCCGGTTAGAATTTCCCGTCTTGGAATAACTCTATCCTGGGATATTCATATTAATACCAGTGCAGGAGCTATTGAAAATGGCCTCAGACGAACTCCATGCATCGTGTGCTGAGAGCACACGTCCAAACGTGCGCTTGATGGCTATGTTCACGGCGTTCCTGGTTCTTACCTTGGCGTCTGTAACAGGGGTAAGTGTCTCCCAAATTGAGTCACCATCGTTGAGAGCCAAAACTCATCTAAACTGTGATCACATTCAGCATACATCGCGAATCACGCAAACAGAATCGCTCTACGTTGACTTGTTCCAGGTAACTTGGGAGATACATTCTTCCCTATTTGATACAATGACTGACGTAGTTGACAGCGCGCACAAACCAATGGACTTTTCTCCGCACACGAACATCTATCATCACTTACTGATTTGGCTTCTCTTCCATCAGGGGAGAAGCAGTGGAAAGTTTGGGGAAGCATAGAGTTCGTAAAGAGGTACGGCTATACCATCTCGACGAATCTTTAGAAACATGCTGACATCTATGCGAGGCTTATACTTGAGATGACGCAACTTGACTGCTGGTATTCGACCTACCTTGCAGTCGAGCCCGCAATACATCTGGATTCGGTATCCATCATCCCACCTTGCGCCATCAAGCTTTTTGAGGCACCCACACTGAAAGCTTGGTCAGCCATAGGCCCTGATGTTGGAGAGATGTTTGGTCCTGTCATATCAGCCTCCTATTCAAATACGCCGGACATGTCAAGGACGTTGGACATCACGCCGACGCTGCTGTCACTGCTACAATTGCGACTTGTCGCAGCCACCACTTCACTCAACCAATCTATTCAGTCTACTGATGCCGCTCCAGAGATACTTCCCTGGAGGTCATTCAATGGCGATGTCCGCGCCAGGCCGTTGGCTAGGCTGACCATGGACCTCACGAGAGCCGCCAACGAGACGTCCAGAGACTTCGAGATGAACAATGCAGTCTCATGGCATGCATCTTGTATGGCACTGGGCGCCAACATTCCACTGTTCGAAATAGCCGTCGGCCGTTCCGGCCCGGCCGCCACAGCTCAAGCCATGGAGCAGATCTCGAGTTGGGCTCGCACACCGTCTGCGAGGCGATCGGTGATACACGCCAGTCACATATTTGGTCTACTCTTGAAACGCAGAATTACCGAGCCAGTTCACTTGCAGAGCATCATGGCTCTTTTCCAAGCTGCTTTGGTTCAAGGCCTTTACATACTTGTCGCGCCCACTCTACCTCAAGACGGAGACCCCCACAATCTGTACGATGAGGTGAACTGGGAAGCACTGGGGCCGTTAGGTCTTGCAGAAACTCCTTCCAAGGCTCAGTTACCGGATTCAGCATCATTCCCCGCGGCCAAGTTCATCTTGAATGGAGGGAACATGTCCATTGGGCATTTCACGATAGATCCTGGGCAGACGGAAGCTCGCAAATGTTGGCTCCACTTCGCGAGTTTGATGCTGGGCTTGGGGCGGTGGAAGTCACGCACATTCTCGCGAATCTTGCATGTTATGTGTGATAACCTCTCGGAGTTTGACATGAAAGATTCCTAGATTTATAGATAGGGGCCACATGCATGATCCACACAAGGGCCTAGGTCAGGCTTTTACAGCAATGATAGACGCAGCGATTTCACGCAAGGCTTTGCCAGATCATGAAGGATCTACTCTTTACATTGCTATTTCAAAAGTCATCTCAGAATCTAACACTCAAAGTCCTTAATGTCGACTACTTCTCAAGCACTCGCAGGATCGCCCCCTGTCTTGTAGAATTTAGTAAGATCACTCTGCAAATCCATCATCCCCTGTGCCAATATTAGCAAGCCAGCCAGTTGAACTAGGGTGTAACTCCATGACTTACTGCTCTGAGCTGTTGCATGAGTTTCTTGTCCGTGGAAGCTGTCCGAAGCAACGCAAAGAACTCGTCCTCTGCGATAATCTCATCCGGGGTCTTTGACCATAGCCGCTTGAAGTTCATGGTTGAGATTGGGTCAGTTATCGTTCGGTATTTCTCCGACCGGATTTCCGAATATTTGTCCAGGATGCTATCCTCTGCAAGCCCCTTGTGAATGCCGACGAGTGCATCTTGGAGCGCTCCAACGTCGGCGATGCCACCTGTCAACCCGAGACCTCCACTGAGATTCGCAATTTCACCATCAGCGTTAGTCCGATACAACATTAGAGTAATTGGATGTTCAAGACTATTCAGACGTACAAGGGATTGCACAGGTGGGCTGCATCTCCAGCAAGGAGGATCCGCCCAGAACGCATGCTCGGGGCCAGCCTCTGGTGCATCCGGTAAGGCCCTACGTTGGCGATCTTGATTTCAGACGGCTCTGGTTTCGAGTATATCATCTCCTTGAAGCGCATCGGAAGCCGCCGAGTATACTCCTCTATGGTCAGGCCGGGCACGTCGCCATATGTCACACGCCACAGGCCATCGGTGGCGATCTTTGCGGCCATGTACCAGTCGCTCTGGTGCACGATAAAATTTGAGTCGTCGTAGCCGAGCTTCTCAAAGGGGTAATAGACCTAAGCCAGCTCGGCAGTGAGTTTGGGCTCTCCTCAAAGTATGCCTCGATAGCCGTAGACAGACTCGGACTTACATTGCTAGCGATGATCTGCTGATCCCACGTGGAGCCAGGGAATTCCAAGTCCCCAAAGAGCGCCCGCCGCACCTGGCTGTTTGCTCCGTCACAGCCGACCACGTAGTCCGCCTCGAATCTCTCGGTGCCTCCCGACGGCACCTCGACATCGACCCAGGCCTTCCCGTCAGAGGTTCCGAGATTGGGCGTGACCTTGTGCTGGAGCAGGATCTCGCACCCGTTCGCGACGGCGGCATCGCGCAGGATCTGGACGACGCGGCCCAAGGGCAGACACACCATGCGGTACAGGCTCGACTCTGGCTCGTCGGAGCTATCTAACTTGACGATCTTCGAGCCGTCTTTGCGGCGCCAGCTCACGGCATCGGGGTGGAAGCCCTCGGCCGAGATGGCGTCGAGGACTCCGGCCCGTTCTAGTTCGTACTTGGATGGACCGCCGTAGTGACATGCGCGAGGTTGGTCGTTGAGCTCGGCAGCCGCCTCGAGGACTTGAGTTTGGATGCCTTGTTTCTGAAGGAATACCGCTAGCAATAGGCCGCATGGGCCGGCTCCGACGATGATAACCTGCGGTGAGTAAACGTGTTAACACTCACTTCAGACGCCTGGATTCTCACTGTTTCTCGCCGCTGTGATGTACTTGCCTTCATGATGCCTGCTGGTTGTACACACACAACATCTAACGAACAATCAGTCGGACGAAAGAGCACCGACAAGTCCTGTTAGCCCTTAATCTAGATAGATCAGAGAATGCTTGGACACACTAGGCCATTAGTGCCAATTCATGGTATCGTGGTCATGGCTGACGATCAGCTGTGCATGTGGGAGATGTGGAGGATGTGGGAGGGAGGTGGGGGGCGGGAGTTGCGGGCAGCGCACGCTATGTGGGAGTAGGACGATCGGGTCCGGCAGATGCGAATTACCCCAGAGAGGGGATCTCACATTAGAAATTTTATTTGAGATGAAGTCTGTATCTTAGCCATACTTGTGGAGGAAGATTCACAACAAAGTCACGTCTTGTTTCCAACCCCGCGAAGGCCTCCACAACCATCCTCTCCCCACATACCCTTTCTCCAAACTGTCGAAGGGCTTCCTGGATGAGGCTGGATCTGAAAGGCGGTCAAATGACAAATCAGATGCGTTAAAAAGATTATCCAGAACATGAGACTCAGTCTTGTAAAGTAAAGTAAGGAAATATTCCCTGATCTTGGTCGGTATTATACTCAACTATTAGAACCATCCAAGTGATGGTCAGATTAGTTGACGGACTGCTAGCAGAAGTACTTGACTATCCATCAAACCCATCGGTTTTAGGTAGTGGGATAGCCCTTCTGAGTTCCTCGGCAAGGATATGACAAGGATGCTGATTCTTACGATTGAGGTAGCTCCTGATGGACTTCTGTCAACTATCCGGACACCCACTTGCCATACTCTTCACACATTGACCGTGGCAGGAATGTCGTTGAAATAATTTGGCTCCTCCCTGATTTGATGCGTGCTAGCAACCACCTTGATCTTCTCAACAATTGCGGATAATCATCGCGGACTGCATGTGGCTCCGGATATTGTGGAAGCACCGCTGTGTGACAACGGAGCCGGTGCCTTGACCCGTCTTCGGCAACCACCCTCCGTTCGGCGTCGGATCACCTGGAAAGAATGGGCGGAGCACTACAAGTCACCACACAGAGAGCGAGAACATGAGTCTCGAGGTGTCTAAGGCCCGATCATTCCGCGGAGCTCAAGTTGGACAGGATTGACGAAGCCCGGGAGGCTCTTCATGTGTATTGTGGAGAGACGAAGCTGACCATAGAAGAACGCCGCGGACAATACCATTATTGCGTCAGGGATCTTGATAAGGGACTTTCACTTGGCGATTCAGAGGACGATCAGTGTCGCAGCATCATTGGAAGGGAGCAAAGGCTGTGTCAAGATCTGTGCAGATCACCGGTAGAACATTATGCATCCGAGCAGTGTTACGTAGACTTGCATGAGATGCTCGAAACATCTTGCAACGAAAATGAAATGCATGTAGTTGGACGTTTGGTGGTGTCCATGCTGCGCTTAGGTGCTGTGCTTTTGGCGCTTCTGCGTTCCAACCTAGCAGCTAGATGTGTTCCAATCAAGTCGGTTGGCACCCAAAAGTTCGAGAAGATGTTGATGACAGCGCCATCCGAATGCTGGTGATCATCGATCGGCGAAAAGGGTTGGCTGGCTGGGAGGTGTGGGTTTGGCCCAAAATCCGAAACGCGGAAGTGGGATCGCCATGTGGCTTGCAGGGATGCCGGTCTGGTTCGAGTGGAAGGTAACAGTCGAATTGGATTGGATTCGCACACCACAGGACTCCGTAGGCTGTAGCTGCATGCAGAGGGAAAACGCGCGGATAAAGTGGCCGGCAGAATCATGACCACAGAGAAAGGCATCAGAGGCAGTCAGTCAGCAGCGCCGGATCACGCGGGAGTAGGTAGGATACGCTCGAATGCGAAACAATGCTCACTTCAGCGTCTCGTCTGGTGTGTCTTTGTAACGCGAGTCTTCAAGGCCAATCACGACGCCCGCCTGGACTCGAATGAAACGACACAGCCACCAGCAGATAAATGCACTGGAATGCACTGGCCAGGAGGGAGTGCCAGGTACGGAGTACTCCGTAAAGATATGGGGAAAGGAATGGAAGCAGCTTGGAACAAGAGTGGAGGCGAAAAGTTAGCGAGCGACCTTGATTGACCGCATGCGCAAGCATGAAGCTATTGACTTATGGACCTGCACTAAAGCAGTACCTAGGTAATGTTAGCACTACCACTTTGCCTCTATTTGTATGCACCGTCAGCCTCCACTGCGGTGATGACTTGTTTGCTTGGGCTTGGTGGTAAAATAGCAACACTTCCCACGACAAGAGAGACGTGTCGCACTGCTAATTGATTGCCATTTGCGCAGGCAGAGAAGTGACAGACGATGAAATGAAAAAGGACCAAAGCAGCAACGCCACATGGACTTGCCCCCCCCCCAATGGCCCCCCCCCCCTCTGTACAAGTAAAATTCGCACTGGTGGCGTTCGTTGCTAGCGCACGACACACGGACGTTGGCCATGCACCAATGTTGCCATGCCATGCGACCTGCAGCGTCCGACCCCTGTCAACTCCCCTGGCTAGCGCTAGCGAGCCAATTTTCCCCTGTCCATCCCTCCAGCTCTGGTGTCTTAGACAACGGGACGGCGCCCCAAAAGCGGGAAGACTCGATGGCCCCAGCGTTTCTCACCATGGCTGGACAACCCAAACAGCCCATGATGCATGATTTTTTAATCGGGGTCTCTGCACTCTGGACAGGCAAGACGAAGCCAGGCCCTGGTCGAATGCAACCCGGGGGCTGAAGAGTTCCCACTTGGCCTTACACCTTTTCCAAGGAAGGGAGGTAGCGCAGTAACAGCGAGCCTTGGAAGGCAAAAGGAAAAAGCAAGCTGGATGGATGCACAGGCCAGGGGTCGGGTAGCTAGGTATCTAGATAGGACGAGGTACCTTTTCTTCCCACACACACCACCACCACCCCCTTTCACTCCTCTTCTTCCCCCCCCCCCCCCAACCTCCACGCATCACGACACAGAGCTGGTCCAGAACCTTTCTTCCCGCCAGCCAATTGTTATCACTCCCTCCTTTCTAATATTGGTCTGGCCTGCCTCTCATTTTCTTCTACCAGTTCTCAATCTCGCCCGCGTGACGTCTCTCTTTTACTCCCAACCCTCAACAAAGCAAACGCATCTCGAGGATTGATTCCCACCGAGATCCCGATCACTCCACACAATAGTAAATTAACGGTAGCTTGATTGCTTCACCAACGGCCGGTACGACAGTCACCTGTACGACATCTAATATCGCATAACGAACCGCTCCCATCACCCAGAAGACGCTCGATATTCTGTCTTTCGGGCTCTCGAAATCCTACCCTCACCAACGCCGCTCGACTACGCTATCGAACTCACCTGCTGATCCCGCACCGTCACAATGGCTCCCGGTCTGATCGAGCGTATCCAGGCCAAGATCGAGCTCTTCCGCCTCGAGCAGCGCTACACCCGCCGCCGCCATCGCCGCTCCACCTTCGTCTCCAACGCGGTCTACGTCGACGGCGAGTACATCTACAACACTCCCGTCTCGACTGGCTCCTCGGCCAACACCTCGTCCACCACATCCTCCAGTGCCTCGGAGAAGCCCGGCAAGCGCCTGAACCGCTTCTCCTCCATGCCCGGCTTCGGGTCCCTGTCCAAGGCAAGCGGTCCTTCGCCGGCCGGCCAGGACTGGAGGCAAGGCCGAGTCAGCGTCAGCGAGGTGCGATGAGCGACAAGGAGTCCCCTTTGATTGAAGCGACAACAACACTAGCATACGATGATTATTCCGAGGTTATCGGCGGACAAAAAGGACTTGATGCATATATGATGGTCATGCTCTTGCACACACACAACAGCACAGCAGTTTTTCCAGGGGCGCGCCTAGACTGGTAGCCTCGGCTCCTGTGATCTGGGTTCGGATTTAAAGCAAGCATTTCACAATTGCGCGTTTCGACGGGGAGTTCTATTTTTTTATTATTTTTATTTGGGCGCAGTCAGCATACGGTCTCACGACAGATGTCAATGCGGGGAGTGTCCGCGCTCCTGTTCTTCTTATTTTTCTATCTACGTGTCGGGGGAGAGATTTTGATGCAGAAAGGGTATTGTTTTGCGCATCTACTGGAGACTGAAGACTGGTCGCGGCTCGTGTGGACAACCCCGCGACGACTGCATGCCATGGTCTGGGTTACTTGGTGCACCGTAATTGTTGTGAGAAGGGGTTGGGAAAGGACCAAGCTTTGTTGAGCAGGCATCTTGATTTGTGACCAGCTCGTTGTACATACTTCAATTGACGCCAATGGCTTCGAACCAGACTCACGGTGCATCGTCAACCGCATAATTTCTGCACATGGTGGCTCTTGCCATCAACATGTCGGGACCTCTTCCCCACCCCTCTTCGCTCTTGCCTAACAGTTCTTTGCCGTTTGATATCTAGCACTGTTTGTTTCTTTACTCGAGTCATCGATGCAACCTGGGAGCATCCCGCTCCAGATCAGTTGGCCATTTGTCTTTTGGGCTGGTAATCAGCCCCATACGTACGTGCATCTTAATGTTTCAACAGTATACAGCTCCGATGTGCACGAGTCGACCGTATGTTTGACTTGATAGTCTGACAAGTCATTCTTATCAGCCAAGATGGATCAGAGAAATATCTCTTATGGACACACAGACGAAGCACCACCCGACAACACGGTCACTCCCAACAGTCCCGGAAGGGTAAGGGTACCTTTCGCCATCACATCTTTTCCTTACCCTTAGCTTTAGCTAATTGATTCTGCTACCGTTGTCTCAGTCAAGTGCTGCGTCTAGGAGCAGAAGCACGTCAAACCAGTAGGAAACCAATGCCGAGGTGCTCCCTGAGTCAACCCAGCCTACAGGGGCGGAATGGCTCCTCAACTCTTCACCGAGGATCAACGCATCAACCGCCGCATCCTCTCTCACCCGGGCCTAGGCGGGGGTTGAGAGGTCTGCACTTGCAACAGCGGATGCTTACGAGGTGGCAACGCGTCGGCGGCGTCCTCAGAAATGGCAAGCAAGATACAGGGCAAGACGAGCGGCGGAGGCAGCAGCAGCTTTGGAGTGGCAGCCACCTGCTGCTCCTGGTCTGGGTCCCGTTCAGCACTCTTCGAACTCGAAAGAACCCTCCACCCCCTACGTCCCACTGGTGGACATGATGGCCATAGAGCGAAATCGGCAGAGAGCTCAACAAGAGCCTCGCTTGAGCTGGGAATCGATAATGGACCTACACGATAACGCTGTTCGTTTCGCCAGATCGATCATTCCTTCACCTTTGCCGCCGCCTCAGACCGACAACGGCGGCGTTCCGCCTGTAGATTTGCAGGCGCCCCTGAGCCATCCATATGTCTTTGTGGGAGAAGACATCACCCCTCGTGCAAGCGCAGCAGCCGTGGCCGATCTCGGGGCCTGTCAGACCTGGCCGCCCACCGAGGCAACAGGTACAAGTGTGCTCCGTCCAAGTGCTCTCGACAGGCAAGAGACTTCCGCAGGACCGCCACTGCCCCATGGTTCTCAACTGAGGCAGCCTGCCAATCTCAGCGAAGGACTGCTCTTGATCCCGTCGCCCACGAGCGCACCACATGTTGAGTGGGCGTGCGTCGAATGCCTGCGCACACATGAAGAGGTCTGTTCAGACACCCGTTGTTGAACCCGAGAAGAATCATCATGCTTTTTGATGAGCACCATGACTGACAGGGCCATGTCCTTTTCTTGCTGTAGTGTGACGGAGAACTACCTTGTGCTCGTTGCGTTTGGCACAGACTGGAAGATCGCTGTTGGTACCAGGAGTGTCCCATACCGTGAAACTGCGCATCTCAAAACGAGGGCCACGAGTCCGGTGCCTTGAGTTGTATGAGTTTTGGGTTTAACTAGAGCGGACGAAAGATCGACAACAGAACTGCAATGTTCACAGCCCGGGGTCGGTCAGTCTAGTCTTGGCGAACGCGGTTGAGAATGAATGACTGGTTTGCCATTGTGATGACAATTCGCTGTCTCGAGTGCCAAGAAGAGGTTCGAGGATCCTTGTGACCACGGTCAAGCTAGAGATGACTCCTCAACACGTGTCAGTGGACCTCCAGACCATAGGCAAGGGCCTCGGCGGGTGCCAGCCCATGTCGGCCGGGATTATCGACCAGGACGTGCATTCCGTCTTTCAAGAGGGCTCCAAGATGGGCACCAAGTTCACCAGCAGTCTTCACGCCCCTGCCAACTTGGCAGCATGTATACCATTCATGATGTCGTGGCATATAGGGCGTTGGTATCGAGGGCAAAAAAGAGGTCGAGGGGAGATGTTCAGAGGCATACGCTCTCGTGAATTCTCGATTATGTAACTTGAAGCTGGCGGGACGTGGTGGTCTGAACTTCTTTTGTTTCCCTTTTCATTTCACTCCTTTCACTCCATGGTTAGTCCCTGCACGACCCCCCAGCACGTGACCAGAACCCACCGAAATCAAATTTCCTCGACTCGGCAGTGGCTCTCAAGCAAGATGGCAAACAGCAAGAAAGACAGCGGCGACATTCGCCGCGCCTACATCAACCAACACCAAATCGCTGGATGAATCGAACTGCCAACCTGAATCCAGCTCGCAGCAGCCCCTCATCATCTCGAAGCTGTCGACCGAAGGCATGGCCTAGAACGCCAGTCTCGGCCACTTCGCCGATGGCAGCGGCCATATTGCTGCCGCCATTTCTCTCGATGGCTTCGGTCTTGTTGCTCGATACATCCCCGCGGGTGCCACCGCGGTCGCTCTTCCTGACCCCCAGTTCGGCGCCCCTGATCAGCCCTATCTGGCTCCTCTTGACGGTGATGACCCTCTCTCGACTTCTTGGAACCACGGCTCTCTGCTTTCAGACCTCTCCGCCGCTCTCAATCAGAATCACGTCACCTTCAATTTGCTGTGCCCATTTCTTGTCCACGGCGTCTGTCTGATCGACGGCAAGAGCCCAGCCACTGTTGTCATTCTTGTGCCACGCGCCAGTCTGACGGTTGACCAGGCACGCGACGCGGTTCGTCATATCTGCCTCGTGCTACGGCAACATGAGTTACACAAGTCGGTGGCAGTCGAGCTCATTGAGGGCGTCTACACCAGCCTGGAGAAGCCCAAGAAGGGCCCTGCCGACTTTGAACGAGGCTTCGACACTCATTTCTCCATCACCCCAAGCTCGGGAGCCAGCATCGGACCGGCCGGCTCGTCTACTTCTGGCACTCTTGGATTCTACCTCGTGCTTAAGATTGCCCACAAGGACGGCCGTATCGAGACCAAGATCCTGGCTGCCACTGCCCACCACGTCCTCTGCCCTGGTAAGTCTTTTGTGGTGATGATAATCTTTGATTCGGCTCACGCTAACCCCGATACAACAAGATCGTCTGGAAGCCGTTACTGCACCTACCGCTGCCACCCAGGGCTCGACCAAGTGCCCGACCCTTTCCATCCTGCAGCCGAGCACCGAGGACCTCAACTGCTGGATTTCGACGCTGAGACAAGCCACGAACCAGCCTCCCCAACAGAGCGGTTTCAGCACCGCAGCGACTCTCAATTCAGCACAGGGGTTTCAGACCATACGCCACCAGCTCGCCGTTGCCGAGATTGGCGCACCGGGACCCCTTGGTTCCGTTCTGTGCACCTCAGGCATAGCCACTTACCAGCATAAGTTCTGTACCTTGCACCTCGACTGGGGCCTCGTTGAGGTCGACGCGTCACGTCTCCCCATGGATAACAAATGTAAGCACCAACTGCCTGTTGAAGACCCACTTTGCCATGGGCCGCCCTAAGCTAAATACTAAGTGTTAGATTCCTACACAAGAGTTTGTGGAAGAGATCGAGCGCCGGTTGAACAGTGATCCGGCCGTCATCGCTTCCGCGGACCGGGCGGTCTTCTTCGTCGGCCGCACCAGCGGCGTGTCCTTCGGTCTTGTCCAACCTTCTCGGGCCCTGCTGCGCATAATCGGCCAAGGCGATGTTGGTACACTAGTCACCGAGCAGGTCGTTCTACCTACCCACTCCTACGATGCTTTCGCCAGACCTGGCGATTCGGGTGCCCTGCTTCGTGGACGGGCTAATAGGCATGTCGGTCTCGTCTATGGCGGATTCCTCAATGATCCCTCACCGTCTCCGAGGGGACAGGGACTGGGCCGCGCCCTCGCCGTCCCTCCTGACCCCCTTTTCCGCTTCATCGCCCTCCCGAGCGTTGACGCGCGCGGTATCACTATGTACACGCCCCTCGAGGTGGTTCGAGAGAGCATGCTTGACAAGTTGGCCAGCCTCTTTGTGGATGCGAAGCTCGAGCTTATGATTCCCGCCTAATCGATAGAGGGCTAGGGAAATTTCCCGGATGCATGCATGCATCATGGTTGGGCGGAAAGTAGGGCGGTGATGGGAAGAGAGCAGAGGATCAATCCTTGGCTGCCCCAAGACGGGATTCTCTACCCAAATCACCATAGTTGTTTCCTATGAATGAAAGCACTACAATTCTTTTCGATTTGTGAGCCTTAACAGCACTGCCTTTAGTGCAGTAACATCTCTGATATCTTGTATGTATGTGTCTCAAAATGTTGATGCATAACGTAGTGATAATTTGTTCAATTTCATCTGAATCTGTGTCTCTGAATTGTCCCCTTTCTTTCTGTTTTCACTTCTTGGTCTTTCCCTTGGCCTTGATCAAGTCCGCAGCCTTCTCGGCAACCGCGTACACAGTCGCCTGCAGGTGCGCGCCAGGGATCATGGGCATCATGCTGGCGTCCACAACCCGGAGGCCCTCGACGCCGTACACCCTGAGCTCCGGGTCCAGCACGCCGCCCAGCTCCCGGGGCATCATCGCCGCCGTGCCAGACGGGTGCGCAAAGCTGGCCGACAGCATGCCGTCCCGCAGCGCCTTCTCGATCTGCTCGAGCGTCGCGACGTCCCGCCCCGGCAGGACCTCGACGGGGGCAAACGCCTCGGCCATGGTCGCCGTGTCGGCCCAGCGGCGCAGGAGCTGCATCGCCAGCGCGCCGATCCGCACGTCGAGGGGGTTCATCCCCACGCCGAAGTCGAGCGCCGGCGCGCCGGCGCCCGACGCCGGGTCCGCGTCCGGGTCTGCACTGCGGATCTGCACGGTGCCGCGCGACAGGGGCTTCTCGAGGGCCATGGGGACGGAGCCCGAGCCGGAGAAGATGAACTCGAAGGCGGCGGCGTCGGCGCGGAGGAATTGCCTCTGCAGGATGGCGCGCTGGGCGAGGTAGCCCGCCAGCAGGTCGGGGCTGGACGAGTACTCTACGGGCAGGTAGTCCGCGGCTCGCTGGGCGGTGACGGCGGCCGCGATGTCCCCGTAGTGGTCCGGGGCGAGGTCCCGCAGGGGCAGGAACATCATGTTGCTGGCGCCGCGGGCCGTGGTCATGGGCCCCGTCTTGTTGGCGAGCCACTCGGCCATGGCGGCCTCGTAGAAGGTCCTGTTCGAGATCATGATGTTTGGGTTGAGGTCGAAGTTCTTGGTATCTAGAGGGAATGGGGCTCATGTCAAAAAGGTTTGAACTTCTCTTTCCGAAAGGCACAAGAAACATCGGTTTCTAGTCTGAGGTTGACTTACACTGGAAAGACGGGTAGAAGTTGGGATGGTCCTGGAAGTTCATGCCCACGCCCGGCAGGTCCTCGACGCAGGTGACGTTGAGTGACTCTAGCAGATCGCGGCGACCGATGCCGCTTTGCTGAAGGATCTTGGCCGTGCTGATAGCTCCGGCTGCCAGAATGACCTCGTCCTTGGCCTTGACGGCTGCCCGCGCTGCCGAGACGCCGCCAGCCCGGCTTAGGATGTCTACACCTGTAGCTTTCTTCCCGTCGAATGTGACGGTGGAAACGTAATGCTTGGTCAGGAGATGGAGGTTCGGCCGACTGCTGACGGGAGCATAGTAGTGTGTTCTGGCATTAGAACGGGAACCGTTCTTCTGGTCGATGTTGTTGGGAGCCCAGGCCAATCCCGCATTATCACCATCGGCACCTGCATCAGTCCTAGCTTGGATACCCATATCATGCTCCCATGCCTTCCATTCGGCATCTATGGATCACGACAGTCAGATATTGAATGCCTCATATGGTATTCCGAGGGAACATTTACAAATTCCGGGCCACTCCCAGGTGGGGAATGAGACATGGATAGGTCCGTCTTCGCCAAAGTTATCGGCCTTCCATCTGTAGTTGTACTTCTGAACATACTCTGGGGCGGGTGGATCGAACTGACTTGACTAAGTATAGACTTTTAGTTTGACGGTCCTCGATAGCCAGGAGCCCTTTGGCCCTATTTTACCTTTCTAAAGTAGGGTAAGAGTCCCTCCCAACCCCAACCGGGGCTGCCGAGCTCTTCCCATGCGTCGTAATCCGCAGCAGCGCCGCGGTCCCAGGTCATGCCGTTGATGATGCTGCCCCCGCCAACCACCGATCCGGTGATGGCAACTTGGACTCTGTTCGAAGTGCCCGCTTGAGGAGTCGACTGCCAGACAAAGGTGTCTTCCGGCCTGGTTGTCATTCTGCTGCCGTACGGCATGTAGCGATCAAGATTGTCGTCAAAGTCGCCATATTCGACGACGAGAACATTGACTAAGGGTATAGTATGGTGAGCGTCGATCGATAGTAAAGGAAAGGAGATCTTCTTCAACAGTAGCGCATTTTAGTTTTCCTCACCGATACATACCATTGGGGTCCTCGGTCAGTCTATTTGCAACGACCAAACCACTCACGCCGCCACCTACGACAACATAGTTGTACTCATCCTCGATTTCAGTAAAACTGCGCTGAGCCAGCCCAGCCCGCGAAGCTGGAGCAGCTCCTGCGAAGGGGATGCTGAACAAAGCGATAGTAAATCTCAATACGGCACACCGTTTCATGATCACTGTAGAAGACACATCCAGACGTTGCAATATCCAATAGCGCACTGCAGTGAGCGGCCGTACCTCTGAGTATTATACTTTGCCGGCACGAGGGGCAAGCCGATATTGGTTTGCGTACTGGGGCCGGGATTAACATTGCCGTTACAAGTATCGACATTGTCCGGGAAATTAGGCGCCCAATATGGACGGCCCATTCCATGTGGCCTGGATTCGGCACATGTTCGAGCAGACCTGGCACATATGTCAAATGGTGCCCAAAGATGATTTTCGATTATAGAAGGCAAACTAACAATACAAAACGGACTGGGAGGCCCTGTCAGGCTCTAGCACATGGCCATCGTTGGCCTGCGCTACCCGTGTTGCACTGAGGTCTCAGTTCCTAGAATTAGCAAGTTCATTGATGGAGACCCTTCCTGGTAGTTTTCGATGATTTAAGAGCAGTTGTGGAAGACTACAATTGAGCATACAAGGGCTAGTAAGATCCTAAAAGGATTGGTATTTAGACCATAGTCCCTCTGATACCTTGTTCGATATCTTGATCTACACGAGCTGCAATCTTCACATCATCTTGCTGTCTAAAAGAACAGAAGAAATAGTCAGACTCTGGAATTCTTGTAGGATTTATTATTCTACAGAGGCAACTAGAACGGAAACAAGTGCAATTTATGCCTGGAGATCAAACTTGGGCATCGTGCCGTACAGTTCCGCTTTTGAAGGCTCCTCGTTACTCCCTAAATAATGCACATCCCTAGTAATACCCGTTCAAGGTATCGCACTCTCTTTCTTGGTTTGTTGTCGCCACTCTTCAACTCTTGGATATCACGAAGACCTTGTGGTACAGCTACCATCATTTGTGCTGACAAAGACAACGAGAACAGCGGCAAAACTAGAGAGCTTGTGAGTATTCATAGTATTTGATATACTTGAACATCAGTCGGCTGAAGCGAGGGATTTTTGTCAAGACTTACGCAGCAGTCGCTCCGAAGATTTCCTTCGTACTAGCAGTACTAAGGAGATTGAGAGCAAAGGAGAACACCGCCACAAATACTGCGATTGCCCCAAGGCGACTTGGCATGTTCTGGATGGTGTATAGCACCGCAATGCTTGCTATCGGTAGGAGGCACGCCATCAAGGTGGCGAGTGCCTTGAGAACCTTGAATGTGCCTTCATCACGATATCGGATTGTATTCTTGAGGAAGTCTTTCCCATCAGCTTTCTCATCATCCGCCCTCTAATTGTAACCTTGTGTTAATGCAGACTCGCGACCTCGGTGTAGATGGAAAGACGAACATGGATATGCTTCCCGAGGAGCTTGTTGTATTGAGTAATCAATTTCAAAGTAAACTCTGATGTGAAATGATCTTCATGCGAAGGCGGCTTTAAAGTGACCATATCGTCAATATTCGGGTCCCGCCAAATGTTTGCGTCAAGGCCTTCAAGATAGACATTGCCCATCGTCGTTCGTTGCATCCACTCATCAAGGCTTTTCAACTGACCTGCAAGTGGACGGGGAAGTTCAAATACACGGCGATGTCGTAACAGTGCCTCGTCTGCCAGCAACTATCAATGAAAGGTACTCATCTTGAACATGACATCGCTTACGATAGTCTTTCAACTTGTCTCTGATCTCCATGGTTGCAAATTGTGATTCTTCATGGCCTGCTGCAGCGTCGTCCTTCCAAGACACGCTCAATATCTGCCAGTTGAATGCATACCTTTCTCGGTATTCATCCTTGGATTCTTTGTCTTCGTTCTGGTAGAGCCGCAGCCGCATTTCTAGCTCCGTTAGCTCTGCCTGTCGGTAGAGAAGGTCTTCCGCCGACAATGCGCCGAATTTGCGAAAGGCTGAAACCTCTGGGAGCTCGCCCATCAGCTGACCTAATCGATCATAGCCCTCGGCCGGCGGGGCAGGCTCCAGGCTTTCGTTGTTAGAACATTTCTCCGACATGGTTTCACAGGTCCAACATCCGCCGATACTTTGTGAAGTTGGGCATCAATGCTCTCCACTGGCACCCAAGAGGTGGACGGCTGGCTTTTAAGTACGTAGATGCAGGCGCAGCTTGATTGATGACATGCCACGGAATGGGTGGTGTGTCTCGCCTGCCACACGTTCACATGCCGTGCCGCCTCACTCTTGAAAGGTGTACCCCTCACGTTTTCCCATCCAACCACCCGACAGGGATGCAGGTGTGGCATGAAATCTGCCTATCAGAATGCCAGCCGCTGCAAGCGAAACCATTGACATCTGCCCACGTCGCAGTCTCACAGCGTCCACCCTCCTTGGGTGTGTGTCGCAGCCTGGAGAGGCTCTTTGCTGCCCGCCCCGGATAAAAGCACAGGAGCAAGTCTCCTCAGGCCATTACTGATTCTTGAATGAGACTGCACGGTCGGCCTCATCGAAATCTCTGGGTGACACTTCGCTCAAAGGACCAAAACGTGACATTTCAGTGGGTGAATAGGGCTTGATGCTGTGAAGATCGCCGTGGCGGTGTGGCATTATGAGTAGCGTGCCGCGATCATCGGATCGCAATGAAGATGAGGCGAGCAGGAAACAGGGCAAGAAGCACAAGGGTCATTCAACGACAGATCCTCGCTCATCGGAAGCATCCAGCCAGTATCAAGCGATATCATACGCGGATGGGTCGAGAGACCCCGTCTCTCCAGAAGCGCATTCATTCCAAGGGCATTACGGACTGGATCCTTACAGCAGTGCCAGGACTATCCCAGAGGAATCCTATGGCTCGCCGCCCTCCTACACCTTTTCGCCATCTGGATATTCCACATATGAGGTTCCACAATGGCAGTATGACACTCCTCAACAGACTGGGTCCTATTATGCCTATGGCTATGGTAGCACGACCTATGATAACCCAGCACCATCCGGTGCAACATATTCCAAGAAGGGCACTACTCGAGAGCCATCCAAGGATTATCCTAGTTCAGCTCTGACAGCAATCTATCCAGCGACCAACCAATATGTTACCACCACTCAACCGCAGTCTATTGGCCAGGAGCAGACCTATGATCCACGGGAGAGAAAGGGCAAGGGTAAGGATGCTTCATCCTCTGGAAATCTCTCAACCCAAAATCCAGCAGTCAGCCCAGCCGGCACGCCAGTACCCTATGGCAGACACGATGACCAAACTCAGCTGTCAGACCAATACGATAGGATGAGCTTGAGCCATGCGGGATCCCATGGTCAACGTGAGGCCCTGTCTCAAGGGAGTCAAATGCAAGGTCATGCATTCCAAACAATCAATTATACCGTGCCAGGCTCGACCTCAACTGTCCATCAGCCAGCCCATGATCCTGGTAGCCAACAACACCCGACTGTCCCATTCTCAATGCCCCCTGTGAGTTTCTCGCGCTTCCATAGTGGCTGGCGAATATACAGACTGAAACTAGAGATAGGATATTGAAGTGAGCCTCCAATATAAAGGGGGCCATAAATGGCACGACACAAAAGGCATGTGGGACACTGGGAATACATTCGCCTCATTAGTCCTCCGAGACTTGATCCTGGATCTGGGTTATCGGTCTGATGACATCGACTTCTCAAAGGGATCCGAATTCAAAGTCGTAGGAGGTGCTGCGGTGAAGACTTTTGGGGTAGTGAAATTGCATTGTTCATTGAATTCAGGCCCCATGTCCGTTGAATACTTCCAGGTTTTGGATTTTGTTATCGAGGGGTACGATGTCATCATCTCACCGCCGGAATCCCGCAAGTCCAGCTCGAAGAAATCTACACCTGTTGTAGCTGCATCGATACAACCTCGGCGGAATCTTACCAAAGGTGAGCTTGGCGCCAAGTCGAGTATTGAACTGACTAACAAATGTCAATCTGTAGAAGAACTCAAAGAGATGAAGAAGAGTTTTGAGAGGGCTGAAAGGAATAGGGATGAAACTAAGGAAAGGTGGGAAAAGGAACACAAGCGAAAGAAAAGACCTGATGATAAGAAGAAATCTGAGGACAAGAAGTCTGAGGGAAGGAAGAAGTCTGAGGACAGGAAGTCCTCGACCAAATGACACGGCATTGGTCTATATCAGACGCCCTTATTCAGATTTGAATTTGTATGAGGAAGGTATCAGTGGGTTGCACACAAGGGCTGTAAATTGGCATGAGGGAAAGGCAATCAGCCATCGCATCATGGACATAGAGAGACATTCATTTTTGGTAAACCAAGTAGAATACTACGTATTTAATACCGAAAAGCCAATTGCTAAATATTTGTATGAGAGTCGTTTTATACCTAAATTTGTGAATGCTTTTTTCACTGAGAACACAGGTTTCATCACCTAGGGAGAACGCTCGGTCAACAATGTCCTCGTTGTAAGTTGTGCTCGGCTTCATGATCATAGCCTTGTTGACCCATTGCCCATTAAACACTCGAATAACTCTGGAGTCTGCGGAGCAAGCATTTCCATTGAAGTACATACACACTCTTTCATTTAAGCATCCTTGCAGAACTATATTTCCATCGCCTCATAGGCTCGGGTTCTACCTGCGCTATGTCTCATCACATAGACTAGGTCAATAGCATTTACTTCTTCTCAAGATAAACCCTCCGTTCATTGTTGTCTTTCTTTGACTCAGACTACCATGGAAATAGGGCTACTGGCGAGTTTCACGGATTGCAGTGTTGCAATTGATGGCCGTGAGTGATCGCTTTGGTAGATCGAAGTACTATTGAGAAGGGTACCGAAATTTCAAATATTAACTACTCAGGGAATAGCACAGCACTCTCGGCCACTTGGGTCAGCCATGTTGTCGTCCTGCGCTAAATCCACCGCTACGAGTCTTTGGTCCATACGTCTGTGAAGCGAAGATGCGTCCGGGAGGCAGCTTCTGATGATCTCGTGAGTCATCATATGTAACCCAGTTTGTTCATCGAAAAAGGAACTCCATGTTAAGTAAGCAAAAAGTAAAGCAAAACTAGTGAATGTCCTATGCCCTCATTGCTCAATATTTGCGTCTTCGACAAACCCCTCATCTTCTGGTTGACGAGCTCTCAAGCTTGCCAGTGCTGATTTGGCAGCTTGTGTTTTTGGATGGTCCGGGCCTAGGATGGATCCAAAGCCGTCGCAAACTTCCTCGAATAACGATGCCGCGCGTCTGGGCTGTGTGTGCTCGTACACTTGAGCCAACCACTCCATTGAGCTGTAGAAGGGTAGAGGCGTGGCCTTGTGGACATTGAGAAACTTGTCTCTCACATACTCCAATTCCTTTTTAGCTTCTTCGAGACGACCCGTCTTGAACATAATGGATCCCAGCTGTTCCATGGAGCGGAGAATCATTGGATGATCCTTATCGTATGCCTTTTTGCGCCCTGCAAGGCATGTGATACAGTATGCCTCAGCCTCTTCGAAGTCTTCTTCCACGAAGTAAGTGCAGGCCAGGTTGTACCATGTTCGTAGTGTGCTGGGGTGAGTCTCTCCGAGGGTGTCTCGTCGGAACTCCAAAACTTCTTGCAAAAGCGACCTAGCTTCTGCCAGCTTTCCCGCTTCTTCAAGCACAATGGCAAGATTTTGTTTCCACTTCATGGTTGCTGGATGTGTCGGTCCATAACGGCTGAGCATACCCTGAACACTTTGACGAGACAGATCCTCAGCTTCTCCTAAGCGGCCTTGAAGTTTATACACCTGGCTCAAGAAAGCCGCTACTCCAGCAAATTCGACACCTGTCACCCCTTGTATTTGGCGTAGTCCCTCTAGGGCTGACTTGTAAAGTTCCGCAGCTTCCTCAAGATGGCCCTGATCCTGTCGAACTGTACCAAGCCCGGACAGCAGAAGGAGATACTCAAGTGATTGTGCCCCTAATCGGTTAAGAATGTCTGGTCTGGCCTGTTGAAACAGTTCGGCTGCTTCCTCGTTTCGGTCTTGCATAGATTTGGCCCTGGCGAGACCGTCTTTCGTCAGAGCAGTCTCGAACTTGTCATGTGTCGACATTTCTTGGGCCTCAAGCACCGAAGTGTAGAGCTCTTCCGCCTGTTTGTACTTTCCGTGAGTTTGATATATCATACCAAGATCTCTTAAAGAGCGATGAAGCTCCGGTCTTCCTCCCAGCGGGACACAGAATTCCATAACAAAGGCTTTAGCTCGCTCCACATGTGGCATAGCCTTTCGTTCCATAGCCCAGTCCTCTTTGGATCGGCTCCACCCATTCGAACTGATAGGGATGATTGTCATGATGTTTTGAAATGCTTGAGCAGCATAATTGCCTTTCTCGGATTTGGTCAGTTTCTCTCGGCACCACATATGAATGAGAGGATGGATATCGATAGCATCGTCTGAGGTTCGCTTTATCAAAGAGTGCGAAAATAGTGTCGTTGTTAGATTTTCACCTGTTAAGGCCCATCCCATCAGTGGACTGGTCGCAAAGACTGAAAAAGTATCCTATTTACCATTGGATCCCCCAGACTTGCGGAGAACTTCTAGTGGTATGTCACTAGCGTCGTAGAACGAACAGAAGAGCAGGGACCGGGCGGCTTCAGGTGCAGACTCTTCAATGGCTTCAAAAGAAAGATTGAAGGAAGAAAATACAGAGTGTTGGTACTCTGAGACGTAGCCTGGAGGTTTCTTCTCGAATAGCTTTCTCACCTGGCGTTCAAACGCGTCGAGGTAAAATTGCAAGGAGACCTGTTCCGTAAAAATGTAGGAACCAGCATGATCGATCGCCAGCGGTGAGTTGCCCAATTTCCCGAGGATTTGACGCGCCAAATCAACTATTGGTGCATTAGTAAATGGGCTTTAGAATCTGAGGTGACAACACCCTACTTTCTGAATCAGCGAACCCGGAATGTCTTTGGCAGCTGTTCTGGAAGATCTGCAGAGCATCGTCGGCATTGCAAGACTCAACTTCTATGCCGCGACCTAAGCTTGCCAGATCACGACGACGAGTTGTGACTAGAATTTTTCCACGAGAATTCGAAGGAAAGCTCTCGCGAATTGGAAAAGCTTCTGGCTGATCATAGTTGTCGAAAATCAGCAACCACGGTCCGTTACTCGGATGATCTAGCCATTTTCGAACTGCCCGGCAAATAATGTCTGCGTTCCCGCTCTGTTCTTGTAAGATCCCGTCTCCATCGACGATTCCCTTCAGGCCTATCATCTCCGCGATTTTACCGTAAGGTGGAGGGGGTGCTGGGATAGTAGCGGCGTAGGCACGGACGATAGCCTGTGCGATGGCGCCAAAGGATTGTTGCAAAAGAGTCGCGGTGGATGCAGTCACCCAGAAGATTGACTTGAAATCTTTGGAATAGTGTTCGGCATATTTGAGGGCCAGTTCCGTCTTGCCAGAGCCGGCAGTTCCATGAAGGACCACAACTTGCCGACCAGTGTTATTCAAAGCCTTACGAATCCTCGATAAGATCTCAACTCTGCCGACAAACATGTTTGTAGCTAAGGGTAGGCTACGCGGGATGTCGACAATGGGAGTCTTCCTCAGGTCATCTAACCATTGTTCCAGGGAGTGCTTTCTTGTCTGTGAGCTGGAGCGCGAGGCTGGACCTTTCTTTATTATTAGTGATCCGATCGAATATGCTTAGATGGCAAAGTTCACAAACTAACTTGACCCTCGGTTCTCTTTGTCCCAGTTCTCGCGAATCTTTGCTGACGCTTGCTGCTCCATGATTCGCAAATGCACCTTTATATTCTTCAGATCGTTATCGTTCGCATCGCCAAATTTCACCATAGTATGGTGATTCTTCCTGATAGCCAATGACTCAACATTCACCACACCGCTGACGACTGCTGACCAAAAAGGGACGATCTATCAAAGTATCGTTAGCAATCAGCCATGAACTGAGTCCTTGGGTCGCCGTTACCATCATGGTCTTCCCGCCGATGACCGGGGTTTTGACATCCTCATAGCAGAAAATGATGTGGAAATCAGGACTGATTTTCTTAAAATTCTCGACCTGATCCCGAAGCCATTCTGACTGGGGCTCCAGATGCTGAATCACCTTGTCATTTACAGTCTGATACACGGACATGATTTGGAGGCCGATTTGCGCCAGCGTCACCCCTTCACCGCCAGAATGAGGGGTGCCAAAAAACACGATGCCGTACGTGGATAGCTTCATATCTTTTTGGAAATATAGATGAAGCCGATTCCTGTTTTCAGATTGCAAAAGTGCCTGAATAAAATAATGGTCACTCTGCTGTACGCGCAATTCAGGGAATATGGATTGACACTCTTACACTTTTCAACACTAATCCTCCAAGACTGTGAGCGAGGAAGATAACCGGTCGACGCGTCGTCTATACAACAGATCAATCTCACGTCACGCTGTTAGCAAAGATACTCAATAACCTACGCAGTTATCGATGTCTGCCCGAAAGAGGCAGAATTCCGAGAGAAAGTGTTGACCAATCGTGTTCAAAGTTGAACTAGATAAGGCTGTCGAAGCATGGGTTCTGGCGTCATATCCATAAGTCAGGATCCGAGCCTTTGGGAATGATCCTGGTAGAAAGTCCTTCAGCCAGTTGACTCCATTGGGTGCGGTCCAACTCTTATCTCGATGTCCGTTTAACCCATGAATGGCAACGATGCTATAGACAATGAGGTTGAGTTCCAATCTGTTGAAATGGGCGTGACGTACTCTATAGTTGCGTCATCAGGATTAGCAATCACCTTGAACCCCCAATCGTCAGGAGAATCATTGTCGTGAGAGTCCTCGTTCTCGGATCCACTCCCATTCCACCAATACCTGGCTGAATCGAGTAATCTCACCATGGAGACGACTTTAGTGCTCTCATGAGACATGTTTGGTGTTCAGATGCAAGACAGACAATGGGAGATGACAAGGGACTGTTGCTAGCTTTTTCGAGAAAAAATAGATGGAAGCGGGAACTCGGCCCTGGCGACATTATCTCATTCCTGGCATCGCTCACCGCAAACAGAAATGTCCAATCGGAACGCAATATGGATCCGCCCTAGCTGCACTTACCTGCATGCACGTCACAAATCAGCACATTACGCCCGACTACTATGGGCAGTCTGCGTGTTATGCCAATGAATCGACACGTGTTGAAAACAAGCTGAGACCTGCATATCTTACATTATCTCCATTGGCTGATGTGACACCCTTGCATGTGTCTTCTCCATCTCGATAAGCCATCACCCAATTGAATATGGTGGCTCTGCCGTCCCATCCACATCTCTCGCCAAGCCTGCATTAGCAAGGAAGGTGCACAGACAAGTGCGTTGTTTCTGAAGGATTAAAATATGTCACATCCTCATCTCATCTTCCTTTTTCCTCCAAATCCTCAAGTCGCTCCCGGATACGCACAGGTTCCAGGGTTCCCGTTTCCGAACCAACCTCAACTTGCAATCTTCGCAAAAGCCACTCGAATATATCGTCCAATATGTACGCCAAGGGTGACGGTTCCAAGGGTGGACCCATGGCGGATGACCTTAATCTGAAGGTCAATTAATGATGGCATGCCATCTCTTGAATCACTAGTCCACAGGGTAGGCGTCTGACACGGTCAAGCGTGACAGCTCGCAATTGCTAACAATGACCAGGCCATCATGATTCGTTGCAGTGTTGTTGGCTCTCGTATTGGTATAGAGTTGTTTCATTATCAGGCTGAGATATGACGGAGGTGATATATGCATGTGTCAATAGGATATTCATTGTCAATCATTCATTTAAAGTAGCCCAATAACGGGAAGACAAATCTGTTCATCCTTGCCGAATAGATACCAACATGCTACCCCAGCCGTGAATGCTTGAGCTCAACTAAGTAGACCTTTTGCCCTACGCTAGATTCGATAGTTGACGCAGCTCCGCAAGCAGCCCAAGCTCATTTCTATGCGTTAATATATCACAAGGACAGTTGATATATGTGAGATGTAATGAGTTTGAAGGTTCTTACATTTGCAACTTCTTCCAAAGTTGCGTTCGACGGTTAAGTTGGGAAGATATTGTGATGAGAGATGTAGATGATGTGACTCCCGGAAAGTGCAGGTTGCGCTCTCCGGGGGTGGGTAAAGAAGCGAGAGCTTTGCTGCCCAGGCCTGCAAAGTGAATATAAAAAAGGCGAACTTGATGTATGCAAATGGCTCCAAGAAATCTATTCAGAGATGCGAATCAGCAGTAAGTATACATCGATTACAGTCTCAACTTACTGCCATTGTGACTTTGGAACACGGGTATTGTGTTCCTTGTGTTGTATAAACTGTGTGGGTGTACTGTGTTGGAACTAGTGGTCTTACCTAGAGGCAAGCCGATTGGGTTTGATCATCTCACAGTCTCAACTTCTCTCATGCCTCGTCGTAGAGTCTAATGTTATGTGTAACGCACTCGTGTCAAGTTCGCGACACACACACACACACACACACACACACACACACACAGGAAGAGCAACAGGGAGCAGAACAACCACATAATACATACCGACCCTTTCTTCTCTCTTATCTCATTCAGAGTATAGTTTGACAAGAGGTCTGTTCAAGCACCATACCAGCATCTACCTTTAAAGCTAGCTGACTGGACATACCTCCATTCCTTCGGCCTCTATCTGAACCACCCCGAAGCAGCCTTTATCTGTACCTATTAGATATGCACTCAAACCAAATGGTGTCCGCATCAGCCGCCACCTGGATGAGCGGCATCAGGTGCCAAGGGAGAAACGGCAAGGTATCGACGTTATGGTCAAGCGCCTAGGTCCCAGCGATCCGAACGACCTGCTTTACAAGCAGCTATCATAGAGACAGTGAAGCATACTAGCGCAACTCTAAATAGGCACTGCAAGACTAGATTTCAATTATCAGATAGGACCGACAGTAAACGATATGTGCAGTTGCAGAGTGGCAAAAAAGATAATGGAATACTTCTTCTGTTGCTGAAAGTGGACAGAACATTAAACAGAAATGCTTTAATGCAATGCTATGCATAGAGGAAACCTCTCCTTCATGTTAGGGGAAGGCTGCCCTTAGAAGATGATAAGGAGACACTAAACTTAGAAGCCGTATACATAATCATATGAGTTTCAATAACTAAAGGTCGACAGAAGCGAGAAGTGGAGGATGTATGGGCTGAAGGAGATCAAGACATGGCTTTTGAAATGTATGTGTATTATCAATAGTATTCATTTCACTGCCACCACCCGAGCCTGTGGAATTGTCAAGGAAGTGAAGGATTTAGATCTCACGCGCCTTCATCTCCTATGCAACCAAAGTTTCTTCTCTCGTCCTCCTAGATCCCGTATCGCCGCCTTCAAACCCCGTTAACAAGGGCACTCAGCGTCAGCGCCGAAATACCCAGCAGTTTGGTCACGAAGCCTATCGAGATATATCTAACCGCATTCGACAGCTTGCTCTCCCGCGGATAGCAGCGCACGCCAGACTTGTTGCCGTAGTAATCGGGCAGGATCGAGAGGCACTTCTCGATGGAGTTGAAGCCTTCGGCGGTGTCAAGCTGCTTCTGGCCCATTGCGGTGACGTTGCAGTAGTAAAAACAGCCGGGCGTCTTCATGGATATCGAGTCGTCGTACACGACCGCGACAGTGCCGTTGCAACATCCCGCCAGCCGGTCGGAGACCTCCTTGCCTTCACGGCCGGCGAGGTACGGCGCGTAGCAGGCCATGTGGTCTCGCGTCGGACTGGGGTAGTCGCCCCAGTGGTCAATAACGGAGGTATTGCTGCTGGTAATCGGGCATGCTAGGCTCGAGTTGCTGATACTCATGGTGGCTGTTTCTCGTACCTGCGCTTTGACGGAGGAACAATGTGTTCTGGGTTCGTGGTCGTTGCCGTCTATAAGCTCGGTCAATGTGATTTTCTAGATTTGCAGGGTTCAGGAGAGCAAAGTATGCTTGCAACAGATCGGCTGCCAGCTAATCTGCCTCAATTATCCAGCGCGAGATGGAGGCCAGACGGGGAAAGTAAGCATCGTGCCCTGTGTATCATGAAAATTACGTCACTGTTCTGGAAAAATGACCAATGCAATGGCATGTAACGCAACGTATGTCTTGCCCGATATAGATGGCTGTACCTCTGGTTCTTTGAGACTGTTCAAAAGCATGGCGAAAACTCGGCAAAGCAGACTTGACAACGCGTCGACTTTGTATACTGCTCTCACTGTCTGGTGGAGAGAAGGAAGTCCGTATCCACGGCTGTCAGCGGTCATATATTGCACTGGCTTTAATTCTGCGGACACATGCAGTCTGTCTTTTACTCTGCCCATGCTTTGCGTATTTGATAAGCGCTCGCTGCACAGCTTCTAGAAGCTGTGTGACGAGACCAGTCATGTAACAACCCAGCGTTCTCCAGAGACACACCTCGGGTTGCATTTGTAGACTTTGAGCTGCCAAAGGTTGCAACTGCAAATAGAAGAACAACCGTGGCAGGGTCAAATATGCCTGTTCTTGTTATCTGCTATACAGCGACTTGCTCCATGAGTTCACCATTTGGCATTTTCTTCCTGCGTCCTATAGATGTAATAGGGTATAAAAGCAATTTCTTCCAATGCACTAGACTTAGTTGAAGTACTCCCTTGGGTAATAGCCGCGGTCACCGTGTGAGAATCAAGCTTTGGTCGCGTGGTTTAGTGATGAGTCGTATCCGTCGTGGACGTTCCCAAAACACTTTGATGACTAGCCTCATCATCTACCAGCCCCATCGACGCTAGTAATGAAGGTTTAGGAAGTTTAGCAGATCAGGCCCTGTGCGATCGCCTGGTAGTGTCCACCGATTGAACTCTGGAGATATGCACGTCATAGAAATGATGGTCAGCTCTCCCTCATAACCGCCTGTCATTTTTAATGATCTGGAAAATTGGTTGGCAAGCCAATATAGACATGATAACGCATCCATTGCCTCACTTCTCAGCACAATTCTCTGTACGACTGATCCCCATATCTTATTCTCGGGCCTTTTGGAGGACAGTACTCAAACCTACTGCGTCCAGTAGACCTCACTCAATATCACTTGAATTCAGCACCATGGCGCCAAAGCATGAACGTACAAAGTCATCCGATGACATGCTCAGGCATCCTTCTCCCAAAAAAGCCAAGGAAATAGATCAACACACTCCGTATGAGGCGTTGTTAGACCACATGGACAAGCAGAATGCTGATCAAGAACCCCGAACCATCCTCCATTGGTTCCGAAGCAAGGAACTCCGGGCAGAGGATAACCGCGCCCTCATGGCGGCATCACGCAAATCAAAGGAGGCCAGCGCCCCTCTAGTGACTTGCTTCTTGTTCTCGCCCAAGGATATGGAATGGCACGGAACGTCGCCAGTCCGGGTAGACTTCACGCTCGAGACACTGCGACTTCTACAGAGCCAGCTCAAAGAGATGAACATACCTCTCGCAATACTAACGGCCGAGAGCCGCGGTGACAAAGGGCCCGTCATGCTTAATTTTTTGAAAAAGCATAATATCAGCCACATGTTCGCTAATCTCGAGTACGAAGTCGACGAAATGCGTCGGGATATCAGCCTGTTCGAGCGCCTTGAGAGTGACGGGATGGACACTGCATTTCATCTCTTCCATGATCAGAGCGTAGTGGAGCCCGGGACCATGAAAGGGGGCGCAGGCACTCCCCAAAAGGTGTTCACGCCGTACTACAAGCATTGGCTGGACAAGGTCGCAAAGGAGCCAGAACTTCTCGACACCGAAGGCCTACCCGAAGCAAATGACAAGGAGGTCACTACCAAGTTCAAGGATCTGTTTGACTCAAGCATACCCTCTCTCCCCAAGTCGAAGCCCTTTGCATCAGAAGAGGAGCGAAAGCGACTTCGGAAGCTGTGGCCCGCCGGCCATGCCGCCGCCAAGAAGAGGCTCGACGACTTCCTCAAGAACAAGGCCAGCACCTACAAGACAAACCGCTCCACGCCGGCGGCCGACAACTCGAGCCGCCTGTCGCCTTACTTCTCTGCCGGCGTGCTCTCGGTGCGCGAGGCCCTCTCGGCCGCCAGCGAGGCCGACGGCAGGGCGCCGGGCACCTTTGACGGCGACGCGGGCATCGCGAGCTGGGTGCGCGAGATCGTCTTCCGCGAGTTCTACCGGCAGCGGCTCGTCGGCACGCCGCATGACTCGATGAACCTGCCGCACAACCTCAAGTTCGACTACGTGCGGTGGGAGGACGACGGGGAAGGCTGGCGCAGGTGGTGCGAGGGCGCGACGGGCGTGCCCTTTGTCGACGCGGGCATGCGCCAGCTGCGGCACGAGGGCTGGATGCACAACCGGCTGCGCATGAACACGGCGTCGTACCTGCGCACGAACCTGCTCATCGACTACCGCAGGGGCGAGCGCTTCTTCGCCGAGACGCTCGTCGACTGGGACCTGAGCAACAACCACCAGGGCTGGGAGCCGAGCTACACCGTGTTCAACCCGGTGGTGCAGGCCGAGAAGTGCGATCCCGACGGCGACTATATCCGGAAGTGGGTGCCGGAGCTGAAGGATGTGGAGGGTAAGGCTGTCTTCGATCCGTATCATCGGCTCGACAAGAAGGAGTTTGAGAAGCTGGGCTATCCCAAGCCGCACGTCGACTTCAAAGAGAGCAGGCAGCGGTGTATAGAAAGGTACAAGCAGGACATGGCCGAGGCGGATATTTGAGAGTCTGCAGAGTGATAGTCCTGTCGATTGACAATTGAATGGAATCAAGCCTGCTCACTTGACTTCCTACCTTGACTTTTGGTGTCCCATCCTTCCAATATACCCTACCTTCTCTCATCTCACGGACTCCTAAGTAAAAGAGAAACCCGCGCAAATGAGCTCGGATGGAACTACCTATCAGCTTGTGAACGCCGTAGGCGAATAAGACGCACAGCCTGGTCTTCTGAAAGTCCCGCCAAGTATTCCAGCGGTCAGCAATCACGTCGGGCTGTTCGCTGTCGACACCGATGAGCAAGTTCAACATGTGCATGAGTCGACTTTGAGGTGGGTGGCTTGCAGCCCTGATGGGGCCACCTCACATCAGAATAAGGCTTGGGCCCCCACCGAAACTTGCTCAAAACTGCGCAAACAGAGTTTTAGTTCCAAGAAACAAGAGCATGCTAGGATTGATAGAGGTAAGCCCAAGCGAGCACGCCTGCGGATCCCTGTGTTTCCCACACGAGCGGATGATGAGCAGGATAGTGGATGCCATGCGCGGTCAGGATCCCCCAACGGCCACCGTTGACTCGTTGTACTGTCGCCGGGCCGGGCCTGTCCACCGTCAACCATGTCTCTTTGGTCCGAAGATACTAATAGCAACGCTATCTCTCTTCCTTCTTGTTAAAATATCGCCTCAGCACATTGACAATATTCAAGTTCACCTCGCCAAAATATCACTTCGCTTCGACCACCTTTTCCGCCGCGCTGTCACACGCAACAGGGTTCCAACCTACAATCGTCAAGATGGATCACAGCAGTATGAACATGACGGGATCCAGCACCAACAGTAGCAGCAGTAGCATGAATCACGGGGGCATGGCTATGGGCGGCTGCAAGATCTCCGTACGTGAAAACGCGTCTCGACGAATTCGCGTGCTCGCGTGACTAACCATCATCGTTCCTTAGATGCTGTGGAACTGGAACACCGTCGACAGCTGCTTCATCTCCGAGTCATGGCACGTCACCTCCCGCGGCATGTTTGCCGGCTCGTGTGTTGGCGTTATCCTTCTCGTCATGACCCTCGAGGCCCTCCGGCGGTCCGTAAAGGAGTTTGACCGGTACCTCATCCGGAAGCACGCGGCCGCAGCTGCCGCCGCCGCCGCTCCTGCCGCCGCTTCCCAAGACGTTGAGCCGTCGCCGAAGAGCTGTGCGGCAACAGCGCCTTGCTTTGCCGGTTTCCGTCCCACCATTTTCGAACAGGCCATCCGGGCACTCCTTCACATGTTCCAGTTTGCGGTCGCCTACTTTGTCATGTTGTATGTCGATGCAATGCCGTTCCTCTCATGATGGCGGTCTCGTGTATACTCACATCGCTACTGCCAGGCTCGCCATGTACTATAACGGCTACTTCATCATTTGCATATTCATCGGCGCCTATCTGGGCTCATTCATATTCCAGTGGGAGACCCTTGGCACGAGGTAAGACATCTTGGAGCTTTTAGATATAATTAGGCGAACGCAAATGTGCTGACTTCTGTTCTTCGATTCAGTACCGGATCGACCAGTGCCGCGACAGAGCCCACCGTCTGCTGTGGTTGAACCTGATGGACGAGACAAGAGCTCGGCATGGGCAGTTTTCGAAGATGTATACGCAGCGATTCCCAACTCAATCTCTTACCGTTACAGCGGGTCCTTTCGCAACGATGCTATTAATGATGGGAGTTCCTCATCCGGAACAGAGGCTGGGTGCCAGGTAGTAAATACTTCTTATTCCTGTGTAGCTTCTGAAGGCAAAAGTGCTACTCTCTATCAATTATCTTCACCCATAGTTTCGACAGAGTGCTCATTCAAACCCATTTGATCCTCTGTGAATTCGCCCTCGAGTTGTTTCTCCCTGCAGAATGACAGAGCAAGATGATCATATCCGAGAGCATGTTCCAGACCATCTCAACCATCTGCCGAAAGCTCCTTTATGCCCAATCGACCCAGCAATTACCCGATTTGATCTAGAAAGACACCACGAAATCCCTATCCTTACCACGATAAAACCACGAAAGGCAGACGTAACGAGCTGCCAACGGGCAGGCCGAGGCCACGGCTGACAGCAGGACCGCGATGGAACGAAGAGGAAGCCTGTTCTGCATCATCGTGTCAAAGGTATACTCGTCCTTGGCCAGCATGTCGTAAAAAGCCTCCTCGGCACCGGGTATGTCCCACTGGGTATCGTCGGTGCCGACGCGCTTCGCGCTGATGTCCCTCACTCCACGGCGGCTCCCGTTTGCCAGGGAGGTCCCACCGACAAGGTCAAACTTGAGGAGTAAGGGAAATTTGTACGGCTGGGCGGCCGCGCTGTAGGGCTGCGTGTACTCCATCGAGACTGTCCGGACATTGCGGATCCAGCGTGCGAGGCGGCACCCCGGGGGCGGGAGGAAGCTGTCCATGCTCTCCTCGAGGTCGACAGTGTCGCGGGGGCCGTGCTGGGCGCCGAGGATGAAGCTGTTCTCGCTGTAGTAGATGGATAGGGCCTCCTCGCGGACCTGGCGGCTGACGTGGGCGAGGGCCGGAGGCGCAAAGCTCCACGCGTACTCGCCCGCCCTGACGACGGCGAAGCGGTAGATCTGCACGCGGATTTCGGCGGGTAGTCGGAGGAAGCGAGATGATTCCTGTGCCCTCTGAGATTGCTCAGTCAGTATTGCACACGCGCGTGATCACCCGCGAGGGAAAGATAAAGCGGGTGCGAAGGAGCAATACCTGCTCATCCTCACTGAGCCGGTGCATGGCCCCATCCTCCATCACTGCTATCTGTAAGAGCCTATCGATGCAGTTAAGACTATAATGTGAGTCCGAGTCGGGTGCCTCGTTGGAAGGATTGCTTTATGAGGAAGGTGGAGACCTGACTTGGGCCTTGACTATGACCAGCATTTTCTAGCAGATTACCAGGGAAACTGCTATCCTGACAGCCATAAAAGCATAACCACACAAACACCAACGGCCTGTTCTGATCACTGGGTCACCAGTATGGCAATCAAGCAGGGTATGACGAGAGAAGCTCTGATAGATCGCCATGATGTCAAAATAACGTCCATCAGGCTGGTTTATTGACTCAAGTATGGGTATTTATTGACCCATGCCCAAAACAAAGATCCTTATCTTCCTTTACGCCATGGCACTGTACAAACAATCCGATCCCATCCATAGAAGAACATGCATGCCGCCTTTTTTCCGCAAGAAAGAGAGAGAAAACTTCAACAAGGATCCTTTTTACTCCTGCGGGAAAGAGGCAGCAGCGCGGCTAAGACGCCTCAAAACATCAGGGAGCTGGCCCGTCTGGAGCTCCTCGATACATTCGTCAATGATGCTGTTGTCCTCCAGGTTCTGAGACCGAGACCGGCGGAGCCAGTACTCGAAAGGACCGCCTGACATCACAGCTCCAGTTAGCCATCAAAGCACAAAGTGGCATGGGGGGTAAAAACTCACGGTTCGTATCCAGCGCGTCGCCCAGCTCCTTGCACCGCTCCGCGGGCTCGTGCTCGGTGTGCATGTCCATGTAGTGCGTGATCATCTTGGCGATGTCCTTGAGCGGCCACTTGCAGGGCGCGCTCGGCTGCCGGCCCGCGCCGGCCAGCAGGTACTTTGTCGACACGCACAGGCGGCACCGCCAGTAGCCCAGCCTCTTGAGCTCGAGTTGCTGCGGGTGTTCCCCGTCGCCTTCTTCGTCCTCCTCCGCCTTGGGCGCGGCCGCCACCAGGACCGCCGACGCCGTGCCCGCGGCGCTGACCGTGACGGCGCTGCTGCTGCCCCTGGCCTTCTTGGATGGCTTGGTCGGCGTGACCAAGGCCGACTTGTCCAGGGCCTCTGACGAGGACCTCTTGATTGCGGCGATGCGCTGCTGTCGCGCGGCGGCGGGCGTGAGGGAAGAGACATTCCGGGCCGAAGCAGCGGCGGCAGCGGCGGCGTCGCTAATCAGGACGGGACGGCCACCGCCGGCGCTGGCAGCGGTCAGGCGTATCATCTCCATGCGGTGGTTGCAATGGCGGATGTTATGACCCATGTCGAGGCGGCGCAGCTGCAGGGTGCGCGACTCCTGCGGCGTGAGGCTGATGTGAGGGTTGGTCAGCTGCTCGTTGCAGAATTCGAGGTCGTACTTGTAGGCCGTGACGTCCTCGTTGAGCTGCCGCATCGTTATGGCGTTGAGGTCTGCGACCTGGTCGTACCGGCCGGTGTCCATGGTTGCGGCGGCGGCGGCTGTGGTTGTAGTTGTGGTTGTGGTTGGGGTGGGCGTGAGGGATAGCTGGTAAGAAGGAGCCTGGCGACTCTCGACGAGAGAATAATGGGATGAGGATAAAGAAACGAGACACTGAGGGTGTCTTAGCACCGTGATGGGGTTGCAAAGGGCAGAGACGTCCTGGATCTTCTTCCGTCCCTTACCTGTCCATGAGAAGAACAGCAAGGTCAGAAGCCCAGATATGTAATGAGAAAAAAAATGTGACAAGTTTGGGATGAAGGAAGCGTGGTGAATGGAAATTCAAGGTTGCAGGCACACACTCAGAAAAGGGAGAGGTGAATGGAAGGTCACGATAGTACTGTACAGTTGTGCTCCTTTTTTTCTTTTTTTTTTCCTGATCAATTTCTTTTTTACATTTTTTTTTGCTAGTCGCGAAAGGTGATTGGTCAATTCGGTGTACTTGCTAACGCGATAAGGCAAGAAAGAAGTAAAAAAGAGAAAAGGAAACAGGCAAAAAAGAAAAAGGACAAAGAAAAAAGAAAAAAGAGCAGAAATGAAGCAAACAACAGACGCAAATCAAATAGTTGACAAGATAAGAAAATCACCAAAAAGAGCAACATTCACGCTTCGGCACTTTCTTGTCCATTAGAGGTGGTCATATGACAATATATCAACAGGCAAGTCAGTGGTTTGGCAAACTAAATCCTCGGCAGGAGGATCCTTAACAGATGTAGGCGGATGATCCACCAAAAAAAGCTAGTGTGTTTTGACCCCTTTTCCCACAAAGGCCACACAGTCACCGCATGCTGCCACCCGCAATCATCTCAATACAATCTGAAAGGAGGCCCAGAACATACCAGAGTGCCATCAGTCATAGTCGTGTATTAGTTATGTATGTACTAGCTACCCAAGGAGAACCCGAGCATTTTTCGTTCATGACCAAAAGTAATAAAGAAGAAGAAAAAAAGAAGTGTATAGTAGAAAATAGAATAGCAGGCAGAGGCGCTTCTGTCGCCCAATTGGTCATGTTTTTGTTTTGGGGGGTATCAAGACAGAAAGCGCCAGGGCCGAGTGTTTTAATCCAACAATCAAGTCGTCGTACAGCTCGCCGCATATGCAAAAATGTGAGAATGAGCCCGACAGATGTGTGCTTCGATACCTCCTCACTTTGAGGGGTCCCAGGGCTCTCTGTGTCTCTGGCTGCCTTCGCTTTCGTCGGGACAAGTTCATGAAAGTGCTGTTTTTGTGTGTCGGTCATCAAGCCCTCGCCTTGGGCTTCAGCGTCTCTTCTCCCTCATCGTCTTCTGCGCCTGCACCCGCGCCGCCCACAGCGGCACCTCTCATGCCAAACTCCTTGGCAAAGTCCTCCTCGCTCCCGATGCTGCCCGCCTCCTCTCCCCTGGCCGCACGCTGCGCGACCTCCCGCTCCGCATAGATCTCGCCGCGCCGCCTCTCCGCCTCCTGCAGGCAGTCGACGTACGTCCTGAACTTGACAATCTCGCGCAGCAGGTAGCTGCTCTTGCGCTCCCAGTTGGACATGGCCTTGTTCGCGTTGTGGCCCCTGGGGGTGAACGCCAGCAGCATCGGGCTGCGCAACGCGTTGTGCGCCTGCAGCTCGTCCTCGATGCCGCGGACGTAGGTGAGCAGCGTCTGGAGCTGCTCCGGCTCGGCCGCATTGGAGGGCCGCAGAGACTGCGTCGGCGGCTGCCAGTCGGCAATGTGGATCTTGTCACCCGGAAGCTTGCTGCCTCCGTGACGCGAAGCACCCTGGGACATGTCGGTCGACGACTTACCGCGGACATGTCCAAAGTCGAAGGAACCAGACCGGATCGAGGTGCGGGATTGCATGCTGGTGCGACCGGCTGCCGCAGACTCCGGCCGGGATGTATCATTCTGCGCACTCGAGGGATCTTTGTTGTTAATGGCGTTGACGAGCGAGTTGTGCACAATCGAGTCACTCCAGCCGTACTCAATGTTGGAGATACCACCAACGAGAGGGTGGGTGCTCAAGCGTGCGCTCCAGTAATTGGCAGTCGTGACAAATTCCTTGCAGATTTCAGCTGTGCCCACATGGAAGAGATGCACGGCGCCCGTGGGCAGACTGAGGGCCCAGACGTGCGGCCGAGTACGCGAATAGCCCGGCGGGGGAAGAGCACTCGCCAGGGTCTGCTTCAGACTGAAAGTGCCCATGTTCGTGGCATTCTCCTGCCAGTTACCGCCGCCGACGACCGCACCTTTCTGTGTCGCGGTGTTCTGCCGGCTGCGGCCCTTGGATCGGGTTGATTTGTTGGATGAGAAGGAGAAGATGCTCATCTGCCCTCGCTGAATGACCGCAAAGACCTCGGACCAATTCCTATCCTTGGCCTTCTTATCAATGCCGTCTAAATGGTGTTTGTGAACCACAATGCCTTCCTTGATCCATGGTGGACCGGCCAATTCCAGGGACTCATCGTCCAGGAGTTGAGCACTCTTCATGTCGTCGCTGGCCAGCGATTGGGCACTACCCATGGTATCGATGGCCTGGCTGAGCGCGTTAGCGAATCCAATAGACTGCTGGAAGTCGCCACGGGGAAAGGCGGAGCCGAATGAATCGATAGAGCCAGACCCTTGGGTCCGGCCTAGCGAATATCGGCTCCAGGTTGCGGACGAAGGCGTCGGGCTCCACAGCGAGTTGTTGTCGTCAAAGCTCGTTCTGCTAGACGAGAACCCGTTGTTCCCCAATCTAGCCCTCGACCGACTCTTGGACGCCCATCGCGATGTGTTGGTGCGCGTGGTATCATTGATTCGACCGCGCGTCGATGCTCCACCCTCAGAAGGTGCTTTGCTAAGAACACTCGGCGTGCGCTTGAGGATGCCCATGACCGACAGACTGCTCGATCCAGGGATGCTTTGAGCCGGCTCAGCCCCGTACAAGGGCAAGCGGTCGTCTCTGATAGAGTTGTAAGTCTCCTTGAGCACGATCTCAACCTGGGCCTCCCAAGCCCGCAGCGGGCCTTCGAAGGGAGCCTTGACCAAAGGTCCGCAGCCGTCAGGATCATCCCGATGACCCATGGATGACTCCGATCGCAGGGGCGAGATGAACGAGTTCCGGAAGCTAGTTGTACGATCATGGTCGCCAGATGTGCGTCCTTCGTCTACACCCAAGTTCTGATTCTTTCCCGGCAAGATGCTTGGTCGCTCGAATACATCGGGCACCGACTCAGCCAGAGCTTGTCTGATAGTTGTCATGGTATTCTTGACGAATTGACTGCGGGTCATCTTTGACTCAATATCAGCAACGTGAAGGTCGGTGTTCAGGAGCATGATCGAGTAACAAGTGGTGTGCACAACATCTAAGGGAGGAAAAAACATTGTTAGTCATAGTGAAAAAGATGTATACTATGCAGTGAAAACTTACCAATAGACTTGAAGCCATGGTTGGGGTTGCAGTCACACCACCGCTTGGAAAAGGCCACGAGAATCCGGTCAACCTGCTGAGTTTCGGCACGGAGAATGAGGCGGCAACAGACATCCCGAAGAGCATTGACAATGCTGGAGTTCTTGAAGTCATACAAGTCCATGTACGCCTGCAAGGTACGCTGGCGAACAGGACCCTCCTCGCCCATCCACGCTGCGGCCTTCTCCTTCTGGATGAAATCTTCGTTGCCGTCAAAGATCTTTTGCGCCTTCTGTTTGTCATCTTCGGTGGGCTCGCCGACGACGAACTCGGGTTCGTCGATGGGTTTGGCAGGCTTGGGCGTCGTCTGTGTCGAAGGAGTCGACTCGGAGCTCTCCACCCTGACGTTTGGCAGACTCATGGAACTCCTAATTCTTGGGCCATCGGTGGGCGAAAGAGTGTTTCGCGGCGAGCTAGCGCTCTGAATCGGCAGGGTTAAACGAGTGCCTTCGTCGTCGTCTGTGCTGTCCACTACTATGATGTCTCGCGGAGGGCTCACATCTGCCTTCACTATGGTATCCGGTGATTTGATCAGAGGTGTAATAGGCGATGGGGCACCGCTGCTGGCATCTTTTTGGCTGGTACGGGATCCAGCTCTGTAGTTGTCCACTGCCCGTTGCGCTACACGCTGGGGGCTGCTTTCACTGTCGCTGTTGTCGTTCAAGAACGAGCCACTGCGAGCGGGATGCGGTGGTTGGGGAGCTTGTCGAGCGGTGGTGTCTGTGCGCAGCTTGCTTTGTCGGTTTGAACGCGACATGTCTTGATTGCTGGCACTGTGATGTACTGGCCGGATAATTGCGCTGGGAGGAGGCTCGTAGTCAGGCGAGAAGCCTCTAACATTTCGCGCCGGGGCTTCGTCTCGAGGGGGTGGTGTCGGTCTTCGTTCGTCGTTATGTGCATCTTCCGCTCCAGGACTGGCCAGAACCGGCGCTGTTGCGGCCTGTTTGAGATACGGGCTCATAGCCCGGCTCAAGCTAGTGGCAGGGCTAGGTTCCGGTTTTGAAGGCCCTTGGGATTGGGGAAGTTGGAGTGAAGGCATCACAGGGTGAGGAGCTGCGACGGAAGCTGGTAGTGGAGGTGGAGGAGCTGCGTCATTGACACTCTTCTTGCGCCTCCTGAAAAAGCTAGATGGTTTCTTTTGTAATGTAGGACCATGGGTAGAGTGGTGGCTTTGTCTGGATGGAGGTGTGCTTTGTGTCTTGGTCTGGTTGATGTGCTGGCCTCCTCTACTTCCCACTGTTTCTGTCGAACCCGAGGATACATAAGGCGAGGTCTGAGACGGAGGAGGCGGCGACTCTGCCGACGTATCGCGGAACCCTCCAAATATCTTTCTGAAGAACCCGGATCGTTCCTTGGGAGGCGGTAGAGGCGCAGCGGTCTGAGGCACGGGGTCCTTGGCTTTCTCATAGCCTACATGGGGCGCAGGAGCCGAGTCGAGGTCAAAGGCCGGGAGGGCGGGAATGTCATTGTTGGTATTGAATTTGGATTGGGCCTGTCGGCCAACGGTCGCACTTCTCGAGGATCGTGTGCTACGTTTCCGCTCGACGCCAGGTCCCTTGCTCGGCGCAGGCTCGGGAGGCGGCTCGGGTCGAGGAAAGGAGGGCATTGAAGGCGCGGGTGCCAACCTACGCGGTCCGCCAGGTACAGTCGGTGTCGGAGCGGCATCCAGATCCTCATTGAAAAATGTATTGGAGAACTCAATGTGCCAAGGCTGCGCGCTGGTCGATGGTCTCTGTCCGTAGTCAAAACTGGACGATCGTCCTCCAAAGCTGTGTGCCCAGCGTTGACTGCTGAGCACTTGAGCAGAGCCCTGGTCAATGCTGTTGGTGCTGCTGCTCTTGCTGCCCTTGCCGCCTCGAGAGTGCAGCATCCTCGGTGTCCCTGGCTGAGAACCCCGGTGTAGGGATTCACGCATACTGTTGATTCGGCCCAAACTCGACTGGAATCCGGAGCTGCTATTGCTTCGGCGGCCGCGTGATTGCTGACTTGATATCCGGCTGTCGCTGTCTGCCATCTCGTAGTCTGAGCTGTACGTGTACCCGTGATTGGGACGGCGTCTGATCGTAGGACCCATCGCCGCTCCTCCTCTCGGCTCGTCTCCGCCGCCGCCGAACGAATACAAGGGGTTGTCGTAGTTGGGCGCCGAACCTTCGCTGTTCATCTGGCCCATGGAGAACTGGTCGAGGGACAGGAGCATGTTGGACACGAGCGAGTCGCGGACGTGTCGTTGGGGGAGGGACAGGTCGTGGGAGTCTCGAACGTTTGGCTGACGCGGGGGCTCCATGGAAACAGGCCGGTCGTTTTCCTTGTTGGAGGACATGTCGGCGGGCGTGAGCATGTCGAGGAAGGTTTCGACCTCTGCAGCGTCTCGCATGTTCTGCGTAGGCGCTCTCGACGACTTGCCCAGCGAGCCCGTCCGCAGGTTGCCCTTGGCAGGCACAGGTGGCCTGAACTCGGGAGAGAACTGCGGCGCCGTCGAGTACCTGGTCAGGGACTTGGTGCCGACGGTGTTGATGTTGAGCTCGGGGCGTCGCCTCTGGCTGCGGCGAGCATGCTCGGAGGAATGCATGGCTTGAGCCAGCTCGGGATAAAGGGACGGTTCGCTAATATAAAGGGAGAGGGCGCGCGCGACAGGGCACTAAAAAAACGGATGTTGGCGCTATCTCCACCCCCATTTAAGACGGGTGCGTCCCAAATGGGGAATGTCAGTGTAGCGTAGCCGGTAAGTAATCTCGGGCCTGGTGGCAGCCCTATAGCGGCTTGCAGCGAGCCTGATGATATCGATGTTGGCGGGCGGTTGCGTGGTGGTGGTGAGGGTGATGGTGAGGAGTCTCGGACGGGAACCAAGCGAATCTCACGTCGCGCGAAACGAGAACGCAAGGAGATTGATGATTGAAAGGGCGGCAAAAAGAGAAACAAGGATTGATGGCGCGCCTGCCCTGGAACAGCGCCTGGAAGGGGAAACGCATGCAGGGGCCCTTGCGCTAATGGCTGGCCCTGATTGCTGGACCTGGCCCTGACCGACAGCTGTCAGGTCCTAAAGTACCTAGCCCACAGAAGCGAATCAGATTGGCCGTGGCGTACAATGAAACACAGCGCGAGTTCTTACTCTGTTCAGGTACCAGGAGAGGCGGTCCGGGAAAGAATGATCTACGAAATAAAAAGACCAATCGATGAGGACTGGTTATTGTCCAAGACAAACCAAGTTGTCCTTCCCCAGGGGGTCATCAGTTTGATGATCTGTATCTTTTCCGACCCCAGACGACAAATCCCAGGTAACCGGCAGCCAGATCCCGAGTACCAGTACCACAACCTCGAGTGCCTCGCCCTCGGAGCGATAGGGGGTTTCAGGGTCTCGAGTGTGCCCATCTTGGTGTGCTTGACCCTCTGGCCAACCAGACGCACAGACACGCGATGCAACCTTGGAAGCTTTGGGTGGGTTGTGGGACCCCGGCTTCCATGTAGCAAAAAAGGGGAACACCAAAGGGGGCCGCGACCGATGCGGAAACCCCACGATTTTAGGGTGATCCGGGCGGGTGAGTCCATCTTTGGGCTTGTGAAGTATTGCAGGTGTTTCGGGTTTGGTGAGAAGGACCTCGAGTTTTAGCGCCCTTCCTTCTGTCTCCCGTTCAGGGCCAGCAAGCAGAGCATCTTCTCGAGGCTGGTCTAGGTACCGACAAAGCGCTGCGGAAAGCCCACTGCAGAAGTTTGATTTCTTGGGCGGTGGTCCTTTTCCGAGTGCCACCATAGACAAGTACGCAGATGTCTCTGATTGAAACAACGAGCGCGCCACAAGGAAGAGAATGAGAGAATGAGAGAATGCTGTGGTATCCCCTCGAGTCTCCAGGCCGGGGGCTCTCCACTCACCGTCGCACCCGCAAGTTCCAAGGTTTGGTTTGAGTGGGGGGGGGGGGACATTGCACGGTTGAATCGAGTTCGAATCCGCCACCAAACCATACAAGTAGACTGCCGTTCCCTTCCCCAGGCTCATCTACCCAACATCGCGTTGGCGCACAATATTGCCGTCTTTAGTGGTAATACAATGCCTGTATGTAAGATTAGAATGTTTTAAGCCACTCATCTTGTCTATTCCTGACCCAACTCGGTCTCTGTCTGTTGTCCCCCGGTAGCAGGCATGGAGGCGATCAGACACTGGATCTTTCATGCATAGTGGTGGGCTCAGAACTGGTGGCCCCGGTCTAGCCATGCAGTAGCACCGTTTCTCTGCTGCAAGGCACTGAACATTGCCCCTTCCCTCTGCGCCTGTAGCGCAATTCCTTTGCACTACCACGGAGCCCCTTTCCGAACCTTGAAAGTCAGCGTTGTCTGAGCAATGGTTAAAGGGCCCAGTGTGTCGCGTGTAAATGACCTACTGCACACTGGCATTTGCAGCTGGGCATATCTCAGCAATTGAGAGTACTTGTGTAGTTGAGCAATGTCTCTGAGATGTCGTAGGACTTGATGGTTGTGTTCCCGCTCGTGAGCTTCCTAGTCACGTCCTAAGTGCATCTCCAGATCCTTGCAGTTCATCTTCACTCTTCACTTGCGCTCTCATAGGATATTCATGCTGGGAGTCTACTTTGTATTCTCATTGAAAGGGGTTTGGAGAATCCGCCGCTTGCCCAGCTGTTTGCTGGACGAATACATCATCCTCAAAAGTCCAGGACGTTCTCCCAGGGTACTCCCATGTGCCCTATTAATCACCAGGTAAGGGTTAGGGTCTGCGCCCGTTATGACACGTTCACTGCCTTAATACATGGCTTTCGTCGTCCAGCAATTCAGATCCATCGACGTAGCCTATCGTCGACCAAGTATTCGGCAACAGGCACTGGTGACAGGAGAAGATTTTGGGGCCCGACGTGGGCGGGTTCAATCAAGGCAGTTCGCTAGACCACGTGAGATGAAATACAGCCAAGGGCTTCAACCAAGTTCCACGGTCGCCTCATCCTCCCTTGGGCACCTCGAAGGATGAGTCCTGATCCGGTCGATGGCCAATCATTGCTGGTCGCCGTGTAAGAGGGTTCCAGCCCTCGCCGTTGATTGGCTGGTCTGTCCGAAAAGGGCAAGTACAAGCCTCACTTTCCCCGCCTCTCGTGACCCCTTCTCGTGAGGTTTCTGCCCGTGAACAGCATCAATTTACCAGGTCTTCATCGCTCAAACACCTTGTGTCATCCAAATAAATACGTGAATCAGCAGTGTTCATTATTTCAGCGCCAAGGATGTCCGAGATCGCAGTTCAGCAGACCGTGTACCTCATCACCGGGGCCAACAAGGGTAAATACGCCGGGCAACAGTCCTGCCTCTCTCCCACCATGCGGGGGTGTTCTACTTGGTTCCAAGAGATGTTCAAACTTTACTTAACATCATTTGAACAGCTTTGACTGACGTTGACATATTTCCAGGCATCGGGAGAGCCATTGTCGAGATCCTCCTCCAGCGGCCGGATACCATCGTGGTAGCCGGAGTCCGTTTTCCCAACGATCCCACCTGCACGAGTCTGCGAGAGCTACACACAGGGAAAGGAAGCAAGGCATTCGTGGTCGAATTGAGAGAGGACAAGCACTACAAGGCGCTCGGCGAGACGCTCAAGTCTCAGGGCATCGATCATCTCGATGTCGTCATCGCCAATGCTGGCACGTCGAAGGGCTTCTATACGGTCGTTGAGACACCCCTTGAAAATGTCATCTCCGACTTCGAGGTCAACACTATCGGCACCATGAAGCTCTTCCAGACGTGCTGGCCCTTGTACCGCCCGAAACACGCCCAGGGCGGCAAGCCTCGCAAGTGGATAGTCGTCACCAGCTCGCTTGGCAGCATCGGCTGCCTGGACATGGAAAGCATGCCATGTGCTTCCTACGGCTTGAGCAAGGCTGCCGTGAACTTCATGACCAAGAAGATCGCGGTCGAGATGAAGGACGAGAATCTTGCGGCCATGTGCATCCATCCCGGGTGAGTTGTCATCCAGAACCCAGCAGGGCTTTCTGTATTAAGCTGTATCTGTGCAACCTCTTCTGGAAGTAGACTAATCGCAGCTAAACAGCTGGGTCAACACCGAGATGGGCCGCAAATTGGCACAGTCATTGGGTGCTCCCGATCCCGCGTTGACTCCAGAAGACAGTGCCAGAGGATGCCTGGACTATATTGACAACCTCACTATCGAGACGACTGGCAAATTTCTTTACTACGATGGGAGAGAACTCCCATGGTAGAACAGCCGTCGACTAGAGTAGAAGATAACACCCTTTTCTTCAATCGCGATGGACATTTGGCTGGGGATTTTTGCAGTCAATTATTCAACATAGTTGCTGCAGGGGCTGATCTAGTAGAGTCAACACGTTTTGGGCTCAAGAATACCTTGTTACTTACTTTCATATCCGTTGTCTAATTTTTCCATAAGCAAGAGAAGTAAACAGCAACGACTACTATTGAACTATTCTTCATCGTAGAATATTGCCTCGGTCTTGGTATCACGTTGCTTGGCGTATTCAGAGAAATGTCATCGAGTTTACTTTTCTATTGCGCACCGATTCTACCGCTGGAATTAACTATATCTATTCATCCCATGGCGAGCCACAGATACCACAGATTCCTACTTGCTTCCGACTTGCTGGAGGAAGCTCGGCGCTTGGTACGGCTCAAATGTGCAGATACAAATATTCCACGAAACTTTTGTAAATCCCCTCTCTGACCGCTTCATTCCCAGATATTCGTTGTAGCTAATTTCTGGCAAGCTGGTGGTACAATAAATGATGATAATGTCGTCTCCCCGACCATTGCGAAGAGCCCAATGCCGGACCTCGGCGGCTGCGGACGGCTGTCGGTGGACCTGATGGAGGGAACAGCTATTGCCCACCCACACCGCCTTTGAGCAAACCCACTCCAAGTGCAAAACAGATCCTACAAGCCAATAGAACCGATCCAAGATGGCACAGGTGGGAACTTTGGCTTCACTAGCATATTCCCAAGGTCATCTGGAGTGCCGGACTCGAATGGTACGGGTAATCCTCGGCCACTGTAGTGGCTTGGAAGAGGGATCTAGCAGACCTTTCTCCATCCATTCCAGCGCTGCCGTGTGATGCTATCCCACAGTATCTCCACGCTTAGCTCATAGCCCAGCAACCTAATGGGGCGCAACACGAGTCCCGAAGTTTTCCCGTGCGGAGTGTCGGTCGGAGTCTGCCGTGCGTCTCACACCGTCGAGGTGTTTATAATGGGATGGAAACCCGGCGGGGGCCGGTCGAGCTCCTGACGAACTCTGACTTTGTATCCTCAAAAACCTGACGAAAATGGCTGGCAAAGTTGATATTGAAGGGATCTTGAAGACCCTCACCCTCGAGGAGAAGGTAAGCTCGCTCCACACAGACATGTCGCGAACCTAATTATCAAATGGCAAACAATGACTGAGGCGCTGTCCAGATCTCCATCCTCGCGGGGAGGAACATGTGGGAGACTGTCCCTATTCCATCAAAGGGCGTCCCCTCAGTCAAGGTATGTTAGGATTGTTCACGAGTATCCCCGCTGCACAGCGCAGAGCTTGGCCGAATGCTAAAATCGCAAAGGTCTCTGACGGCCCCAACGGCGCTCGTGGTGCCGACTTCACCGGTGGCAAGTCGTCCGCCTGCTTCCCGGCCGCCTGCAGCGTGGCCGCCGCCTTCGACGAGGACATCGCGCACCGCATCGGCCAGGCCCTCGCCGAGGAGACGCACAGCAAGGGCGCCCGCTGCCTGCTGGGCCCCACCACCTGCATGCACCGCGACCCCCGCGGCGGCCGCAACTTTGAGAGCTTCAGCGAGGACCCCTTGCTGGCCGGCAAGCTCGCCGCCAGCGTCATCCGCGGCCTGCAGTCGCGCGGCGTCTCCGGCACCATCAAGCACTTTGCGGCCAACGAGCAGGAGACGGACCGCATGACCGTCCGCGAGACCATTCCCGAGCGCGCCCTCCGCGAGATCTATCTCCGCCCCTTCGAGATCGCGATCAAGGAGTCCAAGCCCTGGGCTGTCATGACGGCATACAACGTCGTCAATGGCTTCCACTGCGACGAGAGCAAGTTCCTGCTCGAGCAGGTCCTCCGGGGCGAGTGGGGCTGGGACGGTCTGGTGATGAGCGACTGGGGAGGCACCAACTCGGTCGACGGCTCGATCAATGCCGGTCTCGACCTTGAGATGCCCGGCCCTGCTCGTGTCCGCAAGATTGACGCTGTTGTAGCTGACGTCAAAGCTGGAAAGATTCAGGAGAGCACAATTGACGAGCGGGCGCGTCGTGTCTTGCAGTTCATCGAGAGGCTCAAGGCCTTCGAGGACGACACCATTCCCGAGGAGCAGGCGATCGATAAGCCTGAGCACCGGGCTCTCATCCGGGAAGCTGGCGGTCGCGGTATCGTCCTGCTCAAGAACGAGAAGAACCTACTCCCTCTCCCCAAGGACAAGCTGAAGGGCAAGAAGGTCGCTCTGATCGGCTACGCAAAGGAGGGCCAGGCCCACGGCGGTGGTAGTGCCGCTGTGAACGCCCACTACAAGAAGTCCCCATGGGACGCCCTGCACGAGTACTACGGCGACTCGGTCGAGTTTACCTATGCCAAGGGAGCCCACACTCTTCGCATGCTCCCCGGTATGAAGGACAATGTTGTCGGTCTCGATGGCAAGCCTGGATGGACCCTGAACTTCTATCCTCAAGGCAGCTCTACCCCGAACGAGGTCAAGCACCAGTTCCCCGCTGCCAGCTCATCACCCATCGGATCTGACGCAAGTAAGAAATGGACTACTATGGAGCTGATTGGAGACTTCACCCCTACCGAGACCGGCGAGCACTACTACGCCGCTTCTGGCCTCGGCCCTACCCAGATTTTCATCAACGACGAGAAGGTGTGGGAGCAGACCAGCCTAATCAGCGACCCTATGGGCTTCCTCTTCATGTCCGTCCACGAGGAGGAGCACAGGTACTCCTTCAAGGCCGGCACCACCTACCGCATCCGCATCCGCAGCGAGCCGCCCGCCAGCGTCCCCGGACTCGAGATCCTCGACGGCCGGACCGGCGTCCGCATGGGCTTCCAGGTCGCTTCCGAGCACGACGAGGAGCTCACCAGCGAGGCCGTCCAGCGCGCCAAGGAGGCCGACTACGCCATCGTCTTCACGGGCCACACGCCCGAGTGGGAGTCCGAAGGCCAGGACCAGCTCTCCTTCAACCTGCCCCGCAACGGCAGCCAGGACGCCCTCATCGCCGCCGTCGCCGCGGCCAACTCCAACACCGTCGTCGTCAACGCCACGGGCGTCGCCGTCGCCATGCCCTGGCTCGACCAGATCGGCGGCCTGCTGCAGACGTGGTACCCGGGCCAGGAGTGCGGCAACGCCATCGTTGACGTGCTCTCCGGCGCCGTCAACCCCGAGGGCCGCCTGCCCTGCTCCTTCCCCAAGAGCATCGAGGACTCGCCCGCGTGGGGCAACTTCCCGGGCGAGAAGGTCGACGGCATCCTCAACGTCACCTACGAGGAGGGCGTCTTCATCGGCTACCGGCACTACGACCGCATCGCCAGGGACAGGCTCAACTTCCCCTTCGGCTACGGCCTGTCGTACACCTCATTCGAGACGTCCGGGCTCAAGGCCGCCAGGAAGTCGGACGACAGCTTTGCGGCCAGCGTCACGGTCAAGAACACGGGCGGCGCCGCCGGCGGCTCGCTCGTGCAGCTGTACGCCGGCCGGGTGGACAAGTCCGAGGACCACCCCGTCAAGTCGCTGGTCGCGTTCAAGAAGGTGCGCCTGCAGCCGGGCGAGTCCGCCACTGTCGAGCTCGCCGTCACGACGCGGGACCTGGGCTTCTTCGACGAGAAGGCCAAGAAGTGGGTCGTCCCGGCGGGCAAGTACGAGCTCATTTCTGCCAACTCGGCTGCCGACGTTGTCGAGACGGTGCAGGTCACTGTCGAGAAGGAGCTGGTATATGCTCCTTAGGGGCTGATATTACAAGAATAATAGCACGATCCATAAAGAATATCATAAAGTGGCACCACGCTTCATTGAATCCCCGAGGCTTTGATAATTTTGTGATAGATTTGAAAATGATCTTCGGAGTTGCTTAGGCCCTTTGATTCAATTGCTTTCATTAAAAGATAGCACAAGTTAGGAAGGTCCAGGAAGTCATCATGAATCCCATGTGTAGATTTCCGCAACTTGACAATGACACTTTTGTCACACCTTCATTTGTTGAGCTGTTGACTTCCTTGGCCGGGCCCTTGCATGTCCTCTGACTGGGTAGTACTATTCCACCATCTCTCCATCAGAAAAGCCTCAACTGTCCCTTGCTATGTCTGTCACCTGGATGTTGGTGTCCAGTGGCTATTCGTCTGATCCTCGCACTGCTCCCGATTACTACCGCTTCACCTACTAAACGACGTACGCACCACGCCCCAGCTGGTGACGATGGATCTGCAACCGTTCAAGGAGATCCTCAACCGACCCCTGTACGGCTTCGTGTGCATCCGCTGCGGCGAGAAGTGCGATACTCGCTGCTTGCGCACCCACCTGCACGATCACAAGTGCCACAACTCGACCTGCCCTGCCCACGCGCCGATCCCCGTCCCGCAACAGCCTCGAGATTTCATCATCGAGATCGACGAGGCTCCTCCCCGGCCTGACCGCTTCCGCTACCCACCCAATCGTAAGTGTCTATCTATTTTTTTTTGTGCGACTAGAGCAAGAGTTTCGAAAACGAGAAAAGCCAACTAATGAGATTTTCATTCGACTCAGGGCGATCCCAAGACTTGGTCGCTTCACCGCATCGGCAGCCTCCGACTACACGGCTGCCGCCACTCCAAGCGCTGATGATGAACCGACAGACGCCGCCTGTCCAACAGGCTAATGTCCCTCAGCAGCCCCAGCCAAGACAGCGACAAGCAGGAGGGCCTCAGCAGTTGCAAAGCTACCAGCAGACCCCCCAACGTCAGCAGTCTGTCCGACAGCAGCAATCGACACAACAGCAGCAGCAGCAGCAGCAGCTCACCAGACAGATTCAGCAGACTACTCAGCAGACCACTCAGCAGCCAGGTCAGCGGCCCTCTCCGCAACCTCCTGCCAGACAAGCCCAGCAGAACCGGACCGAGCAGAGCCCAGCACAGAATCAGCCTTCCGTCCACATTGGCAGCCAGCAGTCACCCGCCGCAAGGCAGCGACAGGCGGGAGGACAGCAGCGCCCCTCGACCGAGCAAGCCCCTCCCACTCTATCCCAGCCGCCCGCGGCGGCCCGCTCGGCCGTCGTCACCCGCTGGTACCCGCCGGCCCACGAGCCGGCCCCCGCCGGCACCGACCCGCGGGCGCAGGTGACCAACCACGAGCTGCACATGCGCTACATGACCGACCTCATGCCCCGGCTCAGCGTCAAGCCCGGCCCGGCCCTCGAGATCCACCTGCGCGGCATCGAGGCGTTCGAGGTGCGCCGCGACGCGCTGCCGGGCCCCATCGAGGTCATCTACGGGTCGACGCGCGTCAGCATCTACCTGTCCGACGTCGAGGGCGCGGTGCCGGCCGGCAGCTGGGAGCAGTGGCAGCGGCAGCGGCAGCGTGAGCAGCAGCGTGTCCATGCCCCTCTGATCACCACCGGGTCGCGCCACGCGCACACTTTCAACCGGGGCACGAGGAGCCAGGTCATGGCGGTGACCACGGAGAATGTCGTCACCCGGCCCAATCTGGCGTCGTCGTCGTCTGACGCGGCGCCGGTCGATCGGAGGCACCAGGCTTACGTCGAGGATGCTCCAGAGGAGGAGGCGGAGGAGTAAGGTGTCGCGAGGAACAACTGGAAAGGATGTCGATACGTGTATACAGTTTGCGAGGCCTGTGGTTGAATTCGACGGTACTCAAACGGGCTTGACATTTCCTCACTTGTATGAGAGAGGATGGAAATAATAGGACTGGGGGGGATAAATCAAAGGGAAATATGGGAGAGGCCTGTGAATAGCCAAAGGAAACAAGGAAGTCCTCAGCAATCGAAGTTCTACCTCTATCTGCTCTATAGTCTTGATCGAGGAGTAGCCTGCCTTGTCCAACTTCCGAGATAGATAAAGGAAGAAGCATTTCAAGTGTATACTCTATTGTACAGCACCTCAGCTGCGTGCGGGAATTCATACAAATGCCAAGGGCATCGCAGATCATGGGCAGCATGTGCTACCTGCAGTGTGATCTCACGACTTACAAATTAATATACCGGATAGGCGTGAAGGTGGAAGTAGCCGTCACCGTCTCCGTGTACGAGGAGGTCTCGGTAGCAGTCACGGCGGTCATAGCAGCCACCGACGTCAACGAAGTAGTAGATGTCTCCGAGAGAGTGGCGGTGACTGCGTCCACCGTGATGGTGCTGACGGTCACGCCGACGCACGAGCAAGCGCTCGCGTACTTGGCCTCTCCGGAGCAGGCAGAAGCATACGCGGGGATGGTCCGGGTTTCAATCTCGACAGAACGGTAGTAAACGACCTGTGTCGGGCCCGTGACGGTGGTCCAGTCCGTCTCGGTCGAGTCGATGCAGTCGACCGTCGTTTCCGTGGCCGTGGATGTCGCAAGGATGGTGTCCGTGGCTGTCTGCACAGCGGTCACGGTGGTCGAGGGCGTGACAGTGACGTAGAAGTACGCCTTGCAGTCTTCAACGCCATGTCTGTCCGGGAAGGCATTGGCAATGACGGCTAGGGACGATTAGCTGATGAGGCAGCCCGGGAGACTACGGCTGAGGGCACTCACCCCGAAGGCAGTTGTTGTGGTTGCATTTCTTGCCTTCAGGAACTGCCGTCACTCCAAGCAGGGAGGCGAGGGTAAGGGCGGCGATGCTGTTGATACGCATATTGAAAGAAGTACGGAACAGGTCTTGATGTGAACAGTGTCGAAGGGTGTACGTTATCTCTGCCAAGATTTCTGCCAAGAGCAAGAGTGCTAACGATGCTTAAATACCCCGGACTGCGCGACATAAACAGGTCCGAGTCAACAGAACGGTTTTCTTCAGCTCTTGTTTTTTTTTTCGACGGCTTCAGGCCAGTCCAGCTCCTCCAGGTGCCAATAGTTGCATTTTGCGTCTTCAATCCAGGCTTAGTGCGCCCGGCCGACTAGACCCTGAGAACTCATTAGGGATCGCCCGTAACGCCACTTCGATAGTGCTGATGGGCGGAACCGACTAACCTTCATCCGATGTTATTCTCCGTGCGGGTAAATCAATACTGGCTCGCCCTGAGGCCTTGAGGCGTAATGACCCTTGTCCGGAGCCCTATCGTGTGTTGCTAGACTTGAGGCTCCGTCCAGTCGGACCGGTCTGGAAGCCCATTTCGAACCCTCGGCCGAAAATGTGGCGAGAGCCGCAGGTGTCAGAGGCTTGTTCTTTTAGCGCGCCTCCGTGTCGGTGATCACTCCTTGAACTCCCGAGGTCAATATATATAATAGCGCTGCCTCATTTGACCACATACGTCTTTGACTGCTGGACCCTCTCGCCTTCCCTCTTCCGAGCAGATGAACATACCACTTGAGGTACGATGCCATCATGAATGCGGGCTCGAGATGGACTTTGAGAGAAGTCACGACGCGAGTGACAGTGAATCCGAAACCTATAAACCATCCTCTTCCTCGAACTACCTACTCACGAGTCCAACCGGCCACACAACTCGACGCCGCAAAGAGCGCTGCCCAGGCTGCCAGACCACTAGTTTTCATGTGGTCGTGACTACATGTGCCTGGCAGCACAGGAGAGCTATCACGGCTGAGACAAGGGTCAAATCAAAGATGTGTAAAAGGTTCAAGTTTCAATTCCAGAGAGCCATCGCAGAGACATTGCGCTTCAAGTGCGCGACTGCAGAATTAGCTAAGCAGCCCGTCCGCAAGCCGGGATTGCACGCAAACACTATAGAACTGGGGGTATATCGCCTCCCGATGTGCTAACACACATTATTACACCCACGCACCCTCCCCCCTTCCCCCTTTCCCCCTTTTTCTTTTTGACATCTCGTTTGTGAACACCCTTTTAATGCGTAGCGACCTCGCGGATGCTGCCGCGGTGGATCTTGGCGAGCCACGTGCGGGCCATGAAGGCGCGGATCCGCTTGCCCCAGACCATGAAGACGATGAGGGCGAGGTTGTTGGCGAGCAGCAGGCCGCAGAAGACGCCGGCGATCATGACGACGTAGCCGTGCTGCAGGATCCACTCGAGCAGGTTGACGCCCATGCCGAAGCTGATGGCCTGCTTGCCGAGGTTCATGGCGATGAGCATCTCGCTGATGTTGGAGTTGTAGCTGTCGATGGCGTAGGCGAGCGCAAAGGTGAAGTAGAAGTAGGAGGCGAACTGGGTCATGGCGACGGCGATAAAGTACGAGATCCAGTGCAGGTTGCGCTCGGCGGCGAAGCCGTAGAGGATCAGGCCCGCGGGGGCGATGAGCATGGCGGGCAGCATGACGCCGAGGCGCATCTCGGCCTCGCGCAGCCCGTCGTTCTTGCGGGTCAGGCGGGCGGCGAGGCGGTCGGACGAGGTGGTGAAGGGGATGGCGAGGCCGTACCCGATGATGGTGGAGATGGTGACGAGGCCGGAGCTGGTCTGGGACCAGTTGTAGGGCGGGGCGGTGATCTTGAGCGGGAAGGTGAAGTTGAAGGTCAGGGCGCCGAGGCCGATGTAGATGCCTGGTCGTGCCGCGTCGCGTCAGTGATTTATTACTCTGATGATGAAATGCCTATGTGTAGCGCCAAAGGTTTTTTGGACTTACCGTAGGTGGTGACGACCCAGAAGACGTGAGGCACGAGGAAGTAGGTGAACGAGCGGGCCATCATGAGGAAGAAGGGCGAGTCCTTCTCCCACACGCCCCAGAACTTCAGCTGCTGGATGAAGGTCTTGCGGGGAGGGATGACGGCGGTGCGCTCGGCGGCTACAACGCCGTCCTTCTCGCCGGTGATTGATGCGTCGGACGCCATGTCCTGAGGGGTGTGGCGGTGGTAGGTGGTCTCCTCGACGACGAAGAAGGAGTAGATGAGCAGGCCCATGGCAAAGGCAAACTCGACGTAGAAGAAGAGGCGCCACGAGTAGCCACCTGCCAGCATGTATCCGGCGTAGAGGGGGCCCGTCGCGCCGAAGCAAAGGCAGACTGGGCAAAAGGAAGTCAGTACCGTCATCTGTGGTCTCCATTACCGATTTACGGACGTACCAGTATAGATACCGAGCCTGGTACCGCGCTCGTGGAGGTAAAAGATATCGTTGACAAGCTGCACTGGCAAGGCCTCGCACACGCCGGAGCCAAAGCCGTGCACCACGCGGGCGACCATCAAGCCGGCGAAAGAGGTTGCCTGAGAGGCTCCGATCAAGCCAGCGCAGTACTGCAAGGCAGGTCAGTGGCTGTCATGTCGCGACACGAGTATAACAGTAGCATCTCACCAGGATCATGGAAGCGAGCATAACAGGACGGCGGCCGATCTTGTGGTAGAGCGGAACAAGGAGGAGGGAACCTATCGAGTTGTCAGTCTGCCGCTGCTAAGCAGGCTCGAGATCTAGTCGATGTACTGACCAAAGCCAAAGGCAAGGTTGGGGTAGTTGATCAGCCCGCTGGCCTCGTTGGGCGTGATGCCAAACTCCTGCGAGTAGATGCCAATGTAGACCGAAGGGCCGAGCAGGGCCGAGTTACCGAGGAAGGAGTACAGCGAGCAGGCGATCAGGATGGCGAGCTTCTTGTACTTGGGCCACTGCAGAGGGTCGTTGGGGTCCTCGGCGGGCACGGGGAAGAGGGCCTGGCCGTAGGCGGTATCATCGCCCTCTTTTTATCAGAGATGACATGTCAGCATACATGGATCCCTGCATGATTTCACGGCGCAACGCTCTCGAGATCAATCAACTTACCGGCAGCCTTGAGATAGACGGTGCCGGGAACGTCGCCTTCGTGGGCGTGACTGTGGGCCAGATGAGGGGGCGCCACGGGCCCCTCGTGGTGATGAACGTGAGCCATCGCGAGAGCCTTCACACAGAGAGCGAGCTTCTCCTATGATATGTCGCGCTTGGTATGTCGAGTCACTCCGGGAGAATGGACAACAGAGTTACACTCCAGTGTGTTTGCTGTCAAAGCCGGCGGCAGAGCTAAGGGAGCAAGAGGAAGCAGATTGAGGAGAGAAAAAAAGTTAAATAATGCGAAGAAGGCGAAGATGGAACCCCTTTGATTCGGAATGCCAGGGTATTTAGATGCCAGGGTCGGGTTCATGACTGCTACGACGCTATCCCTGCTCGGCATCGAGCTTAACGTGTTCCAGAAAGGCTGCAAAACGCCTGGCTGTTCTGATCGGCCGGCGATTGATTCGGGCCCCCTCGTTTCTGGGCGCCCTGGGGGCGATCCCCAATTCATCCTGGCCGCCTCTGGCTGAATCGCTTCCCGGCACCTTGCGTGGATTAGCTTGTCTCTGTCCTCGAGTTGGCGCCACCCTAACCCCCCAGTATCCCCCCCATGATTTATTTGAATTGCGGGGTTGCAGTGCCCCATCCATCCCCATCCAGGCCATCCAGGGAGCGGAGAGATACGGAGAGATACGCAGATAGGTAAAACATGAAGCGCATGTACCTCCTAACCTTGGCAATCTGCTCGTAAAAAAATGACTTGGAATGCCAGAGTTTAAACAAGCACGCCCCCTTCGTCCAACGGCGCTTCATCCCTTGTGCGCTGCACAGTGATATCTCGAGGCCCGGGGGTAACTAGAAGGGAAGAGCTTGCTGGCCCAGTGCCGAAGAGCACTGCTGTACGGGACGCAGACTACAGGCTGCATTTCGTGCAGGGTACTCCGTACATGTAGGGACGCATGCTGACCTCCAAGAGTGTCAGTCGATTTCTAGTCTTGGAGCTCTGCTTGGTCAAAGCCTGATACCTAGATGTGGCCTCGAAGGGCCCGGCAGTTGTCAAAAGTTGGAGTCGTTGCCAAGTGCGGAGAAGGCACCACAATCTGGAGGCTAGTTCTGAGATCCCCAGGAATAGTGCGGCAAGTGAGCATCCAATGGTGCCGAAAACGTCTCCATCGCGCGCTGCTTTCGTCTGTCGTCGACCGCCTCGGGGGTCACAAATGGAGGCGGGCGTCCCCTCATTCCCCGTCACCTGGTTTCGCGATCGTTGCGTTCCGTCAGAGCCTCCTCCTTGCTCCTTGGGACAACACACAGACGCTTGGGAGCCGGGGTACTCGGCTCTTGGCCTGCATGATTCTCGCGACCGTGAGAGGCTAGACCCGGGGCGCTGGGGCTGCTACTTCGCTCGACAAGGAGACCAAAATGGCGCGCGCTCCCAGAGGCGTGGAAGGGGGGGGGTTGGCCGGGACCATGACCCGACCCTCGGCCTGCCACGATCTGGGGGAGGAGGAGGGCCACCAAAGCGCGCTGCGGCCATGTGGCCATTGCCACGCCACCCCCCGGCTGCGCAACCATTTCGGCCTCCAGAAATATGCCCTAGAGTTTAATTCCTCGAGGCGCCAAGATTCCCGTCGTGTTCGCCTGGGCACCTCTCTTCAGCTTCAGCAAAGCGCCATCGCGGCCAATATTCTCTAGGCGTTCTCCAAGGAAAGCAAGGATTCTCGTGAGTCGAGGCTCGTCGATGGCGACCGAGACGAGACGACAAGACTCCTGCAAAACCCACGTGTTTGCTTCCGTACATTCCGAGATGGACGGCAGATGAAGGAAACGCAGCGCTGAGGCGAGGGAAGAAGATGCCGAGTTTTGGCCTGAGAATGTCGTGTTATCGCCGACTGCTAGATAAGCTCGAAGTGGGCAGTCCAAAGAGACAAGAAAAAGACGAATGGTAAAACGATGTCAGACTTGTGACGAGCCACGCATAGCTTCCAGCATCTCCCGTCCAGAACGCACGACGCCGCCCTCTATGCCTCTGTTAATTCCAGTCACCACCCAAGGTATCTGTGCTACAGCAGCTGGTGAGGATAACTAGGGCGGGAGCGAGTGGCACAGCTGGCAAGCGAATGCAAGGTCACTCAGGGGCTTGAAGGCTCAAGGGGAAAGGCAAAAGGGGAGAAGGGTTTGCTGCACACTGCGCGCTCCTTCATTCGTCGACTCCGTACCTAGGAAGCATTCGAGACAAGTAGTAGTGCGTAGTGCACTTTGCCTCTCCCCTCGCCCGCCCATCGTGTAGGTGATGAAGGCAAGTCTTTGAGCCCCCAAAGCCCCAGTCGCAAAGCACCAATCCAATGCTTCTCCACTGTAAGCGCGCCGGTGCACGTGCTGTCTTGTCCACCGTCCATGGATTCCAACAGTCACCCTAGCACGCCCGCTCCCCTCTGGCTCTTCAAATGCAAACAGGAGTACTCCGTATTCTCTAACCCCATTCTCTTGCCCCGAGATCTTTTAGATCCGTTCGGCATGGGGCTGAGAGAGATGGGGCCACCCACTCGACGAGTTTGCAACGTGACACAAAGCATGCTCCGTCAAGTAGTCAGTGAAAGGCAAGGGAATGACTTCAAGCCGCAGAGAAGAAGAAGAAAGAGGAGCAGGGTGAGACGAGCCTTTTTTTTTATCAAGACGTTCCAATCTCCTCGCCAATATTCATCGATCGTCCTCTGCGTCTCGTCCTCTGCCTCTCGTCTTCCGCAGTACGAATAAGCTTAATATATGATCTCCGGGCGTATATATAACACACCTCATGCAAGCAAGAATTACAAGCATAGACCAAGGATGGAACCTTTTGAACCTGCTCAATGACATCAAGCTGTCTCAATGCTAAAGGGTGGTACTTGGAGAATAGGGCCAATTCTGCTAGCAAGACGGCTGCTTCAAACGATATTCATGATATACCAATGAGGTGAGATCAGTTACGATATCTCGATGTAGTGATGTCCGAGACCATATCGACTGGGCGTAGTTTCCAAGTCTCAAGGTGGGAGGAAGAAAAGCTTTGTAGAAAACCTAGCAAGCATTGGACAGTGATGACATTCGTTCGCCCCATCCCGACTGGAGTCTAAAGGACATCTGCCGGGCATAAAAACTTGTTCTTGAGCGTCATCCTGGTCCACAGTAGATGGGGCAGCTCCAGGCAACACCCAATTCCCCTGCCTTGAAGATCGGATGTGGCCGCATTGGCCAGTCAAGGCCGGTGTTCTGCTGTTCAGATAGCCCCCGGTCGTAGGACGGATTTAATTCTGTGTCTGCATGGTTGTTCGACAGCCTTCTTCGCCAACGTTGTAGACTAATTAGACATCAAGCCGGCGATCTTCAAACTACCTACTCTACATATGTACATTCTTAACAGGCAGCAGAATTAACTGAATTAACCCATAAAAACCGTCCGCTTCTCCTTGGCAAAGAGGAACCCGGGCCATGATCATCGCAACGAGGACACTGATCGTAATAAATCGGTTTCCATCAGGGGGCCTATTTGTGGGGAAATAGTGCAACCTCAAACCTCTGTCTGACCACAAATGCTGAAGAAGATGCATAAGATTGGCAGGAAGAATGCATCCACGATTTTCAATCGAATCACATTGCTAGGCTCTCAGCCCAACCTTTCCAGGTTGCGAGCTGTGCCGCCATTGGTACTAAGCGGGTCAACGAGCCTGAATAGGTCATCAGTGTGGTCCGTTAGGGGGAAGCTCTCGGGGATATCACTTGCCCTTTGGGACTACCAAGATATTCCCAGATATTCCCATGTCCAACCGTATGGTCCTTTTTAGTATTCTTGATTCTCACACTGGCGTTTGAGAGTGAGCCTTGGGGATGATGCTTTCTCAAATTTTGCATATGAGCACCCCGGATCGTTCTGCCGTCGTCCCAATCTTATACATCTCTATTGCGCTCCTGGTAGGCTGGTGTCGGCCAGCCCCCGCTGAAGGCCCTCAGGAGGTTCTCACGGAACTCTGTTGTTGGTCATGGCTCTTGTTGTGGTTCGAAGTCATCCCTTGGACGGGAATCCAATGGACTTTGACAAAGGTCGGTCCCGCCGATGACAACAGGCTGGGGCTGTGCCTCGTCTCCCTCGGCCTAGTCTTTACTGCTGTTGGGAGATCACTCGACGACTGCAGATGGATACAGGTAAGTTGTATCTTCACGCCTTGCCTTCCAGTTCTTTCCTTCCCTTTATCGAGCTGGACAACTTACCAGACCGTGTGTCTCAAAGCCAGCCATCGTACCCGCCATGGCGGCCTTTCGCCAAGCAGGATGGAAGTCGGTATTATCTCAGTCCATGCTCTCGTCTATCTCCATGTATCTCCTGAGGCCGCCATTCGAACGCTTCAACTCGACGACCATCGCCATCGTTGGTGGTGCAGCAACGATATGCTTCCTCGCCCTCGACACGGCGTATGTCTCTTTGATCGAGCTGTTTGAGAAGCCGGACTTGTTGGCTCGAAAGCGAACAGTGTATACCAGACCCATAGCCATTATCTGTGCTATCACCATGCCTCTTCTGGCTGTTGCGTACTGGGCCTGGATTTGCCTCGACAATACCCCTCATAGATTCGTCGATTCCCTCACAACAGGAGCGCTTGTTGCGACTCAATGGATATTACTCTTTCAAGCTGTGAGCTAAGACCATTCCTACCTACCCTTGTCAGGACTCGGAGAAGATTGACATCTGTGAAGGCACGGTATGAGAGCTGGGATATTGCTGGCCCTGTTGGCGCGTTCTCTGCGGCAGCGCCAACTCAGGAGCAGACCATCCGCTCTGTTGCCACCGCTGTGAAGCACCTTGTTGCCGCTGGTATCGCATTAATGCAAGCTGTTCGTGTCTTACCGGATGCGCGCTACAAAAACTTCCTATGGGCACTCATCCTCGTGCCCCTCATATCAAGCGCAGGACAGATCGGATGGGATGGCTCGCGACTCGCTGATGATTCGGGATGGCTTTCAGGACTACCTACCTACTATGGCCGACACCCCATCCAAGACCTTGTTGAACGATCGAAAGCCACCTTTCAGACCAAGTTGGAACAACAATCTCAAACGCTTGATCAGGCAGTGACCGAGTACCGACGGCGATATCACATGGAGCCACCGCCCGGCTTTGATGACTGGTTCAAGTTCGCAAAGGAGAAGAAGTCGCTGATCATCGACAATTACGACACTATTTTCGACTCGGTCGCGCCGTTCCTGAACCTCAAACCTCAATCTATAAGGAGTTTCATGGAGGAGGCGGTAGCGGCAGGGCACATAGCTCGATGTGGCTTCCGCGGAGGCAAGCTGGAAGGCGACTGCGGGCCACGAGGGGAGACAATACAAAACATGACCGCCCCGTACCGACACAAGCTCCCCGACATGAGCCTGCTGGTCAACTCGAGAGACGAACCGACGGTTCTCTTACCGTCGACACGCGCGGCAAGCGATCCCATGTGGCAGGATCTTTCCGGCACACATGCGACGAACAAGGTCGCCGAGCCTTGCGGCTCTGCATGGCTGCAGAGAAGCCGGTCGACATTCGACAACCAGAGCCTGGCTCCACTTCCCCTGAGCCTCCCCTTCGTACAAGACGCCCGCGACTCGACCGATTTCTGCGCACATCCCGAGTACGCAGACATGCACGGGATGATCTTGGCGCCCCTGACCCTCAACGCGGCCACCAAGCCGGCGCCGATCCTGTCGCAGGGCAAGCTGTCGACCTTCTCCGACGTGCTGATGCCGAGCCAGATCTACCTGCAGGGCTACGAGAACCTGAACGACTACGGGTACGCGGACGAGGAGGACCCGCCGTGGGAGGAGAAGCAGCCCAAGCTCTACTGGATCGGGTCCAACAACGGCGGCGCGCAGGTGGACGGCAGCTGGAGGCGGATGCACCGGCAGCGCTTCGTGGCGCTGGCCGGCGGCGGCGCCGACGACGCCGACGACGCCGCGCGCACGGCGACGTACCTCGCCGAGACGGCGCCGGGCGAGTGGACCCCGCGGCGGCAGCGCAGCCTGCTCCCCGCGGCGGCGGACGTGCACTTCCACGCGTTCCGGCTCTGCGCGTGGCGCGAGTGCAAGGCCATGATGCGGCGGTTCCGGGCGGCGGGGCGGCGGCCCCGGGCGGCGCAGTACGCGCACCGGTTCCTCATGGACATGGACGGGCTGGGCTACTCGGGCCGGTTCTACGCGCACCTGCGGTCGCGCAGCGCGAGCTTCAAGATGACCGTCGTGCGCGAGTGGCACGACGACCGCCTGTCCCCCTGGGTGCACTACGTGCCCGTCAGCCTGTCCATGGCCGAGCTGCCGGAGACCGTGCGCTTCCTGCAGACCGACGCGGGCGCCCAGCTGGCGAGGGAGATCGCCGACCGGGGCCGGGAGTGGTGGGCCGTGGCGCTGAGGCCCGAGGACTTCCAGGTGTATTTCTACCGGCTGCTGCTGGAGCTGGCGAGGGTTGTGGACGAGACGCGGGCCGTGGTTTGATCTGTAGTTCTCGTGGTTTTTTTTTTGAGCAGCCTAATGAACCCTCGCCGGCTCTGATTCGCGACCGACAAAGACGCAAAACGCTTATCACGGATCTGACCTCCCTCAACCGCCAATCCCGGCCGCCTCATTGGGCCTTTGCAAATAGGTGATCTCTGGTGTGCCGTGTTGTGCGCTGCAGGGCGTCGTGCCCGTGCATTGGGCGAGGCCGATTCACCTCCGAAACGGGCCACAAGACCGGGTCCTGTCAGGCCTGTCAGGCCTTGTCCCACCACCCCCAGCCCGCCCGCCATACTCGTTCGGGCAGTTGGCGAACGCCCTGCAGCAGCCCTGAAGCGGACCGGAGGCGTGTAATCTCCACTCATCGGAGCCCGTTAGTGGCGGTTTACTCTGCTAAATACGGGCTGCTCCAGTGTAGAACTATCGGGCGTGTAAAAGTTTGGTGCTGATGACTCAGCTCGCCTGCAGCTCTCTTTTTCCTTCTTTCTCGGTCTGGGATTTGCACGGCTTTGCGTTGGCAGTGAGCGACCGGAGAACGGTGAGGACGATTTTCTTTCTTCTTTGCGGCACGACAAACTCTTCAATTGCGCGGCTTCTCTCTGCGCAGACAAACCCGCCCTCCCCCCGTAGATCGTGCGCTCGAGCATGTCTTCCGACGAGCGCACGCCGCTCCTGCAGCAAAATGGCCACACCAATGGCACCGTCGCCGAGGCCAAGAAGCCGTCCAGGCTGTCCTCGCTGCGGCATCCGGCCAACCGCGTGCTCCTGGCCGGCTTCCTGATCACGCTGTCCTTCAGCTACACGCAGGTGCCCCTGCTCTACGTGTTCCGGGAAATGGAGTGCGACGTCTTCTACACCAAGAACCCGCCCTTCGCGGGCCCCGGCGACCGGTGCGACCGCAACGAGATCGCGGCCGGGACGGCGCAGCAAGTCAGCATCTTGAGCATGACGACTACGTTTGCAGGTAGGTGCACAATTCTCTCTTGAGCCCCTCCCTGCCTGATATACAGGGAGACAGCCTCGTTAAAACGCCCGGGGACAGGCACGTGGAACCTGTTCATCTCGGGCCAGCAGGTCAAGCGATGGGGGCCCCGCGCCGCGCTACTGTTGCAGACCATCATCCCGGCCTTCCGGGTCCTCACGCAGATCTTCGGCGTGCTTGCCGGGGGCCAAGCCGGCATCTGGATCATCCAGACCACCCAGGTCATCACCATCCTGGGCGGCCCTGCTGGATACATGTGAGCATTCCCCGGGCCCTTGTTCTTTGCCGGAATAGACTCGCTGATGCAACCACACTTCTCCAGTCTGGTTATCAACACCATTGCCGGAGAGCTCGTGCACCCGTCGGAAAGGACTGCCATTTTCGGTAAGCTGCAGGGCAGTCTCATGCTAGGGCAGGCGATAGGGTTCTTGGGTAAGCACCATAACAATGACATGTTCACACGAGTGACGAGTCGGCCAAGGAATGAGAACGCTGACCGCAGGTCCAGTGGGCGGTATGATCGGTGACAAGTTTGGCGTTATAAGCCCATTCCAGGTTGCCTTCTGCTCGTTTCTTGTCTCGAGTCTGTTTGCACGCCTCACAATTCCCTACATCTCGGCAGAGACACTATCGGATCCCAAAAGAAGCGCCAAGGGTCTTGCCGGTTTCTTCGCACCGCTCAAGGTTCTCTGGCCTCAGAATCTTCGCCTCGCAAGCGGACGCCCTGCGAAGCACTACGGCATTCTGTTTCTGTGCTGCGGTGTGTTTCTCGGAGTGGTAAGCTCGGGGCTTGTTTGGATAACCCTCGCACGATCTCCTGTCTGACCTGATCTGCAGCTCGCGACCGGCTATGCCCCGACTCTGATGCAGATGTACGCAACGACTGTGTTCCACTTCGACCAGTCAGACAACGGCTGGCTCATGTCCGGCAACGCGCTGATGCGGGCCTTCTTCCTCATTGTCCTCTTCCCGAGAATCATCTCCGTCGGGCGCAAGTGGTACTCGAACCGATACGAGACTGAAACTAAGAACGACGAGCCGCTGCCAACGGAACCCCAGGACTTTGACGCGCCGACTGGTACCCAAGGAGCGCGTGAGCCCGTGGTCCCGGAGGCGACTTATGACAGCGCAGCTTACGGCTTCGACCTCTTCTTCTTGAGGTGGAGTCTCTTGGTTGACGGGGTCATGACCGCTTCCGCGGCATTTGCCACTCAGGGGTGGCACGCCTATCTCGGTGAGTTTATCCGTTCACAAGTAGAAGCGTAGAAAGAGACGTTAACGTGTCGATAGTTGCGTTTCTGCTTCCCTTCGGATCGGGTACAGCTCCGGCAGCAAAGGGCGTCATCACCGAGATGTGTCCCAAGTCCCAGCGGACCGACGCTTTGAATGCAATCACGCTGGTCGAGAACATCGCCAGGCTGTCGACCCTCGGCCTATTTGGTTTCATCTTCTCAGCCCTGGCCGAGATTGGCCAAGTACACTTGACATTCTTTGTCAATGGTGTGAGTACACGCTGCTGCATCTTCTCGCGTCGTGCGAGACCAAGCTGACCTTCCTCCAGGCTATTGCGGTGTTGGGCATGCTCGTCCTGCTCCTGTCGCACTTCCCGGCCCGGGGGAGTGCGCTTGTCGAAGAGCGTGCTGAGGAGGAGGAGTCTCAAGTGAGTGGACAAGATGACGAAAGTCAGCAATCTTGAGCTATGAAAGAATGGGGCCGGCGACGAATCTTTTACGAAACGAGTCCAAGAAATACAGATTGACAGACAAATCTTGGAAATGCATTATCACGCGGCGTTTGGGTTATCGAAAAGAAAGGTTATTCTAGTTCTGGTACGGGCTGCTTGAAAACATGATAGAAGCGACGAGTACCATAGCATCTCGGTCTACGGTGATGAGGACTATAATAGGGAGAAAGATAGAGCGCAAGTCAGGATCAAGGAATCAAAGAACATGGTGTCCGCACCAGTGAAGTCGAAAGAATGATTCCTTCTCAATGTCCAGTCACACCACAAACTTCGGAATCAACTTTTCGTATTGACAATTCTCATACAATTTAGCAGAGTCAACCGAAGAGAGTGCGAATGCGCTTATCTAGTATACGGAAGCCTCGTCACTAGTAACACCTATGGCTATAACTATGTCTACCACCGGCCTGACCGCTCGTCACTGTGCGTCTGCGACGACAGCCTTGTTAATCATCTCGACTGCGGCCTGCGAGCGGGGCGTGATGATAGCCTTGAAGTCGAAGGGTGGTGGCCTGCATACACGGTTAGTCTACCTTCATCTGGTACGGACATAGTCAACAAATATCAGTGGCTTACGAGGCCAGGAAAGCACCCCAGTCCATGGGGTCAAGACTGGGTAGGATTGGCTTTCCCTGTTTGTCGACCGGGGCAGCTATGTCGAATGCCCAAACGAAGCTTGATATCACTGAAGTGAGATTCGTTAGCATTTGGCACCCACAAGGTGTGGGTGCACGGTTAACTTACATAGAAACAAGGTTTGTTCAGCAAAATGCAGCCCGAGACACTTGCGACTTCCACTGTGAAATAGGCGGATTAGCATCCGGCTCAGTACGAGATTAGTCATGATTCTCAACTCACAAACCGAACCCGGCATGCGGGAGTGCGTTCAATTGTCCCTTCTCGTCAAGGAACCTCTCGGGTCTGTACTCTCGCGGGTTCGGATACAACTCCCCATCGTTGTGAATGTGATGCGAAAGGGCAAAGACTGTCGCTCCCTTGGGGATGTAGTAGCCCTCATAGAAGTCGTCTCGAACCACCGCGTGAGGGATCGCGATAGGGGCCACAGTGCGCCACCGGAATGCCTCGCGGATCATGGCGGTGATGTAGGGCATCCTGCTGAGATCCTCAAACGCGGGCAAGCGGTCTCTCCCGATAGCCTCATCGACCACCTCCTGAGCCTTGCGCAGAGTGTGAGGGAAGTACATGAAGATGATCATACTAGAAACCTTGAGTTAGAGGACTATAGCTTTGCTAAAGGGCTAGAGATTGGGACTCACAATACAACCGTTGTTGCCGTCAGTGTTTCTGTGCCAGCATCGACCATAGCAGAGGCCAGGGTGGTGCCCTCGCGCTCATGAAGTTGGTGCATCTGAGTGGAGAGCAAAGTCTGCACAAGGGACGGATGTTTGCCAGGATGCTGCTCGCCATGCTGCTTCGTCATATTCCAGAGCTCCCCGTAGAGAGTGTCAACTTCCTCCCGCCACTGCAGTCCCATGCGCTTCCATCCCATACCAGGGAGCCAGGCCGGAAGATGCTTCAGCCAGGGGAAATAGTCTACCCAGAACCGGCCCTGGATTTGCGCTATAAATTGGTGTTCAGTGGCGTGGTTGATGCGAGTGATCAAGGGGTTCTCAAGATCGGAAATAGAGCCGTGCGAGAAAGTCGTATTGAGCATGACATTGACGGTGAAGCACTTGAAGGTGTTGATGAATTGATCTGGATTTCTGGCGAGTCGCTGCAGGAGAAGATGCAGCTCGGGAGCCACGACCGGGTGTGCCCAGTCCTTCAACGCCTTTGCACGAAGATGCTCGGCCACGATCCTTCGATGCTTCTTGTGCGTGTCATGCTCCGACCTGGCGGTTCCCATATACCAACCATTCTGTGTGACGAACTCTTGTGCCACGACCAGTTGCGGCCGGTCACTATAGTTCATCATCCGCTTCTGCAGCAGTCCTTCAGCATGCTTCATCTTGCCCAGAAGGACCACGGGCTTGCCCATGACCCAGTACATGACGATATCGCCTGCTAGAGTTAGACATCAGAATACAACAAGAGCAGATGAAGGGGCTAACCATATTTATTGGCCCAATCGCCGTACGTGATCCACGGCCTTTCATTATTGATATCAAAGAGGCTGCCAACTAGGGGCAGACCTCTGGGGCCAGGAGGGTAGTTGTGTTTCGGCTTGCGCCATGATTTGATGAGCCAAGTGACCAGAAGACCGCCAAAGATGAGGAATATCGGAAAGACAGGTACAGTGGCCAACATCGCGATAATGGAACAGACGAACTCTATCGAGTCGGGCTGCCACAATTGTTTATGTTTTCTGTTCTCTGGGGACAGTCTCTCAACAAATTTGATAATATGATTAACAACACACGTCGCCCCTGGAAGGCGTTCCAGATTATGTATTCAATGTTGGGAAGAGAGCGCGCCTTATCAGCCCCATTTTTTGATTGACGCAGGCGGGAGGACTCTTTGACACTTCCAAGTGCGGGGGACGGATTGTCAAGTCCGTCCGAGCAGCTTTGCATTGGGAGCTTGTCTCACTTTGTCGATCTCCAATCTCGTCGGATATGGACCTTGCTTGAAGGAAAGATAACGGCTCGGGGTCGGGAGGGGGTATCGATTCCCGGCACCCGGCATTGCCACTCTTCGGACTGAAAACGGCCTGGCGGCCTGCTCATCACTTCCCCTGTGGACTAGCGGCATGCTGGATCGTTGACGAACCCGCAACCATTACAGCATTTATTAATTATCCTCACATTCGAAGCTGATCTATCTCACATCACAATATTCACAGTTCTATTTCACAATGTCGGGACCAAGATATCCTGCAGTCCTGCCAGAGGACCTGACTCCGGCACAAAAGGTCTTCTACGATGAGATGACAGAGAAGATGAGGAATGGGCTTGGCTCAACGTCCGTCACATTTCCAAGCCCGGTTAGTGAGAGGGTTAGTGCTTACTGTCCGTTCGCAGATTCAAAGTGCGAGGCGATAAGGGCGAGCTCTTGGGCCCTCTCTCCATCATGATGTATACTCCTGAGTATTCATCGCACACGATGCGGCTGAACAAGGAGGTATTGGAACTGCCCAACTTGGAGCCGCCTGTGACGGAGGTCGCCATCATGGCTGTCCAGGGGCACTACACGGGCACCTTCGGAGGGTTTCTGACTTACTCGCACTCGAGGATCATTGCGAGCAAGGGGCTCCTGACAGAGGAGCAGATGAAGAAGATCACGGCGGGCGAGAAACCTGCGGGACTCAGCGAGAAGCAGGAAGTGGCGTTTGACTTGGCAATGCGGCTGGTCAAAGGTGGAAAGCCGCTGGAGCAGGATCTCTGGGAGCGAGCTAACGCGGTCTTGGGAAAGGAGCAAACCGTACAGCTCATCCAGGTTATCGCATACTATAGCCTGCACGGGGTCACGCTGAACGCCGGTATCATCGGCGTCCCGGAAGGGGAGAAGCTCTGGTAATTCATTGCATTATGCTTGGATGGGAATAGACGTTGTCGCTAGCAGTTCATCTTATCTCTTTCGCATGGGTCATGTCTTGGTTCGGAAGCCAGCCTCATGTTGCGGGAAAGACCCAGACGTGATAAACAGAACATTTCCACTGCTTATACTCTTTCCGATCGGAACAGGGAATGAAGCTAGCTCATTCCCGCGAATGTATCCGACTGCCATGCATGTCGGATGCGGCAGTGTCGAGATAATGTCAGATATCATCTTGGGAATGCAGGGCTTCCAAGGGCCTCCAACCCCTCATCGTTGTCTATCTGCCCCATAAAATCCCGGGGTTGACAAGACGCTAATGTGAGCTTCATCCCCCTCTTATCTCAATCCAGTGGAGCATCGGTCAACTCAGAAGCGTTGATAGGGGGAGTGTTAGGTTGGATCGGCATGTTCTGAGACGGAAACGGTGACCCGGTGGTGACGAATCCTCAGTCGCTCCCGCTCTCAGGACGAAGGGGCAGTGGAGCTCATGATATAACATCTGCTTGCATCCGTGAACCGGACTGCTGGAAAGTGAGCAGCGAGTGGGACATGGCCATTCGTTCTGAGTGCAACCGATCCGCAACATGTTGAGCTATCAATGGCCATTCAGGGGCAAGAACCTCGTCCGGATCCTCAACTATGCAAACTCTTTTGCCTTTATGCTCTATGGCTGGGATGCTGGTTAGTATAGCCTTCCAGGCCTCGCGTCCAGACTCGAAGACTGACATAGACTTTCTGCAGGTGTGATCAGCGGTGTCCTAGCCAATCCTGACTTCCTCGAGGCCATTGGCGGCCCTACTGACTCAAGATACCTTACCTTCATTGCGGCGGGTATTCTCCTTGGTGATGTCCTGGGTCTCGCCGTCATTGCCCCCCTGAGTTGGCGTCTTGGAAGGCGTAGGACCGTCATCTTGTGCTGCTGGACTGCGATAGTCGGAGTCATTCTCCAGACAGCAACCCATTCACCTATCGAGATTCTTGTGGGAAGAGTTATTCTTGGTATCGCTAATGGACGTAAGTGGACGCATAAAGTCCAGCCCTCCAACCCCAATTTTGATCGTCTTGCTAATCCTGAGTTAGCTCTTGCTGCTACCACTCCCATTTACGTACAAGAGGCCAATGTGATGCACAAGAAGCGGACCGTCGACACGATGGTCATGGTGCTCTGGGGCATTGGTGGCATCGCTGCTGCGGCTTGGTTCAACTACGGGATGCTGAAAGCGCCATCCCCAGACGCTTGGCGCGTGTCGTTGGCCATGCAAGCCTTCTTCCTCGTCGTCGCCTTGATCCTAGTTCATGGCTGCCCGGACTCTCCAAGGTAGGCAATTTCGAGGCTGCCTCGTACGTACATCTTTTGCTAACATATGCTATCAGATGGCTCCTGGCCCGCGGGAGAGAGGCAGAAGCCGATTCTGCGCTTCAACGCCTCATGGACTGTACCGATCAAGACGAAAGGTTTCTCAGTGTGAAGGATAGCCTGGAAACATCTATCCGCCTGGAGCGAGAGGGCACAAAGCGGCTGACCCTCAAGATCCTGTTCACCGGCGATGGCAGCCGGACCAAGAACGTGCGACGAATCTGGTGAGCCGTATCCTCACAGAGTTGTTTTAGTTTGTTACTAATGAGCTCAGGATTGGCATCTTGATCAACATCGCTGGCCCATTCTTCGGTACCTCGCTGATCATGTTCTATGGGCAAGCGTTGCTTCAAGGAGTTGGTCTGAAGGGTGACACGGTCACCTTGGCTCTCGCCGCTATCAACACGGGTGTCCCCATAGGAATGGCGCTCAGCTTTGCGATTCTCCCTCGCTGGGGAAGGCGCCCGATGCTTTGTTGGGGCGGAACGGTATGGCGCATATTCGATCCGAAAGCACCAACACTTGCTAACTTGCGGGTTTCAATAGGCCCTCACCATGCTAATGTGCATCTACACTGGACTGACGAACATCAAGAATCCGTCAACGGGTGTTCAATGGGCCGCTGTCGTCGTCCTTATTATCTTCAACGTGATCAATGGTGCGAGCTGGATCTGGCTTGGTGAGTAGCTTCGCCATATTGCCCTCCGTTAAGCACTAAGCTGACAGTGTGATGCGATAGCTTTCCTCTATGCTGTCGAGATTCTACCGCTTCAGTATCGAAGCCAAGTTCAGTCTGCATCCAACATGGTCTTTTGGTTTGTCGCCTTCCTTGCCGTCTACTTCGGCGGCCAGGCTGCGAGCGATCCAAACATCGGCGCCCTCATCTACATCTGGTTCTGCATTGGGGGCGGTATCATTACAGCCCTGGCTTGGGTATTCGTTGTCGAGAGTGAGTCCTGCGATTTGATTCCATCGAAAAATCTGGGGCACGAAGCTAATATACCTACCTTTCTCTTTAGCCAAGGACCTCACGCTCGAGGAGATCGACTTACTGTGGGCCGATGAGGAGTTCAAAAACTCGCACCAGTCTCACCGCCATCTTCATGCACTCCATGGCTCGGAACCCGATCTCAAGGATGCAGAAGATCTCGAGAAAGCTGGCGATGTCAAGGTAAAAGCCGAGAGTGGGGTATCAAACTGAGTGAGTGACTGGACGTTTGCGACGTTTCATTTTCACCTGATGTCGTTTCACCTGATGTCGAGGATCGACTATCAAATTTGTCATAACCCATCATCATTACTATATAGTCTTGAGTCTAAACCCTATAAGCGCGCTCTACTGCGAGAATGGATTTATATCAATTAAAACACCCACATCCCACATCCCACATCCCCTACTCCTTCTTGTGGTAGTACTCCTCCACCCAGGTCTGGACCTGACGGATGACCTCGTTCTGGACCTTGCGCACGCCGGCGTTGACCTCGCCGTTGGGCCAGCGCAGGTCGCTGCAGTGGATGCCGCCTGGGATCATCAGGACGGGGGCCTCGGGGGTGCCCTCGAAGGGGCCTCCGGGCCGGAAGTCGGACGAGACGGTGGCGTCCTTCCAGGGGTCCCACTCGCCGTTGACCCAGATGAGGCGCTTCGTGTCCGTCTTGAACCAGCCGCCCGTGTACCTGTTGACGTCGCCGACGTCGAGCCCGCGGCCGATGCCGTAGGTGAAGCCGTCCTGCTCGGGGAAGAAGAGGGCGCACTGGCGCTCCCAGTAGGCGTTGTTGATGAGGCGCGACACGAGCGTCGGGTAGCCCTCGGGCGCGCCGTTCTGCCAGAACTTGAATGGCTCGTTGCACAGCATCCAGTTCCACTGCCGGTTGATGGTGTTGCCGAGGCTGAGGTCGGTGAAGAGCGGCGAGCTGGCGTTGTACGTGTCGAAGCAGGCGAGGCTGTTGCGGTCGTCCCAGTAGCCGTAGGCGGCGCAGGCCCCCGGGAGGTACTTCTCCTTGATCCACTTGGCGTAGCCGTTGAGCGCCTTGCAGAGGCCGACGCCCTCGGGGCCGGGGATGGAGGTGGAGTTGAATGCCGGGCCAGTGTTCTGCCAAGGATGTCAGTGCTGCACAAAGCATGGGTCTGAGCGATGCTTGATTGCTTGTATACGAACCTCGACGTAGTTGCAGAACTGGAAGAAGGCGGGGACGCCGCCGGAGCTGAAGTCGTGGCTCTGCCAGTTCCAGGGGCCGTTCTCGAGGACACTGGTGCATCACACGTCAGCACCTTATCTCAATCGGGACCTTGCCTTCAAAGCTTACCCAGCAAAGTCATCATTGTGCACAATGGCCTCCAGGCCAAACTTCTTCTTGATGGCGTGGATGGCGGTCTCGTCGCCAGACTTGAGGATCTTGTCGACGTGCTCAATGACCTTGTTGACGTCGACGCTGCAGTTCTTGGGCATGCCCTGGCGCACGGGGTCAAAGTACTGCCAAAAGTCGCCGACGGCCTCGACGACGGCGCTGCTGGCGTGGTAGGCCCAGAAGGTGCCCGGGTCGACCGACTCGACCCAGCCGGAGAGGGCGCCCGAGTAGCTGCCGCCGGAGAAGACCCAGGGGGCCTTGTCGGCGCTGCTCGAGCCCGTGGGGTCGAAGGGCAGCTTGACGTTGCGGGCAAAGTAGGTCGTGTCCTTGATCGAGTTCTCGAGGGTCAGCCACTGCATGTTCTTGGTGGTCAGCTCGGTGACGGGCGAGCTCTTGCCCCAGTAGCGGTGCTCCATCATGACGACGGCGCCGCCGACGGCCTGCGCGAGCCGGCCGGGGATGGTGTTGGTGGTCAGGTAGTGGCCGTAGTTGTCGGCGGCGATCTCGCCGGGCGTGAAGAAGATGATGGGCGAGCCGGGCCCGGCGTAGAATGTGGCGTTCCACCAGAAGCGCATGCCGAAGGTGCCGAGCGAGGTGTCGTTGTGGTCGGTCAGCTGCTGGAAGATGCCCGCACCCGTCGTGGGGTTGCCTTCGGCGCGGCGCTCGAGGCTGTTGAGGTCGATGACGGTGCCCTCAATGATGGGTGGCACCAATTGGTGAGAGCGCTGCCATGCCGAAGCGCTGGCGCCGGCAGCGAGCATGAAGCTCGTCAGTGCGGCCGTGAACTTCATCTTGAAGGCGGTGGTGGAGGACAAGTCTGACGCCCCTCAGTCACTACAGCAAGGAAAACGAGACGTTCAACAGAGCTTGACCACAGAGTCACAGATCCCCAGACCTCTGCAGACCAAGCTCTCCTCCCAGCAGCTCTCGTGTCGCAATGGGCCGGCCGCGGTATTTATGCGATGCAGCATGTTCTGGCTCCCCCCGGGGTTCGGTTCCCAGCACCAAACCTGCCGATGGCCCGGCACAGACACGCGCCCAAGGTCCTGCATGGAGGAGCATGGAGGAGCATGGAGCATGGAGCATGGAGCATGGAGCATGGAGCATGGAGCTGTGTCAACGACCTACCAGAGACAGTTAGCTCTGGTGGTCAAGACGATCGGCAAGAGCAGGGCTCAGCGTAACGGTGAACTGTGCGCACCGGCCAGGGGTGCATGGCGAGAGCACGCACGAGATCCGCCGGCCTACGGAGTAGGTAGGTACGAGCAGAGTGGTCTCAGCTGGTGCGGCGAACACAGCAGGTCGCTAGGGCAGCCGCATGGGCGGGAGAGCGTAGGCAAGGCGCATCTGAGGACGCATGACCGCCACGACGATTGGTCGTGGTCGTGCATCGAGCTCACGCGCGTGGGGAGCGACGATAAAGGATCCCTGCCCACGGCTGATCCGCCGAGGAGATGCCAAGCAGGCCGCAGGCGGCGGTGGGCCACCCTCGGGATTGGTACCGATGCTTTCTTGCTTTCTTGCCTTCTTCCCAGCACACGAGCAGCAGTCGGCCTCGAGGCGTCAAGAACCGTCTCTGGCCGGGCCTCACTACTTTAGTCAAGGTGCTCTCCTCGTCGGGCATCCTGTCGACCTTCCTTTTGGGGCTGGTCAAGAAGAAATGACTGCCAACAGCCGCCCACGGTGGCCGCGGGAGGATTCACCAGCAGACCAGCAGAGCTGTCGCACAGGATAGGCACCGGTCGGGACAGGGGGGGTTGCAGTAGCTTCTGGCGCGTGCCGTTCGAGTGAAAGATAAACCCGGAAAACGGATCGAGAATGGAAGGTGACCTGGCAATCTGAATTCTGATTAATTTCCCCACCACTGAGGACATGCATGGGCGCCCTGTACGCGAGCCCGCATTCGCTGCTCAATCGGGACTGGGTTCTCTCTTCCCCCATCTCTAGCAGATCGATCTGTGTGGCTTTGTTGGTGGCACAGGAGGAGAATCAAGGCCGCCAGACAAGCCGTAAGGGAAGTTGAGCACCTCCGCTGTTTGCCTGCGCCTTGATTGCGGCCACCGTTTTGTGAGTGTTTGCGTACGATCCAGCAAGGTTGTAGATCCCACAGCAAGTCACTACGGAGCAGGTTCTCACCAATAGAGATGCCTTCTCGGAACGGTCGGAGGTGGAAGGAAACCCGCGTCAAGTAAGATGAGGGGGTTGTGTCTCTCTCCCATGCAGCTCGCCGCCCGCAAGCCACGATAACTACTTGTAAGTGGAACGGCCCGAGGGCCTGGACTGCACGGAGCTCATTCTGTGTGCTGGCCCGAGCTGCTCGCTCACTCCCTCCTGTCGATCCTTCGCTCCCATCCTACAGTACAACAGTACAATATGACCAGAGCACAAGGTGTTTCAGTGCTGACAGTACCTTTATGCTTATTTCGTCTGGTTACCAACCACGATCGCAATCCTATGCGCCTTGGCTGGAGATCTGCCAGAGGCTGGGCACGCCCAGAATAGCTCTGTGGATTTGTGGATTGAAGTGCCATCTCATGATGGGTTTGCTTGCCATGATGACCAAAGAAGTCGCCCTGCTCAATATTTCGCGCACCCGTAGACCTCCTAGATGTCAAACCAAGAAATGTTCGAGGAGCATCCTCCACGTCGGACTCGGGCCATTTTCCGTCGTAACGCCTCAATCGAAAATGTGAATCAAAGGTCATTAGTCATATCCCTCCCCTTTGCGCCCAGCCCGATTGAAACGCCCAGCCTAGTTAACTCCTCACTACTGCCGTCCGCCCTCGACAGACTGAATGTTGGTGTTGAAAGAGACAGCAAGTTTCTCCAATCCCGTCGCAGGTGGCGCCGCCCGTTCATGTTGCTGCTGCTGCTGCTGCTCTCCATCCGATCCCTTCCTCTTGGTCCGCGGCGGCAGCACCGCCGCGTTGACGACCGTCACGCGCCCGGCCCTCGCCACCGCCCGGGCCATGACCGCCATCACCGGCGCCGAGGACATGGCCCCCAACCCGGCCCGATTCTCCCCGTCGCCTCCGCCGCCTCCGCCGCGCCGCCGCGCCAGCAGCCCGCCCAGCGTGAGCAGCAGCCGGTCCGCCGAGGGCAGGTACCGCGCCGCGCCGTCGAGCAGCTGCAGCGCGCGCACGAAGCTGTGCGCGTGCACGGCGTTGACCGCGCCGCCGCCGCCGCCCGCGGTGGCGCTCTCGAGCAGGGCCGCCGCCGCCGCGAAGCAGGTCTGCGCGAGCCAGTAGTCGTGGCGCAGGCCGTGCACGGCGCGGTAGACCCAGAGCGTCGAGACGAGGGACTGCGCGTGGCTCGACACGGCGGCGCTGACGTCCTGGCCGTCGAGGCCCAGGATCGAGCGCCGCGCCGTCAGCTGGAGGAGCTTGATGGCGGCTGTGTCGTAGGTGGCGCTGCGGTTTTGCGGGAAAAGTCAGTCTCTTGTTGGTCTACATCTCGTTCCCAAAAGATCTTCCTAAAAGGTACGGGGGTCAAGGGTTCGAGAGAGATATCGAAAGGAGAACATATAGATATTATCGGATGCCCACATACTGTAGAAAAGTGATCTGGGGATGCGTTCCTTCGCTCATCCAGAGTCGTTGAGGCAGATTCGACTTCCAGGCCACGAGCTCGTCGTAGAGTGCCTGGATGCGCTTTAGGTTGGGGATCGCACTCGACCCCTCTTCCTGTATGAACCGTAGCGAGGCTTGTATGATCTCGGACAGGTCGCAGTCGGCCTCGCGGGCCTCTCGATGATAGGAAAGGTGCATCGGTGCGGGCTTCGGATATGGGAACCACGGTTGGTCCTCGAGGATGACGTTCGACATCTCCGAGGGTCCGGCGGTAGGAAAGTCCCTGATCACGGCAGGCTTCTGAACGGCCATTGGCCTTGACAGGGCAAGGCTGATCTTCCTGTTGCCGGTCAGCTTGGAACATGCCCTATCCTCTGCATGAAGAACAGGCCGAGGGGACAACGAAGACTCACGCGTCCATGCAATAGAGGCCCCAGAGTATGGAAGACATCCCTTGGATCTCGATGCGTGCTGGTGACTCAGTCGCGGGCACTTCAGAGACCTGGATCTCATGCAAACCCAGCTCCCGATAGGCGTGACGAAAGTGGTCTAGCAGGGCTGCCGCCCGGTCCTCGGACCCGACGTTGAATTCAAACACCCATAGCAGTAGTAGACCTTGCAGCATAGAGATGCTGGGCTTTTCGCGGCCCGAATGGAGGATCTCGAGGGAGGCATCGGCGCATTGGCGACCAAAGCCATCAAGTCCATCAAATCCTCGCTGAACATATAGCTGCTTCAAGTATATCTATGAGGGATAGTCAGGGTTAGGTTCCTCTCTCATACCATCATACCAGGAACATCCTCCGTATGCCATGCGGGAGGAGACTGACAAAGCTGACTGCGAGCAGCGCGTTCACTAAAAGTCCAGAGCAATAGGTCGGCCCCGAAGACTCCCGAGGGCCGAGCTTGAGGGCCTGAATGAAGAGACCCTGGTGTACCACATGGCTGGCGACGTTGTCCCAGGTCCAGAAAAGACTACATAGGTAATTCATGAAGTCGTCATCCTTCGAAACATGTGTCCAAGTAGCAATGGGTAAGGTGTCGGAGTCTGCAGAACCGCTCAAGTCTGAGTTCCTGTATTATAGTAGTTGGTCAACACTTTGCCAGGCCCCAACGCCCCGATCGCGACAACGACTGTTGTTACTGACATGGTACTCGACTGTGCCGAGCGAGGGCTCAACTCGCCGAAAACGCGTTCTGCCTCGCTGTAAGCAATGTGGCCAGCCTCATAAGAAGGCGGCGCGAGCATGGGGAGGGAGCTTACGGGGCGACACGGAAGGCTCGGCCCTGCCATCGTCGGGCAACAGCACACTCGCATCAGCTATCAGCCCGACGGCCACGTCGAGGGAAGGGGCTTCTTTGATGCGTCGTAGGAGATCGGTAGAGCCGGTGTCGGTCGTGCGGCGGAGCAGGTCGAGGACGGCGCGGAGGTCGTGGTTGGCCTTGGAGGCCTGTTGAGCCTCGTGTTTGTCGGCATGGCGGCGGCTCATGCCTTCGGGCACCTTGTATCGGCATTCGAGGTTCGAATTGATGCACTGCCCGCAGACGGGCCGCAGACCATCGCACTATAGCAAGGAGGGCTTCGATCAGCATACACGGGAACTCTGGGTCGTGTCCCGAGCTTGTTTTCCGCGCCGAGAGGCATATGGGGCAGGAGAGAGGCTCAGGATGGCCAATACGTGGCCAATCCCCTTTTGTATCCATTTACCTTGCATTTTCGTCTTCGACAGCCTGCAAGAGGGATTCACGACAGTGTCAGTTGGTGTAGAATCACAAGGGAGCGAGTATACTCGGTTGGTGTGTAGCAAACTTTCGTCGGGAGCCTCGCGTCGACACTACGTACCTTCACACGCCGCTAGAGCTTTGGAGACCTTTCTGGGAACCGTCAGGGCGACCGCGGCACCGTCTGACACGTCCGAACCTTGGCGGCCGGGCTTCGGAAGGAGAGTTCGGGCTCGTTTAGAGCTGTCCATTGTCGAGATGCAAACCGATCGAATACGTGCTCGGGGCACGGGACAAGGTAGTATGCGACAGAAAGGTGGCTGTTCAGGCGAGGATGTACCACAGATCACCTAGGCAAGGGGGGAAAACCTAATAGTATTTCCCGCAGCCGCTGTGATTTGTCGTCCCCCGGTTCGATAGTATCAAGGAGTACTATTGCGCACATTGAAAGAAGACAACACACCCGCCTCTGAAGGCCCAAAGGCTACCCAAGTCGTCGAAGTCGTTGAGATAAAGTATTCGAATGGAGCGCATGGTGACGTAAATATCGCCGCGTTATGGCGACTTAAAATGTCGCTTAGCAGTAGCCATGGTTTTATGGGAGATCAACAGCTTTCCCTGCACCTGTCGGTCACTAGGAACAGCGCTGCTTGATTCCAGGTCGGAGTGGCGGTGGTTCAGAGGAACAGACTGACACACCTCCACTACTGTCCGGAACTCAGGCCGGATCTCTGGACTGGCCAATCAGCAGCCGGCTCCCAAGAGGAGGTTGCTTGAGAGCGAGATCCTATCCACAGTACCTACATGAGCACGCGAGACTTTGAGCGGGTAGTAGATGGACCCCTCTCGGACACTACGAGAATAGGCTCCGGTGGCCCTCAAACCCTCCAACTTGGCTGAGCGAGTACATGCACTCACGATTCAGCAAAAACACGGGCTCGCCAAGTTGCTGTTTTCCTTCATGTAGGCTTGCCGATGATGCCGAACAAGCATTTGCTTTCACAGACGCCAACTCTGCTTGGGTATGTTCAAGACCATCCCCACCAGCGTCTCTATCGGAGGTCAACGCCGAGCCCGGTGCAACTCGCCATTGGATGAAACTGTAGTGTTCGCGCGGAGGGTTTGGTCCGTAGAACGTCGGCCTTTGATAAGTGGCCCAACCCCAGTCAAGATGTCGCCAGGAGATGTCGATGTTTGACATCTTGACCTCCAAGGCCTCCTTGCACCCTGAATTCGGCGTATGGAGTAGGTTAAGGTAACGCGGACTCGTTGCCTAGAACAGCCTAAGTCAGCGCGTGCAGCTCCCCCCGTCTCGTGGGCTTTCATATCGTCTCGAGCGCATTCACTTCCCTCGGTCATTACGGCGTCACAAAGCGTCACCAGAGCGTCAGTTTTGGAAAGCGTGTATTCTCACCAGCCACGGGAGAGATACCGGTCCACAGTATCAGGATTACGCACCCCTTCATTTAGTGCTGGAACAACACCTGTTGCCTTCTCAGGTAAGACAACCCCTGCAAGATGCCCTTTTCCGCCGATCTCGTTGGGCAGTTATCTACACTGTGTCGTTCCGGCACTTCAGGGGCTGGCCTCAACCTCGGGGCAGTGCTTATGAACCATCACCGGCCCAGATGTCGCCTCCATGCCACAATAGAGCGTTAGAAGTAGAACCAAAAAAGAACAAGATACAAGCCCCAACACCTCTTTACGCAGGTCTTTCGTGCAAAACGCGTATGCCGCTCTACACGGAGCATTTCCAAGCAGTCATTCCAAACAGCCGGCTAGTGAAGATGTGTCCTCGTAGCTCTGTCGAAACTAGGAGACCAGGCACTGTATGTGACTAGGTTCAGCCAGCATGTACGACCTCGATACCCTTGATCCACACCCGCTCGATCCGCCTCGTGGCACGAATGTCCTCGAGCGGGTTGCCGCGTACGAGCAGCAGGTCGGCACAGTGTCCCCTCTCGACGCGGCTTCTGCCCTTGAGGCCGAGCGCCTCGGCACACACGCAGGTCGCGGCCCGCAGCGCCGCCTCGTGGGACATGCCCGCGCGCACCAGGAGCTCGAGCTCGTCGTGCAGGCTCTCCCCGAACGGCACCTCCCTGCCGGGCATGCGGTTGGCGCCCGTGCCGGCGCAGATGGTCACGCCGGCCTCGTGCAGGACCCTGACCGAGGCCAGGCAGTTGTCAAAGTCGGCCGGCCCGGCCCCGTCGCCCGCCGCCCGCATGCGGTCGACGACGCGGCGCATGACGCACAGCGTCGGCACGACGACGACGCGGCGGGCGGCGAGCTCGGCGGCGAGCGCCGGGTCCAGCGGGGCGTCGACGGGCACGTGTAGGACGATGTCGAAGGCGGCCTCGAGCGCCCGGCGGTAGGACTCCTCGCGGGACGCGTGGCCGATGGCGAGGCGGCCGAGCAGGTGCGCCGAGTTGACGAGGGCGGCGAGGGTCCGGTCGTCCGGGCTGGGGCTGTCGACCATGACCTTGATGTAGTCGGCGCGCTCGGGTCCGTGGACGCGCTCGGCGACAAACACGTCGGCCGCTTGGGGAGCGAGCACGGGGGCCGATGCGCGGATGGGGAAGAAGCCTGGCTCCGTCTCCTCGCTGCCCTCCTGCGAGCCGGCGGCGACGGTGCCGCAGGCCAGGAAGGAGGGCAGTCCTGGGTCGGCGGCGGCGGCGGCGCGCATGGCTCGTATCTCGGCTGGGGTGCTGCTCATGTCGATGACGGTGCTGATGCCGTGCCTGGAAAAGGCCTCGAGGGCGCCCGACGCGGCAGCGGCGTCGATGTTGGCGTCTATCAGGGCCGGTATCAGGGTGCAGCCCGTGCCGTCTATCGTCACCTCGGGGGAGAGAGGCTCGACATCGCCATAGTCTGTCGAGACAATGTCGCCAGGGCTGTTGACAAAAGCTACCGTCGTGGGCTGGCCGAATTGCCTGCTGTCAAAGACGCGCACGTTCCGGATGAAGGCCAACGACATGGTTTGGTGTCTGTTTAAAGTTGCCGCGGTTCTGTCAGGCTTTCTGATATGGGCCTCGCAAGGTGCACGTATCAGCACAATGTGGCCGAAAGGGCGACCGTTGGTATGATCGATGGACTCGCTGTTCCGGAATCAGACGTGGATTGTACTGCCATCGCTTCTTTGGAATGATCGGGAATTATATTCTTCTGCCCTGACGCACAGCGTGTGCAACCTCTGAGCATTTTTTTTATAGCTAGCAGGTAGTTCACTGTTCTTATGTACGGGGCGAAGAACGAGCGGCGTGGCTCTTCAACCAGGCCGACACTCAAGGCCAACCGAACGTCTTGGGCGGCAACGAACTGCGTTTACGCACTATACGGATGGGGAAATAGAAGATGCATGGCCCCAGCCCCTGCAGGTCTGAGCACTGAGCGAGAGCATCAAATGACCGTCCACTGGACAGGGCGGGCGACGGCCAGAAAGCGCCGCGCGTAGGGGAAAGGACAGCAGGGCAACAGAGCATATTAGGGCTGATCCAAGGAGCTGTCGACCTCCCTGGTCAACCTTCGTAGGGAGCTCTTGTAGCGGGTGGACGGGACTGAGCCAGGCATGTTGGCCCCCAGGCGCCGCCGTCGGTCAGCGACATGACGCTGACCCGCTGCATGGAGCCAAGGCGGGTGTGCCCGTGGTCGAAGACGCAGAACAAACGGTAGAATGACGTGCCCATGATGGAGCGCGCGCGAGGTTGGGAAAAAGAGGGTCGACGGGGTGCCGCCCAGTTCGCGAGTCAAACCAACCTCGGAAGCTTGGAAGGGTGGTGCCGGTGCAAGCTGTCGTATTCGCCTAGGAGGGAAAGCCAACTATCTCCCCTGGACAGAGATTTTTGTCTCACACGTCTCCTTGACAGACGCACGAACGACAGGGCAGCAATCCGCTTCTGGTTTGTATACTGCATGTATTGGTGTTTGCAGACCTCGTGCCGATTGCTTTGAAACCTTATCCGGATTGCGCCGTCAGCAGCTGCTGGCAGGTGGGGGCCATTCGCTTGCCAGCAACTGGCATCTGGGCGCACCTGGCGCACACTGTGGTTTCAGAGCTGGAAGCCCGATGGCCGATGGGTGCTTTCGTGATTTCCCTTCATCAGAGCTTCGTGATGTGGCCCTTCGTGAGATTTGCGATCATCGACGCAGAGAATTGAACTGGCTGGTTCCGTGGCCGGGTGTCAGATGTTCGCCAGGCCCTGCTTTTCAACCTTGAGCTGTTCGCTTTCTCAGACACACACTGCTGTCTCGTGAAGATGCCGTGTCTTGGAGCTGTCATGTCACTCCTATGCTCTATTTTGCTGGGCGTCCCTCGTTTTGCAGCGTGAAGTAAACACCGTGCCAGGGAGCCGTGTCCGACTCTTGTGTCGCCAATTGCAGGTCTATCGCAAGTAGAAGATGAGTCGCGTGGCTGCTGACTGCAGATTCAGACCTGCTTATCAGACGGGTTTCCATCTTTCCCCTTTCTGTTGGAAATGGAATAGAGACCATGCGACGCGACGGGGAGGCCCTGGCCACATGGGAGCTCCACTGCCGCATAACCTCGGGCTCTCGTCCTGAATCGAGACACCCCTTGCAAGCTTGTCTCGAGGCAGGATATCCCGGAGTGTGGATGATGCTGTTCACAAGTAGCAATTTCAAGAAACATTATGTCAAGGATGTTCGTCAACTCGCTAAGCTTTTCATCTCCTACTTGGCCGGGGAGAGGCAAAGGGGTAATTACGGTTCTTCTTTCTGCGAATCGAAGAGCCGTAGAGGTTGGTACCGAATATGAAGTTGCCCACTCCTCGCCAACCCGAGCCATTCTCGAAGTCCAAGACCTAGGATGTCTAGGTAATCAACCTCGCAATGCTCGGCTGTTAGCAGTCACGTTGACTAGGTACAGCATCCACGAGTGCCATGGCCACATTGTTTGGTTCCTGGCACTACCGTGATCAGATCAGATCAGATCAGATCAGATCTTCGATACCCGAGTGACAGCCCAACTTGTTTCATTAGTGCGAATTAGGCCTGATACTATCTCGCTGGGGTGCAGTAACATGTAGCAACTATTGGCTACGTGTCGCTCGGTCTCGATCTCCGTCCTGGCTCGCTCTGTTTGCTTTTCGTTCTCGTGGAAGAAGCTGGGAGCTGAATGGTCCACCCCAGAAATTGACGATTGCCCACTTCCGTGGCGGCCACGATCCCTTGGATCCCAAACAACGGCCAAGGGCACTCTCTCCTGATCAACCGAGTAATTAGATCAACATGAAGTGTTTGCTGCTCAGCTCACAGATCGGTGTTCCAATCTGGCCAATACGGTGGTAGCTCGGCATAAACGCCGACCAGTCTGGCTGCAGCCAATCAGGGGCCTCCCCGACCCGACACCAGATCTTCGCCGCCGCCTCTTCCCTTGCAGGATTTGCTACTCCTCTCGACTGTTACGGATGCCCGGGTCGCACATGGTGGGTTGATTGGCATGTTGTACAAACATTACCTCGGGGTTTCTGACCGGCGAGGTTGGATTGGCTGAGCTGTTTGCTCTCGACCCTGGTATCGTCCAGCCACACATGTCCATGCACCTGCATGTAGTTAGTTACATACGTACGCAGATACAAACCTCAGTAAACCTACATCATGTTTCCTTTCTTATTCACGGCAGGCCATGGGTGGCCATCCCTCAAGGGCAAGGGCATGCATGCAGAAGTTCAAGTTGCAAGTGTTGTAGTTATACCTCTTGTTCGGGCCCCTACCCCTTTTAATTCCCTATCTCGATTCAGCTTTGTCTCTGAGCAAAGTTTGCCGAGTTGGCCCCCCAGCCAGAATCTTAGCCTCCGTGTCACCCTCGGCTCTTGGTTTGAACAGAACTCAGGCATCAGAACAGGCCTCCCAACAACCATGCCGCGAGTGCATGCTCCTGCAGCAGGACCAGGCTCGAGTGACCAATCATTCTCTGACGCTTCCTGCTCCGGCCAACCAGCAAATCCAGGCGCATGGAGTATCCTCCGCCCCTGCCCCCCTTTAGACCCTTGCTTCGGCACTGTCTTCGCTTTTCAGTCGCACCCTCCTTGTTCCCTCGGAATATATATTTCAGGAGCACCAGGCTATTGGATCTAATTAGGGTTCGTCTCCATCAGGCCTAACTCGCATTTTGACGCACACCTGCTCTCTTATTTATATTTCGGGCCCACGATTCCGGCCCTGTCGGGGGCCTGAAGGTTGCTGAATCGGTCCAGACGAAACTGGTCCTCGGTGGAATGGACTCTGAGGGTCCGGCGCGTGCAGGCCAGTGTGCATCACCACAAAAAGATGTGGGATCTGTCCAGCTCGGCTGTCCGGACGCGCAGATGGATTCCCGTAACTATCTGCCATGCTACTCGGTTATACCCATGCAACCGGATCATGGCCTCGTTCATCCGCCGATGGATGACCCGGCCATGATGGAGAACATACGCACTTCCTTCTACTCCGATGCATCGCCTGCCTCTCTCATTGCACAGCCCTTCACTCCAACTGGCATGCCACTCGTTAGCCAGCCACACGGCCAACAGACGATAGGCACAGAGGACGTGAGCAGGCTTTTCGAGGCCTACGAGGGCACTCTCAGTCCAAACTCTACCATGGGAGCTACGTACAGCCAGCTATCTGAATACTGCCAAAGTTGGGCATACCAGCCTTTCGATGCATCGAGCCACGAGGCCGGTGCCGGTGAATGGACTCCGAATACTCTTTACGCTTCGTACAGACTCTCATCTTCCCTCCACCCCTTCGCCTCTGTGAGCACCGTGGACGAAACCCCAAAACCTCGCAAATCCCCATCATCAGTCATCATCTACGAGGGCGCATCCGGCCGGCCCTCTATCGTTAGCATACCATCCCCTCGACCACCCAAGCCTAACCACAAGGCCAAGACAAGATCTACCATAAAGCCGACCAAGTATGTCCCAAAAGGCACCGCGAAGCAGCTCCCCCTCTCGAGTCTGGGGCCCCGTAAAGTTGCACGCCACGGTCCTCCTCCTCCACCTCCTGCACTCATCGCCAAGGACTACCGGATCAACGACGAAGCCGACGAAGACGACGACGGCGACGACGACGACGTTAGTAATGATGACGAAAACGACAGTGAAAAATTCGGCATCGAGCGCCAGCGGGCCCGTAACCGCCTCGCCACATCCAGGTGCCGTGCCAAGGCCAAGGCCGCGCACTCGAAGCTCGAGGAGCACTCACGGGCCGCGGCCGAGCACCACGACGGCCTCGTCGCCTCGGTCGCGCAGCTCAGGGACCAGGTGCTCGATCTCAAGAGCGAGCTGCTGCGGCATGTCGACTGTGGCTGCCCCCTGATTCAGGCCTACATAAAGAATGCCGCCCGGCACCTTGGCGAGGGTATCCCAGGCCCCGTCGCCATGCCGCCGGGCATGCCACGGATAGGTCTAGCAGAGCTGGAACACGATCACATCCGCGGCGACGACTAGTGCCATGACCATCCCGATCTGCTCATCTACGTGTCTCATCTAGACTTCTACATCTTCGGAATTCGCCAGGTCATGCTTCGTCAAAGTCCGGGGACCACTATACTTTTTGATATTTTTCTTTACTTTTCTGGGGCATCACGGGAACAGTACACTGCATTCTGTTGGGAGTCTAAAGGAGTTCGGAAGATACCCCGGGAGCATCTTTGATTAACTTGAATCAGTACATGACCTTGGGGGAGACATAACATATAAGCGCACCAAGCGATGATTTTACGAAGAGTCGGATCCCGCTCAGTGATAGGCCGTCATGTCTGACCCGTACATATCTAAGATCCGGAGGCGGAGTTTCTTCTCACCCTCACATTCACCAGTCGGCCGTCGCAGGAAGCAAAGAGGGAATACCCTTGCCGCTGGGTGTTCAGCACTTGACGAGCGCCACGAACCGGAACAGAGCGGCGCCGGCTCTCCAGAGCAAGCCAGGCTTTGACCGCTTCGTGACCGCAGAACCAGCGGACACGCTCGATTGTGCTAAAAGGGCATCCCTATCAGAGCTCGACAGTTCCGACACGCACTCCCAAGAAGAAGCATCAGACTCAGACTCCAGTAAGCCCCTCACACTTGCCGATTCATCAGCAGCAAGTCTGCGATCCTCCTCCATCTCCATTTGCCGCAATCGCCACGCAGCGTCCATGCGCTCCTTCCAATACCCGTGCCAGTCCTTGTACCGAGTCCCGAACCATGAGTGCTTCATAACGTCAACGAGAGTGGCCTCCTGCTCCCAGGTGAAGATAATACGCATAAGGTCGGCTATCTCGCGAATCTCGCTCCGTGTGAGACCTGTGTACTTGTACTCGGAGTCGGAGTCGGAATGTGAATCGGAATCTTCTTGCTGAGCGAGCTGATCAGTCTGCTCGACACTGCCACCCAAGGTGCAATCCCAGGGAATTTCTTCAATCTTACCAACTTCGCCCTCTGGCACGAGGAACACAGCTTGCGTCAGCGCACAGGTGATGATGTCCGAGAACCCGGTTTCCTCGCGCCGCTTTTCGCGGATCTTATCCCACTCCTCGTGCGACATGGACACGGGGTCCGACCGGTTGTTGCCGATGCGGTCCCGCTCACGTTTCAGCATATCAAAGGACGTCTCGAGGCCGCGCTGGTGCCACTCCGCGACGGCGTCTCGCAGTTCATCGAGTTGCTGCGGCGTCAACTTCCACTGCACCTCCCGCCACTCCGTCCCGTCCTCCACCTTTTCCAGGTCGCCGAGGTAGTAGTTCTCCTGCCCGTACTGCTCCAGCCACAGGTCCCGGTAGTACGTGGGCATGGGCCCCATGTAGTCCTCGATCTCGTTGGTGTACTGCAGAACGTTGAACCAGTTGAACGGCGGCTCGATCAACATGTCCATGATGGTGCAGCCGACCGCCCAGGTGTCGCTCTTGTCGCCCGCGCACCATCTATCGAGCGTCATCTGAGGCGAGGCAAAGTACCCGGAGAAGCCATGGGAGCGTTCCTGTGGCTCGTAGATGAATCTTGCACAGCCGTAGTCGGAGAGGACGATCTCCTTCTCAACATACTTGGACCTGAAGTCGAGCGACGTGGGCAAGACAACCCGGCGAGGGGCATGGCAGTCTGTAGGCTCCTTTGTCGCCGACCGCAGCTCCTCGGTGACGGGCAGGCCGAACTCCTCCACGATCTCCTCGCCGCTCAGAGTCTCGATGCCGGTAGCCTTGAGAATCACATTCTTAGACTTGATGTCACCGTGGACAATATCGTACGTGTGCAGAAGAAGGACGGTGATACAGATCTGGAACAGATAGTCCTTGAGCAGCTCCTTCTCGTTCGTGTAGAGCGGCCAGATGTCATACATCGAGGGGCCCAGGACGGGGTAAACGAAGCATAAGTGTCTTCCGTTGGGGCCCTCGATCCAAAATGTCTCGAGGACCCTCAGGATGTGCTTGTCCCAGGTATCTCTCTCCCTCTCAGTCCACATTGCTTCATCTAGGGTCGAGGGAATCCACACCTCTGGGTGAAAGTCTATCCGGCAGCCAAACCTACCTGAAGCGTAGGCCGTGACGACCTTGACAGCGCGCCAAACGTTGTTCTTCAGGTCCTTGCAGAGCCAGACGGTCGAGAAGCCGCCCTGGCCCAGCTTATTGCGGACCAGCCAGCGGCCGTCGAGAGTGTCGCCAAGGTCGATCGGATGAAAGCCGCCGAGGCAATATTTCTCGACGTCTTCGACCTCCAATTCCGGCTTGATGTACAGCCGCTCGGACTCGGGTTCTTGCTCAGCAGCTTCTTTGTTGCTGTCGGGACTGCGCACGAACTCCGAAGAGGCGGATGAAGCCGTTCCTCCCGTCGTCTTGCGAAGAGAATCGGAAGGAGTAGCGATGGCAGGGACACATGGAGTTCCTGTCTCGCCGTCGGAGCTGGACTCCTTCCGGATGGCGGTTGCTGTGTTGGCTGCGGGGGAGTCCATGGCTGCGATTCGGGCGACGAGGCTCTTTTGTCTTGTTTCTTGTCTTGTTCGACCTTTTAAAAAAGTCGTTTCGAGACGGTTCACTGAGACTATTGGTGGTATTCTGATCAAATTGCTCTGAAGTTAAGAATCGAAGTGCGTCTGCAGTCTATTATATAGCAACACAAAACATCAACAATCGCACCTAGCCATCACCGCCTCAAAGACCACTGGAGCAGAAACATCCCTAAAGCATACTATTGTTTTGTATGTTCTAACCAATCAGTAGTTGATTTTAGACAAAGAGGAGGGTCGCCTTCTTTGTGCCAAACCTGTTTTGTTTTTGGGCTCTTATTCAGAGTTGCTCAGGCGAGCTCCGAATAAAGGCAATTATGAACAAAGCAGCTGCAGTCATAGCATCTTGCCAACGATCATGACGTGGATTTAGCTTGGTAGTCCTTGGAGGAGCTCTAAACGTCATTCAAACAGCATGTGGCTCTCCGTTCTTTGGCTGTATTCCCCATGGCGGAGTTCTCTTGCTCCTGTTTCCATGCGACGTACCAATCATCAATCACGTTGAACTGAATGTTAGACGGGCTAGCAGTCAAGATACAGAGCGATTACAGATTACACCCCCCCAATCTATGAAATGGATTGTCTCTGGTCTGTACAATGCAAGTTCACTAGTCTCTTGTGCTAAATGACCAGTGGGTACGACGTACGTATTGCTATTGGATTGAATTATATCAAGATGTAGTTTATCATAGTTCTCATCTATGATTTGATAGGGGCATCTGTGAAGGTGAACAATAGGAGAGTTAGATACAACCGAGCGTAGCGGGAAAGTACCTTGAATCTTGCCCATTTCGATCGATTAAGCGGGAGGGCGAACTAGATGAAGAACAGTACGAAGCGTTCTCCAGTTTATAATAAGGACAACTCCAGCGACCGAGTTCCAGATGTTCGCAAGACTAAAGAATATATGGGCGATAATTCTCCTAAGAGCCTGGACATAGATCCGAAACCATGAGAGTCTAGCGCCTCGTCCATTCCCAACTCTGGCCATTCTACTGTTGACCCCGTGATGCGGAACCTTCGCAATCGCAATGTGGCCGAATAGACTGACAAGCCAGGAGGGGAGACCCGGCTCGACACGGTATTGGTTGGATAACAGGGACTAGGCTAGAGCTTAGCCTTGAGGTAGCATTATGCACCCTCTTCGAGTTTGTGACCTTGCTCTTTGGGGATATCATGGCCTGATGGCTACCAAGAACCCCGACTATTCGATTGCCCCTCGCTCCCCACTCTTCACTTCCTGACTTCCTTTACGCCCAAGATTGTCAATTATAGTAATTTCCTCGTTCCTCATTGTGTGGCCGACATGGATCATGCTGAAAGTGCAATGTTTCTATACAACTTTGACTGGCGAGAAACGCGCGGATGATAATGCTTTTCGCTCTCTCATTCCACCCAATCCTTCCTACTTTGGCATTCCCGGCCGACACCCGATCAGCTAGGCGGAAAATGAGGTGGACAGCTCTGAGCTGTAACAGAAAAGCAAGCTTTGAATAAGTCAAGCTTGTGCCAAGTTGCTGGGTTTCAAGCGTGATCGCGGTTTTCATGACAGCGATCAAGCTTCAAAATTCACCAGAGTAGTCAACAGCAAGAGCAATTACGTCTTGAACCGCATGCCCAAGACGTGCTGTGCGAGGTCGAACTATTCTCTGATGAATAAAGAAAAGTACTGGGAAGGTTCAGCTGATCACCAATTCTCCGCATTCCTCGAGCTAGACCCTTTAGCTCTCCCCGCGTCTCCATCTTAACTTGGGCCCTGCAAATCTCGCGTTCACAGCTCCCTTCCTGCATTTCTATCCTCCACCATGCCCAAGTCAGTATCGCCACCGAGCCGAGGCCATCAGACGTTGCAATCCCGTTCCTGCTCCGACTCGCGATTCCGGGGATGGCACAGACTACCACTCCTGAAGGCATTGGCCAATTCACGCACATCTTCCGGGCCGAGGGCTTCGGCGCCAAGCAGACATGCCGGCAGTGCAGATCTCGCAAGGTATGGCCGAAAGATAAAGATTTTCTTTTCCCTGCCTTGAAAACCCCCTCCCATCCGGACCCTTGCATGAGCCCACGTGTACCTATATAAAACTCTACTGCCACTTAACTCGAGACCCGGAGCTTGTTCGACACGTGCTGACCGCTGACTGCAGGTCCGCTGCGATGGGAATCGTGACGGCTGCGGGCACTGCAGCCGTCTGGGCTTCGACTGCTCCTTCAAGGCGCGAGAGACGGGCGCGGGCCTGCACACGCCAGAGTCGCGCGGCTCGGCCGACCACCCGGAGACGGCCGAATCGTCGCGGCCGCCGAAGCGCCGGGTGACCAGGGCGTGTGTGCGTTGCCGGCAGCAGAAGATCCGCTGCACGGGGACCCTGCCGAGCTGCATCAACTGCGTGCGCCGCAACCAGCAGTGCCAGTACGCGGCGCCCAAGAGGCCGCTGCGCGACCCGCTCGACCCGACGAGCCCGACGGGGGACTATCCTCTCACCATGGCCCCTGCGCCGTGGAACCCGCCGCCCGAAACGGCATGTCTCTGCCGAGAGACCGTACGCCTAGTCCTGCAAGACATTGGCGAGAAGAGCCCGCCGAATCCGGAGACGACGACGCTCATGTCGCAGCTGAGAGCGGATTTATCTGACAAGATCGAGGCCTACTTCCAGAGTCTCTACCCGCTTCCGTCCTATACGTTTCTACACCCGGGCACGATAAAGGTTAGGCTTCACGAGGGCACGCTGGACAAAGCACTCATCCTCAGTCTCTACGGGACCAGCGTCCTCCATACTAGAACGGGCCTGAACGCGGCACCGAGCTGTGCCTGCAGGGGCTACAGCTGGATCAAGGAGGCAGAGGAGATTCTGTGGCAGCAGCTGGAGCGCCCGACGATTTCCCGAATGCAGGCTCTGCTCCTCGTCATACTCTACCGCATGGAGACGGGTCACTTTCAGCGCGCGTTCATGCTTACCGGCATCGCCGCGCGAGAGGGCCTAGCCATGCGTCTCAACGTCGAACGGCCGGACCTCCCAGACATCCCCCGCGAGACGAGGAGGAGGATGGCATGGGCCCTGAAGCTGATCGAGCGGTACTTCTCCATCGGCGTGGCAGAGTTCCAGGCCTACCCCCTCGGCGTGCTGCGCACCAACCGGCCCGGCCACGAGGAAGACTTTGGCTGCATCGGCGCGGAGGGCTCCCCGACGGGCGAGGAGGGCGACGGCGGGTCCTTCAACCTGCTAGTCGAGACGGATCAGGCCCGCGGAACCGTCTGGGGCGTAGCCAAGCAGCTCCCGCAGTGCGAGGACCCGCTGAAGGTCATGGCGGAGCAGGAGGAGACGACCGTGAACAACCTCGCGCGCATCCAGAGCCGGTTCGTCTGCGGGCCCGACCTCACGCCGGCGAAGCTCGTCACGATGCTGCACTCGCGCTGGCTGCCGCGGCACATCCTGGTCTACCTGTCGTGGCACCAGACCTACTGCGACCTGTACCGGCTCTACGTGGTCGGCCTGCCGGAGGCGGCGCCCAAGGCCGTGCTCGACGCCGTGGACCCGGCCCTGCTCGCGCGCGCCGAGTCGCTCTGCCACGAGCACGCGGCGGCCATCATCCAGATCCTCACGTCGCTGAACCAGCTGAGCACGACGTCGCAGCCGCTCGAGTTCGACACGGCCATCTGCGCCTACCACGCGACGCGCATCGTGCTCTTCATCTCGCGCTTCGGCCGGCAGCCGAACCGGTACGGGCCGGACTTTGCGCTCAGCCGCGCCGACCTGTGCCTCGCGGCGCTGCGGCGCTTCTTCCCGGCCTCGGTGCTCGTGCGGCCCATCATCAACGAGCTGGAGCGCATGGTGCGCATATTCTCGGCCCGGACGGGCGTCGCGCCGCAGCCGCAGGACGCGGCGCAGGGCAGGCCCGCGCCCAAGATCCAGGAGGACGACGTGCGGCACAAGCTGGCGATCCACAGCCTGCTCAGGCAGGCCGACTTCTCGGACGACGAGGAGGAGTCGTCGCCGGCGACCACGGCGGATACGCCACGGACGGCTCTGTCCCAGCAGCAGCAGCGGCTGTCGCAGCAGTCGCCGCCGCAGCACCAGCACCAGCAGGAACACGCTGCCGCCATGCCCGTGGGGGGCGGAGATGGCCCCGTGGCTGACAGCATCACCGTCATGGGCAGCGGGACGGCGGGGCCAGAGGACACACTCCTGCATGCCGGAGAGCTGACGGCTACGAATTACGAGTTCGAACTACCCGACGCCCAGGGCTGGAGCGAGTTTGACAATCTGCCGCCCGAGCAGACGGAGCTGCTGCAGTTCCCTCTATTTCCCTGGAATGGCTGGCAGGGGCAGCAGGATCAGGACTGGACATTTGGCAGCGGCATGTGAAGGAATCAAAGGATGGACGGGATGCAAGGTTGTTTGTATGATTCTGTGCGAGATATGAGATACCCAATGACGTCCGTCGCCTGCAGTAGAAAAAGCTCGGTTTGGTTCCACGGCCGCTCCCACTACCTTCAATTCGTGCACCAGAGTATGACAGCAACATTGACTTCAATTCGGCAGCTGTGACAGTGCGATTGGGGCCGCGTAACTTTGCCAAGTCATACGATGCAGAGACGATAGGCGTCGCACAAAACCCACGATCAATCAAAGGGACAAAGGGGGGTCCTGAATTGACGGCGAATGGCCCGGGCCTCGTACTGCCCCGGGCGCGCAGATTGCCCACTCAGCTGGCTGATAGCCGTCCGCAGAAAACTCTGCTCGAAACAGGCCAGTCCCGCCACTCCTGGAACGATGCTGGCGCGTCTCGACGTGGGTCTGGTCCTTGTGTGGCCGGCGCGGTCCGTTGGTCCAATGTCTGCGATGCGATGCCTTCAATCGATGTGCACGAATTGAGTGCGAGTAGGGAATGGTCAGGGCTGCTCGAATTGCAAGGATTCAGCACAGAAAGCCACCTCTCATTCGCTCGTTCGGCTTGGGACCTCCTCCTGTCTTTCCATTCTCGAATCGAGTCAGTCGATTTCTCCGTTTGTTTCGTTTTGTGGATTCGCCAGGCATCCATTCAAGCTCAGCTGGAGCTTCATCTCGTTCCCTAGTTTGGGGCTTAAATTAGTGGAGCCCCCTTTTTTGCTAGACCCCTGGTCCGGGGTCCCGACAGTTCTGCCGCTGTTCATCCTTCAATCCTCCATCTTCCTCGTCCGTGGAGAGCCAACTGCCGACGGTCTTGAATATCAAAGGCTATTATACCGAGCCTGTAGCTGCTGGGGCTGGTCGTTTCTCTCCTAGGCACAGTCACTTCACCTTTCCGGGCTTCCGGGCAGTCTCTGAGCCGCAAAAAGCTTATCTCCGATACCCTGAGTCGGATGATCTGGTGATCCAACGTCCACGACGACCTCACATCGCATCCCATTGCGGGATTTCTCAAGATGGCGCCCTCAGCAGGCTCTACCACGACGATGGTATCCGTCCCTCCCCGTGAGGGCGCGGGCCCAGATCTGGAATCGCTCATCGTCTACGATGCCAAGCTGACCATCGCGGACCGGATGATCCTAAAAAGTCTGGCGCAAGATATTCGGGAGGCGCATCTCGGTGCCCCACAATCAAACGGCCATGTGTCAAAGGATGACGGTGCCCGGCACCGTGCCTCCAAGGAGCGTGCCGGTGACGAGCCGGAAGAAGCAACGGCCGTCCGAAGTATGTCTCACATCCGGGTCGGACTGGAGCAACCCCTCCGAAACCCATCTTGCCAAGGCTAACAGCAAGCTCAGAAAGAGAAGAGAAAGTGCAAGCTGCCATCGATGGCCTGAACAACCCAGAGCACCCTGACTTTGAGACCAGCGTCATCTGTACCACCGACCTGCGGGACATGCAGCTGCCGCCCGTCATTGACCGCTACTTGCTTCAGCCATACGTCCGCGTGGCTCAGTCTATAGTCCGCCACAAGACGGACGTGATCATGCTGACTCATCTCATCCTCTACTTCACCACCCTGGTGCCCAGCGCCATCCTGCTGTTCAGGCACTTCACCTGGTACCACGGCGTCATCCACATGCTGATGCAGGGCTACTATGTCGGCACGTACACCCTCATGCGCCACCAGCACATCCACATGCGCGGCGTGCTCAACAAGCGGTTCGGTTTCTTTGACCACACCTTCCCTTACATACTAGACCCCCTGATGGGCCATACCTGGAACTCGTACTTCTACCATCACGTCAAGCACCACCACGTCGAGGGCAACGGGCCGGACGACCTGTCCTCGACGCTGCGGTACCAGCGCGACGAGCTGCTCCACTTCATGCACTACGTCGGCCGCTTCTGGTTCCTGATCTGGTTTGACCTGCCCCTCTACTTCTGGCGCAAGCGGAGGTACGTGACGGGCCTGAAGGCCGTGTCGTGGGAGTTTGGGAGCTACGGCATGATGTACCTGATGTGGACCAAGGTCGACGCCAGAGCCGCCTTCTGCGCGCTCATCCTGCCCTTCGCCCTGCTGAGGATCGGCCTGATGGTCGGCAACTGGGGCCAGCACGCCTTTGTGGACAACGAGGACCCGGACTCGGACTATCGGTCGAGCATCACGCTGATCGATGTCGCGGTAAGCAGCGAACTTCTGTAGAAGTAAAAGCGAAGATGATGCTAATATTTGGCCGCACAGAGCAACCGTTTCTGCTACAACGACGGGTACCACACCTCGCACCACCTCAACCCCCTCCGCCACTGGCGCGAGCACCCCAACTCGTTCATGCGCAGCAAGGACACCTACGCTTCGCAGCACGCGCTGGTCTTCCACAACATCGACTACATCATGATCACCGTGCGGCTCATGATGAAGGACTACATGACCCTGGCCAAGTGCCTCGTACCCATCGGAGACCAGATCCACCTGACGCTCGAGGAGCGAGCCGAGATGCTCAAGAAGCATACTCGGCGTTTCACCGAAGAGGAGATCGCGGAGAAGTTCAAGCACAAGGCATAGAGACAAACAGCACATTTTTTTCAGATTGGAGTGTGGACTCACTGCAATAGACTTAGACATACATGATAGACTCTACGGTGCAGAGCATCTAGAAGGTTGCAGAGACCCGTTGGGTTAGCAAGTAATCATAATATCCGCTCGTCTAATTTGAGAAACGGGCTGGCGGGCACAGAACATTCTAGACCTATAAATGGACTTTCATTGATGTACGCCCACCCGTCTCTTTGGCTGGATGCAGTATGCTGGGGGTCTTGATAGACCTAGGTTCCAGGTTGTTGCATCATCACTCCAACAAACACCATCAACACAGCCGCATAAGCCAGGGTTGCCGTAAATACCTCTGCTGGATTATTAACCAGGAACGTGGTGAAGATACCGAATAAGAAGACGCAGATGGTCGTTCCGCCAAGGAGAAAGAAGACGTGCTTGTGCAGCATAAATGCCCACATCGGAGCTACCAAGAAAGCGCCCCCAACGATGGCCCCGAGAAGTTTCTGTAGGAACACCTGCCGCATGAGTTCCTGTCTGGCCTTGTACCTGACCCCTCCGATAGCCTTCTGGCCCTTTTTGGGGTTCTCTGTCTCCCAGGGCCCGGTTGCCGTTGCTTTTGCCTTCTTCTCGTCTGACAACCTCCAGCCTCTGGCATGTGCGTGCAGTACCGCATCCATAAGCTGGCGATCGTGTATCCGCTCGCTCGAGAATGATGAACGGGTCATCTTTCTGCCCTGAGAATCGTTTCATGTACTCATTCATGATCACGGACAGCCTGTACTAGCCGTCAAAATGAATGTTAGCGGTGAAACTAGAGCATGTGTTTCCCAACCTTGATCTTACCGTATTTTACTAGGTGATCGTCAAGCCCAGAGCTTCCCACCTCTAGTCCTTTAGTTTCCAAGTCTACGGCAGTCTTGATCAGATCCCATTGTAACTTCCTCAGTTGGACTCGTTGCATGACCGAGATGGGCATCAGGTGGTCTTTGCTGGGCTTCGGTTACAAATTCGATTCAGAAAGGCGAACAATGGTCTCTGATTAGTAACCGCGAATCTAAAGCTATTGCCATGCATTTTGGTTAAACTCTTCCAAAACCAGTCTTCCAGTTCGACTTCTGATGCTGTCCCTTGCGGGGCAAGGCTCTCTCGAGAGGACTCGCTATGGAGCTCATGCCCGGCCCTCTCAATATCCCGATCGTCTCCCGGGACCACCGCAATTAGAATCCTAAGCACTAAGCGTAATTCAGTCCAAATAATCGCCTTAGAGAACCGGGAAGAGTTGGCGAGGAGCGAGGGGTGAGGAGAAAACCCGCACGGCTGAAGAGCGTGCGGGGAGAGTGCATGTGGTGGCGTCGTGAACAAATCTGCACAAGTACGAGTTGATCAATCATCTCGCTCGGTTCTCTGCACATGACCTGGCTCCCTTCACACCACAAATATTAGACAGACATGCATTCGCTCGGGATTGGGGGCTGAATTGAGGGATTTATTCTGATACTCCGGCCCAGATATTAACCAGCAAAAGCATAGCCTTTCATATCATCTTTCAAGAGGGTTTTCATCGAATTGATGCTTCATTTCTGCAAAGTTCTTCAAGTTCTCGAGGGTAAACCGTTGGGACAGTGTCCGCCGCAAACATGATCGTGGTCAGAATCACTGTCACAAATCGACATAGCTCATTATCCGGCAAGAAATATGCAGATCTCGAAATCGACTACAGCAAGATGAATAATGCCGAAGAATTGGCGGGAAAGCATAAAAGTCACCTTTCAAGTCGGGACACCGGCTATACAACAATCCAGTCGCCAAAGTCAATTCTCATTGTGAGGCTACCGATTACCGAGTTCGAGATGAGGAAACATGGGGAGGACGTAAGCTATTATCTTGTGACGCACGAATCAGGTGCTCGTGTGATCCAAGCAATCGGCCTGCCCGGCGTCAAGGAAACAGACAGCCCCCCCAAAGGACACCCAAAAGAGAGGGGAATCTGGATCCCTCGCGAGTTTCATAGCGACAAGTGGTACAAGGAGATGGGTCAGGGAACACAGTCAACCCCGAAAAGAAAGCAAGAACCACCGAGAGCTCGGGAGAAGAATAGACATGAAGAGCGGCCAAAGGATGCTAGAAAGATCAAAGGCGCCAAGAAATGAACGAGCCAGGAAAGGGACCTTGATATATGCCGCTTTTCAGGTTTTCTTTTCTTCATCTCTTATTGTTATTGTTTGGCTATCATTGGTTACATTCCTGCGAAGGGTTGCTGGTATTTTCAACCTTGGTGACACAGTGACTGGGTATAATTACACGAATATGGCAGATTGGAAGCTCTGAGAGAATGTATGACACAGTTCGAGAACTCCCTGATTGCCCCAGCTACGTGATACCCAGTATCCAGGTTACTCCATGATCGTCTGCACAAAGAATATCCGCATCGCGCCTGAACGCCCTCTCCTCACGACCCAAAGTGATTCCACGTACTCGTCCAGTTCTGAGGGATGCCCATATCGAGATTAGCCTCGAGCGCGGTGTCGATGGCCCCCAAGTCAAAGTTGGGATCAAAGTACCCAAACAGATCCACATCCACGCTCAGGTTATCCAGTATCGCCGGGTCAAAGGGGTCCAGCTCGGCGTTCAGCGGCAGCGCGTTCGGCTGAGCCGCCGCCACGACGCTCAGCTGCCCCGGCTCAGCCGACCTGTTCTCCCCGTTTACCCCATTGAACAAGACCCCATCATCGCCGCCGCCACCGCGCGGAGGACCGACTGAACCCTCGTTCACCCTGCAGCCAGCATCGCTCAAGCTCCCTTGCCCCTGTTCCGGCTCCTCCCGCACAAGGGTGCACGCCGTCTTGTTCATCTCGCGCAGGATGCTCTCGCCGAGCTGCACGTTGAGCCGGGCGCTCGAGTAGACGTCGCCGTACTTCTTGAGCACGGCCACGATCTCCTTGAACGCGGCGGTCGCGCGCGCCCGGTACATGGGCGTCTTGCTGTAGCGCATCTTGCGGTACTGCACCGTCAGCGCCAGGGAGACGGCGTAGGGGACGAAGGGCAGCGGCGCGATGTCCTCGTTCTGCACGGCCCAGACGATGCGGTCGGCCGAGAGCGAGCGCCGCGGGTTGATCACGGGGTGGGGGAGGTGGGACGTGTCGTCCGTCGCCGAGGTGTCGGAGAAGTCGCTGAAGGGCTGGCGGCAGGAGAGCACGCAGACGGCGTGGTAGAAGACTTCGATTGTTCCTATGTAATCAAAGGTCAGCGCCTGTCATGTCATCATGTTGAGAAATGTGTAGAAAGCTGGGGGTTCATACCTAAAATCTTGGAGGGCAACTTGGTGGCTCCTTCTTGTGTGATAAGGGCCTCGAAGATCGGAATGTCGATGTACTGGAACGGCTGTTTTGGCCGATAAAGCTGGACAATCTTGTCGAGCGACTGAACCACGCGAAGGAACAGACGAGACGCGGGCGGCTGCAACTTGATGTGTTCGTCAATGTCTCTGTCACTGTCCCGCTCGTGCATGATACATGGCCGGGAGTACCACGCAGACCCGACCCGGTCCACGGCCCACATGGCTAGGAACAACGACTCGATGTTCTCGGCCTTCTTCGGGCACCTGTATCCCAGGAGATGTGCGCCGAGGTTGTGGAGGTGATGCGCAGCCTGTGTGCAGAGAAAGGAGGCTCGACTCCTCTCCTTGGCTGTCGTCGGCTGGAAGTAAAAGGCCATCATGATCAGGATACGGATGAGATCGACACGGTAGGAGATCAGTTCGCCATCTGCGACTGCCAGAATGGCATTGGACAAGCGCCGACGGAATTCTCGAGCCTTGAGAACGGGCCCGTCGGGACGGAGCCGAAGGTGTTTGGCCATCTTGGGATTCGTCGCGGCGGCAAAGGCGATGACCTGCCTCATGACAGTGATGTACACCGTTGGTGGACCCTCCCAGTTGAGATCGGACTCGACAAAGACAGGCAGGATCGGGTGGATCTCGTCCAGGAACAGGGTTTTGAGGGCCTTGAAGTCTGCTTCGGGCGGCATCAGCACCAGACACTCATCCCAGAGGTAGTCGTTCTTCGCCCGCTCATAGGCCAAAGCCTTGTCGGACTTGAGAGATCCGTCGGCCTCGGAGCGGTGGATTGTGGGCTTCCGCTCGGGGCTGGATATCCTGGGGATGGTGTTGGGTATGATGGGAGCGTCCTCCGACTGCTCGGGGGCGATCCAGGTGCCGATTTCGCTTTTTGACCTGTACGATGACTCGTTGATTTTGGATGCAGGTGCGGTTGCCGCCTGGATAAACATGCCCTCGGGGTTCATGTCACAGACGAAACGTGACGAGAGCTCGACTAGTTGCGATGCTGCCTCTTGGGACGCATCCTCGTCTCGCTCGTGAACGGAGCCGTTGACGTCCGGCGACCGAGACTGCCGGAAGCCATTTGCCTTCTGTGGAGTAAGACGCTGCTGTTTCTGAGGGCGACGAGATGGGGTGGTGTCGTGGTCTCCCTCGACCTGTGCTGCATCGTTGTGGATGCACCGTTTCTTGAGCCGGAAGTCAGCGCGGGAACGGGGAAGGAGGATAAGTTTCGCCATTCATGAGATCCGAGTGCCGTGTGATGGGATTGAGAGAGTATCGAAAGGGACCACAAAAGAGACTCAACGGGAGGACGAGATACAAATAAAAAGAAGACGTAGCTTACCTTTCTCTTGCGACAGGCCGTACAAGCATGCTGGACCTGCTTCCGCTTCAACGGCAGGCCGTCAGCGTCGGAGGCCACGAATTTGACCATCGAGGGCCCCGCTGCCGCCGGTGCGGCCATGGTCTACTGCGGAGATACCAAAGGCTGTCTAATGCAAGACCCCTGGGGCCACGCGTCGGCGGCGATGTGGAGGCGGCGATGTGTCGAGGACCTTGGGGCGTTGATCGGGATGTTCGGGCGGCCACCGAGCCCTGTCGCTATTTTGCGGCGTGCGTTGACCGTGCTGACCGCTGTAGATCCCCAGCAAGGGGCTCGGTTCCAGTAAAGATAATCCGCCGCGATGCTTCTACGCCAGTTCCGCACTACCTGGCGAGCCGTGATAGCATCGAGGCCGGGGCTGAGAGCGGTACTCTGGGATGCGATGCGATGCGATGCGAATGTTGACCAAAATTCCAAATTGCGCAAGTCCGATTGTTTGTGGGTGAGATTTACGCAGTGCGCCTGCCGCAGACCCACCCGGGGCGAATTATGCTCTAACAGCCATACCCTAGAGAGACACTCGGGTGGTGGGACGAACCAAGAAAACCGAACTCGGGATGTGTATTTCTGATAGGACTCCATTCAGAGCTTGACCCTTTTCAGTAAGTCCGCTTAGCCACATACGCATCTGCGCATCTCCATGGAGCTGGAGCGCTGGCTTCGATCGCAATGGCAATGGCAATGGCAATGGCAATGGCAATGACCTCAAGTCGCGTTGCTAGTAATTGACTTGGCTTGCTTGCCTGCCTATGGGAAGCTAGGTATTCGGATACACCCCTCCGTCCACGGCCATCTGCGTCGCCTGCGTCCACTGCGTCAGGTCGTAGCCCGCCGGGTCCGCGAACCCTTCCTCCCAGAGCATGAAGTCGTCGTCCCCGCCGCCGACCCCGCCGCCGAGGTTGACGTCGACGTCGTAGAACATGTCGCCCAGCTCGTTGCTGTTGGCCATCACCAGGGGAAAAGTGGGCATCTCGGCGCCGGCGCCGAAGCCCAGCAGCCCGCCGATGCCCACGTCCGCGCCGCCCACGTTGGGCACGTGGCCCAGCATCATCATGCCGGGGTTGGCAGCCCTGTTGGCCGGCGCCGCCGCCGCCACGGCTGTCTGCTGCGGCACGGCGCCGCCACTGCCAGGCGAGGTATTCGACGGCGGGGTGCTGGTGGGTACTGCTGCTGCCGCCGCCGCCGCCGCCGCCGCCGCCGAGGGCGCGAACGGCCTCACCGCAGCGCCGAGGGTGCCGGCGTCGTCGTCGGGCATCAGGATCGACTTGAGGTGCGCGAGCAGCTCGTACCGCGCGCCCATGTGGCTGTTGCCCCGCTGCGCCATGCCGCGCAGCAGGTCGAGCCCGGCGTTCATGGCCAGCGCGCTCTGCGCGTTGGCCGGGAAGGCGCCGCAGGCCATGACGAGCACGATGGCGGCGCTGAAGGCGTGCTCGCCGTCCATGTAGCCGTACGTGGCGACGAGGTCGCGCTGCGCCGCCACCGTCATCATGTTGATCGTGTCCTGCGCCGCCGAGATGCACATCTCGATGACGCGGATCGTCGTCTGCGACAGCCCCGCCCGCCAGTCCTGCTGCTCCAGCAGCTTGTTGCCGCCGGCGCCTCCTCCTCCTCCTCCTCCTGCCCTCCTCGCCGCGCCGCCGGGCGGGCTCGTCTTGAGGCGCCGCTGCACGACGTGGAAGAGCAGCGGGCGGGCGGTCATGTTGATGCACTGGTAGTAGTGGAGCAAGGTCGAGACGGACTCGCGCGAGATGCTCAGCTTGGCCGGGTCGAAGCGCAGGCCGTCGGGCAGCTCGCGGTGCCACTTGGCGAGCGCCATCATGATGTTCCGGACCGACTCCATCAGCCGGCTGCCCGACTTGGGCGTCTTGCGGTAGATGAAGCTGAGCACCTCGCCCAGGATGCGCGACAGCTCCGTGTAGTGCCGGAGCACCACCGCGGGGCAGTATTCCGGCTCGCTGGGCAGCTTGGACGGCATGGCGATGCCGATGTCCTCGTCCTGGATGGTGAGGGGGTTGCCCGACTTGACGGACACGATGCGGTCGAGGCTGTAGATGCTCCACCACACCCGCCGCCGGTGTTCCTTGGTCGTCTCGTCCAGACCGGGGCCGGATACCTCCTGATGGAGGCCCAGAGAGATGGCCATGCGCAGGGCCATGCCGATGTAAAGGAAAGCAGCATCACGGCGGTTCATGTTCTGCATGAAGTAGCCGACGTAGGCGAGCGTCTCCACGCACAGGATCGAGCCCTCCTCGTGCGCGTCAGGCAGCAGGTCCAGTGCCGCTGTGAAGTAGTCGAACCCGGGAGGGCCCTTGAAGTCGATCCATTGATTGATCGAATATAGCTGACCAAAGGCCAGGATCATGAGCACCTTGGCATAAGCAAGGCATGCCTCCTGGTCCGAGGTGTCGGGCGGACCTCGGTATGCCTCGAGGAGTAGTTGCTCGAAGGTCTCTGGATCGGTGAAGAAGAAGATGGTGCCGATGTAGGTGTACTGCGCGGCGAAGAGACGCCTTGCAATGTCCATCGGAGGTAGTCTAGCCCGGCTTCGCAGGCTGGACCGTCGCGACGGGAGAGCGCCTGGATCGTAAAAGTTTGCATTGGTGTCGAGGCTGCCATCGTCGCCGTAGAGACCGGACAACTTGCGCACACTCCGCAGGAAGTTGTCCGACGAGCCCGGGCCCTTGAAGCTGACCGAGGGCCGGCCCGGGACGCTTACGCTTAGATGGTTGAACGGTTCCAGTAGCGGTAATTTGTCTTCGATTTCCTCGTCGTCGCTCACGTTGAACGGCCGAGTGCGCATCGGCACCTGGACAGGCGCCGACTGCGTCTGGACCTGGTCTGCTTTCAGGGCCTCGTACTCCTTCACCTTTGCCTCCAGCTCCCGCAAGTAGCTTTCATTGATGGTGATCTTTCTCGCCTCCTCGTACACACACTCAAACCCACTGTCACGGCACCTTGAGCATTGGGGCCGCTCCTTGGAGCAGCCAGACCGACGCTGCCTGCAGCGCAGACAGGCGACGGGCCTGACTGATGTCGTATCGGATATTGTTGACGTGGGCGAGTTTGTGCTGGCAGCCATGTCTAGCAAGAAGGAAGTCAAAGCTTATGCAGTCAAGAAGCAGTTGTGACGGACAGGAGTTTCTGGCAAGACTGAAGGGTGGGTGCTGATCATGGAGGGCCATCAGCTGTGCCCGCCTGATGCAAAACCCCCGGTGGCGAGACAGACTTTTAAAGGCGACGGCAAACTCGATTGTGTTGCCTGGAACCGATACACAAGATGTCCCAAGCCTCATGCAGTCATGGAAGTCAGCTGAGACCTTAGATACAGCTTGCATCGAGAGCCTGTGTGTTGTTGTGCGAAAGTGAAGGCTGAGTACAAGCCATGCATTTCCTGCATCCCGACAGCGCTGGCTGGTGTCCATGTGGGTGGGCTGTGGTGGTCCCGATCCAGTCAAGTGGTGCTGGCAGGTTGCGTGCGTCTGGGGAATTGGGGGGGACTGGGTGGGTGGAGACGCCCGTGAAAACGCCTATCTCGCAGTCGTTTCCCGCGATTCCAGCACTTCAGCACGCTAATCTTGATAGGGGATTTGGGCAATAGGCGGCGTCGTTCCAGGCCGAATCAAATCAGTGCGAGCCGGTGTGACCTGAAGGGCTGTATGTCCGCCCTGAGGAGTGAGACACTGCACTTTATGGTTCTTCATCCGCAAAGAGTCCGTCGTCATTTCGTGGGGGCTACCCCAGGGTACAACCATGGATGGAGACTGGGGTGAGGTACACTCGTGGAATGAATGAATGGGTTCTGGTGCGTTGGAGTGGCAGCCGGGCACGGCTTCCGATGATCAACATACAGTGTTAGCTACAAGTCCGGGTCGTCCCAAGGAACAATTTGGCCACAGATAGTGCATGTTCCTCTCAAGGCAACCAATGGATATCATCATTATTCATCTCGATTCCATGATCGTATCAAACAAAGAACGTCTTGTCTACTTCCTCAGCACGGGAAACATGTCCTCGTCGCGCACGTCCAACACCGTCATGTAGCCCGGCGCGTGCGCCATGATCGTGCCGCTCAGCCCGGCGTCCACCACCGCGCTCTGCGGGGTGACGCCGCAGCCCCAGAACACGGGGACGTAGCCCTCCTCGCTCTCGTCAAAGGGCCCCTCGCCGTCCAGGCGCAGGGACTGGTCGCCCCAGTCGTTGCGCGTGATGTCCTCGATGCCGAGCCGCCTCGCGCCGTCCCAGCCCCAGGCGACGGGCTCGCCGTGCGTGGAGACGAAGGGCCGCGTCAGGTCGCGCACGCGCTCGACGTCGGCGGCCCGGTAGGGGCGCATCGACACGACGTACGTGCAGTCGCGGAACACGCCCGCCGGGCACAGCGGCAGCGCGGTCTTGTACATGGCCACGTTGCGGCCCTGCACCACCTGCCGGGGCGGCAGGCCCGCGGCGGCGAGGGCCTGCTCGAAGCTGTAGGAGCAGCCGACGAGGAAGCCGACGTGGTCGTCGGTCCAGACGGCCTCGAGGTCGGCCGTCTGCTCGGCGAGCTTGCCGTCGCGGTAGACGCAGTAGCGCGGGAAGTCGTGCCGCAGGTCGATGTCCTCGGCGAGCCGGAGCTCCGAGGTGCCGTCGCCGTCCGGGTGGCGGACGTGCGACTTGAGGGAGGCGAATGCGCCCGGAGTCGTGGACTCGGCGATGAGGGCGCAGGGGACGGGGTTGCGCGCGCAGAGCAGGCGGAAGTCGTCGGCGTAGCGGCTGGGCAGGACGATGAGGTTTGCCTGGATGTAGGACGGCGCCAGGCCGGAGGTGTGTGCTTGGAGGGTCTTGTTGCGGGCGGCCAGGCGCACCTCGAGGCCGGTCTTGAGGGACGTCGCGGGGACGGCGGCCTGGGTCACGGTGGACGACATTCTCCTCGTTACTGGATGGTTTTGCTGGTTTGATATTTCTTGCGGTATGAGCGTCTATGTCATCTGAATCTCGAGATGACTGCCAGCGTCATTATCGGCCGTTGATCAAGGATACATATGTAATTGTGTGAAGGGTGAATGTATCGGACGAGGTCGTTGTCAACGATGATACAGGAGGAGTACTAATGTCGCAATGCTCGACCTAGTCTGCACTGGAAGGCAAAGCCATCCGTTCGCGCTCGGCAGAGTCCGACGACCGCACTTCTGTGATTCAGAGCGTTATAAGCCAAGTCTGTAACTCCAAGACCAGACCTCCAAGCTTGCCTGCCACTTGCACGCCCCGTGGGGCCTCATGCCCGTCCGCTCTGGTTCTCCACAAGTTGATCGGGAATAACTACCAGCTCACCGGATGGAGACAACTACAAGTAAGTGAAAATTGCCTATCATTCTAGCTTCGACCCTCCGTGTACCTTAAGCTTGGTGGGCAAGATTAGCGGCTGATCATTGGTTACCGGCCTTGCCAGTGAAGAGAACCGATGTGGTGGCACTGCAATTGCGTGCTGTACGGACCGTAGGTTTCGGAGATGGTGGGCGTCGGGGACCCACCCCGACTCTGGCTCTCTTTTTCATCGCGAAGAGCGCCTCTCCCACGCCGGATCATGGGCCATGGGCTGAGCTGGCATGCCTTTCGAGGCTGCCAATAGGCCGACAGGCGGTATCGGCGAAGCCATGAGATAACCGAAGCATTGGAGCTATTACGTGCTTCTAATTCAATTGGCATAATTCTGTAGGACGTGGTAGTTGGTTGCTTGAAGCCCGCCTCCTCCACGCACAGCCTAACTACAGGTGATTGCTCTCCGCAAGCGGTCCCGCGAAACATCCCGGAACCCCAGTCCTTTTCCCTCCAAGTGGCACCTCATCCAGGCCACTGCGTACCCAGTTGCGGCGCCCGAAAACTAGAGCGAGTGTTCCTTGACTAGAACGAGTCTTCGGTCGGCCTTGACTCTGCCACATCGGAGCTCGATCCCCCGCCGGGTTTTGTGTGGCAAGCCCAGATCTACGGCAAGGCTAAGCTCTTAAAGAACGAGCGGCCTCATCTCATGCTCATCCCACTGAACCCCGTATCTCTTCATACTCTACTCTCCGGCATTTTGGTTTTCGCTTGTGTGTTTGACGTCTCATCATTCTTTTCTCATTCCCACTTGTTCCTTGTCAACACACTCGCACAGAATGACCGTCGACACCCCGCTCAACATCCGCATCTCCATCGATCGAGGTGGCACCTTCACTGATGTGCACGCCTCGATCCCCGGCAGGGAAGACATCATCCTCAAATTGCTGTCGGTTGACCCGGCCAACTACCAAGATGCACCCACCGAGGGCATCCGGAGGATATTGGAGCTGGCCACCGGCAAGCCGCACCCGAGGGGCGAGCTGCTAGACCTCTTCCACATCGAGTCCATCCGCATGGGCACCACAGTTGCCACCAATGCGCTCCTCGAGAGGAAGGGCGCCCGGTCGGCGCTTCTCATCACCAAGGGCTTCAAGGACCTCCTGCTCATTGGCAACCAGTCCCGCCCCAAGATCTTTGACCTGTCCGTAGCGCGGCCAGAGGTGCTGTACGAGCAAGTCGTCGAGGTCGACGAGCGCGTCACGATGGAAGACTACACTGAAGATCCCCAGTCTGTCAAGACTGTCCCCACCGCAGAGGACGCCGAGCTGGTCACCGGCATCACCGGCGAGACCATCCGCGTCATGAAGAAGCCCGACGCGGAAGCCGTCCAATCGCAGCTCCAGAGGTTATGGGACCTCGGCTACCGGTCGCTTGCCATCGTCTTCATCCACTCCTACGCCTATCCCGAGCACGAGCTGTCCGTGGGCAAGCTCGCAGCCGACATGGGCTTCTCCGTCACCCTCTCCTCCGCCGTTCAGCCCATGATCAACGCCGTGCCGAGAGGCATGTCCGCCATGGCCGACGCCTACCTCACGCCGGTCATCAAGCTCTACATCGACTCCATCTCCGCCAACTTCAGGGGCGGGTTCGAGTCCCACGACACCCGCATCGAGTTCATGCAGTCGGACGGCGGTCTCGTCGACTTCCGCAAGTTCAGCGGTCTCAAGGCCATCCTCTCAGGCCCTGCCGGCGGTGTCGTCGGCTACGCCCAGACCTCCTGGGACAGCGAGGAGAAGTGCCCCATCATCGGGTTCGATATGGGCGGTACCTCCACGGATGTGTCGCGGTACGCTGGTGTGTACGACCACGTCTTTGAGACTACCACCGCCGGCATCTCGGTGCAGTCCCCTCAGCTTGATATCCACACCGTGGCTGCCGGTGGCGGCTCCATCTTGACCTGGAGGAACGGCCTCTTCAATGTCGGCCCCGAGTCGGCCTCCGCCCATCCCGGACCAGCCTGTTACAGGAAAGGTGGCCCTCTGACCGTGACCGACGCCAACCTGTTCGTCGGCCGGCTTCTGCCAGAATATTTCCCCAAGGTCTTCGGCCCGAACGAGGACGAGCCCCTGAACAGAGAAGTCACTGCCGAGAAGTTCAAGGTTCTTACCGAGGAAATCAATGAGGAGCGTCGCAAGAATGGCAACACTCCCTTCACCGCCGAGGAGGTCGCCATGGGCTTCCTGAAGGTCGCCAACGAAGGCATGGCTCGCCCCATCCGCGCTCTCACCGAGGCCAGGGGCTACGAGACCTCGAGCCACCACCTGGCCTGTTTCGGCGGCGCGGGCGGCCAGCACGCCTGCTCCGTCGCCGACGTCCTGAGCATCTCCAGGGTCATCATCCACAAGTACTCGTCCATCCTGTCCGCCTACGGCATGTCCCTGGCCGACGTCGTCCACGAGGTGCAGCGCCCCGCCGCCCTGGCCTACTCCGCCGAGACCGAGCCCCAGATCCGGTCCCAGCTCGACGAGCTCGTGCGGCAGGCCCAGGCCGAGCTCACCCAGCAAGGGTTCTCCCCGAAGCAGATCTCCTTCAACGCCTACCTGAACATGCGGTACGCGGGCTCCAGCAGCTCCCTCATGATCCTCAAGGGCGACGACTGGGACTTCAGGCGCGAGTTCGAGGCGGTCCACAAGCGCGAGTTCGGCTTCAACTTTGACGACAAGGCCATCCTCGTCGACGACATCCGCGTCCGGGCCATCGGCGCCGCCCGCTCCCGCGTCGAGAAGAGCCCCTTTGCCCAGATGAAGGCTGTCGAGAGCGCCGACGTCGCCGCTCCGGCCCAGAACGGCGCGAGCCGTGTGTACTTTACCGAGGGCGGCTGGGCCGAGACCCCTGTCTACGAGCTCCAGGGTCTGCCCAACGGCGCCCGCCTGACCGGCCCCGCCCTCGTCATCGACAAGACCCAGACCATCGTCGTCACCCCGGGCTCGGTCGCCACCATCCTCGACAGCTACGTCGTCATCGACCTCGCGTCCGACGACGCCGCCGCCGCGGTCCAGACCGAGCAGGAGGCCGAGTTCAGCCCCATCCAGCTGTCCATCTTCGGCCACCGCTTCATGTCGATCGCCGAGCAGATGGGCCGCACCCTGCAGAAGACGGCCGTGTCGACCAACATCAAGGAGCGGCTCGACTTCTCGTGCGCCATCTTCTCGCCCGACGGCGGCCTGGTCGCCAACGCGCCCCACGTGCCCGTCCACCTGGGCAGCATGCAGTTCGCCGTGCGGTACCAGCACCAGCTGTGGGAGGGCCGGCTCAAGGACGGCGACGTCCTCGTGTCCAACCACCCCAGCTGCGGCGGCACCCACCTGCCCGACATCACCGTCATCACCCCGGTCTTCGACGGCGACGTCATCGCCTTCTACGTCGCCAGCCGCGGCCACCACGCCGACATCGGCGGCATGCTGCCCGGCTCGATGCCGCCCACGAGCAGCGCCCTGTGGCAGGAGGGCGCCGCCATCGAGAGCACCAAGCTCGTCAGCGCGGGCCGCTTCGACGAGGACGAGGTGCGGCGGCTGCTGCTCGTCGAGCCGGCCCGGCACGACGGCTGCTCGGGCTCGCGCAAGCTGGCGGACAACGTGTCGGACCTCAAGGCGCAGATCGCCGCCAACGTCAAGGGCATCGCGCTCATCCGGGCGCTCATCGCCGAGTTCGGCCTCGCCACCGTCCACCGCTACATGTACGCCATCCAGACGACGGCCGAGCTCGCCGTGCGCGACCTCATGAGGGCCACGGTCGCCAGGCTCGGCCCGGAGCCCCTCGAGGCCGTCGACTATATGGACGACGGCACGCCCATCCGGCTGCGCGTCAGCATCGCCGCCGACGGGTCCGCCGTCTTCGACTTTGCCGGCACGGGCCCGCAGGTCCTGGGCAACACCAACGCGCCCATCGCCATCACCCACAGCGCCATCATCTACTGCCTGCGCGCCCTCGTCGCCTCCGACATCCCGCTCAACCAGGGCTGCCTGAACCCGATCGACATCCGCGTGCCCGACGCGAGCATCCTGAGCCCGGCCAAGGGGCTCGCCGTCGTCGGCGGCAACGTGCTGACCTCGCAGCGCATCACCGACGTCGTGCTGCGGGCCTTCCGCGCCTGCGCCGCCAGCCAGGGCTGCTGCAACAACCTGACCTTCGGCACGGGCGGCAAGGACCCGGCCACGGGCGCGCACGCCGACGGCTTCGGCTACTACGAGACCATCGCCGGCGGCGCCGGCGCGGGGCCGACCTGGCGCGGCACGAGCGGCGTGCACGTGCACATGACCAACACGCGCATCACGGACCCGGAGGTCTTTGAGAAGCGGTACCCGTGCGTGCTGCGCGCCTTCACGCTGCGCGACGGGTCCGGCGGGCGCGGCGCCAACCCGGGCGGCGACGGCACGGTGCGCGACATCGAGTTCCGCGTCCCCGTGCAGTGCTCGATCCTGAGCGAGCGGCGCAGCCGGCGGCCGTACGGCATGGAGGGCGGCGGCGACGGCGCCAGCGGCGTCAACCTCATCGTGCGCAGGGATGAGGAGGGCCGGGAGAGCGTCGTCAACCTCGGCGCCAAGGCGACGACCAAGCTGGGCCGGGGCGACAGGGTCATCATCCAGTCGCCGGGCGGCGGCGCGTGGGGTAGCTTGGAGGTGAACGGTGTGAATGGGCATGCGTAGATGGGTCCATATCCGTGAAGGAAAGGGGGAGGAAGTTAGAAACACTGGTTAGGTAACTAGCATTTGCATAGAATTTCTATTACTTGCATCATCATAGGTCTTTGGGATAAATAGATATATGTATATATACCAGAATATCATTCTACTTCTTTTTGCAAATTAGCCACACTCTCTGGCAGAGAGTCGTCATTCCTTCTCGCGTCTCAAATGCATATATGCAATGATGATGGTATCCACGACACACACGCACACACACACACACACACACACACACAAAGCATCTACGCCGTCGCAAAGTGCAGCGGCCCAGCCCAGATGCGCAGCGCCTTGCCCCAGCGCATCAGGCCCAGGATGATGAGGAAGGCGCCGAACACGATGGCGGCCTGGATGCCGAAGCTCTTCTGCGCGCCCTCGTTGGTCGCCCAGGTGACCTGGAAGTAGCTGATGATGAAGCCGCCGATGGTGCGCGAGTTGTTGAGCCAGGCGCTGACCTCGCCGCTGGCCTCGGGGTAGCTGTCGAGCGCGTAGCTGCTGATGGCCGTGGTGGTGATCATGACGCCGAAGACGTAGAGGCCCCAGCTCACGCTGGTCGCCATGTAGTGCCAGCCGTTGCCGAGGGACTGGCCCAGGAGCACGAGCCCGACGACCATGAAGGGCACGGCGAGGGCGATGGCGCGCAGGCGCACCTCGGGCTCGAAGTGGCCCTTGTGCGCGCGGATGTACTGCTGCGCGAGCAAATCATGCAGCCAGTGGCCGACGAGCTCGCCGAGCAGGACGGCGACGACGGGCGTGAAGTAGAAGTAGCCGATCTGCAGGACGCCGAACTTGTACAGGGGCCCCAGGAAGATGGCGAGGGTGGTGTTGATGCCGACGACCCAGGCGAAGGTCTAGTCCATGTCATTTCCTCTCGTGTCAGCGATGGGAGGAGTGGGGGGGAAGGAAAACACACAGTTTAGTGTGTCAAGGTATCCACAGGTATTCAACTTACGAGCATGTAGTAGAAATTGGCGAGGAGCATGGTCGGCTTGAGCAGCACGCTCACGCAGCGCCAGACGGCCTGCAGGAACGAGTTGCGCAGGTGGCGCGAGCGGAACTGGGCGATGCCGAGCACGCTCTCGACGCGGTTGCCGACGGACGGCTGCTCGGCGGCGGGGATGCGGCGGTCGTAGTAGGTCTCGCGCAGGAAGAGGGAGATGAGGATGAGGCACAGGCCCGTCTCGGCGGTGTAGACCCAGAAGGGGATGGGCCACGACTGCGTCGTCATCATGAAGGCGGCCAGCAGGGGGCCCATGTAGGGGCTCATGACGAAGAAGGAGGCCCAGATGTTGATCTTGCGCGCGCGCTCGTGGAAGAAGAACATGTCCTGGATGAACATGAGGCCGCAGGACTGGGCGACGGTGGAGAAGAAGCCGTTGAGGATGCGGGCGGCCATGAAGGACTCGAAGTTGGTGGCCGCGGCGCACCAGGCGGCGGTGGCGGTGGCGATGACGATAAAGTAGAACATGACGGGCAGGCGGCCGAAGTAGGCGGACAGGATGACGGCTGAGGGCGCCTCATGTTAGCATGAGGCGCGTTCGCGCAATCTCACACGTTGAGAGACTGGGCCGGATGTGGGTGTGGCTTACCAAAGATGCCGCCGGCGCCAAGCATAAAGACGTTGCCGGCTTGCGAGTGATTCACGTGGTCCTCGGTCATGTCCCATTCTCTGCGATGCGTGGTCAGTCAAGCTGCAGCGCTCCCCTTGTCCAGCAGAACAGAACAGATCACGACGTACTTGGCCTGTGCGAGCAGAGTGACGGCTCCGGTGGCGCTGCCGTAGTCGGGCAGGAAAGCCGTGAGGGCGACGATCATCAGCATGACGTGCTTGGTGAGGGAGCTCCAGTTCAAGGGGTCCTTGGGGTCGTCGCTGGGCTGGGGAATCAGGCGCGTGTGGCCGTCCTTGGCGAGCTTGACGCCGGCAGCTCCATCCTCGGCGTCGATCACGTAGCCCTCGGACTCGGCGTATTCGTGGAGGACCAGCTCATCTGTCCTGGGCTGGGCATGCCGGATCTCAGGTCGGTCAGCCTGGATCTCGCGCTCCACATCCGGGTCAGAATGGTCAACGACCTTCTTCTCGTCAGCCATTGTGAGACGTTGCGTAGATTCAGCCAGAAACAGAGAGAGAAGTCGGGTAGCTAGTTGGGCAACCGAGTCACATGCGACAAGCAGACTGGAACTTGCTTGGGCGACCTTGTGTGTGCTTGGAGCAAAAGGGGGCCAAAAGACAGCGGTACTAGGGTGGGCAGGATAGAAAGTTAAATACAAGATCCCCTCATGCTGGGGAAATGGGGATGGGGTAACGTAAAAACGTGTCAACCAAGCTGGAATGTCGGCAGGATGCGTCCGTCGCAGTCGATGCACGGGCCCTCAGGTCGAAAGGGGATATTCGTTCGAGAACAGAGGAACGCCGTGGATGGGATCCGTCAGCCATGACAGAGACAACTGGCTCCATTCGCCCCCAGCTTTGCTCAACCCTAGCTTAGCGTAGTGCTTGTTTATGACACCAGCAGCTCGAGCCGCGAGTGTAATTTGCTCGCTTCAACTGCCGACTTTCGAAGGGGTGGGAATCCCGGTAAGTCCGGGTATCTCAACTACTTGTACAAGTATGATGCTCCTTGTAACGACAGGCATCGTCTTGGCGGCCCGCATTGCCCCAGGCGCTGATCCTGCGCGTCTATTGTACAAGTACGTTGTTGAAGAGACTGGCTTGGCAGCGACTGGGGCTCTGTGAGCTCCTCCTGTCTGGGTGTGCATGCTGTCGGGTTTCTAGAAGCCAGTCCCTGCATTTGGGTGTTGCAGATTTGGAGAACCGCGGACAGACGTTGAAACCAACACAATGAACGTGCGGGATGCACGCCAAGTCCGTGCTACATCATCGTGTTTTTCCCTTTGCTTTTTTTCTTTGCCTTTTTTTTTCTCTCATGACTGCTCCCGTTTCCCCAACATGACAATCTAAGTATGCGGGGGAGCCCACCAGCCATTGATGGCTAAGCTTTTTGGAAGATGTCCATGAGATTACATCTGCACCACTTAATTAGGAGCAATTAGCAGCGACGTACGGTCATGCCATCCCGAGATCATTGCCGGGCCTAATCCGACCCCGCACAGCGCGTGGGGATCGGGCGAACTAGGGACTGGCTAAGACGGTGGGCATCTCTAGATCGCGGAGGCGCCTCCAGCTTCCAGCCCTGGAATAGACGTCAACAGTCGGGGGGCCAATCAATGCTTGTTGCGCGCGTCGCTTCGCGGCGTGCGGCTACGGGGCGAGACAGTGTTGGCACGCTGTCCGGGGTAGCAGAGCTGAGGTCGTAAGAAGGATTCGCCGCGACGTCTGAAAACGTAGTTATCACATGGAAGTAGCCACTCCAGTTGCCTCATGGTTGCAATAGCGTCAACGGCTTTGAATCACGGCTACGCTTGGGCGTGCTGCGTGTCCTGTGTCGTAGTATTCGACGCTACTCCAAGCTACCTCTACCTAGGTATAAAGTGCTTACTCACGCTGATGGCGCTTCAAAGATCAAATTAGCCCGTTCTGAACCCTTGGTATTTGTTGGGGAGATTCGGCCCGGGTCTGCTATAGGCTGTGCCAGATTCTTTGCTATGCCACTTTCATCAGTTTCTTTCACCCGAGGTCTGAAAATTCTGCTACCTTGACGCTGGACTGGAGGGTAAGGATCATTGCCGACTGTTTCTCCTGTGGACGAGCAAACAGCCGAGCCTGTAAACTCTGTTCTGAGACGATATTATGCGCGCCAAGTATCACAAGGGTAGGAAGACCCATGTTGCTCACACAAGGAACACACTAGTCGTGAAGTAAGGATTCCGGATTGCGGTTGTAAGATACGTACGGCCACCGTATCGGTGGCTATCGAACCCCTGTCGGCGCAACCGACATTGGTATCCGAGTTTACCTTGGGGAACTACTAGTTAGTCGGCCGTTGACACACGACACCTTTGCTCTGGACAGGACACGAAGTTTCTTTCTCCAAACATCACCAGATGTATTCATGCCAGAACACGCAAGAAGCATCTACGAGACGGCCAATAGCATCCTTCAAAACGTTGACAAGTCTCATAGTGTCATGTGCTCTTGGTCATAGTAATCGATGGATGGGGTGGAACACGGCCTCTTCCCCCTTACCGGGTCCCCGGCCACTTCTGCAATGATAGTCCGCCAAGGCGCAGAAGCCACAAGCCGCGCCCTCCGGCAACCGAGCACTCCGGAAGGCAGTTGTCAAGTCGGGGGTGATGCCACATGCTACAACGTGCTTTTCGGCAGTTCCAGGACGTGAACAGCCTTGTCTTTCGCAACCTGGACGGGCTCCTTGATGCATCGCACGGCCTTGCGAGTGACACAGCCGTGTTCTATAGTGACATTGAGGCCTCTTGGCAGACTGCAAACAGGCATGATGAAAGTCCGGAGAGCAACTAGGTTCGAATTTCCCTCGGTCCCGATGAATAACTCTCTCGTGGTCATCAACTCCCGGGCTACCCAACCGTGGTATCATGAGCCAAGAGACTGGATGACACCGTACTAGGAAGAGCATGCGTGGTGTAAGTCTCCTCCGTCCCTTTCCTCACTTCTGATCCCCGTTGGCAGCACGGCGCTGGATAACAGACCAGTCCTTCTATTGTTGTACGGAGTAGGCGGGAACAAATCTATCGATGGATTCAAGCCTGGAGTGACACTCACTTACGAAAGAGGGGAGGCAGCATCTTCCACTCACCACAGCCCGCATCCCGGCTAGATGCTCGGTAGCGGTAGAAATAACGCCTTGGCTGGCCTTGGCCTGGTGACAGCCGAGGTGCACGAGGAGCGAGGTTGAACAGGTCCCTCTCATTTTCCATCTGGACCATGTCGAGGACAACAAGGAAATTCAGATTCTATCGGCCGGCACAGACCATGTCATCACGGTGCTAGGTGTAGAAATGCTATGTATCATGAAGGAAAAATATTGGTAGGCTGAAGGTAAATGTTCGATATCTATCTATTCATCCAGACATTCAAGACAAAGGAAACAGATCATCGTACCCAAAGCGCGAACCCAAAGCAGTCATCGGATACACACACACCGTACGACACCTTCTAATACCGCGCCTGCTGCACCCGCACCTGGCCGCCACCCTTGCCCTCCTCCTCATCCCGGCTCGAGCCGGCACGCCCGCCCTCCGCCAGCATCTCGGCCGGCAGCCTGGCGAGCGTCAGGCCCGTGCCGACGCAGATGGCCACGGCGGCGATCTCCTCGAGCACCGACATGCACAGGTAGACGGTCGGGTCGCCGCCGAACGAGCTGAAGCGCGCGTCGCCCGCGAACTGCGCGACGAGCGCGTAGGCCAGGCGCACGGCGATGAGCGGCGCGCAGGCGGCGAAGGCGTACAGCAGGCGCGTCTCGGACCCCGCGGGCACGCCGGCCCGGTGGCGCCAGAGGTGCGCGAAGATGGCGCAGGCGGCGAGGTAGATGGCCGTGAAGACGCAGGCGCCGGCCCGCATGAAGGCGTTGGGCGCCAGGGGCGTGGCCGAGCCGGCGGCCTTGGTGCCGCCGTAGATGGAGAGGGAGATGCCGACCAGGGAGGCGATGCTCAGGAGGCCGAAGTGCTTGGCCGTGATCTTGGTGGTGAGCCAGCGGTTGCTGTCGCCGTCGGGGAGGGTGAGTATTAGTGGGCGACCAGACTGGGTAGTAGAGACGAAAGGAGGGGGGGGGAGACGCATACACTCTGATCAGGAGACCGAGGTTCAGGACGGTCAGAGGCGAGATGCCGATGGCTTCGCAGATGAGGGCACCGCCGTAGACGGAACGGCTCGCGTAGTGGATGGCGGCTAGCTCGAAGCTGGCGCCGATGAGGCGGAGGAGGGAGAAGGTGATGAGGATGAGCCATCCGGATTTCCGGCTGAAGCCATGGCGGATGCAGAGCAGGATACCGCAGACCAGGTATACGGAGAAGAAGACGATCTGGAGGATGGCGAGGCCATTGCGGTAGGTGAGACCCGACATGCTACAGGGATTTCGGGCGAACTAGGACGCAGAGTACTGGTCAAAATCTGCAGCGTAGTAGGGCAAGCACTCAGCGTGTGCGGGAGGGGGTGTAATGCAATGTATTGACGACCGGAGCAGTGAGATACAGGGGAATTATGCCAAGGTCAAACCTAGGTGCCAAGGGAGCTTCTTATACACAAGCTTTCCCTCGCCGGCCTGATCCTCCAGATCGCGAAAACCCGCCATGGTCCCCGCCCAAGGACCCTTATTGCTGACCAGATATGGGATGAAGCACGGCTGGCGCGCGTTAGCTCGGGGCGTATGAAACGAGGTGCGGCCCTGGGGGGACCGTTAGCGATAGCGAAACCCTCGTACGCCGGCTCCGGCTTGCCCAAGGCGCGCTTCGGCCGGGTCCGGTCTGGCAGCGAAGGAGGGTGTACAGGCGGCTCATGAGCCGTTTTGGCCGACTGACCTGTCAACGTGCGGCAGAGTAGCCCAAAATGGCCCTCAATCGCGGCGAGGGATCAATATGCGGTGGAGACTTGACGACTGTAAGATCGGGCCTAGGTCAAAAATAGGAAATAGGTGTGGTTCATTGCAGGAAGAGATGTCAGAGCTAAGCCTTTTTTTTGCCCTGCCGGCCACGTTTTCAGCTTATCATGTCGGCTATTTCCCTCGCTTTCGGGATCGCGTAGGCATCGCAATTCGAATCCCATGGGAACTGGGAACAGAATATGGCATTCCAAGGCCGGTAACGCGAGCGAGAGGCGCCGGATGCCCTCAGCTTCATCTCGAATAAACAAGTGCTTCTATTCCAAAAGTAGCAGGTTCCAATTACATGCCCTCAGATAGATGTGAGTATCCCACAATAAAGTAAAGCAAAACGTTGCATGGATATCAACCCGTCCAGTCTACCGCTTCGCCGAGCCCTGCAAAAACGCCGCTCGCTAATTCCTACACATTGAATACACTGTACACCATCACCCTTGCCAGGCCATGCAATTCACGGCCCGCTGATGAAAAAAGTGTTGTTGCCTGGCTTTCACATCTTATACCGTTGCAGATATGCGTCCTCGCTCCTGTTGACACTCTCGACCTTGCCTCAGTACTCCCTGGACGCAAATGCAATAACGGAATGGCATACTAGCCTGCGAGCAATCAATTGATACTTCAGACCGCTGCCGGACCTCTGGCGCCCGCGTCTGTGCTCTCGGACGCGTTGCGCCCGTCCTTGCCGAAGCCGTTGGTCTCCCAGAAGGGCGTCTGCTTGGCCGAGCCGTCCTTGAGCAGCCAGCCGAAGGGGTCGAGCAGCGTGATGAGGAAGTGGCGGTTGTCCTTGTACCCGTCGCCGACGAGCTCCGTGCGGCCGTCCTGCGCGAGGTAGACGCGGTGGTCCTGCGGCAGGTAGAGGCGCGGGTGCCGCAGGTTCCACATGCACGCGTTGGCGAGCATGACGGCGCCCTCGAAGACGTAGAAGAACCACTCGTAGCGCACGACGGGGCTCAGCGACATGGGGTCCATGCCGGGCCTGCGCTGCGTGTTCTCGCCAAAGTACTCGACCGTGCGGTAGATGCAGCGGACCATGACGAGGGCGCTCGACAGGTACAGCGTGGCAATGGGCGGGCGGATGCGGCGCGCGTGGTCGCGGCCGCCCTGCTTGGCGCAGCGGCGCTGGAAGACGGCGACGAGGGAGACGAAGAAGACGATGACGGCGATCTGAATGATCAGCGACGCCTTGAGCAGGGCCTCGCCGACCTCCTTGATGTCATCTTCGATGTTGGGGTTGACCATCCACGCCACGCCCACTGCGTTGAGGACCTCGACGAGGGCCGAGATTGTGCCAAAAGTTGTGAGTGTCCGGCCGGGGTGCATCGGTGCAAAGTACGGCACGAAGTAGAGGATGCGCCCGAGGATGTGGTAGTTTGCTAGCTCCACGAGTGGACTGGTCGAAACCCGTCGGTCAGTACTCTTCCCTTTTGCTTCCAGCCATTGCACCCCCAAGATGCTTACGGAGCCATGTAGATGAGTGTATTGCTCGCAATGAAGATGTTGACGTTGCCGTAGTCGAATGCCTCATAGCTCCGCAGCGCGAAGCCGACGACAAAGAGGAGGCAGGTGAACGGGTAGAGGCCTGTCACTTTGAAGGCCTTGAACTTGCTGAAAAAAAAACGGCAAGAAAAAGTCAGCACCTTGTCGGATTACAGGCGACTGCAGCTGGGCAACTCGAACACTGTCTGGGAGGGGAGTCAACACGTACATGCATTGGTACAGATGCCACAGTGCAGTGGCTGCCCACGCGACGGTGAAGAAGATTGCTGCACCTTTGTTCGGGCCATAGAAGTAGAGGCTGCCAGGCACTTCAAGACACGAGCATTGGTCAGTATTCAGGGGCAGGATATCAGCACAGCGCTGCTCGGAGCAACACACCTGGTTGTCCATCTCCTGAACCCATGGTTGCTTGTGTTGACTGGAGTACACGGGGTGGCTATGCGGTCTCGAAGATTGTGCCCGGGATAGGTATCGTACGCTAGAGAGGCTTCTTAGGATGTAATGTAATCTCTTTGCGATGGAGATCTGCCTTGGCGAGGGAAGTTTTGGACCAAGTTGAGGACAGAACAAAAGGAAGACAAAAGAAACTCGTCACTTCCAAGACAAGTTGTACTTGTATTTGAGGATGGTTTCGACGTCTTGACTTTGAGACGGGACTGGAGAATCCCAAGGCATATTATAATTATTCTTGATCCTCCCCCCTGCCTCAACTTAGTTCGTCCAGGCCAGAACCATGACGTCTCGGGCGTGCCGTCCTACAAGGCTGTTTGTTTGGACTGGTGTTCAGGGTCCATCCGAGATGATGCGTGATGATGGTCTTGATGCCAAGCGCTGAGCACTTCCCAAAGCGGCAATACAAAGTACAGATACTCTCGCCAGGCTGGCCCTGCGGGTTCTTGAGTCCTGGCGATACTATTGGTCGGCGGTGTCTCCTAGAGGCGATGCAGGCTCAGCCAGGTCAGCCCTTGGCTCGCCCTCCTCCACAATTTGTCTCGACGCTTGTCTCTGTCGGGCAATGCCTCGTGGATCCCCGGATCTCTGTCGCCAAATTAAACTCTGGTGCACAGCCGCCACGGCATGGTCCTGCTTGATGGGCCCCCAAGCCTCAGGTGCTTGCCCCTCTCGTATCCGCGACGTATCGCTGGGCTGCGCGTATCCGTACTAATTCCTCGATCGAGACGACACGCGAACGCCGCCGTCTCCAAGAAGCTTTTAACAACCATCCGGCCTGCCGTCTTGTCACAAGTTCCGGGCGCCGCCTGCAGCCACACACACACAATCAAGTACACTCTCGTCATAGGGCACATAATAATTTCTTTTTTTGACCCGCCTTGAAAGACCCGCACCTGCTTCTAAGTCGATCTGCTTTGTTGCTGTTGCTGTTGCGGTTGTTGAAACCGGCCCTTGGCATATTATTATCACCAACCAAGCAAGATCAGGAAATCCAAAGTACTCCATTGACCTATCTCGGCCTCTGTCTCCCCTCCCCCATCCTCTCTGCAAAGAGCAGAGGATCTTTTGTTACCCAAACCTCGGTGCATCTCCCTGATCTGGAAAAGGTTTGGAGTAATCCTTCCGTGATGGGCGGCCCTAGTACTGCTTTAACAGCGCCTGCTGTCTCAAAGCGGCAATGCTGGGAATGCCTTCGTCGCCAACTCGTGTGTGACTCGGCGTACCCCGTCTGCAACCAATGCAGGACAAAGGGCATCACCTGCCCCGGCTATGAGGACAAGAAACCACTCACCTGGCTGGCCCCGGGCCGCGTCACATCACGCACGAGGAAGCGTCGCAAAAGCCCAGTCTACACCACCACCACTGCACCTACTCCCAGCCCGGGGCCCAAGTGCAAGCCCAAGCCCAAGTCCAACTCAAATGGCCGTCCCCCTAGCACCAGCCTGGTCACCCTAGAGCCACTCCCCGACCAAGTATCCGAGCCAGCCGAGCCAGACTCCCGGCAGCTAGCTACAGCCCTGACGCAGATCACACTGGGGAGTGTGGGGGGAGTGCCGCGTGTGGTGCTGAGAACTGAGGAATGCGATGCCTATCATGCGGCATATTACTGTGAGTTGTCACCCTCCTCAGCTGCCTTGACCCCATACGTATCCGATCGTATCCCGCAATCTTGTCTCCCATCCCGCATGGCAGCTCCCAAACCCATGGGTCCCGTACCCGGGACAAGCCTCCCACCCCATAGAGTGCATCCAATCGGAGACAAGGGGGGGAGGGAGGTGAATCAGCGTTGACCAGAGTACCGCAGATAACGACAACATATACCCAGACCTGGTGGCCACCCAGCTGGCCGACACGCCCTTTGTGCTCCCGTCCCTGCACAGGTTCGTCGACTACCTGCCGCCGGCCATGCGCCACATCATCGTGGCCATGGCGTACTCGCACCACATCCTGCACCGGCCCTACGAGCCGGACAAGGAGACCCTCGGCCGGGAGCTGGCGGCGTTCCACCGGCACAGGGGGTACGCCATCCAGGCGCTGAACAAGGAGATCGGGTGCGACGCCAGCCGCGGCACCGACGCCACCATGGTGACCGTGCTCATGTTCCTCATGGCGGAGCTGCAGCAGTCCCCGCTGCCGAGCTGGCGCCAGCACGTCGACGGCTTCATGGCCCTCATGGCGGTGCGCGGCGAGTCCCTGTCCGAGCTCATACGCCGGGCCAAGCACAGCCGGGCCGGGCTGCTTTCCTTTCTGATGTAAGCTTATTATTCTACTGGGGGCGTTGAGGATAAAAGTCGCTGACTCGTTTTCTTCTCATTCACCTCGACATCTAGCCTCACCGTGTACAGCAACACCACGAGCCCGCCCGCCGAGCAAGTCATGGTCGAGGAGCTCATCGAGGCCATCGAGCCCGTCGGGGACCTCTACAGCTTCGCAATGTACCCCAACGCGCCCGCGCCCCTCGAGATCTTCCTCTGCATAGCGCGCATCAACCTCCTGCGCCACCAGGCCGCCAGCGCGTCTCCGGAGGTGCGGGCCGCGGCGCTGCGCCCGGCCGCCGAGCAGATCCTGCAGTCCATCCTCGGCTTCGACGCCGAGGCCTGGGCCGCCTCCCACGCCGCCTACCTCGACGAGTGGCGCGTCGTGGCGCGCGCCTTCCGCGCCGCCGCGGCGCTGTACCTCGCGCACGCGCTGCAGCACCTGTACCCGCTCGCCGCGCGGCGCGAGCAGCTGCGCGCGCTGACGCGGCACCACGGTGCCGCCCTGAGGGCCTCGCTCGGGGAGGCGGCGGCGCGGCCGAGGGCGCGCCGCGGCATGGCCTGGCCGCTCGTCGTGGCGGGCGTGACGGGCGCCGAGGACGAAGGGCTGCGGCGCCTGGTCAAGGAGGAGCTGGTGCGCCTGGGCCGGGAGCAGGGGGTCGCGTCGCCGGCGCAGGCGGCGCGGGTGCTCGAGAGGTACTGGGACTCTGGGCGGAGGGGGTGGGACCAGTGCTTCGACGAGCCTTATGCGCTTGTGTTGTAGTGTCCGGGGTGGTGGATGGAAGTCTGGCTTTTGTTCCTTTTCTGTTAATAAGAAAATCAAGGTGCATTATCACGATACGGAATCGCGGGGTTCATGGGAAGCGATGGTCACGAGGAGCTGGGAGCGGCGCGCCTTCCGCAGTGATGAAGTTCATTGTCAGGACTCTATTTTTGTCTCCTGCTCGCCATCGCACACTTTGTGAATGCTGGCTGACTATCTTAACCGACCTGGTTGGTGATGTACATGATCGCCAGTGCTTTTCCGGTGAATCTCCTTCTTGATTCAACGCCAGGTATCTCAGGAGTGATACTTCCTGAAAGGTCTTCCACCTCTAGTTGGCGTTGTCATCAACGGAGATATCCATCTCCTTGTCGGAGTTATCCATCTTCTCATCCTCAGACTCATCGTTGTCGTCAGAATCATCCTCCTCCTGGTCGTCAGAATCATCCTCGTCCTGGTCGCTGGACACCACCGGCTCCGTCACCTTGGTGTACTCAACGTCCTCGCCGTTGAGAAACCTACGGCTTGCGCAGGCCCAGTCGCGTGAAAGAATATCAAGCGATCGCTCGTAGTGTCCGCAGGCCTTGTCTCCAAGCACCTTTTCCTTCCGCCATTTGTCGACAAGGTGGCTGCACCAGCCAGCAGCTCGGAAGACCTGCTCATAGACGACATACAACTGCAGTCTCTGAGTTTCGTCATCAATATCGCAGAAGCGGTAGTCGCGATGAGCTTCGCTGGCTGGTACGAGCAACTCGTGGTAAAAGACTGCCTCCTTCAGGTCGTGAGCGGTGTTTGAAGGCAGACCCTGGTGGTGGATCTGTTGGTGCAATGTTGTTGAAGTAGAGACGCACTTCTCACTGCAGAAGAATCCATGGCCGCAGATGAAGCAGGACTGAGTTGTCTTTGTTCCGCACTTCAAGCAGCGGCCTTTCGGGGTCTTGGTCTTGCCCATCGTGAAGAGTCTGTCTATAAGCTGAAAAGGTCAGGGTGGGATAATTATCAGATAACGGTGTTAAGAACCTACAACTGACAGTCGATGTGAGATGGTTGATGGATTCACTAGATGCTTGGGGGTGGGCATCTGAGTCTGGCAGTTAAGGTTGCCTTTTTCTGAAAACCTTTTGTGAATGTGGATGAGTTTGGGGGAAGGAGACAGACTTGACTCAAGGAAAAAGAGAACAAGAAAGTGGGAGGAGTGGCAGAAGTCTGGGAGAAGGTCGGGACAAAGTCGGGAGAAGGTCGGGTAGTTCACAACAATTCACTTAAACCTCTATCAATTGTGTCATTATCACCGAGAGCTGTCATTTTGTCTTTGAAACACAGGCATTGTGTTCATTGCGCTTCTTTAACGGTGTGTAATCTATAATGTGATCCATCTTGCTTCTGACAGGTTGACTGAGCACTAATTTCTTATTGAACAGATTTATGCCGTGATGCTGAAATTGACTTTTCGCAAGGTGAGAAACAACTCACTTGAGACCCCTTCTCCATGTCAGCAGGCGAGCCACATGACGTGAAAATATTGAAGGAAGCTTACCAGGGAGAGTCGGATCTGATTTTGATGATAGTACACTCTTGCTGGTCCATCCAACCTTTGTCCCACAGCTGAACTAGTCCAGTTCTCTTCGTCTTAACATGTCCACGGCTCAGACGGGGTAGCCCTGCTTGCGGCAGATAAACCTCTGCTTTGCTTCAAGCTGAGTACCATAATCCTCCTCCGTGCCCTCAGTATCCATCGGCATGAGGATCCAGTAAAGATCGCTCTTGCCATTCAGGAAAGCGTAATTCATCTCGACCCAGTGGCGGAGGGCCAGCAGGCGCATGTCGTAAGGGGATGAAAGGGGGTGCACGCCGTTGGTGGGAACGGGGATCAGCGTGAAGATTCCGGCCAGCTTCGTTCCGAGCACCTTGTTCTTGCGCCACCTGTCGATCAGCTCGGGCGATGCCATGGTTTCGTCCCTGATGTTTTCCTCACTATCCCTCTTCTCCTCGCAGACGAAGCGGATGGTGTCGTACAGATTGCTCTCTTCGCCGCATTCTCTCATAACGGCGACTCGGAAATCTGAGTAGAACTCCATCGGTCCGTTATACGGTATCGAGAAATTGGCAAAATGCGTGGCGTAGTACACTAGTTCGTGTGCAGATGTCTCCAGATCCTCTCTGTCGGAGTGGCACCTGCTCTTGTGGTCCTCAGTGGACAGCCCGGCGCACCTCTCCTGGCAGAAGAACTCGTTGTCGCAGACAAAGCATAGATTTGGGGTGATGTCGCCGCAGCGAAGGCAGGGGCCCATTGCGGCGGCCATTCTGGTCGTGGTCGCAAGGGGTGATTTGTTGTCTGGTCGGCAGTGGCGCGACGAGGCTTGCCGTATAGCGACGTTGATGTGGATTGGGGATGGGGTGTGTTCTGTGGGATGATGAAGACACCGATGCTCAGTAGATGGGAAGATTTGAAGAGGTTGGTGTCTTGAAAGCAGACCGAGATGAGAACTGTAACATATATCTCAACTTAGTCTAAGATCAAAGTGAGAAAGCAGTGATGAACACAGTGAGGCTGACTCAAGAAGATATCTTGAAAATCGTAGGGGCCACAAACCAACCAGGAGACAAATGTTTACACCATGATCTGCTCTGCCTGAACCCTAAGGTGTTACCAGGCGTAATGAAAATGCAGCGTGTCTTATCTTTTGCTTTACCTCGATGCCCCGAGAGTATGATCTGAGGATGAAAGGTTGGAGTCAGGAATGTATATCCCGCTGGTGGACTTTAATCCGCACCACTTACTCATGTCGTTGAGCGTTTGTTGTCCAATCTAGGGCCCTAGGCCAATGTAGCTAGGCAGTCAGTCTCTTTACAGCAATCCCGTCAGCTCTATCTACCACAGTCCATCGTCTGCATTATTGATGCGTCATTGCAAAATGGACTCAAGGCAACACATCAAACATTATATGGTATCTCACACAGTCACCTTGCCAGCAAACCGGCTAGAACATACTAGGCTTTTCATACACAAACAACTATCTTTCAGTTTGCTCATATAGACTAACTTTGACCTCAAATTTACTACAGACCCCCCGCCCCCCATAGAATGCAGTTATCATACCTATATCAATCTAAATAGAGTACGTAGTTTCTATAGGGGGTGGGATGGTGCAATGGTTTATGACCACGATAACGTGGATTCCATTTAATAAATAGCACGCCATCCTACCCTCACGACGGAGGACACCACAGAAATTTCTTAATGTGGCTGGTCTCGTGTTCGAGCAATTGAAGAAAAACTGCGAAAGTGGTTTTTCGTAGGTCAGGGTTCGAGTGACACCTTGGCTGATCTTTTTTTGCCCCCTTTCTGGCCTTTTTCTTGTCTCTCGCTTTTTGGCCTTTACTTTTGGGTGTAATGATATAATCTTAGATTTTATTACTCAGGAGTAAGTAGTACTCCAGTAAACGGACTCGCGTGCCCACCGTACATGGCAGGCCGCTCATCGAGAAGTTACCATCCTGATCTTACCCTTGTGTTATTGGGTAGATAGCACGGCCGTCAAACCCCGTGGCCGCAGAATCTGAGTCCGCGAACCACTTGATTTCCTTACCCAGACTACGGCTTCATAAGGATGATGCTTTGCTCTCCCAACAGTCTGGGCGTATTGAACAAATGCTGGAAAAGCACATGTGTCCAGGCGGCCGAGAGTCTTGATTCTCTCGCCGAATAGAATTCTAAGAAGGATTTGTAAGCATTCGGGAAGCGCAGCCCGTGAACTCACTAGGCTATTGATCTAGAGATGCCTCTGAGAGTTACGGACAATGTATTGAATGAAATGTTTCAAGATTTTGGTTCCTTAGCAACTCACTGAAAGGTTACACTGAGCTTGGTCGGTTTCTCAGGACCCTAACATTCCGAAGGATTTCAAGTCCCACTTAGCAATAGGGGTGTGGACTGGGTATCGACTTTCGAGCTGACACAACTACCTGTTTGGGCCATGATAGCTTACTCGAGTGCGTGCAACTTAACAACTCCAGAGCAGCCAGCGCAAAACACCATCGTCGATGATACATAGCTAAGCACATCGGGCGATGCGAATCCCATTCCTAGTGTCATACCCAGAGCACATCGACTAACTCTATGATTTTCACCATATGTGTACCTACCCCGAAGGCAGATGGAATATACCCCGGCTTATTTGTCAGCTTACGAAGTAGGCCGTCAGTCTAGAGCAATCCCATAGCCAAATTACTATGTGGGCCTATCTATCCAGTACCACATCCGCATTCCTAAAAAGGGTGGAAGCCCCCGACTTTCCTCGTCCTCTAGCTTTCTCAGAATCAACGGCCTTTTGGCAATGATACCGCCTGATACCTGGCCTTTGACCCTGAACTACCAAGTACTCGCCTCTCTGTACCCACTGCGATATTCAGCAACGGCTGATGTCAATGCAAATGAATGGGAACGAAGGCACAATTATAGTCACCGGCGCCAGTGGTGGCCTCGGCGGCGCCATAGCGGCTCGGATCGCTTCGGATCCGCAGTATTCCACTTACAAAGCGCTCTACACCGGGCGCGACGAGCAGCGCATGTCGAACCTTACGGCCGCCCTCGCAAACGCACAGGCTCCTCATCGACATGAGGTCCTGGCCCTGGACTTGACAAAGCTCGAGAGTGTTCGCGATGTGGCCCGGGACGTCAATGTAAGCCGATTCGGGCGTCCCAGCTCGAGATGACTCCGCAAGGAATCTTTATGTTGCATATGGATCACGCGCTCATGCTCTCGTACTGCAGGCTCGCGTCGCTACCGGCAAGCTCCCGCCCATCCGGACCCTGATCCTCAATGCTGGCTTTCAAGACTTCGGCCACCAGTCATTCACAGATGACGGCCTCGACACGGTCTTTGCTACCAACTATCTCGGCCATTGGCTGCTGACCCTTCTTTTACTACAAAGCATGGATAGGGAGAAGGGGCGTGTTGTTGTGATCGGAAGCCAGAGCCACGAGTAGGTGTTGCCCCTTTAAGCCTTCCAGCTTTCCTTGTCCCCAAGCGTGGCCACAGAGAAGCACCTCTGCGCCGGACCATCAAAGGATTCATGGCGCCCTAATCATTGAAGAGACAGTAAGCTTATTCGCAGAATTACAGTCCCCACGACCCTCGAAACGCAAGAACGGGTGCCTTTGACGACCCAAAACATAAAACCATCATCTCCGACGCCGCAAGCTTCGAGGCGATCGCAAAGGGCACGTTCAGTTCCGCCGCCGAGGACCCGACCTGGCGGGGTGGGTTTCGAAGATACGGCGCGTCCAAGTTCCTCGCGATCATGATGCAGCACGAGCTGCAAGCGCGGCTGGACAGAGACGACAGGCTGAAGAACATCTGCGTCGTCGGCGTCGACCCGGGCACCCTGATCACGGGCCACACTCGCCTGGCACCATGGTTCATCCGCGTGGTCCTGTTCTCGATCATATACCCGGTCATACTCTATCTCATTCCCAACGGGCCTATTAGGTCGGTGAGCCGCGCAGCAGAGGACGTCTTGTCGGCGGGCGTCGGGGCGGTCGACGAGCACGAGCCGCCGCGGGACAGGTACTTTTTCGGGAGGGAACCGATGCCCACTTGTGAGGAGTCGAGGGATCCAGAAAAGAGGAAGCTGGTATGGAGGGAGACGGTCAAGTTGGCGGGTTTGGAGACTGGCGATACTATTCTCGCAGACTGGCAGTAACTGAGCAGGCCCTAGCCGATCGGTATCAAGTCCGGGGATAGGATCTGTACTTAGAGAACGCCAATTTCGTATCTGATCACGCATCGGCAAATAACCGTCATTATTGATGTGTGGCAGGCACACGGCATGGTGTACTGATTGGCACGTTAGCAGGCATGTTTCTGGGAGCATCCCAAAGCAGACAAAGCGAGATCTTCCATAAGACCTATGAAGAAAGATAGTCAGAGACTGGCTCTTGACGAAAGGTATCGTACAGCGTATCTCAAACCTGCCTCCTTTGACTAGTAAATATTTGAACCCTTCGCAGTAGAAATACAGACCCAAGTTTCGTCGTCATGTTCCCATCCAGATTTCCCAATGAAAACGAGAATACCAAAAGCTTCAAGCAACTTCAAAAAGAAGAGAAAGCAAAAAGAAAGACGAAACCGGGCTCAAGCACCTCAGCCCTTGGTGAGGTACAGCCAAACCACATCCTTGTCGCCGGGAAGCCCGGTGCGATCCCCGTTCCAGCCCAACGACGAGATCGGCCTCTCCATCTCGTCCAACTGATCCCCGGAGAAGTGCAGGCCCTTGTACCATTGCCCGTTCCCGGACCCCATAGTGACCTCATAGATGTGGTTCATCATCGGGTTCGGGTTGTCCGCGCCGAACCCCTTCATGAGGTCCCGGAGCTTGACGTTGGTAGGGACCATGCATGCGTGAAAGTCGATCTTGAAGTCGGTAGACAGTTGCCAGGGGAGAATGCCGCCCGTCTTGAGCACGTGGACTTTTGTGTGCTCGGCCGGAAAGAAGTAGTTGTAACCGGGCTCGCAGCCCACGCCGCCGGTCGAGTTCGCCAGTTGCGCAGCCGGCATGTCCGGGTTGAACGCCGGCGGATTCTGCGGCGGGCGACTGCCAAGGCCCAACGTGTTGAGCCACTGCATGGACCAGGGGTTGCTGAGCTGGCTGTACCAGGAATATAGATTCCAGGCTTGAGCCATGTTAAGGGGGACCATACATCCAGCGCCGGCTCCCCTGGGAGGAGGCTGGGCTCCTGCATCCCTGCCAAACACCGAGTTTGCGCCTTGTGGTCCGTAAGCGTAAGACATCTTGCTGTCGGGTTGACTGATACCGCGAAACGACTTCAAAGAAGCGGCCGAAGCTGAACCTGAATGTGGTGAACCTTTGGCTTGCTTTGAAACTGAAGGGACAAGATGTAGAAAAAGGAAAAGGAAAAGAGGTGGAGTGCAGAATCGTGAAACAATGTTGTCTTATATAGACAAAAGGGCAATGAAAACAGTATGCTATTCACCCCTCCTTAGGGCTGTCGTCGAGGTGCGACTGTCCGCACCTGATGAGGTGCCTGAGACCCCATGACATAGGGGTGAACTGGTGAAATTGACTCATATTGGAACCGAGTAGGCTACCCATTCGCTTTTGAGCTTCTTCTAGTTCACCCTCTGAGCTGAATATGCCAAAGAATGACTCACAAGTCATGTGCATCGACGCACTCGCAAAGGGTGAGTTCAGTACCCTGGTCAAGAAAGGAGATCAGGGATTGTTACCCGGGGAGCAAGGACGAGGGGGTGCTTCACCTGCAGCAAAGAACTCTTCAGTGTAACCACAAGCAAAAAAAGAAAAGAAAAAGGTCGGATGGCAATATGTGTGTGTATTTGAATAGAGAATATGAAGCAATCTAGCTAGTTCTCTAGTCGTGCAGCTGCAAAGATATATCAAACACAAATAATCGAGTTTTGCGCCTCCTCAGGAATTCATTTTTTTCCACGACGATGGCAAGAGACAAATCGGAGAGAAGCATACAGTCCTTGCGAAACACCAGAAAAATACCAGATAAGCCAGAGAGATACATGTCTTGACAGAAATCAGCAAGCAAACCAGACAAGAAAAATCATAACCACGGGAATTTCGATATATGAGGGCTCATATTGCTGATATCCGGAACCGCCTCGGGGCTGTTACGCCGACCAGGTGGCGGTGGAGGCGAAAGGCATCTGGGGTCAAAGTCAGGCTTGAGTTTGCTGTTGGGTGGAAGGCGCCGTTCGGCAGTCACCTTGCCTGGTACACGGGTGTAAGGGATGTCTCGATTAGCATCGGGCCTCTCCTTCGGCGGCGATATACCGTTGATGAAGAAACGGTTCTTGAAGGCAAATTCGTAGGCGTCTTTGTCTATCTCTTCCCAGTGCTTCAGGAAGAGTTCGCATATCATATCGCCCAGAATGCCCTGGCATCGCCAGGCGTGCACATCCTTAGTGAGAGCTCCGCAGGGCTTGAACAGGTTCTTGTAGACGCGGAGAAGATCAATCATATCCATCCGGTGGTGCAGCTCGTTGAAGTGGAACTGATCCAACCAATGGTGCTCCTCTTCCGGGAACGGCCAGGTATCCTCGAGAGCGAAATACTTGAGATGCTCAGACGTGAGCTCACGTCGCGGGGCTTTCCTTGGAGGAATCGGGATCTTTTCGAACAGTCAGTAATTTCCCAGCGAGCCTATGAAGTAAAGGACTTACCGGCGCTGGCGGCTCTACTTTGATCGAGCTGGACGAATCGGCCTTAACAGGAGGTTGAGATTTCTTGGATGGCGCAGTCACAGGAGGATTCCGCCGAAGCACCTCCAACAAAGCCTTCTGGGCCGCTGACTGGCGTTTCGGCTTGCCGGAACTGTCGTTGGTAATGTCACGCAGGGATTGCCTTCCAGGCAATTCAGACTGTGCGGGTGGCATCGTGGGTTCCGGAGCCCGCACGTTTGCGTGCTGAAATGACAGCAGGGACGACGAAGAGACCAGAGAAGTGTCTGAAAGAATGAGGAATCAAAGTCGCGGGCCGCTCAGGGAGTAGTGTTGTTGCCTTGAGGGTAGTGACGCTATTGCAGATCAATATTGTGGTTGGGGTTGACCAGAGTCGGTTGCAACTGGTGGAAGGCTGGCGTTTGCAAAGGAACGGCTGCTCATATCATGATAAATTTTGCCTGGGAGATAAAATGCAGACGACCTCTCCAACCTAAATCAGAGTGACGGATGGAAGATATCCTGTGGTGGTTGGTGGGTGAGTCAAGCTGGAGATATCTGATTTCCGCAAGCAACAAGAGAGAATGGTCGCAATTTCCCTTATTGGATTTCTCCCCAAATAGAACCTACAACGTTGGAAGCTCTTTCCATTATCGACAAGCCACTTCCTCGCCTGATAGCAACGAAACCGGTCGCCCCTAGGCAGTGACACTGGCAACGAATCACGAGCTTGATAAGGGGCCAGCAGCTCAACTCGACTTTGAGATAACCACAGCACGCTGGATAGGTAAATAATTTAGGTACACTACCCAGATCCAGGGTCAAAGAATCTCTCGGCATAACTATGAAGGACTGTAACCACTGGTCTGGCTGCGAGCCTGATCATCTCATCAGGGGAACACTCTCCTGACGGCGGGTAGGCTGTCATGTCTCTGTCGTCTAATACCCAACGTCAATACTCAGAATTGAAGATTCCATAGAATGGCTTTAATCAGATGGCGGTCAGTGTTCATTTCGATAGATCATGGCTTCATCCCATAGACATCGCGTAAACAACCGTTTATCAGCCAGTAGACTCGATCCCACCAGGCTTTGAAGACGAAGTACTTATTCTAATTTTTTTATTTCCATTCGATATGTGTGCTCCCAAAAAATATCTCGTATGTCAAGATATCTCACTGGTAGGCACCGGCCAATATTTGAAATATTCCCACACGCAAACTCATCAGGAGGGAAGGTAAGTGGTATCCCCCGACAAGCTGAGATCGACAGGAAGATCTCCAACTCGACGAAACTGACAGAGGCGAGGGCATGAACTATCTTTATATTACAAACTCTACCCCACCCGCGCATTATTTCAAAAACAGAAGCATCTACTCCCAAGTGACAGCATAATTGACCGGCACAGACGCCCTGCACCCTCACAAGCTATTGCGAATGCAATGAACACTACAGGTGAGTCTCCGCCTACTTGATGGACTGTATTCTTTTCAAGGCTGTAGCTCTTAGGGTGCTAATGCAATGAACAGCTGTGCTCAACAGTCGAATAGCTCAGCCCGGTCTTTAGTCGCTCGTCGCATAATATTGCTTTTGCTTATGGCCGTAACTACCAGCTTCGATATTGAAATTTTCAGCTCCAGTTACACCGGACCTCTTTATCATTCTCGGCGGCGGCCCACCCTGCGGCCTCGAATCCTTTCCCGCATGAGGATACGCTGCTCGGGATCATTCTCGGCGAAGGAATGATGCGGTTCTGCATCCTGACTGTTTTGGGCATCATGGATATTGACGAGGTTGGCGGGAGGATACGAGATTCGTCCATCGACATGCCGTCCGCGGCTCACCGCTTCGGGCCTGCACCGTTACATACGGCAGGCCATACGAGAGCTCAGCCGACGCGGGCTTGCAGCAACGGTGGGTTCCTTCCGTCGCACAGATGGAAGACTTCTACGCCTGGCTGGTGACTGTCTCGTCCCAGCCCGCCGGAAAGTGTGCGCTGCACAGAAACGTGGCTGGGGAAGCTCAACAGCTCCAGGGTTCTCAGGCACCGGGGCAATCTAGGTGCTTTTGCCCGCCTCTTGGTCCTGCAACGTTACGAGGGATGGAAGCGGCCGTGTCCGTCCCGGGGCGTGGGCTAACGCATCGCGTGCTGGGCTGCTGTCAGTGTGGCTTGGTGTCGGTCGTGGAACCAGTGAGACCGAGACTTGTGCACCAATGGGGCAATAGATCAGGCCGCCATAAGCCAGCACCAGCAAATCAAGCCTCAGGTGGCGGCCAAAAATAGCAAGAGTGGGCAGGATCTGCAGTGCCGGACGTGGGATAAATGCCGGAGATTCGCGGGGAAGCTCACAGGGCACATTCACACACGCACACACGCCAATGGAGGGAGGAATGGAGGTGCCACCAGCAAACGGGCTGGCAAAGCAGCCAGCCCAATAAGGCGCCGGATCGTCCGTCGGTCGGGTAGAACCCGCTCCCAGGGGTCCATGTTAGGCCTGGTGTCCGTGGTGGCCCTCTGTCAGACCGTCCACTACCGGCTCAATCTGCAGACACTTTGGCCCTGGGTGGGACAGCTGGGACAGGCACCCCAGCAATACGAGGTCTTGGCCAGTGCTAAGATCGCCCGCCCGACGTCACACATGGAACCCTTCTTTTTCCTTCCTCGGCGCAGAATGGCAGCAGAGGCCTGGAGAGGGTCCTCGCCCGCAAAGCCTGCAACCTTACAAGCCGGATAATCGGGAGACCTCTGTGTCGACTGCGACGCTACGACAGCACGGGACCAGGTTTGGCTTTGCTGAACCGGCCTTTTCCACCACCTTGCATCGTCATCACGAGCCCAGGTGGTTGGTGGTCTGCCATGGGGCCCAAGAGCGTGAACAGATCGTCACTCTTCATGGCCAAAGGAACTTGTTCAAGTCCAGGTTGCAACCAAATATAAATACTTCGTCCTGTCGCCAGTCGATCTCTATTTCCAGGATCCCCATCAAACACAGCACACTACTCCAAGAACCGGCAAAGAGCATCTCTTCCAACCCAGGAACGTCATCCTCATTCGCTCCCACACGCACCCCATTCCCACAAAACAGGCTTTCTACTTGTAGCAGATCCTGCAAATCCCATCTTTATCCCAACCTTCACCATGTACACCACGCTCGCCGCCGCCCTCTCCCTGCTCTCGGTCGCCTCCGGCGCCGCCATCGGCATCCGGGACAACAACCCCGGCTGCCAGGCCGCCTCCATGGGCGACTTTGAGTGGAAGATCACCGGCTTCGACTACCACGCCTCGTACATCTTCACCACGCCGGCCCACCAGAACTCGTGGGGCTACGTCAACTTCAACGTCAGCAACCCGGCCCTCGCCTACCACGCCACCTGCTCCGCGACCAGCAACCAGCTCTCCGACTTCTTCTACGGCACCGTCAACTACAAGTGCACCAACCCCGAGGGTACCCCGGCGTCCACTGTCACAACCTTTGCCTGGAACTACCCGGCCGGCAAGCTCGACCTGAACCAGACCTGGACCTGCAGCGACCTGGACCCCCAGTACCCGTAAGTTTTCTTTGTGCTCCGTCCCGCGTGCATGAATCACTGAGCAGTCTTTTGTTGACTAACACGCATCCCTCCAGTGCCCGCTTCAACGCCTACGGTACCACCCAGGTGCCCCAGGAGTGCAAGGACGTCACCGAGACGAACCCCGACTGGCAGATGGGCCAGATCTACTCCAGCCGCACTGTCACCTGTGACGTCGTCGACCTCACCATCAAGCCCTACGAGATGACCGCTGTCGCTTAAGCGGATCGCCCTCATCACGCCACCTTTTACGACACGACCTTGTCGCGGCACAACACGACACCTTTTAGACGCACATAATGATTTAATTAGAGTTAATTGCATATTGAATACCCTCCACCACGGGCGGGGGAACGAAAACGAACGACGCGGGCAACATTCGGGACGATGGAGTTTGTGGGGATTTTATGGTCAAGGAACGAGAGCAACTTGGTTACGGCGTTCAGACACGACTGCATCATGGACGGATGACACACTCCTTTCGAAAAAGGGCAACGACTTTTTTGCATAGATGATGGGAAAAGGGAGTTTACAGATACCCCACAGACATACACTCCTTAGACGACTTGCATGGTACATAATGATATTTGCAAACTGCTTCAGCAGCACATTCACGAGACAGACCCTTTTTCTTGTTCATTAGTGATATTTATTATGTTGATTAACTGCGATCTTTTGTAATCCCATGCCCGCATGGTATTCTCCCGTTCGGATCGAGTGAGAACCACAAAGATCTCCCTCGGCTTCTGTCCCTTGCTTCAACGCAGACGGAGCAGCCAGTTCAAGGCCTCCCGGTCGCGCTTCCGCAAGTACTCCTGGACCTTCTTCCTCCCTGCATGCCTATGCTTGCGCCTCGCGAATCGCCGCCGAGTGCACCCGTCGCACAGGTGGTCGCGGTACGTCAGCGGCGGCTCCGCATGGCGGTAGGGCAGGTCCTCGCAGTCTTCGTCCGGGTCGTCGCAGAAGACGCACTTGAAATTCCACGGATTCGAGCCCACCGGAGCCCAGCGCTTGCCGCAGCGCGGGTCGGCGCAGATCCGTTCCACGGGGAGGCCGCACATCGTATGTGTCGTGATGTATATATATTGGGGAGAAGAGGTATAAGTGAAGGACTTTGTGTGTGTGTCGCGGTGTCTCAGTGGTGATGCAAAATTGCCGGGTGCAAGGCGGAAGTAATACGTCATATCCCTCGATCGGCCGCCGACGCGGTGGGGAGTATTTATACTTCAAGGTGTCGGGTGGATGGCCGGTGAGAGTGGACTTGTTCGCGGACATGCTTCTTGATCAAGGGCTTCTTTTCTTTGAGACAAGTCAGCAATGGTCAAGGCGTTGAGACATACTGTCTTTGTCACGGCAGCACACAAAGCGGTATATTTTAATGATGCATGTATTGAATGGATTAATAATGACGAAATGAAGAAGAATCCGTGGAAAAAAATTAGGAAGATCAGCCTGACTGATCCGTAACTTGTTCCTTTTCCTCCTTGAGCAAAGCGTTCGTCGGCGTCATTCTTTCCATCCCTCGATCGCGGGCCAACTCGTTCCGTGGTATGATGTAAGTCGTGAAAGAAAGCGATAATGTAGCAAAATAAAAAGCAAAATGTGTAAAGAGGGAGCTGTCGAACTCCCATCCGTCGAAAGTGCAAATGTTCCATCATAAATAAGACCAAAGGTGGCGATCTCCCGTCCCGTCAGTGACGATCGCAGCATTCCAGACCGCGCCGAGAGGGACCGCCTTCCATCAGTACCACCCCAAGAGGTCTTAGGCGAAGGGCAGCCGAACCTTCTTGCCGTCTCTGTCCTCGAACCTGCACCAATGCCGCGCCGTGTCGGCGCAGTACATCTCGCAGCGGCGGCACTTGCGCATACCGCTCGCGCTCAGGACGCCCTCCTCCTAGTTGGGCACGTCGGGCGCGTCGTAGACGTCAATCTCGCAGTGCTCCACGTCATCCTCGGCGCCCTCGTCGTCATCATCGTCCAGGGAGAGCTCCTTGAGGGAGATGAGGTCGTCGTCTGAGCGGAGGCGACGGAGGCGCGAGCGCGTGCCGGGGACGGCCCTGACGGCGGCGGCGAGCTTCGCCTGGAAGGCGCTGCGGGTCTGGGGAGGAGGGGAGGCCGGGCGGTAAGGGGAGCGTCCGGCACGCTTGATGGGGAACGCGGGGACGTTGGGCTTCTTTTTCTCCTTCTCCTGGAGGCGGGCGCGGAAGGATGGCTTCTTGGTCGGGGTTTCTTCTTCGGAGTCATCGACATCACCAGGGGTACGGGGTCCAGACGTTGTGCCGGGGCTTGGCTCGTTCGAGTTGCTGAGGCCCGGGGTCTTCTGAGGCGTCTGGTAGGAGGCGGCGTTGGGGTAGCCATATGGGAACCACATGGGTCGGGGCCTGCAAACAGGATGTTAGTGAACAATATTCTCACACACTGGCGGGAAAGGGAGACTGTACTGATTGGCGAAACCCTGTGTCTGAGGAGAGTATCCGTAAGGATACATGTAGGGTCCTCCGGGGTAGTAGACGCCTGGATAGCTCACTGAACGCTGGTACTGAGCTGCCTCCGTCTCGACCGGACGAGTGCTGGTCACGGGGGTACTGGGGGTTCGCTGACCCTCATTGTCACCCGGCTTGGGCCCCAGATACCCACCCTGGGTCGGAACCGGGTGAGGAGCCGCCACGTTGTATGGCATTGGATACTGCGCCATGGTCGGTGTCATGCAGTTCTGGTAGTAATAGTGTCCGTACGCGCCACCAGCACCGTAGGCCGCAGGGTAGAAGTAGGTCCGCTGTGGAGTCGCGGCGTCCTCGGGATTTTCCTCCCCATTGGAGAACTGACCACCATACTGAGGGTAGGAGTAGTAACTCATGATGAAAAGGAGTACTGACTCTTGGAACTCGTCTTTTTCTTTCTTTTTCTTTTCGAAAGGGGATATTGATAGTGATATTAACTGGTGAAAGTAAAACGATGCTTGAGACCCAGACCTGAGTGATGGCTGGCGAAGGTGAGGTGATATTAGTCCTGTCGACAGAAGTACTTCATATCAACGAAGGTCGCCTTCGATGATATCGGAGGACCAATTCCGGTGATAAGATGAGTCGGGTGGTGGAGTGACCACGATCTTTGATCAACCTGGGATCTTGGCTTCTGGGGTGTGGAAAAATGTAGGGCTGAGCCCACCGAGGCGAAAAATAGACAAAGAAAACAATTCACGAGAATGTAGAAGAGAATTGATGATGATAGTTGGGGATTTGACTGAAATGGGAGAATAAAATTAAAGGATGACCCCTGGTTGACTGTGATGGTGATGACTGAGGTGTTGGGCTGGGAACAAAAGGGGTCAGGGGGAAGGCGGAAAAGTGTGGATGGGAAAAATGGGTGATGGAAAGTTTGGGAAAGTAATGGCTGAAAGAGGTAAAGGATTCTGGGGATGAAGGATGTGATTGAAGCGGGGAGAAAATCTGCGCGGATGAAAAGAATGGAGAGAGAGAGCCGGAGTCGGGACGCCTGGATGTGAGATTGAAGGGAATGGTAGGGGTGAATTAGTGGTCACAGACTGCCGGAGAACACTGTATTTTGAAGAGAAATCACAGTGCAGCAGAATATCCGCGAAACAAAAATGTGAGCCCGGCCTCACATCCGACTCGAGATGGCTTGTCGTCTGACCTGAGTCGGAGGCCGAGTGCTAAGACCGGTGGTTCTCATCCGAGTGGGGCCGACCAAGCCGGCAAAAGTGGAACCTCGGCTCTGGTTCACCTCCGCCCCCCTAAAATTCTCAACTTCCGGGGACGGACTTTAGGGCATTTTAGGCAGTGATTGATTCAGTAATGGGAAATGATTATCCCAGCTATGATCAATGAAAAGGGGAAATGGTTTGACTTCTCTCCGCGAGCTGGGAAGCAAAGTAATTTTGTATTACTACTGGCATCCGTCATGAGAAGACGTAAACAGGTATCATCTACCACACCCAACCCAATACCAAAAACAAACTGGCCACCACGAAATATGCTACAAGCCGAGACACCGAGATCTGATGCAAATGAACTCCAACGCCAGATGCAGGCCGAGAAAGAGCAGTCTATGCTTCGGGTCGCAAGTCGTGGACGTAGTAATCGAGGCGCTTTGAGATGTAGACATGACCAGGCGGGTGCGAAGCATCCTTGTATAGCAGGTTCGAGTCAATATCGTGCTGGTGGAAAGTGTCCGTCTTGCTGCACTGCAGGAGATGATTCAGGCCGGGCGGGTTGGTTAGTCGGAACACGCCCCAGCTAAATACGCATACATGTTAGGCAAGAGTCTCGAAAGGGAGAGTGGAGGAATCAACTTACGATGGCTCGTACCGCGGAGCACAAACTATAGCAATGCTCTCTGGGGTCATGATCTGGTATCCGGCATGCGTGTGCAAGTCGCGCGAGCTCATGAAGCAGGTCTGCGTTGGGTGGGTGTGGATCCAGCCCAGCTGCACGAGATCTTCCTTGTCCATGAAGTCGAAGTAGGAACTCTCGTTGATCGTCTCGCAGGTATCGGGTGTGCCCTTCTGCTCTGGGATGAGCAGACAGGTGACGAATAGAGCGTTGTTGACGATCGTTCCGCACAAGAGACCGCACATCTCTATGCCCTGGCGTGTCTTGTCCGCTGCCAGCTGCACGAATTCTCGGCGCAGGCCCTCTGGCAAGAACACGGGTCGAAGTGGATCGCCATTCTCCAAGTAGTCTGCCGGCTTGAAGGTGTAGCGCTCCTTTTTCTTCGGTTGGTCAGTGTTGGGTGTTTTGTCCGGGACCGCGGGAGGAGGAGGACTAAACATCTCCTGATCCGATGGAGGCATTGTGCTTTGATCAAGCTCTTTTCTGGGAACTAAGGGCGCATATGAGCGGTTCAGAGACTCGTTTCGGGATACAAACTCCTTCGGCGGACGTGGGGGTTGTGGTCCTACTTCGTCTCGTAACCTCTCGCTCTGAGACGGGTCGTAATGTAGAGGAGAAGACTTGGATATGGTGGGGTAATTGTATGAAGATGAGCGTAAGGTGAGTTGCTGTGTCGGTCGAATTGGTGTGTATTGTTCGACTTCGTCTGGATGGTCTAAGCGTCTTCGCGCCAGTTCCATCTGTCTTTGAAGGTCATCATCGCCGGTCGGCACCTCACGCGTGTATGTCCAGTCCCGATCAACCTGGTGGCGGCCATTTCGCTCTTCATCTTCCTGCTCCCATGCTCCGGTGTATCTCTCAGCTTTTCTTCTCCTAAATTCTTTGGTCGCCAAGTCTACTGCGAGCTCTTGGTTCTCTCCGGCATCCAAGACCTTAGCTCGGGCCCTGTTGCTCCAAGCCAGGGCTGGATCCCGCGAGGCGTGTGCCGCGTACTCGGGCGACTTCTCGGACGAGAAGTCCTGGACTTCTTTCCTCTCCGCCTCACTCATGCGCTGCCACTCGTGATGCGCTTCGTCTATCTGGGGCTTCATTTCTTCGAGCTGCCCTATCACGCTCGGAAGACGTCTCTGGAGCGTCTTCAGCATCTTCTTGCCCTCGGGCGTCTTCGCAAGGGGATGTTTGGCAAGGTTGTTGAGATAGAGGGAGGAGAATCGATGCAGGAGCATGTATGCTTTAGCGAGGTTACCTTCGCGCCTGTAAATCGAGCCCTGCACGAATAGTTAGAGACGTAGAGAACTTGCTGTGTATGAGCAAGACCGTGATGCCTACCTCTCGGTATAGGGTTTCTGCGGCGCCTACCCAGTGCCGAAGCGGCACTGTTGGGTTGTAGACATAGTTCCCTGCCTCCTCAGCCAGCTCGCTGGCACTCGAGGGGCGACTCGCCGGCCCGAGGCCGTTGGAGGGCGGAGGACGCGGCATGGTCGATGAGGATGCAGCGCTGGATTGCCTGTCAAGCAAACTGCGACTGATGAGGCAGCATCAACGGTCTATCACCGTGAAGAACATGGACTGCATGGCATGGCAGGGAGAGACAGGAGGCAGGCCGCGCGATGGGAGGGGAGGTTCGAAGGCCGAGGAGCGGAGGCGATGGGGATGGAGAGAACAAAAAGCTGGTAGCCTGGTGACTGACACGCGCCACCACAGCCGAAACGTTCCAAGGTTGACGTAGGCGGTCACGACCCTGCTGGACTGGCCCCGCGATGTCACGTTTAGCGGGGCTCTTCGTTGTACCCAGGAGCCGCTTATTAGCGTGTGTGTACCTGACGATGGCGCCAAATTCGACTTCACATGCTGGGCATCATGGGCATGAGATGTGGATTGGGTTTCTGGATTGAAATCTGGACATTTATTAAAAGACTCTGAAGGATCGTCCTTTGATGCAAAGAATCCAAGGCATAAAAAAGAACCCCCCCGCTGAGTAGCTACCTGCCTTAGCTACCTTAGAGAGTAATCCTCCAATACCTGAAAAGAGCCTGATGGCTTCCTCCATCTCATCCCGAGACGACTAAGGTACATCAACTTCTGTCCACGGGAGATGTCTCTTCTTTCTCAATATCTGGAACTATGAAGCCCTTCTACATCCATCTTGAGGGAGTGCCATGGTAAATGAATCCCTCTGGTCTCTGTAGATGATCATGCCTTTACTGCTTCGCCTCCCCCCTGACCAGCGCCTTGAGCACTTGCTTGTATTGAGACGATCTCACCCTTGATCTTCTCGAGCTTCGCCTGGATCTCCTTGATCTGGCCCTCCAGCCTTGAACTGTTGTAACCGAGCAAATTATGGTCAGTTGGATATTCACGTGGCACGAAAGCTTGCCATGGGAGAGGCAGGAGACTCACATCTCCTTGCCAATGAACTCTATCCGGCCGTTGACAGTACCCTCTGCTTCGACTTTGTCCTGCTTCAGGAGCACAGGGCCAACAAGCTTGTAAATAGTCTCTTCATCTTTGAGCTTCTCGAACTCCTATAAGCTTGGTAAGTACTGGAAGGATACATGGGACAAAGGGTAGGAGAACAAACCTTCTGTACACCGATGTTCTCCGTCTTTTGAGCCTCGAGCTTCTGCCGAGATGCAATTGCAGTTTGCAACTCTGCCGATATGATATTAGTTGGTGGGTTTCACGGGTCAAGCAGGTCGGGACGTACCCTGCTGCAGCTTGGTGAACTCCTCTGAGAGTGTCTGAAGTCGCTTCTGAATGTCGGCCATGGCTGGCTCAACCTCGACTGTGCGCTTTCCTTAGGATAGACTCCGAAGATGGCTCTGAAGCGCCCGGGATATAGATAATATGAGAGTCCTTGTTATCGGAATATGAAATATCAGTCCTCTGGCCGATGCTGGAGACCTTACGTGGCACTGGTGCTCAATATATCTTCTCGTCTGCCTCTGTCAGATGCTGAGATTGCATCTAGCTGGACACTGTTTGCTGTCGAATTTTTGCTGTTAAAGCGGTACCGATGGTCTTCAGAGCGAAATGGAAAATTCGGGCTAGAGCGCGCCTCAAACCCGCCATCATAAGTCACTAGAAATCGCTCTTTATGGGCTGAAAAGTACACCTCTAGCGGGTTCTCGCCCGATGAGAGCTCCAGCGTCGCCCCGTTACCCCGCCAAAATCAAGGCATCCCCACCCAAGGCAACTGGGCCAAGGTCGAGCCATCAAGACCATTCATTTGACTGGTGACGATCTCTGCCCAGCAGCGCGGTTACGTCGACGTTGCCTCACACACTACCTAGGTATTTCAGCCTCGCGATTCTTTCAACCGAGCCCTACCTTTCTCTCCATCCAACAAGAGGGTGTTGACGAGCGGGCCTCCAAAGAAACACATCGAATTCTCATATACTCTTTTTACACGAGAGCCCTTCTCCTCCCCCGCAGGAGAGAGAGAGAGCGACGACCGCCCGCCCGCTCACCATGTCCAACACCGACTTCCTCGGCCGCGCGATCGACCAGGTGCGCAAGGCCATCGAGGCCGACAACGCGGCGCAGTACGACAAGGCCTACCAGATGTACTACCAGGCGCTCGAGCTCTTCATGCTGGCGCTCAAGTGGGAGAAGAACCCCAAGTCCAAGGAGATGATCCGCCAGAAGACGGCCGAGTACATGGACCGCGCCGAGAAGCTCAAGACGCACCTCAGCGACGCCGACGCCAAGCGCAAGAAGCCCGGGATGGTGGGCGCCAACGGCTCCTCGACGGGCGGCACGGGCAAGGGCAAGGAGAACGGCGAGGACGGCGAGCCCGTCGACGAGGACAGCAAGAAGCTCCGCAACGCGCTCGCCGGCGCGATCCTGCAGGACAGGCCGAACGTCAAGTGGGACGACGTCGCCGGCCTGGAGGGCGCGAAGGAGGCGCTCAAGGAGGCTGTGTTGCTGCCGATCAAGTTCCCGCATCTGTTCCAGGGCAAGAGGCAACCGTGGAAGGGTATCCTGCTGTATGGGCCGCCTGGTACGGGTAAGAGTTACCTGGCAAAGGCGGTGGCGACAGAGGCGAACAGCACGTTCTTCAGTGTCAGTTCGTCAGACCTGGTCAGCAAGTGGATGGGTGAGAGTGAAAGGTAAGGATACCCATTCAAAAGTTCGTCCTGCTCGGTCACCTATCTAACCCCTTACGACAGGTTAGTCAAGCAGCTATTCAACATGGCACGCGAGAACAAGCCATCCATCATCTTCATCGACGAAGTCGACGCCCTGTGCGGGCCCCGAGGCGAGGGCGAGTCCGAGGCCTCACGACGTATCAAGACCGAGATGCTGGTACAGATGGACGGTGTAGGAAAGGACAGCACGGGCGTGCTCGTCCTAGGCGCGACCAATATCCCCTGGCAGCTTGATGCTGCCATCAGGAGACGTTTCCAGCGGCGTGTACACATCAGTCTACCCGACATCGCAGCACGGACGACCATGTTCAAGCTTGCTATCGGCGAGACACCTACCACTCTTCAGAGTAATGACTATCGGGAATTGGCGAAATTGGCCGAGGGCTACTCGGGAAGCGATATCAGTATCGCGGTGCAGGACGCTTTGATGCAACCCGTGCGCAAGATCCAACAAGCAACGCATTTCAAGCCGGTAGGTTACTTTCTTCCGTTGGCAGATAGCGCAAGTGACAGCTGTTAACGCGCCTTATAGGTCATGGTCGACGGAGTACGCAAAATGACGCCCTGCTCACCGGGCGAACCCGACGCCGAGGAGAAGACCTGGGACGATGTGACGTCGGAAGAGTTGCTCGAGCCGCTCGTTGACTTCAAGGACTTTGTCAAGGCCATCAAGGCAAGCAGGCCGACAGTCTCCGCAGATGATCTCAAACGCAACGCAGACTGGACGAATGAGTTTGGAAGTGAGGGCGCGTAAGACCAGAGAAGATGAGAGAGGGCGTAGCTTGGACGGGCTGGGCGTGCATGGCGTTGTGTATCCTTCACATAAAGAGCAAACATGGTATTTTAGCATCATCGGTGCGGTTAGGCTACTTTTTACACGAGGCGAATTTCAATTGTACATTAAGTCGACACGGTTGGTCCGAAAAAAGGAGTCGTGAAGCAACCTGAAAGCTAGAGTTAATGCACGGGGTTCGACACACTGGTGAGGTATCTCCACGATGGCACTGCAATGAAGGAATGACGCAATTCACAGGAAATGCTCTCATTCATGTTCGGAAGGTAAAACCGCCAATATCATCGTCGCCAGCCTATCCTTTTTCAGACCATCTCATGCAGTGTGATGGGTATGATACACAGACAAATTGCAGCCAAAGAACTCCGTTTCCCATCCGGCCGTTAACTCCCAGAAATGAAGAAGGAACGAAAAGCAAAGACGGCAAGCAGGAAGCAAGACACTACTCAGCGGAGAGTGACTTCTTCTTCTTCTTCTTTTTCTTCTCGCCCTCACCATCAACGTCCATGGCGTCGGCGTCCATCGACTTTCGCTTCTTGTCCTTCTTCTCCTTCTTGCCCTCCTTGTCCTTCTTCTCTTTCTTCTCCTTCTTGGCCTTCTTCTTGTCGGCCTCAGTCGGGTCGCCCTCGTGAGCATCAATCATCTCGTGGTCGATGGCCAGGTCATCGCCGCCCTCGGCCATGATCTTGTCCATGGCGGCCTGCATGGCATCCACGTTCTTCATGGGCTTCTTGCCGCTGGAGTAGAACTCTAGCCTATCCTCGAGCTGCTGGCGCAGAACCTCGCCAAAGCGGTTTGAGGGGTGCTCAGAGAAGTTGTCGATACGACTGGCGATAGAGCACTTGTTGGCGAGATAGCGCGAGATCCTTCCCTTGTAGCGAGCACCAGCACGACCGATGAACGAGCTCTGGTAGATCAGACCATACTTGGGGGTGTTGCCCTTGGTCTTGAGCGCACGGAACAGAGCCTTCTCGGCACCGAGAATTTGCAGCGTGGAAGCGGGGTATTTGGAAAGGTTGGTGAGCGAGCCGGCGTGCGAGATGAGACGAGCAGCCACAGCAGTACCCAGAATCGTCTGCAGGTTGGGAGCGACGATGCCGAGCTTCTTCTCGAGAGACTCAGCCAGTGTTCGCCGATAAGCAGCCATCTTGGAGACGCTCTTGGCAAATGACTTGACCATCTCGACGTCGGTCTCGGTGATGTCCTGGCCCATAGACACCTTGGCGGCATCGATGATGGCCTGAGCCTTGTCTCCGTCGTCTCCAACAAGAGCCGCCAGATCATGGAGGCTCTCATCGGTCAAGGTCTTCTTGTCACCGATAGCGAGGACAAGCTTGGCGTACGCGACGTTATCCGACTCGATCTTGATGAGCTCGGGGAAGTGCCAGCCGTACCATTCCCTCACCCTCATGCAGCCGGCGTTGATACCCTTGTCGAGCGCATCGAGAGTGGCGATTTGTTGAATAATGTGGTTGTCGTTCTTGTGGACGTTGAACTTGACCTTGGAACGGGAGTAGGCGTGGCCCATACCAAGCTGTGCCCTCGCAACATCACCCTCGTGCAGGCCCTTCAGAAGCTTCTCGGAATGCAGACGGATGCCACGGAGCAGGTCGGCCGCAACTTCGGAGGTATCGTTGGTCTCGCACACAACACCAGGGAACGTGGCGCTGATCTCTCCCGCCAGCTTCTTGTCGGCGACACCCAGAACAACCTTGCTCTTCTTTCCGCTCGTCTTGGGCAGGTTAAGCTCAAGGGCTGACTTGAGATAATCGGTCAGAATACCCTCCGAGACTTCGTTGATGTTTTGGAGACCCTCGGCGTGGTTGCTAATGATGTATATGAGCTTCCGACTTGATATCACTCCCCAATTGTTCCCAAGAATGCCTCTTGCCCCGGGCGCCTATGAAAATGACTTACCGCCACGGCGTGAAGTTCACGAGCTTCACCATCTTTCCAAACTTGGAGAGGTCGGACATGGAGTCCTGAACCTCCTTGAGCCGCAGGCCGACGCTGTCGGCCTGGTAGACAACTTCAAAGATGCCATAGCCCAGGGCCGACTCGTGCAGGAGGTAATTGACGTTTGCCATCTTGAAATCGCGGCGCGGTCCAGTTGGCCCTTATTTTGGTCTATTGGTGCAGACTTGGGATTTTTCCTGGGCCCTTCCTGAATTTTTTTTTCTGAGCTTCAAGCTTAGACTGCACGGGCCATCCGTCGTGGGGCACCAATCACGTGGGTCATTTTCTTCTGGTGGAATTGGGCTGCTGCCAAGTGCTTTTTAAGTCTGAAGGCACGTCCAGCTGGCAGCCAAGCGGTGGGACCAGCTGTCAGTCTCAAAGTGATGAAGCACATCGGTGGCACGGTACCAAGATGCTGCTAAGCCACACCTCTAAACCTGGTCAACACGCATTCATCCATGCATTCAAGTGGGTTACCTCATGACGAATACCCAACGGTGAGTTGTTTGCTGGCTTTCATGATGCATTGTACATGTCCAAAGTGAACTGCAGTCAAGTGATATTCTACGTGTTCTTCACATAAAGGTGCAAACCCCATCGACTTCTCCGCCCTCTTCTCTCCCCCTTTATTCAGATTGCGGCATCTCAGGCGCTTCAGTGGTCCATGCCAAGTCTCAGGTCCGGGCTCTTCACACTCGTCCTTCTGTTTGTGGCTTTCTTTGCAATACTTTTCCAGACGGATTCGGTACATAATTTTGGATTTCATAACCCGTTTTCTTCCAACGAAACAAGCAAGATGAGCGGCGGATCCGCGACCGGCGGCTACCGCACTGTGGCCTACTTCGTCAACTGGGCCATCTACGCCAGGAAGCATCGTCCTCAGGATCTACCGCTCGAGAAGCTCACCCATGTCCTCTATGCCTTTGCCAATGTGCGTCCAGACTCAGGAGAAGTCCACCTCACCGACGGTTGGGCCGACACTGATATCCACTGGGAGGGCGACTCGTGGAACGATTCCGGCACCAACCTCTATGGCTGCATGAAGCAGCTGAACCTGCTCAAGAAGCGTAACCGCAATCTCAAGGTTCTTCTGTCCATCGGTGGCTGGACCTACAGCTCCAACTTCAAGGGTCCGGCCTCTACGCCGCAAGGTCGAGCGACCTTTGCCAACTCTGCCGTTGAGCTGATCAAGAACCTTGGGTTTGATGGCATCGACATCGACTGGGAGTATCCCCAAAGCGCGGCCGAGGCTGCCGACTTTGTTGCCCTCTTGGAAGAATGCCGCTGCGCGATGGACGAGTACTCTGCTACTCTGAGCTCGCCCCACCACTTTGAGCTGACCGTCGCCTGTCCCGCCGGAGCTCAGAACTACGAGAAGCTCGATCTGCCAGCCATGGATCGCCTGCTGGACTTTTGGAACTTGATGGCGTACGACTATGCCGGCTCCTGGGACTCCGTCGCGGGTCATCAAGCCAACCTCTTCCGCTGCGACCAAAATCCTGCCAGCACCCCGTTCAGCACTGCCCAGGCACTAGACTACTACACCAGCCACGGCGTTGCGTCAGACAAGATCGTGCTCGGCATGCCCCTCTACGGCCGAGCATTTGAGAATACCGATGGCCTCGGAAAGCCCTACAACGGCATTGGCGAGGGCACTTGGGAACGTGGTGTTTATGACTACAAGAAGCTTCCCCTTGACGGCGCAGTAGAGCATCACGATCAGGACGCCGGTGCCAGCTATTGCTATGACCAGGGTAAGCGGACACTGGTAAGCTACGACACGGTAGATATGGCGAGGAAGAAGGCGGAGTTCATCAAAGAACGTGGACTGGGAGGCGGTATGTGGTGGGAGAGTAGTGCAGACAAGGAGGGATCAGACAGCTTGATTGGCAATGTGGTGGAAGTTTTTGGTGGAAGCGGCGCATTGAAGGGGGAGGAAAACTGCATCGAGTACCCGCAGACAAAGTACGATAACTTGCGCGGCGGTTTCCCCAACGATCAAGCTTAAAGCCCTCCAACCATAGGAAATATCTCACCGAGCATGAAACTCTTGGCTTGGGAGGCAGACCAGGCAAAATCCTCAGGATACAGACACGTCACAAGCACTAGGACGGGACGCAAGAAATAAAAGGTGTTGTTCGAGTCGTTTCATTCCATTGCAAACCAAGCCAGATCCATTGAGGTGATTTTATGCTACATCAACGCCGTAAACAGAGGCATCCAGATGTCCTCGCATCCGTAACCATTAACCCATATGGTCCCGCTTAATCCTTCTTGTCAAAAACGTAGGTCAGGTGGCAACGGCCGCAGTATTGCCTATCCTGCATGGCAGCCATGAAGACACCAGCACCGCACTGAGAGATAAGATTAGCATCGGTATGCCTCGACGGAGGGAAACCAAGGAGGAACTCACGGTCTCGTGGGGGCACTCGCGGCGGAGGCGCTCAATTTTGCCGTCGTTGTCGACCTTGTAGTACTTGAGGACGGCCAACTTGGTCTTCTTGCGCTTGTGCTTGATCTTCTTGGGAGTGGTGTAGACCTTCTTCTTGCGCTTCTTGCCACCACCACGGAGGCGGAGGACAAGGTGGAGGGTGCTCTCCTTCTGGATGTTGTAGTCGGAGAGGGTGCGGCCATCCTCGAGCTGCTTGCCGGCGAAGATCAGGCGCTGTTGGTCTGGGGGAATGCCCTCCTTGTCCTGGATCTTGGACTTGACATTGTCGATGGTATCGCTCGACTCCACCTCAAGGGTGATAGTCTTGCCCGTCAGGGTCTTGACGAAGATCTGCATGATTGCCTACTGGCTTGAGGTCAGATTTGTGATTCCAGCGGGCGCGCACGATGACCGCGACATGTATGACTGCGGGGGAAGGAGTGAAAAAGCAGGATGCTGGTGGTGTTGCAAATTTCGCAGAACTCCGGAGCGAGCAAGTGGCGGAACCAGCCGCCGGGTATCATGGAAATGTGAATACAAGATGGGGTATCATGATGAAGCGGTCATCGCGCAAAAGGGAGAAACATCGTCGGACATACCTAGCAATATTTGCTATTGCGTCCTGGGCAATCTTCAGATGTGAGTTTGGTGATGGACGGTGAGAAGAAGTAAAGGCTTGAGTGGTGGAGTGGAGAGTCGCTTGAAAACTTTCTGGGCGGCGCCACTGGGAAGTGAGATCACGTGGGGCTAGGGTTTTCGGTTAAAGTGCCCTTCACTTCTCGAGCTTGAAATTTCGAGAAGTGGGGCAGGCAGGGCAATGGGCCCCGACTTGGGACTTTTTCTTGTCGAGAGCCAGAGCCACACCATCTCGACTTTCCCTCCAACTGACATCGACAGCACCACCCGCCGAAAATCAGTCACCATGCCTAAGAAGAGAAAGTCCAAGTACGCGGTTATCCTCTGCCTTGCTCGACATGTCGACCTTCATTACTGACATTGCTGTTCTCTAGCGGTCGCAACAAGAAGGGCCGCGGCCACGTCAAGCCCATCCGCTGCTCCAACTGCTCGCGATGCACGCCCAAGGACAAGGCCATCAAGCGCTTCACCATCCGCAACATGGTTGAGTCTGCTGCTATTCGTACGTGAACAAATTTCAGATGCACAAGCTTGGCAGCGAAGCCACGCTCGACTTCCTCCTACCACCTCCCCGCTCCACGGCCACCTCGAACCGAATTCCCGCAACGACCGGCATGCTAATTTTTCTCTGCTCACAGGTGATATCTCGGATGCCTCCGTCTTCCAGGAGTACACCGTCCCCAAGATGTACCTCAAGCTGCAGTACTGCGTTTCTTGCGCCATTCACGGCAAGATCGTTCGGTACGTTTGCCCTCGGGAGGGGCAGCTGTCCTCGGTCCATCTTCGGATGCCAGGCACAGGCGGCTGAGACGAACCTTGGCGGCATTGTCTTCTCCCACCCCGCATACGTTCCCCTGCGTTAGCATACTGACATGATACCTGTGTAGTGTCCGATCCCGCGAAGGCCGTCGCAACCGCGCTCCCCCTCCTCGCGTCCGGTACAACAAGGACGGCAAGAAGGTTACGCCTACTCAGGGTGCCAAGACCTCCTAGAAAGATGGTCAGGCTGGTCCTAAGGAAGCTGCCTAGTGGTGAAAATGGGATGGATAGGGCGGCGTCTCTGGCTGTTATGAATGCATGAAAATCGGCATTTGGGTTCCTAGGTATTTCCGGGAGATTAGAGCCATAGTCACCTTATTCTGAACTTGGGAGTTGCTCTTTCGACAGAACATCATTCTTTCTTCTATCACTTGTGCTACGCTACTACGGTCATCGGGTCAAATTGCCATTCTGAGCTGGGAGTGCCATTCCTACTCTCGTTCGCTTTAGCTGCCATCGAACACGCAGCCAAGCTCCCAAGTCATTGGACGATCAGTCCTGTCCCATGATTCCTTACCTGTACGTACACTTGCATGGGCTGGCAAGCAAGCAAGCCTTCTCCTCCCGGCACTCACCAGGTCACTGGCAGGTCTACAATGCCCACATCGCGATCCAATGGTGTGTAATTCACCTGGTCGAGGGGCACTGCAACCTTCAGGTTCGGCATCTTCTTGAACAACGTCTCTGCTACCAGTCTCAGCACCCGCTCCCGATACCAATAGCCTCTCATTGCATTGTGTACTTACCAAATACTGCCGTCATCTCAGCTTTCGCCAAGTGCTCTGCGATACATCGGTGTGGACCAAATCCGAAGCCCAGCGCATCGTCGGCGCCCCATCTACGGTGCATGTCGAAGGTGTCTGGCTTGCTGAAGATTTCCTCGTCACGATTGCCTGACTGGTTGGAGGCGATGATGCCCTCCCCGGCTTTGATGTCGACGCCGCCGATGTTGACGTCCTCTTTGGCTACGCGTTTCATGGCCAATGCAGAGCCCGTATGGTAGCGGCACAGCTCTTCCACAAAGGCTGAGGCCAGTTTTGGATTGGCTTTGAGCTCTGCAAGCTGGGCAGGGTTTCGTTGGAGCTCAACAACACCCTATCACACTGGTCAGTGGACCTGCTCCGTTCTGGGGGGAGGGGATGCACGGCGTACGAGAGCAATCATGTTCACCATGGTGGCATTGCCTGCTACGAGCAGCAGGAAAGCGATCTGCACAGCGTCGGCCTTCTCGATGTGACCAGGCTTCAACTGTTCCACGCAAAGCTTGCTGATGAGGTCATCTTTGGGCTCGACCATCCGCTTGTCCACCAAGTCCGCAATGTAGTCAAGCAGGCCCCTGTTTCAAAATTAGCACTATTCTATCTCATTTAACGCTGAGAATCATACTGATTAGCCGCTGCTGCTTGCTGTGCAGTAGCACTGCCATTCGTACGGATGGCATTCTGGGTGGTCAGATAGGCAAGGTCCTCGAAGGGAACACCCAGGATAGTGTAAATGATCTTGATCACGGCCGTATCAGTCCTGCACGATACAAAAGTTTGTGAGTGGAGGGCGTTGTAGGCCTACATATGAAGGCACGGGAAGCGCAAAGTTCTCGACCAGATCGACTGGCTCTTTGCAGCCCTTCGCCAACATCTTATTCAGCAGGTCGTCGACCGTCTTTTGAATGTACGGTTTCATGGTCTCGACGTGCTCTTTGGTGAACAGAGGTGCCACCATGTTCCTGATTTCCAACATGAGTATGTGATTCTTCAGTGACATAAGGAGACATTGTGAGTGGTTGGAGCGGCACATACCTTTGGTTCATGTGATCCGGTGCGTCCATATCAACGAAGGTCGGTTTGTTCTTGGCGGCGGCCTTTCCGCTGGCGCTGAGCTCAGGAAAGCCAGGTCGGGTACGTTGCTGGCGTTTTCAGCTTGCGGGACGTTGTTTTACGGCAATCCGATAGTTACTGACCTTGGAGAGCCTCTCATCGGTGGCTACGGAGCAGACGTCACGATACTTGGTCACCAACCAAGCCAGGCTGCCATCGTACATCTTGACTCGAGAGACTGGGCATGTTGCGCGGAGCTTTGCGTATTCCGCTGGTGGTTCGGGCCCCGATGCCCTGTGGAAGGGGAAGTCTGGAGCTCCGCTGTTTCCCATGCTGGTCATGTTTCTGCTCTGGTAATAATGGCAACTTCTTCTGAATTTAAGGCCTAGACAGCCGGAATAGTATTCACGGAGACGGAGACCAGGAAGGGATGTTGACTTATATCCCCGCTTTGATGCGCAGAGGTAGTACGAGGTCGACATTGTGACTTCACAGGAAACAAGGGATGAATTTCAACAAGGCAAGATTCATATTGTCAATCACGAGAGCTGCATGTTATTATGTTCGTTCATGATATCTGAATTGAGTCGATCAGACCACTTCTGGGTCCTTGAATTGTCATCTTGAAGGGTGATGTCTCTTCTCCGCGGAGATGCACCTTTATATGTCATGTAGTTTCATACCGTACTTCCAACTTGGATCTCCTAGCGGCTCATCCGGCCATGCATATGAAAAGCGTGATGAGTAATGGAATAATGCCATTGGATCCGAGTCAAAGAATCCCCGCCAATTTTGTCTCCTCCTCCAAGCTCCCGTTCGCCAAGGTCTCACCAAGCTTCGCTAGCTGCCGGAAGCTAGGTCTCCCTGCAGGGATGTCGGTGTGAAACGCGGCCGTGGTCTGACGAACGAAAGACAGCTGAATCTACAGCTCGGAAATCCAACATGTGCACAGGGAGTTCTCCAACTCAGCTAAACCGCGTGCCTGCTTTACATCATACCCTCCTCCACCCCCATCAAAGTGGTCTGATATAGAGAGACCAGCCAAGGCTAGTGTGAATGCGCCGTGTTGTGGCCAGAAATTGAATAACTTAATGTGTGCATAATTCCGAGATTCCGGGGCACAGTTGTGCTGGAGCTTCGAGACAAAGAAAACATAGTCCTCGGGGGGGATTACTAACTCGGTGTCATCGTAAATACTGAGCGAGCTCTTACAAACACCTACTTTCCGATATCAAATGCGCCCTTACCCACGCGAGGTAGTTACCCGATACGGCACGAGCTGACCTCATGTAACCCAGCTGTCCGTGTGAATTTGGAATTCCGGGTTTTCACGGAACGCGAAGGTCGCAAGGGGCCTAGAGGGCTTGGTATATGCACTCATATGTAGGACTGGAATAACCACCTAACCAACACAACACAGGGACAAAACGTTACACGATACCCCATGCTTTGTGTTCGCTCGGAACATTGGCCAGGTTGTCTTGGGCGGAAAGAATAGATGATCCGATCCTCGGATATCGCAATGTTTTGCAGAACCGGGTATTAGGCTATGATGCTTGTGGCGTATTACAACATGACGGGACGGTCCAGACACCCATTGCTTATCAATTAGCCGTCCTATAGAGAAACAATCCTTTCACCCATACAAATCGTGCATGGCCTCCAATTCTCCGGCCCGGCCTCGACCAATCCTAGCCATGGCAAGCATCTCGTCTGACCACGAGACGGTCCGGACTTGTGGTAATGAGCGGGCCAGACAAGGCAAGGACATATTAACACTCAAGATCTCATAGATGACTGCTACACAGTTGCTCAAAAGCTTGAGGGGCTTGGCCGCGGGATGGGAAAGGGTTCGTCCCTACCCGCGCACCTGCGTATCATAGACGACCAGGTTCCGAGTTGTGATTTCATTAATCGAAAATAGTAGCAGCTTGAAAAGACTGGTCTGCCTTACCCAGCCCGCATCATAAGAACTGGGGCGGTTTGCTTATATATGTCGGCGAGCTGAAGATGCTCTGCTATAGCTCGCCTTTCCAAGTTTTTCGTGAAGTTCGCCCGTTGTTGAATTCGTTGCAGCCCTACTAGGAAGATGGCTTCGTCACTATTCCATATCATTGTTAACATCTTGGCACTTCACGCCATCGTAGCCAATGCCGGCCAGGTCTTCCCGCGGGCCTGCACGCGCACCGTCAACGCCAAGAGCGGCGATTCCTGCGCGACGCTGTCGAGGGCAGCTGGGATCACGGTGGCGCAGTTCATCAACTACAACCCGTCTGTCACCAGCTGCGGAGGCCTAGTCCCAGGGAAGGCGTACTGCGTTGCCTCGGACGGCAGCGAGGCCAGCTCACCGCCCGCACAGACATCTCCATCGCTGAGCATCACCAAGGACGGCCAGTGCGGCAAGGGTGTCACCTGCGCCGGCTCAACCTACGGAGACTGCTGCTCAGAGCACGGCTGGTGCGGAGACTCCGAGGACCACTGCGGCCCCGGGTGCCAGAGCGCCTTCGGAAACTGCGCTGGATCCGGCCCGGGATCTTCGCCCGCGCCCTCGCCGACCCCACCCAGCGTGACGACTAGCATCGCGACGCTACCGCCGAGGCCGACGGGCCCGGGCCAGACCACCATCTACGAGACACACACCAGCGTCATCGTCATCACGGAGACCAGCACGAAGACGGCAAAATTCACAGCCACGACGCTGACCACGACGAAAACAGCCAAGGTGACCGCCACGACCCTGACCACGACGAAGACGGCAAAGGTGACTGCCACGACGCTAACAAAGACGGCCAAGACGACCGTCACGCCCTCGCGGTGCATCTGGCCGATAGTGGAAACCGAGACGGAGACGGTGACGTCGACGAGCACGCTGCTCAAGAGCGCCGTGACGACACTGACCAGCCTGACTATCAAGACCTCAACGATCAACGAGGTCAAGACGATCACGACGGCGGCGACCAGCATCCTGTTCCAGACGATCCGGATAACCTCGATCGAGACCTCGACATTGACCCTGACCGAACGAGCGTGCCCAACATGGGGCCGTCCTCCCAGCAATACGGTCGTGATATTCCCGTCACCGACTCAGGAAGGGCTGATCAGGACATGTAAGTCGGATCCGACTTGAGATCTTCTTTGAAGCTGAGTGCCACCACCCAGATGACTCTAATGACTGACATCAACAACCATGACGTAGGCAAGGAATTCTACAAGGTCAAGCAGGGCGACTATTGCGACAAGATTGTCGAGATGTATGGCACTTTTAACATTGTGGATTTGTAAGCCAATCGATCCCCTAGATCCCACCACGTCGGAGAGTTTAGCTGACTTCATGGGTGGTAGCTATAAATGGAATCCCTCGATTGACGTGAGTACCACTGGAAGAACCTGCCCCCCAACCCATGCTTTGTCAAGCTCATGGAGATGCTTACCAGAACAAGTGCTCGAACATGTGGGCAGGTTATTATGTATGCGTTGGAGTGTGAAGGGACGAAAACGAGTCTTCGGTGGCTTGTCTCCGAGTCTGCAGAAATTCGACGTACAAACGGCATGTCTACCAGTCAAAGCCCTTAATAATGATAATCTTCCTGTTTTGGGAAGCGTTCTTAATCGTATTGATGATAAAGATCCCAATGACTGGTAGCCTGAGGCTACTCCATAGAGCCATACGTTCGTCTCTCCATCTCTCCATCTCCAGGGTCATCGTAATCGCCCCCAAGAGGCTTCCTCGGGGCCCATTGTCGGCAAGTATTTTGTGCTCATTCTCCCATTCCCTGACAAAAATAGTCTTAACCGGAGTTGTGTTTGTTCATCTCTTTCAACAAAGCAGAACGAGCAGTCAGGTCTGTATCTGCAGAAGATTATGAATCCACTGATTCGAAAAGATACACTCATTGTCTGCACTGCTGGGCATCTCTCGAAGTTCTACCTGGTGCGCTGTCTGAGAGCACAGCGGCGGCATGACGTTTTGTGATACCCCATACCATCCTTGATGCCGTCAGATTCGTGAGGCGGGTGGAACCATGCAGAAGCAGTGCTAGCCATGAGATTGAATGTTCCAGCGCTGTTAGGCATGACTTCGGCCATCCGTAGCTCCAAATTTGGATTCCAAGTGTAATGAGCCAGGCGGATATGCGAGAGTAGGCCTCACGTGCGGGTCGGACGACAGGCTCGGGCTAGCGAGGGTCGTGTAGACCCAAGCAGAGGCCGAGGTCGCCGGGCGGTGTCGTTGGGTAGTCTCTTGACAAGGGAAGACTCATCATAGTCGAGAGTTTTGTGAATAGTCGTTCCATTCGAGCCGCTCAACGTCTTCACGTACGCGCATCGACCTCCTCCTCCACCAAGCGCACCCCGGCCCCCTTCCTGGGCGAGCCGGCGTCCCTCCGCACCTGCTTGCGCCGCTCCATCTCCTGTATCAAGCCCTTGAGATAGACCTCGGCGGCCACGGTCGCGCTGTAGGACACGGCCGTCCAGTTCCATACGTTGCGCCGCTCGGCGTCGGCGCCGGCGGCCAGCAGCGTCCGCAGGACGAGCAGGTGGCCGTTCATGCTGGCAAAGTGCAGCGCCGTGTTGCCCTCGATGTCGGCATTCTGGACGGCGGCCTGCGCGCCGCCCGGCACGTAGGTCAGCAGGATCTGCAGGACGGTGTCGTGGCCGCCGCGGCTGGCCTCCATGACGGCGTCGCGGCCGCGGGCGTCGCGGCGCAGGATGGCCGAGGGGTCGCTCTCGCAGAGGAAGTGGACGACCTCGGTGTGGCCCTCGGCGGCGGCGAGCATGAGGGCCGTCTGGTGGTGCTCGTTGAGGGCCGGGCAGGGCCGCTCGTGGCCCAGGGAGACGAGCAGGGTGCAGATCTGCAGGTGGCCGAGGGAGGCGGCGAGGTGGAGGCTCGAGTTGGACAGCCCCGCGGGGGAGGTGTCGGGGTTCTGGAGCAGGGCCGGGTGGGTTTTGAGGATGCGCTTGACGAGGGCTGCGTCGTTGGCCTGGATGGCGCGCCGGAGCCGGAGGGAGGGTTCGATCCTGGGGAGGTCGACTTGCGTTAGTGAATTGGCATCAATGGTTGATGGTAGAGGATGGGGATATGTGTACATTATGGCAAGTCTTCCACTATGCAAGAGGGTTGCTGCTAAATGTGTGGGAGAACCTCACAGCGTGGGAAGCCCGCGTTCATGATGCTTGGAGTGTACAAGCAGATGGAAGAAGAAGAAGAAGCAATGGATGAATGACGATGATGATCCATGGGCTCAGCCGTCGTGAGACGTGGGGTAACTAACTCGGGCGTCGAAGCGGGACGCGTCAGGGGTTCCGTCGCTAGTGTCTTTAGCGCAATCAGCCCCGTCCTCAGGCGTACGGAGTAGGTTCCAGGTGAGTGGATAGCACTAAGATGAAAACACAATGTCCAATTCCGAGTCGATCAATGACTGTTTTCCAGCTAATGTTGATCCTACGAAGGACGATACAAGTACATGGGAGCTCAATAGAAAGCCTTATGCCACCCCGTTCTGCCCACATCCTTCACGACAGCCGACAGCTCGAAAGTCCGCAGCGTGACCTGCACCTCCCAGTCCGCGTCGGGGAGGCCCGTTCTAGGCAGGATATTGACGATGCCCTCCTGAGAGGAGCCGGCGATGCGGCACCAGTGCGGATTGCCTGGGGCTGCAATGCCCGGGATGTCGAAGCTTTCCAAGTTGCTGACGACATTCAAGTCCGAGACTATATCGTGAGCGTGCCGCAAGAAACCAGTCCGGCTGGCCTTTTGTGCATCAACCCAGTCCACGATGCGGCCGATTCGGCCCAGCCGGTCATGTGCATGCTCCGTGTCGACCTTGGAAGTTGATTGCTCGATCAAGCGTGCCGCTTTGGCAACGGTCTGAATGGTGATTGAGTCCTGAAGGGCTTCCGGTCTAGGCACGATAGTTTCTGTCAGAAGAATGCCACAGAAAAGGACTCCTGGAGGGGATAGGATTGGGATTTCACTCACAACTTCATGTCAACCAGGTCCTGCACTCTCGTCTGTGCGATAGCGGATGAGAAGAGATTGCCGAGGTAGCCATGTTCGACCGGGGGCTTAAGCTGAGGCCGCAGGTCGACCTGTACCCCAAACTTGGTGAGTGTCTGAGGTGCGAGGCGCTTTTCGCGAATTCGTATCACGGCGATCCACACCAGAGCCAGGAGGCAGGCTCTCTCGGATGGCGCTTCTCCTGGCGCTTCCAGAATGCAGCCGATGAGCTCCCTCATCTTGGCCACCTTGGCTGCCGTGAACGCGACCACCTTTGTCTTTGTTTTTATCGTTGGATTCGAGGCGGCATTTGCATGAGAGAAATCAAAGTCCTCCAAGGATGCTGAGCGAACCTCTCGGCCCTTCTCTACCGCGTCATCCTCGGGGATGTACAATGCCGGGCTCTGGCGAGTACACGGTTGTATAGCTGGTCGAGAGTAAGTTGCTTGTCCCCTCAAGAAGAGGATTATGCCACCCCCTGGAACCAACGCACCTTCGCAGTTCAAGGTTGAGCGGGCCCGAATAGCCTCTGTCAATGAGCCAACAAACAGTTCTATATAGGATGAATCGAAAACCGCTCGCTGAAATGAAAACCCGAGGTAGAGCCCGCCAGTTACGAAGGTTGCTTGCAGAGTAAAGACGGCGCCTGGGAGACTGACTGTGCCGTAAAGCGAGGATGGAGTGATGCAAAGCAAGTCAACATCCAGGTCCCGGACCGGCATACCCAACTTACTCATTCGATCGTAGTCGAGGGATGACGGAGCGGTAGCCAGAAGACACTTGAAGACGTGGCGCGCATTGATGGTCCACGGGCGGTGGTACTCGACATAACATGAATCTGTTCTCTCGTCCCTTGAGTCGAGTGGGGGCAACTGGCCTGAGAGAAATGTCCATCTTTTCATCAGTGCGGCGAGGCCTTGTCCGATGACTTGTGCAGCGGCATCACTCTGTCTGAGGTCTGGGAAGGGGAAGACGAGGATCAGGTGCAGCAGGCTCTGGGGGACTGTGGTATTATTATGGCCCGTTAGCCGATGAGATCATCCATATGCATTGCATATTTGATTTGGAACATACCGCATCGGTCGATACTTGATAGAGAATGAACCTTTCGTCCCGGCTCAGACTTCTCAAGCACGAGGTTTGGAGTGATATCAACAAAGGGTGCCATCTTGTCCGGCAACCAGTGATTGCTGTGTTGTCAGCAACGAATATGATTGAACTCTATTTGTAGACTGCTTTGGGGAGCCGATCTGCAAAGAGAAGCCTTCCATTGTTTATACTATGTATACGCAAGTCTGGATCATTTTGTTGGCCTCTTGGCGCCTCTACATGTATGGACATATCTGAGATGACAGAAACTAGTGTGCGCAATGGAGAAATCCGCAACAGCAGTACGAACGGGAGTTCCGTGACTGAGAGCATGTGCCTCCACATGGCAGCCTCACTTTCCATGTGCCGCCTTTGCATACATCTCACCAAACGTGTCAAACCAATCCTGGACAACCCTCGCACCACTTCCGGCACTGATAGTCGTGTCGCCAGCCTCCCACTTCTTGGTGATCTCCTCCATGAACTCCTCCACCGTCAAGGAGTTGGCGTTCTTGTCCTTCTTGTTGTCGTCCGGGTCCTCCCTCTCGCGGTGCAGGTCGGTGCCCACCATGGGCGGCGCGATCTCGACGACTCGGATGGGCGGCTCGACGTCCTGGAGCTGGGAGCGCAGGCTCATGCTCCACGAGTGCACCCACGCCTTGGTCGCGCAGTAGACCGGGTTGACGAGCGCGTACGGCAGGAAGCCGAGCACGCTGGACACGTTGACCACGGTGGCACCCCGTGGGCACTTGCTCGTGTCGCGAAAGTGCGGCAGCAGGCCGAGCGTCAGGTGCAGCGGCGCGCGGACGTTGATGTCGATCTCGTTGTCTGCCTTGCCCAGGAGCTCCTCTGGCGTTGCCGAAACCCCGAGCACCTCGATGGGCCGCTGCACGCCGGCGTTGTTGACGAGGCAGTCGAGGTCCGGGTGGTCTGCCGTGACCCGCCTGGCGAAGGCGGGCAGCGTGTCGGTGGCGCCCACGTCGACGACGTAGTAGCCGGCGCAGCCAATCTCCTTGCACGTCGAAGCGAGGTTGGACTCTGTGCGACCGGCGATGACGACCTTCTTGCCCCTTTGCACGAGGTACTCTGCAATAGCCTTGCCGATGCCGCCGCCGCCGCCCGTGACGAGAGCACAGCGGAAATTGAGAGCGTCTGTGGAAGCCATGATGTGTTCGTTCTTGTGTGCAGTGGCTTGCTTCTTTTAGAGGATGTTGTGAGACCCTTGAACTTTTGACGTGCTGTTTGTGTAAATTGTGCTTCGTTTTATACACAATGAGCAACTACATGTATTAGTTAGTACTAGACATGACGTCTTCGAGACGGGTTGTCGGCGACCGGCGGTCCAAGCAGCCGCGAACGGCGTTAAGTCCGGCGCAGTCAAGCTTGAGTGGGGCCGAAAGTATTATGCTTCACACGTCACATCAGCAATAAGGCGGCGAGTCTCAATCCACGCCGAGAAGAGCCCTTGACATGCCGTTCTCGATTGCCGTGTATCACTCTGGTCTTTCATAACCTTCCCCTCACCATGCCGGAGGTGGTGCATGTACCTTGGTGCCTATGGGTGATCCCGGAGACCTTTCTCCGTCATCTATGCCGAGTGACATCGCAACATATTGGAAGAGATGGTTGTGTCGAGCTTCAGTTGGAACGGATGGATAACCACGAAGCCGTGATTCGCGTAGTTGTTGTTAAAGAAATATGGCGATATAAGGTGCCAAGTTGATATTGGCCTCGAAAACACAGTCAAATGGTGCCCGAGCCTCGTCGCCGAATCCCGAAAGGAGACCAAGACAGCCTCTGGCAGCCCACATGTTGGATTTGTGTGAGATGGAACTGTTTCGGCAATCTTTGTGATTGGGATATTGTATTGCTACAAGAACTTCAATGAGGGCACAATGTTGCTGGCAATATAATATGATCTCCACCATGGCTGGCAATCCAAGGCAACCTCTCTGAGTCTGACAGCCCTTGATAGCAGCTCCCAGAGACTCGATATGCGTCTCACCTCAACCTCAGGTTTGGACTCCCAATATTAAACCTTGCCCCTCTCCTTCTATAGCTAAGACGTGCAGGCCATCCCCCCAAGCCTTATATTTGAAGGTAAGTGCCCTTGTTGTCACCAACCTGACCGTCATGGTCTAGTTGGGAGGGGCAACACCGACTACGGTCGACCTATTCCCGGAAGCCATGGGTTCGAATCCCTAGGTTTTTTGTATTTTTCATTTTTGCAGACTAGCCTACGCACTCTGTTCTTCCTCTTTACCAGGCATGTGAGTCGCCATACAGTAGGCAGGTCGTCCGGCAAAGTGAATACTTCCACTGAGCCGTCTACTATGCAAAATCCCTAGGATTTTCGTATTTGTCTCCCTACTACGCCAGGCGAGGCAGAGAGCTTTTACCAGTCTATCTTCTTCGCCATTTCCAGTTTCTTATCCCTTTTTTGAGGCTCATATGTATAATCTTGCGATCACCCTCTTGGTGTTTAAGTGGGGCCATACCTTGATGGGGGTGGAGCCGCGGAAAAGGTAGTTAGGGTGTTAATTCCTTGATATGGCTGGGTGCCGCGAGAGTTCTCATCCTGCAAGATGGTCGTGAGGCCAACACTTCCTACATGAAAGGAAAAGAGACGTCGACTGCCGGCTTCAATTGGTGAATATGGCCGAGAATACAGGTGATCTGAGCTTCTGGTTCTCCAGGGCAGAGTGATTCTCCGTCCCTGGGCCTACCAACAGCTAAGCATAAAATCAGATCTAAGCGAGGCAGACTTTTCTCGGGACTGCCAATGAAGGATAACTATGCCAAGAGACACCGGTTTGGATGAAGCCCACTTTCAAGGATCAGGAATTGTACAAGTATCAACAGCAAGCATGGGCGTTGGATGCGAAGAGGTGCAATGCAAGGCACATGCTGGGGTGAAGACTTGAAGTGAAGTCCAGTGCTCCTCAGGAATTCAGCACGTGCGCACTAGCTGAGAACGGGAGGTGCCTCTGCTAGCCCCAGCTGCCCCGGTGCCCCCTATCGGGCCAGCTGTTCACCCAATAGCGTTCGCTCTAGCGCCTCTGGTGTCCGCCGGGCTTCCAGCTCCATCACTTGGCATCCCCTGAAGCATCTTCCCAGAGCAGGATTGACAGAAACGTGCCGTGCCTTGCAGCCAATCACACTTCCCACTGCCCTCCTGTTCCTGTCGCATCTCGCTCGCTCATCTCCAATCCAGCATATCATATGCCGCCATGGAGCTCTTCTCTATTATGGCTGCCAAGACCGGGCGGGACATGGCTCGCCTGAGTGTGCTGGAAAGATCCGCCATCGAACCTTGGTAGCTTCAGCCGTCGGGGCTTGCAACCCCACGATCTCGCACCCTTGCCTCGGCCGCTGACACCTTATCGGGAAACGCGTTCTGTATGTGAAGATGTATAAATCGGGACGGCCCAGCTCTGATCGTCCTGGAGAGCAGTGCGGAGCTGAAGCTAGGTTCACCACACGGCTGTGAGATCGCCGTCCTGTTTCTCGCCCATCCTCTCCGCGCGGGGTCCACCAGTTCGCAGTCGCACACTCCCACCATGAAGTCCGCATCGGTCTGTGGCCTCTGCGCCTCGCTGCTCGCGGCCACTGCCTCGGCCCTCACTATTCAGGAGATCAACGGCAACCGCTACCTTTCGCCCTACAATGGCCAGGAGGTGACCAACGTCACAGGCATCGTCACGGCCAAGAGCAGCGCCGGCGTCTACATCCGCAGCGTCCGTCGCTCGTGCGACCGCCGTGTCTCGGACGCCCTGTACCTCTACGGCTCGCAGCTGGCCGGCAACGCATCTATCGCAGTGGGCGACAAGATCACTGTCGATGGCAAGGTCACCGAGTACCGCTCCACCGATGCGTACCTGTACCTGACCGAGCTGTCGTTCCCTGTCGTCAGGGCCATCACCAAGAATGTCACCCAGATCAAGCCCCTGGTGATTGGCAAGGACACCTACAAGCCTCCCACCGAGCAGTTCTCCAGCCTCGACGGAGGCGACGTCTTTGCTGTGCCCAACAACAAGACACAGATCTCGGTTGCCAACCCTGTTCTAGACCCAGAGCACTACGGCATGGACTTTTGGGAAAGCTTGAGCGGCGAGCTCGTGACTGTTCGAGCGCCGGTGGCCATCTCGAAGCCCAGCAAGTACGGCGAGACTTGGGTTGTTGGCGACTGGCCTACGACTGGCAAGAACGGCCGCGGCGGTCTGACTCTCAGCGACAAGGGTAAGGCATCCTCTTCAGAATTTGGCCCGTGCTTCTAGGACTGACGTGAGTGGCAGATGCCAACCCCGAGTCGGTCATCATCGGCCGCCCTCTTGACGGCACTAGCAACCTCAAGAGCTACAAGATTGGTGACAAGTTTCAGGACATCACTGGCATCGTCACCTACCAGTTTGGCTTCTACTACATCCTGCCGACCACCAAGCTCGCTCTGACGGGGTCTGCCGAGCCCACCCTGCCGCCGCCGACCAGCCTGACCAGCGATGGCACCTGTTCCGGCATCACTGTTGGTGACTACAACATTGAGAACTTTGCCCCGAGCAACACCAAGCATGTCAGCAATGTCGCCGGCCACATCTACAACTACCTGAAGACCCCCGATATCCTCTTCGTCCAGGAGGTCCAGGACAACACCGGTCCCACTGACAATGGCGTCGTTGACGCGAACGTTACCCTCTCCACCTTGACTGCCGCCATCAAGAATATCAGCGGTGTCGAGTACGCTTTCGCCTCCGTCGACCCCCTCGACAAGCAGGACGGCGGCCAGCCCGGAGGCAACATCCGCGTCGCCTACCTGTACCGCTCTGACGTGCTGCGTCTGCGCAAGCCTAATCCTGGCGGCTCGCTCGACGCCAACGCGGTTCTCGACGGGCCGACTCTCAAGTACAACCCCGGCCGTATCGACCCGACCAACCCGGCCTGGACCTCGAGCCGCAAGCCTCTGGTCGCTGAGTGGGAGACCCTGGACGGCAAGAACAACTTTTTCACGGTCAACGTCCACTGGGAGTCCAAGGGCGGCAGCACCTCCCTGCAGGGCGACGTGCGCCCTCCCGTCAATCTGCCCGTTGAGAAGCGCACCCAACAGGCCAACATTACTGCTGTAAGCTTCTCCCCCATCTCCGTACCAAAAGCCCCGCGCGCGGACTAACAAGTACTAGACTTTCATCGCCGACATCCTCGAGAAGGACCCCAACGCGTCCGTCATCATGGCCGGAGACTGCAACGAGTTCTCCGTCGTGCTGCCCATCATCACCTTTGAGCAGGTCTCCGGCATGGTCGACCTGGACGTCGCGGCCGGTATCCCCGTCACCGAGAGGTACACCTACACCTTTGCCAACGACATGGAGGAGATTGACCACACGTTCATCAGCCCCGCCATCGCCAGGAAGGGCGTCAAGGCAGAGCACATCCACATCAACACGTGGGTCAGCTTCGATGATGCTGTGTCCGACCACGACCCGACGGTTGCTAAGCTGAACTTGTGCAAGTAAATGGGAGCATGAGCACATGTATGTATTTGCATGATTCATGTCACGCCCATAGGAACTTGGGTAATTATTGCGAGATCATATCTTACTTTGTTATTAGCTCGTTGTAAATCTGCTGTAATATTGCATCATTAAGTTCCGCCCGGCCTGCAGCAAAAATGTCAAGTGTGCCGCTCTTTATGGTGTCTATGCTTTCCCCTTTTGCCTTTCCCGGTCGCGCGGCTTCGCATCCTTTGTCCAATCATACAAACCATCCTGGTTCTTTTATCATCACGACTCCTTCTCCTCGGGCTTCCTCGCCACCATGAGGAACATGGGCGTAAACAGCCTCTCCTTGGCGCCCTGCACCAGCGCGCCCGCGGCCTCCTGCAGGCTGTCGCCCGTCCTCTTGGTCCCGGGGGGCGCGAGCCCGACCGCCTCGAGCACGCGCATGAAGTTGTGGAAGAAGGTGCTGCCGACCCGCGTCATGCGCAGCGTCATGAGCATGTCCGAGACGTTGCTCGCGTGGCGCCAGCCGCTGCCGTCGAGCGGCCAGTACCAGGGGATCGAGTCCTCGGCGCGGGCCGACAGGTCCTCGTGCTCGAGCAGCTCGAGCCCGGCCTCGGCGACGGCGGCGAGCGCGACCTCGGCCTTGACCATGTTGGCGATGCCGTCCCCTTGCTCGATGGCGAGGCGGATCTCGCGGTGGTGCAGGTCGTCGTTGTCGTAGGCGTCCGTCATGACCCACTCGTAGACGCCGAAGACGCCGCCCGGCTTGAGCACGCGGCGGATCTCGGAGTAGACGCCCGCCAGGGAGGGGGCGTGGACGGTGGCCTCGATGGCGTAGACGGCGTCGAAGGTGTCGTCTTCGAAGGGGAGTTCCTGTTTTGGACGCAGAAGGGTCAGAGAAAGCCATGTCATAACTTCTACGTATTGAGAGGAGAGGGGGGAAACGTACCATAAAGTCGCCCTGCACAAACTGCAAAAAGTCCGACAGGCCCTCCTTGGCGGCGTAGTGCGTCGCCCGCTGGACCTGGTACTCGTTGATGGTGATGCCCGTGATGTAGGCGCCCGTGAACTTTGTGATCTCGCGCGCGGGCCCGCCGACGCCGCAGCCGACGTCGAGCACCTTCATGCCCTTCTTGATGCCGATGCTGTGGGCGAGGTAGTGCTCGTGGCGCGCGATGGCCTGCCGGAATGGCTCGCCGTAGGCGAAGCGGCAGAAGTGGAAGCTCGAGCACCAGCCGTACTCGTAGAAGTCGGTCGCCAGGTTGTAGTACTGCCTCGTTATCGAGGCGTACTCCTCTTTGCGTGCCTGTCACGGGGAGGAGGTTTCAAGGTCAATATTTCTTCTGCTCTTTCTCTCATTCTCGGTGTTGACGGGGAAGGCTCTGTTACATACATCTCGGGTTTCCTTGGTCTCGTCCTTGGCAGCCTTGTTGTCCCAATGTCTGAAATAGTCTGCAGACGCCGCCTTCTGTGCCTCCTTGTCCTTGCCGAGCATGGCGGTGAAACCGACTTTGCCCTCGGCGGTCTTCTTATGCATTATCTGCTCGAAAGTCATGTCTTTGGCCAGCAGGACACTGGTCTCCTTGGACAGTTCTGGTTGGGAGGACATGTTGAACGTAAACGGTATTTTGGATGGGATAATAGCGATACGTGTAAGAGAAAGTCTTGTAAGCCGAGCGCGCTGTAACACTCTCTGAAATATACAGGCTTAGCTGGCTGGAAGTTGCAAAAGTATTTATACTGATGCGGGAACGAAGCTCTCGTTGTCGTGTTCGGCTTCGCGTTGCGATGCACTAAATGCGGGAACGAATACGCTTCAACTCATGAGCCAGCAAACCCGAATACGACCTCTTTGTGATTGGCTCCAGCACTCAAAAGATTACCACAACTCTTGGAAGAAAAACGTCTCAGCAAGTATGGATCGAGGTCATTTTCAATCTGCAAATTAACTCTGCCTATCAAATATTCTCGTAACCCTCCTGAGAGGGGACAGCCCTTTTTATGTTTGAACAGCCTTTGCGGGCCATTGCATCACCTGGATCGCTCACTTGGGTCCACCCCAGGAACGCCGGGCATCTTTCCTAGCCTACCGACGTCTTATATGACTTGTGATTTTTATCCGTCACATCATCGACCTCTCGCTCTGCCTCTTCTGGTCACCGACACTATGTTATCAAGGGTATCAACTCTTTCACTACATGCCAAAGATCAAAAGGTCGACGGTCTTGCCCACCTCACTCCAACAGATCATGTCCAAAGCAATAACGTAGCATATTTAATGGGAAATCCTCCTTTAACTTATGTCAACAAATAGAGGTCATACTAGATGCTTGTTTCGATTGCTGGGCTGCGGTGTTTCCTTTGTCATGTAACCCTTTTCCTTTCACGACACTTCGATATATGCTCTAAAAATGTTACCGCATGCTCGGGACCCCATTGAGCAAGGATTCCATGAGTAGTTTATGAATGCTATAATTGTTGTGTATGCGGCAAAAGAACCATCGGGAGCAAGCCGACTAAAGTCTGCCGAAACCTCGGGAGCTCCCGATATTTCCCAACCGGACTTTCAATTGCCGTCTCCTTGATGGAGATCGGCAGGACCGTAGAATCTAGAGAATACATCTCAATTTGAACCTTGATGCTAAAGCCCCCTGAGTACTTCACTACCGCCGGATGGCCGATAGCGCGCAAATAGAATGCCGACACTCGGTGCGGATGCCCGACAATGCGTTATCGGCCGTCGGGTTCCACACGGCCATGACTAAGTGCGCGGCCCGACGGCGAGCATGCGGGGGACCATATCTCCTCAAAAAGGATTCATGCGGTCAGACGGGTAAGCATTCCCAACCATAGAGTTTTCAGTCAACACTTGTGAATCTGTCGTTGCAACCCAAAAACAGTCGTCATGGCGGCGGCACTGTCACAACTCGTAGACCAACACCGTCCGGATCTGGACCCCCTCAAGGAGCTTTACATACACTTCCACAAGAACCCAGAGCTCTCAAACCAGGAAGTGGAGACAGCAGCCACAGTCGTGGATAGGCTCAAGGCCATTGGCCCCGATGACCTAGAAATCAAGACCCAAATCGGCGGGCACGGCCTGGCCGCCATCCTCCGCAATGGCGACGGTCCCAGCATCCTCTTGCGAGCGGACCTTGACGCCCTGCCAGTCGAGGAACGCACGGGGCTGGACTATGCCAGCACCAAGCGCATGATCCATGCTGCCTCGGGGGTCGAGAAACCTGTGATGCACGCCTGCGGGCATGACATGCACATGGTGTGCCTGCTGGGCGCGGCGGCTATACTCTTCTCATGCAGGGACGCTTGGGCCGGAACTCTGGTGCTTCTGTTCCAACCAGCGGAGGAGCGAGGCACCGGAGCGCAGGACATGGTCAACGACGGCCTGTATACTCGCCACGGCGTTCCCGTGCCGGATGTTGCCATCGGGGGGCACGTCAGGCCGTTACGAGCCGGCGCGATCGGCACGCGCAGGGGTCTTCTCTGCTCCAGCGCGGACAGTCTCAAGGTCACTATCCACGGCAAGAGTTCCCATGCGAGCATGCCGCACACTTCCGTGGACCCAGTCGTCATCTCAGCGACTACCATACTCAAACTGCAGACTCTGGTCAGCCGGGAGACGGACCCGCGCGAGTCGAGCGTCGTCTCGGTGGCCACCATCCATGCTGGCGACGCGGAGAACATCATCGCCGACTCGGCCGTCTTGGGACTAGACACGCGCTCTACGACGGCCGCGACGAGAAAGCGGATGCTGGAGCGTATCGAGGCGATCGTACGCTCCGAGTGCTCGTGCGCTGGCGTGCCCAAGGACCCAGAGTTCGAGCAGACGCGCGCATTTCCCTTGACCGTCAACGACGAGGCAGTCACCAGCAAGGTTGAAGAGTCGTTTGCGGCGCATTTTGGAGAGGGCCCTGGCCAATATGACAGGGAAGTGTCGCGACTGACCTTCAGTGAAGACTTCCCGATTCTGGCAACAGCAGTCGGGCGACCGTACTGCTTCTTTACCTATGGCTGTATTGATGAGGCGACGTGGGATCTAGCTGAGAAGGAGGGCACTGTTTCTCAGAAGATCCCTGCAAACCACTCATCATTCTTTGCTCCGGCCATCATGCCGACACTCAAGACTGGCATGGACGGGTACGCACTCGGAGCTTTGACGTTCCTAAGAAAAGATCAAGCAGCAAGTTCGTAAAATTAGGAAGTACAAATAACTAGCTCAAGGAAGACTCAAACTGTATACAAGCCATCTCGGTCAATCTGCTGCGTATTGTGGTATATCCTTACACGCTCGTTCACTCCTCATCCCACATAATCTTCATCGTGACCGGGAAGGGGAAGAGAGAACCCCAGTCCTCACGCATGTAGACAAAGAAGCCGCCAGGACGAGGCACTTTCTTTAGCTCACCCTGCGGGCCTGGGGACCGCCTCACGTTCTTCTTGCGGAAGAGAACACGGAACATCTCGGTCAGAGCTATCTGGCTTGCATCCTTGCCCAGGCAGGCGTGTGGACCGACTCCGTAGTGAATGTACTCTGATAGTGGGCGGCGGGGGTTGACAGTTTCTGGCTCTGGGAAGTGATGAGGGTCTCGAGCGGCCGACACCTATTTCCATGTCTGTTAACCATTGTCCACGGGCATGTACAGGTTTATGGAAGCACTTACGAAGCTGACAAAGACCCGATCGCCGGACTTCACCGGCACCTCGCGGCCGTCATCTTCCATGATGGTGTCATCAGCTGCGACCTCACGATACGATCCAAATGTACCGGCCAAGCGGATTCCCTCCATGACATAGCCTAGCAAGAGGGCGTCGGTCTCTGGTGAGACCGTAGAACGGGCGACGCGCTCAAGCTCGGGCAAGTAGGGCTGCCCAGCGTCTGAGAGGTAGAAGTCGACGGCTTGCGCAAACTGTGTCTATTGTCAGTTCATCTGTTTTGTTGTTACCTCTCCAACCCATGACTTACAACTTCTGCTTGGTTCGGCACCATGGCGCCTGCTGTGGGAAGGATCTGGCTCCAAGCAATGTCATAGTTGCTCAGGCCCGACTTGGCGAGGCCCTGCACCATGTGCACGCCATACATAGCCAGGGGGTCATCCCTCCTCGCCGAGCCTGAGAACAAGCCCCGGACACCGAAGCGCCGGGTGATCTTGACATTGGTCTCAATCAGCTTGCCAAGCTGGTCGCAAACCGTCTTGGTCGCCTGCCGCAGCGGGAACGACTTGACGGGGTCGATGTCGAAGAAGATGGTCACAAAGATGAGCGCCAGCACCATGTACAGCTCGTGCTCCGTGTAGATGCCCTTGGGGTTCTCCTTGGTCTTGAGCGGCAGGTTGAACACGCGCGCGGCAAAGTGCACGTGCGAGATGTTGCCGACGTCGCGGATGATGTCGACCTGCCGCCGGCCGGCGACGCGGTGGCTGTTGTCCCGCAGCAGCTGCTCCGTGATCTGCGCGTAGAACTGCTTGATGTGCGCGCGCCACTCGTCCTTGTACAGCTGCGCGTGCATGCACTTGCGCTGGCCGGCGTGGTCGGGCGTGTCGCCCGACAACATGAACCGCGCGCCGCCCTTGCCCATGAGGAAGGTGAGCCCCTCGTGCCACGTCACCTTGTACCTGTCCTGGTTCTCCAGGATGTACTTGGCGGCGCCGTACGAGGTGATGTTGATGCGCGGCGGGATGGGCGTCGGGCGGCCGTAGTCGAAGCGGTCGGCCCGGCCGATGCTCTCCATTATGCGCCTGTTTTCCGACGGGATGACCATCGGATAGTGCGCGTAGATGGAGTTTTGCTTGAAGTGGTTCGGGAAAGCGCGGATGAAGAGCTTGTAGAACACGCAGCCGTGGTTCACGCTGTAGTGAAAAGTGCTGTTAGCATCTCGCTTGTCTCGAAAGGTAGTTGGCCTGTCCGACTTACTTCAAGTCATACTGCACCTCGTTGTACCCCCAGTTGGTCAGGTTCCTCGGGGTGTAGTCTGTGGTGTAGTGGCGGTCACCTCGCACCAGGCACACGGCATCCGACAGGACGACGCGGGAAATGGTGTACGTCGGTGCGATGCCCACGCCGGGGACCATAGGCTCCTTGGCCTCCTCCGCAACCATGCCGGGATAGAGCTCAACAAAGTCAGGATGCTCGTAGAGGTGTCTGAGCTGATCAGCTACGACAGGGTCGGAGTTGATATCCTCAAAGCGCTCGTACGGCTTCAGACCGAAGTGCTTCCGGAACTCGTTCAGACCGGCAACGTTCCACTTGCGGCCCTGGAGGATACCCAGTATCTCGACTGGGCGCATGGCTTGGGGCACGTTCTTGGCACCAAAGGCGCCAGCGCAGTCCTCGACGGCGTCGGAAATGCAGTTGACGAGGTCATCGTCATTGAACCTGCCATCCGCACCGCGAGTAAAGCCTCCAAACACACGGTCGAGTGGATCTTCTGGAATAGACTTCTCGAAGGTGCTGAATCCGTTGATCAAGTCCATGTGGCTGACCTGATCAGCAGGCTTGCCGAACAATTTGGCGTAAAACTCCTGGATCCATTTGTCGTCCTTGGCCGATATGCAGGAGTGCCATCGATAGCACAGGTTGAACTCGGCAGAGACCACATTACCAGTCCCTCTCTCAGCACCCTTGGCGGTGTCCGCGTCAATGCCCATATCCTGGCGTGGATCCAAGGTCCAAGTGGTGTCGCAACGGTTGAGCTAGCATTATGCGTCAGCTCACAGAGGACCTGGGATCACATACTTCGTTTCAGGATACTCACGTTTACAATGTTGCGAACATAATCAACAAGGGTAATGTTGATATACAGGCCGGAAGTGACCAGGCGAGCGGTCTGGAAGAGGTCGTTATCATACTTCTTCCAGGCCGCCTCTGCCTTCTCTCCCTCCAAAGACTTGGACGGAGGCGTGAATCTACCACCTTCGTTGATGGCGGCAAGGTTCTCGGCAACGTGGTTATGGAACCGGTTGAACATGATCAGAATCACGCTGACTCCAGGCGGCATGCCAATCAAGCGCTTGTCTGCGTAGCTGTCGGGCTTAAGCTTGCCGTCTTTGAACGTCCTGATCGTATCCTGCATCTCTTGGTTGCTACCATACAGTGGGGACAGGTCCAAGTAGGAAGACGTCTTGGACTTGCTCATGTCCCTATAGTCGGTCCAGAAAAGGTCTTCCATCAGGTTAGAACGATCCTTCTCATTAATCATCAACTTGGCACTCACCGTGAATAATGATGGTAGCCCAATACCAAAGAACACTGGAGACATTATTTGGATGCTTGCGGTACTGGCCACGTCCCATGATGGAATCAAAGATCAGGCCGGGGTCAGGCATAGCCCCAGGAGCAACGACAGAGGGTCTGACTGAGCGCGCATATGTGTTGCCTGCGGCGCCCAATTGAGGAAACATGGGGTTCTAGCATAGTTAAATCAACAGCAGCTCAGTCTGGCAGTGATCTTGTCTTACATTATTGGAGCCGTCAGGCTGGCGGTATTGGTAGTGATCGCCGATGTAGTTCAGTGGTGGATGCTCCAGAGTATACCACAGCTCGTTGAGAAAAGTGTTGGTGAGCTGCACGCGCTTGCGTGAGTGAGACGGCAGCGCAGCGACCAGTTGAATGACACGCTCCATGATCATGGTCTTGTCGTCGACCACAGGCCCCTTCATCTTGCTGCTGGCCAGATCAAACAGGGTTTTGAAGTCTTGGGGCAAGCTGATTAGCATAGCTAAGTCGCAATAACTCATTGTTACCGCATACCTTTCAGTCTCAGATACTTGAGGTCATTTCGAAGGCCTGTCTGCTTCTTCTTCTCGCTGTACGTGCCATCTCCGTTCTGAGTTGGTAGCGGACGCTTGGAGGAGTGGACAAGCTGCCCGATCTGGGAAAACGCAGCTGTGACTCCTTTCCTGTTTGCCTTCATCGCCTTTCCTCCATTGGCAAGAGGAGCCGGGCGGCTCTTGAGCTCGTTCCCAGATGACGAAGATGCATGCGAAGCAGTGCTCTCGAGATGCTTCTGGCCACTAGCGCCGTGAACGCCATTGGTTCCATTGGTGCCGTTGGTGCCTTGAGGTTCGGACATCTTTACTGTTGGTCCCCAAGGCGTTGTCAAGAGAATTGGTGGATGATAGAACTCTGGAGTATGACTGAGAAATGAGTTCAAGAAGGCGAGTGAGAAGAAAGGGAGAGATATTCTGAAGTCCGGCCAGCAACATAGATGCCAAGCAAGAAGAGTGCTTGACCGGGGCCCAAGTGGTTCTGTCTATTGCCATCCACGTAGGCCACAGTCGGCCAGAGCCAGGAATACACAGTGTCCGAGAAACCAGGTCGGGGCCAAATCACTTGTACCACCAGCGATGTCCAATGCCAGGAGACGCAAATGTAAGTCACATAACCCAACCCATGTGGGGGGATGTTTCATAACCATAGACCGGGATCCGTGACAGATCATTGGTGATCTTTCACGTTCCGCACTTCTCAATTGGGCTGCACGGCGTTCGCGTTGCAGCTGTAGACTTTGATATTGGCGAATCATCGTGTTGTCCACGTAGTCTAATGCAAGAAAAGAACCATACGCGAATCATGCCGATCAGTTCAGCCAGCCTCATGCTCTCCCACGGCATCAAAATGCACGAGACATGCTGCTACATATGGCGGACGGCGTGATCAACCCATGCCACTCATGGGAATGCCAAGAGCCGATCCTCGTCCTCGTGCAGGACCTCCAACATCGAGATGCATCAATGTATCGCCAAAGAAGCGTGCTACGTCGGTTTCGGAGTCGGGATACGAAGGACTCTGGTGCTCGCTCCAACATAACTTGGCAGTCATGGCAAGCCATTGAGCCCTCCTCTCGGATGAAAAATCCCAATGTGTCCGCACAGAGTCAATGTTTCACACCTCGCCCCAGAGAGTCGCGTTCCGCACAAGCTGCAGTACCAAAAATCACCCTCAATCGGAAAGGATCGTCATTGAAGCAATGAAAGAAAGGGTCTTGATTGGGAAAGGTGAGTATGGGTAGCTTTCAGCCCCATGGACGGGCCGTGTTTTAGCTGCAAATCCGTGCAGGAGCCTCCTGCAACAGCCGGCCAATAGTCTCATCGTGATTTCGCTTCACCGCTGCTCGCACCTGTTTTAGGCATGGGACTTGCTTTTCAGGCTTACCGATGATAGCTGAGCATCCCGTTCAGGGAGACACGAATCCTGAATGAGGATACCTTCCCAAATCAATCCAAGGGGTCCATCCCAGTTCCGCACTTTCAAGCCTGTCGCTATCACTCACTCATTCGAATGTAACCTCGGGTTTCCCTGCACTTACAAACCAGTTACACAAATCGGTAATTGAGAGTCAAACTAAAACTACAGATGACTTGTCATCCGATGTGCGGATCACTTCTCTCTGCATCATGCTGTCATACGGCATAGGAAATCCCTCGACGCTTCTGCCACTCCTTTCCCTCGGAGCTTGCCGATCGTAAATGAGAATGGCGGTAGCACTGGACCTGCCATTTCCCGAGCGGCCGTCAGTGTGGTGGTGCCAACGGAAACGTCAACTCTGTGTATCCTCAACTGAGACACGGACGGTCGATCGTGGAGGTCCAAGACAACGGGCTGCGCGCAACATTAGACCGCGTACCAGTGGGCCTGTCCGGCCTCTGCATTTTCCTTTTCAATCCAGTGATCAGCAAGGGATTAGGCCATGATAGGACTCCGGTACTAAAGGCAAAGCTGTGCCATCATGCAGATGCTGTGTTCCCTGGCCTCATTGGCCCGGGCTCAGGGTCGATGATGACCCAAGCTGCCAAGCATCATTGCGGGCAGGACACAGTGCGAAGTCCTCTCATCCCAGTTGGGATGCACTTCGAATGAGAGTGGAATCCTCGTAGAGCGTCTCGGAATGACTGCAGGAGGGGGTGGAGTTCGGAATCAGATCTCGAGGCGGGTTGGAGGATGGTAGATGAATCTCGCATCCGTTTCCCAGAGCTCAAAACAGGGCTTGAATCACACCTGCAATACCGTCACTCCTCAATACAGGCCCAGGAGCATCGCTTGCACCCATTCCTCAAGAGAAAACTACTCAATCAGAGCTTTACCTCCAGCGACATGCCTCAGTATCAACAGACACGGCGGAGGCCACGTAAGCTGGTGCTGTGCTTTGACGGCACTGGCAACAAGTTCCACGGTGATGACAGTGATAGCAACATCCTCAAGATCTTTCGGATGCTTGACAGAACTGCAGATGATCAATGTGAGGAGCAACTTTCATTCTCAACCCCTGCTCATGAACGCTATCGCTAACCATTAGCCAGATCACTATTACCAGCGTAAGTCATCTCTCGTCACATCTCACACCCGGATCGGGAACAGCAATCCCCTGACTAGATGTAACAGCGGGAATCGGCACCTACGTCGTCTCCAAGGACCTCTCCCACACCTCCATCAGCGCCCGTTTCCGCTCCTGGTACATGAAAGCCAAAGACTCAGCCATCGGGTCCTCTTTTGACCACCATGTCGTCGGCGGCTATCGGTTCCTCATGCGCTTCTACTGCCCTGGGGACGAGATTTACATCTTCGGCTTCAGCAGGGGCGCCTACATCGCCCGCTTCCTCGCCGAGATGCTCGACTACGTCGGCCTGCTCTCCCACGGCAACGAGGAGATGGTCCACTTCGCCTGGAAGGCCTTCTCCCAGTGGCAGGTGCGCCGCGACGACGACAACGGCGGTGACAGTGGCGACGGGAAGGCCTCGTCGAAGAAGAAGAAAAAGAAGGGAGAGATGTACGAGTTCATGAAGGGCTTCCGCGAGACCTTCTCGCGACCCGTGCGGCGCATCCGCTTCCTCGGCCTCTTTGACACGGTCAACAGCGTGCCGCGGTTCGAGACGGCGTGGATGGAGCGCAGCAAGTTCCCCTACACGGCGCGCAGCTCGGCCAAGGTCATCCGCCACGCCGTCAGCATCGACGAGCGCCGCGCAAAGTTCCGCCAGGACCTCATCTACCAGTCTTCCCGCAACAAGACGCCCAAGGCCGCCGGGTCTTCCTCTTCTGCTTCTGGCGCGACTGATGTTGCCACTAGTGGTGGAGACCGAGGCCTCCACGGCCATGGTCAAGTGCCCCAGGCTGTCCACGAAAAGTACCGCCGGCGCTCGTCGTTGGCGCCGACGCTGGTGGCAGACGCGTACGTCAGGCACCAGCACCACGTCAGAGACGACGACCGCCACTACCGCGGCCGGAAGGGCAGCTCCCGCTTGGAGATCCCAGGGGACTACCAGGACGGCGAGCACGACGAGGGCCCCGTGCGCTACCGCCGGCACAGCCGCTCCCGGTCCCGCGCGACGCAGTGCAGCAGCAACATCGCGCCGGACGACGACGACGCGGCGTCCAACATGTCGCGCGTGGCGCCCTCGGACGACAACGGGTACGACTCGGAGGAGGACGGGGACGAGACGGAGCAAGACATCGACGAGGTGTGGTTCGCCGGCGGGCACGGCGACGTCGGCGGCGGCTGGGAGATACAGCAGGGCTCCAAGAGCGCGAGCCACGTGCCGCTGACGTGGATGGTGCGCGAGGCCATGCGCGCGGGCCTGACCTTTGACGAAGAGAAGCTCGTCGCCATGGGCTGCTACGAGGTCCTCCAGAACAGCGGGGAGAAAGGCAACGACAGCGCCAGCAGGCGGCGAGGAACTGCTGCCGCAGATGCCACCGGCATGTTTGCCTTCCCCGTCGCCCAGACGGACTTTGCCCAGCAGCACCAACAGCGGGGAGCACGCCAGGGATCAACCGTCCCCAACATCCAAATCAACAGCCTCACGCCCGTAGCCTCTCCGACCGACGAGGATGACCGTAGCGACCCGACCCTCACCGCCACCGCGACCAGGGACTCGCCACCAACAACAATCACCAGCAGCAGCACCACACCCGTCGCAACAACAGCCTCCCCTTCCGGCCCCCAACCCCACTCCTCCTCCTCCTCCTCCTCTTCCCCCTTCCACGAGATGATGCACCGCGCCCACCTAGCCCGCCTGCACGACTCCCTAGACTACGCCTGCGGCCTGGGCCTCCTGCCCGTCCTGAGCTGGAAGCTGATGGAGTACATGCCCTTCCGGCGCATGGACCTGCAGGAGGACGGCTCCTGGCGGCCGATCCGCTGGCCCCTGCCCTGCGGCGAGGTGCGCGACGTGCCCGACAACGTGCGCGTGCACGGCAGCGTCGTCCGGCGCATGCGGCGCGACGAGTCCTACCGGCCGGGGAACCTCATCGTCGGCGGCGGCGGGCGCGGGTGCAGGGTCGCGCCCCGGAGCCACGGCATGGGCGAGTGGGTGTGCGTCGCCGGGGAGGGCGACCCCGTCGGGGAGGTGTGGATGAAGAAGAGCGCTGTCGAGGAGGCCGAAGGGAGTAGTAATAAAGCTGAGAAGAATGGGCTGAGGTGATGGCAGTTGTGGCGAGTCGGGTTGGTTAGGACTGAGATGTTGAGCCGACGTGCACTCGAGATTCCAATAGAGTGGCTGGCACATGGGGGTTCAAAAAGGGATATCATAATGTATTACCAACGTAACCAAGAATAACAATCAGGAGCATGAACCCCTTTCTCCTCTAATGTACATACATACAATGCCCTTGACTCCCTCAAAGTCAAAACACCATCGGGCCAGCCCATTAAGAATTCTTTGTATGCCGTGCTGCCTGCGCCTTCGTAAAAAACAACAACAACAATGCAGTGCTCAATCATGTCGAAGTGCAGATGACACTGCTCATAATACACCCTAAAATGAAGCAAAACTTTCGTCTTCTCCAGGCTCAGCCGGACCCATCGTTGTTGCGCCTTGACCTCCTCTCGCGCTCCTCGTCGGCCTCCTTCTCCAGCAGCCTCCTCGAGAACTCGTTCCGGTCGAGGATCCGCCCCTCCCGCTCCTTGGTCAGCCGGAGCTCCAAGTCGCGAAGACGCATAGTCCACTTCTTGTCGCTGTCGTTGAAAGGCTCGGCGGGCGGTACCGGGCCCTGGTTCTCCGCCAGAGCCATTTCTCCGGCCGTCATCGGTCGCGGAGCCGTGTTGCTCCGGGAGATGGGGACGCGGCTGCTGTTCTTGGAGCGAGAGCGGTCCTTGCCGCGGCCGCGATCGCGGGGTCCCGTGGGGATGGACGGCGCCGGTGAGCCTGCGCCGTGGATCATGTCCGGTTCCGAACCGGTATCGTTGGACGCTGCATATGCCGCACGGTGCCGCACGTCTTGTGCAGTCCGCAGCGTTGCATTCTCCACCTTCAGCTGGCGGTAGGCTTCTTCGATGCGAACGAGACGGCTCTGCAGTTCGCGGTCCCCCCCGCCGTTTCCGAGCGTGCCCGTAGCGACGCCGTTACGGATGAGGTTCTCCAGGTGGTTGAGCTTCTTGGTCCGAGCTTCCAGGTGGCTTTCTAGAGACTGGTACTCCTTCCACAAGTCCTTCTCGACTCCTTTAATGCGAGACTGGAACTGGCCCACGATGCTCTCAATCATCTTCACAGCGGCCATCAGGTTCTTGCTGAAACCCGGGAGCATGGTGGCCACAGCTTCGAGAGACGGCAGGGCCCGGCCGTTGATGAGGCTGTTATCGTGGGCCCAGTCGGTACCGCACAGAGACGACAGCCTGGTCCAGAGGACGAGTAAGAGGTTGTTCCTTTCGTTGAGCTGCTCTTTGAGGTTCGTCTCGAGCTGCGATATCCTCTTCTTGTCTTGCGTACGCAGAGACTCGAGCTCCACGATGCGGGTGTCTTGGGACGTGACTGTCCTTGACACGTGCTGGTGTGTCTTTTGGAAAGTCTCAAACTGGTTCCTTGTCTGACGATGGGCCAGGCGCTCCTTCTCCAGCATCTCAGCCACCTTACGGGACTCGAGGCTGTGCGACTCGAGTAGGGCATCTCGCTGCTTGATGATGCGGTCTTTCTCCATGAGAGACTGCTTGCTGTTCTCCAGCTCGCGCACCGTGTTCTCAAGTTCACGTTGAAGTTTGGCAATGGACTGGAAGGTGTTAGTTACGACCAGATCACCAGACTCATGAAGGCTGCCCTGTCCGGGATGACTTACCTTGAGCAGACTAGACCTGGTGCCGTTAAGGTCACCAAGCGCCTCCCTGAGGTTGTTCTCGAGCTCCATGAGCCTTTCCTTCCACTCCGTCGCCTCGACCTCGCGCGACGTAAGGCTCTTACGCAGCTTACGTGCTTCGTCCTTGGCAGTGGATGCTTCACGGTTGAGCTCGTTGACGACGTGCTGCACCTCTTCCTTCTCGCGGCTCGAGACAATCTCGTACTGCCTGCGCTCGTTGGCCAGGCGCTGCTCGAGTTCCTTAACCCGGTCCTTCTCCTCCTTAAGGCTCTGTTCCGTATTGGCCAGGGCCGCCTCCAGGTCGCCGATCCGGATTTTGTCGGCTTCCTGTTCCTCGCGAAGGAAGGCAATCTCGCTCTGGCTGGACTCCTGCTGTACACCGAGGCGATTCGCCTTCTCGTTCGACTCGAGCAGCTTGCCCTCCAGCTCCTCGAGCTCCTTGTTGGCGTTCTCAAGCTCCTGCTCGAGCTGCTGTATCCTCCGCATCTTGTTCTCTTGCTCGTCCTCCAGGCTTATCACGACCTCACTGAGCTTGCGCATCTCCTCCTGCAGCGCGTCAAAGTTTTCGGCCTTCTCGTCGCGCTCCCTCTCGAGATGCTGGATCTCCTCGTTACGGGCGTTAACGTCGTTCTCGAGCGTGTCCACAACCTCTTGCGCCTCCTTCTGCAGGTCCTGGAACTCGTTCTCCAGCCGCTCGTACTCGCGCAGGGCCTCGTCGCGCTCGTTCTGGAGCGCCACCAGGTCGTTCTCCGCGGCTTGGAGCTCTTCCTGCAGGGCAAAAACGGTGTCTTCGGCCTGCGTCTTGGCTTCCATCGCCGTCTCGAAATCTTGCGTACAGCTTTCGAGGTCTCGTTGGAGGTCCTGGTTCTGCAGCTTGACGTCGTTGATCTTGTCGCGGAGTTCGGCGAGTTTGTTCTCCAGGTCTTCGCGCTCGGACTCGTCGATGCCCGTCATGGCTCTCGTGCCACCGCTGGCGCGGGACCCGGAGCGTTCATGCACGCCGGCACGGGAGGCAGAGCGGTCGAAGAGGCTGTCGATGGTCGACGGCGCGGGGCCTCCTCTCCGTTGCGCCAGCTTCAGGTCCTCGATCTCTTGGTATAAGCGCTCCTTCTCACGGTTCCGCGAGGTCAGCATCGAAGTCTGCGCCCCTACTTCTCGGCGCAGTTCAGAGTTCTCGTGCCGTAGCTGTTCGTTCTCGCGGCGGACTTCATCGACAAGCGTGCTTGCAGCGCTCATGCCGCCATTCACGGCATCGGTCTCACCAGAGAATGCCGATACAGGACGCGAGGGGGACGACGGCCTCGGCTTCTTTGTGATGTTGTAAATATTTGTGGTGTGGTGCATTCCCCCAGGTCCGGCGCTCGAGCTCATCTCCTGCTTGTAGCGGAAGACCTCGTCTCGCAGCTTGCGGTTCTCCTCGTCGGCTTGCTCCCGGCGGACAGACTCCTGCGAATACAACTCCTTCCAGACATCGACCTCCTCTTGCCGGCCGTAGTTCTCTCCAAATTGCTTCTCTCCGACCGATTGCAGTGACTTGATAGCTTCCGCCATGCGCCGCTTCTCGTTCTCCTTGGACAGGTTGTCGGCCTGAAGGTTCTCGACAATGGTCGTGTACTCCTCCAGGCGCTCTCGCAGGAAGATCAGCTCTTCCTCACGGTCCTGGGCGTCTGCGTCTGACGACTCTGCAGTCTGGCCGTTGGACGAGGTGCCGCTCTTCGCCGTACTGGGTCGCTCGTCTTCCTCCTTAAGTTGCTTCTCCAGCTCCTTGACCCGCTTCCGGAGAACTTTGTTGTCGCGCTGCAGGACGGCCAGGCCCGTCTTGAGCTCGACGTTCTCCGATATCATCTCCTTAACGTTCTCCTCGGAGAGCCTGTCGAGCCGATCGCTGAGGAACATAACCTTCAATTTGAGGTCGAAATTCTCCTTCGATAGCCGTTCAATGGTGCTGCTCTGTTCCTTGAGAGTCATGCTCTTGCCCTGACGCGGCGTGCCGGTGACACTGAACTCGGACGGCTTCCTAGGCGTCGTGAGCCCGCCCTTTGTCTTGTATTCCCGAGCGAGCGATTCCGGAACGTGCACGTCCATAACGCGACGGGCGATGACAGTATCAGTCGGCGCAGCCAAAGAGCCCTTAGCCTTTGGCGTCCGCATATAGTCGTCTCCCCTGTGGCCAGCATCGTCTTCCTCGAGGGTTTCCAAGCGCTCGATGGACTCGCGCGGTTCGTCCATGCCCGACAGCATGCTGCCCATGCTCAAGGAACGGGACAGGATGTTGCTCATGCTACCAGAAGCAGTCCGCGAGGGGGCCGCACCACCAGACTGCAGGGCATAGTCGGCACCCATGCCGACGGTCACGTCGCTATCGACATCGTCGTGGGATTCGGGGTTCGTCACGAAGGAGGAGACGGAAGATCTCTGGCTCGCAGTCCGGCTTCGCAGATACTTAGGCCGTCGGCCCGACTTGAGCGCATTGCCCGGCGTGCTCCCCGCGTCGCTAACTTTCCTAGAGCTGGTGTTGGAGGGGTATCGGTTGAGGGCGGACGAAGAGTCGAGAAATGACGAGGACTGGGCTTGGGAGTCCTCGCCCATGGACTCTTCCTGCATCTCCTGGCCGGACTCGGTACCCGCGTCGCTGCGGCCCGTACTCGTCCCTGAAAGTGTTCTCGAGAGAATACGCTGGCCGGTCGCCGGGGTGGGCGATGAGGAGAAGGCTTCGAGGGAAGAGGTAGTGTTGCCCACATCTGCAGGATCGAGATAGCGAGAGGCAAGGTTTGCGCGCTGATCACTGATTGCGGGCGACGGAGGGGTCGTGGACTTGGGGTAATGGTCGTGTGTTTGTATACCAGTCGGGAGCTCTGGGGCGGCTGGTTGTTGCGCCGTACGCGTCTTTTTGGGTGAGTCGAACACGAAGGTATCGTCGACGCCTTCCCGAGTGATAGTCGGGATGGGCGAGATTGGTACCGCGAAACTCGACTCGACATCCTCCTGCAGGTGGCGGCGCACTGCCTGCTCGTTTAGCGCAGGGACAGTATTGTCGCCAACGAAGCTGGGGCTTCCGAAGAAGGTGCTGTCCGGCTCGGGAGGTGGAAGGGAAGGGGCATCGTCCTTGGTCGAGGGCGGGTTGTTGGTGGTGTTGTTGTTGTTGTTGTCTGTAGATGGGAAGGAGATGTCGCCAAATTCTTCTTTCGTGGGGGAGATCTCATCGTCGTTGAAGCTTCCCGGCACCCTACGCAGAGATCTCTGTAGGGGCGGCGGCCTCGAGTCGTCTCCCGGCATGATGATGTGTGATCACTGGCTGGCTGTGTCTGCTGGCGTGTTGGCGGCGAGCGCGCGCACGCACGGAGGGGAGTGATCTTCGCCCTCGAGGGCGATCTTTCTCGTCTGTGAACAAGTCGCGTCGCTGGATGCGCCTGCACTTGGATGAGAGCGGCAGAAGAGTTGCGATATGGATTACATGAATGACGGTGTTGTGTCGTATTGCTGCTTCAGGGATCGGGTCATGTTTGCGTGCTTCCCAAAGAAGTGTCGAATATGGTTCGCGAGAAGCCCGGCTGGATGGGACGCGCTCGAGCCTCTCCCGTACACGCACGACACTGACTTTGAGGTTCTTCGATGGGTCCGCCGCGGGCAGAGCCCACTAAAACTTACCCCTGTTCGGTTGCTATGACAGCGTACTAGACCACTGTAATGGCCCGCCGCCAACCGCGAACAGGGTTGCACTTGAGGCTCTCACCCCTGGAGAGATCTGCAGGTGAAATAGGGGAATTTTTTACGATACAACTTTGGATGCAGGGGAGAATCCAGAAAGGGCAAAGGACGCAAATCCATCGTGACACCCGTCCTTTACAGGTGGTTGACAAAGACTCGGACACGGCTGCTTCTCCTTATCCGCGCAGAGGCCACAGAGTTTACGATCAGGCGAGCCACATGAGTGTCTCAGGAGTCTACTGTTCGACTGGTTTTGGGTCCCGACTTTGACTGGCCGTGCAGGTTGGAGACCCCTCGTGGAGACAATCACCTAGGCCTCTGAATTCGTATGAGCCAGGATACTTATCAGTTCAATCCATCCATCGGCCCCTGTCTTTTCCTGAGAAAAGCTGTTCAGCATTTTATCCTCGAGCTCAATGCCTGTCAGCGTTGCCCGTCAGCGTTAAGCTGCCCTCGAGACCCCGCCGTGTTTTGCTTCTTCAGGCAAGGTTCATGGTGGGTAACAGCGCCATGGTTGTTTCATCTCTCCCAAACTTAGCGTGGATGCCAGTACAAGATCCCAGAGCAGGCGGCGGCTTCAATGATCCCGGCCAAGTCGATTCGGGTTGGAGTTGCTTTCGCGGCCCTGGAAGGAATAAGCCGCAAGCTTGTTCTCTCTACCCGAGACCTGACGTATCATCCGGTTAGAAGCGATATTGCTACAATTATCACTCATTACCCTGGAAGAAAACCCTAGCAAATCTTTCGACGATGCGAGCGATAAGTTCATGGTCAGCATCGATATACAAGTACATCGCCTAAATGCTAAGCGGGGTTGACAAGACCATTGACCTCCAAGACGGCAACCTCCGTGAGCATGTACTGGGACAGCAGATGCTATTTTCCCATCTTGGGCCTTCTATCAAAAATGCGGTAGTTACCTCGTGCCTTGCACCACTCCAATTCAGCTTGAAGATGGGGATGAGTGATCATTGGAAAGAGGAAAGAGAGTTCATGTATTCAAGATACTGCGTCTTCTCACTGGCCTCGCGCAGTGGGTCAGGTCTCTCTATCGAAGACCATAAACCAGTCTCTGCTGTCATGGCATTGAAAAAGGATAGCACTCAACATCAGGCTCGGGACATCAGCACCAAATCCTTGATTCTCGGACCGGGCATGGCCGTTTCCTTAAGATCGCTGCTATGAGGTCTTCATCCTGCATAATCAAGGCTCGACTTGCCTTAGCCCGTGGGACCACGCTCAACCCGGGCCTTGCCCTGTTGGGGACCAGCCGTTCTCACATGCCAATCCCGGGAACGGTGCCTGTAGATCCAGCCAAAATACGACTCCGAAACCAGTTGAGCGGCGATGACTGGGAGGCAAACTGCGTCTAGGACAAGGCTCGACAAAAGCAAGCCTTGCGAGCGTTATGGGCCGATTACTGCAGAGCAGGAGGCAAATTTGAGTTCCGTATTCCATCCAGATCCTGCTTTCTGGATGCCGGTCAGCCATGATGCTGTGCTACTACCCGAGGAGGATGCAGTGAATTTCGACCTGGGCCAGCTTGAGGCCCTTACTCGGCAAACCTAGGTATGTTATCAGCATTGATCAACACCCCAGATGTCATCGAACAACAAGCTTCGTCCCATGCCAGCTGAACTCAGACCGTAGCTACCGAGTCCGGCCGACTTTTCCGGGACTGCAGATCGTTCTATCCAAACAAGAGAGCCTAAGAAAACCTAGATGTCAGAAAAGCAGCCAGTGAAACGCAAGAAGCTGGATTGCAATGCGATCTCCCCCCACAAGGCGATGCCGAGTCTAATCGCGGGCGGCTTACATGAAAGTTGCGTAGGGCGTAAGGGATGCGGATCACCAATGACGTAGCCGCCATCCATCCATCACCATCCCCCGAAACTTATCGCGTCCCGCTCCACCTTTCTTGGTCCTCACCCCTCCTCCCCCAAGCCAGCACAGCTACCAGTAAACATCACCTTTCCAGGGCCCTTCCACTGCCGGGCCGTTAGCAAGGACAGACCGGTTTGAGGAGGCTTGGCAGGGACCTTGCCCAGCTGGAGCTGGTGGGGGGTATTCTTGTGGGATAGGCGTGACGGAAGACGGAGAGGTGTAAGAAGAGCTTGGATAGGTAGATCATCCTTGTAAGACCTGTGATGTAATGCCTTTTTAGCTTCGGCAGGAAAACCAAGCAGTCGTGTATATAACCCTCGAGCAATCCTCGACTTATCCAAGCCCTTCTGGTCCCTACCTCCATTCTTTCCATCGCGCTACAAATCCCAATCAACCTCTTCAAAAGAACCAATACCCAAAGGTCTTCCCAACCAAGAACAACCCAACACATCATCACAATGAATCCCGCCCAGCAGCCCCAGCAGCCCGCCGCCGGTGCCGGCGCCGAGAAGCAAGACTACGGCGACAAGGCCTTTGACATGCTGGCCAAGAAGTCGGGCCACCCCATGGACCGCAACACGAGCGAGAAGATCACCGACGGTGCCCGTGGTGTCTTTGAGAAGGTCACTGGGTAAGTGCTGAAGAGAGTGTCATACTCATATGAGTACATGCGCTAACAGCCGCCACAGCAAGAAGGTCAACCCCAAGATCTCCAACTAGAGGGGAGGGCCACCAGACATCATGTTGTACGATAGAAGCCTGGCGTTTCGCACGACCGTGAAACAGGATTTGTTTTCGGGTTTGACGCGGATGGGATATACTCGGATTGGCCATTAATGATACTTTTGGCAATTGAACCATCAAATAATAATCATTTCCATTATCATGCATGCGTCCAACACGTCTGTACAGGTCCTAAACCTATGTGCCCTCGCTCGGACTGAAAGCCGAGCCATGCGCGTCCTGTCGTCTGTTCACGCCACAATAACAACCCGGATATGAACAGATCCTCCCAACCAACTCCTTCCATGCAAGCACCTTTGGTGAACAATGTAATGCGGTAAAACGGCCAAATGACGCGGACCTCCCCCTCCCCGTGTGATAGGCAATGTAGCCTCCCCGACGGCCAAACAAAACAATATACAAGACAAAAAATGAAACAGTCGGAACCAAAGTATGTGTAATAAGTGCAGCGCGGGGCAGAAACTATGGAAAGCACTCCCTCCGTGCATTTCTCAACAAGGGGATCAACCATCAGCAAAGACCTGGTAGGCCATCACCATGATCCACAGCAGGAAGATGGCGCCCACGAGCGCAAAGGCAAACATGGCCTGCCAGGATTGACCTGCGCGACACAGTTTATGTTAGTGAAACGTACGTATCATGACACCCGGGGGGGGGGTGGGTGTGATTGATGTAGCAAAACTCACATATGCTCTTCTGCTCGAGCCAGGCCAGCGTCGTGAGCGTCTGGCCCGTCGGGTTCTGCGAGAAGACGGCGAGGTTGCAGTTGCTGCTGACGGAGCCCGTGGGCCCCCAGAGCTGGATGGAGATGACGATGAGCCCGACGAGCCAGAGCACGAAGAGCACGAAGCCGCCGATCATGACGATCGAGGGCAGCAGGCGGCGCGTGTAGATGAGCCACAGCAGGACGAAGACGAAGAAGATGGCCAGCGAGGCGACGGTGATGTAGTACGGGAAGTACCTAGGAGAAGGGCGCCACTGTCAGCTCCCAAATGAAAAGGGGAAAAGCGCTGTGCGAAGGAGGGTGTCTCTGTGTGTGTGCTTACCATGGCACCGGCAACAGCAGCTGCTGCTGGATCTGGATAAAGGTGGCCATGACGCCGAGGATGGTGCAGGCCGAGATGAGCATGATGAGCATCCAGATGTTGAGCTGGACCGCCGGCCAGTGGTACCGGTGTATCCTCTCCATCACGTACGACTCGCTCCCCGTCACTGTTGATGCCGCCATCTTTTGTCGGTCGTCGCAAAGTGTATGTCGGTGTCGATGGGGATTCTGCAGGTTCCCTTCGCAGGAGATCGGACTAGGAGCGCAGCTTTAGATCCTTATAAAGGGTCCCGCCGCTCGCTGGGTTGCGAATGCGCAAAAAGAAATAGGTCTGTCTCGAGGTGTCGGGCGCAAAAAAGTCGAGAGTCGCCAAGGGTGTTCGTCGCGAAGACCCAGGCTTTTCGTATGGATCGTAGCCCGACCAGCTGTTGCGTATGTAGACACGCCCCTACTCCAAGAGAGAACGAGGAGTCACTTATGCCTCCCGGCACCCGGTCTCGATTGGATCGTTCACTTGTCGTCCCCAAGTGCGGTACAGCAATGATATTCGCAGAGTGTCTGCCACGTCGCGGAGGGGGGGGGGGGGGGGGGGGGGGGGTTCGTACTTGGGGCGGGGAACGCTGGGCAGCTTGATGGTGCCAGAGAAACGCTTGTCACGCTGAGGGTCATAGTTCTTGAGGCCGATCTGGAGCTCGACGGTCTCGAGGAAGTTGCGCTTCTTGGTTTCGTTGCTGTACTCGAGCAACTCAGCGACATTCTGACGCACTCCGGCTGTGGTGCGGGCACGGTGGTTAGCACACGATTGCTCTAAAGCGAGGAGATCCAGGGGAAATAGCACTCACCGACTGTGATCTTGGACATCTTGACAGTCTTCCAGTAGAATGACCTATGGGGATTCTAATGGTGAGGATTATTGCGTCGTGATGATTTGGATTTCGAAGTGGAGGAGGGAGGAATTTCGCCGCTAAGATTTTCTGGCACACATAAAAACTTGTGTGAAAAGGTCTTTTTGCGGAACAGGGTTAGGCGAACCCACACGCAAAAGCACGGACCATAAAAGCGAGACCCCGCCCAGCACTGTGTATTATGTCATCCATGCTGACTAAGTGATTCTGTGGACCATGATGGCCGAATGAAGGGCAGCTACTTCGTGAACTGATGGCAAGATCGCCATCTCATCCTCCAGAAGGAGCAATTCTTACAATCCTCGAGATGGTTAATAAATATCAAAGCTCTTTGCACTCGCCCCAGAACATCAAACGTAAGCAGGCTCCGCCAGACCTTAAGAGTTTCTCTCAAGAAATCATCCACTGCAACAAACCTCCTCGCCATGGATCTCGCCTCACAAGTTTCACAAACGGGCCACAAAGAGGAGAACGGCTTGTCAATCTTCGACTTAATCAATATCTTGTCTATCTTTCCGACCGTCCAGATGTATGTATCATGCTGCCAATTCAACCTCTTCTTCCTCCAAAACAAAACTTCAAGCAAATCTTTGTCATCATCATAAGTGTGTGTGTTTGCGGTGAAAGAACAATAAAAAGTATCAGCGAGAAGGCCGCCCTTCGAACACAAAAGAAGTCTATAAATGCCCCAATCCTCATCGTCCGAGTCCAGTCTGGATCGAGCTCGCTCGCTCAACAGAGCCAGTCCTCCATTCCCTCCACAGTCTTCAAATTGGCACGACAGAGCCCTTCATCCAGGACTCTGCCTGCTCATCTTGAACGTCTTACAGTCCAAGGTACAGTAGGATCCAGCACGCCCCGATCTCGGGCTCGAGTATCGAGTGGCTTCCTTCCTCCCCCTCCAGGGGGGTATGATGCGAATGTGCCCGCGCGGCCCAGGGCCGGCAAGGAGAGTCCGCTGTCGACCTCAGCACTTGGGCTTAGAGGTTGTACTGAACAACTTGTCTCCTTCGGCGGTGCAGCAAAAGCAAAGATGGGTTGGAACACTTGTTCCATGCCTTTTCCTAGTTGGATTCCCTCGACAGTCTGGCAGGTCTTTGGCAGGGACACTGCGCCCCAGTCGGGTCAGTCTCAGGTCGTAGGGCCGATTCTTGTGATGGATATCACTAACCAATTTGCGAATTCATTCAGCCGGTGTGCTGGACGAAGGATCGCCGGTAGGTTGCCTGGACAAGCTCCGGCTTCCGGGAAGGGATGACCTGGGAAGAAATACGACTCATAGCCGTCAACTGGGATTGAGCCTCTTGGATGGTGCGGAGCACCGCGGGGTCGTCCCATTGGGGAAAGTTCTGGAACATCCCGGTGACTGTCTTTTGGTATCCAGTCCACTCGTTGTAGAGTGCCATGGCGGCATCCTCGGCCTGGATCGCGGCTAGGTTCTCCTCCGCAGCACGAGTCTTGGAAGATGACTTGCGGCGGTTGGAGCTTGCATCGGGGGCATCCTTCTTGCGCTTTCGTCCCTTGGCCTGGTTCTGGCTGCTTCCGAGCGCCGGGGGGGAGCTGGCCTGGGGCGCAGTGCCCTTGTCATGATGCACACGTTTCATGTGGTCCCTCAAGTTCCACTGGCGCGGAAATCCATTTCCAGCGATGGCCCGGTCACAGCCTTCATACGTGCACAGATAGGGCTTGTCTCCATGGCCATGCATGGCGTGGGCCTCACGCTCATGTCGCAGGAGGCATGCAGTAGAAGAGAACCGCGTGTTCTCGCAAGACTCGACCTTGCAGCGGTACGGCTTCAGGTGCGAGTCCACGAATTTGCTTCAGGGCGAAGACATGTCAGCGATCGCTTTGGTCGACATGATCAGAATAAACTGGGATAAACCTACTCGTAGTTGCACTTGAGCTTCTCGGGCTTGTGGTTGCAGCTGGGCTGACCCTCCCACGGGCAATGGAAGAGTCCATCCGATTGGGGGGCGGCATTCTTGTACAGCGGGTGGTCTCGCGCTGTCTCACCTTCATTGCTTGGACGTCGAGTGCTGAATGCCGAGTTGCCGGAGAGGGTGAAATCATCGCCAGGAACAGCAGTCATGACAACCCCACTGGAATGCCTCGGAGTCAGTATGCGAGGGGGACCAAAACTCAGAACGCAATCGGGAAGCTCGTCGGTGATGGGTTGAGGGTTCGGGGCTCGGGGTTCAGAAAGTCGCAGAAACGTACCTGGGCGAATGCCCACCAAAGGAAGGCGAGGAGGTGTGCGTGTCCGTAGGGGAAGTGGCGTTCGGTCCGCGCCAGGTATCCTCGAGGGTCACAGGAGAGGACGTCCTCGAATGGTCCGAGCTGGAGGAATCCCAGGAGTGGATCGAGTGACTGGCGAGACTGGGCTCGTAGTCCATGCGCATCTGGGTGCATGTGGGATCCACGTGTTGGTTCATAGCCGTAGCGAAGTCGTAGGGAAGGCCATCGGTCATTCCAGACGGAAATCCTTGGAGCGAGGACACGGACAGAGTGTCAAGATCCGGGGTAAGGTATTGGTTCACATTCATCGACACATCCGTGAAGACCATTGCATTACCTGCCATGTCAAAGCTTCCCAGTGGAGCAGAGCTCTGTGGGAGTCCGCTTTGCAATCTTGAGCGCCCCTTGATGGAGGAGGCCTTGAGGATCCGTTGCTTGTGGCTGCCAGTGGAGCTCTTGGATGCCATCCGACGCATGGGCTCTGCATGTGCCAGCGAAGCGTCAACACTTGGGCCAACCGCCCATGCATTCTGGAAATCCTCGGTCATTTCAGTGGCATCTCTCCTGGGGGTGATATGTCCATAGGTATATGAGTACTCCTCGGCATCTCCGGTCTGGATCTCTCCGTTGTCTGAAAACTCAGTAGGGAAGTTCTGTGACCCTTCAACTGTCGCGTCCCATGACGAACCGCAGAGGTCCGCAGGTCCTGTTTGAGAGAAAGGAAACATAGAGGCTTGTTGGAAGTGAAAATCACTGAGTAGCATTTCATGTTAGTGTGCTGTGTCTCCACTAAGTTTGTAAAAACGCATCGAGGCAAATGGAAAGCACAGATCGGTAACAACTTTGTTCCTGTATTGCGGCAAGGTTAGTCTACGCGCTTCGGCAGCATATGGGACAACGGGATCTCTACAGACCAAAATGTGACGCTGTTCAAGCTGAACCCTGACAGCATGGTTCTTGCGATCCAGGACGGCAACTCGGCCACGGAAGGGTGGAACAATAATCCTGCGGTTCGAAAAAGTCCACGGGTCGTTCAATATAACGCAATGGCATATGCGATTCCAGAGTCCACGGGTCGATGATCAAAACAAATCAGGAGTACCTCCATGGATGATAGAAAAACCTCGGGTCGTCCGTCAAAAGGGAACACTTGGTGAAAACAGTCACGAGTCGGGATGTCGAATATCGCTATGGTCCTGTCGTTCGGGCAACGGAGAAAGCAAGGCATTTGCTTGTCGGTGACACATGATCCTGGCATGTCCGGTACGAGGGTCAAGTACGCGAAATCCACAGAACGAGGCAAACTCCTGGAAAGACAAGTTCACAGCATAAGGTCTCCTGGTTTTCCTGGTCTGAAAGTTGAAGAGCGTCGCGAATATCTCCTCGGCAAATGGAATCCAGTGGTTCGTGGATCGGTCCTTTCAAGGGTCCATCATGCGGCTGCATGTGAAAAGCAATCATCATAAAATTGCTTTTAACTTCAAGTTCTATCCGCGTAGCCAACACCGTTGCTCGGGCACAGCAGTGATGACAAGCAGACGAACGAGTGGTGCTCAAATCAAGGTCTCTGGGTTCCGGCGGCAAGCATGTCAGGAAACCAGGAATGTGTGGCCCAGGGTCATATCATCCGGCATCCTTGGTTTGCATGGTATTGCATGGTATCCCCATCCACGGCGGAAAAAAAACAAGTATCCTCGGGTCGTCTCAGTCCTGACTGTGGCCGACACCTACCTTGTCGTAGAGTGATAATCATTATTGTTGTCCATGTCTGGCTAGACAAAAGACGTGCATCTCAAAAGAGACACTCTTCAAATCCGGTGACGGTTGTCAAATGCAGAAGGGTTGTTCCCGGAACGGTATCAAGTAATCCAGGGTAATCCAAGGTCTCCATGGGATAAGCAAGAAGTGCAAGCTGCAGGAACAAAGGAAATATACATGAGCCACAAATTGTGGCGAGCACAATGGACCTCCGTGAACATAGAAAGTTGCAAATACCTCGCGGGAGTCTGGACGTCTTCCATATCATTGATGTAGTTGGGCATTTTGTCCTGGTGTGAAAGCACGGTGGCAGCCATTCCAGACGGGGGAGTCAAAATGAAAGCTCGGGTCCAGGATCGACAGTGTGCGTCAAATGTAACGGCCTGGTGGCAAAATGGTCCTTGGGTTGTCGTTGTTGTTGAGGTTCGAGAAGGAGTTCAGGCAGATGCCGTACGACAAGGGACAGATCCTTCGTTTTTAAGAAAAGAGTAAAGGGATCAAGTGTGGCCAGAAGGGGCTCACGTGCTGACGAGGTTGGGGTGGTGTGTGAAAAAGAGACAACAAGGCAAGAAAGAGGCTTGTGTGTTGTGGACTGCTCGCTTGGATCGGGCAGAAATGGTGTTCCGGTTGGGCTGAAGAAAAGAGAAGAGGAAAGTCGAGTTGGGCAGAGAGGGGGCAATTCGGGTTTTAACTTGGATAACTTCCCCTGTGCTCACTCTTTCAACCCCTGCTCTCTGATGCCTCATATCCCCATTTGACCCACTCGTGTTGGCAATCAGGCCAGCAGGGTTCGTGACGACACTGTCAGTTGTCAGTATAATTGGACGTGGTCCCCCCGTCCACGTTTCCTCTGCTTTGCTGTCGTACTGTTTCCGGGCGTCACGACTGCAATTCAGAGCTCTTCTCCGGCCGTCACACTGGCCGCAGACGCACACTAAGGCATCCTGATGAGCTGGCCGACGAGATGAATCGGCGTAATAGGTCGGAGCGTGCAGCGCGTGTTGTACGAGGCTTGCGACTTGGATGGCTTCCTTGATTTTAGGAGGGTCTCAGCGGGGTGTCGAGAGGCTTTTGCGGCCTATCAAATATTCTAGCGACGTTGAAGTGCAACTAGACAGGGGTCGCTGATGCATGGACAACTCATCCATGCATGCCGCCATCACACCAGGCCAACTCACGGGCGGACAGAGCCAGCCGAGAGGAAAAGTCTGGCGGCTACAGCGGAATCCTCGATTCCCATTCCTCCCGCCCACTTGACATGTCGCTTTTCTTGACGGATTGCTTCATAACCTGTCGTCTGGCCCTCCTCGTACTCTCACCGCTCCGATGAAACAGGGCGTGGTCAAGGAAATAAGACGCTTTCATCCAGTCTCAGGACAATTCGCAGCCAGAGAGGCAGACTTCTGCCACGGTGGCTGCTTATTCCGTATCCTTTGTGGGTAGACCAGCGGATTGAATGCGAGCCCAGCATCCAACCTCTTCGTTGTCAACAGGTGGTGTTGACCTCGAGTCCACGGTCTGCAAGTGTGATACCTTCAGGTCGATGTGACTGGCCTCCTCGCTTCGCCTTTGATGCGTCCTCTCTTTACCAATCACAAGGCGATTCCCCAGGGCAGATGACGAGGAAAGACCGTGAAGGTGAGGCATGTAAAGGATCCGTGGTCCCCGGGCTGCATCATTGGTTGCCAGCGAACAACCTGACCATCTGCTTCGGTCCAGCAATGCAGGATCGGGTGCTTTCCTCCGCAACGCCAACAGACGAGAAGAGGTTTGTGACTGTGTGTGAGCCACGCATCAGTAGCTGATGGGAAGACTAGGTCGGTGGCTGTGGGTTGTTGCATGCAGCATCCCAATCGAGTAATCGAGATAGCATCCAGGGCAGTGTAGCTTCTCGATGTCATGGCTCGACATTGCCTGTGAGGTTGGTGCTCACCACTTGATTTGACACAGCTTGGATACATCACGCGGGAAAGCGGTGAGAAGCGTGCCGATGGGCGAGACCTGTGAGCACCAGATGCTGCTGTTGTTCGGGCATAGGTGAGCTTGTCATTTTGATATTCAATGGAAACATAGTCATTGTGAACTCCGTGCCCAACAGGCAAGGAAAACACCCTGGTGCTTGCCATAATTAGTTATTGGCAGTCACGACTCATGAGCAAGCTCCCGTCACGTGCAATCGGGGCAGACAAACTTAAGACATCGCGATGGTTTATCTTGTCGCACCGAGCTTCATTCAGCTCTGAGGGAAGAGACGATTCTTTCAAGCAGTGGAAAGCACTCGGCAAATCAATACAAGAGACCTCGTGGCTGCATCGAGCGAGCCCAACAATGACCCACGAAGTAGGTGGCAGGTATCGCGGATAAGCAACAACGACCTCCGCCAAGACAAGGCCCCTCTGGCAATTTGACCACGCGGTTCCCAACCTTTGTCTTTTCTGCTCGCCCATCTTCCGAATCTTTCCAAGTGTAGCCACCAGCCAGGTCTTAATCTTGTCAAGCGGCTGTCCTCAGCAAAGAGGCCGCGCATTCTCCTAGGGTTCTCGGTGCAGGTCAGATATATCTACTCCGTACGTTGTCTGTCTGGAACTTCCAGTGAGGGATCAGGATGGGCGGGACTGCAGTGGCCAGGCATTGCGCGTTGTCGGCAGCGCCTCTCTCTCCATTGACCTCCCGACAAGCAGGTGGGAATCCATCTGCTGGCACCAGAGTAAGATTATCCCGACACGCATCCGACCATCCCCCGCAATGATCGACGGGTCACATCCCTTCTTTTGCGCCCAAGCAAAGTCGAGCTCGTGGAGCTGCTGCACTCGATGACCAAGCTCATTCACTCGCATGTTGCTTCTTGCGCAAATGAATCGAACGCCTACCGTCTGATAACACACCAAGTTCTATCCGGCTCCTCATTTGCACCCGATCAAGCTTCGCCCTGCTGAGGTCGTGGCCAAGAGAGGATTGGCTGCAGCTTCTGGCATCAAGGCATGATTGGGCTCTGATGGTCCCCATCCCTTCCTGCCCAACCGATTCAGCGATCAGTCACCGCCGCTTCCAAACAAGGTCACTCCCTGCTGATGTGAGTATATCATTGCTACCTGGCGAGTACCAGACGCTCCAATGTGTCCTTTGGGCGACAACACGTCGACGTTTTACACGGACAAAATCAGATGTCGGCCCAACGGTGCCCTACTCCGGAATCGCGAATGGGACCTGTTGACCAATTGCCGTCCGCGCTGAGCCTCCGGGCATAGAGTTTTATGGACGGAACATAAGTCGGTAATCCAGGGTGCTCCTTGTCCAGGGTCAACCAGGGGCATTATGTTTCGCACCTATTTGCCTCATCAAAGCTCTTCGGTTCGGTTAGCTCTCGAGGATCGACGCTGCACAGCGCATTGCCGTCTCGAACCCTATGAAGCAACTCTGCCAAAGCGCCTGACCTGTGGACGTAAGCCAGTCCTTTCCAAGCCTAGCGGGTCACGAAGCCGCCTCAACATGCGGATGGGTTTGACTAGAACTTCCAGACTGCTGGTCATTGGGAAGAGTACTACCATCCCTCTGCTGCCGTAGTCGAGTACGATATCTTGTTGTATCTGCTCAGCACGTAGCTAGGCGCCTGGCCAGTCCTCCCCTGACCGCCCCGCTCCTGGCTGGAGTTCGCTGCCAAACAAGTGTTTGGTCCGTGACGGCTTCTTCTCTTCGCCACCCGGCAGACATAAATGCTTTCGTCTGGGACAAGCTCCTACTGTCTCATACCTTCCATACCGTTCAAACATCTGATGAGTAGTGATCTATCCTGTTCACGACAGCCGGACTCCAATGTTTGTCTGCGATCGACTTTTCCATTCCTTTCCACATTCAAGGCCCAGATAAACAATAATTCCAGGTGTCGAAACATCCGTTCCGCACCTGCTGCCATCGGACGGTGAAGACTGCTGAGACCTCAGCCAGGATATTTCTGAGATAGGTCGATATCTCCCGTCCTTGGATTTGGAAACCCGGGAATCCCAGGACATTGGTTTTGCTGGTGCAGGTACCCTCCTCATCAGGCTCAGGATCCGACTCCGTCGGTGTTAGTTGCAAGCTCTCTCCAACAATCCGGCATTGTTTCAGGAGAAAAGAGTCGCTTCTCAGGTCTTGCTTTTTCTATCTCACTTTTGCTTGTGTGTTTGGCCATTTTCTCTCATCTACCGGGAACGTGTACTGTCTACCATGGTCGGGAGAAACATGACACAGCCAGAGTTTGCCTATGGTTCGTCCGGTGCCTCGGCCGGCATCTGGAACACATCGCGGAGGTACGCCCTTACTGGTCCAACTACCGCCTCGTCGACAGAGCTGATCATTGCAGTGCGATCTACAACGATTCATACCCTTCTGGGGGCTATGAAGGTGTCAAAGCAGGCTACAGGCCCAGCAGGTAAGATCTCTTACGCAATTGCATCTTAACGTACATCGAATAACATCCATGTGTCCAGCATGGTTCGTCCTCATGAGACTTCTTCCACTTTCAGTCTGCCCTCCACCGGCTCCATCCCCAAGGCTAGCCATGTGCCTCGATCGGATTCCATGTACAACACATCCCCTGTGTTCAGCCCCCAACCACCATCCGCGGCCTTTGTCAACTCCCCGCCAGGCTTCGGGTCCTACACTGCTGTGAACGCTCAAGGCTGGGACCAGTCCGGCAAGTTCTCACCCGCGGATTCACTCGAGGACATCATGGCGTCGTCGAGCCCCTCGGATTACTCTCCAGACCACGGCCCGGGATCTTCGATGCCCAGCAAGTCCAGTAAGCACCACCAGAAGGGCCGGTCGCAGCGGCGGCCTTCCAACAGGGACGAGTTTGACGGACCACACCAGTTTCTACAGCGTCCGCCGCCGGACTATGTTGCCATGCAGGAGAGGGAGCTCCCTCATCTCCCGACGAACCTGTTGGTGCAAGAGCAGGACAGTGTCCTGGCCCAGGTCAATGATCGTCTGTCCCAGTGTGCATTTGATTTCGTGGCAAAGTACCAGTTCCCCATCCCGCTCACGCAGGACATGCGACCCGTGGAGCGCCCGCAGGACCGGGAGTGGACCGAATGGGTGCATCTTCTCAAACGACTGGCCACCAAGAGGCGGATCCCCGCCCGTGTCTTGTACAATGGCCAGATCAAGCAGTTTGTCACCATCCTGGAGAACTCGCTGGAGATGAGGCACGCCGCCAAGCACCAGTCTCGGCCGCTCAAGGATGATAGGAACATTCTTCAGCTCATCTCGGCCGGCATCCAGGTTGCCAAGATCCTCAAGGATGCCCAAGCCATGGACTATCTGGACAGACTATACGTTTCTACGGAGCAACAAATCCAGGACCGCGCTGCCGCAGTTCGGTACCGAGTATAAGGACTCTCTTCCAAGCTGCCGGGCTTTTTCTGCGAGCTGGACCTTGGACAGTCTAAGCTGTGCCTTGCCGTGTTGAACTAGGGCCCGCCTCCCCTTCCTCCCTTTGCTTACTTTGGGATTGTTTTTTTTGTTTTCGTCCAACTCTGTGGTCTCCGTGATCAACAAACCTCTGAAAGGGGGTGATGAGTGACGCAAGCTTCTGAACCAGATCTGCCGGTCGTTTTGTCGCGTCGGACTAGACGGGGGCGGCTACGCCCTTCATACTGGGAAGCCGGTGTTGTTGGCATTGTGAATTTTTTACAGCTGGAAAAGACGGTGGGCCTGCTGGATTCAAGATCTGTTCAGGTGGTGCTCTTTCTTAATGTCGTCACGTCTGTTTTGCCTTTGCAGTCTGGGATTTTCTTCTTTGGTTCTGTTGTTGGGAAAGTTATTATCGATATCCGGGAGGTTGGGCCTTTGATGCCAGGTTTACGTCTTGTTTAATGATTACACGAAGTCAAGATCTTGTATGAGGTTCTTCCTCCTCCTTTCGCTCTTGGTTCGCTGGCTGCACTCTTCCCTTAATAATTCTAGACTACAGTCCCAAGCGTCGTTGCTGTCAGGTGCGATTCTTGACGTGTACAGCAAGGCTTTGTATTATACCATACTCCGTACGGTACACTCGTTCGTAATAGATCATCAGGAAACAAAACAGGGACGAATCACACAAGGACTAGACTACGTCAAGTGTTGTTAATGAGTGCTGTCGAACGTCGGTGGTCCTACACGGGAAATGCACGGATACGAGATATGCGGGCCGCGTTCGCTCAGTCCCGTCCTTGTCCTTCCCCGCGCCCCCATTCCCCGGCCGTCGTCGGTCAAGGCTGGAGAGAATATGTCAAGTATGTTTAGAGATTGTCCGTAGTTAGTCGAGCTTACCTGTCAAGCCTGAAGCCAAACGGGGCGTCGGTAGGTGTGTACAAGTACAAGTAGCATCGCATCCATGTGTACCCGTTTTGGGTTTGGGGGTGAGTGGGGCTGATCGGTAGACGGATTAGGACTAGTGTTCCCTAAGAATGGTTCAGCCCTGAGCAGGTGTGTCGGGTGTTTCCAGCCAGCGTTCGGTCGATCGATACAGCTAGTCCTCTTTGCCCGGTGGCTGAGCCGCGTTCCTCTAGGATAGAGAGAGTGTTCTTCCTCTTAAGCCCACCATGGACCGTTCGTCTTGAACGGATGTGATGCTGTTCCCAGAGTGCAATCGTCATCGTCGAGAGAGAACCGAATACTGCGCACTGTCTCCGTCCATTGAGAGTTGATTGTCGTTGCGCGACGCATTTCAATCCCGGACTTTGGCACGCCCCAGGATTCAGGTCCAGGCCGTGGGCGGGGATCGACGACCGTTCGCCCGATTGACGACCTACAGCCGAGTCGTTCGCACTCCACGGACGGGCGTCCTTGTCGCCTCAGCTCAGAGTCTTGTCACCGCCCGGCTCGAATTGCAGCACCCTAACGTGGAAATCCTTGCGGCACTAGCTTCGCCGAGGAAAGGCGCATCAACGCTCCTCCCCGGACTGTATATCACGGGGCGCGCAGGGACTGGAATCTGGGCCGATCGAGCATCACCTCGGAGCTTCACATTTCTGAAGCCAACTTCATCTTGTAACACATTCTATCAGCTACGACCATGGCGACGTCCGCTTCGTATAGACATTCGCCGGACGAGGGCCGTGACCCTTCTCTCCCCGGATCGGTGGGCGACGAGGAGTCGTGGGCCTTTATGAACCTATCCGATGCGTCCAACACGGAATCACTAGGCATTCTGACGAGCCCGGAGAGTAGCCTCATCTCTTTCGGGGTCAGCATGGGCCAGCAGGGCCACCTGCCGCCTTCGCCCCTCGGGCCCCCTTCGCCTTTCGACCTGAATGCGGAACAAGTTCGACTGTCCCATCAGTCCATGGGCATGTCCTTGCCCCGGCAAGGCTCTTCGTATGGGACCGTCAACCTGGAGCGGGTCACGTCCCACCCCATGGGATTCGAGACCAACCCCGAGACTGCCTCTGCATTCAGCTTGGGCCCAGAGCAGCTCTCGAACAACTCCATCTCGGGTTCGTTCTCAGATCAGTCCTCCACCTTCGGCGTTGGTGCGGACCACCCCGACGGGCTGCTCTTCAGCCCCGACATGCAGCAACCCATGTCATCTACATCGCTGCCTGTCTCCTCCAGCTTTGCGTTTGATCCTCTTCAGCTGCCGGGTACGTATGATCGATGCGTCACGTCTGACCCAATGGTCCCCGTCTAACATCTGTTTAGTAGACTTCTCATTTCCCCTTTCCAATGACCTGGGATCTGGCGGCATGCCCGACCTCACTCAGCCTCTCAACGCCGCACATCTTGATTTCCTTCAGCAATTTCAGGCCGTGGACACCGCAGCACCGTGGCAGCCAAGCAATCTAGGGCAGGGGGACATGTTCATACAGGAAGATAACTTCACTGCCTCGTCCTCGCCCGTCCAGTATTCATCTACGAGTAGCCAGCAGTCCACTAGCCCCGGGATATCCAACATCAAGCTAGAGACGGACAGCTCCAAGTCAGCATCGCCTACCGACCCCGTTCGCAAGGTCAGGGGCAGCGGGTCAAGAGTCGAGAAGAAGAGAAAGGCCTCTTCGGAGTCGTCATCCAGCGCAGCAGCAGCAGCCGGATACGGCCAGTTCGTCATTGTGACGCCAAACTCGATCAACGCCAACTCGGGCAAGCATAACCCATTCGAGTGCTTCGAGGCCATGCGGTCGTCGCACAAGGGACGCAAGGGACCGTTGCCCAGCAAGACAAAGGAAAATGCCCTCCAGGTCCGGAGGAAAGGTGCCTGCTTCTGCTGCCACGCGCGGAAAGTCAAGGTAAGTTTTTCGCACTGGCGCTTCTCGGCTCAGATTGCCCGCCGACAGATACTGATGTGCATGACTTCATCTGACAGTGCGATGCCGAACGGCCTTGCCGCAACTGCACAAAGCTGGCAGTCGGCGTCCCGCAGGTCGTGTGCTGGCAGTTTCCGGACTTCATCGATGTCTTGTTCCCCACCCTCATCCGGGGCCACCTTGGCAAGGAGGCCGTCACCAGCTTCCTCAGCGAAAACGTCAAGAGTTTCACCGTCCAGGGCACCGAGATGCCGTGCTCCATCGAGCTGTTCTCCGGCCTCCGCTTCACCAGCGTGTTCAAGATCAAGGCCAAGTTCTTCACTGCCAAGACGCAAGAGCCTCTCGAGCACTGGCACATGTCAATCGGCTCGGGTGGGGTCAATCTTCAGTCGCAGGCTGCCGTCCCGATCGGCCTCGAGACCGAGAGCGCTGCGCAAAAGGATATCTTGAAGAAGACGACCAAGGACTATGTGCATGCCATCATCCAGGAATCCAGATATGCCGAGCAGACGACGGACAGCCTGAGGAGCACGAGCCTGCCGGAGAAGGTTTTGCGCATCGCGCAGAGGTACTTCAAGCAGACCGATGTAAGCGACCTCAACATGTGAGCTCAAGACTGCAGGAGCAGCATTTACTAACCCGACTGTAAATATATTAGTCTCCTATGGTCAAGCGTGCCTTGTCCATCTACGCCATGCACTACATCCTGACTCGGCACATGTGCTTGACCGCGCAGACGGTGAGGAGCTTGGAGCACACGGGGCTGGTACCCCAGAACCTCCCGTTCCTGACGCCGCGCGTGCTGAACCGCCAGATCAAGGCCGTCATCGACGACATGCTCGCGCGCGAGATGCAGCTGCTCTTCGACGCCTTCTCCAAGTCGCTCAAGCCCAAGTCCAAGAAGGAGTGGGCGCAGTGCCTCGCCTCCTTCCTCGTGCTCTGCGTCTTCATGGAGGCGATCGAGGCCGCCGTCGACACCTTTGTCATCTCGCAGAACGAGGTCGACATGCGCAAGGGCGCGGTCACGACGTACAGGCGGTCCGAGGCCCTGCACCTCAACGAGTCGATCGAGAAGATGCCCTTCAAGCAGTTCGCCTTCCAGTTCCACCAGATCTACCAGACGCACAGCAGGGACGCCACGACGCGGGCGTTCAACCCCCTTCTGGACGACGACGTGATGACGAGCGATGACCTGGACCAGCCGGCGAAAGAGATGGTGGCGGCTTTGCAGGAGCTGATGACGGGAGAGAACTGTAAGGGTTTTTTTTTCCTTTCCCTTCTTGATTGCCAATTCCTTTGTTTTTTTCGGTGAGGAAACTTGACTGACCGAATCTTTGCCGATAGGGAGTGAGTTGGACTATCTTTCCATGGATCCCATCCTGCCCAACATGGAGGACTATCCCTTCCCTCGGGATATCACAGAGAACTACAACGGCCGACTCCTGGCCAAGTTTTTGTTGTCCTTCACCAACGAACGCTACATCTTTGGGTGAGGAATGGGTCCGGGGTGCTTTGTATCGGGATATTGAGGCGTCATCATTGGGAAGGCATGCATAGGTTTATCACGAGTATAGCGAGGCGATACCCACGATCTTTGGACATAATCTAGAGTCGATGTTCTGAATAGACTAAGATATAACCGCTTGAACATTTGGGACTTGGGTGATATGGCATGCCACTTCACTCTAGGGCAAGGCACGGCAGAGAGTGAATCAGGCGTAGCCCCCTATCTACTGGATGAACATTGATAGCAGGACGAAATGTAGTCAAGGAGAATGCACATGATTAACGATGTTTGTCCGTTTTAGTCCCGATGACGCACTGTAGCTCTACGACATCAGGGTGGACTGGACGGGCTGTCTAGGCCTTTGGTTTGCTCTTCCACTGCGAACGATAAAAAAAGAAGTTAACCATCTTGCGCACTGAAGGTAGCACAGAGGCAGGCAAATTTGTGGATTTTTCTCTCGTTTCTCTTTTGTGTCAATTTCTTGGGCAGCACACATTTTGATCACATCCCCTTGGGGGGCATTCGTTGGAGAGGCGAAGAAGCACGAGCGAGTGTGTGCTTGATAAAACGGGATGGCCCGAGAGAGAGAGAGAGCCTCGATGCTCCCGTGAACCTACCACCTTCAGGGCGATCCTGGGCGAAAGTCCTTTGAGAGAGAGCGGAGAGAACGCTCTTCTATGGGCAGACTGGCCGTTTCGGGAATCGCACAATAATCGGAGCATGGGTGTGCCTCTCGGGCCGGGGCGTTGTTGGCTGCCATCACCGCCGTGGGATTGTTTGTTGAGAGGAAGAAGAGGTCGCGTAAATTTCACAGGTTGGAAAATTTCAATTTCAAGGATACGGGGCACGGGCGCGCAAGGTTGAACCACACACATCACGTGGAAATATGGAGTCGTCCCGGGGGGGGGGAACCAAATTTTGGTATCTGAGGCAATGGCTACTGCTCTCAAAGATCCCTTTCTCCTTCTCTTTTTTTTTCTCTTTACACATTTCATCACGCACCATAAAATCAACCGGTTTCCAACTCGTAACCAACTTGCTATCGGTCATATTGCGTGCAAGACCAAGAAACTCCGGGTTTCTCCCCACCCCACGACACGCTGGGCTGCGCACCCCCTGGAAAGCCTTTTGGGCTTTTCGGCATGGGACGTGGCTGGGCTGGGTGGAGGTTACCTACATCTTGAACATGTCTTTTTATTTTTACTTGCGATGCAAGACGCCGGGGTTTCTGAATATCAAAAAGACTCCCTTGACGTATCCGTAGACCGATGTCATCTCATTGGAGAATCCATCGAAGCTCGTGTGAGACGTTGGTACCGCTGGGCAATCATCATCGCACATGTCTTTCAACATCCAGGCATTGACGAGAGGGGTGTTGGCAAGCCGACAGCGCACGGCTCGACACGACCGGGCATCAGCCGGCCGACCCCGGTGTATGTTTGGCGGGCGAGTTGCTTGATCGTCGGAGACGTCCGTGAGCTCTTCTGCAGATTGAGGCTTCGGCGTGGGCGACATGGACGAGATGCTTTCTTTGGAAGAGCACTTATCCCGGACAAAGGCCGGCGCGAGTCGCAACAGCAAATCCTTGCCTGTTCCTGCCTTGAGGCGCGACCTGCCTGTCCGCGGATCAGCAGATCCGTCGGTGGATGGCCGCGCTAGACCTCCTGCCAGCCCCGAGAAAGCAAGCCGTGATGAATCTTGGGGCGTTGTCGTTCAGTCTCTTCCCCCGTCCCAGACCAGATGTGATCCATTCCGGCGAACCACGTGCATCGCCGATCGTCGTTGAGCTCAGGCTTGAAATAGAAGTCTCAGACGGCTCTAGAAATGTCCAGCCTGCCGGAATGTTTGAGAGGACCATTGAATCTCCTTGTAAGTCATGGGGCACTGTGTTTGCAGAGCTATTCGAATTGGACAGACAATGACATCACATCTCCGGCCTTGGAAAGTCAAGGCTCGTTGTGTAAAGGGACTAAGCCTCTCGTGATGAATCGTGCTGTTCGATGCCTTGCTCGCCCTTGGCTTGAGAAGATAGGTAGCCCAGCCGGTCACACGGCAGCAAGCGGCAAGTCGGCACCTGTACCTGAAGGATCTCGATCTCCTGTACCGCACATGCAGACAGTCGCCGGCATGGCCAGAAGGATGGATGTATGAGACGACAGCGCGCTTTTCTATTCACGTCGCTCTAGGCTTGTCTAGGAAGGGGATGTGCGGCGTCAAGACCGCCATTGGTCGGGGATGAGGCACAAGCCACTCGTTGGGACCAGGGGGGCAATTGGGAGGTTGGCCAGCTTGGCCAGTAAACACAGCGTCCCAAGCCACTAACCAGCTGGTTGATGCTGGGAGAGCCCAGGACCAGGCCTCAGGACGAGAATCAGGAAACTTGGACTTGATGTACATACCTACTCCATGCGGGCTCCCCACCGTACACACAAATCATCCCGGCATGTCTGGGCTCTTTTCGGAGGCACGGTACGGTCGGCAACGGACGCCAGAGAGGGGGCATCAGCCAGACAACAACAACAAGTCTGTTGAGCAGATCAGGCCTGGGGTTGAATTGCACTTGCATGGCTTGCATCTGCAGCGGGCGTCAAGCAAAGCGGCTGTCGTCACCTCCTCCACCCGCAGACCTAGACCTCCAGGGCTGCTGCTGATCTGTCTCAGTTCGGGCCGCACAATGGCCCATTCCAGTCTCGGTCGCGTGCCGGGGACGATGACTGAAGAGTACGCGGGCAAGAAAGAGGATGTACCTACCTCAGAAGGGAACGACGGAGGAGCTCCCCCAGGCGGCGTAGATGCTAAATCAACAGTGCCTTGATTTAGCATGTCTTAACCCACTGCGGGGAATGCTTATTTCGAGATCACTCAGGCTCCTTGGCGAGGGTGATCGCACAGAGGTAGGTAGAAAAGGGAATCACAGCTGTCGGGTCTGGGTCTGCCCCAACACAGTAAACATAGTTACAGGGCGGGCCGGGGAAGATGCATGCATCCAAGGATCAGGTCCAGCGTGCACGGTTGGCATGACGGCATGAGCCTGGTGTACCCCGAGCATGAGCATGAGCGTGAGCATGAGCATGTCAGCACCGCCCTTCTTTTTCTGCCCTGCACAATGATGATGCGCCCCTGCCAACCGTGACGCTCTGTGTATATTGCGCATATATTGGGGCAGGCTGAGATGGCCGACTCGGAGCGGCTCGCGAGAATGTCGTGGCAGGCCAGATGCCCGGCGGTGGGTACGTGATGAGGAGGGGGGAGCTTGCTGTAAGCCAGGTCTGACGATCCAGCCATTCCGTGCCACGCGAGTGACTGAGGCCGATCGCACACACGCCAACGAGCACGAATAGCACATGCAGCACAGTCGAGTGTTGGTTCGAAATCGAATCATGACCAGAGCCGTGCAGAACGCTCTTGGCTCACTCGCTCGCTCATTCGGTCCCTCCTTTCCATGCCTCTGTCTGTAACTACCTGCCAATCTGTCCATGGTTTGGTTCGCTTTTGGTGGTGGAATAAGTGAGTGAGACTGTGAAGCGCTTATTGCTTTACCAAATGGGAGAGAAACTCTTGGACTCACTCGAATCATCTTGTCTGCCAGGCTCCTCGCCCCCCCGATCTTCCCACCGCCACAAAAGCAAGTTTTTCCTTTTCTTTGGCAAAGCGGCTTTCTGCGGTTTTCGTTGGCTGCGTGTTGGGTGTGGCTCTTCAGAGTTGCTGCAGCTTCAAGCCGAAAACCCTGCTTCCTCGTGCAGATCCTGTCTCTCGAGGAGGTACCGTGGTACCTTCGACCGCAAAGCTCCAGCGTCGATACGCAAACACCAGGTCCCGTCTCTCTGCCACGCCTGCTCTTCTTTTCACTACTTCCCTGAATTGGCATCCGCCCCCTGGTCGCGACCCATCGACTCCCTGCTCCTCCAGGCCAAAGATCCGAGCCGTCGAACTGAATCGCGATCCAAGCACCGCCCCAGACATCAATCCAGGTTTCTCTTTCCCTCACTCATTCTTCTTTTCTAGATGAAAACCCTCGTCAAAAGATATTATGTGCAGCATATATGGATTGAATACGACGATGTCCAGTCCGTTCATCGCCATTCTTCAAGGAGCAGCGTCTTGTTCTGGGTCCACGCCATCCTAAACACCCGCCGCATTCGTTGTTGATTCCCTCTGGTACTTCTAGTCGTTCCTTACCGAGTACGTCCGTCCCTACCTCTCCGTGTGTATGTATACATGGCCAGGCACTCACTGATGCCAAGTCACTGATGATTAGCGAGACGGCGTTTCAGGTTGGGGCTAACGGGTACTTGTGTGGATGGGCTTGTACAAGAAGACGGACAGCCCAGAATAGGTATCAACAGGGGCACGGCTACGCACCCAACATGGCATGTCTTTAGTTGAGCTGAGGAGCCGTAATCCTCAAGATGCTCTCGACTAGCCATAGTTTCAGCGAACTGAGCCCCGATAGACAGGTTCTCGGCCATCGCAACATATGGACGGCCTGAGGGGAGGCGACTTACACATGCGTCAGTGAACTGCCCACCCAAACCCTGCTGTCATGAACAGAATAGCAAAGCTCGGTCAGCGACTGTCAAGGATTCAAAGACATCATTGACAGGGTTGGGCCACACAACATGCATACACTGGAGCCGGGTCTGATCTGACGATCAGCCTCCCTTGGCTCTCATTGGTCCCCGTGTAAGTGGCTTAAACGGGGATTCCCAACCTTCTTGTCTCTTTGCCGTTATGCTCAGGTACATGAGGTTTCCCAGGATACGGCCCCGGTGATGCTGTTGGTACCTCAACATGCTCAGTTGTACACTCAGCTTTAACATGCAGTAAGGTAGTCTATTGCCCAGTCTTCTCTTCCTTCTCTCGCGCAGGTACACATGCCTTCATGCTAGTCTTTCACCCAACCACCCCCTCTCCAGTGAACCACAAAAGCTATGTTGTCTACTATGCTCTTTGGCCGTCCTCCCCAAGGTAATCAGACCAGGGCCCTGCCCTCGCGTCTTCCGGGCATTCTCCCTCCCTTCTGCCGCCCTGCGTTGTCAGCCTCTTGGCTCAGATATGATCTCACTGGTCCGGGGTGTCTGTGCCGGGGACAAGAACGTTGTAGGTATGTGACGAGGTGGATGCTTCCTGTCGTCGTTCCTTTAGACTTGGTCTTGTCCGAAAGGTGCAACCTGCTTCTGGTGGCCACATCGAATCACTCCCCACTTCGTGTCACCCCCTCTGCGAACGAGTGCCCGACCCTGGGACCTTTGACAGCCGATCACTTTCTAGGAATTATCGTCACTCGTGCAGACTGGTCTGCTCGACCCAGCCATTCTAGCGTCATGCACTCGAGTGGGCGTGCGGCCCGGCCACTGGACGGTGGTGCAAGGCACATATGTCATCGCTACCATTCGTCTCTTGGACAACCTTGCCATGCGTCCGGCCTGGCCCAGTTGCTGCATATAAACGGACGTTGTTCTCCCATCCTCTCCAGCCTCTTCCTTTCCTTTTCCCGTTAACCCAGTCCTCAGTCTGCATCTCCCAGCCAACCTCCTGTAGGCCTGCCAGAGCAAGTAACTCCTTCGCTAAGGTTACTTATATACTCTCGTTCCGTGCAGTCGGTGACCTTCGTTGAACTCCAACTCCTTCGCTTGATACCGGAACCATCTATCTATTCCCCCAAATAAACCATGAAGGCAACATTCTCGCTGCTCGGCCTGGCCGTTTCGGCCCTGGCTGCCAACGTCCAACGCGGCCACCCGGGAGGGCACGGCGGTGGCGGTTACCAGGTCATCACGACCACAACCCAGGTGGCCGTCTCCTACACGACCATCTGCCCCGTGACCGAGACCAAGACGGCGCCCGGGACCACCTACTACACCACCTACACGACCACCAGCGTCTGTGAGACCCAGGTCCCGACCACGATCTACCAGACCGTCACCGGCCCGGCCAAGACGGAGACGGCGCACGAGGTGGCCTACAGCACCCGCACGACGCTCTGCCCCGTCACGGAGACCAAGACGATCGGCGGCGAGGTGCAGACCATCACCTGGACCTCGACCAGCCTCGTCGAGGTCGCCAAGCCGACGACGGTGGACGTCTACGTGACGTCGATGACGACGGCCTACAAGACGGTCGACACGTACGTCACGACGACCTGCCCGGTCACGACCTACACGACCGTCGTGCAGGGCGCGACCGAGGTGCGCACCGAGACCAGGACCAAGCACGTCACCGTGTCCAAGTCGTACGTCGTCACCGAGGTCGTCCCTGTCACCCGCACCAAGGAGGTCGACTACACCGTCGCCGTGACGGTCGGCAACTCCGAGACGGTCACCGAGTACCCCGAGACCTGGGTCACCGTCAACGGCACGCTCTACTCGACCCGCTCGCAGCCGCCGGCGACCGTGACCCAGCCCGTGACGCGCACCACCACCAGCGCCGCGACGTCGGCCAGCGCCCCCGTCCAGGTCACCAACGCCGCCGAGGCGAAGCAGCCTCCCGCCGTGGCCCTGCTGGCTGGTATCCTCGGCGCCCTGGCCCTGGTCTGAGGGTGGTCTGCATCGTACTGACACCTCCTTCATCATTTTCTTTTTTCTCTTTTTTTTTTTCTCTCCCCTTTTCTTTTCTTCTCATTGGACGTTTTCTGTTCGGCCTTGTTGTCGTCGAGAGAACGAGGAGAATCACGGAACAACGGACTGGCATACTTGCAGAGGCATTAATCAGAACCCCGGCGGTGGACTTTATGAGGTGGTCGAGTGAGTGGCGTGGAGTAACTGGGGTTTGGGCATATTTACGGCCTTTTTAACGCTCATTATGATCATGAAACAGAACTGCACGATGGATCTGTCACTTTTCTTGGAGCAACCCCGAAAGGAGAGGACACGGAGAAGCATCCAGCGGGGAGTAATTCTCGGGCACTTGTCACCCAAGTTCACATCATCAAGGGACGTGAGGGACAGGAGAGGAATGGATTGTAATCAAGGGACGAGGTCCCCTCTGGTCGAGTCCTGATCTTCATGTACATACTTTTTTTCTTCTTCTCTAGGATCATATCCAGGCGCAATGAAAAATGCTTTGAAACAAAGAGACTGGAGCATCGTGGGGCACCGAATAAACTACAAACCAAGCTTGCTCGAGATCACGATGGATCGACGGAGGAGGCAACGCGAGTGTGGCTGGGTGCTTGTGGCGATATTTGATTCTACAGAACGATGTGGCACATTTCTGTCGATCACATCCGAGTCCCTTTTCTCACACTCTCATATTACTTAGAGAGGCAAATGTCGAGTTAATTCAGGAAATGAATAATAGCAAGTGATATTGGTCATCGTCTTGCTCAAATCCCCGGTTTTGCTGCCAACCTATGCCAGGGTTTTCCTCATATTAAGACCGGCCGATATTACTGTCGTCATTCGGAACCCGGGTTAGTCTCGAGGTTGTGTGTACTTGTGTGTGTGTGAACCCATTGCTCAGTGACAGGAAATCCTGCAGGCTTGGCTTATTCCCCGTTTACATATAGGTTTCGAATAAGCGATATAGCTCTGTAGTACGTCACGACGACCAACTCGCATCAGCTTCCCAGCACAACGAAGGACGGCTCCTGGACCTGTGGGATCCCGTGGTTTCAGGCCGGGCGGTCGCGTTGATGAAGGCAAGATACCAGTTGTACGAAGGACGCTGCAGAAGTGACCCGGAGAACAGAGACGACACCACTCACATCCCGCTGAGCGATGTCGCCCCCCCTTTCCCAGAATCGGTCAAGGTGCAGCCCAGTCGTGCTTCACAAAGTCGGTTCTCTCCATCACTCCGCCATTCCGTCGGCAAAGTACTCCCGTAAAGAAAAAGAAAAAGAAAAAAAAGAAAATGGCTGGCTACCGGGCAGGAATCCACAGAAGGGGACGCCACAGATATGCAGTACACCGGGTACTTCCGTGGGCGGGCACGCACGCACCACGTTGACCCGAGACAGACATCCCTCCTCCTTTGGATCTTACCCGGTGTACACCACAAGAACAGAACATGCCTTGGACAGAACCCCAACAAACGGTTGGGGAGCACAGCACATGCCCGCACAAGCCTTAACCGGAGGTGGTGCAGAAGGGCATCTTCCCGTCCCGGGCATGGGTGATGGTGGTCGGCGGAAAAAGGAAAAGAAAAAAGCAAAGGGGCAGACAGTAGTTGCCCGGCACGAGTCTCGTTTCTATGCGTGTCTCGCCCGCCCTTTCCCTAGACCTCGCTTCCCGGGTCCGCTATGCGGATACCCGTTCTGTGTGAATGTGTGTGCGTGTTCGCGTTGTGCTCAGGCAGACTGTTGGGCCCTTCTTCAACCCCGCCCTGCCAAGGGGCTCTCCTCGTGTCAGCAGTGACACGCTCTGCAGGCGCTGTGCCGAGAGAGGCAGAGGGACATTATACACAAAGGTTCTCGTTCCTGAAACCAAAAGCAAAGCAAACTGGCGCCTTGCAACGTGAAAAGACAATGGCCTGCAGCTTATGACGGCCCGGAACGTCTCCACCATCCGCCATTGCGTACCAGACTTATGTTCCGAGACCCTGAACACGACATTGCCGCTCTCGAGAGGTCAAGGATGGAATGCGATATCTCGTATTGCATGGTATCTGAAACCCCGTGAAGGGGGGACACGGGGTCTGGATCTATCTGCGTGCTTCTCTCTCTCGATCCATCTCCACCTCACTTTCCCTCCGCAAATGATGATTCCAGAAACATCTCAACGCCAAACAGATGGTTCTATCAGAGGGTATCAAATGGTAATGCTCCCGCTGGCTTTTGTCTCTCTGCATTCTCCGGGCACTCCCATGCATGTAGCTTGGAAGTCTATACAACCCTCGTTTTGGGACGCAGAATCCCGCTTTATTAGCTATGCTTTGCCTCCATATCAGCCTCCTTCGTTCCTGATCTTGCCAGAGATTCTCGCGAACCGGAACGGCGTGACTTCTCCTCCTCTTCTCCCACGGAAAAGAATGGACCCTGGTAAGTCTTGGTAGTAACTGCGCTCACCGCGTCTTCACATCAACGCCGCTGGCCTTGGTAGCGCCGTTGCTGCCGAAACCAGCCGGAATAGGGATTGGTTGGCCTTTCGCCTTGGCGCTCAGGTTGATAAGTTCTTTCAGCATGAGCTCCCGGGTGGTGCTGGTGAGCTCGCTCACATCATCAGCAGTGAGACCCTTGGTCGGTATGGGCTCCAGTACTGTGCATCTCATTAGCCTACCGATTTAAAGACGTGAAGCCAAATTCAAGAATCGTAAAGCCTTACCTTTGACGGGGATCTTGCCGGATCGGAAGACCATATCCTTAATGGACAGAACATGGCTGTAGTTGGCGACAACGCAAGGGACAATAGGCACGCCGGCCTGGACAGCTAGGTGGAAGGCGCCCTTCTTGAAGGGCAGCAGCATGGGCTCCTTGGCGTTGCTCCGGGTGCCTTCGGGGAACATGTAGACGCTCTGCCGGTTGCCCTGGATGGCCTCGGCGGCGCCGCGCATGGCCTCCCTGGCGTCCTTGCTGTTGGCGCGGTCGAGGAAGATGCTGCCGCTGAGGCGCATGAACCAGCCGAGGAAGGGCGTGCTCTTGAGCTGGGCCTTGGCCGTCACGCTGCAGTACTTGGGGAACATGCAGCCGAGCATGAGGACGTCGAGCGCCGTCTGGTGGTTGCCGATGAAGACGGCCGGGCGCGTCTTGCCCAGGTAGTCGTTGGGGTCGTCGATCTCAAAGGTGATGCCCGTGGTGAGCGCCATGACGTACTTGAAGGAGCGGGCGGTGGCCCATTGCGAGATCTGCCAGTTGCCGGTGAGGCGGAGGACGATGGAGGCGAAGACGCCGTAGAGCGCGCAGATGACGAGAGAGAGGTACGAGGCCAGCAGGCGGGCTGCAAAGGCCGCCTTGGGGACCGCGAAGGAGAGCATGTAGAAAGCGACGGTGAGCGCGGTGTAGCCGACCAAGAAGTAGCCCAAGTATTGAAACATCGTGAAAGAATCCAAGTTGGGTTGCGGGGTACCCCTGCTGCTCCAAATTCTATGCCAAGACGAGAGATGCTGATGATGCTAAAGAAGTTTGCCCTTGCTTTTTTTTCTTCCTCTCTCGGCTTCTTCAATGAACCGCCGGGGTCGATGGCGAGGCTGAGCTGGCCACTTTGACAGGGCGCACACCAAATTGCGCACACCTGGAAAGACTTTGATGATGATGAGAGAGCGGAGAACGAGAGCGACAGAGAGAAGCGTTGTCGGCGGCGGATCACTGGCAGGGTTATAAGAGTTGTCAAAAGGAATGCCCTGGGACCTCAAGACTCGTCAAAAGGGCAGACCGGCCGACGACGAAAGGGAAAAAAAAAGGGTGTACTGGAAGAGGCAGATCATCAGCAGCTGAAGATCACGTTCAAGCTCAAATGATGCACTGCTCCTCCCACACAGAAGGTCATGACTTGCAACTGGCGGTGTCGATTGGCTGGGAAGGGTTGGGCCAGACTCCACTCACGATGGGACGGGGCAGCTTTTTCTTCTCCCTGTGAAATTGCTCTCACGGCGTGGAAGCTGAAAAGTGCCGAGGTGACAGCTTTTGGTTGGGGGGCTTTCAGCACGTTTTTTCCTCGACAAGGCGGGGGCGCCACAGCACTAACACGCCGGAGCGGGCCCTCAACATTGAAGGCCCTCCAGTGCTCCAGTGCTGCTTCAGCGAAGATTCGGTGGGGTCGTGGATTGTAATTGTACTTGTAGGTGCCCTTTCAAGTTCAATGCTCTCTATCATAATTGATACCTCCTATAGCCAATGGATCTATTATGATTATGATATATTCGCACTTATCGACCAAAAGAGGAGCATATACTCCGCAAGGAGATGATTAGAGGTTGTCAGTTGTCTTGGCAGACCACATATCAAGCATCTCAAGCATGTGATGGTTCTTCTTGATCTTTTCCATCCAGACTTTGAAGAAAGCTGGGCCTGCTACCTAAAGGAATGTTACAGTGACATCACGTGGCAGATGTAGCAGAACTCCAGCGCTATGTTATCTAATCGCCGGTATCTGATAACGTCTACCTAGGTACAAGTAGTCTGGAATGGCTTGCTAGCCTGCCAGCTTCGTCCAGTCTAGGCTTCTGACAATGAGGGACCGTGCCGAACCGGCACCTTGAGAGCTTGACTTTATATCCTGTGATGGAAGCTGCAGGTGGTCTCATCGAATTCGAGTCTCACCCAGCACTGGCCTGATATCTACCTTTCTGTCGACCGGGCTGCCCGAACCGCAGGACCTCTGCTGCCCTCACGATCCTTTCAATGGCGAGCCCCTGACACAGCAAACAAGCACAGACATCGCAGTTCGACGACAATCTTCCCACCTTTGGAGATATGGCTGCATCGCGAAGGGGGCAGCCGCCCTTGTCTGTCCGCCTGCCTGCCGGCCCCAACATTCTCCCTGACCTACCACCCATCTCCGCCCTGTTCCTGATCGACTTTGATGTAAAGGCTGGCTACACCATCACCTGGAAGCGCGCTGTGCCGGGCCTCGAACTAGAAGGCGTCGTTGAATACAAGAGCTTGCCGTCCGGTCTGCATGCTGTTCCAGATGACTTGATATACTTCGTCCACGATGAAGGCTATGCTGGACTGAGCGCCTTCGTCAATAAGCCCACCGATGACGAGGAGAGCCGCCATGCGCGCATGATCGCCGTCGGTGTGCTCGTCCCCTTGAGCTACGGGCGGCTGGGCCGAGCATGGAGACACGCCGAGGGCCTGAAAGAGATGGTTGCGTATGCCTCTCCGTCATCCCCCCTTCAATTGCGCCGTATGCACTAACTTCGCCCTTCTGGTAGACAACTGGTCGCGGATAAGAAGCAGACCAAGAACCTTGAGCGATATTGGGAGACGAATGGTGCCAAAGAAACCCCTGCGCAGCAGCAGCCCTCCGACTCGCCGCTGAGCTCTCCCTCGGTCACTTTTGCTCCATCGCGGCCAGCCTCTGGCAAGGGTCATACTAGGAAGAGATCCGCCTCTGACGGCACGGCGTTGATTCCTCCGGGCCACAGGCTGTCGCCGTTCCATCCCGCCTGGAGCTTGACGGCATTGCTCGATACCTTTGGCCCATTGATATTCCCCATCCACAGAGCCGCCTTGCTTCGCAAGCGAATCTTGATCTCGACACATGCACCGGTGCACGAGGCGTGTAATTTTGGTAAGAATCATAGCCCTCTCGCCATGATGCCAGGCCATCATGCTAACAACGCCCTGACAGTGTATAATATTTCTATTCTTGCTAATATTCCCCTGTCGGTTCTTGATCTTCTCGAAACATCTGCTCCGGCGCAGCGCATGCGGCCGCTATTCACCATCGGTGTCCACGATATCCCTTTCTTGCTCGAAGACAAGGCTGCCTCCAAACGGCGAGACTCAGCGGACACGGGTATGGCAGATGATGCCTCGTCGGGCTGGATAGCGTGCACTACTGATAGCATCCTGGCCTCCAAGGATGACTTGTGGGACGTCCTGATCACCATGCCACCGGCACATTCAGCCAACGCCAAGGAAAGAGTCTGGCCATCCGTGGAACGGCCGAAGGGGGTAGTAGTGAAAGCAACGCAGCGAGATCTACGCCGCTTCAAGACTCTCAAGTCCGGCCTGGCGCGGCTTTCGAGCGGAGCAGCCCTGGAGACAAATGCCACATCGTCGGAGCGCGAGCCTGCAAATACTCACCGGGCGCGACCGTCCACCTCGTCTGGCCTCAGCACCTTTGCGTCTGACGACGACGACGCAGTCATGATTGCGGATGCTTCTGAGAAGCTCATTGAGCCATCGACATGGGCCGCCCTCGCCTACAGCGGCTTCATGTGGTGGGCGAGCGCAGGGGAACAGCGCCGGACAGAAGAGGCCGAGGAATCGGCCCACGATGCGCTCCTGCTCGCAGACCTGGCGCCGTCGATGCCGCAGAGGAGCAGCATCATGAGCCTCTCGAGCGGCGGAGCGCTAGTCGATTCCGTGTCGTCCCTCACGGCCCGACGGACAACAGAAGGCGGCGCCGATGAGGCGCAAGACGAGGAGGAGCGCGCGCAGACGGAGCTGGCCATCATCGCCTACTTTCACCGGCTGACGACGCAGCTCTTCTCCGTCCTGTCCGACATCGTAGAGAGCTCCGACGAGGACGACGAGCTGGAGATGAGCCCCGCCGCCGCCGCGGGCGACGGCGCGGACAGCCCCGAGGACTCTGCGCTGCTGTCGGACGGCGGCGGCGGCGAGGACGAGTCGGACCTGCTGCACCCCTGCCGGGTGCGCGTCGACAGCGACGCGCTGAACAACATGGGCCTGGACGTGTGGAGCCACGAGGACGCTGCGTTTGTCCGAGAGCTGACGGCTAGGTACTTCCTCCGGAGGGCGTACGTCGAAGGCAAGGGGGTGGAGGTCTGCGGCGTCCGCGTCTGTTGAGAGTCTGAGCAGGCCCTCTACGGGGACACAGCTGCATGGGATCTTAATATCGTATCATTACTTTTTCTTTTAACCCGTTGCAGGTCAAGGGAGGCAGAGAAGGGAGGCAAGTCGATCTCTCGAGATCATGTCTCTGTGGCGATAATGGGAAACCGGAGGGAGAAAAAGTTCGAGAAGCCTTGGCGCTTGACTTGTGAGACAGTACAAATCCATCAAGTGAACTGGCATCTATCTATACCTTTGTCAATCTGTGAAATGTGAACACGACAGAGCAGATCAATTACTTTGCATTCATTTCACATCTTTTATCTTTCCCCCTTTTCATAGCCAATCTGAGTAGGATGGCCTCACAGGTGCTTTCATCCTTGGCAGCCCTATCTATTCATCCTCTGTGCACAATATCCATTGGCAAATTCCCCCCCTTTTTGATGTCAAAAATGACAAGTTCCAGCCTAGCTGTGAATACCCACTGCTCACCACCACAAGAGCAATCATTTTCTCTATTGCTTCAGGATCTTCTCCAGCTCGGCGACAACAGCGTCGCCCATGTCCTTGGTGCCGGCGCTGCCGCCGAGGTCCTTGGTGCGGGTGCCGTTGTCGATGGCGGCCTTGACGGCCCGCTCGACGGCCGCGGCCTCCTTGGGCAGGCGCAGCGAGTACCTGAGCATCATGGCGATGGACAGGATGGTGCCGACGGGGTTGACGAGGCCCTTGCCCGAGATGTCCGGGGCGGAGCCGTGGATGGGCTCGTAGATGCCGTTGCACTTGCCCTTGCCGTCGGGGATGCCGCCGAGGCTGGCGCTGGGCAGCAGGCCGATGCTGCCGGGGATGACGCTGGCCTCGTCGCTGATGATGTCGCCAAAGAGGTTGCTCGTGATGACGACGCCGTTGAGGGCGCGCGGGTTCTTGACCATGAGCATGGCGGCCGAGTCGATGAGCTGGTGGCCGAGCTTGAGCTGGGGGAACTCGCGCGCGAAGACGTCGGTGACGGTCTTGCGCCAGAGGCGGCTCGTCGCGAGCACGTTGGCCTTGTCGAGGGACCAGACGGCGGCGGGCGGGTCCTGCGCCAGTGCGAGGAAGCCGCCGAGGCGGGCGATGCGCTCGATCTCGGCGCGGCTGTAGGGCTCGGTGTCGAGGGCGTATCCGGAGCCGTCGTCCTCCTTGCGGTCGCCAAAGTAGATGCCGCCCGTGAGCTCGCGGACGACGGTGAAGTCGGTGCCGCGGCAGACCTCGGCCTTGAGCGGGGACGAGTCGACGAGCGAGTCCGAGGCGAAGCTGCAGGGGCGCAGGTTGCCAAAGGTGCCGAGCTCCTTGCGGAGCTTCAGGATGCCCTGCTCCGGCCGGACGGGCGCGTCGGGACCCCACTCCGGGCCGCCGACGGCGCCGAGGAGGACGGCGTCGGCGGCCTTGGCGGCGTTGAGGGCCTCGTCGGTCAGGGCGCTGCCGGTTGCGTCGATGGAGGCCTGGCAGAACGAGGTGGCGGAAGTGTTAGCCCAACATGATGCAAGAGAAGGAAAGGTTGAAGCGCCGAGCAAGAAGAAGGAACAAAGTCCCACACGACGCGACGTTGCAGCTGGTTCATGTCGTACATATGTAGGGGGGAGGGGCAATATGGTGGAGGGTTCTTGACAGCGAGCAGGGGGTGGTGGGTTGCCGGAAAGCATGCGACAAGGAACAGCGCACTTACACCACCGAGCAGGTGATCCTGCAGGTTGAACTTGGGCTTGGCCGGGCTGTGAGCCTCAATTGTCCTGAGGATCTGTTTGCATTCGCATTGTCAGTCTCGGCTGTTCGCTTCATTGGGTTTCGCTGGGCTCAATGGCCTGATCCTGTCCCCCAATCGTCTCTCTAGACGGCAGGCCAAGTCGAGCGCGTGGTCGCTTGCATCGATCTCGCCCTGGCCGCAAAGTATGGCGATTGGGTCCGGGAGAAGGGTTCGAGAAAGCATTCGCAACATACCTTGACGGCCTCGGCGGTGCACTGAAGGATTCCAGGAGTCAGTAAGTTGTCCAGGGTTGGGAAACATGTGTCACGAGCTTTTGCGTTGGAGGACCCGAGAAACTCACCTCCGGACCGGCATGGTCACCGGCAAAAACGACAATGTTGTACGACGACATCTTGGCAGGGTCTGGACTTGTCTAGTCTTCTGGAAGAATCCGGCCACTTGGAATAAGAAAAGGGAAGGAGGGAGAAGAGAGAAGGAGATCGCAGAGGAAATATGGAGGAAGGGGAATCAGAAGTCAAAAGCTCCGGCAAGTGCCAAAGGATCTCGGGTTACGATCTCGCGGGCTCAGCGTCTGGAGTACCTGCAAGCCGGGCCTATTTCGTCTGACGGTGCGAGTACCTGTAAACCCTCCCTCCTCCACCGCTGCCCCGCACTCACCGACGACCCTGCCCAAATTTTGCTCTCGCAGCACTGAGCTCATCCCCCGCTCCGCCGAGATCGGCCTTCCCGCCCAAGCCGCGCCGACTGAAATGGATTCCACCAGCGGTGAATTGAACCTCCTATTGTCAACACGGAAAACGCTCTGGTAGCTTACAATAGAGTACACCCGAAGATGGCGTTTGCTGTCGTAAGCCGCGTTTATCCCAAGTCATTGGAAGACCTCTAATCCTGATAACCAACCCAAGGGCGTTACGAATACAGGGTGTTGAGCAGGGATTTAGATCCCTACAAATAGGTGTTCCTACCAGACGTCCAGACTGCGAGCCACATAGGTACCCGATCCTGATCCTGTCTGTCACTAGAGTAGGATCCATTCAAAGATGTGTATTTATAGTCCCAGGGTATCTTGCTAAATACAAACGCCGATGATGTGATTTGAAGCTTCCAGGCTCAAAATTGGGAAAGGGTCTAGGCTTTGCCAGCCAACCTGGCTCTCCGAGCCTCCTCCTCCCTGATCGCTTCACTCCGCGCCAGGAACTGCTGCCGCTCAGAGTACGCGCCCTTGGACTTGCCGGCCAGCGCCAGCTCGTCCTTGATGCCCTCTTTGTCCACATATCCAGCCCAGTCCATTCTGCTCTTCTCGACCACGTTGAGCTTCTTGGCGTCTTTGGCCTGTTCTCGCGCCTGGAGCCTCATCATCATACCCAGGTTCAGATCCGATCTTTGCAGTAGCTGGCTGTCAATGACGGGCTCAAAGACGGACCGGAATGCTCTTCGCGGTAGGCGCCGCGTGGGATCCTCGCTCTCGTCAGGAGTCCCATTTTCGCCTTGTGATTCCAGGTATAGCTTGGCCTCTGCCGAGTCTCGTGGAACGAGCTTCTCCTCGGTGTGGACTTTGCCGGCGAAGTTGTAGGTTCGCTTGATCTTGACCATCTCTGAGGGTTCTGCCGCGTCTATCTTCGCGGCTCCGCTCTCCGCGTCTGCTCCCGGAGCTTGTCCGGCCTTTGATCCCGCAGCTTGGCCGTGTGCATCCTGTGGAGGCTGGTCTGGTGAAGTCTTGGCCGCATTACCAGCCAGCATCTGCGCCCACACAGCGTCAACATCGATCGTAACGGGTCCAGTAGCGACCGCCGCCTTCCGCTCCGCCTTTCTGCAGTCACAAATTCTGGTAAGTCGAACGAAGACTGATTCAGCCAGGAGAAGACCCGTGGAGAACCTACTCTTGAGCGCGCTGGCTTCGCGTCTTGATCAAGCCGCCCTCGCCGCCCTCCTCGTCGGCATTGCCGCCTTCGGCATGCTTGCCCCTCTTGCGCCGCTTCTTGGCTTTCTCAATGATTGCTTCGTCTCCAGAGTTTTCAAAGCCGGCGTCTTCCGCCTCCGCATCGCCAGCGCCTCTCTTCCTCTTGCCGGGAGCCTGTGCGTCCGTCGCATCGCCCGCTTCATCGTCGGATCCAGCAGAAGAAGCGCGCTCCTGCGCGTCGTCGGGCGCGAAATCCGAATCCTCGGAGGAGGCGTACTCCTCGTCATCTACAGGAGGCTCTAGTGGCATCGTGTCTTCAGGCGCGACTAGATGTGTCGTACCAGGTCAATGGGCGGAGGTAAAGAGTTTGGCAGCGAGTGATGGAGGCAAGCTTTCAAATCAATATCAAGTACAGTGCTAGACGTGGCGCCTGGCATTCATAGGCTTAGAGCATTACACGCTAAGAAGACCACTAACTGCCTGCCGAGGGCGTCTTGGAGGCGGCAAGTCCAGGGCTTGTCAAAGCAGGCTCAAGGGACCCGTGGACGCCAACAGTGGGGTCTTAATTTCAAAACGGCGTGCTTGCTGTCATGGATTTCCCTGGACGTTGATCATTGATATTGAAACGGTGATTGTCATTTCCATATTTCGAGTTTTACGCTTTCAGTTATACTTTTAGGCCTTTCTGGTAATGCTCTTGATGATCAGCTAAAATGTCAATTTGTAGGTACCTTATGGTAGGGTCTAGATTAGCCAGATGAGTGTATGTAGGCTACCTCATGCTCCGCATCCAATGAATGTTCAACTTAAAAAAGCATCTTGGTAACCAATTCCCCGCTCCAAGCCATCTAGAAGCTTGCTGAACGCGCGGTCCGGTATATTAGAAGCGTTAAAAAGGAAAGCGATTCAAACCTTCTACATTGATCAAGACACGAGCAATTCAACAATCATCATACAGTCCTAGCGACTAACACCAACGCTATGGGTTCTTCGCTCGAGAAGGAGTCCAAGATATCAAAGACATCGGTGCTTACGGAAGCGGAAAAGGAGCAGTTTATTCAGCATGGCTGGGTGAAGTAAGTGAGCTTTCCCGACGATGACGAGAAAGTATGGCTGAACCTCGATGCCAGGATTGAAGGCGCTTTCACCGAGGAGCAGGCGGCCTGGGTCACCCAGGACGTCTGGACTCGGCTGGGCATGGCTCCAGACAACAAGTCGACCTGGAATCAGGAGCGTGTTCACATGCCAGGACATCGGACCTTTGACTGTGCAAAACTCGCTCCTAGAGCATGGGCTGCCATCTGCGAGATATGTGGCGGAGAAGACAAGGTTAGGCCAGAGTCTCGGTACTGGCAAGACTCCCTCATTGTCAACCTGGGGACTGTTGAGAACGAGGGAAAACCTGTTCCCCCCCAGCAGTTGTACGGGTGGCATGTCGATGGCGACTTTTTCGTACACTACCTCGATAGTGCGGAACAAGGTCTTCTGGTCATCCCGCTGTTCACAGACATTGTGCCCGACGGTGGAGGCACCGTGATCTGCCCCGAAGCGATGCCCAAGGTCGCAGCTTGGCTACATGATCACCCAGAAGGTGTCAACCCTCGGATGATCCCTCGAGGAGAGCCCGGCTTTGAAAAGGAAGGGCCGACCGACTGGTTTAACAGTATGGCGAGAAGCTGCACAAACTTTGTTGAGGCGGGCGGCAAATGCGGTGATGTTTACTTGTTGCACCCTCTGATGCTGCACTCGGCGTCGACAAACCCGCTCCGCCGGGTGCGTATGATCACGAACCCCCCGGTCTCCATGAGAGAACCCTTTTCATTTCACAGAAAGGACAGACGCTATACTCTGGTGGAGCGCGCAACGTTAAGAGCCCTCGGAAGGGAAAGCCTACCAAACTGGAAGATCACTGCGCCAAGGGAGATGGTGGTACCAGAGAGAGTGCGCAGGCAGGAGAAAATGAAGGCGGAAGAACTGGCACGTCTGCAAAAGGGTACAGCGGCCATAGATGCATGAGAACTTGAATTCTCAGGGTTGATCTTTAGAGCGTTGGTGGAGAGGAAACAGGAGAGATCTACTTTTGGTACGGACACCAGGAGATGAGCATCATCCACACATTAGGCAAACTGCAATTGAGGAAACCCGTGCCGGGGCAAAGGAATCGGGAAAGGGGTAATCATTTTCAAAGATATTGCTTCAAAACATGCTACTCGGTTAGTAGTTGTAGTTGGACATTTTTGACAGGTCGATCTTGCGCGACATGGATGGATCAATCTTGTCGCATTTGGACCCCTCTCCAATGATATTCAAGCAATAGTACAGACCAGAATTTTTAAACCAGTCCAACCCAGTCAACAACATTCTTCAAAGTTACAACCTTCTCTCCTTTGCGCATCGCATCCTGGCTGTGGATATCTGCCGCAATCCTGTGACGTACCTTCCTAGATACATGCCCAGCGAGAATCCTTGATCTTTCGGTCACGACAACCTCCCGATTGCCCCTGCAACATGAACGACAGCGACGATTTCGTCGTCGAGGAGCCTGTCCTGCCCGACGATGACCCGATGCGAGCATTCGTTCCCACGGCTTTCGGGAAAACATCCCGAGAGGCCAACATCGCTGCGCAGATAGAGCAGAGCAGAAGAGCTGTCGGCAACCCCACAGCTGCAAAGGTGAAGACCGAGACAAAAACGAAAGGATCTCAGTCTGACTCGGATGATGACGACAGCTTCGATGATTCGGACGAGTCTGACGCCGAAGATGAGTATCCGGTTTCTCATGAGCTCATCCTCAAGACCCACGACAAACCAATCACGACAGTCTCGCTGGACCCGGCTGGGTCGCGCCTGGCTACGGGCTCTCTCGACTCGACAGTCAACCTGCACGATTTCTCGTCGATGACACCCACGACGCTTCGCGCGTTCCGCACGGTAGATCCTTGGGAGACCAAGAAGGCCGCCGCTACAACCGAGTCACATCCCATCAACCATGTCGAGTTCCACCCGCTCTCCGGCGGCGTCTTCCTGTGCATCACTGCGCATCCACAGGCCAAGATTATGTCGCGTGACGGCGACATCATCACCGAGTTTGTCAAGGGTGATATGTATCTCCGAGATATGCACAACACCAAAGGTCACGTCGGCGAAATTTCGACTGGAACTTGGCACCCGACGGACAAGAACACGTGTGTTACGGCAGGCTCTGACAGCACGTTACGTATCTGGGACATCAACAACAAGAGGAGTCAGAAAGAAGTCATTGTCTTCAAATCCAAGGCTGCAGGCTCCGCAGGGCGCACAAGAATGAGTGCGGTCGCATGGGGATCGCAGGCACAGGGTGGTCAGAACTTGCTCGTCGCTGCTGCCGTCGACGGCTCGCTCGTTATGTATGGCGGGGACGGACCTTTCACGAGACCTGCGGCAGAGGTTAGAGATGCACATAAGGCGGACACGTGGACCGGCGGTATCGACATCAGTGCGGACGGTCGCATGGTGGTCACGCGGGGCGGTGACGGCTTCATCAAGCTCTGGGACACGCGCAAATTCAAGCAGCCACTTGTCACCGTGGCGCACCCTTCGACATCTGACAGGTTCCCGATGTCCAGCATCAGATACTCTCCGAATTCCAGGTTCATCCTGACGGGATCTGCCACCGGCGACTTGCACATCCTGAATCCCGGTAACCTCAAGCCGGAGCTTGTCACACCCGTGACCCCGGGGTCGCCGCTGATCGTCGCGGAATGGCATGAGAAATTGAATCAGGTTATTACCGGCTCTGCCAACGGGGAGACTCGGATACTTTACAATCCAGATAAGTCCAGCAGAGGAGCGCTCGAAGTCATGATGCGCGCTCCCAAGAAACGACACATTGACGACAATCCAGCCCTCACTATGGACCAGGGCGTCGGGCTCTCGGGCGACAGCATAATTACCCCAGGAGCCAACGCGGGTGGTCGAGCAAAGGGGGGTGTTAGCGCATCGGGCAAGTCGAGAGACCCGAGACGGCCGCAGGTGCCCCAGCAGACGCCGTTCATGAGGAATCAACCCGATGAAAAGCACATCGAGGAGAACATTCCGTTGAGCCGCATGCTGTACGAGGATCCGAGAGAGGCGCTGCTCAAGTATGCCGACAAGGCGAAGCAGGATCCCATGTTTACCAATGCATGGAAAGATACGCAGCCGGTCACGCAGTATGCAGAAGTGAGCGACGCGGAGGAGGATGCGGATCAGCCCGCTAAAAAGAAAGCCAAGCGCTGAAGGAACCTGGGATGGTGGAACGAGGACGCTCAAGACAGCCGAATTGTCGAGGTTTGTTGCATCAGGCACTGCGCTGAGAGTGGAAAGCGTGAGCGTTGCGGAATTTGCCATATGACAAACGCCTCGGTATTGGAGGCCTAGTGAAACGAGCTATGTATTGACCGTCTTCTGGAAGGTTGCTCAATTTTGAGGACTCTATATTGGACGATGGACAGGCCTCATTTTATCATGGCCGGTACTCCGCTATATCTCACAAGTCAATATACGGATCGAAGCGTACTGGAGGAGCGATTGGCTACATGGGTTTATTGACAGACTAGGTAGCTGGACAATGCGATTGACGAATACCGTACCAAGCTACTAATTATGCACGTCGGATCGAGGTCGAGTTGCGAAGCGCGTGTCAGGTGTCGGCGCGTCAAACAGTGAGCAGTTCCATTGATATCAATGGGAAGTACAGTGTGGCTGGGCATTCATCAGATGTCAATACACACTGTCCCGTGACCAGTTCCCAGCCTCAAGGGGGGCTTCTTTGGGCCTCAGGCAGAAAGGATCCCTGGTAAAGTGGGGCCCAGGCAGGGAATTACCTTGGCGTGCTCAGATCTACTGTGGCTCTGATTCTCATACCGCACCAACCATCACACGAATCTTGTCGGTCGTGGTCCTTCACTCTGCCTCCCCATCATCAAGGGCCAGCGCGCGCATCAAAAAAATCGCCAGACCCCCTCTGTATCCATCGACTGCCATCTCCAAAGAGCCGGCAAATAGCCTCGACGCGATTTGTTCGCGCCTCCACCCCAAGGAAAGGCCTCTTCCCGCCGCCTTTACCATCCTTTCTCTAAATTTCCATTGCGCCTGGTCGAGCCGATTTTCTCACTGCACTTTGTCTCCAAATCGCCGCGACCCCCCACACGCTCGGCCACCTCAGCACGCCCTCCGACCTTGCGCGCGCCGCTGTGCTTGTCGAACGCGACGAGACCTCGGTGCTTTTCCGTCCACCAGCATCCCGCTGCCTCGACGCCCTCGATCTCGCTGCGCTGTATCGTCGACTTGCGTCCTCGACGCGCTCTCCTCGTTGATTCGTATTTCTCGTCCTTCGTTTTACGCCCCCCGGTCATCGACGCGACATCCAACCCGTCGTTATCCCAACACGGCTATGCGCATAAGACAACTTGGATAATACATTGGAAGAAACATCTCGGTAGTGGTCAGCCCAGACCCTCGTCGCCACCATGGCTACCGTCCAGGCGCCCCCGGCCGTCCAGCACTCGGGCTCGGCCATGCCTGCTGGTATGACCCAACAACAGGTTCAGGAAATCTTCCAGGTAAGTCGACGCATGCACCTCTCGCCAATTCAGTCCTTCCTCCAGTCAATTTCGCAAAAGTTGTGCGATTTTATGCCTGGCTAACCTGCTTCATTCGCAGAAATACCGTCAAATGCAAAGCCAGGGAGTCTCTGAGACCGACCCCGAGTTCATCAAGACGCGCCAGTTCCTGGCGAATCTGCAAGCCCAGCAACAGTTCAGGAGACAGCAGCAGCAGCAGCAGAATGCTCTCATGCAGCAGCAGCAGCAGCAGCAGCAGCAACAGCAGCAACAGATGCAGCAAACCGCCAACGGTGCTGTCAATGGCACTCCATCGTCAGAAACCACGGCGCAGCCGACGGCTCCGGCGACGCAACTCCCATCGTCCTCGAGCCTCAACACATCGGCTCTCCCCGCTTCTTCGAGCGCACCAGCGAATGCTGCGAGTGCCTCCCCTTCTACTGGCTCGAGCGCCACTCAGTTCACGCCACAACAACTTAGCCTCCTGAGACAGCAGATCCATGCCTTCAAGCTTCTTGGTAAGAATGTCGGCGTGCCTGTCCAAATGCAACAGGCCATCTTCGCGCAGCGACAGCGACGGCAGGCTGCAGCGGCTGAGCAAGCAGCTCGTGCCTCGGCCACCCCTACCGCCCAAGCTACTCCGGCTCTGGACGGCATGAAGCCTGGGCAGCCTCCTCTTGAGGGTGCAGGGGAAGAGCCTCGCAAGATACGAACTTTCAAGAATGTCCAGTCTCCCTATGATGGCAGCTTAGTGCGCAAGACGCTCAATTATCTCGACCATTCCAACCGAAGGAATCGCTTCGTCATCCCCGGAGTCTTCCCAACCGGTATTGATTTTGAGCAGCTGCGGACTGAGCGTGAGAAGATCGTCTTCAATAGGATGAGTGCGCGGTATGCAGAGCTGAAGTCTCTGCCTGGCAACCTTGCTCATTGGGATGCTTCCCAGGACGACTTGTCCACAGATGATACCCTGAGGCGCCGTGCGATTATTGAGATGAAGTCGCTCGCCCTTTACTCCAAGCAGCGCGCTCTCCGCGACAAGATTGGGCGGCAGATGATGCATTACGACAACCTCGCCATGACGACTAACAGGAGCATGTACCGCCGCATGAAGAAGCAGAACGTCCGCGAGGCACGTATCACTGAGAAGCTCGAGAAACAGCAACGTGACGCTCGTGAGCATCGCGAGAAGAAGAAGCATTCCGACTTTCTGCGTGCGGTGGAGAGCCATCGCGCTGAAATCCTCACCTCGGCCGTCAACCAGCGCAACAAGATGCAGAAGCTTGGTCGCCTCATGTATCACCAGCATTTCAACATTGAGAAAGAAGAGCAGAAGCGTATTGAGCGCACAGCGAAGCAACGTCTGCAAGCCCTCAAAGCCAACGATGAGGAGGCTTATCTCAAGTTGCTCGACCAAGCCAAAGATACACGTATCACACATCTTCTCCGGCAGACGGACGGATTCTTGCACCAACTTGCCTCGTCCGTCAAGGCACAGCAGCGGCAGGCAGCTGAGCGCTACGGCAACGAGCCCAGTCTTCCAGAGGAAGAGGACAGCGAAGTCGACGAGGACGATGAAGACAGCGCGCGAAAGATTGACTACTATGCTGTCGCTCATCGGATCAAGGAGGAGGTTACTGGCCAAGCAAACATCCTCGTTGGCGGTCAACTCAAAGAGTACCAAATCAAGGGCCTTCAGTGGATGTTGTCTCTCTACAACAACAACCTCAATGGTATCCTTGCTGATGAAATGGGTCTCGGAAAGACCATCCAGACCATCAGTTTGGTTACGTACCTGATTGAGCGGAAGCTGCAGCAGGGTCCTTACCTGGTCATTGTGCCTCTCAGTACGCTTACCAACTGGAATCTGGAGTTCGAGAAGTGGGCACCATCGGTTAGCCGTATCGTCTACAAGGGACCTCCGAATGCCCGCAAGCAGCAACAGGAGAAGATCCGGCAAGGCAAATTCCAAGTCCTTCTGACCACTTACGAATACATTATCAAGGATCGACCAATCTTGAGCAAGATCAAGTGGTTCCACATGATCATCGATGAAGGCCATCGTATGAAGAACTCGAACTCAAAGCTCAGCGCCACCATCCAGCAATACTACAGCACGCGTTTCCGCCTCATTCTCACCGGTACTCCTCTCCAGAACAACCTAGCTGAGCTGTGGTCTATGCTCAATTTCGTCCTGCCCAACATTTTCAAGTCCTCCACGACTTTCGACGAATGGTTCAACACTCCCTTCGCAAACACCGGCGGACAGGACAAGATGGAGCTCACCGAAGAGGAACAGATTCTGGTCATTCGTCGCCTGCACAAGGTGTTGCGGCCCTTCTTGTTGCGTCGTCTCAAGAAGGATGTCGAAAAGGATCTTCCAGACAAGACAGAGAAGGTCATCAAGTGCAAGTTCTCAGCGCTGCAGTCCCGTCTGTACAAGCAGATGGTCACACACAACAAGCTCATTGTGAGCGACGGCAAGGGTGGCAAGACTGGAGCTCGCGGTCTCAGCAACATGATCATGCAGCTCCGAAAGCTTTGCAATCATCCCTTCGTTTTCGACGAAGTCGAGAATCAGATGAACCCGCAGAGCATCAGCAACGACGTTCTCTGGAGAACTGCTGGCAAATTCGAGTTGCTTGATCGAATCATCCCCAAGTACCAAGCTACTGGCCATCGTGTCCTCATGTTCTTCCAGATGACTGCCATTATGGACATCATGGAGGATTTCCTTCGCTACCGTCACATCCAGTATCTCCGCCTGGACGGTACCACCAAGTCTGAAGACCGGTCTGACCTTCTGCGGGACTTCAACCGCCCGGATTCCCCATACTTCATGTTCTTGCTGTCCACTCGTGCTGGTGGTCTGGGTCTGAACCTGCAAACTGCAGATACCGTCATCATTTATGATTCGGACTGGAACCCCCATCAGGATCTGCAGGCCCAAGATCGTGCCCATCGTATCGGACAGAAGAACGAAGTCCGTATTCTACGGCTGATCAGCTCCAACTCTGTCGAAGAAAAGATCTTGGAGAGGGCCCGGTACAAGCTCGACATGGATGGCAAGGTTATTCAGGCAGGTCGTTTCGACAACAAGTCATCCGAGACTGATCGTGACGCCATGCTTCGGACGCTCCTGGAGACTGCCGACATGGCAGACTCGGGCGAGCAAGAGGAGATGGACGACGAAGAGCTCAATATGATTCTCGCTCGAAATGACGACGAGGTCACCGTCTTCCAAGAGATCGATGAGCGGAGGTCCAAAGACCCGACGTACGGTACTGCAGCAGGTTGCAGCGCAAAGTCACGCCTCATGACCGAGGACGAGCTGCCTGAGATCTATCTGTCTGATGGGAATCCCGTCGAGGAGGAGACTGAAACCATTCTTGGACGTGGCGCGCGTGAGCGGACTAAAGTTCGCTACGACGACGGCCTTACCGAAGAGCAGTGGCTCATGGCAGTGGACGATGATGAAGATTCCCCCGAAGCTGCTGCTGCTCGCAAGCAAGCCCGCAAGGATAAGCGTGAGGCCAATCGTCTGAAGCGCTTGAACGCTGGAGAGCCCTCAGTTGAAGGGTCGCCTGTCGCTAGTCGCGCAAGCACCGAAGAACAGGAGACTCCCGTCAAGAAGCGCGGCCGTAAGCCGGGCAGTAAAAACGAGAAGCGCAAGGCCGAAGAGGGCGAGGACGAGCCGCCTGCGAAGAAACGCCGCGGACCTCAGGGGCGTCCCAAGGCGGTCGCACTTACCAACGGAGCGGACAGTAAGCTTTCAGAGGCCCAGCGCAAGCTCTTAACCGAGAGCATGCGCCGGCTGTTCGATGGTCTCATGAACCTGGAGGTTGATGACCCAGAGCCTGAAGAGAAGGATCCCGACGACAAGGACGACGACGACGAGCCTGCCAAGCGTCTCATTATCGGCCCGTTCGTCAAGCTGCCTTCGAAACGTGACTACGGCGACTACTATCTTATCATCCAGCGGCCTATCTGCATGAACCACATCTCCGCCAAGATCAAGAAGAATGAGTACAGCCGCCTCAGCGATATGCAGAAGGACATCAAGCTTCTCTGCAACAATTGCCGGACATACAACGACGATGGCAGCCTTCTCTACTCCGACGCTAACTTTATGGAGGTACGTATATGTTGCAGACGATGAGCATCACGGTGTGGACTATTTGCTGACTTCGCTATAGCAATTCTTTGACCAGAAACTCAAGGAGGAGCTTGCGGCGCACCCCGAACTCCAGGAGCTCGAGGAGCCTGCCCCAAAGGAGGAGTCGGTTGCTCCCACTACGAATACCGGGACACCCCAACCCCCTTCAAATGGGCTGCCCAAGATCAAGCTTGTCTCGAACGGTAGCTCGGCACAGATCAACGGGGGTGCCAGTAGTAATGTCCAGAGTGATGAGGATTGAGGCTGCAGGCATGAAATAGACCGACAGTCCGAGTTTTGGTCGCAGAGTGGGCGGTGGCGTTTGCATTGGGCATCACTTTCGTCGCAGTCGCAAGATTGTAACGGCGTTGGCGCGGTATGCACATGATTGGAATGCGAGAGGCGTTTTTATTCATTCGGGATTTGGGAATACCAAAGGTTGAAGAGAGTATATGTACGAGAGTTTTAAGGGAAGAGGGAAGGTATTGGAAAGGCTTTGCCCTGTGCCGTGGACAAAGCTGGCACCGGGTTTTCTTTTCGAGATGGCTTGCTTGACGTTCGCGGTCAAATGGTCAGAAAAGCACAGCAGATCTGGCGCTTATACATGCCTATGTCTAGAATAAACTGTATTCTAATAAAAAAATATGCATTATACTTGGGTTTTCCGTAATGTAGTGAGATGTGTGTGCTTGCAATGGCTGTTTTTGCTCGACCCTCTCTCATCGATCTCTACTGGGTGTTCGAAGAGATATAGGGTACGTTTCGTCTTCTGCTACGTCTGGTGAGCCTTCAAAGTCGGGTTCGTCTTTTGTTCCACCCGCTGGTAACCTATCACCTGCATGCTGTCAGTCCGAGGGTCGTGTTACACCTCGGGTTGGGCATGCAGCGGTCAGAAGCCTCTTGACATGCTCATTGGCACTGTCCAGTCGCACCATAACTGTACCTGACGCCTTTTCTTCCAGCTTCCGACCCGGGCCGCACCACAACCTGATGTGAATGCCCTTCCACAGGGATGTCCTACTCCTCACACTCAGCATGGTCTACAGCTTGGGGACCTGCGTTACGCAACATATGTCTTGGAGAAGGTACCCCATAACTTTAATGGCCTCGGGAGCTATTCTTAGGCTCTGAGCTTCTCTCTTCATGTGGTAATCTTTGAGCTCTTCTCACACCTTCTAGGTTTGCCTTAATGATAATGCAGCCGCGGGACCCGACGCTACCTCAAGCTTACTTGCATGGCCCGCGTACATGCACGCACATGTTACACAAGCTTAATTGCTATCGACTTTAAGGATGTCGCTGTTCGGATATACCCCAGGAGTTCCCCTCCCTCCACCTGGGGACTGGATGTCTTTATGAGACTACTGTTGTAGCTGCAGAAGGAACTGCTGTCTCGCTAGAGAGCCTTGAGCTATATCATCACGAAACTATGAAGTTGTCACAGGACCTTGTGTTGGCGATAGCAGTGCTTGGGACCGTGTCCCATGTCAGTTGGGCACAGATCCTTCGACGAAACCCTATGTGTTGTGCGGACGGCAATCATATCAAGGCAGAGCTAGGGCCACTGCTATCTAAAGGAGCATCGGTCTCACTGAGCTCTTCGCCAGAATGGGAAGACCTCGTGGAGCGAGCCACCTCGCCCAGAGTCGAGCCATCATTCGTAGCCTCAATCGAGGCGGCCACGGAGGAAGATGTGCAAATGACGGTAAGATCTACAGTCGTCTCTACACATGCGTGTGTGTATATGACCGTGTAGAGTTCAACTCGGTACATACAGGTCAAATACGCCAATGAGCACGGCATCCCGTTTCTTGCGGTCACGGGCACCCACGGCTGGCCGACGACTCTGAACGAGTTGAACTGCGGCATCCAGATCAACATGCGGCGCATGAACAGCACGCAGCTCCACGGAGGTGCCGACACGGCGACCATCGGAGGCGGAACAAGACAGTACGAAGCCGTACGCGCTTTGTACGAGCAGGGCCGGAAGGCGGCTGGTATGGACACCACATTATCAGAAGCACTCTTTGGAAAGAAAGTTATCTGACTGCGAAGCCAGTGACTGGCCTCTGCGAGTGCGTATCGGTCATCGGGCCCCTCCTTGGCGGAGGCCATAGCATGCTCCAGGGACGGCACGGCTTTGCCGCGGACAACCTGGTCTCGGCCCGCGTGGTCCTGGCCGACGGCTCCGCCATTACCGTCTCGGAGACCCAGCACGCCGACTTGTTCTGGGCGATCCGCGGCGCGGGCCACAACTTTGGCGTCGTCACGTCTTTCGAAGTCGAGGTCCACGACGTCGCTCCGAAGTGGACGATGGTGGCCCTGGCGTTCACGCACGACAGGCTCGAGGACTTCTTCCGGACGTGGAACCGGCTCGAGGCCGAGTATGAGGATCCCGCGCTCGTGCTCAACGGCATATTTGTTCGAGTCCCGGATCTCGACCCTGGACATGTTAGTAATGGGCTTTCATTATATTACCTGGATGTGTGCGTGTGTGGTACGAAGACTAATTACCTTCCCTGACCAGCCCGTGATAAACTTCCAGCTCTTCTACGACGGCGAGAACTCAGTAGCAGACGCGTACGCCGCCGCCTTTCGCGCCCTCGGCCCGGCCGCCGACTCCGTCGTGACGGACATCGAGTACAAGGACCTGTACGTCGCCGGGGGCTTCAGCAAGGACGGGCCCGTGTGCCGCAAGAACGAGAACATCCTCGGCTACCCGGTCTCCCTCGACGGGTGGAACGCAACCGCCATGCGGGCCGGGTTCGAGATCTACGCGGAGCTCACGGCCGACCCGCGGTTCGCCACCTCGATCTGGCTGCTCGAGTCGTACGGCAGGGGCAAGGCCCGGGAGATACCGCCCGATACCAACGCCGTGGCCCCCGAGGAGAGGGCGCTGCACGTCCTCATCTCGCCCATCATGTGGTGGCAGGGGGCGGACCCGGCGGACGCGGAGAAGGCGTATGCGTACGGCGAGCGGATGCAGGAGGCCGTGCGGAGGGGCAGCTCGGGCCCTTCGCACAGCTACGTCAACTACGCCACGGGGGAGGAGTCGCTGCCCGAGGTTTATGGCCGTGATCGTGCGAGGATCCGGCGGTTGCTGGAGCTGAAGGCCGTGTACGACCCGGAGAATCGGTTTGGGTACTACGCACCGCTATCCCGGCGGACCTGAGGGCTGCACAACACAGTCTCTACAGTTAATTCATCATTATGTTCGACTAGCTAGGTCATGAATGTCCAATTTATAATGAGCCAGGAATTTTTCCGTGTATGGACTACATCTTCATTGTGTAGTCAACGTCGTCTCGTAGGATAAAGGGATAGATGACAGCGGCTGCCAACACACAAGTACACCATAGGGTGCCTTGATAAAAACCCATCAACTTTTATGGCTAGAATATTAGCTCTAAGCTGGAATGGTCTTTGGACAAGTTCAACATTGGTCCTGGGCCGATGGTGGGCATCTCGTCTAAGTCGTGCGAGTCGTGCAAGTCGTGTAAGGCGTTACTGTCTCATGACTGGGCACATAAGGAGTGTTTAGTAGCCCCTAAAAGCTTACCGCCGTGTCCTATATGGCTATGACAGCCCTCTCGACCACAAGCATGGCGGACCAGCAACGATGGTATTATACATGTGGCACCAATAGAAACGGCATTTCTCTGATTTATGCAATATATCTGACCCTCTGAGAGCCAGCACTTGTATATGATATCTGTCATGACACTCTAAGAGGCTTGAGATGTCCACCACGGCACGTAGTGCGATCCGTATAGAACTCATCCGGAAGCAGGATCTGATGACCGCTATCCTGGCGTATCTTTTGATCAATTGGGGCTCTGAGCGTCAAGATTATAGATGGCAACCGTGGAACTGAGTCCTGATCTTGTTGCCGGGTAGCCAAAGCTCTTTGTTGCTGTTCACACTTGGGTAGAAGACGGAGAGCACATTTTCCAAGTTTCGGCGTAGGGTCTCCTTTTTACGATTCACCATGTCGATGATATGGATTTCGCCATCGGTATCGACACGTGTGAAGGAAAGATCCTCGAGGAAGAGCTCAATGAATGCGTTCGAGGAGAAATGAACGTTGTCCTGGTGCTCAAACTTGTAGAAGCCTCGACATGGATGTGCACCAGGTTAGGCCGTCTTGCACTTGCGACACTAGAGAGAAACATGTGTAAGAGTTAAATAGTGGATAGATGGTATTAATTACACTGAGGAGGAGGCTGTCCTTCTCGGGATGGTCTGGGAAGTGGCTTCCTTTCCGCTTAGACTGATAACCACGTTCCCGTCGGGCATACATTGTCGTGGTTGAAGTCAAGATATCAGTGTTGCAATAGTTCGATGTGATTCTTTTTAGTTGTGGATGTCTTCTGTCGATATTCTGGTTGAAGTCTTCAAGCAGTCTTAGGGATGGATAGATTCTATCATATTTACACCAATTTCTCCTCGATATCTTGACTCAGAACAATGACTAGAACAATGAATCCTTACTATCCTAGATGAGATGTTGTTTCCTAATGTCAAACCCTCTCCACCTGGCTTTACCCTCCCACCCAGCTTCACCCTCCCAATCCAGCTTCACTCTCCCAACCTAGTATTGCCCCTGACTTGCGGAGTAGCTTCTTCCTGTTACATGCAATCTTGGCTTGTTTGCGGGTTGCTTGGCTAATTCTGCGATTGCACACCTAGAGCGCGAATGTTTGCGATCCTTGACACACCTTTGATTTGTTGTCCCTGTTTAAACCGGTTTTTTAGTCAAACGATAATAAGGAAGCATTTAATTGCATCTGCGGCCATCAAAGGGATAATACAACTCCTACCTATAATGGTTTGCTTCATGTCGGACATTACTAGCAATCCAAGGCCGGGGCCGGGTGGTGCACAGGGCGTACAGGGCGCACAGGGCGCAAGGTGGTACGTGCAACACATGTGCAATTGGCGGCCTAAATCAGGTCTCTGGCCGCCCTGAGCCAAGCCTCAACCCTCATCCTTCTTAACACAAATCAGGGCTCCGGAACGTCATCATTTCATACGATAAGAAATTTTCTGGCTGCGTGGTGTAGTTGGTTATCACGTATGCTTCACAACCACCTGATTGATCGCATAAGGTCCTGAGTTCGATCCTCAGCGCAGTCATCCATTTTTACTCCCGTCGTCCTTTTTGGCCCGTGTCCCCGTTCACCACGCGTGTATATTACTTGATTTTGATATTTACTGATTCTCTCGAACGAGAAGATACTGATTGAATGTAAAAAAAACCCAAAAAGTAGAAAGCCGAGGAAATTTTTGGGAAAAGGTGGCTGCGTATGGTGGGTGGAGATGGTGTGTTCCGGAGGTTTTAGTGGGACCCAGCTGTAGCTTCTCCACGTCATACTGATAGCTTTCGAACGTCTTTTCATCCGTCTACGCCTCCATACCATTACTTCTCCCTCTGACTACTCTGTAGATTCTGTACGGCAAGATATACGACAAGAGTGCCGCGAACGTGGGTTTCCGGCGAGTTTTCAAGCGGAGAACCTCGATAGTGGCTTTTTTTTTTTGGCGCATATTTCGGCCGGACGCGATAGCCGTCGTAAATACCCAGGCATGAACTTCACAATGCGCTCGACGCAAGCGCTGGGTCGAGCCATTCGACGGTCCCGGGCCTGTCCGGGAGGCGGGGTGGCTCCAAGGGAAGCGGACTTTCGACGGCTCAGCAGCCCTTTCAGCCTTACCAGCAAGACAATGGCTTCGACTCCTACCTCGTCAAGCCCTTCAAGGCTACTACATACCACTTCCACAGCTCGGCGGCGGCTGATGGGCCACAATGCCGAGGAGGTGCCATCCGAGGCGCCCACGACCGACTTCGACAGGATGGACATGCTGGGAGCTACGCCGGCCCCTTCGACGTCGGTGGATGTCTGCATGTCAGAAGGCTTTGTCCTCAACAGCGGGGCGCGTGTGACAGACGGCAGCGGGGTCCTGCTCGTGGGCGGCGAGGCGTTCACCTGGAGGCCGTGGGGGAAGGACAAGAAACTCGTCAACGCAAAGGGCCAGTGGGAAGTCGATGCCGAGACGGCGTTTGCGCTGCTGGGTATGCTCTGGCCGCGGCCTGGTTAGTCCTCCTTCTTGCTATGTTGTACGTTGGCGCAGATTTGGGACGTTAGAGCTGACAAGAGCATTGCCTGTTCGCTATAGACCTGCTGATCCTCGGCCTTGGACCCGAGATACGACCTTTGAGCCCGGCGACAAAGAAACATATAAGCAGCCTTGGGATGCGGGTCGAGGTGCTGGACACGAGGAACGCGGCGTCACAATTCAACATGCTGGCCACGGAGAGAGGGGTTGCGGATGTTGCTGCTGCGTTAATACCGATTGGATGGAGGGACGGTCTGGGAGCGAGCTCATAACGACAAGATCTCGGCCAGGGGCAAGCTGTTGAAAGACCAGCGTGTACGATAATGATACCCAAGAGAGACGCCATGGGTCTGTTATGACTCAGAGCAAGGCAAGGCAATCGCTTTCTACGTGGAATCTCATTAGACGGAATTATCACTGGGAGCCGCAATTGAAGTCCCGTGCTTGACCACGTAATTTCATACAGGGCATAGGACCTCGACAACGGATCCAGTCGATCCTCACTCTCAAGCAGTGCTACTGTATGATCTCCTCCTGCCCATACAGATATGTCATTTCCAGCAGAAAGCGGGAGGCATGTCGTCTATGGATGACTAAGCATTTGTTGTACCATCGAAGAAAGGCTTTCAAGTGGGTGTCTGAATGGTTGACGGAAGGTCATCAGGAGCTACCTCAATCTTAACAATCAATATCCTGAAGGGCTATCCCACTACCTAAATCTGAGAGGCTTGATAGATAGTCAAGTCCTTCTGTTAGCAGTCCGTCAACTAATCTGACCATCACTTGGCTTTTAATCAGGTCTGATGAATGGAATCGGAAAGCAGCCCAGTCCAGTTTCCTCAGGACATGACGATTGCAGCGTGGACCGTACGTAGCTCGTATGGAGATCAAAGGAGGGCGGTGAGCAGAGCAGCCGAAGGCTGGGCCGCTGTACCTAGCTGTAGGTTTGGACTGGCGCTAAATCAGCCCTATGCCATGGCTGTGGATTGAAGCTGCTGGGTGCTGGCCTACCTAGGTAGTCGTTATGACATCAATTCAGCCTGCCAATTGTATCGAGCATTGGACCCTTGTGGCCTTTCAATTACTCGGGATTTCCTCATTCTCAAGACTGCCTGCCTGCCGTATCGACCGAGGCATGTGACGATATTTAATAAAGTCCTTCTTCCCCTTTGGCGAAATCCAGGCACAGGCACGCTTTCTATCAACGACACCCGACCCTGAAGACGAGTACCTAGGTAGTCAACCATCGTCCCAGCCCAACTCAGAACCCACCACAACCACAACGTAAAGCGGGTGCCACTCCAACCCGCCCTGCGCCGAGTCATTCTTGGCCTTAATTAGGTACTCCGTATCTCTCCCAACTTGGCTCACTCAGAACCATCGAAACCGGTGACAGCAACCACGTTTCCTGTGCAGGCCTCACGATCCGTCCCCGCCTCCTTGGTCTGACTTCTCATAAGACTTCACAATAGTTTACCTTTTGTAAGACCTTCTCATCTGCTCCAGAACATCCCGGCCAAGAATTCTTTGCGCACCCGCAGAGCTCTTCCTCTTCCTTGGCTCCGCAGCACTATGTGTCATACATATCCCGCCGCGCTCTCGGTTTCGACTGCTGGTCAATCCCGTTCGACAATTGCCACATTCTAAGATGGCCTCGGGAACGACGTTTCTGGCCGGCTCGGCCCTCAGTGCTCCTCAGACTAACCTTGCTGCCAGCTTTCGCAGCCTGAGACTGCTGGGCTCGCAGTTCCGTGAGCTCATCCAGCTCTACCTGCCGTCTCGCGTATCCAGACGCGGGCAGGTCTTTTTACTTTCTTCGGCCATATCTCTTGCGATCCTCGCATGGTACGCGAAGCGAATGGCTCAGAACGTTGCTGGCAAGAAGGACGTCCCGCCACCTCTCACAGAGAGGATCAAGTCCAGTCGAGGCCCGACAGGTCCCCAATCCCACGGTTTGTCAACTCATGCCCTTATCTCGGGTTTCTAAGCTCACACATCTCAAGATGCCGAAACTAGTGACCCGCCGCTCCTCCAGCGGCACTCGGAGATAAAATCCTTTACTACTCCTCGCTATACCTATCCCAGTATTCGAGTCTTCTACCGCCGCCATCAGCAAGCGGACCAGCTGCCCACCGATCCGGCGCCGCTTCCTCTTCTAGTCTTTGTCCACGGACTCGGAGGCTCTGCAGCTCAGTTCCACTCACTACTCACCAGTCTTGTCCATCTTGCTTCATGCCTGGCCGTCGATCTGCCGGGATGCGGTCGTTCGGGATTTGCCCCCCAAGACTGGGATGCTTACACAACAGATGCACTAGTCGAGCTGGTCGAGGAAATTGTCGAAAGCTACAGAGAGCCCAACCAAGGGGTCGTGTTTATCGGCCACAGCATGGGATGCGCCCTAGCTGCTAGACTGACCGATATGAAGTCAGCGCATCATCTTGGCTCAAGCCGACTTCCCAAGCACACTGTCGGCCTCGTCGCGATCTGCCCCCCGGCCGAGCCGCCGTCGAGAGAAGCAGTCTCCGGCTTCAGAAAGCTCCTCTGGATACCGACTCCCATCTTCGACTTGTGGCGGGCGTGGGATCGCCGAGGCGAGACGGAGAGTGCCAGCGTGCTGAGATTTGTGGGCAAGGACGCCGACGAAGAGTCCAAGATACTCCAGTATCGCTTCAACTTCCAGAGCAAAACGCCCGTCTGGCGCCGCATGGCCTGGGGCTTGCTCCCGCGCTACGAAGGCGACGTGGCAAAGGGTGGTCTTCCCGGCCTCGAGGTCTGGTCTCGGCTACATGTTCCCGTCTTCCTGGTCGCAGGTCAGGCCGACCATATCACCAAGCCGGAGGCTATCGACAAGATCGCGGCAGCAATGGGGTCAAGTCAGACATCTGACTTTGCCGAGTCGGAAGACGAAGACGAGAGGATCCCGGATGCAGCCGCGCCTGTGGACACGGGAGCTGTCACTGGCGGAGGCCAGAAATCCAGATCCGTAGAGGACATTACGGAGGATGATTTCCTCAAAGTCAAGGAGCCGGCCGCCGACGACCAGGAATATCCTTCTACGCCAAGGGATGTTTCCGAGGGCGTGCCTGAGCCCGCTCTTCCCGAGCAGCCCAGCCATCCCCGGCAGGTGGTCAAGACCCTTCTGCTCCCTCCTCCCGCCAACCACGCCCTCCTCTACATGCCCTCCACGGCCCGCGTGCTCGCCGGGAGGGTGTCGGAGTTCCTGTCCGCCTGCGTCACGGGCCGCCTCTCGCAGAGCTGGCAGCTGCAGTACCTCTCCAAGGAGGGCAAGTGGGACGTCAAGAACCTCGAGAAGTGGAAGAAGGTCAACCCGGTCTCCAAGCCCATCGCCGGCATCTTCCGCGCCATGAAGACGCTGCGCGAGGTCGACGAGGTCCACTGCCCGGCCAACTTTCTCAAGAGCTGGGGCGCCCAGGTCAGGGACATCGTCGACATCTCGCACGACCTGCCCGTCTACGACCCGCAGGGGCTCGAGAGGGGCGGCGTCCGCTACCACAAGTTCCCCACCATCTCCAAGATCCCGCCGACGGACAAGAACGTCGACGACTTTGTGCGCCTGGTCGACAAGCTGCGCCGCGAGCAGAAGGAGGGCAACGCCGCATCCGCATCCGCCGCGGCCGATGGCGCCGCCGGCGTCGGCGTCTTCATCGGCGTGCACTGCCACTACGGGTTCAACCGCACCGGCTACTTCATCGCCTGCTACCTGATCGAGCGCTGCGGCTACGGCGTCCAGCAGGCCATCGACGCCTTTGCCGAGGCGAGGCCGCCGGGCATCCGGCACCAGCACTTTAGGGACATGTTGTTTGTTCGGTATGCGGACCTGCACGACAACGAGGCTCACTGAGCCAGGGTTTTATTCTACTTTTTTTTTTCTTTCTTGAACGAGCACAAACTTCGATACCTTCCTCTTCTCTCTCGCTGTTTTTATTTATCCTTTGGGCATAGAGGTGCAACGGCGGCTTGCAAAGGGCCTGGTTTTTTTGTCTCTTGCACAATGGCAGTGCTTTTTATATTGGTAGTTAAGCCTCTTGAGCACTACGCTTTCCAATGTATTACGTAGGCGGACCTCTCGACTCATTGAATTAGCTGCCTCTTATAATATCAAATCATTCCGAGTGGGCGCACCTGGGTGCGTTAGGTATGCATGTAACTGGGCAAGTGGGTGTCTGCATAGTTGACGGAAGTTCATCAGGCGCTACCTCAGTCTTAACAGTCAATATCCTTGTCACATCCTTGCCCTAGAACTCAGAAGGTCTATCCCACTACCTAAATCCGATGGGCTTGATGGATAGTCAAGTACTTCTGTTAGTAGTCCGTCAACTAATCTGGCCATCACTTGCTGGGATCAGTCCCAATCAAGTGAACGTTCTTGAGGCACGACGGAGGGTTGGTTGATAGCACGACGGGACTTGGTTTGTCTGAAATTTTTCATTTGTCATTCCGGGTCTCCATCAATAGTCGACGAAGAAGCAGTCCCTAAACAACAAGATAGACGATGCCGGCCAGACAAGCACGACACGGTCCATTTTTCAAAGGATCATGCTAAGCCCTGTTCTCATTTTTCCATAATGAACACCGAAGCAATGAAGAGATGATTTCGCCATCCCTAGAGACCCCCTTCCTGATGCATTCCCCTTCGATTTCCACCCAAGAGTTTCAAAAGCAAAAAGAGAAATAAACCCGAAAAGAACTTTCACATTTATTTCTTGGACTTCTCGCTCTGGCTCTGCTCCTTCAGCACCTTCTTGACGATCTTGGCCTCCTCGATGAGGAAGGCACGGACGATGCGGTCCCGGACGCAGTTACCGCATCTTGAGCCACCGTAGGCACGCTGGACGGTCTTCTTGGGCTTGGAGATCTGAGCGTACTCGCGGGGGCGGAGGGCAGGGACCTGTAGAAAGGGAACGACTCAAGTCAGTGATCTGTGTAGAACGGAGAACCTTGCGAAGAGAGAAACTGTGGGTAGGGATGGATAGCGGGGCCAGGGTAATTCGTGAAAGGCGAGACGATGTCGTTCGATGTCTATACGCAATGTTGCCGATTCCCCCAAATGCACGGTCTACTTCTTCGTAGCTCTATACTTCGTCGTGTTGAAAAGGTGTGTCGGGAGCCGTGTTGTTTTGCACATCGATTGCCGTCGTCTCTTCCGCATATCCAGCATCTCCCCTGATCGTTCCTCCTGCCAGTTTCCACCCACGCATCTCGAGTCGCGCTTGTGTGTGTGTGTGTGTGTGCCGAATGGAAGGAAGAAGCAACTTACACCAGGCAGCTTGATGCCGCAGTCGCCGCACTTGGGAGCAGTGCCGCGCTTCTTGATGTGAAGGAGGCGGAGCTCACCACCGGGAGTCTTGATGACTCGGGTCCGGTTGGAGGTGGTGTTGTAACTGTATTGTCCAGAACGTCAATAACGTCGCCCACACAATCAATGCCTTCCATTTCGCCAGGCCAGGTCCGAGCCGACTTTTGGAATTCGGAGAGGGGGTCGACTCACGGGTTGCGACGGCGGTAGGTGAGTCTGTTGGACGCCATTGCTGCTGATTTTGTCGAATTTGTCGATGTTAAAAAGAGACAAGCTGGGGGGAGGGAAACCAGAGGGACGACGACAAACACCAAATTTCGATTTTGAGGAAATTGTGTGGGTTGAAAATTGTCTGCCGGTAGTCTGGCCAATGGAGGGGACGAGGGCTGGCGAGGTGGACCCACTGCCGCTCCAGAGCCACTTTGAGACTGGCCCTGTCTTGAGGACCGTGACATCCACGTGACCTGATTCAGAATGGCTACCGTTGACGAGAGGAGACGAGATTCCCAGAGCACCTGAACGTCTCGCACTCCGCCCTCCCTTTTCTATCCCAATCTCGCGTGAAACCATAGGAAAGACGTCAAAGGTAAATGCAGCATTGCCCATCTCATTGAATTGCCTCTTGATTTGCTAGCTATCTATCGTCGCTCTGAGCATCCTGGGTCCCCGTACAAGCCATAGCCCGCCGAGGAGACGCCAACGGGGCAAGACGACCCGTTCAAGCAGGGCTGTTCTCGGAGACTGCCTGAATCATTCGCTGAATAATCCTCTCTGCTGAGAGATGAGACTAAGGACTCGGCGCGCGGTGTCTCGCCATGTCTGTGGTGAATCTTCCGGCCGCTTTACGGCATTGGTCCCCGGACTGCATCTGGTCTGGCCTGCCTCTGCGTGCAGTCAAAGACCAAGCCAGATCATCCACAGTTCTATCAAATTCAGGCTCTCTCAGAGTGGAATAAGAGTTCGTTCGAGAGAGCTAGCGCTCAGCTTTTAGGAACTGCCCATTCGGGGTCGTCGCTTGCTCTCCAGGGCTTGATCCCCTTGGGATCTCGACTCCGGCTCTGCTCGGCATAATGTAGCACCTTCTTTGACTCCTCCGACGTGATCTGCTGCCTGAATTCGCTCACATCCTTGTGGGCCGTCGTCATGGCTGCTTGACACGCAGAAAACAGGACGTCCGCTGAGAACACAATTAGAAGGCTGAAGTCTGGTGAGAAAGACGTGTGAATGGTCTTACGAGGCGGATATGGTTTCCTTGCAAGCGGCTGGATAAGCCTTGGTATCGTGCTCCTCAAATCTCGAAGCTGCCGAGGTCAGGTTGAATGCATAACCAAAGAGCTAGAGCATATCAGTACCTTGATATGAAGTTCCTTCACGCGAGCAAGGGCTTCCTCGAGGCGCTCCTCGTCCCATTCCTCCGAATTGTCACTCAACGGGGCCGGCTGAGCATTGCTCTGCGCTTGCGGATTTATCGCCATGATTATTTGATTAAGTACTTGTCGATGTCTTGGACAAAAGAGCAGACAGGTCTTGATCCTGGGGACCTGGAGTTGATGGTCTTTGATTGATGAGACGGAAGCAGTGAAAAAATGTGGGGCATTGGCTGGCTGGCCATATCCCCTAACTACGGAGAGTGCGTACTTGTAAGTACCAGCCACGCAAGCCACTGGACCCCTCTCCAAAGATTTCCCCCAATCAGCGCCACCAACACCAGCCTCAGGCTCTCCGTCATCAAAAGTGGGACTTCTGGAACAACGACCTCAGACTCGAACCCAGGACCGTACGTCGACAGACATCACACACTGTCTTCCCATCCCATCCCAACATCCAGCTACATCAAACACTCGACCCGGCCTCGACCTCCCTCGCCCACGACGACAACAAACTCGCCGTCCGCCCCCCTCTACAGCTTCTCCTAGATCAGAGACGCGCGCCCTGACCCTCCCTACGGCGACTGGCGCCCTCCGTTTCCCATTCTCGTCACTCGTTGCACCAGAGCAGCAGCTGCAGCCGTGCCCCCGGTTGCCTGCTGCCTCTTATAACAGAAACCACGGACCACGTCCTGTACCCGTCTGCCATCCCCTCCCCGGGCCACCCCGCCGGCCAAGCCGTGCCGAACCCTCCCATCACCGTCTCCCACCCTGCCATCCTGACGCCCGCCTCCTCCTCCGCCATCACGCCCATCCACTCGCCCGCGCTGGCTTCCGTGCCCTCCGTCAACGGCCCCCAAGCTTGGGGCTTGACCGCGCAAGGCCAAGTCAACCCGCAGGCGCCGGCGCCGCCGGCGGCAGTGCAGCCACACCACCAACAGCAGCAGCAGCAGCCACACACCTCGTCGTCCTCCGCCATGATGCCCAACGGGACCCCGACGCGCAACAACGCCGCCGCGCCATCCGCGTCCTCCACCCCGGCCGGCGCCCCCATCTCGGGCTCCCCCGCGACGCACGCCCTGGCGCCGCCCCCCGAGGGCGTGTTCGGCACCTTTGACGACCTCCTGAACACGGTGCAGCGCGCGGCTAAGGACAGCGGCTACGGCGTCGTCAAGCTGCGGGCGTCCAACTACCGCGACGGCAAGGCCACGCGGTACGACCTCGTCTGCGACCGCGGCGGCGTCAAGTACAGCAGCACGGCCAAGAAGCGCACGCCCTCGACGCGCAAGGTCGACTGCCCCTTCCGCGCCAAGGCCGTCTGCGAGGTGCAGCTGGGCAACAAGTGGCGCTTCGTCGTGCAGGACGGCCGCCACAACCACGAGGCGCGCGTGCCCGCCGCCGCGCCCGGCCAGGAGAACACGCCGCTGGCCCAGAGCCTGCGCAGCCTGACCAACAAGATCGACCGCATGAGCCACGACATGTCCCAGGGGTTCGAGAAGCTCGACAACCGCTTCGGCAACCTCGAGAAGCGCATGGACGCCCTCGACGCCGTCATGTCGGCCCGCCTCGGCCTCGCCGGCATGGGCGCGCCGCCTCCCGGCATGCCCAACGGCGTCGGCGGGCCCGGACCGGGCGGCATGCCCGGCGACCCCTCGGGCGTGATGGACAGCCGGCTCAACGGCATGGAGGCGCGCATGTCTGCCATGGAGCAGCGCATGGGCAGCGGCATGAACGGCATGGAGATGCCCATGGACGATGTCGAGACGAGGTTGCTCTCTTCTACCGTCATGTAGGACATGCCATCCGGCCCACGGGTGTCCTCTGGAGTGGTCCTGGATGACCCTATCAGCCAGCCCCGCGAGGATAGCACTGCGCATACTATGAGGCACGAAATCACGGAATTACCAAAGGACTTCCTCCTCTGATGTCGACGAGCGAGGGACATCAAGTCCATAGTCTTATCTTATTTTTTATGGGAGAATGGCGTTAGGTGGATCTGTCAAAAAGACAAACAAAGTGGACTGGCAAGAAAGTCCGCTCGCACTTATTAGGTATGGAGGGTTTTACTGTGTATAAGAATCCTCCTCAGTCTTTTTCGTTTGTCTAGATGGGATATTTTAATGGCGACGAGCCAACAAAGGTGATCCAAAGGATGGCAAATGAGATCAATGGGTAAGAGGGAGGGGAAAAAATTGGCTGGGTTCGGCGTTTTTATCTCGAAAACAAATAACAGGGCCATCCTGTCAGTGGCTTGGTCCTTCGGAGGAAGGGCAAATATGGGTGGCTTCTGAGGGTTCTTCTACCATGAATAGATTTCAAAATGACTGATTTTAAGGAATGTTATGACCTCAACACCACCGGCGGTCTCTAAGTCGTTGATGTCAACACTCCTTCTGCTTCGAGCTTCCCACCCTTGAGCCGCTTCAAGTACATGTAACGTGTAAAACTGCTTTGTAGGATCAAATCCCGATCTTTCCTTCGGGGAATTGGTAGATTCCTAGGAGTAAAGCAGGAACGCGCGATCTTCGCAGCCTTGCATGGACCCCTCTGTCGAAAAAGACATGCACGTCGTGTGACAGGTCACCCTGCTAAGCCGTTTCAGGTTGATCGTCTAAATTTATCCAGCACACACAAAGTCCGCCTGCAGGGGTGATTCACAATCTCGAAGAGAGAAAGTCGGGAGCGGGGTGTGTGTGCCCCGGGCTGGAACGAGTTGGAGAGTTGCAAGAATACCAATCGATGGCAATTCGTCCGGCAGCATGCTGCCAACTAAGCTGTGATCTATCTATTGTCCATAAATACTCCGTTCCACCGTCCCCTCGAAATCCTTTGCCTCGCGCCCACTTCATGCTTTTCGTATGTACAGTCGATTGAGAGAGAGAGAGAAGAGCCTCCCTTCTGCATCGACTTGCTAACCCATCTCGCCATTTCCTGAATCTTGGGAAGGGGTTGAACCCCAACAAACAAACCAGGACCAGCAAGCGCAGATGCATTAAAGTCGTTTTTGATATGTAAAAAGGGATGTAGAGACAAACAATGAAAAAGTAAAGAACCCAGAAAACATAGTAGTCCAAAATAGCTGGCCAGATCTAGGAATCGTCCCACGGCGATTAATGCAAGAGAGAGCAGGGTAGATGATGCTGAGGAGGATTGGCTTTCAGAAAAAACCAGAGGCGGTAGAGAGACGAGGTGTATAGACGATGTTATTTCCATCATTATTCGTAAAAGACTGGAATAAAGAAGCGAAAAAAAGATTTCTCTTCGAAATCCTTCGGGGTATATTTCAAAAGTTTCGGGTTTTGCCGCGCACTTGGAGAAGAAAAAGGCACAATATTATCCGTTTCCGTCCGTCGTCTATAGTTCTTGAATCCAGATCTGCCATGGAACACACTGATTAGTATTTAAATTCTTCTTCGAAACGGCATGTACGAGTCAATGGATAAGCAAAACTTACCTCCATCTTGCCGATATCCTGCCTCTGCCTTCTTGCCAGCGACTTGACTCCCACGATGACCATGTCAAGATCGTCCTGGTCGCCCATGGTGATCATGTCGCTGTCCGGCGCATCGTCGTCGCGCACCTTGATCTTGAACCGCCTGCGGATGCCAAACTTGTCTCGGATGCGGTCCACCAGGTCGGGGAACTCGACGGCGGCGCCGATCATGATGTAGCGCACGTCATCCGCATGCACCTTGACGCGGATCTTGCGGATGTCCGGGCGACGGGACTGGCCTCGCGAAGAACCGGACATGACAGTGCCAGGCCGGCGGTTGGGGATCATCTCAAACTCGCCCTCGTCAATGGAGCCGTCGTCGTAGTCGCTGCCTTCATCTTCCTCCTCGATGTAGCGCTGCGGCGGTGGCCGGCGCCCGCCCTGGCCACGACTGCTCCTCGAACCGCCTCCACCTTGGTACATATCGTACAGGTCATCAGGGTAGGCCTCCTCGTCGTCATTCCTCCTCCTTGCATCGGCGCTTCTCCCACCGTAACTCCGAGACGAAGGTGTCACAGAGGCAGCCCGTGACGGTCTTGGCCGAGCATCGGGCGGGGATGTCGTCTTCTCATATCGTCCGCTGGGGACCGCTCTTTCGATATTGAGCTTTGTGAGCATTGGCTTGGGGCCGTTCCGCACCGACTGTCCTCTGCTCACGCCGCCGCCAGGCTTGTCGTTCTCTGGCGGTGGGGTGGGCGGGAAGACATTCCTGCCCACGGGTGGTTCTGATTGCTGTCTGCGGCTCTGGATACCCGGTTTGACGAGGTTTGTGGCGGCGAATGAGATGTTGTCCGAGGGGCGGTCATCTTTAATGTCCGACTTCCCAGCCTGTTGAGCACGTCAGCCGACCATTCAGCTAGGGGCTTTTCACCTTCGAATTTACTTACGTTCTTGATCTCAGATCCTGCAAAGCCAGTGAAGGCGTTTGCACGATCAGAGGCTGCCACCAGCCGCGCCTTGCCAAGATAGTCCTTGGTCTTGAGATTCCGCACCTTGGCCTCGTTGGGCCTGTAGACAACACCGACGGGTATCGAAAAGACGGTGTAGCCCTGTGGAACATTTGTTAGGCCAATTACTTGACAGCGGCCAGATTCAGCAACTCACCTCGGCCTCTTCTCGGATGGCCTCGTCAATGACGTTGTGGTCCTCGACAACTTTCTCCTTGACGGCGTATGACAAGTCCTGCATGCCGGCTTCCTTCTGTTGGAGATAGATGTAGCAAAGACCACGGTTGAACAGCACCTCGCACGAGTACAGCTTGAAGAGTAGACCCAGCTGCGCATAGTCGATCATGGTGTTGCCGCGGAGGTAGAGCAAGGTGTCGTTGAAGTTGGCCAGGGCCTCTTCAAAGTCGCCCAGTAGGAAATTTGACACGCCTTGCTGGAAGTAGGCGACAGCGAGGTACTGGTCCAACCTGATTGCTCGCTGATAGCATTCCACCTATTCATTCGACATGTCAGCACGTTGACTCTGCGAGGCCGACAAAGTCGAGCCCGAGCGGGAGAAAACCTACAGCCTTCTCGTGCTCGCCGAGTGTGGCGTGGATGACGCCCATGTTGAAGAGAATCTTGGAGGTGTCGGCCACCTTCTCAAACTCCTTGAGCGCCTCCTCGAACTCATTGTTGTCGTAATTACCCAGGGCAGCAACCCAGGTTTCGATTTCCTGCACAACACGGTCAGCGAGCTGCGCGCACGACAAGATAGAGGAATCGCTTGGTCTCGGAAATCAAGTCCTTACCTGCTTGAGAGACATTGCGTCCTTGGCGGTGAATCCCGATACTTCAGCGGAGCCCGAGCAGCAGTCAAACGAAGAGGCCTAGTGAACCCGGCCTTGCGACGGGATGTCGAGAGAGTTTTTGGGACCTGGGGAAGGATCGCAATCGCTGCCGACGCAGGTCGAGCAGAAGGATTTTGAACCCAGGTGAGCAACAGCGCACGGAGACGCAGCTTTGACTTGCACAAAATAAGTGGCGGGCGGTTAAACGAGGGGGACGTTTATAAAAAGGAAAACCGGCACAGAGCTGGATGCAACGTATTGGTCCACCAGCGGGCTGGGCTCTCGGCGCTGTCCAAGCTGGATCAAGATGGTAAAGACTCCCCCGCTCCCCTGCACTTCTAGCGCCCAAATCCCCCAGTCGCGAGCTAGAGCCGCTGCTTTTAGTGGAGGGACGCGCACTAAGTCGTCACCACTTCTAGCGTTCCCTTGGCGTGTGACCGGAGCGGATGGGGCCCAGAGACCAAAAAAGACGACTAAAATGTGACTGCTGGCCGGCCCGCTCCCCTTGGAATTCGGTCTGGTCCGCAAGAAAGTGAGACCTGTGGGTGTGTTGGTGCTCCCTAGCAGGTCTTGCCTCTGAAAGCCGGTCTAGCGTTCTGGTGGCGATGCAAGGAGAGTGAGCAGGAGCAAGAACGGACTTGAGATCGATGACGGGTTGTTAGAGCATGTAAAACGCTGGCGTCTTAAAGTACTGCTGCTCTGGCGGAGGCAGACAGTTATGTATGTAGGGACGAGGACCTGCGTCGTTGGCGATGTTGGTTGGGTCGTGCTACTGCAGGTCTTGGACGACGAGAAAGGGCCAGCTCCTTGGGACAGGACCGATGCACGTGTATTAAAAGGGAAGTATGGAGAGGGCGAGGATGAAAAGAGCGGCTCGTGCCTGCGGAGCACAAGTAGTTCGATTATCTGTCGATTTCTGGTTGAAAGCGGAAAGGACTGGAACTGGATGTCGAGGGGTATCGTGCGTTGGACTTCTCGATGTCGAGTGCGAGAGAAGGATCAAATTAACGAGACCAATGAGTGGATGGAGAGACGAAATGCCGGCGCCTACGGGAAAGGAGGGAAAAGGAAGAGGGGAGGATACAAAAATGGGATATGGCAGATACTTTTACTCGGTTGGCCGTGACAGGCGGCCGGGCCATGCTCTGGAGGCTATCATGGATGCGACACAGATTGACGGGCTGCGGAAGGGGTCCCTCCCCTGGGGAAGGCAAAACGCCAATGATGCCTGTGCCCTGACTCGTGTACTTGGGTACGGAGTACAATGAGCGTGGATAGAGGTACCTTAGGTGGTCTACATATGCAGAGAACGGCCGTGGAACAGCATTGTCGAGGCGGGGAGGGCAGGGGAAAGGGGAGGGGGGTTGAGGCATGGCCGGGTACCAGAGGCGATCCACAAGACCTGAACACAAAAGTACTTGCATCGTAGGCACGTCTGCATGCAACTAGGACTGAAGTACTTCAACTTACAAAGTGTGTATATGAGGCTCCTGTCCCGGCGGGAAGGATTTGACGGCGCCCATGTGTAAACGAGTGCCCCTACCTCTTCCCCGGGACGATCACAGACATCGCAGTCTGGCAAGCAGAGACGCTGCCGTAAAGATGCCAGACGAGATCGAATGTTTTCTCTCCCCAAAATCGAACCACCAGAACCAGCATCGCTTCTCGGCATCGAAAGGTGGAAGGGGTGCCAGTGTGCACGATGGGTCGTCGCTTGAGACGCAGCGGGGACAGGGTCCAGTGCGAACCTGTACTTGACGTACGCAGCCACAGAGACTTGACCAGGGTCGCTTGTCTGTTTCCATGGTTTCCCTCCCAGCCGAATCGCTCTCTGGTGGAGCGTATGCCAAACTGATTAGCAGTTGCGGCAGTCAAGATCATCCTAGTCATAGCCAGCCTCATCGACGTCCAGGATGCTCTTGAGCAACCACACGGTTGACTGGCAGGGGACCCTGGATCTGAGTGTGGCTTTTGAGACCGTTGACCACGGCCACCAACCCAACTTGACCACTGTTGGCTCTACGACAAGCCCCATGACCTCCTCTTCCTTTGATTTCGGGCTCCCTGGCGCCAAAGGCTCCTACGAGTGGTGTGCTGAGATTGGAGCTTGAGCAAAGTTGGTGATGTCGAATGAGCAAGCTGGTCGGCAAGGTAGAACGCAATCCAACAGGCCCGAGAAGGTGTGGTGTGGGTTGTCGAGTCCATTCGGTGATGCGGTTCCAAAATAGCCTGTCGCAGAAGTTGAGGCACCGCTGCGAATCAAGGCCTGTCTCCTTTATGCGCCGAGTGTGCTAAGCACGGCGCTAGAGTCCTGATTGGCTGGAAGGGACGGCACTTGGACCTCATCTCGCACAACTGGCGTTTCCGACGGCGCCTAGAAGCAGAACCACGCTGTGACTTCGCACCTCAACCCACACCTCCACTCGAGCCAGAGGCCTGTGCTGCTGCCAATATCACAGTGCCTTAGTCTGCATACATGTAGGTACCCAATAAGTGTCCAGATGTGTGATTCCCGGCACTGTCGCAGACATTTCCATCTGGGCGGGAGAGAACAGACATCTAACTACCTAAACGAATCAGACAGCATAAAAGTAAAGTATGTGAAGTACGGAGTAGGTAGCCTACCTACCTAGAGAGATACTCGAGCGAGTGCACACATTACAACTGTGATGGTTCCAGTCCTTACCAATTTGCCAATGCAAGAACCGGGACCTTGGCACCGATCCCGTCACTGCCCGACTCTCCTCTGTATGTGCCATCTTATCTTGCCTTAGTATGCAGGAGTGCCAGCCCGCCGCCTGCAGCGAGATCGTTGTTCTGCATCCTTCGCCGTTGATCATCGCACATGGGGTTCAGCACGTACAGCATGGCCGCATGGTGCCCCATTGCCTAACCTCTTTGAGGTTGTCTCTTCACCTGGACGCTCTACCGACAAGCATTACAATAGTTTAGACACACACAAGCAAAGAGGATGATTCGGCAGCTCGATGTCTACCATCCGCGCCATCCGAACAAGCAAACCAAACAGTCGAGCAAATATGTCTTGCCCTTTTGTCTCCATTTATAAAAGTAAGCACGGCAGGTGTTAGTTACAAGCTGCTGAACACAGCGCCTGAAGAGGCCCAAGATGAATCTCTTCAATCAGACAAGGCACTTTGCTACTGTAGGTAGGAGGATCTACCTGACCCGTGACGGTGACTAGGTACCACTTGATCCTCGTCCTTGAGCTGGAATTGCGCCTACCAAGATCGATCAGCACCACGACAGCTTCCACATTCCTTCCCTTCCTTGCGGCTCATCCCACTAGACCGGTGGGGCTCTTTAGCAGGGTGGGGGGCCTCGATCGACAGCCACGACAGCCTACAGGCCATACGAAACTCGCTAAGGCCTCAAGCGGTTTGAGATCTGGAATCCTGCCGAGTCTGTTGATCCTTTGAAACAAGTCGCAGGTTACATGAAGTCCACGGAACGCAGAATCTCCTGTTCAGCTGAAAACTCTGCATGTTGCACGAATGGCTCAATATCCTCACCGTTGGTCTTATTTCTTGACGTCATTTTGATCAGTCGCCAGATGGAAGATTGCTGTGTGATTGTCGTGAAATTAATATTTAATTAACTAGACTAGTTGTACTTGTAAGTTTGAAATGATGAGAGCTTTACAACAGCCTGCTACGATGCCCACTCGACAACAACCCTCCTGAGGTCTTGATAGACTGCAAAATCCCCAGAAACCGATGCCCGATAATATGTCAATTCGATGAACCTGTCTCTGCGCCGTATGCATGGTCCAAGTACCGGCATATGAAGCATCAAAGGCATGCATTATTGGGGCGTAGCCGTCGTCGGAGACTTTGGACCTTAAATTCTAGCGATATCTTGTGCCCCGTTGCAGATTTTCTACGGAGTAGGTAATGTAGCCAGGGAATATGCTACTCCTAAATCCAAACAGGTGGCCAGACTTGTTCCCCTATTCAGCACAACTGACTGTTTTCGGAGTAGTCTCATCAGGTCAAGGCTTCCTTTGACTGATTGGGATAGATTTCCACCCCGTGTCGATCGCTTCATCCCTACCCTTGCATTCAGGGCTCTTGTTTGAGAACACTCCTGAAGCTTGATCATGGCGTCAGGAAACCCGATCATCGCGCGGTCACTCTGTTCACCACATGCAAAGCTCATGCTAACAACACGAGATGTTTAATCTCAAACCGCCCCAATGAGTCTAATGCCTACCTACTCCTGACGCTATGCTCCTGTTCCACGATGCCAGTCCACTGACGACCCCAACTTCAAATGTCATCCAGTCTTCGCCATTTTAAGCTTAATTTCTTATCTCTAGCTTCGTTCGCTGCCAGACCATATCGGGCACCGACGGACAAGCGAGGTGCCAAATCATAGCATTCCCTTCTTGACCTCGTCCTTCCTTTCCTCCCACAGTGTCTTCCCCGTGCAGGAGCAAACCGTCTTGTCATTATCCCAAACGCCTGCGCTGCGGGCAATCACTCCGACAACGGTATCCTCGTCGTTTTGCAAGGGCTGGCCTTGGCTCTCCTCTTGGCGGGAGACCACAAAGGCATGACCAATCACTTCCCAAACCTGAAAAGGCTTGTCGAGGAAGATGCTTCCGCTCCCGTCTTCCTTGATCTCGACTGTGCCGAGGAATCCACGAGGCGTCCCGTCTCTCTCGTCCTTGGCAGCACCAGTCGCTGCCCCTGTCCAGACACTCCCAGTCGAGGTGACTCCATCCTTGAGGTCGCCATAGTCCCGGATTGTAGCACGGTAGGTGCCGGCAGCAACCCCCTTGAGAGTGAGGTCCACAAGAGTCACGGTGGGCGAAACCTGGACCATCCTGGCCAACCCCCGGACTTCCCTGTTGGAGTCGTCGTCCTGAATGGACGACACGACAGCGCTGGCACTCTCGTTGGGACGGTAGAACGTCTCAAGTATACTGACGGCTGCGCCTGGATTGCAAGATAGAGATTAGCTTGAGTAGTCCTTGTTGTATGGTAAGGCCATCTTGAGGACAGTGTCGACAGGACCAGGGGTCCTGCAGAGTCGAGACAAAAAAGTTGGCTGCGCCTTGCACTTACTGTTTGAACCCCCTGAGCCTCTCAGAATGGCATCTCGCCCCGTGCTCTGGATAGCCTCTACGATGGCCGATGGCGGTGCTGTTTTCGGGCGATCCTTGTGTTAGTCCAAAGTGGTTTCTCGTCCGTTGCTCTCGGCTTCTCAGCATAAGAGAGGGTGAGAGAGAGGGCATACCTGTCCCCTCTATCGAAACCAATTGCTCCTTGAGGTCAGCCTCGATTTTGGAGATACCTCCCAATTTCTCGACAGCATTAGAGATATCCTTGACACAGCTGTCGCATGTCATGGGCACTGCGAAGAGCGTCTGCCTCGGGCTGCGTTAGTAGGAGGTCCTTTTGAGAAGCAGCCAATAACAAATAGTATCGACAGGAACGTTACCGACCTGGAATGAGTGTGTGACAGCCATCTTATGTTCACCCTTATCTTTACTATGAGGCGGCTTGTGAAGCTGCCTGTCTCTTAGAGTATACACCCCGGCAGATGCCAGAAAAGCGAAGCCCGACAGACCAAGTGTGTAACGACCAATCTTGTTCATGGGCCGGGCCAAGCTGACTTGAAGAGAGAAGAAGATGATAGAGAGGAACAAAGCTTAGAGACCGGAGAGCCCGAACTGTTTCTTATTTCTCTCGATCAAACAGAGTGCTATTCAACTGAGGGGGACCTTTTGTTACTCAAGCTTGAGTGGTTGCTTTGAAATCGCACCATTGGCAATCGCTCCGTCCATCGGGTGCCAGCGGCGGAATCCTTCGGCGCTCGGGGCTTTTGACATGACGCTAAAAGACCAGTTGACCCCAGTGCGATCGTGCTCCACCAGCCGTCACAGTACACGAGCTCGGACCACCTTCCTCACGTGCAGTGACCTTCTAGAAATTTTGGTTGCGTCTCAGGGTCGAATTGGACATATGATGGTATTGGTATCGCGAGATCCGACGACACTTAGCGACAACGACAACCTCTCGGGCAGTTCCCGAATCGCGGCAGGTGTTGGAAAGGCCACGCATCAGTCGAAGCCACGACCGACTACTGAGCATACCTTGATCAATCGCCGGGCTGGGTGAGGGACTCGATCCCTGACACCCCCGATTCCCCCATCTCCAACATGTCCCAGACCGTCGGACTGGTAAGTCCCAATCGTTGCTTGTTCCGCACCACAATGGGCTTTGCGATACTATTGCCATTGGCCCCTTTATGTTGTACATCGACTCAGCTGACCATCTCCCCCCCCCCCCCCTCCCAGACCCGACTCGCCTACTCGCGCACATGGCACCACATCTCCGCCTCGACGCCGCACCCGATCCTCAGCACCGTCAAGGCCCCAGCGCAGGACATCACGCCGCCGACGCTGGGCCGCCTGGCCTCGCGCATCGCCACCCTGCTCATGGGCAAGCACAAGCCCATCTGGGACCCGTCGACCGACTGCGGCGACTACGTCGTCGTGACCAACTGCGCGGCGCTGCACGTCACGGGCCGCAAGAAGTGGCAGAAGACGTACTACCGGCACAACACGCGGCCCGGATCCCTGCGGCACGTCACCATGGACGTGCTCATGGACAAGTACGGCGGCTCCGAGGTCCTGCGCAAGGCCGTCAGCGGCATGCTGCCCAAGAACCGGCTGCGGGACAAGCGGCTGGCGCGGCTCAAGGTGTTTGAGGGCGAGGCGCACCCCTACAAGAGCAACCTCGTGAGGTTCGGCGGCAAGGTGGTCGGCAGCGAGGGGTGGGAGGATGCTGTCAAGGCTGTGAGGGAGTCGGACAAGACGAGGTTATGAGGCTCTCTGCATTTGTGTAGCCGGCTGATAGGGAGTAAGGGGAGACCAGTGGCGGTTTGCATGGTGTGGCCTGTGGCCTGATGATCGGCCTGTGTATAAACTTTGCCTGACGGAAGGCATTGGGGTTCTGCAGCAGAGGTCCAGAGTGGCAACTATGTTGCTCCTCCAGAGACTTTCCAAGTTCCCGTGTATCAAAACTACATGTATACCAAGATACAAATCCAGACATACATTGCACTTCGGTGTGGCATTCAACTTGTAATCAGAAAGCAAGGCTCCGGTGTATTTCAAGGAATACTGCTACCATCTAGGAACTTGCCCCACGGGCTAACACCATGCTTTTAAAGAAAAGAGGCAAGCTTCACCATCCGCACTGGATAACGTACAGTGTGCCCCATCAGACCACGAAGCACTCATGAGCGGGTGACCTCGCACTTGATGAGCCCGTTAGGTCCGGACTGCGGCACGTACACCTCGGCGTCCTCGCCCGTGTTCTTGATGCCCTTGTGCCAGCTCAGGTCGAGCTCAAAGTAGTGCTTGTTGGGCAGCGAGTAGTCGGTCCGCTGGACCTCGGGCGCCGCCTCGAGGATCAGCTCGCACATCTTGTACATGGTGTTCTGGACCGACGCGCTCTCATCCTGCGCGAAGGTGCGCAGCGTGATCTCGCGCGCGGCCTCCCAGGCGGCGTCGAAGCGCTCGACGCCCTCGCGGACCTGCGCCAGGTCGGCGTAGGCCCTCCAGGTCCAGCCGCAGTCGACGTCGGTGCTGAGGATGCGGTCCCAGGTCTCGGGCAGGGTGGTGAACTCGTCGCGCACGAAGCCGTGGAAGGCGGAGCCCGTGCTCTTGAGCACGGTCAGGCCGGCGATGCCGCTGCGCAGCTGGATCCCGGCCTTGCGGGAGACGGCGGCCTTGACGGTGCGCGTCTCCTGGCCGTCGCGCAGGAAGCTGTGCGGGTGGGGCTTGCCGTCGACGACCATGCGCGTCCAGCGGTGGACGACGACCTTGACGTGCGCCGTGTGGATGTGCGCGTAGGTGGCCAGGAAGTGGGCGCCGAGGATCGAGGCGAAGAGCTCGGGCGGGTTGACCGGGTTCTCCTTGGCCTTGATGTAGATGGTGTTCTTGATGGAGTCCGTGGCGACGACGACGCTGTTGTCCGCCTTTGTGTATCTGGAGGGGCGATTAGTTATCTGGAGCAGTGAGACGGGTGAGAGCACGCACGAGGTGTCTATCTGGCCTTCGAGGAGGCAGCAGACGGTCATCTCGGTCACCGTCTGGACGCCAGTCTCGGCGTCCCGCTGCACTTTGTAGACGCGGACATTGTCCTTGCCGTACCGAGCCGATGCAAGAGAAGGCATGGTTTAGAAAGAAGCACGAGGCTCGATTTAATGAATCTGTGTAAGTGAATGGACAGCTTCCGCAGCGGTATGGAAAGACAGTGGTCGAGTCCTTTCTACTGTAGACAGGTGTTTGTCCGTGATAAGCTGTGGTCAAGTTTCTGCCCGCGCTACTGGTGAACCGATATAAGCCAACAACCAGCTAGGATGGGGTGCACACGACCTTATATGTATGTAGTGAGTTAGCTGGTCATACGTTATTCAAGCAAGTCACAGGTTGAGGGAGATAGATGTGTCAAGTCGTGCAGATGCCTACGGTAGATCCTGCCGCGGTGGAGGGCGCGGATGGGCTGGATCGGCCGCCCGTCCCTCGATAGGTGTGGTGCTGGACGGCATGCGGGAGCCTCGACGAAGCTTATTACTGTGAGGGGGGAGGGAAACAGTGGCTCGGCCGAGGGGTGACGCCAGAAACAAGCGGGGATATGGTTCGGTGGAGTATCGGAGGACGCCGTTAGCTTCGACGGCATTGATAGCATCGAGAGCTTGGGGAGATAAAAGCATGCAAGTAGATATTGTACGTAAGAGTGCTCCATCACTCACTGGGGAGTCTATTTTAAGTTGTTTGCCCTCTTGCACATCTGAGGGGACGGGACGATCATGGCCTGGCAGTCAAAGTTGGAGATTCGAGATGTACTAAATAAAGTGCTTATTAGTCCAGCAAACAGGTAGGACATTGTTCACTCTTTGGCGCACCAACATCGCCGTACTGGCCCACCAACCACGGTTAGCTGCAGCTCTGGCTGGTCACCCTTCTCGAGTCTGTCCGAGTCTATTCCAACTTGCTTATCTGTAGGGAACCTGGAAGTTTGGGATAACCTTGATGGACAGTTGCTTGTGCAGCAAACCTATTAGCGGACAGGTGCTTGTGATGGTCTAGATGTGCTCGAGCCGGTTGTAAGTTCTTTCTGCAATGTGCTGCTTCAGGCGCCCCATCCATGGTCAATGGATGCTTTTAGGTACTTGTAGTTATCTCTCTGCGACTATCAGTCTCTATAGACACCGGCATGTTTTCAATACAAGAAAGCACGCACTGCTCAGGGAGGCCCTGTCATCTGCAATATTCCAATATTCCACCACAGCACTCCAGCGCAGAGCAGCCTGTCAGCAAGAAGCACAGGAGCCATAACGAAACCGGACATAAGATTGGGGGGCGCGAGGCGCCCTGTAACACACAGGAAAGTTTCGAGGTGGGCCAAGCCGCGGCCGCTAAACTTGCACTGTGACAAAACGCGACGGCGCTGAGACCCCTCCTCCCCCTGTCAGCCACACGGGCGCAGATCCTCCAGAATCAAGACAACCTTGGAACTGCCTGGGAATTGCACCAGCTGTTGCGACGACGACACCTCATAGCTCTGCCGTCTTGAGCTACAGCTCGAGAGGAAACCCACCCTCAACCATCGAATAGGCCCCGGCCTACGCTCAGCAACCAGCCCACCTATCATATCAGACCCCATTGTCGCAAAGCTGCGCCAGTCAGGCTTGACTGGCAGCTCACTCCTCCTGAGCTCGTGAAGGAGTGATTGCAGCTTATTGCCCGCCCGGTCGCGCTGTGGACCACGCCCTAGCGATTCAGCTGCCGGCGCCCGGTACTTGAGATTCTCCTTGCCTCTTCCCTCCACCGCAATCGGCTCACGGCGTGTGGATAGTGCCAACGGATGCTGGATCTGACGAATGTTTGAGCTGAGGGCCTCGTCCCGCTCGGAGGGCAAATGGCAGGGTCAGCAAACATGCTGGGCGCATCTGTCACTCCCACCCAGAAGTCCTTTGGTAACCAGCCGCCGTTGAACACTGCCAATTCCCCGACCACGAGGACCAGTCTCGAACGCGATGTCCTCCAAGTCCCCCAGCCCTCGGCGATGGGCGCCAGCGCCAGCATGCGCAACCTATCTGCCTCGGCCGTTTCTTTCGCCCCGCGGGGGTCCTCCCTCAACCCGACTCCTACCCCCGGCAGCTTCAGCTCCGAACTACGCAGCCAGATGACGTCCTCGAGGGCCGGCTCGCGTGCCGACGTCTACAACATGGACAAGTTGGACGAGGACGACGACGCGACGTTTGCGGTAGAACAGACTCTGGCCTCCCTCCGCGATGCTCTGAACCGTGAGGTCAAGATCAAGGAGGGCTCCGAAAACATGCTTGAGGCGCTTAATAGCAAGAAGGCCAAGCAGACCAAGGAGCAACGCCAGAGGGTGGAGGCCGAGCTTAGTGCCTCTAGCCTGAGGATTAGGGATTTGAAGCAAAGGATCGCAGACGCACAACGCTCGAGGGCAATGCCCACCACGCCAGTGAGGAGTAGAGGCGAGGGGCTCCTCCAGAGCAGCGGTGCTCTGCGCTCTCCGCCTAGTGTCTCTAGGAGCGGCGCCGGTTCCGACTTTGACGAGCCCACAGAGTCCCCTACCTTTGCCCTGGCAGAGATTCTACAAGCTTTAGAGCAGGATGGAATGCCTGCTGAGTACTACGTCAGTAGGGCCAACAGCCTGGTGGAGCTGTTCAAAAGGCACCAGACCCTGAAGTACGACCTGGTATGGTCGGTCTTTGGCGTGAGGATGCAAGTCATGCTCCTCAGTGAGAGCAGAGAAGTAGTTGCCGCTGGATATCGGATGACCCGCTATGCGATTTCCGACGTGTCTTCCTTGAAGAAGATCAGGACTCTAAATACAGACTACCTCGTAGTCCAGTGAGTGTATTTCCCTCGACGCTGTATAAGCACCGCAGATCTAACTCCAGACAGCTCCCTGATCAAAGACCGAAAGGCAGACTTGGAACGTGAACAGGCCCTGAAATTCGTTCGCGCATTCCTCGATGTCAAGGACGGCATTCGCGAGCTATCCAGGGCTGTAGTAAGGACCATCGCCGCCATTGCAGAGCAAGCAGAAGATCGACTGCGCCCCATTTGCCTCGAGACTCTGGCCGAGATTCTGGTTCGGGATCCTCAGCTCCTTATAGCCTCCAGTGGCTTGGCCCCTCTATCAGAAGCGTTAGCCGAGGGCTCCTACAAGGCCCCGGAGAGCTTGACGGCTGCCATACTCTTTCTCCTTGATAGGCCTCAGCGGCGGAAGTACCTGAGGGCCGGATATGAACTGGAAGTTCTGTTCACCGCCTTCACCGACCAGTACCTGTCCAACGAGACCATTCTGAAACAGAACTCCAAAGCAGTCGCCTCTGCCATGAAGAGCTGGTCAGGACTGATGAATCTCTCGCTGTACAACTTCAGGGCTATCAGGTCACTCATTGGAAGCCTGATTCTTCCCAACGACACGATCCGCGAGACCATCATTGACTTGGTATACTCATTACTCAGGATCAAGTCTCCGGCCTGGGCCACTTCATTCCTGGCTGGGAGACGGTTAACGACCTACGGCCGTGTTACGACACTCAAAGCGACGCCTCAGAAGGGCAGTACGGCTTATGTCGAAGACGACAACGGCGAGCAGAACTTTGTGGAGCACTACACTGCACTTCTGTTGGCCATCTTCATCAAGGCAGACCTCCTTCCTGCTCTGCTCCACATCACGCAAGATGTTGACACCCCATTGTTGAAGCGAAAGTCGACTCTCTTGATCGGTGAGGTTTTGCGTCTTTCAAGCCGCCTGCTGCCGCCGTCTTGGCACAGCGAGCTACACCTGCTTCCTGAATTGTTTGCGGCTGCCACTCGCTTCCAAGACGAAGACCATTTCGTTGCAAGTGGGATTGTCTACCAGATCAGCAGTGTCAGTAGGACTCTGTACAAATCCTCGCCGGCTTGGAGTACAGGGCCTGTACCCCCTACCAATAACGTGGATCTGGCTCTGATCGAAGATCAGCCAAGAGCGGGCTCGAATATCACCATTGATGACGCCTCGTTTCGACAGCTGTTGCTCGACTCGGGCGTCCTCAGTCACTCCAACTATACTAAGTGGAAGTGGGATGTTGTGCTGAAGGTGATTGAGGGCCCTCTTACAAACAGTAAGCGCCTAGAAGAGGCGATAAAAGCTTCGAAATTTGTAAAGCGCATCTTCAGCTTCTACCGCCCCTTCAAACACAAGTTCTCAGACATTAGCAACACCCGCAACACTCAGAAGTACGTCAAGGTCGGCTGCGCACTGATGCACAGCATGTTGCAGACCGCGGAAGGCATCAGGTATCTTGGAGATCACAAACTGCTTAGGCAGATCGCCGAGTGCCTTGCTCAATGCGATCCTGTAAGTGGCCACCATTGTTCTCGTGTCTCTCTTCCCAGCTGGTCGGAAATTATTAACATCTGAGTAGACCAGTGGCATAACGGCGCAATTTCCGTTGTTCTCCAAAGATCATCTCGTCGATACACTATGCGGCGGATACTTCCCCATGCTGGGCGTCCTCACTGGCGATGTGAGGGGCATCGCGATGCTCGAAAGATGGAGAATGTTCAACATGATGTACCACATCGTTGACCTCAAGCAGCGGCCAGATTTGATCAAACTTCTCCTGTCAAACTTTGAGTACACTCCGAACGGACACACCAGGATTCTGCTGTCAAAGGCCCTGACAGCTGGCACCAAAGATATCAGGATACATGCAACCAACGTGTTGCGCAAGCATGTCATCCGGCCCGGCTCTGTCTCCCCCTTTGGCCAGGTGCTTGGTGATTCGAAGTGGGCAATTCAGTACCTGGTCACTCAGCTCTATGATCCTGAAGTGGAGGTTTGCGCCACTGCAGTTAAGATCTTGGAGAAGGCGTGCAACAACAAGAACTGCCTCGAATTCATTGTCGAGTGCCGCCCAGCCCTTGACCACCTAGGCGAAATAGGGGCTCCTCTTCTCCTGCGTTTCTTGTCCACGTCGATAGGGTACCACTATCTCGACGGTCTGGACTACATTAGCAACGAGATGGATGACTGGTTTCTGGGCCGGAATGATTCGTATGTGAAGCTCATCGAAGCCAGTCTCGCGCGCGCATTTGTGGAGAACCCCGATGAGAATACACACCGGATGAGCGTCTTCGAGGACGAAACCGACGTCGAAACCGATACGCACATTCCTCCTCATTTCTACCGTGAGCTGACTAGGACCGAAGAAGGTTGCAGGCTTCTCAGCGACAAAGGCCATTTTGAGGAGTTCGCCATGACAATTAACGAATACGGTATGCAGACCGAGGATTCGGAGTTGATGACGAAAGTCAAAGGATGTCTCTGGGCTGTGGGCAATGTGGGCTCTATGGAGCTCGGAGCGCCCTTCCTGGAAAGCTGCGATGTGGTGGAGCAGATCATCCGCATTGCAGAGGAGCACGAAATCATGAGCATGAGGGGCACAGCGTTCTTCGTGCTAGGTTTGGTCTCAAGATCGGTCCATGGACTCGAGATCCTCTGGGAGCACGGCTGGGATGCGAGCACCAATGCCTTGGGGATCTCCCTAGGCTTTTGTGTGCCGACAGACCTCACCAAGTTCTTCTCCTTGAAGCCTTGGAAGCATGAGACAGTCGCGTCGATCCAACTCCCGCAAACACAAAAGACCGAGATCACCGACCCGCCGGCGATGCCTTCCAGGCCCAGATCGGAGTCGCTGCGTAGCGCTCTAAGTGGTGAAGTAGAGGCCAAAGAACCAAGGATCGAGTTGGATCCAGATCCAACAAATCAAAAGATCCTGGAACTCGTCGTTGATCTTGGCAACATGGTCATCTTCAAGCGTGCTGCCACGGAGCTGATGCAGATCAAGCAGCAGAAGAAAGGGGCCGGGTTTCGACAGCCGCAGCTGCTCCGGAAAGTCATGTCGTTGCTCGAGTGCCATCACTATCGCCTCCCTATCAGACGGATGGTGCTTGAGATGTTTGACCGGAGCGTGCTGAGGAGCATCGTGTTCGATGAGGATGATGATGACGACAATGACCATACCGGAAGCAAAGGCGGTGGCGGCGGTGGCGTGGGACTACATACTCACCCAGAGGATAGCGAGGAGGAAGAGGAGGGGCCGGAAGATAGCTCTGGGGACGAACAACGGACGGAAAGGCAGCGGTTGGTGAGCGACCCGTCGGAACTGATGGAACCTGATGCATACAACCGGTGGAGCGACTCAATACGAGACCAGTGATGCTCCTGAGACGGCACTACAGTTCAAGCAGAGAGAAACCTTGGTGGACGAGAACTCCAGTAGGAGATACAGGACATGTACCAAAAGGGGTGAGTTTGATGGGCGAAGGTGAAGGGCACACGGACTTTGCATATACCGGCACAAGGCGTCTTGTGCTTTTTTTTGGTAGGGAATGACTGGCGTTAGCAACAGCTTTGATATCCTTCGATGATGATATAACGGATGGATAAGACGAAAAATTTGAGCCGTGCAGAACTGCATGCACGTTGACAGAACCACCACAGTTTACTTCTTTTACTTGTCCTTTCTCGATGTGATATCCGCAGGGCTGGCTACATGTCTTGGCACACTGGCACTGAAAGGCAACTCTAGGAATCGGCAACCGGAGATAAAGAGGTTTGTCAAAATATTCAAGAGCATAGGTCGTCGTGAGGCATATTACGAGATGACAAGCCCGGAGTTGTCCACGTTGACCCACCCCGCCGCGTCCCCCACTCACAGACAGTCACTAACATCCATTCCGAGGACCTAACAACGGACAGATTGGCTAGCACCAAATTTGATATAAGTATCATGCTAGCACTGTCATGAAGTCTGGACCTAAATAGCTCGGATTCATTGGCCCAGAGAGGACAATCCTTGACTTAACCTGCTGTTCCAGACATCAAGGATGACGAGCAAGAGAAGAGTTCTGGTCATTGCTGGCTCGGACAGCTCCGGCGGCGCGTGAGTTCACCTCTTCACCTGGGGAGAAATGCTCATACAGAATGTGCACCTGAGCCCCCCATGACATCTGGGAACCAAATCACATCTGTGTGCGGCCTATCGACTGTTGGATGTGCTAACGAACGCAACAGTGGCCTGGAGGCTGACCAGAAAGTTATCGCGGCTCATGGCTGTTATGCCATGACCGCCACAACGGCCCTGACGGCCCAGAATACCCAGGGCGTGTACGATATACACCACGTCCCGACAGACTTCTTGCTGAAGCAGATCGATGCGGTGTTTGATGATGTCGGTGTCGATGTTGTCAAGACGGGTAAGTTTCCGAGATGTCCAGACGTCTGACAGACAGTTCGTCGTACCCGGATATGGCGGTTTGGCAAGCGGCCATTCTAGGGGAGATCACGGTTGAAGAGGTACTGAGACAATATGTGACATAACTACTATAGGCATGCTGGCATCGGCCGCCACAATCGACACAGTAGCTCGGGCTCTGGAGCAGCGTCGTGTAAACCAGTTGGTGGTCGACCCTGTTCGTAACATTTTTCCCATGGACAGAAAACTCCCGCCGTTCACTCGTCACTAACAGAGGCGCCCAGGTCATGGTCGCCACAACGGGCGCCAAGTTGCTCCCTGCTGATGCGGTGGACTCGCTGCGCAACCGGCTACTACCCCTGACCACCATCTTGACGCCCAACATACCAGAGGCGACGCTCTTTGTCTCGACGGCCGCGGCTGACGGCAAGGCCGTCGAGGTGAAGTCCGTGGCTGACATGGACTCTATCGGCAAGACTATTGTCGGGTTCGGGCCCGAATGGGTGCTTGTCAAGGGTGGGCATTGCCCCTTTCGAAGAAGCGATTATGTCGCTGCCACCACGGAGGAGGAGAAGCAGGTCGTCGTGGACGTCCTGGTTGGCAGGGATGGGACTGTTTTGCGGATCGAGACAGAGTATCAGGATTCGAGGAACACGCACGGCACGGGCTGCTCCCTGGCTTGTGAGTGGCATCTTGCGATCTTCTTTTCTCGACGACTGCTGACAAAAATACAGCGGCCATTGCGTCAAACCTCGCCAACGGGATGGACATGCCCAAGTCCGTCAAGAATGCGTGTCGATACGTCGAGGCAGCGATCCGGACTGCTCCGGGATTGGGCCAGGGGAACGGTCCCCTGAACCACTTCCACTCGACGTACTCATTGCCTTTTGCTCCGTGAGTCAGAGGGGGTCTCGTGTAATTGGACACGGCTCGTTGTGGCTAATAACTCCCGTAGTGGACGCTTCTTGGACTACCTCTTGGAAAGGCCCGATGTGGCCCCTATCTGGCGACGATATGTTCACCATCCCTTCGTCCTTGCCCTCGGCGATGGGACTCTACCTATGGAGTCGTTCAAGGGCTATCTTGTGCAGGATTATCTCTACCTTGTGGGTTCTGGTCCTTGTTTCCTGACTTGTTTACAAGAGATGTTGACCAAGTACAAGATCCAATTCGCGCGAGCCAATGCCTTGGCCTCCTATAAATCGAGAAATCTTGACGATATCGCGAGTGTATGTTCCATGAAACTCATCATGTTTCTCGATCGCCAAGATCATAGGCTAAAATTTGCATCTTCTCTAGGCTGCCTCAATCATCGGCCATATCGCGAAGGAGACCCAACTCCATATCGATTACTGTACCGGCTTTGGTATTACCATGGAGGAGATCATGAGCACCGAGGAACATGTTGGTAAGTTCTGGACACACTCCCTCGAGAGCTTGCCGCATTTGTTGAACCACTTGCCTGATGGACGACGATAGCCTGCACGGCATACACGAGATATCTGCTCGAGGTCGGGCAGTCGCAAGACTACATGGCGCTGCAGATGGCGCTTGCACCCTGTCTGCTCGGCTACGGTGCCATCGCCGGGCATATACATGCGAACGAGGCTTCCAAGAGGGTGGACAACCCGTACTGGACGTGGGTCACTAACTATGTAGCGGAGGATTACGTGCAGGCCGTCAAGACGGGCTCAGGTGTGTTTTTCCGCTTATTTCATCGACTCTCCCCCTCGCCGTCTACATCATCATGTCTAATCAGAGGGTGTCACGACACGCAGCGCTGCTGGAGAGGCATGCTTCCACGCTGTCGCCGACAAGGGTAGAAGAAATCGTCCAGATATTTATCCATGCTACAAAGGTGAGTGGTGCCCTTTGGTCATGTTGTCGTTTCCCTGAATTGGTGGAGGTCAGAAGTGCTAAAATTCTGCCAGATGGAGATTGCATTTTGGGAGATGTTTCCTTCGAAATAGCGCTGGTGGACAAACTCGAAATTCTTCATTTCATTTGTGTCATGGATCACGAGATAGTTCCAATGAGTAGTGATAGATCGTCTCCAATAGAGAAACATAGACTGGTTACCGGTAAGATCGTGTTTCACAGGGCATTGGGAGACGAAGCTCCGAGAAATGCCAGGACCCCGAATTAGGTATCTTCCCTTTCTCAACGTGCATCCCATCCACCAGGCAACAGTTGAGGTACCTACCCGCCCGTATCTTATCTGGGTGGAGGTGACAAAAGTGGCTAGTGACAGCAAGGGTCTCGAGGTGGCTCCATGTACCCACTCATGACCATAAGCCATCATTCTAATTGGCTCAAACCCCCTCGGCCGCCACTTCCTGCAGGCAGCCTGGGCGGTCCATCCTTCCCGCCCAAAAAATCTGATTTTTTTCTTTAGGCCTAAAGTCGAAGGCGGAAAAAATACAAAACCGCTTTCTCCCTTTCGAGACCTCACCAACCCTTCACATCAACCCCGAATCAACGTCCCTGCAACAGGTCACGACCTCCCTTTCCTGTCGCAAAGTTCGCTCATTCCGAAAGCGAGTACTGACGTATTCGCTTTGTTTGATTCCTGTTCATTTCACCTCCTTTACTTTCAAATCATCGTCCTCAGCTAGCCTTCGGACATCCAGCCTGCGACCGATCGACTGGTCCGAGAAGCCCATCTAATCTTTCCATCCCTCACAGGAGCATCACCATGTCCTACGGCGGTGGTGGTTACGGCGGCCGCGGTGGCGGCAGCGGCGGCTACGAACGCAGCAACGGTCACAGTGGTGGCGGCTATGGGTAAGCCTTTTTTTATTCTGATTCATGAATCAGCTTCTCCTCAGAAGTTGCCTCACCTTCGACTGACCTCCTTACCCATCACTACACGACTACAATTTTCTGGGCTTTGAATGGCATGACTGACTTTCTCTGTAGCAGATCTAATGGATACTCCAACGGCGGCTACGGCGGCGGTGGCGGTGGCGGCTATGGCGGCGGTGGTTATGGCGGTGGTGGCTACGGTGGAGGTGGCTACGGCGGCGGCGGCGGCGGTGACCGCATGTCCAACCTCGGTGCCGGTCTTCAGAAGCAGGACTGGGACCTCAGCGCCCTTCCCAAGTTTGAGAAGTCATTCTACAAGGAGCACGAGAACGTCGCGAACCGATCGGCGAGCGATGTCGAGAAGTTCCGACGCCTACATGCCATCGCCACCGCTGGACAGGATGTCCCCAAGCCTGTCGAGACTTTCGACGAGGCTGGTTTCCCCCGCTATGTCATGGACGAAGTGAAGGCTCAGGGATTCCCTGCACCCACCGCTATTCAGTCTCAGGGGTGGCCCATGGCTCTGTCCGGTCGCGATGTTGTCGGTATCGCTGAGACCGGCTCCGGCAAGACTCTTACGTATTGCTTGCCTGCCATCGTCCACATCAACGCCCAGCCTCTTCTGGCGCCTGGCGACGGCCCCATTGTCCTGGTTCTCGCACCTACGCGTGAGCTGGCTGTCCAGATCCAGCAGGAGATTACCAAGTTCGGCAAGTCGTCGCGCATCCGCAACACTTGCGTCTACGGTGGTGTTCCCAAGGGCCCTCAAATCCGCGATCTTTCCCGCGGTGTCGAGGTCTGCATTGCCACCCCTGGTCGTCTGATTGATATGCTCGAGTCCGGCAAGACCAACCTTCGTCGGGTCACTTACTTGGTTCTCGACGAGGCTGATCGCATGCTGGATATGGGTTTCGAGCCCCAGATTCGCAAGATCATCGGCCAGATCCGACCGGATCGGCAGACTCTCATGTGGTCCGCTACTTGGCCCAAGGAGGTCCGCGCCCTTGCCAGCGACTTCCTCACAGACTTCATCCAGGTCAACATCGGCTCTATGGAGCTGGCTGCGAACCACCGCATCACACAGATTGTCGAGGTCGTCACCGAGGGCGAGAAGCGTGATCGCATGATTCACCACCTGGAGAAGGTTATGGACGACAAGGACAAGAGCAACAAGATTCTGATCTTCACTGGCACCAAGCGTGTTGCCGACGAGATCACTCGGTTCCTCCGCCAAGACGGCTGGCCAGCACTCTGTAAGCAGCATCCCACCCGATTTCGTCGGTCTCATGTTCATCTCGCTAACGTATCGTGTTCCAGCCATCCACGGCGACAAGCAGCAAAACGAGCGCGACTGGGTCCTTGACCAGTTCAAGACGGGCAAGAGCCCCATCATGGTTGCTACTGATGTGGCTTCTCGTGGTATCGGTATGTATCATATCCCTCCCCCGTTCCTCCCCCGTTGCAAGCAACATCCAGCGTCTGTACTTGCTGGCGCTTTACTCTCACGTCTAGGGGCTCTCTTGATTGCGCGAACTTGCCTGACCTCGTGCTGTGCCGGTCTCTATGAGAGGCGTCTTGGGTTTCGTGATGTAGCAGTGACGCAATACCTGCTACAGCTCGTAATTCTTCTCTTGTACCTTTTTGCTGTGTTCCGTGGTACAAGTGTAGAATTGGCATTTCTTGATCCTCATCAAGCTGTCTCTCCAAGACTTCCCAAGGACTCCTCGAGGACCTGGAGCACTGGAACCCCCACAGGCGTAGATCTTTCCGCAACGGATAGCCCATATTCCCGGAGAAAAGTGCCAATGACATATCAGAGAACATACTTAAAACTTTCCAAAAGTCAAAGTCAAAACCCGTTCATGCTGGAACGTTGCTATACACATTCCCTTCCGTATGCTAACCACTTTGCTCATCAAGATGTGCGCAACATTACCCATGTGCTCAACTATGACTATCCCAACAATTCGGAGGATTACATCCACCGTATTGGCAGAACTGGTCGTGCTGGTGCCAAGGGTACTGCCATCACCCTGTTCACTACTGAGAGTAAGTCAAATCCCCGCTGCATACCTTCGGTGCCGCAATTACTGACAGTTTCTCGACAGACTCCAAGCAGGCGCGTGATCTCGTCGGCGTTCTCCAGGAGGCCAAGCAGCAGATCGACCCCCGTCTCGCTGAGATGGTTAGGTACGGTGGCGGTGGCGGTGGCGGTCGTTACGGCGGCTGGCGTGGACGCGGTGGTGGCGGTGGTGGTGGACGAGGTTCGTGATTCACCTTACGCATCATCCAAGACCGACGGACACTAACGATTTTGCAGGCGGCGGCGGTGCTAACTCGATCCCCATGGGCAACCGACGATGGTGAAGACGTTGATCGATCCATCTTGGTCCACCGTATGTCCGGAGACATTTGACAGTTTGTCATCATCATATTGGCGTTCATTGTAGACGGTCAAGGGTTTTAGACGTTGATATCCTTTTACTGGCTCGACACACTTCCGGATGTTGTTTGTGTCTTGCCTTGTTGCCAAGGTTTTGCGATCACTACCATTTTCTTTTGCATTTGCATTGCTTTTCTTCCTCGTGGAAAGGGCCAGTGCCATTTTTCTACCCAAATGAACATATCTCGCATGGTCGAAGACCGTTGCGTATGTTGGACTGGTGGACTGGTCGCACATCGTTGCATCGAAAAGTAACATAGGTTTTTCATTTTTGTCGTTTCTTGAGGGTTTTTGAGATTGATAGGTCTCTCTCTGCGTTGTCGGCAAGAAGAGTAACGAGGGGAGACACACCCACGACAGAGGTCCAAAGACTGTATCCTGTCCTGTGGCTCGGAGAAGCAACAATGAGTCTTGCCCATCTCCAGCAGTAGACGCCTTAATTCCACCTGCGATAGGTCAAAAGCAGGTTGTTTCGGGAGTACTAGCTAGCACCGGAATCAAACGTTATTGGACGAGTTCATCCACGATGTTTGTGTGTTTTGCCATTTGATAGGTTTGATGCTGGCCCTGTGGTGATCTCATGTACATCCCGGATCATCGTAACCAGAAGGGCTGGCTGGCATAGTGGTGATATTGGTTTCGACCGTGGCCCCTTTCCAGGGCAAAAAACAGGTCCAACCCTAGATCGACTTGTGCACACTGCTCAGCCGCTTCAATATTCTGTAATCATGTGCGATTTAATTGTATCGCCCCCTGCCTCGGCACTTTGTCGTCTGATCTCTGTCTTTTACGGACTTGTGAGTTCATGACTGCCATGGTAGCAAGCACCTGGGGAATCCATGTCAGTTTCTGCGAGGCATTTGAGATCGGAAGTCCGTGACATGGCTGTTCCAATCTTGGCACCACACCGTTGGTTTCCATGTCTTGTATGTGTGATGTACAATTGAGAAGGAGGACTGCTTTTCGTGGAAGATCACGCTGCGGAATAGAGTGGCGCCCTCCCGGCCTTGAACTCTTTGAAGCATCCCAGCGAAATGCGCAGAGCATGTAAGTAAGTCATTAACATACGGTTACACTTGTATGAACCAGTAACGCATCCAAGAGTTGTTTGGTACAAGTCGAAACAGGTTACTCATAAATGCCTTGTTAGTTTCTCATTTTCAATGAAGTAGGGTTTAGCAGAAATTGCTCTACAGCCCTCTCTTTTCCTCATAGTACCAAGAAGCAATACAGACTAGTTACACAGAATGCTGGAAACAGAAGCCGCCACCCCAGGTCGACGACCTCCAACTTCGCGGCACAGAGGAGGACCAGCCGCCAGATATCTGGCCAGGCTCTCGTGTGCCCTTTCGGACAAGCTTTGGAAACACATCCTGCAGGTCTGATGATCCCCGGAGAGCCAGCCGAACAGAACCACTGGGTCTCGAGAACCGTAGGAATCAAAGACTGAATTGTCGATAAGCTTATATTTTAAAGAGGTTCCTCAAGTTTCACATCTTACCACGGCTTCAATTCTTTTGTTCGACGTTTCAGGGCTGAAACCCTCTAGCAGTAGTCGCAACGTAGACTACCATACCGACGACTGTCTACTATTCACAAAGAGAAAGAAGAAACAGGTCGTTTTCGGTAGCCGGCCCCGAGAGGCTCACCGGCGCCATAGGAGGGCAACACACCGGGGGACATCGAAAAGACATACAAGATGTCGGTGCTTGCCACACGATGTCATATGCAACGCCTAGGGAAAAAAAAGACTTTGCAAGAAAGCAGATAATTATCTCCTGCATGTCCCATGGCCTCCCGTCGATATGCATGTAAGTCTACCACACCCATTCAGTTTGTCTATGCCACAACGGCCGGACTAGGTGCAACACCCGGCAGAAGATCACGGAGCAGCGAGAGGGTTAAAGACGGCACAAGACATCACAACCGTTTTTTTTTTCTTTCTTTTTTTTCTCTCGCCCGCAGCACACCATCCAGTCGGAGGAGACTGACACGGACCAATACTGAAACGTGCTCTGCATAAGTCTTAATAAATTTTTTTCTTTCTCTTGTTCACGGGAGGTAGAATCGTGGACTCGACTTTCACCCGGCCGTGAACAAAGAAACCACAAACCTCGGGGTTGGGATTCGTGATGGGGTCACCAGCCAGCCACCCTTACCGCTCGCCCCCCAGCCAAGGCTTATCAATCAGCCCAGGCAGGCCTGTCTGATCTCTGGGCACATACAGGGTCACCCTCACCCCCCCCCCCCCCCCCCCCCCCCCCCCCCCCCCCCCCCCTCT